CCCCCTCTTTAGATTCGTTAATATAGATTAGGCCGGTAAATATACGGATAGTAGTATATTAACCTCCGGCTTCCTTTTTAAGCTTACGAATGGTGCGATTACTTAGGCTTGTAAAAAGTAAATATGCGTTGCTCTTTCCTCTACAGAAAGCGAGTATATAGCTGTATCTTTAGCTATCCAAGAGGTGTTGTGGCTGTAGCTTTTCCTTAAGGAACTTAATATGGAGTCCCTTTTGCAACTTCCTACTGTAATCTACGAGGATAACTAAGGCGCTATTTACCTTACTGAAAGCTATGATTTATACTAACGAACGAAGTATATTAACGTTAAATACTATTATATTAGAGACTAAGTCTCTAGGGGGGTATGCAAATTCGTCAAAATCTCTACTACAGAGCAGGCAGCAGATAGCTTCACTAAGCCGCTGTAGCGAGTCTAATTCGAGAGGTTTCTATACCTTTTGGGCATGAAAAAGCTCTGATTCAATAGCCTTTCCAGCGAGCTTAATTCTAAGGGTTTAAACACCTTTTTGAGCTCAAAAAGCTGTATTAAGGCGTTATTAACATATTTGTATGATCACTTTTCATGTTTTTTCGTGTTTTGAGTGAGATTGGTGGATCGAGGTCCAGGGGGGTGTTGAGATAGCTTGGTGGTTAGGCGTGTTACTAGCGCGGTGCGCGCCCACGCACACCACCTTCGTAGCTTAGATAGGCACCTCTCACCAGATGCAATCTCACCATTCCTTTCTCCCCTCTTTTGGGTCTGCTACGTTCTCACAGTAGCCTCCAATATGTATCATGGTATGAAAGCCGCGACGCTCGTTTATATCCCTGTAAGTAGTCAGACTCGGGTTTAGCCATTTCATCTGTGTCGATCATGTACTTCAAGCTTGCGTTTCGCCTACCTGCCAGTCCGAGGGATGGACTCGTAACGGGTCGATATCGAGAATATCAAAGATGCCCGGTGGCTCCATGGGGTCATACACTGTAGATTTTACGCGGCCTCACATCTAAAGAGTGTCTGCAGAGTGCAGACTATATCCGCACTTGGTTGATGGTTGATACCTGAGAAGTTCAGTTGGACATGTTGGAGGTTTCAAGTCATTTTCATCTTGGCTCGTGTGGCACGAGTGTTGCTCATACCTGTGCTGCCTGTCTTGACGTTGACTGTGACCTGTCGGTGGCCTCACTGACTGGCCAGTGGTTTGCTGTCCAAAGGTCAACCTTGGAATGGTCAAAGGATAGGTATGGATAGAAATGGATGTTGAGCAAACGGGGCGACATTTGAATGAAGCGACCTCGGTACATACAATTTGCTGGTAGTTAACTAGTAACTACTAACTAGTAGGTGAGTATCTCTTCATCATGAACGGCCCGACACGCTTCTGTGAGTTTTGATTGCGGCGACATGTGACCGGATAGTTATAGAATTTCAGCATCTCGAAAATGCACGCTTGTTTCCAAACATGGTTTCAAAAAATGTCGGTGTTTGCATGAAGCGCCCGGGTGGTCTAGTGGTATGATTCGCGCTTAGGGTTCACCCCAAGCATATCTGCGCGAGGTCCCCGGTTCGATCCCGGGCTCGGGCCTTTACTCTTTTTGAGAATTGCATTTTTGCGTGTCGATCAGAAATGTTCAAGTATCCATCCAAAGCCAGTGTAGGAAATCTGCCGCCGGGCGGTCATTCATTCGCTCAGCGACACTGCGGCTCAAGTAGGTGTCTCACGTGGCCCCTTGCTCTACAGCCAATCGAAGCAATGATAGTGGAGCTCGGTGAGGCTTCCACCAACCGGCTTCATACCTTTTTGATCATACAGTTCGTCCACACCAAAAATGTAAACTAGTCTGTTCATGATATTATGAGTTCATTGCTCCATCAACATCACGTCTGATTGGCATATCTACTTCAGGATCACTCACTCATTTGACAACTGCTGGTCTTTGCGTTCATTCCGAGAATGATTTTTCTCTTGACTGTTATCCTACTGCACAGAGAGAGAGAGTCATTTGGATCAATTGAATACCCGTAGGTCAAGACTAAGGTTTCCTCGACTGTCCCACAGTGTACGGTCTCTTATACACGTGGAAGTCTTCTTTTCGGCAATGAGAACACCTCGCATCGACGGTGGTAGTCACTTTGAAGGCATCGACAAATCATCCAGAAACCTTCACTCAAGAAATTGAAACGTGGCGCATCAACGAATGTTCACGAGAAGATCTGGGCCGGACATCCCGACTGCACATAACCTGAAAGTATAGCAGGCTCAAAGCTGACAAATGAACTTCTTGACTGCAGTGGCATATTACTGTCTTATGATGTCGGACTCGTTACTTACCTGCTCAGATCCATTTTCTGAAAATACCGAGCAACTTGGGTTCATCTTGGTTGTGTGCTTTTCATCTAGCCTGTAGATACAATATGCATATTCACTGCACAGGTCACTTGTGGCAAAATACGCCATCTTGATGGAGCTTCTATTTCATTCTGAATTTGAAAGCAAGAGATCGGTGTATCGCTGTGAATTGTAACGGACATTCATTTCCACCTCTGAGACAGGTGATAAGAGGGGAAGAAGACTTATTAGGTTTTTACTGTCGACTGGGTCAGACATGAACGTGGCTAGGATCTCTGGTGAATTTTGTGGTCAAAAGGTAAGAGGCTTCAATGTTGCATGGAGATTCTATCCTGTGCATTTTACTCATCACTTTGAACGCGCTCCTTGCCTTAAGACGATCGCTCGCCAATTCTCATGGACGAGGATAAATATTCGCAGAACCATGATCTGCAGGGTTGAAATTGCGTAGGAGATCATTACAGGCGTAGACAGGGAATAGACTCCAGAAAGGAATAAGAACCACTAACTTCGCGGCTGAAAGACGGCATTCATGATTGCAGTTTCATTACGGAACCAACGTGCGCCATGTGTAGATCGCCAATCCTCGAAATCGATAAATTCCCACACCCGGAACGTATCTCAGGTCTGGTCAGTTGAAGTGATGAATGATTGAGATATCTGTGCTTTCGTATTAAATTTCATGGATGATTTGCTCCAGCTTCATCAGACCGACAAAGCACTGTCATAAGGCCCTCGCAGTCTCAGAAAGATGCACAAATGTGCGCACCAACATTATCAAGTATTTGATCAAGAAGACAAGTGAAGTAACCATGTCCGAGGCTCTGCTCTGGTTGCGCTTCATTTGGTCTATTCCTATGTTGAGTGATAAGAGAGGCTCGCTTTCAGTGTGTTTGTGTAAACCATTCTCCCACGACACCCGTACGTGTATTGTCGGTGTGATATAGAAGAGAAACGACTTTTCTTGGAGATACAATAAAGTCTTCCGCGGTCCTATGATCATCACTGCAACAGTGATGCTAGATCAAATTCGTGAAGAGCACTGGCGCCTCGATGGCATTGGAACTCCATTCTACAAACAGCCCGTGCCGAGATTTTTGAATGAGAGAGGTCAGAGTTTTCCAAGCACCACAGTGTGGTTGAATGAGAAATGACCGGGCTTCCAGATTCAGCGACATAGTGATCGATACTTTTGTTCGTGGTCATGCCAAGACATACGTTGTCTCCCTCTGAAGACTCACTATCCATACGAGATCTGGAAGACTTATAGTCCGCGGGAGAAATGCAGAGAAAAAAAACGAAGCGAAAGATTACGCCGAGAATGAATTCTTGAGGCACAACTTATCGTAAGCCAAGACTCGTATCAATGGCAAAAACATTGTCTTGTACCCAGTGGCCCACAATTGTTGGGAGAAACCCAAGTTCTGTGCTGGTCCTGCTGGATGATCATTGAAGTTCACTTGATACCGAACTGCATGATGATCCCAGCGTGCTGTACTTTATGACCACTCCACCACCAAACCCCCTTTCCTCCCACAAACCATTGGGGTCCAAACACACCCAAAAAAAGTTTACTAAGATGCTGACGCGAAATAAATGAGCGAAGACATGACAAAAAGTAAAGGCCCGAGCCCGGGATCGAACCGGGGACCTCGCGCAGATATGCTTGGGGTGAACCCTAAGCGCGAATCATACTATTGCCATGTTAGGAAAGGGGATTTTGTTGGATGAAGCAATGAAGAAATGCTTACCCACTAGACCACCCGGGCGGTTGGTGCAAAAACATAGGGGGAAACGCATTATGACTTCGTAGGTTAGAATATGGCCGTTTAAATCGTGGATATCGGTCGAGAGATAGACGTCGAAGGTCGGCCCGGCTGCTGAATCAAAGCCTTAGTACGTTCAGGTGTTGCTAGAACTTGTAGTTTGTAGTGCGAGATTCTGGGTAGTATGCATTTGCTGGGGACGGATGTGGAGTCTGGTCTGATTGTAGGCTAGAAGACCACGTGGGAATATGATAAATGTACTCATGAGCGTAATCTTCGACGGTGCTTCATCATCAGCGTCGGGCCTATCTACGTAGTCAACCGGCTGCAACCTGGTCACTTTTGCTGACTCAAGTCTGGAAATGGAACCTCGGACTGATGGACACCACAAAGATTGAAAAGCTTGAACATGGTGCACACTCCACACTGTTTTGGCGGGGCTTCCAGAAGTCATGTATCGCCTCATCAGCATGCATCATCCGTGGCTTGATAAAGACATTTAGATAGTCACGTTTTTTCCTGAATCTACTCGGACCGTCGTCTCTATAAGCTGGTCGCAACTCGAGCTGTCTATCTACACATGCATTAGAATGAAGAGGACCAGGTGATGTGTCATTGTTCCGTCAATTCCTGTTCAAGTGATACTAGGCTTCATCGGTGAAACACCCAAGCCCAGCCGTGGCAACCAAAAGAGGGAAAAAAAGAGTTATTGAAGATCCGCTCCCATCTTCTTGATGGACTCAACGCAGAGCCAAGTAGGGAAATTGGAGGTGGGTGGTTCGCGTCGGAGGAAAAGAAGGTCGGATCAAACCAATGGAGAAGAGAAAGGAAAGCAACAGGAGCCATGATGACCTTAGTAGCCTTTGCATGAAGCTCATAGGTCAGAGCAGAATATCGTGCCGAACATTGATAAACGCCCCAGCGCCACCGTCTTCGCTAATCTCATTCACCAAAGCCTCTGTTTGCTGATAAAGCCGCTCTAGGGCTGCGGATGATGACTTGCCGAGAGAGACTGTACGTAGTATCAGTACTATGACCCGCAAGAGAGACTGATTGCCCAACCACAGGACATGCGACGAAAGGGATCGCGAGCCGAGGTCAATGGTTGAGACATGAGACAAAAGAGCAAGAGATAGGCTCCAGACATACCAAGAATAGCCGAGTTCAATTCCTCCGCAACTGCCACCCTGCCTGCTGGGTCAAGATAATGACCATGTACTGAGCTTTGGGGATCAGGATATGCGACTAGGGAGAAGATAGCGTCGAGCATCTTCTTGTCGCCGCCATTCTCATCAGTTGGATAGTCCATGCACAACTGCTGACCATACTGGACTGCTTGAGTTAAGAGCTCGTTGAAAGGGATGGGAGTGGTTTCATCGGTATCCATCCCATCGCCGTCCCAATGAACATCATCAAGTTCCATCTCCTGATCGAAAACAGCGTGTTCATGGCCAATGCCTGCAGTTGGCGAATCTGCTCGGCGACGCTTGCTCGCCGCTACCCCGTTGTTTAGTTCATTGGATTGACGCATCATTTCTAGGAATTTTCGGCAACGAAGCTTGAAATGGATATGTGGATTGTCCTCAAGCACGTTGGCATAATACGTCTTGGTCAATTTCAGAGCTTTGTCGATATCACCATCAAGAATTGCGGCTCGGATCTCTGTCAGGTGAAAAGTTAGGGGCATTCCCGCCAAGATCTCTTGTCAAAGAACTTTCTCACTGTTTCTGTTGATCGCTTCACGATCCTCTTCAACCTCATATTTCTTAAGCGGGTCTGGTTGACCATTCTGCAACGCAGCTGTCTCAGTTGCCACTTCCTCTGCAAAAGCTCTGGCAGTCTCAACATAGCCATCATGGGCCAGAAACTGGGCAACCAATTCCTGCATTAAGGCAGATTCGTTCAAGGGGGGTTGTAGGCTATCAGCACTGGTGGCATTGATTTGCGCCCGGATTTGTGTGCGCTCGGTCTGTGGAAAAGTCAGTGGGCTACATGAAACGCATATGATAGCTCTTTGTAGTGACATACTGTGACCATTCCATCAATGTCATACATGAACGGCTCCTGGCCAAAGTTTGCTTTCAAGTGAACGGGGGGCTGTTTCTTCATACCCACTGAAGGGTACAATTTTACATTACGCAGCTCTTGAAAGGCAGTTCCTGCATGTAGAGTGTCAGCGGGATTGTCGTGGCTTCATCTCTAGCCTGCTTTGTACCTACCCAGGAAGATACCGTTCTTGGTGAAGAATGCCGATCCCGTCGAAAAGTCCACTCCGCAGCCAACGGTATCCCCAACTCCAAACGTCGGACCATATGCCCGGCCCTGGCCCTGACTTTCACCAAAGAATGACTTTCCATCGTCTCCGTGATAGGCCCAGGATTCCTGTTCCCACCCGGGCAGCCGCTCCACGGAGGCCTTGGTACTTGAGAATCCGATACCGATCATCCTATCATGCAACAGATTGAAACCTGCGTTAGCTCTCTCATACTATAAGGTGCAATGACCTCGACATACCCGTCTTGTGGCTTTGATTCGATCTTGATCTCAAAGTAGTAGATTCCACATTGGGGTGGCATCGGATGGTCTGCTCGTAACGCTGCGGCCTCGTGATCATGTTTATGTAGTGGTCCTGTGTACCGCACATCCAACCCTTCGTTGGACAGTTCCAATCCCGAGTATTTGTCCACAGAGCTCCAGCGCGAGGGAAGAGGGCTAAGCTGAGGAGATGGTGGTGTCGTTCGAGGCTCCTTCTCGATGATATCATAGGTCATGCCCCGGTGCGATGGTGCCATGCGGGGGAGCTGAGCATGGCTGGAAGAAGTCGACAGCGCAAGACCGCCGGATGTGGATGTTGCTGAAGCGCCCTCGCGTTGTTGCGCGGCAAGCTTGGCCCGATGAGCGTCTTCGAGGCGGGAGATGTATTGGGATTCGCGGAGGTAAGAGGGAATCAGGAAAGCGGGACCGTCGATCGGGGCAGCGAAACCACTCTGGTACTCGGTGGAGCGGAGATAATTGGCATATTTGCGAGAGTAGGCTGGCAATGAGGACTCTGCAGACCCCGAGGGCCGCCAGGCGGAGTTTAAGTCCATTCCTGCGGCATCCAGGCCGGACAAGGCCCGCGGGGGAAGACGACCGCTGGGCGGAGCGAAGAGCGGAAGCTGGAGTGAAGCGGAGGCGGATGCAGAGGCCGTAGTATTTGGACTAGTAGCGGCAGCCGCAGCAGCAGGACTTGAACTCAGAATATGCGAGAAGGAGTTTGAAAAGGGCGGAGACAAAGCAGTGCCGGAGACGACTGAAGCATAGGAAGAGCGGCGGGGACCGGAGGAGGAGAAGTTGTACGTTGAAGGAGCTTGGGGAGCTCCACTGGGGAAAGGCAAGTCGGCCATGGCGGGTCTCTAGTCATCCACCGAATGGAACGGGCCAGCAGTGCAGCAGCACCACACCAGTGGAGTGAGGCCGGGGCCGTGACGGGCAAACGGCCAATACTTTCGCGACAACAATAGCTTGGATTGTTTATGGCGGAGCGCTCAGTCGAGAAGCCTTTATTGTAAGAGCTCTCTCTTCGCAATCAATGTAGATTCGAGCAAATCGGCACAGATGTTACGTGAGAAGCGGGTCATCTGGGCCGACCGGAAACAGCGCTAAAGGCACGGGTCAACAAGAACCAGGGAGATACTTTCCCCACGACCGAGTATTAGAGTTGGCTATCGCTGCGATTCACTGGACCCGATGGGGAAAGAGGGTCTTGGGCAGCCCCGGGGCTATCCAACTCTGTCTGGTTTCGGGCACCTGGCAGTCTGCCTCTGTGTTTTCCGAGTGAGTAAAAGGGCCAGCGAGAACAAAATAAGACACCGAGTCACACCGTGAAGAGGAGAAATTGTTGAACAGAAGGCGTGCTTTAGGATCTAGTGAATTGCGGGGAAGTGAGTATACTTGGAAATGAAAGGAGGGGGAAAGAGATAGGCAATGCGAAGAAGCACAGAGCTCTTTGTCACGAGATCAGCTAGTCACTCCATCACCGTGAGCAAAGCCCGTGACTTTGAAGGATACAAGGGTACGATTTGGATTACTATAGTAGTACATCTACATGCCTGCTTTCTTGATGAACTGGTCTGTTTCAAGGGAATTACTATGAAACATGGAATCGTGAAAGTCGTAGTATCTTCGGGGGTCATCGTGCAATTTTTCAGGCATAGCAGACCCTCAATTTTCTTCTTCAGGAGTTGAGGATCTTCGCCATTATCTTTTCGTCCCAAGCGAGACAGGGCTCACAAACACGTGTATTGTATAGAGATACCGCGATGTGCAATCAGCTGGTGTCTGTACAAATCCACCTGGGGCAGATTCCTCAGTTCCTGGATGACCGCCTTCACTTCTGTGTCATGTGACACCATCTTCAGACCTTGTGGTACCTTGTTTTTCAGGCCATACAGCGTAGTCCCTGAGTCTCGCATCATATTGCGACATGCTGTTTGTATATTGTAAATGTACATGACCCTGCATGATTTATTCCCAGCGCCACAGAAGGCACAAAAAAACAAAGTATGCAGCATATACTACAATGGCTGAACAGCATACACCGTGCAATAGATCCTTAAACCATATACGATGTATGGAAAAGCACCAGGAGTTCGGTAACCAAGCGTACAGCTGGAGGTGGTTTCCACGGAGCAACTCTGTCTATTGAATTTGCCGGTAACTCCTTCTTAGTAGTTTAACTTGGAGTTCCATGATTTTTCCTTTCAGTTGCACGTACGAGCGACATCTCTGGTCATGCTGTTAATGTGGTCTTCTGGAATGAAATTTTGCATGGATGGTCTATTTCTCTTTTTTAAAAACATGCAGACTTCACTCAGCAGACTTACAAGTTACCAACATGGACGCAGCCTGTGAGCGTAGGGCAAACTCTCGACGTCGAGTAGGTCCTTCAACATAGGTCATTCCTATAAACGCGTGAGTGGATTGAGGACGGCATTTATGGCGGTCATTAGGGTAGATCTAGATCACCTCGACATCATTTATATAAGTCTCTGATGCCTCTGAGCGTAGTTCTTCCCGCCTGACGTCTCGTTGCAAAGGCATTTACCGAAAAATAATTGCGAGAACTATATCAAGTCGATCCCTTATGTAGGTTTTCGATGCTCTATGAGACAAGTCCCTCTAAAAGCCCTCGACGTTGCCCGGCTTCTAGGTCAATTTAACTCCAACTCAACTTGATCAACATTTGATCTTCAATGATTCGACGCGCATATATACTGCGCTGATCATGACTTTGATGGTAAGACGCGAATAATGTATTGTGATGGAAATGATACACTGTCGTGAAAAATGCAGCGGTGGACGGAAGTTATTAAGGAAGGAGCGAACACTCCAAGGAAAGAATCGCGACGTACTACTGATCGATCTGTGCAGTGATCGGGGGATCACATGAAAATAGCTGGCTCGCTGCCGAACATCGCATAGATTCTTCGACTCGCACCTTACCGAGAAACACCGAATTGGCACTCGAGCTAAACCCACGTTCGCGAGTTCGAAAGATGTGAGATTACCAGCAAACAGTGTTGCGATGTAATGTTGGAATGCCTTTGTATGTGATAGCCAGCTTCCTCGGTCGCACTCCGGACGCCGCCTTCGATTGCTCGATATAGCTGGGCTTAATGTGTCTGTGCTCTGTAGTATCGATGATGAAATCTCCAGACATTCTGTTATCACACACACCTCGCTTGCTAACCGGTCGCCATGCAGATCGCCTTTTCGGTGCTTCTAGCAACAAAATAGTTCCAATGTGGGCCCTCGCTGTCCGTGGTGTACTCGATAGTGTCTAAGATGAGATCATACAGCTTCAAGTGCTCAATATGGGCGGGCATACTGAAAGCAAAAGCTTTTGTTGTACTACAGTCTCTGAGTCTACCACTACCTGGGACAGCTGCTAAGCTTCGCCGTCCCACATTTGATTCGCTACGCATGAATCATGAAGTGGGTCAAGGCCTCTTGGCCAAGGCTCGGTGATTGTTCTCCAGATGGCCCGGATGCGGCCGTGTGATACGCCACTCCTCTGGAAGCATGGAGGTAGCTGGTGGGCCTGGTCAGATCAGTGCGCAGTTGCGCACTGCGCAGGGTGTCCTGTGGCGCTAGAAGCGATGATGCGCGAAGGTTTGGGAGCCCCTCATCGGGTGGGAGGCGAAACAGAGAGCACACAGTGTCTGACAAGCTTGAACAAAGCCCGTGTTGACCCTTTCGATCCTCCACTACCTGCTTGACGCCTGCCTGTTGCCCAACGGAACTTGTACATTCAGATTGTTTTTCTACCTACACTACTCAGCCATAGACCCACGACCGCTCACCATGCCTCGCAGAAAGGCTCTTCTCATCGGAATCAACTACACCGGCTCGGGTCACCAGCTCAATGGCTGCATCAACGATGCCATGAACATTCGCGAATACCTTGTTCGCGACCGAGGTTACTCTCCTGACCCGCGGGATATGGTCATCTTGACTGATGCACCTGAAAACCGCGGGACTCCTTTTTATCCCACGGGCGCAAATATGCTGGCTGCGTTCAATTGGCTGGCCACGGGTAACAACCCAGGAGACTCTTTGTGGTTGTCGTATTCTGGCCATGGAAGTGAGTTGTGTGCTTTCTGAAGTCGAGAATCGGAGAACCATGCTGAACCGGGACATGCTTCAAGGCCAAGTGCGGGATCCTGATGGCGATCGAGACTCGGGGTACGTTCTCCTCACTTCAACTGTCTCCGGCCAAAAGCCGTCTTTCCAGAATTGTGACCGCGATAGATTGTCAAACTGACCGTTCTCCTCAGCTTTGACGACACCATATGTCCCGTGGACTTTGAACACAACGGACAAATCACCAGTGACACGGTATGTGCTCCATACGCCATAGCGCAGAGCCCCTCCCTCTTCCACGCAGCCCTTGCTAGAGCAATATTGCTGATGGACGGAAAGCTTCATAAAGTGATTGTCTCTCCGATGAACCCTCGATGCCGACTCACCATCCTCTTTGACTGCTGCCATTCCGGCTCAGCCGTGGAACTGCCCTACGTCTTCCGCCCGGACGCTGATGGCAAAGTGAACATGGTAAACAATGTGAAAGAAGGCGTCTCATTACTCAGGGAGGCATCTGGACTACTGCAGGGTGGATTTTCACTCGCAAAGGTACAGGATGTACAAGGCTTGATTGGCAGAGGATCATCTCTGCTGAAAAAATTCACGCATCCTGATCAACCCACGGACGAGAACGGTCTTGCCGACGAGAAGTTTGTCGAAGATTGGCGGAATGAAGGCAAAGACGTCTGGATGTTCAGCGGCTGTGCTGATGATCAGACTTCTGCGGATACCAGTATGCAGGGTCTTGCAACTGGTAAGTCGAGGAGCTCCTGGACGATTGTTTGGATATGATGTTTGAATTACGCAGTTCTTCGCTGATCAAAAGTTGAACAGGGGCCATGTCTTGGGCCTTCATCAGAACAATGAGACACAACCCTCGCCAGACATACATCGAGGTATGTAATGTTCCTGCGATTGGCAATTTTTTTGGCCGTTCCACTTAACACAACCGCAAACAGGTCTTGCAGAGCACCAGAGGCATGCTCAAGGAAAAGTACTCGCAGATTCCCCAGTTGTCTGTCGGTGGTAGATATGATTTGAATCAGCCTGTACACGTTTGACCCTTAACCCGCAGTCTGTTTAAACACGGAAATTCTCCGACATCCACACAGCCAGAGCCAATGCTTAGATTGGTCAATCACGACGAGGAAAAGCTCGATATGTCGGGAATAGTGTATTTGATACGGTGGCCTGCAAGTCTTATGCCCACTCAGTCCCACGACATGCAGGAAGATCAGATCACATGAATTTTTGCAACCTCATGTGAGCACAATTGAGCAATTATTTACGAATGAGTTTTCATGGACCCATGGCGAACGGTCACTGCTGCGCGGCCAGGGCAGAAGTAGTATTCGCGGAAGATTTCTATTTGCCGCCAGTTTTGATTGGAAAGTAAACCGGAAAGCCCAAGAACCTACCAAAACAGACGCCAGACCATACGCCACAAGAAATGCCACAAGAGATGCCAAGAAATAGGATGGACCACTAGTTAGACCACTCAAGCTATTTTCAGTGGTGCATCCTCAGCTGAATACTGTGTGGGGTAATCGAAATTTTATTTCTCATTTCGCATAGTTCTCATGAATCATGGATTCAAGACACTTCTCTGTTCCCCCTGCACTGGTATCTTCATAAAGAAGACGATGGCTTCCATCTTCATCTTTGGCCTCATGGAAGAATGTATCGTATCTGCTGCTACGGCCCAACCCAGATGTTTTTCTCAGAATGAAGAATAGCTTAACATAAAATTGCTTGAGAGTCACTGACTGACCCGAATCGGAAAAATCAGTCTCCGAAGAAAAGCGCCGTCAAGATGCCGAAATCTCACCTGGGGTGAAATACTTTGCTGTTCAAATGAGGTATGCTTTGTGCGAGAATGGAGAACCCTTTCATAAAGGTAGCCTACACTTCTTTCGAAGTACCGACGATAGTTCTTGACGAATGAATGGATTCAATCCAATATTCTAATCATCAAATTATATCTCGAGAAAGCCACAATCATCAAAAAGCAAGACCACCGCTCGAGACTTGAGGTTTGATATAGCCATTAAGAAGCAAAATTGACATTATTCGCCCGGGTGGTCTAGTGGTATGATTCGCGCTTAGGGTTCACCCCAAGCATATTTGCGCGAGGTCCCCGGTTCGATCCCGGGCTCGGGCCTTTACTTTTTTCGTTTCCTTCACTTGTGTCATGGCCGACCTGCTGAATGGTTACCATTCTTTATTTTAAGCATGTGCTTGCTGTCTTCTTACTTCTTGTGATCTGATGACTTGAAATTTAATGACCAGGCCTTATCAAAGATGAAACTAATCGGTATGTTCTCTAACATTATGGATATGAAGTATGAATTCTGAAAAGCATAATCGAGACGATTCAACCAACATAATGTATACATGACAGTATTACCCAGATTCGGCTCATGTTAAGGGAATATTCTAGAGTCTCAGAGTTCACACTCTATATATAGTATATGCACAATGATACAACTGGACTTAGTCAATCTACACCCTATGTATAATGTGGACGCTCACGGACTCGAGCTTGATCCTACCCGGGTTTGTAACATGCCGAATCTGAAAAGACTACAACGTCAGCAAGGATTAAAAGTGAATGTCTGAATGATTGAATGAGGATCGAAGAAAGGCGGAGAAAAACAAATTCAACAAATGTGACATGAACACTAAAAAACCATCCATCCCCCAAAACCGCTGTTCCTGTACTGCGTTGGTGATGGCCGTGGAGCCCGCCACCACAGTCCACGGATAGCAGTATCCCTGAGCTCCTCCGCGATTGGTCTCCATCAATACACAGTGCCATCTTGGAATGTTTAATTTAAACTCAAGGCCCGATCTGGGACTAGCCGTTGGCCCGTGGAAAGTCCCAACAGCGGCCGAAACAGCTCCGTGACAATAGCAGTGTATAACTATAGCGACCCGAAGGAACTACAGATCTGGCCGGTGGCCTCGAGGACCGGTGCTACCGCCGAGACTTTAGTCTAGGTGTCTTGAAATCCTCTAGTTGGGCTCACTGGATTACTGTAAGAGAGTATGTGAGTCGTATGACTAGGCCGATGACTGAATAATAATATTGGAGGTAGTCCAGAGAACTATGATACGAGGTGGACTTGGAGAGGTTGGTCTTTCAATTATGATCATATTGTGCAATAGTTCTATAATTTTTATGAATTGCCCGGGTGGTCTAGTGGTATGATTCGCGCTTAGGGTTCACCCAAAGCATATCTGCGCGAGGTCCCCGGTTCGATCCCGGGCTCGGGCCTTCAACTTTTTTTTCCATTTGCTCCTTGCTCATGCAATGGCAAAACGCTTAATTTTTTTTATTTTCCATTAAGCCCGTTCCCAAGCACAGAATTGAGGTTTGACAGGCTGGTCGGTCGTGATAGCACTGCCCACTGTTGAGGTGATATGGTTCGGCATCATTTATATGAAGCACCAAGTTTTGCCTAAGACTATGAGAGCCTGAGCATTAGGGTCGCCATCGCGCAGGCCGGGTCCTGTCACTTGATTAAGCTCTTGATTTGGGGCACCAATGAATGCTATTCATGTTCAATATTCATTGCCCTTCCCATACTCAGCAAGTTCATCCTTTTCAGGGATTGTTGAGTGATCTTCACAGAATTATAGGGATAATGCTATCCAAGGTATGCCTTAGCCATGAACACAGACAGTGTATCGAATGCAACAGTCGAACATTGACACGAGGGGAGCTTCATGCAAAATTTGATCATTGATCCGAGACTCTCGTCACTTGCTTTTCGTAATTTGGAAATACAACATTGTTTGTATGGCATGTGATTCTGCCGCTCAGCGCACACCATAGCTTAGGTATAATCTCTCCCCCAAAGCAATCTCACTCCTCATCCTTCTCTCATCTTCTACGGCTGCACTTACTACTGTAGCTGTAGATCATCAAGCATATTACCCAGAATCGTGTCTACCATCCTTGAAACAACAAGCATTGCTTATCTGATTGTTGGTCTCTGGTCGAAGACCTATTGATGGCGGCTGATCTTCAGTTTGACTCTGAACCGTGAACGAAGGAAGGACAACTTCTCTTTCGTGTCATGTCTACTGGTCACTCGTGGCGGTGAAGAAATCGCTCACATCCATGCAATTGAAGTGGCCAATCGAGATTCTTTGTATTTTTGCAATGCGAGAAAAGTTTACACGACGGTCAGAGTTCGCAGCATTTTCAATCATTGACTGAGATGCCAACTCTGCATCACGGAGAATTGGGCAGATTCGGTCTTACACAGGTAATATCTGGGACGTCCGATGGTTGTCAATGCTTGGAAAGAAGCTTGATAGAAATTCAGCAGTCCGGTCGATGATACTTGGACTTAGAAGAGAACAGAGGCAGGACGGGCATGTCGAAGAGTTCGACGGGTTTTCCCAAAATTGCGAAGCAATTTAATTGAGATTCAGTGCTTCAGTCGATGGAATTCGAAGCCGGAGGAGGACGGAGAAAGCATGTTGAAGGAGGAAAGTAAGAGGATTCTTCAATAGTGAGAGATGAAAAGATTGGTTTGCTTGTTGATGAAGCACCTAGGGAGGTAACAAAGATAGGTCACTGCAGTGTCAGTGTACGCGTCCGGGTCGTCTAGTAGATGTACATTTCTCCATGGTTACATCCACGGTGTTCTCTTACTTACATCGCGAGTATACGATTCGTGAGTAAGGTTAGCCCCAAGACAGACTTGTAGTGCGTGCTGGTCTATCACTGGATGTTTCTGGACCTACAAGCGCAGGTCCTCGATGGTGTCCATATTGGATTGGCGCTGTTGACAAAGATTGATCATGGAGTGTGACAGATGTATCAGGAAACTCCTCGATGACTCACAGCTGCACTCACCGTTCTCGGGATCAGGAAATTCTTTGCAAAAGCTCGATGCCATGGAGGAAGTACACTGTTTCCTGTGTTAAAGTGTATACAATCTTCCACACATCAAGAGCAAGCCCAGCCAACACATCAGGTGCCCGGGTGGTCTAGTGGTATGATTCGCGCTTAGGGTTCACCCCAAGCATATCTGCGCGAGGTCCCCGGTTCGATCCCGGGCTCGGGCCCTTACTTTTTTGATTATCCGACAGCAGTACTGAGAAAAGATTTCATTTCTGGGATGATAAGTTGAATTTGTTGACGCGGCTCGGCCATGTGGGTGGATTCCTTAACTCCTGTTCGGGCGGCTCAGGACTTACGTCCTCATCCTGATTGGGTGCCGATCCACTTGGCGAACGTTCCGCGCCGGATGGCGGGCCGCTCGTGTATGGCGGTTATCAGGGAGTCAGGGACCACCTCGGCATAAATCGTACAATTGATTTGCTTACTACCGGGCAAGAAGATCACTTTTCAATTGAGAATTGACAGGATTTGAGAGGCAGCTAGTAGCCACAGGACCGTGCGAGATGTATGTACGTCCTTGTCCAAGCGAGTGCGAGACTTTGTATTCTTGGGGCTTGATCTCGAGAACCATGTCGCCGCCATTGCTTGCGCATTGTTTTTGGTTGATAGCATTGGTCGCAAGCGCAGCGCAGCTCCCAGGTTCACTCAGTGCATCTTCGTTGCTGCTAGCGCCGGAAGCCAATGGAAGAAAAACAAAGACAAGAAAATATCAAGACTATACTGTACCATTTACTGCCTGCAGTATTCTATGTAATGAAACTTCCTGATCGAATCCCTGTCTGCGACCCAGACTTCTCACGGTAGCAATCTGGGTCACTAGCACAATCAAATATATCTAGAGAAATAATGAATTACCCTACCTTGATATGAGCTTTACCTTATGGATCCTAGCTTTTCTTTGCTCTATACAGCTAGTCATGTTTAATGACCAGACACTACCGAACAGCCGGAACATATTGGTAATACTATCTTATGATCAGATAGTTGAACTACCTTGGCTCTTCCTAGGTAATAGAACCCTAGAAGTATAAAGTATTCTGACGACAAGGTGTTAGCAGGAGAATGCCCATTCCTCTTTGTTATAGTCCCAGCAGTCATGTGAAGAGTAGATGTTTTTATCCCTGCTGCCCTTTAAAAGGTTTTCACTTTGTCTTTCTTTTCAGTGTGTCTTTCTTGCGTCCTTACATATCAGGGTTTTAACAATGAGTATGAGTCTTCCGTGGTCTCGAGAGGGACTGATTCGCTTGGGTTTCCAATATTTGGTGTTTGCTGCCTTGAATTAAGGGCATGAATGGCCAGAATTTTGAAGGAACTTTGTTTGGATGGTGAGAACGCTGAGTCTCCTGGAACATGAGGTACCCTCACTCGTCCATGCAATAAGAAATCCAACCTCTTGCCTGTTGGATGGCAAATGATTTTGCCCTACCCGCCATAGTCCATTGCCTAGATGGAACCTCCCCCGATAGCAATTCTACCCTCATTCCTCTATTCTCTCTTTGCTGCACCTACAGTTCTACGTTACTTATAGCTTTGTCGTGACGATGCCTTTCAAGCTACAGACATGGTATAATGTCTCGCAGCCATGACTCTATCATTGGTCGTCCAGAGAAGAAGCTCGAAAGCCACACATTTCGCTACGACTGTTGGTGGGCCTGAAACCCATCACATCACTAGCCATTTGACTGCAGAATTGCAGGGCTGTTGAGTTGACGAGCCAGAATAGAAGAAAGCATTGAATCCAGGTCAGTACAGCAAAAAGCAGACCTTGGGACCGAGGACTCATCTGGAAGAGCAACACTCTAATCTCAAGCTTCCGAGCGCATATGTCGTGACTCGATCATGATATATTATCTTCTGATGAGTCTGTGCATGATTCTCTTGGTGACAAACATTCTTAGGGAAAAAGAAAGCGTTCGCTGACTGTTGAAAATAATGGCCGTTAGAATCCTGCAGAGAGAACAACAAACCGCAAGTCTTTTAAAGTCTCCGTTCCCATCATATCGAGAGCCGTGGCTCTTCTCAAAACAATAACAAATTCGAGTGCAACGTCCGGCCCCCTCCCTCTTCTTGCGACTGCGATGGCGCTTTCGGCAACACCCCCCGGTTTCGACTACAACATCCGCCCTATACTTTATACTGCACGGTCGTTCACAAGGTCGTGGCAGACATACGATACAGGCTTGGCGTGCAGTACTCCTCACCATCTTCTCAATCTCATAATAATATTGACTTATGCTTGATATAGAGAATATCTCGTTGCGTCAGTCTTTTTCCTCTCTCCAAGGATGTCCTGATCGATCTCGCCAAGCTCAATCGTAACGCCGTCGGAGCTTAAAGCCCCGACCGAGTACTTGTGGCTTGCGTGCCTCGTGGTGTTCCATCGACTAAACACGTGTCTGACAGGCAAACTAAGCTATGATGGCATCGGCAAGGTCGATGGAGGACACCCAGATTCCTTGTTCCAATTCCATCTCTCGGGTGTATGTTTCTTTGCGTGAATAATCATGTTCAGACTTGAGACCACTAGGTCCCAAAAAGTGGGTTTTCATTCCCTTGGGCGAAGAGGGACGCCATGGCTGCAGCTCCAGCTATCTTGAGATTTTGAAGAAATAAGTTGGTCAGTGTGCCCCTTGACCAGTTGTAGAAATACTCGATTTGGGACCTTCCGCGAAGGCTAACGTCTTGTCTTTTTTGAGAATTTCAGACAGTAACCTGAAAGCGTCCAAATAACATGTGCTCAAGGTAGCTTCCTGTGTCAATCAACGGGTTTATAAAGCGTTTACCACAGCTGACTTTCCCTTTTCAATCATGCTACCACATGTAGTAGTATCCCACAATCTGTTCTCTGTGTCATAATGATGCTCCACGACTCGTACTGAGTCCGCTATTCTCAAGATCTCAGCTAAGATCTAATCGGTGTATTTCTTCAGTATACCTACGTACTTACACATTGAACAGTGAATCAGTGGCACCATGGACTTCACCAAATGGAGAGAAAAAAGCAACTTCAGCATTGCATTCACGGACACCACGCGGGCCTCCGATGAACATAAAGGCCCTAGATATGGCTGTGGTCTTTCCTCTTCACCCGCCGATGGGCTCATGCTAGAGGATTGAGACGTGATACACAAGCTTGTGGTCCAAGGAGCGGTCCTTGACGTATTCCATTAATTTGACAATACGTAGTCACAGCTGCAGCGGGCTGGACTTAAAACTCTCCTACCATGCCCATGAAACGGACATCGGTACGTACTCTACAACTTGTGCATGATCAAGCGCAACCTTGAGAGGTGTGTGTCTGGGCTACTCTGGACATACATACATTTCGCTGATGAAATAATGTGCTAAAGCGGACGCCTGAGCTTTGATATTCTCCTTTATTTTCAAAAAGGACTGAAAAAAATTACAGAGTCGTTGGATACCTCCTGGTTACCTGTTTCATATTACGGAGTCTTCGATTGAATATAACAAGTTTCGAAAGACTTTAATAATGAGAGTGACACTGGTTTCGTATACATTAGTGAAGTTCAGGCGAGGGACGAACCTGAGCGAAGTGCTTTCCGTTGCATTTAGCATATCGCATCGGCGTTTTAAGGGTGCTGGAATGAGTGTTGACCGTGAAGTACCTAGGTTAAAGAACCGGGGTTCGATTCTTTCCTTATGAGACTGTACTTTATTTGAAGTACCGTGTAGACCGTCATTAAATCAAAAGTAACATTTGCTGACCAGCAGCAATTACTAGTGCAAACATAAAACTCTCAGAACAGTACGTGCATTGGTATCATAATCCCCCTTCCGCAAGACTCTCGCGGAGAAGATCCTGGTCTATATCCTTCGGTTGAACATTAGTTGGTGCCTGCGGGGGTGGGCGCAAGCCCAGAATGGGACCTTTCTGATTCACACCTGTGAATCGGAAACGTGGTTGTGCGGCTGGTAGAGATGATGCTGACAAGTGATCAGTAGCCTCGGCAGCTGCATGTGTAGCACTTTTATTGTCTTCTAGTGCATCGCTTGGAACAGGTGCCGTGCCCCATTTGCCGAGGACCCACCCACCCATGCGCCTGGTTAACGTGGTGGTTTTCCGAGGACCCAGAGTGGCCATGGATGTGGTACTGTTGCTGTTGCTGTTGCTGTCCGCCGAATTAATAGACCCCGATTCCAAAGCAAGGCCACTGCCTGCAGCGACCGAAGCCAACAGAGACCGTGGGGATTGAATGGGTCCAGATGCACGGTCTGCAATCACGATTGGAGCTGAAACAACGGGTGGTGTGGAAGCTAATTCAGTACTCGGATATACCAGGCGTCGCGGGATGCGCGGACCAGGGTACCATTCCCCCATACGCATACGGGCGTGACGATCATTAGGCGTGTGAATGTCCATTCCCGCCACTGAGAGCAAGCTCTCGTGCGAACTTGATCTGCGAAGAGGAGGAAACTGAAGTGCGAACACCTTTTCTGGTGATAACCCAGGGTCAAGTGTTGTCGAGCCGTGTGATGATCGTGGAGGAGTCTCTGACTCCTCTGGTATCGGTTGATGCGTCATATTTGCATATAGTCCTGCATGATCTGACTGCGCCGAAGGCCATTCGCCATATGAGTCTGGTGAAGCGCCCTCGCGATTGATGTCATCAAGTGGCGGTAGTGATCGGATGGGCAAGTCAAGTCCCTTGCCATTATGTGCCTGAAGTACCGGAGAGGAAAATGCTGTGCTCTCGGGGCTTGTGGGCTGAGAAGATTCAAATTCACGATCGATGCGATCGAAAATGGATGATGTACGGAAGGCCGACCGTGGCGAGCTGGCCATGGAGTCAGTCGCAGGGGAACAGTGCGACCACCTGCGAGATGATGTAGGAGGTATTGAGACTGATGTTTGAGAAAGAATGGTATTTATCGACGAGCTAGAGGATTGTGAGCGGTGCGAGGGCCGGCGCGGAGATTGACCGTTGACAGATGAGTACAAGGGAGCAGGACTGCCCAAGGTTGGGCGTCGTTTCTTGGCTCGCCGAGTCAACGTGCCCTTCTCTTTCTTCAACGCAGACGTAGATGTGTGATAGTGATGATGAATGTGAAATTCTTTGGAAGCCGGGCGCTCCTTGGACCGAAGCTCCTCACTGAGAGTCGTGCAGCGAAGAGGCCCACCATGCTCCGTCTCCCCGAGGCCGGCCAGCGGTTGGTGCATATGTATCTGTTCTCGCAAGTTTTGGACTTCTTGATTCGAGCTCTCGAGCATTTCACGTAGCTCCATTATTCCGACTTGTAGATTTGCGTTGTCTTGCAGTATGTCCTTAACAAATCGGGATACTACATGTGTGTTTGGGTTCCGCCCGAGCTCAGATGCAGCAGCCGCTCCTTTCAGGCGCCCAGCGGCTCTGTCAAGTTCTCGTTCCACGGCCCGTTTGCGTTCGAGCCTCTGGATGAGCTCTTCATGTTGTTCACGCTCTTCGCGTGCTTCGCTTTCGATCCGCTCGACCTGTTCGTGGAGGTCACGTAGCATTAACTGTGCGCTCTTCCAGCGTTGAATGGCAGATTTTTCGCTCTCGCAGGCTGTCATCACCTGGTCCTGGAGATGAGATTGCTGCGTTTCCATCAAGACCAGTTGAGCCTCAAGATCCGCTGCCCGTGCTGCGGCAGCAGTGACTCGGCGCAGTTCGGTCTGCGTGTTTTCCAGGGCCTGCGTGAGCGATCGTACATGGTCGTCCGATTCCAATGCCGTTCTGTTCAAACTCTCCAGATGGTCGAGAAGCGACCGATTTTCCTCGACGATGCGTGCATTTTCTTCTTGCACCTTGCGCTTCTCCGCCTCTAGTTCGGTGAGGCTTGATTCAAGCCGTTGGCGGTCCCTTTCCGCCTCGGCTATGTAGCTCTCATGGCGATGGAGAAGGGCCTGTAAAGCGAAAGTTAGTGATGAAAGGCCGGGATCAGACGCATTTGTTAGAGTAGAGAAGTCGTGAAAATTTGAAGTGGCCATGACGCACCCCGACACAATGCGATAGGATCGGGGACCTCTGCGAGAGGTTGTCCATGGGAGCCAGCGAGCAAACGCAACATTAAACACGCGCGACGGATTCGGGAAATCTTGAAGTCAACCGGATTTGAATCCAGATGGAATGGAGGGAAAAGTAAGGACAAAAGTGACAGGGCTCTGGTGGCTGCGGAATGACAGGCAAATGATGTGTCGAAGAATGCATAACTCAGCCAGCCCTGGGTTACACAAGGGAGTCGACCACGCCAGGTTTGTTTCCAACGTGTGTGATTCAGATCGTCCACACGGGGTGTTTAATGCCAAATAGAGATCAACAAAGAATTAAATTTTGAACGTACCTGACCTAACCTGGCTGCTGTTTCCAGGTCTTTCTCTAGTCCTTCAAGTGCGATTTGATTATGCTCCAGTAGGGCGCAGTCACCCCGACCGCAGCAGCAGCCCAGCGATAGGGGCGCTCTCGAGTGTGTTGGCGGAATGCTGGGAAAATGCTGTGGCTGCAGCTCCGCGTCAGATCCCCCGGCATGCAGTTGCGAGAAAGAATCCATGGATGGCTTGAGAATGTCGCCCCTGCCGGAGCGATCGCGGAAGGCAGAGCTGCCACTTTATTGCAGGAGGGGTTTGCGTCACAGAGCGGTGATGCCCAGGACCGATGGATAAGGTATCCACCGTTGAAGTAACATGACAGAGAGCCGCGCGCTAATGGACTCCAACACAACGGGCGTACATCGAGAGTCTTATGAAGAATGGAGAGGTAGCGCTTGAGTGAAGGCAATGATGCACCGAGGGGAAGCTATGATAAGGAAGACACCTTCCTCGATGATCAATCAGCTGACCGTTACATAATGAGAGGCCGATTTGGGCACTTCCGCCGGGCACCTCCAACGGCGGGTACTCTCAGGCATCGTACTAACTACCAATAAACCGGGGTGCAATTAGTCGGACTCGGATCCCATAGATGTAGCCCAGCCGCGCGAATAATTCAACGTCAGTTCACTGTTGGAAGGTGATCAGAAATGGGAGGCGCAGCTAGAGAGGGAGAGAAACGGATGATGATATTTTCGATTGTACTACATAGCCTGCGCTGGGACCAGCAGAGAATTCTATAGATTTTCGTAGCAAGGTCAGCAGCATATAAGAATATGCCTGACTCAAGAAACATCCATACGCGTGCATAAGGTACACACTGTTAGCTCCGAGGATCCCTTCGCCTTGTGTACGCTTCCGGTGGGTGTAAATGATGAGATAGCCCGATCGGTAGGCGTGAAGAAGGTGATCCTTCTTCTGCTCGACATCGCCGAGGAGAGTTACCACCGTACGAGTAGCGGGCGTAGGGGGATCACCTGCAGGTCCTGCTGGATTTGAGCTTTCAAAGCCGAATTTGGGCAAATCTCCAGAAGAGTCTGCAAGAAAGGGCTATGAGGTGAGCGAGGAACAATAATTGACAGACGGCTGGATCGGAGCTTAAGTTTATGTTCATGTACGCAAAAAAGTCTCTCTCTTTCATGAACGCCCGGGTGGTCTAGTGGTATGATTCGCGCTTAGGGTTCACCCAAAGCATATCTGCGCGAGGTCCCCGGTTCGATCCCGGGCTCGGGCCTTCTTCTTTTTCCTCGGCACATCGGATACACCACGAGTAAATGTATCATCAATCAATCTCTTTTTTTATTTTTTACCTCCTTTGGTCTGCTGTGCAATGCTTTCCTTGATAATTAGATGGTGAAAATTGCTAGCGTATATGTCAAAGCGTACGTGGGTGTCAGACTCCTTAGCATCGAGGAAATGCAGGGGGAAACACAGCCCACGTACACACCACTCACGGTCGGTAGTTGATACTCGGCATACGCAGAAGCATTTGAAACAAATGTGATTGCTCGAAGACTTGAAGTAGTAACAGGCTGAGTCTGGAAAGACTGAGTGGGAATGACTCCCATGGCGAGAATTTATGAGATCACAACAGAAAGACTATCCGAAAAATCCCATGTGCTTGGTACTTTCGACTCGAGACTCTATACTCTACAGAATGTGAGGACCATGGATATGTTTATTATGTGTAGCAGACGTGGGATAAGAGAGCGCTAGAGAAACGCTGCCGACGCGCTACAATAGTAACAACTAACAAATATGATTCTGGGAGCAAGGACGAACCTACCCGAGGGCTACAACTTGTCAATATTTTCTGCCAGCGCTTTTTCTTCTTCCTTCCTCTCCAGGCTTTTCCACTTTCAAAGAGGGCACGAGTATTTTTCCATGTTCCTGGCATATAACGCAACGTACTGAGGAACCATGGCAGGGAAAGCTGTAATAGGATCTCAGAATCTCTCATTTTATTAGAACGTCTTCACCATGCCATTGTTCTCTCTTTCAGCTGCACCTGGTTTGGGCAGCCATAGTTCATTAGAATGAACAAAAGAAATACCACGAGCATTTCTGCGTAAGATTCCCAGCCTGATCCCGGACTCGGGCCTCACTTCTTGTTGATTGTCAAGATTCATTTCTGTGGCAATCAGTGTATTCATCCGTAGTTAAGATGCGAGTTCTGCCGCCAGCCAGTGGGTTCGCGGCTTCGCGGCCCCATATCCCACCCCACCAATCAGATGAAAGTGGGTCCTCGGCCCGTCCATCATGAGTCGTGACTCGAGAGTACAAGGATGATTGTCTTGATAGTTCGCAACGAGCAAGGCCACTGCTTTTGTGATCCCTGTGTTCCTGAAAAGAACGGCAAACTTCAACATGGTTATATGAGCAATCGCTTTATTTTCTGTGGCTGTGACTGTGACATCAGGATCTTTTCACCTTAATCTAAAATACTCGGGCACTATGTGCTCTGCGGCATTGCAAATGACTCAGGCGTCAGTGAGCCTAAATCAACAGACATCATCACATGCTCAAGCTTAGATTTTGCATGTGATCGAAAGACTTGATTGGAATACCTCTAGCCCCGAGAATTCAGCTCGATTTATTGGAAGGATATTCGTACTTCCCTTCATATTCTCTGAGAGTGATGATTTTCAGGCTCTGAAGACTCAATCTGTCTCGGGTAAACAGGTTCTGCGTGAGCTAGTCGAATCCTGCATACAGCAAGATCGGGAAGATTTCAAAGGGGTAACAGTCTAGAGTCTTGACGATTGACTGTACGGCCGAATCTACAAGGCAAGTATGTGAGTAGTGCAGATCCCCGCTCCGGGCTTGAATTGTGCATGCAGGCTGATTCCGATCCTCAACGAAGACACACACCGTCGGGCATGACGTATCGATACTATTCTCGCTACTCGAAGTGAATGACCCAATGTTTAGAAAAACATTGACGGAGGTCAATCTGCGCCCTTGTCTTGTTTGGCTAAGGTTGTTTTCGTGATTTGTTTGAAGACTACATGTCGGATGATTCAGGGTAATGTATGTAGTATGTATACAGTGCTAGAACAAAGCTAGCTCATGAGATCTACTCGAAGCAGTATAAAAACAAACAAGGAAACCCCATTTTTCACAGTGAAAAGGCCTAAGAGAAAGCCAATGAGATGACGAGGACGATGAATATGAAAGCATCGTGATCGAGTATGTTACAAAACTGAATTCTTCAGCAATAGAATATCCGCCTCTCCAGTGAAGCACGAGGAAAAAAACAGCAAGCCTTTGAAACTGCCTCAACGTAGAAAGGATAAGACAAGCAATAGAATCCTTGATGATAGTCGCACCGTATCCTGTCCAGTGCGTAGACGCCATCCCTTAAAGAAGCAAGAAAAAAGAGCCGAATTCCGTGTAGCCCGAGATCCCGACGCATGACGCAAAAAGAACACAGAAGAGTCCCCACTAATCACGGGAGAGCAATGGCAAAGATGAAAAGGAAGTATGAGGGTGAGAGAAAAAGAGGTATGAGGACGAGAGAGAAACGGGTATGGAGGATGGGTGAGAAAGACGAAAGGAAAGCGGCAGCAGACGATGATTGTAATGTACATCCCGCGATCAAGCAGTCATAGCAATAGCTGGCGACGAGGGCTCGACGAGGTTTGAGGGAGCAGGGGTCAGACCATCTCCTGTGCTCTTCTCACTGGGGACCGCACTGCTACCGTTCCTGGTCTCAGTGCCCGGGGCAGCAAGGTTCTTGGAGTCGGTTTCCCCATTGGTGATCCCGGCGGCCGCCTTATCCTCCTCCGACTCCGGCTTGGCCACCTTGTGGCTGCCCCAGGTAGGCACTTGCCAAACGACACCGGTAAAGCTGCGCAATTTGAGCGGTTTGCGCTCCCACTTGCGGCACGGAGCGCCAGTGCGGTCCAGGGCGCGGAGGTGAGCATTGATTGCGCCAGTGTTGGCCTTGGGTCCCAATCGAGGGGCCATGGACGACTTGCCCGGTTCGGTGCCATCCTCACTATGTCAACCACCACCAAGTTAGCCTTCTCATGCTCTCTCTCTCTCTGAAGCGTTTTATATCATGCAGGCACAGGCAGGAACAGAGAGACATAAACGAGAAATGTGTACGCAATGGGGCGGGGACTTACAGGCGAGCTTTCTTCTTTGGACCAGGTCGACCACGCACGCGCGCAACAGGCTCAAGGAGTCCGTTACCACGCTTGCTTCCTGGCTTGGGACCCGGAATCCCCTTCCGCCGTGGAGTATCACCGGGAGTAGCCCCCGTTGCTGGCGTTGAAGCGGCATCCGCATTAGACTCGGCATCAGCAGAGGATGGACGGGCTGCAGAGGCCTCTACGGAGGAGGCGGGCGAGGATTGTTCAGCCTTATCGGGGATGGATGAGGGTTCGGGGGTCTTGGTATCGGAGGTATCTTGAGGCTCTTCAAGGAACTGTCGCAATGTTTCGGGGCGCAACTTGAGCGTCACCAGGAGCTGTGGTGAGGCATTCTTGGTGAGTCCGGCTCGATTGGAGCGACCGTTAGAAGCAGAACCGGCCGGCATGGTGAGGGAGGAGGTTGGGTTTGTGCTCAACAAGGGGTCGGAGACCTTTTCGAAGTGTACGTGACTCGGTGACGATTGTGTTGATGACGTGGATGCGTCGTGGATCGGATGGATAGACGAGATGACTGGCGGTCGGATGGTGCACTTGGATGGCCGACCGTGACGTGGCTTTGGAACTCCGTCCGGGTTGGTGATTTTAGTTTTTCCTTCTCCCGATCACGAGAGAGCAGTTCGGGGCGTGAGTGTTAGATCGTGGAGGTGAGACAGGTAGAGATTCATAGTCCGGAGACGTGGTTGTGATGAGGTGGGAGATGGGAGAAGAGAAAAGGAAGGGAAAAGGGTGGGGGAGAGTTGAAAGAAGGGAAGCCAGGGGGGTGGTTGGTGGGCAAAGTTGAAGTGGATTTCATCTTTTCTTCTCTGACGATGGGGGAGAAGGTTCTTTTTCGTGAGCGACAACATTTGGTGGTACGGCCTTTCCACTTTGTATGGGAAGGGCTCACCTCCGGTTTAGTACGAAAGGGGGCTGCTCGGCCTCTGGGAGGTGAGGCGTCGTGTTGGTTATAGTATTACCAGTAATTTAAGCTCCGAGCATGCCCAAACAGCAGCCCCCCATCCGCCAAGTCAAGAGCTCTGTAACAACACTCATACCAGCAATACACCGGATGCTGGTCTCTTGCACGCTGGGCCAAAAGGCGCGAGCAGATCTTCCTCTTCTCCGTGCCGCCGAATGCACGTCCCTCCGTAACCTGGTGATCTGGTCGCCGGATGCTGGACGGCGACATGAAAGAATGTTCGTATGGAACTAGTCCGGTGGATCGCGACACATTTAGATGAGAAGATAAATTTGACAAGTCATTTTTCTTCAAAACTGTCCAGTACATATAACTATCATTGTGTTCATATACCATGACCTGAGTACTTTGTGATGTTACTCCTGGAACTAAGTATACCGGACCCCAATCCTATTGTCTCCAACGACAGCCCTAACTCCCGGGAAGGACCAGACAGAATTTTTTTTTTCTCAGGATACGAATGGGCCATCGCCCTCGAGTTCCGACGGATCTCATTCCAGGCGCCGCTCCGCAGCATCCCGAAGATGATCCATCTAGCGGTCTGAATTACGACCATCATTTTGTGCCAAGTAGTAAATCGTCGTCGCCAACACAGCCACTCACAGCCCATTTTGAAGTCATCACCGTCAACTATAAACGATTACCAACACGATAGCAAAGGTCACCTCAAGTCCTGTGCACAATCCATGCACTGTATAGTGTATAGTGTACAGTGTACAGTGTACACTTGTATAGCACAATCATAAGCATGGAACTGAACAAAAGGTGAACATCAAGATAGTTTTTGATTCGTCATTATCCACCAAGTCACACTGGCTATTAGTTAATTTGGCGATAAGTAAAGCCTTCGATTCCCTTCAGACCGTCCGTCCGCAGAAGCCACCCTTGAGACTAGTCTTTGACCAGTCTCCAAACCTCTAGCTTACTACCCAATTGAACAGTCCAACATTTACATAACCAGCAACTGTTGCATTTATAGTCCTGTCCCGTGTATACTTCGAAATTGACCACTAAGTAAAGTCAGCGACTCGTGGTGAACGGCTACTGCTATGTCCCTACCCGTAGGAATGAGGACTACCGATTTCGACTAGATATATTTATGCTTCTTGATCTTCGGTCGCCCGACTAGCCAGCCATGATTGATTGTTGCACGCTACGACTTTATTCCAGTAGTTTCACCAGAAAGCTCTCAACTTTGAGATCTGATAGATTGGTAAGCTAGACTGTCTGGATGTCAGTCCTTAATGGGATACGGCGATCATAGTATCTGTATCTATTCGGACAAAAGCGTTCTGGACTCTGGAGTCTGGACTATGCAGACTTACAGAGAGCACGAAGAGTGGGATCATTCGAAGAGAGGTTGGGACTCGACGCTCTTCACAATACAAGCATCGCCAGACGATCTAAGCAGAGAAGGCGCTAACCAACATTGAGTAGTTCCTAGTTAGTAATTTCCACTAAGCGCACGTTAATCTAGAGAGACTCAACATGTGTCATCCCCTTCTATCTATGAGCTCGCATGATCATCCTCATTTCACATCTGGTCCGCCACAGGATCTCGCGCTTTGGACACTAGGGCCAGCCGTGAATTCGGAAGTCATTCGGCAAAACTCGCCCAACCCATGATTTCCGTGCTGCGATCACGCACGCCACTTTCTCTCCGCACCGAGAACTTGGAAATTCTAAACCCACTCAATCTGAGTCTCATCATGGCCGACACTGACAGTAGTAGTAAGTTAGTCCGACCTTCCGGAAGTGAAGCGCCCAAAGTCGCCACTCAGAGGTACTGTACAACACTAGAAGTGTACAGCACAGTTTCAAGACTCGTCCATCTTCAGTGGTGGAGCTTGCGGGGGTTTCCGACAAGCTCTACTATAGTACGTGCCATTATCGTGATGCTCCAGGGCTTTAGCTGTACCCTTGGGGATGGCGTCGCGAATGGGAATACCTGTACGACAATGGTCTAGGTAGCATCTACCTGACTCAATACATGTAAGGAGGCTGTGTGGCTCGATTTCGGGATGACGAATACATGAATGACCCAGAGTTCTTTCGAGAGCTTGACTGCGGGGTGAGTTGACAAGAGCTCGTTTCATGTTCGATTGAACCCTTGGTATGGTACTGGTAAAGACAGCTCGGACCCGATCGAACGCCCCGAGTGGATGGTTCAAAAGTCAGTCCTCAACCCTTGAGAAAGATGTCGTCGAATCAGTCTGCCGAATTCAATGGCCCATCAGATGCGGTTCAGCCTCGCTGTGGCATGAGTGTCAGCCATGGAATCCGTGGATGGATGCGCCCACTTGCCCTGGTCGGGCAGAGGGATGTAAGCCTGACGGAATGAGTGCGACAAGCGAGGAGGACGATCACGTCCTATGGCGATCGCCAGATGTATAGTTACTGGAAGCACCAAGCAAAAAGCGCAAATTCTACGTGGATGTTGTGCCGCAGTGACGGTTCGAGAACTTAGATATTATGCTCAAGACTTTCGATTCAAACTTTCATTCAAGGCTCAATATCAAACACCTGAAACATCAGTCTACCATATCCCCGCTCGCGGCTTTTCGTCTTTCCATGACCTGCGCAACCGCCCGTTGTACTTCGGGACTAGCTCTCACACCTCCCATAATCAATCCCTCTTTCATTCCCCGTCGCAAAGCCGTCACACTCTCACGATCACCTCGGAACGGTGCAAGGCCCAGCTGCATCAGTCGCGTGGCTTCGAAGTCCGTGCCCTGCGATAAGTGCACCAGCTGGCCCAGTCTTTGCATGGTCTGCGGGGAGAGAGCATCGCCTTTGCTGGCGGGGGCATTGGGTGGAGCCATTTGCGAGATGAAGATGTGTAGAGTGATGGAGGCTCGGCGGGCGAGAGTGAGGATCTGGAAGGGGAGGAGGTAAAAGGATTTTTCTCCTGGAATCCAGGCACGCAGAACGGCGGGGAGGTACTTGGTTGGCATGAAGACCGCTTGAGGGTGGGTGATGAGGCCGAGTTCGAGGGTGAGCATAGCAGCGAAGGTGTAGAAGCGCCACTAGAGGTTCAGCACAGGAGGTTAGCGCATCTGTAAATTTGGGAAATGCCAGCTTGCACACAAGCCGAATAGAATGCATTGGGAAGTGTTCTTCAAAAAGGAGTGACCAAGACGCAACTTACGTAGCGACCCCAATTCGCCCACCATAACCAATTCAACACAACCATTGTCGCAAAGCCCCCGATGTACTGCGGTAGAACCGCCTTCGACAGCGAAGTCGTCACGTACTCTCGCATCGTCTTCAAATCTCCCCAACTCATCATATCAGGCCCAAATCGGTCATATGCAAACCGCTTCACCGGATCGGCGAGCGTCTCCTGAGCGCGTCGCAAAAGATAAACTGTGCCTCGGCACCACTATCGAGCCCGACCTTGTCCGGATGGAATTGAGCTGCGACTTTGCGGAACCGAGACTTGATCGTGCGCTCATCGGCAAATGGTGACACACCAAGCAGCTGATAGTAGTCGCCTGCGACTTGGACTTGGTGGAACGTTTCGTAGAGAGTGTACAACAGATAGCTGATAATCACAAAGATGAATATGCGACGCCGATCGCGATCGAAACGGGGGGTTTGAGGCATGGGCCGGGGATCGCCTGCTCGGATAGTGATGCCATAGTATACGCTTTGAAGGAAGGACGTGGCGTACTGGGTTGACGAGTTAGTCCAAGTGCTTGATCACGGTGCGTCCGGTATCACACAGAGAAGAACCGCGGGTTGCGAACAACTCCCTCTCCGCACCGTTGCTATCAACATACATTTGGAAGAATCGCCCATCCAATGAATGGAAGTATGGATGCCATGGCAGAGTGTACAGATCAACTGACACAGTGTCAAGTCGAGGCTCAGGCACGCAGAAGAAGTGAGACGAGAGTTGGAGCTCAGCACTTCAATGGGCCAGGCTGGCGACTTCTTGACACTCCTCGGCCCCAAACACAATCTCCGGCGGGCGGTCATGGCTGTGTTGCTCTCACCGCCCAAGCCACTCCGTGCTCCACCGCCTTCCATTCGGCGCAGAATATGTAGACGGGGAAAAGACGGGAAAAAAAAGTTCTTGATTCTCCAGAAGCGGGCGAGACGAGATCTCCAGCAAATCCCACCTATCATCCTAGACGCTTTTGTGGCTGCGCCAAAGCGCTCTCAATTGCGTCTTCTTACACATCATGGCCGTCGACGCAATGGATCTCGACAATTCACCTCGACCCGGCGAGGTCGAGCGCAAACGCAAGCACAAGAACAAAGACGCTTCACCATCGAAAAAGCGCAAGCAGCCCGTGCAGAGCAGCAGTGCGTCTCAAAAAGATCAGAGGAGCTCAACTGGCGCGGGCGCGGGCGCGGGCGCAACTACTGGTAAAGCCTCTGGTTCTCCGTTCTCCCTCACGACGGCCACCTTATATCTGCCCTTGGCGCCCATCTCCATCTCGTCCACTGTTGCGCTGCAATCGCTTCTTGCAGAGCACCTTTCTCCATTGCTTCTTACATATTACCCACCACTGAAGGGAGTGGTGCTGGCCTACAGCCATGCTTCCATCTCTGCTACGCCGCCTACTTCGATACCCCGCAATGGCTCCTCCGATCCCAACCCGCAGCAGCTCACCTTGGCCCGCAGCGCGGACGAATACGGTGTCTTATATGTCTACTTGACCGCTACATTCCTGATCTTCCGCCCGCAGCGCGGCCAGACGCTGGAAGGATGGGTCAATGTTCAAACAGAGGGTTTCCTGGGCGCGGTCGTCTTCAACTTGTTCTCCGTGGGAATCGAGCACAAGCGGCTCCCCACATCGTGGACCTGGGTTCCACCCGGTGAAGACGGCGAGACCCCAGAGAATACTCACAAGGATCTGACTACGGATGACGAGTCTGGTGCCGGCGGAGCCTCGCCGGGCTTTGACGCGGAGAAAGAATTGTTTCAACCTGCGCCGGCGGCGATTGACGAGGTCGACATTGACGGTGAGGCGGAAGAGGAGGAGGTGTCTGGCGGTCACTTCCAATCTATCTCGGGTCACACGGTGCGCGGGAATATCAAGTTCCGTGTGGTCGATATTGATGTGATTCCCGGCTCGGATCGAGACCGTGGGTTCCTGAGCATCGAGGGCACCATGTTGACGGAAGAGGAGGAGCAAGCGCTGTTGACCGCGGAGAGTCAGGGTGATGTGTTGCCCTCGTCCTTCCTGGGTTCTGCACAGAAGAGAAACGGCCGCATCATTCCCATCTCGACTTCCCCGGCGGCGGATGCCGTTGTCGATGTGTCCGTGGTCGAGATTGACGAGCCCACCGGACAAGACGAAGAGGAGACCGAGTCGCGCGAGGAGAAGGTGACAAAGGAGAAGAAAGAGAAGAAAGAGAAGAAAGAGAAGAAAGAGAAGAAAGAAAAGAAAGAAAAGAAAGACAAGAAAGACAAGAAAGACAAGAAAGACAAGAAAGACAAGAAAGACAAGAAAGACAAGAAGGACAAGTCCGAGTCCAAGGAGAAGAAGGAGAAGAAGGAGAAAAGCAAGAAATAGACCGAGGTCGGATTGAATGTGCTGTTGTTTTGTGATTTTATATAAAGGACATGCCATTTGTCCACGAGGATCTGTGGTTTCATCTCTTGTTTTCTAACATTGGCGGTGGGCGTTCCGGAACTGGATTTGAATCCCATGTCATGTGTGTATATGCCAAGCTTCAGGTTCATGACACTTTGTTTTTTTTTGTTTTTTTTGTTTTTTTTGTTTTTTTTTTCGGCTTGCCTCGGTAGGGTATCCCTATGATCACAAGGTCACCTTTCCTGTCATACCTGTGATGGAGTTAGTGTTCCATGCTGTTAGGTGATCTGCTTTCTCTGCTCTTGAGTGGTAGTTGAGACTTGGGAGTCTTGTTATCGAGTACTCCTAACAACTCCTGAAAGAGGACCGACAGAGACTTTGCCACAAACGAGCCTTTGGTGTTTGAAGAGGTAACCATCGCTTGAGAGGTTGCTTTGCAGGATTTATTTCGCAGCTGCCGGTGCTCGTAGGCCTCTGTCATGACAGACAAAATGGACTCGGTATCGTTCATTATACCAAGGGCTTTATTTGACGGGTAGGAGACTCGGTGATGGAGCTGGGCATGTTTTCAAACGGCCTACCTTGGGCAACCAGACCATCTTTGATTTTCGTTTCCCCCCTTTTCTCACGCTTGTGCTTAACTTTTTGAATCTGATGCAGGATCCTCTGAAGACGTCCTCGTCGTAGGAGGCTTCTCTGTCGTGAATCGTACAGTGCTCCTTGCAAGAGTTCAGGAATCCTTCAGACTCTGCCAGTGGGAAAAGGTACCATCGGCGGCGATGCAACTTGGAAGTCTGGGCCTCCGATAGACCCGCAGAGCCCACCTGCGTCGGATGACATCTCGGGAGTGCTGATTGGACGAAGCTCTCTCCCCGCTTGTCACGGTGATATCATCGGGTGCCAGTCTGCATCAACATTTAGACTCCAGCTCGATGGAAGGACTTTTTTGTTCGATTTTGTGTTTGGAGCTACTAGCCACAGGTACACGAGACAATACACTGAGTAGGAGGAGCTTCTATGTGTGGGAATTCAAAAGAGCGTTGTTCGTCTCTACTAGGTGAGCTTCACTAGAAGGAATATAGCTTGTTGCCAATCTTTTGGAAGGTCTGGCTGGTTATACAGTAGGATTCCCTCGCTCGTTACATGAAGGATTGCCGAGCGGAGCAGTAGTCCAATCTATAGCCAGTAGTAGTATCCATTCCTTCCCGCACTGGAATGACAGAGGCCAAACTTGATTCTGGACAGACGAAACTGGATACAATGATAGCACGACGTGGACTATGACCGCTTCGGATGTCTTGAACAAGCTCTCTCTCTCTCTCTCTCTCTCTCTCTCTCTCTCTCCCTCTCTCTGCTCTATTCCTCTGCTGCCTTTTCTTTGCTACCTCTCGAGGGGTGGATGTTCACCTGTATTATCTCCGCAGGAAATCATTGTTTGAGGATACATACCCTGATCTCTTGGTTTCCTAATTTCTTCATTTACTATACCCATCGTTCTGACTCTGCGCCTCCCCGATCCGCGATCTCCGATCCGTCTCCCACCGTCCTGGTCACTGGACGAAGACTTGACTACTTTATCCCGCTCCTCATCCCTCGTCTGGTCCCAACGTGCCGAATCTTGTTCTGCCTCACCTCCACCAATGGTCTCCCCCTTCCACCCCGCTGCGTGCTTCGCAATCGGTTCCCCCGCTTGAATCGGACTGTGCGTCACCGCCAACGCAACCCAACCCACGCCAGACACCTGACCACCTCGGTGGCCGCTACTACCGAGACTACTCCCACTCTCACCCCTCCGTTTACTTTATCCTCCCTCCGTACTTCCACGAGCTACTCACGCCATCGATCCACTTTCTCATCCTCTTCCATCTCCTCCACCTCTCGCCAGTGGTTCACATCCGCTACAACAGGTGCATCCCAAGCTCGACCACATCTCACCTCGCTCCATTCCATTGCCTCGATCTACTCCCTCACCCCCACTCGCACTCTTGCAACCATGGCGCAGGAATACAAGCTCAAGGGTCTCTCATCCCTGGCAGAGGTCTCTTCCTCGGACAAGATTGAATGTGAAGTCGAAGGCATCGAAGAGGGCAAGGTCTTGGTCGTCAAGCACGCGGGCCAGGCTCATGCAATGAGCCCGCGCTGTACTCACTACGGAGCCCCACTGAAGAACGGCGTGGTGGCACCAGATGGCCGAATTACGTGTCCATGGCATGGTGGTACGTCTGAGCCAAGCTCATAATTGGGTGTGAAGAGCAGAGTGTGGAAAGGATAAGATAAGAAAGAACAAAAGAAGAGTGCAGTGATGGCTGACATGTTACGTGATATGGAATTAGCTTGCTTCAACATTAGCACTGGCGATGTTGAAGACGCCCCCGCGCTGGATGCCTTGAAGAAATTTGAGATCTTTGAGCGGGATGGTGCCGTCTATGTCCGCGGTACCGAGGCAGATATCAAAGGTGGAAAGCGAAGCCCCGTGGGTAAATGCTCAGTATCGAATGCGGAAGACAAGGTGGTGGTAGTTGGCGGGTAGGTGTCATCCAGTGACAATCCCCTCGACCCGAGAGTCACAATTTCGTTGAGAGACTTATCACACTGACAAGCCAACAGTGGAAGCGGTACCATTGGACTTGTGCAGTCCCTGCGTGAACTCAAGTATCCCGGCAGTATCACCATCATCTCCAAGGAGCCCGAAATCGTCATTGATCGCACCAAGCTCTCCAAGGCTCTCATTGCCGACCCCGAGAAGATCATGTGGCGTCCTCGTGAATGGTTCAAAGACGCCGGTATCGAGATCGTCAACGACGAGGTCACCTCGGTCGACTTTGCAGGCAAGTCTGTCAAGACCGCCTCGGGCTCCACGGTCTCGTACACCAACCTGGTCCTCGCCACAGGTGGCCAGCCTCGCTCTCTGCCTCTACCTGGCTTCCGCGATAATGAGCTGTCCAACGTCTTCACTCTGCGCTATGTCTCTGATGTTCAGGCGATCCTGGCCGCCGCCGAGGGTTCCAAGAAGAACATTGTCGTCATTGGCTCCTCCTTCATCGGCATGGAAGTCGGCAATGCCCTGAGCAAGGACCACAACGTCACCATCGTCGGGATGGAGTCCGCCCCCATGGAGCGTGTGCTCGGCCCCAAGATCGGTTCTGCCCTTCAGAAGAACATCGAAAAGAGCGGCGTAGCCTTCAAACTATCCGCGGGCGTTGAGAAGGCCACTCCCTCCGAGTCCAACAAGTCCGCCGTGGGCGCCGTTCACCTCAAGGACGGCACCGTCCTCCCCGCCGACCTCGTCGTCCTGGGTGTCGGTGTGCGACCTGCAACCGATTACTTGCAAAACAACTCTGCCGTGACCCTGCAAAAGGACGGTTCTCTCGAAACTGACAACCACTTTGCCGTCCCGGGTCTTGAAAAAGTCTTCGCCATCGGCGACATTGCAACATACCCGTACCACGGACCCGGAGGCGAAGGCACCCCCGTCCGCATCGAGCACTGGAACGTTGCTCAGAACATGGGCCGTGGCGTCGCCCGTGCCATCGTGCACTCTCGTCGCGCCCCGCTCTCATCCCTGCCTCCCAAGCCCTTCATCCCTATCTTCTGGTCCGCGCTGGGCGCTCAGCTGCGCTACTGCGGAAACACAGTAAACGGGTATGATGACGTCGTCATCAAGGGCCAGCCCGAGGAGGCCAAGTTCGCGGCTTACTACACCAAGGGAGATACTGTGGTTGCGGTTGCGACCATGGGCATGGATCCCGTCATGGTCAAGGCGGCGGAGTTGATGCGTCGGGGTCATATGCCTGGGAAGAAGGCGATTGCGGATGATGTGGATCTTTTGAGTGTGGATATATAGATGCGGAGACGAGGTTGTGTGGACTAAACCGGAGAGTAACTCTAACGACTGAATTGATGAAATACAAACAATTTGAAATTCATCCTGGCAAATACACCCAAGTTATCTAGATTTCCCATCCCTGTACGTTGGATTCCCAATAATATAGAAACTCAACGTCGAACTGTTCCGGCGACCTCGGAGACCCGACCATGCCACACCCCAAAATGACTTGTTCGAGCACCCGGTACCAAACATGATCCCCAGCAACAATTCAAGGTGATACAATCAAAATCGGCCCACAACATCAACAATTGGAACAGCTTGGTCTAACAGTCCAGCTTCCTCTCCTGGCCGGCTGGCCCAATGGCAAGGCGCTTGACTACGAATCAAGAGATTGCAGGTTCGACCCCTGCGTCGGTCAATCTTTTTGGGGCCTGTTTTTTTTTCTCTTTTCGAAGGCCCAGCTCGGGTCCAGGACGGGAGGCGCGGCGAGGTGGAGACTTGGGGGAGGATTGAATATGAGTGGGTTGCTTGAGTGTTCGAACTTGGGGTTAGTTTCTGCTGGTGGGTGCTTATAGGAGTGGAGGGTGTGGTATGTTAGGCAGTAGATGACTAGGTTGTGGAAGTGCATAGAGTTTATAGACTATAGATCTATGGAGGGGGATGGAAGTGTCTGGTGTTACAGTGTAGAGTGTAGAGTGTGGAAATTGACAGTGGCACTGGACACTGGACACTGGACACTGGACACTGGACACTGGACACTGGACACTGGACACTGGACACTGGACACTGGACACTGGACACTGGACACTGGACACTGGACACTGGACACTGGACACTGGACACTGGACACTGGACACTGGACACTGGACACTGGACACTGGACACTGGACACTGGACACTGGACACTGGACACTGGACACTGGACACTGGACACTGGACACTGGACACTGGACACTGGACACTGGACACTGGACACTGGACACTGGACACTGGACACTGGACACTGGACACTGGACACTGGACACTGGACACTGGACACTGGACACTGGACACTGGACACTGGACACTGGACACTGGACACTGGACACTGGACACTGGACACTGGACACTGGACACTGGACACTGGACACTGGACACTGGACACTGGACACTGGACACTGGACACTGGACACTGGACACTGGACACTGGACACTGGACACTGGACACTGGACACTGGACACTGGACACTGGACACTAGACCCTGGACCGTAATTTTCACCCTGGCCAAACGCATAGGAATAAGCAGGTAGGTAGGTATCCACGAATGACGGCGACAGCTCGACGCCGGAAACCGGCCCAGACCGAGAGGGCATACTTCCTGACAATCCCGGAATTCGGATCGACCACGGTCTTGGAGATTTCCAAACCTTCCACAAAGCCACAACACAACGAAGTGCACCGTGGACCTTCCCTCCCTCCGAGACCGCATGCCACGGGACCGGGACCTAGAGTCCAGACTCCAGCACAACATATCGGCGATTGTTCTTCTGTAGGCCGTAGGGCGATCATTCCCAGACGGCGCGGAAATTCAATACGAGGACGGGAGAAGTGATGAGCGTTCCCTGCATCCTGTGCCGTCGGAGTATTCGGGTTGTTAAGTTTCGTTTTTTTTTTTGAAAGAATTCTTGGTAGATGTTGTGTATAAACTATGTGCTATGTTATATTAGCTACCGTTGACGTCCTCGCTTGTAAGAACAGTTCCAAGTTCCAACTTTACTAAAGTCCAAGTGTAGACCGTGCCATCCAAGCTATATAGGCGGTATGGGAGTCTCGCCGCCTCGCGTTATAAATAGAAACCACGGAGGCGCGGAAAAAGCTCTTCGGCGTCTTAGGTACTAGGTAGTAGGTACAAGTCAACTCCGAAGATCTAAAAAGACAGACTCCTTATACAACATTGCGTAAATCTTCAAGTTAAACCCCAAGCTCGTCTATAATAAATCACCAACTCCATCCTCATTTTCTAGAGAAACATCCTCCGCAGGACCGTAGGCCCGTAGGACGTACCTACAGGTTCGTTGGAATCGCATATGGGACCAAGAGAAACGTTCCAAAAAACTCCCTGGTCATAGATCCAACTTGGGCCGGAATTTCTTTATACAAGACAGTTTGGCCGAGTGGTCTAAGGCGCTTGACTAGAAATCAAGTCTCTTCGGAGGCGGCGGTTCAAATCCGCCAGCTGTCGGTTGTTCTTTTGTTCTTTTTGGTTGTTTGAGAGGAGACAGGATTTAAGCGGAGGTGGTAGATGGATAGAAATCCGGTGACTATAATAAGGTAGTGCTGGACCAGTAGTGTAAGAGGTAGATCGGACTCGGAGTGGATTGATCGGGCTGCCGGAAGGGGTTTTTGTTTGGTATTTGGTGATTGATACCGGGATTCGGATCTGGTGGGGCGGTGAGTGGAGATTGGTCGGCAGTTCAGGGATGTCAGTGGTTCAGAGGTTATATGCGCAGATGCTGTGGTGGACTGACACTGAGTATCAAGGTACTGAACAAGTGGACAACTACATAGTAGAACTTGTATTCGAGTCCAACATTGAAGAATCGTAGATGAGCTTCTTGTCGAGGTATCGTTGTAAAACAGCGGGTCGGATGTAGGTGGTGCTTTTTGTCCATTCCGTGAAGAATGGTCAAGACACTACTATCAGTATTCGAGCCTTGATTTGAAATTTATATTAGGACTGCAAGATAAGAAGTTCAACACTCCTTCGGTGAGACAGAGTGGACAGTACTACTACTTACCAGTCACCTGCACTGCGTGGAGTCGGATATAGACTGTAAATCATAGATCTACGACATATGCTGCTCTACAAACCTACTCTTCGCAAGAATCCACACCGGATACATGGAAGACAAATCCAGTGATCATATCTCATTATTCATGGCACATCTCGACAGAAATAGAACCATCTTAAAAACAGGTTAAGAAACGCACCAGTCCAAAGAGTAACGCGTAGAACGAAACCACTCAATGACCCGATGACCCTTGGCGATACACTCAAAGGTTGTCCTTGTCTGGCATCGAGATGAATGGGTTGCATATTCGGGAAACCAATTCGGTGCAATCCAGGTAGGTGTACTTGCAAGGCTGTTTTCACAGGCGCAAGTCTTGTCCAATTTTGTTGCGGCCTTTGCCTTGTTCTGGAACCACGAACAATATGAAGATGGGCTTGTCGGGGGGTTTGTCCACGTGCCCGGAAATCAAAATCTCGGAGCCGGTCACTTGGCGTTGAAGGAACCAAGTTTGTTTGATTTTTCCACAAAGGGAAGGTTCGGCGTTTCGCAAGACTTGTTGATCCGGGGTGGAACAATTGTCAGGGGAAGGTCATCAATATGCAGGTTTCATGCATTTCGTTGACGGCGCTTGTCTTGTTCAGTCTTCTGCCCCTCTCTTCTCTCTTCTCTCTTCTCTCTTCTCTCTTCTCTCTTCTCTTCTCTCCTCTTTTCTCCTCTTCTCTCTTCTCTTCTCTCCTCTTCTCTCTCCTCTCTCCTCTCCTCTTCTCCTTCTCACATGACACAACTCATCCCCATCTACCTCATTATCGTCCCCGCCCTGTCACGGCGCGAGACCGGCTCACCCGCGGCTGAAGGGTTGTTTTTTGGTTCATTTTTGGGGGATTTTCTGTGTTTCTTCGGTTCAACGAAGAGATGAGACTTGTCTCATCTTCTTCATTCATCACATCATCTGCACAGCACGAAAAAGGAAGTTGACGCAAGCGTTGATCGAGTACAAAGTCCCCTCGATCACCTCGATGCATGCACCAAGGCATGGCAGGGAAAAAAAAACCAATTGGCGAGGCAAACAAAGCATTGACCAGATCGTCGATGTTTGGGGAGACACCCCCCCCCCCCCCCCCAAAAAAACAAAATCAAACGAAAAACTGATCAAAGCCTTGGGGTAAATTGAGATTTCCAACTGGCTTTCAGTCATCTATCTGCGGACAACGATGCCCTGGCGACGAACGGCACTACGGGCACGGCGGTACTCCTCATCACTGTCCTCGGATTCAGAGCAGCTGGCCTCACTGGACTCGGTGACGTAGCCGCAGCGGGAACCGCCACAGTCCAATTTGACACGGTCACCCTTGCGGGTGATTCCATAGCGCTCACATCGGCACTGCAATGGGGGGTCGCTCATGGACGACAGCGACGAAGGGGAAGTCGAGCCCGAGGAGCGGGACGAGAGCGAGGATCCAGCCGAGGAGGGCGGGCTGTTGGAGTACGAGTACTCGTCCGACAGACGGGAGCCGGCGAAGCGACGGGTCAGGTCGTCGACGGTGGGGGCGTACTCGGCCTCGCGCAGGTGGCGGGAAGCGTAGGGCTTGCTGGGCTTGGGGTGGTGAATCTTGGAGGGCGAGAGGGCGCGACCCGTGGCGACGGTGGAGCTGCGGCGGCCGGCGGAGGCCTTGGGGGCGCTGGTGCGAGCACCGCTGCTGGACTTGCCGCCGGGAACGTCGAGGATGTTGAGCTTGCGGCCGGTGGTGGGCTCGACGGTGTACTCGACGGCGGGATCGTGCGAGACGTGGTAGCCATCCATAATGTAGTAGTACCAGTAACGGCCTCCGAGTTGCAGCATGGAGGTCTGGAAGCGGAACTTGCCCACCCAAGCACCGGGCTTGTCTTCGGCGGATAGAGGCAGCTGGCGAGAGTAGTTGTCCCAGGAACCGACCAGGTGGACGGTCTTGACATTGGACGAAGTCCGGAGGGAGAACTTGAGTTGAACGGCGGCCATGGTGAAGAAAATAGATGTGATAAAATAGAGGACGAAGAACAATAGGTGGTATATCAAGAAGTGATAATGGCGGGAAAAAAAAAAAAAAAAGGTTTGAGCGAGATTAGATTAACCGTGAGTTTTGTTGGTAGAGCTCGAACAACAGCAAGACAACCCAATCGACCGGCGAAAGGTTGTAATGAGGCGGAAGGCACTTGCTGTGGTGATTATTGACGGGAGGACAAGGATTTCGAGCCGACAAATCCTTCAGCACGAGGCGGAAACAGAAAAGGTAAACAAGATAAACAACGTACAACACAAAGAGCACAGCTCGGGTTGTGTTGGTAAACTGGGGGTGGTGGTGGTGGCTTAGAGGGCCGGATTATTGAAGTGGTGAAGTATAGGAGTAAGTAGTAAATCGGAAAATAAGAACAAAAGACAAGACCTAGCAACCAGTGCTTAGGATTTGGGAAGACTCGAAAAAAAAGGGCAGCTCACACAACAAAACACTCGCTGAAGAAAAGAAAGAAGAAGAAGAAAGGGCGAATCTGCCTGGGCGGCTATGTGATCTTTTAAGGAACCAACATCTGCAATGGGTTGTGTCCAGGCGTTGGCGCAGACGTACCCGGCGAAAGGGCGCCGTGTTACTAGCCTCCTACAGTCAGTACTTAGTGACATACTACTACTGGCAGATACTGCTGAGCCCTTCGGTTTACACGAGGTGTCCGTGACTATGGCGGGGGGACATCCGCTGGAGTAGAGTCTACCTGCAGGCATCCAGCAACTATCAAGCGTTGGACAAGTACCCAATACCGTCCGCGCCCGTCTGGACCAGAGCATGGGCCATCGACTTGCGAATGCCGTCCGACTGCATTTTGGTGGCGACCCGATGGTCCAAGTCATTGGCGGGTATTTTCGTGGTGTGATTGGCCTCCGCTGGTGCATCGTGATGGACGCCCTCTTCATCTTCAACCCAATCACCCGCCCGCGTTTGACGCTCTCCTCTCGATCCAGTTATCAATCCATCCCAGCCCACATGGAAAAGCATCATTCACAGTCCATCCACAACATCCCAAAGACATTGGCAGCACCAATGAATCTGGTCCTGGTGGATCGCGTGGAACAGCACACGAAAAGAAAAGAAAAGAAAAAAACAAAAGGGTCTCCAGACCTTGCGTGCCGGTGGTCTCTTCACTGCATCACCAAGTCCCGATGTACAATGAAGCTCCACTCACACCAACCGGGCTGGTCACATCGATGGGCCATCCTCGAATCAGCCGCATGCATTCACAAGATTCTGCAAGAAAAGCGGACTGGAGGTCCAAGGTTTGGATGAGAGACTCTGCGCTGTTGTTGCTGGTCAGCACTTATGCAAGAAGCACAACACAGACGCCTGATAGAAAATCCCGGAATGCGCCTGAACGTCATTCGTCTGAGAGATTGGGAACTTGGAAGAACAGGCTTTCGGACTGATTACGGACCATGCAAGTGTTCCCGGTGGGCGAGGTCGAGGTCAAATTGAACGGCTCACACAGCGAAAGTGCGGGCTCATGAGATGAATGAACAGTAAAGCAGCTCTCGCGTGGACGGGACACTGCTGGGATTGCCTCGTATCATGAGTCCTAATCAGTCTATGCGAGGGGACAACACAAAGATCTTCAGTCTTAAGAGCCCTAATGAATACGCGGGCATCCCTTCACAAAGATGCTTGGTACAGCCTGACCGTATCTTCCAATTCTTCCGCATGAACAGACTGGAGGGCCTTTGCACCTGTTGCACCCAATTTCCATCATCTCACCGTGACAATCTGTCCCGCAGGAGGAGTACATAACTCCCAACCTGCAGGTCTCTCTGAAGATACGGAAGGCCCCTCTTCCAATCATCTCTGTCCAGTCGCTGACAGCTGACTGTAGCTCAAAGTCTATCTTGGCAGCCACTACTTGCCTCGTGTGCAGTACTGGCAATACGCCCGGCGCATGCTCTTCTGACGACGCAACATGCAAGACATGCATGACTTACTCCTCACTTACTCGGGGGAAGTAAGAGAGAAGAAACACACACCCTCTTGACGGGATCAAGCAGTGACTCTTCACTCGGTACTGTATGAGTGTATGCTGATCGAATGAATGCTGTCGCGTCGCTTACGTTCGAAGAGCGTATCCGCACACGCGGCGATGCTCATTCGTAGAACGCTTCTCAAGGACAAAAGAACCCTGTCACCCCGTCAATGAATGGATAGTTTCCAGTATGTCAAACCGGGCAACACAAGCGATCAGGTATTGGTTTGAGCCTCGATCGCGACGGGCCATTCGCAGCTTCTCACCACCCATCCACAATCTTGATATCCTGGTGATTACAATACTTCTCAGTTCCATTTTGCATGCTATCAGCACTTAAAGAATCGCTGAAACTACAAGCTGCTGCGGATCAATATGCATTTTTGGGCCCCCACGTGGTAAGGCCAAGCATCGCTGAATTACGCATGGAAAGCAAGGGTAGATTGAAGTCGTGGGTCAGATGCAGGGCGTGACCGTCTCTTGAAACCGGAATTTGAGGACACAGAGGGAGAATGCCAAACGTCAGTCGTACCCATATGCTTGTGTCGAGTGCTGTTGCCTTTGTTTTGAGATAATAGATCACTTGCATGTGACAATGGATTTTCCTCGAGACCAAGAAGAGACGTGTCCTTCTCTGGGGAGTAGGTTGAAGCTATCGCTCCTCACGGTTTGCCACAGTGTTGGAGCAACTATATGCTAATGCCATGGCTATAGTCACCGCACATGGAATGCTTCCTCTTTCCCCTTTCTAATTTGAACCAGTCTCGCTATCATTGCAGGCCATGAGAAAGACCATTTGTCTCACAATCTGTCACGGCCCTTGCAGCCCCAGGCCTCATCACTAGGTATAGATCTGAGAAACCACGGAATATTGACGAATATCACATGCCCACCTACAACCCATCTCTTGGTGTTTTTCTGGCCGATAAAAGTGCTTCAGGCGAAGAATATTCCGTTGATAGACCGATTGTTGCATTAACTTGAAATAATAATGGACTCTCTTCCACTCACGCGACATATGCATCCCGTACAGGTATGCTTACACATTGACCAGCACGTTCAGAAATCGCAATTTGCATCTGATATATGAATTATCCAGAAAGGTTCATACAAGCTGTAGAAAGGCACAAGTATTCTGATATCTTGGTTCCCTGTGGATGAGCAGGTCAGGTTGGAGGCATTGCGGATACATCGCCATGCAGCTGAATCAGAGGGCTTCCGCCTACAGCCTGATCTCCTCTGGTAGGGCATTAAGTATAGTCAAGCTTCACCAGCCCCAAGATCTACTCGTGACCTTGCTGTCATCACGACATGTTGCTCTAGTCACGAGACTCCCGGGCTCCGGTTCCCACGACTGCCGGATATGCTACGGATTAATGGCATTTGACACTCCTTTTTATTACCTACCTTTCAGATCATATAAAAAATATAGATGGTACGAGACTTGACGTACCTCTCACATCGAGAGACATTGCGAGGAAATTTAAAAAAGCCTCATCTCATTCTCGACTCGAGTTGTACTTGGAATCATGACATAAGCCACTTGAGCAACCCGGCTCCATTATTGTTGTAAGTTGCTTCCATGAACATGACGATGCAATATCAGAGCCCGGAAAGTGTCATTTCCATCATAGGTTCAAAATGACCTCTACCAGACATCCTCAGCCAATCAGCTCCTTCAACGCTTCCAGGCTTCTGCATCATTGGTCTAGTGGTAGAATTCGTCGTTGCCATCGACGAGGCCCGTGTTCGATTCACGGATGATGCACAGTTTCTTTTTTCTTACTTTCCTTTCTGGAATTTCGTAGTTCTTCATAGACCAAAATCCGATCAAGCGTTTCATGACAGCCAACCAGCTGTTCAAAGCACCTATGCTTCCGCATCATTGGTCTAGTGGTAGAATTCGTCGTTGCCATCGACGAGGCCCGTGTTCGATTCACGGATGATGCACGAATCTTCTTTTTGTTGCTTTCTCTTTCTCAATCAAGAGTTCAGGTCGGGACATAATGTCGGTTCAGACCTACGGGATATAAGCAGCCAATCAGCGATTCTATCGCCTCTTTCGCTTCGCATCATTGGTCTAGTGGTAGAATTCGTCGTTGCCATCGACGAGGCCCGTGTTCGATTCACGGATGATGCAGAGTTTCTTTTTGATTTTTGTTGATTGGCCCAGGGGTTCTTTTGTTGCTGATGCTCGAACTCTTTTCTGCAGATGCTCGATCTCTTTTCTGCACAGTTTGATGATTGATCAGTATCGTGTGCAAAAACCCCGTTTGAAAGAGCACTATCGAACAAGGTCTCGCCTCAATCTCTGGGCTGTTCAAGCAGCAGCCGAAGGCCCAGACATTCACTGTGGAAAAACAACAGACGTATGAGTCTCATTTGGTGCAAGTTGGTAGTCCGTACTTTGTAGTATTCCTCCCGGGCTATTGTCAGTAGTCATACATCGCCTTCAGCACTTTCATGAATTGCAACACATACGACGGTAACGACACACAACACCGAGCTCTTGGAGGGTTGACTAGACCGTAGGCAAAGTCGGCGGGTACTCTTGGTCATGCAACATCGGCAAAAGAACTCTTGATTTCACATATTTCGCTTCGGCATTGATAAATTGAAGAGAGCAGGCCCTGGCCTTGTGATGGGACTAAACCATACTAATATAGATACTTGGGATGGTTCAGATGCAGCAACCACATCGCTGATAGACGTCTGATATCGATCGAAGCATTGTCACATGATATAGGCACATGGTATAAACGCACGTGAGGACGGCCGGGCAGAGAACAAGCGGACTCTCGGCTTTTCCGCTTCTCCGTCCACGGAGGGGATGGCTCTTCCTCCGCCTCCCGTCGGCCCGATTGGGCCTAGTGCATGCGGGGAAAGTCAAAGTCCCGAAATGACACGGAGATGGTGAAGAACTGGCTGCATGTCTGCGATGATTTGATGCTTTGTCGCATAGCTTCTTTTGATATCTTTTGAATGATTCGTCAACCCTTGCAATCTGGCGCCACCAGAATGACAGCGCAGGTACGGATCATACGAATCTGAAGCACGTTCGCATCTCTGTCTGACTCTACATCTGCCAGCGTTCGGTGACTGTCAGTAGCAGATTCCACGAGGTCTCGAACGGTCCCATTACGTATCAATGGACCCATGAAACATCAAGCAGACCCGACAAACTGATATGAATCCGACGGTTATGTCAGGCGGTGTGCTTTGACCTCAAGGTCTGCAAATGGTCCATGACGAGCTGCATCTAGCCGATCATCCCCTCTCTTTTTTTTTTTGAAAATCTGGGGAAGAGCGATCTTAGACCCCGGGGGAATCCTTCATGAAAAGCGGTCTTCTCCTCGAGTGCCTGTTTCACCTAGTCGCAACTCCGAGTTTGGCGGGGTTCACCGCCGTGTGCCTTGAGAGAAGTGAGCATTGTCTTTCAAAGTCAAGATGTTTCTCACTTTCGAGTCCTCTCAAAAGAGTGACAAAAGCCCGCGTAATCCTAAGCACTCGAAGAAGAACTCGCGGGCGAGTCGTCGAGGCTCTCAGCCACGAGCCTGTGCATCTTGTCGTCATCGGAAAATCAAATGCGATGGCCAAAAACCATGCGAGGCCTGCCGATGGTATAGAAAGCCTGAACAATGTTCATATCCAGACCGTCAAGAGTCTCAGAGCTCTCCAAGGTACATCGCGCGCCGATCTTCACAGAGCCCGAATAAGCCTGTTTGGACATGGACGTGAAGCTGATTGAAGATCAATAGTCACTCGAATACTCAGTCAGACAAGGCAACAGCGGCTTCAAGCGACTACCGAAGCACGTTGGCGAGGCTCTTTCCTGACAAATCTCCAGAAAGGATCGCGCACATGTCTAGAGAAGAGCTTCTGGCTCTAATGTCTTTTGATATGTCCCAGTACTCACAGCCTCAAGACTCTCCCGCTAACAATCCGTCAGTGGGGACCAAAGCATCGACAATATCAATGGAGCGACCTGACCTGGAGTCTCTGCATTCCATCCCCGGAGAAGCATTAGAAGAAAGTCAGAGCTCCGGTACTTCGGACTCACTAGGTCACATTTCAGACGACGTCAATGCTTTGTCATTGACAACCCGCAACCCAACTTCTTACCTTGGAGTATCTTCTATCCAGGCCGCATTAAAGGTCATTGCCTGGCTACATCCAGAGTTTGAAGCCTATTTCTCACTACCTTCAAACAAGGAAAACGATCAGCAAAGCGAAGTGCCACCGCAACCTCTAGCTCCACCTGTATCCTGTCCAGCGCCAACCGAGATAGACATGCTGAATGCGTACTTTACCGACTTTCACCCGTTTGCACCACTGATAGACGAAGAAAACTTTCGCCAGACTTATGTGAATGGCCAAAGGAGAGATAATCGCTGGCTCTCGCTGCTGAATATCGTGCTGGCGTTGGGGAATATCGCGGCGTCTGGTTCAGGCGCGGACAATCAGATGCACCACACATATTTCCAGCGTGCAATGAACCAGTTGAATTTGAGCTCCTTGGGGACACCAAGTCTGGAAGTGACGCAGGCTCTGGGACTCATGGGCGGCTGGTACTGTCACTATATCAGCCAGCCAAATCTGGGATATTCTTTAATGGGGGCGGCCCTGCGCATGGCGATGACTTTGGGTCTACAGCGGGAGCCATATGACAATCAGCTGTCCGTCAACCCGTCCAAGTCATTTGCGCAAGAAGGAAAGCGTCGCGTCTGGTGGTCACTCTGTTGCTTGGAGATCTGGGGCCTGGAGACACTCGGCCGTCCGAGCATGGACTGTTTCGGCCCTGGGATCACGGTCAACCTTCCAAACCTCCTCGACAAGGTTAGTATTTGCTTTCTATACAGAATAGAAACCATTCCCTAGGTGGATGAATATCTAACCGGAAGTTGAACCGACAGGAAAATTACACCAAAATCCTGGCCTTGACGGAAAATGTCCAATTTGTGCGCATCGCAACGAAAATACACGCCTTGCTTGCATCACTGCCCACCATCAAATATGCCGAAATCTTCGACATTGACTCACAGCTGGTGCAATGGTGGAATAACCTGCCACCTATTCTCAAGGACTACGAGCCATGTCCCAAGAACATCTACACGGTGCGTACCGTCATGCGATGGCGATTCTTCAATCAACGCATGCTTCTATACCGACCGACACTTCTCAACTACGCGATTCGCAGAATCCCCTTCATGGCCATCCGCGCCGAAGAGCGCGCTGCCATCGAAAGATGTCACGAGATTGCAAAATCCTGCATCCATGATATTTCCATTACTTCTCCGATGAACAACATGATCGGCTGGAACGCCGTTTGGTTGCTTTTCCAGGCCACCATGGTTCCGCTCGTATGCCTTTCTCTGAATTCCGCACACGAGGTCTCTCCAGGCCTGGCCGAGGACTGCAAGGCACAAGTCGAGACGGCCATTCTCACACTTGACCGACTGAAACTATACGGACATACGGCCAAGCGATCGCGAGAGGTCATCTCGCGCATCCTCGAAGCCAACCTGCAAACTCCGGGCGGGGAGGTCTTTGATGCAAGCGCAAGCCAGATTGGTGCGCAAGACATTCCCTTTATGAATTCCTTGAGTAATCCTCCCGGCGTGGGCCCTGAATCGGTGGCTGATCGCATGAACGCTGGGATCGGGAATGGTTGGTCCGAGTCGATGTGGGAATATCTGGGGTGGGAGTCTGGAGAACTTTGGCCGGATATTTCAAGACTGAACGCGCAGACTGAGGGTATGCCTTTCTTGGATCCTGGCGATACTGCGATGTAAAAACATCGTGCGAAAAAAAGGTTACTGAATATACGTATTGCTTGCCCTGAATATCATCTGTGTTCGTGACGGGGGAACAAAAATTTCGATTAAATATGATGAAAAACCGAAGCGGCAGGGTTTCACATTATGCCGAGGAATACGGGAGGGAATCCATGAATTCTAGATAGACTACCGGGCATATGGTCCTCACCGTCCCTTTCGTGATTCAGAACGACGAAGACAAAGAGAGCTCAACTGACAGAGATCTCCTCACCTGACGATTGCCGAAAGCATGCCTGTAGTCTCAAAATGCAATTTTAAAGCATTTTCCAAGTAGCGCACAGTCGGTGAAATTCCCTCCAGATTCCGGTCCCGGATTGCGGACGGGCTGACTGCTATGTACAATGCACTCGGCCAAAGCACTCATGATCAGCCTGACGTGGGCCCCTTCCCGATGATTCCCTCGAGAAAGTCAAATCCCTTCCGTTGCAAGCACCAAGTTTCCGACCCAACCTTCATCGTCGCAGCAAACGTGTGCTCCTCATTCGGCACTTCCGTCATACCGCACTGAATGCCTGCCTTTTTCAAGTTGCTGAGCAGCTCCCGACTCAAGTCAATAGGTACCATTGTATCTGCTTGCCCATGCACGATCCAGGTTGGCGGAAACCCAGGCGTGACATTCTGGACTGGATCAACCTTTTGAAAAGTCCGATCGACTGTCTTGGACTGCGGATAGATTGCTGAAAGCACCGTGCCAGAGGCAATTTGCGTGAATGCGAATGCGTCGCGTGGTCGAGAGAAATCTGGACCTTTGGAGACGCCTGACTCGGTCTGTCCCTCAAGAGAGACCGAGCTGTCTGTTGGAACAGGCCGTTCATCATAAATGCGATTCAGAAACGCGTCTGATAAACCCGGAGGAAGCTTCGCGCCCACATGAGGAAGGGGCTTTGTCCAATATGGGTCGTTGAAGTGCACAGCGCCATATAAGGAGAGAATCGCTTTGGCAGGCTTGGGGACATCAAAGCCCTGCGTTGACAGTATCAGCGATGAATCAAAAAGACAGACTGCTTAGCTGGCTGCGCGGATCATCTGCCAGAAGGCATGAGAGCACTTACCAGACCCAATGCGAGTGTACCGCCAGATGACGTCCCAAAAGCCGCGACGTTCTCCGTATCTACTTGATACATCTTCTCGTCCCCCAAGGCCGCGTCCAGGCTTCCATCATATACCCATGTCAAGAGATCGCGAATATCTTGCATGGGTCCATTGAGAAGATCGACGCCAGGACAAAGCCGATGATTAGGAACAAGAACGATCCACCCGCGCTCCAGGCAATCTTTCACTTGCGGTAGAGACACCATGCGCGAATGGCCGAGCATAAAGGCACCGCCATGAATGTCAATGACTGTCCACTGTCAGTCAGTACATAAATCAAATAGTGTATCTTTATATTTGATTGGTAGAAGAACAGTCACGCTATATGGCATCAACCGGGTGATTATTGAGTGAGAGCTGACTGACCAACTGGGTATTTCTGCGGAGAACCCGCGTGGGGAGGGAGGTAAACATCAGCAGTGATCTTGCTTCCTTCAGCCTCCTTGTACTGAAAGGTGAGAGGCGTTTCCGGCAGCATTTCGACAGCAATTCCAAGTACACAGGGATAAGAATGATGAGATTGGAAACAGTTTCAGAAAAGCTCCGGCGTGGCAGTGCTTTATTGAGTGCTTCATGTTGCACCGGCCTCTGGGATCGAGAATGGGTCATCCGGGGGGCTCGGCTTATCCGGATTCACTCGGTAAGAGATCACCATGACACCCACGCTCTGAAGTCGCGGTCCACACGGCTAACCGAACTACTTTGCTGCTGTCGAAAGAAAGTACCGTGGAGCTTCAGAATTCATGTATGGAATGGTCGCCGGCCGAAGAATGAATGGACTGGCATCATATCGGAGTCGCTTTGAGCCGCACACCACAGCCTAGCTTCTCTCGAGTCGTGTGCAATCGCCCAATTCCTGACTTGTAGTCAGATCGGGCCATGGTCTCGTCCATCGCTTGGAAGAATGAATGTGCTGTCCCAGATACTCCTACGGCACCTGGCACCAATGACTTGGTTCTTGCAGATATGGTAAGCTATGAGGCGGGTACTGAACAGTTCCCTTCGCAATGTGCACCCGGTTCAGGCTCTGCCTTTGGACATCCTTCAATTTTCGATGGATGTAGCTGCCGAGGTTTGGTTTTATTGCAGCGACCCGGATCCTACCATTGCGAAGCTGGGCCTCGTCGCGACCAAAACATGAGATCTTTGAAGCGAAGTACAACAGTAATATCGGTATACTTTGATATCCACTGTGCCTGAAGGTCATCTTTGCAGACGATCCCTTTCTAGTCTCTGGCGCTTGCTCCCCATTTGTCTCTTTCGACAGAACTTCCCAATGCATTGTTGCTTGGAGGCGGGCAATTGAGCTCACTTGCGCGCAACAGGTGCCGTTTTTCTTCGGCAGGGTATCCGCCCGGTTTTGAGAAGAGCCTGTATAGCGCTAGAGAACAGCGTTTGACTCGATCGATACTTCTTTGGACAAAAGGGGCCGGATGGGTCCCCTTTGAACTTGGAAAGCGTCCTCGCACAGAAAAACATGCCAAGTCTTCGACGACAATCAAAAAGTGATTCGAGGAGTGATAAGTCGGTACCAGAGACGGAGACTTTCAGGTTCAGATCGACAATGCCGTCCGTCTGCATCAGGATAGAAAGTATGATATGGAGCAAAATGGCTTGGTAAGAGGCCATAGGCCATGTACAAATGCTGCTGACGCCCTCTAGCTGTGAGGCGTCCCATCTCTTCTGTTTTGGGGAAGTCAATCACAGGTAACACTAGTATCAGCAACTGAGCACACACTCTGATCGTAAGTTGCCTGGCACAGCTTGCCATGTAGCTCTCTCCCGCGGCTGCGTTTGTCGGGCCGTACTACAGGACTCGAGAGCAGGACACCTTTCGTCTTATTCGTTTGGAAGATGCACCGGTTGCAATGATCGTTCCCGATGAGGTCGGTGTTATTGCAGCTCATTTACTTCCCATCTCTTGATATCCTCATGGGTCAGTGGGTCCAGACCACGCTTGGTCGTCGAGATTGGAGTGAGTCCATAGATCGGGCATTGTAGATCAAAACTGCGCCCGCTGTTGTCGGGGGCAGGAAGCTGTTCGCGCGTATTAAGGGTCAGTTCGACCGTCCTGTTACCGATCCATAGGATCGGTCTAGAGAAAAGACCGAGATCTACAGCTGAAGCGTTTGGATAATTCCAACAGTAGCACGAGCATATACCAGGCTGACAGCATTGACCGTCCCTGAAGAAAGACTGAATTAGTCAATACACAATCAAAAACTCAAATGCCAAGTTAACTCACGCTGCGAAAGGCACTTGGCCACTTGATCATTTACCCCTGCAATTCGGCCCGAACAGTGGCTCAAGAGCTTTGTGGACGAGGACGAAGAAAAGGCCTGACTCGGCCCAGCCCGTCCGAATATAAGCCGACTCATGGTGCCACGCATAATTGCTGTTGGCCCAAGGGTCTATGTTGAAGAAGGGGAAAGGGTCATTTAATGCTTGCTCAAGTCAGGCATACCAGAAAGACTTGGAAGGCTTATTCGGATCTCCACGGTAGTAAGACTTGAAGTCGCCATCGTACAGACACGGTTGTTCGCCTCCAGAACCATATCTTGAGACAGTCTGCTTATTCGGGTGATCCGCGGGACAGAAAGCTGATGTGTAGAACACGAGCGGTTCGAGAAGAATGCCTTCAGTGGTACAGAGAGGTGCTGAGCCAACCAATCCTTTGAAAAGATCAAAGTCACCAACGTTCCTCTACCACAAGCCCAAAATCTTCCTTGGGCTCACAAAATCACCACACGTGTCAAAAGTAGAGTCAGAGCTTATGCTTGTGCAACAGGGCGACTTGTAACCAGTTCAACAGGAATATCCTGTCGCAGAGGTACTCGTAGTGACCTCAACTTCATCCTTCGAGCAACGTCCCCCGGAACCCGCATTGCAGTCGCCCCAAACATATTGTAGCGCGCCAGAACCCGAACATCTCAGCAAGGATGCCTCGGTGGCAAGATTCCTGCCAGCGGCATCCGTCAAAGATTGAAACGCAGTTCCAGGAAGCGTCATCTGTGAATGTGGCCCCAATCTATACAATTTTGAGTCAAGTCAACCTTGTCAGTGGGATAGTCGGAGCTCACTATAACACCGCGCAAGCATTTGCCATTCGCGTTATTCATCTCCATCTTCAGGATATTGCTGTTTGTTCGGAGGTGGATACAGTAGGTGCAGCATCATCATATGAGAGAGGGATGAGTGTGAGATTGGCTGGCTAGGAGAGATTCTATCTAGGCTGTGGACTGCGGTGAGACGGTGGTATATCACATGTCACACGAGCAGAGATAGTATGAGATATCCAGGGATCATGTAGGGGGAAAGAAGGTATGAGTTTGAAGGAGCGAGAGGGCAAAGAAGATGCTACATGAAAGTCAGCTCGTTGGAGACGATGGAAGCCACGTGACTGTCCATCTCGGTGTCGTTTACTTGGGCGACGGGAATGTTTCAGTGATTGGCGAGAGTTTTCTTCGATAGCTAGTAGCAGTGTTCATTGGGTAATCAGAGAGCCCGGAGGACATACGAAACAGCTTCATTCGGTCGTTGCCTACTAGGAACATCGTTGTTTCGGTCCATGTCTCTGCCCTGATTACCTCGAGAGACAGAATGAGTTGCGGGCAGTAGGTTCCACTTACGGCCATGGGGTAACAGGTATACCCGTACATTCACTTATAAATCATTTGACGGACGTACTGGCTCCTCTTAGCTCGCAGATATATACCGACTACAAAAGAGTCTGACGCGGACACCAAAGCTGAGACAAAACCTGATTTGCAAAGGAATGTATAGTTATCGTACACGATTTGTCTCTCTAGAATCTTAGTATGAACGAGTGCTGTCCTCAATCACCAATTTCTCGTCGTTCAATCAATGATTACTCTCGCCATTCTGTCATCAATAGCCCCGTTTCTCCGAAGAGTCGCCAATACCGCGCGAGTCTGCACCTGGCAGTACTCATAGTAGGAGTCCGACTCTTGGAAAGAATGATCGAGTTATCAAGATCGAGGCTCGGCATACCAGGGAGAGTTGTGGTTCGCCAGGAACAACACCTTCCAGTAACCAGTACTGACAGAGTAGCCAAGCCTCCAAAGCTTGAGTCCAATCTTTGCAGACAAGGTTGAGTTTGACAGAACATTGAAGCAACGAGGGCTGGTATGTAGGGTCATATCGATCATTCTCCATGATCATCGTCATTGTAAGTGGCTAAGCGGTTATTTCACTTTAGTGGAGACCTGTCCACCCGTCACAGCCAAACGTGAAGTAAAGTAAGTTGCTCATCTGTTCATTCCTTCGTTTTCCCCATGAAACACCAACTATCGTTGAATTCGGCTCATTCACCACTCTAGCCATACTCATTCATTGCAGAGTCTATCACGTAGACAGTGGAACAATATCCTGAGTGGCCTCGTTCGCATAGGCTTCTACCGATAGGAGCCCTTGTTGCTGGCATATCCCGAGTCCGGTCCATGGCCAGCATTGGAGGCTCGAGAGGAATGGCGCGAGCAGACATAGCCGACAAGTACGGTCTTTTCCTGAATCGAGTGACCGCGTTGACCGTAAGCGGTGCATGGGTCGATTGAATGTTGAAAGTAGATGCATTTGCAGACGGAGTAACGTTCGACGACCTTGTAGCACATTTTGAAAGCGGCAGCGGACTGAGAACGAGTGGGATTATTTCCGGAGTACCGTGACGGGGGAAGGTTGCGGATGAGGGACGGAAATGTCCAGAAGTGAACCTGGAGGGCGCTTGTTGTGGTTGTGATCGGACGGTGCGAAAGGGAGCAAAACCAGCGCTCAATGGGATACAGGACAGGATGTAAACGACAAGAAGAATTTGGACTTGAAGAAAGGAAAACCACCAAGGAGCCTGTCCAGAGTGATGGTTGTACCAGATCAAAGAGTGACAGTGGTGTGAAGAAAGGCAGGTCCTCCAAGATCTGGGGTCGCTTACTGAGAGACTATATATGCCCCAACAGCTGGATCATGTCGACCCTCGCGTGCCCGAGTACTCAACTTCGATGAGAGAGTCATCCTATTTTTACAATTTTCAAAAGAATTGCCCGGATTCTAGCATCGATACTATAGTCTCACCCCAAACACACTGGGATCATCGAGCTGTCTGGCGCAACGTCCAGCCCTACTTACGGGGGACGGTGGACACCCAAGGCCACAAAGCAGGGCCCAAGGCTCCACTTTCGGACAAGACCGATGGAGTCAAGAGTTGACATTCCACCGCTCTGCGACTGCAGACAGTGACAGATGAGAGCTGAAGATGACAATGAGTCAAGGTTTTGGAATCACGGTCACGGACACCTCAAGATAGTAATCTTCAGTCCCCACTCCTCGTGACTGGTGCGTCATGCCTTCATGCATCGTGGGGGCTTGCGGGCTGGACTCGGGCTTGCTGCAGGCTCGCGGATAGTCGCAACTCGGTAGTGGGTCCCTATTTGGACACGGTCAAGCAGCGACTGAGCGGGCCCAAGTCGGCCATGCACTGAGGTGAGAACTACTGACAAGTAAAGTCTTCTAGTCAGTGGCCCGGCTTTTCCCTCACATCGTACATTGGAAGGTATCAAGTCGGACGGGAGTCATGAATTCGTTTTGCTAGTGGTCTATAAACAATGTCGACCTGCCTTACTGTAGCAAGTTTAGCAACCAGCATCGGCTCAGTACCGTTGGTGATTTACACATCAGAGGAAGATCTGTCCCACAGACATCTTCCACCAGGAACAATCATGCAATTCACAGCATGTGCTTACAGCCCGGGCACCTCCAATCTGTCTATAATGTGCCCTATGCGGGATACTCAACTCTTGCCCATGCAGATCAAGAAGCAATGACCATGGCCCGCCCTTTCCCTACAGACCTCCATAACGGGGCGGGCAGCAGCGGAGAATCTGCGCCCCTGAAGTCAAGAAATGAGTCAAGAGCTCAAGTTGGACGAAATGCAGACCGTATCTCGCAAGTCAAGCGAGCCGCCCTGCAGCCCTACACGACGCTGAAGTATCCCACATGAGAGACAGTCAACCGGAGCTAAAGCACGCCAACCGTTGACCATGCATGAGCCAGAAGACGAGGCCGGCGAGACGGTGAAGATACCCTGGAACTATAGTTCAAGCATGCGAAATCCCGGGGATATTTGGCAGGGCGAGTCGGTGTGGACCTCGAATGTGGCTGCAGCTGCAAATCATGACGAGCTCTGGTCACCCTTTTGGCCTTTGTCGCAGCAGGGGAGGACAGGAAGTGGCACATGGAGTGAGGCTGAGAGGAAGGCAGACTTGCCTAACGGAAGAAAGAATGAGTTCCCAGCTTCCTTCAGCAAGACGGCAACGACGCTAAAGCCGGAAATAGCCAAGATCGGAAGTATGGACTTGAGATGCTGCGCCTCGGAGAGCCGGTTACTTTAATGATTCGGTTCTACCCTCTACAGGGGTACAGGTAGTACTCAGTACTCACTACTCAACTACCATCTCTGACCCTTTTGTTTCGGTCTTTCAGTGAGATAGGAGGTACGCAATCCTGTTCCTCCGGATGACAGAATCTCAATATGGAGTCTGTCGCAGCATTGATCATGTCCCCTGTCTGAGGTATTACATGTCGCGATGGAGCTTGGTACCGCGATGTCCAAGCCTCGTCTTCCGGCACCGGGCGCAAGTATCCCCGTACTTACGGGGATTGGGAGTGCTGCGCCTCGCTTTCCCCGTTCTGTCTCCACTCAGAAAGTATGGCAGTTGTTCTAACTTCTGACTACTGACACAGTGACACTACTACATACGACGAACCACTGATTAGGCTTCCGACAGGTGTTACTCATGCGTGACAGATTATCCGAAGACGCCAGAAAATAGTTGGTCTCCGGACGACGACAGCTGAAGTGGAAATACATGCAGCGCCCAAGTCCATCCCGATTACAAGCAGGCCAATGAATGTCATCCACTACGAGACAGAAGGTTGTGTGGACCGTGCTCTTCCAATCTACCTAACATCAACACAGAACGTCCGCGGCCCATGCTAAATCCAGACCGACACAGAGGCCGCAATTCAGCTGCTGGTACTCAGCAGACCATTGATTCTAAGGGTCTTTTCAAACGGACATACTTGCTTCCACATACCTCGGCCGTGACTCGAAGCTGCAAGCCCCCAACACACCCAAGATTCGACCACCACCGAGGTCTAATGGTCATCCTGGCGCAATATGCGCCGGCACTAGGAACCAGATCGAGGTCGATCATGTCTCAGTCGTGACGAGCAGGGGCTTGTCGAGCCAGACTTGGGGGCTTGCTGCCTGGTAGGTTTGTGGCGCAAAACAAGCAATGTGAAAGTGTCAGCTGCGTTTATGAAACGCTGCTTCAGCTGGCATGCTGTGAGTTGCGAGTATTGATTTCATGGCGTCTGCGCCGACCTCTGCGCCGACCCGTGGGCTCATTCCGTGTAGACTAGAGAGGCACTGCGTGTGTAATTTGCGAAGTCGAGAGCCTGGGAGAGGATGTTGATTGCGTGCTCCTAGTTGTGTTCGGAGTTCTTCCATTTTCTTTAGAGACGAGGTTCTAATTGCATCGCGTCGGGAACTCGAGTTTGCCGCCGAAAAAAAAAGGGTTGCCATGCAAGGCCCGCACTATCAGCGTTGGATAGATTTTTTGTTCCCTTGGCATGCCAACAGCGTTCCTTCTCACTTGATTTATGATATGATGTGGACAGGGGAAAAAGAATACACGAGTACATGTAACAATGCAAAGACAGAGCCAACGCCCCCAAGAAATTAATACATGCGCCTGGTTCCCCCCACCCCCTAATCGCGCTGCAAAGAATTTGTATTGACCTTAAAGAACCCCGCGCATAGCTCACACAGAGCCCAAAGCGCCGGTGCTCAACCCACGCGCTAAGCCCAGACGCAGCATCCGGAGCACGTCCTCTCCACGAGTACCCTCAGGTAGACCAACTCGCCAGTCCCAGCCTCGGACCGAATCGGCTCCCTTGTCGCCGGGTTGTGGAACCAGCACGCCGGAGTTCATAGGTGACTCGTGCCCTGAGCCAGAGGCAGACTGAGTTCGAGCGGATCCGAGAATGTCGGAGCCGATGATGGAGAATGTGGACGCGGAGAGTGCAGAAACAGACTTCTTGAGGAGGGAGTGAGGCGAAGGCGGGGAAGCGGTGGTGCCGGCAGTATTGGCAGACAGGAGAGTAGACTGGAAACACTCCTCGCACTGAGCATACACCCGTGGAGTAACGGTCTCGAGATCTTCGATGGCCGACAAAATGGTAAATTGTTGCGAGATGGAGAGAACAAGAGACGGCTCTGTAGGGAACGAATCAATACGGAGAATTATGTATAGCGAACAAGTATCGCTGGACATGGGGGTATGGGTAAAACTTACGGTTGACAAACACTAACGCCTCGCCCAAAAGCGCCATTAATCCATCAACCTGCACGGCGGAGTCACGGTCTGGATCGAACAATCCGCCATAGATGTTGTCGGCGGCACTGCTGATGACCGCGGCAAGGGCCTTGGCGGCAGCGCGACGGCGAGCAAGCGGTTTGAATCGCGGTTGCTGGCCTTCCTCGAGCCCCAAAGCCTCGTCCCGGATCTCGTAGAAGCGACGAAGAGTCGCATAACCACTGAGATAGAACTGAAGAATGCGGGCTGCTTCCTCGTTGACCGAGGCAATCGTCGAAAGACATGTCTTGGGGTCCTGGAGCAAGGATCGAAGCTCTTCATCCATATCAGCCGCAGCAGGGTATGCCCGCGACTGCACCAGACTGAAAGAGATCAGCAATTCAACAACGGCGCGAACCTTACGACGGTTGTGCGCGCGGGCATAGCTGACAAGCGCGAGACCATACTTTTCCGAGGTATCGGTCGTTTGATCGCCAAAGCGCTAGAAGCAAAATCAGCAACAATCCGAGAAGATGAACAGAACCACGTCAACGTACCTCAGCAATCTTTCGACCTTGCTCTTCCAAGCCCAGGTCTGAGCAAAGAATGACCAACTTGTCGAGCTGTTCAAGATTGTCCAGTGGTAATTTTTCAACAATTTCTGAGACTGCCTTTTTCATCATCACCGCATCGTGCATCCGAGAGAGCACCTCAAGAGCAAGCTCCCAGCCGTCCCGCCTCAAAGACTCATTTTCGACGAAGCCCCGTTCATACAGTCCCAGAGCATAGTCCCGCAGAGCTTCGTCTCGGGTGAGACCAAGGGAGGGAGAAGCGCTTCCTTGCCCGTAGGACAACACCATCAGATCATTCTCATTCAACCCAGAGACCTTCTGAGAGCCGCCGTCCTGGAGCCATCCGCCAATATGAGCAACCTCAGTAATGGCGGACGTGATACAAAGGGACCATGTTTCAAGAAGTCTAAGAACACCTTGTACATTTCCTTCAAACACAGAGGCAAGCCCAACCTCCAAGCTGTTCATAGTATTCACCCGGAAACTAGCATCGTCGGAATTTTCATTCGTGGCACTGCTGAACGCCAAATCCAAGCGTCGCAGGTATGCATCACGAAGATTGCGGTCCACACCACGCATGTGACTCCGGGCTCCTCGGAAGCGTTGGAAGTCCACGCTGGAAGTACTAGCGCGGAACGTGTCCTCTTCGTCTTCCCCGTCCCACCACGCAGTTAGACAGATAGTTGCCTCAACCCAATCCTGCGCAGTATTTTTGATGGCAGCGGCGTCACCGAGTATGATTCGGTACAACAACCGCAGGCTTTGATAGATAGTCCAGGGCACACGACTCTCAGCCATACGAGCGGACTGGGTAAAGCTGATTCCATTCTGAGCTTGTGATGGAGCTTGACCAAAGCCGCCCATGCCGAAATTGATGGCTTGGAATCGATGATTCTGCGAAGGTAGCTCGGCCTGGTCACGCTCATCACCCTCGGCGAATTCTTCCAGATCGTGAACAGCGGAGAGCACGTTCTTGCGGTAATCAATCCAATCATTTCCAGTAATGTCCCAATCATCATCTCGGAAGCCGGGGCACGAGTCCAGTATGTCGAGTGCTCTGTTGACACAGCGCTGGATATTTTGAAGCTGTATGCCGCGGTAGCCAGGCTGAGGCAAGCCATCTTCAAGCGCGGACCGGGCATAGTTGAAATCCGCAGAGCGCAAGATATCAGCAGCCTCGACAAATCGGCCTCGCAGAACCGCGGCATTGACAATGTCCCAGAAATTCGATGAAGCGGTCGGATTAGGCTCCACGTGTCGCAGTGCTTGCAAATCCTTGGCATGCGATGCGTGATTGCCATTTAGCCAATCGAGCAAGATCTGGGGAAGCGGGGTCGCGACGCTCGCACGTTGAATCGCTTTCACCATGCCGTTGGGTGCCATGTGAGCAAGGGGATTCGAGTTGCTAGCGATAGGTGCAGAGCCACGAGATGGATGATGAATCTCAAGCAGAAGCGAAGCCAAGAAACTTGCTTTGACAAGTGGCGGAGCCTGCTCGCCTGGGCCAATACTCGTCGTGGATCCGTAGGGTCTTGCGATACCACTGCGGTCAGCGCAGCTGTCCCATGAACTGACAAGCCTGTTGACAGTGTGGGCTAGACTGGCATCGACATCGACATGCTGCATTTCCTCATTGTTGACCACATCGTAAAGGCGGTAAAGTGTCTCTTCTGTGCCAAAAATCATGTCACCGGGCTCGTCAACCGAGGCCAGACGGGTTCTAGAAGCCATGTTCTGGATGATGGAGGGCATCGCCGACGCCTTCTTCGGTGACAATGTGGTCTTGCGCAACGGTGATCGATTGGCCCACGCTTCATTGAGCTTTGGGCGTTTCGCCTCCGTAGGGTTGGAATAGATGGGCTTGCGTGCCTGGCCAAGGCCGGTGACCGGCGCGGGCGCAGGCGCTGGCGCAGAAAATGGATTCCCGTGACTAGAGTCAAGGAAGCTCAGTCGGGTCGATGGTTCTCTCCTGTTGAGATCAAGTTCCTCTTCGGAATGCTCTTCCTCCATGTCCTCCTCGTATTCCCCATCCAAGGTTTCATCTCCTTGCTCCATGTCCTCGCCCTCATCCTCGTACTCTTCGTACTCCTCCATTTGAGATGAATTCAGGTCATCTTGTTGTTCGAAGGTCACTGATCTGCCAAACGCGCCACGACCTGTGGAAGTACCACCAAATCGGCCTTGAGATGGTGTAGGCGCAAGTGGCCGCGCAGGAGGAGCCCGACTTGTTTTGGGCAGCGCGAAATCAGATCCAATGGATGAGCCGAAGATGCTGTCATTTGTCTTGAAGCCCCCGGACTTGGTGAACAAGGAATTGCTCGATTGACCGAAATCTGGGTGAGAGTGCGGATTCAATTGCGACGTGTCGAGCGCGTCGGACGGTGCCTGTCCATGTGGTAGAAATGGGTTTGCGGCCGACGGCGGAGGACCAGCGGGGGTTGTCGAGAGATTGCTCCAAAGACTCTGGTTTTTGGACTTGTCCGGGGTTGAGGGATGTTGGAAGGTATTCTGATTGAATTTGAAGCTCATGGTGAATGAGGTCGTGGTTGCGGAAGAGCTAGAGAAGGGTTCAATGGGCGATGTGCTGAGATAGGTCTCGGGCAGGATGACGATGAGGAACCTCACTGCGAGTTTGTGGTTGCGACTGTGAATGCGGACGATTGTAGTAGTTTGGGCAGACTCAAATTACCATGAAACAAAAAAGCGCCTGGAGTTGAGCTTGGTACCAGATGAGTCGTCAATACAAGGCCACCTCCATCATTCAGGATTAAGCAATTGTTTTTTTTTTCTTTTGCTTGCTTTGTCGCTCTCTTCCGACGCGCCTAGAGGCCACCCGCGGGATTGGGTCATGTGACCGTCGAGCCTGCTACGATGTCACGTGAATAGCTTCTGGAATACTGATGCCAAAATGACACCTCAGGCGGCCAAAGTCGGTCTATTTTAAGGCCTGAGGTAGCGGGCCATTTTACTGAATGGGGATCTGCCTAACATCATTCAGGTACGACGGCAGTACAAGGGTGGCGAAGAACACGAGTACACGACCAACACGCTAGTTCTCTCGTTTCTGTCATTCTAGGTCCAGTACCTCAATATTCCCAGGGGTGGACGCCTGTCTCAGGATCGCTTGGTCCAACAAATAGGCCTCTTCTACCATGGGGCAGTGTGCGCCTGGCGCCCCGGGGATCGGCAGCGACCTCCAGCTTGGTCAGAGTTATTCGTTGAGTCGCACGCTAAGCCTTGCGCTGGGGGCCTTAAATATGTCATATTTCTTTATTTGGGTAATGCGAAGGCGACGAGGAATTTTTGAGTTCTGACCACAAGAGAGCGACAATGGGCCCCTAGATCCAACATAAATGAAGACATGCGCCTCCCATGCTTCCCAGCTAGCTATCTATGACTTCCAGCAACGAAGAAATCTTTACTGAGCTTGCACTTCATTGAACCATCTAGCATCAAATCGCCTGCATACCCTCCCCACAAACCCCTATCTCACTTCCTGTGTTGCGAATCCAGCATGGTACATTCCACGATGCCAGCATACGAGCCAAAAGCGGTGGCTCAATACAGAATCACTTCAGTGGAGTCCACGCGGGAATCCAGGCGAGAATCCAGGCGAAAATCCAGCCGAGCCTACGATATCAGCGAATCTAGCGGACACGCCGAATATCATGTGAACCTAGAGCCTATTTGGGACCGCTTCCATAGAAAGGACCTGGTCTTCTACGAGGGACCCGAGTCTAAACCAGGCCCCATTGTTGCGTGCACCAAATTCCGGCGTGCTGTCAAGCACGTCGAACTCGGATTCGGAGATCTGGCCGAGCCAAGTGACATCGAGTGGTCAGAGATGAGGTGTGAAAAGCTAGTCGTTCACTACGTATTCACTGTGCCCGTCGGTGACGATCGAAAGCCCCATACTTTCGTCTGGAAACGCACCCGTTCGCAGGGTATCGGGTCAAGAGGGCTCAAGCTTGTAGACGAGGCAGACCGGCTGATTGCGGTATATTCGGCTGGTGGATGTATGTCTTCGAATACGGGTCAAATCGATATTTATGAAGACTTTGGGGGCCATTTCCAGTTGGTTGTGCTGGTCAGTGCACTTGCAGTACGACAGAGACTCCTTCGATCAAGAGACGCCGCTGCTGCCGGGGCCGCGTCTGGTGGGGCGGCTGCTGCTGGAGCTGGCTGTTGAGGGAGCATCGAATATTTGATGAAGTATATCAAGTCCTAATATGTCGCGGGTTTTTGATCATTTCCCCTTTTTCGCTTTTCAACCTTCTTTTGGCCTGGTTTTCTTGATGTTAGCGTCAGCTCTCTTTTCGCTGAATACCGTTCATCTGCAATGAAGTTTTCTTTCCTTAGGTCCAATCGGGTTCTCGTAAGAATCACGTCACGTGACAAAAACCGAGTGCTCACTGCTCACTGCTCCACTCATAGTTGCAGTTGGTTACTAGGTACTTAGGTAATACCTAAGGTATCAGTGGTCCATTTACGGTAGGTCCTCTCGAGGAGATGAGGAGTAACCGTCTCAATGGCGCCGCTCGGTCATAATCGTAAGAGGTAAATGTGTCCGATGTGCCGATGTGCCGATGTGCCGATGTCATTTGTTGACGCCCCGCGTCAGGCTTTCGATCGGGGGCCTGAAAGATGTCATAATGCCCATGTGCCCGCGATGGAAATGCGCAGCACATTCATTTTTCATCGTGCGGCATGGGGGCTTGGTCGCTTGATTAGATATATAACATGAGCGACGAGTGCTCCCACACCAGAGACTTAAAAGGGAGTCACTTTACGTAAATACCTCGATCGGGTTCATCCCACCTCAGGAAGCAGACTTTGATTGAATCCGCACTAGCAAAAGGGGTGAAAGACCTGGCTTGGTCTCGCATCTTCATATGTCGAGCTATCATATCCCGTCAAGTCTTGACTGTGACCACAAGTGAACAATGTCGGCATACGCACCACAATCCGGCGTACGCTTCATCGTCTCCCATGGAGTCTTCCAGCATGCGTACGACATCTGCAATCCCACCGGCCAAGCCGAATTTCACGTCGATGTATCACACTGGACCCCTGGTAAAGCAGACATGACCTTTCACAAGGGAGCCGACAGCTCCCACCCAATTATTGGCATCGCCGAATTCCAACACCTCTCCAAAGACGCCGAACTCGGACTCGTCGATCCAAGCAGACCAGGGGGGATGGAGCGTATACCTCTGCCCTGCGATACATTCATGACCGTCCAATATGCCTTTCAAGTCATCTTCCCTGGCGAACACCATCGTCGCACATATACCTGGAAACGAACCCGCTCCCATGGCTTTGGCTCTCAAGCGCTCAAGTTGGTGGACGAGACAGGCCGAGTGATTGCGGTGTATTCGGCTGGCGGGGGGCTCACATCTCGGACAGGGCAAATGGACTTGTACGTGAACTATGGAGAGAAGTTTCAGCTGATTGCGTTGATGAGTGGATTGGCCTTGCAAGAAAAGTTGCACCGGTCAAGAAAACATGGTGCCGCTGGTGTCGCAGGAGGTTCAGGTGGACTGTTCACTGCTGGAGCTGCTGGAGCTGCTGGAGCGGGGAGCTGACGCGTCGGAAGTTGATGAATCTGTGCGCACCAGATATAACAAGATTTCAGACTCAGGCTTTCCTACTGTTACGGGTAGTGTCCTTGTGAGCAGTCAGGCAAGAACCCATAGGTATCTGCTTCCACCTATTTCTCAGTTTCCATACGAGGAAGCTCACACTAAGTTCTCACACACTTTCAACTCTGAGGGTTGAGGAGGTGTTTGGCATTCCATGTTTATTTGCTGCCGTCAATTCGAGTCCCCAAGAATACCCTGATCCAGTTAAACGGATCTCGTCATGAATACTACTGCTGTACTTATTATTGAAGCACGGAGTGTACGAGCCGACCTACTAGGAGTGCAAATGCTACGATATTATAACTACGATCATGTGATCCAGAGCTTCGTGTCTAAATAATCGTGCCAAGAACTGGGGTAAAATCTGCTCGAAAACATGTTTCTCTCTTTCCCCAATGCTTTTGATATCCAGCCTCGAAGTAAGGCGGCCGATAGAAGCACACGCGAAGCAATGCAATTTGGCAAAGATGCAGTATGTGACCAGTCAGGATTTATCTGGAAAGACTAGAGCATCAGTAAGATCACGAGACTTTCAAGATAAGTTGTACGATGGGTGATTCAGAACGATCCCTAGAAGGTTACTCGATGAATTCCGTCGGAAGAGACCACCTAAACAGAGCATTCATGAAGACAACACGTGAGGATCATGCATGAGGACCATCCAAAGAGCACGGGGCGTCCTCGGTGAAGATAGTCAAGGCTACTGTATTCGCTCCCGGGTGACATTGTGCCGTGGACCGCCGTATTCGGAAGTGGAACACAGCTACTACTAGTAAGCGAAGTTCGCGTGAGTAGTAAGCCAGTAAGGTACTACTAACGGTAACTAGTCCATCGAATATGTATTGAGACGGAACACAACTGATCGATCCGTTAGTTCCGTCCGCCTGTCGTCAGATTCCCGCGCGGACCGCCCGCACGTGTTCCATTGATCCTGTGACCTTTTACTTCTGACCCGATGAATTGACAAGAAGATCCGGTGAAAACAATTGTTGATGTTTAAGGATCTCGTCAAGTTATGACATCTGTCACGGCCTCCGCTTATCTCAGGCAGCCAGTCTCTGACCATCCATGCAGATCTGCTTTGCTGTCGTGACTTTATGACCACGCGAGTCATTTCGGCGCCCATGTACGGATACGTTGATGAGGGAGACTGCTACTACTGATATATGAGCTAGTAGGACTATCCGGTAGGTCACTTGTGTATACTGTATACTGTACACACTACTGTTGCACACTACTAGTACACACTACACACTCAATGAGCTATTACCGACTTTCCAAGCTTTCTCTTGACTGCTCGCAAAAAGAGATGTGAGGCCTGGGGATGGTGATATGACCGTTACAGATATCATCCTATCAGAGGGATCACATAACGAAGCTGCGCCAAGGCGAGCTGTCCGTACTCTGTACGAGTGTTTACTTCTGAGTAAACCCCCAATATTTGTACTTGATGGCGCTGGGCTTATGCCCTTGGACGCGGGTGACCTTAGGTACCTCTGTACCTACAGTACGTAGTATTACAGCACTAAGGTACCTGATGTAGTACTACTACTCGGTATGGTCCTCGAACAACGGTGGAGAAATATTGCACTGGCGTCTCTCACCACGAGTCACGATACAGTCAAATGCATGATCGATGATCTGATATCAATTTGGCAATGTGTGATCTGGGGATTTGTCTAAAGAGCCTCGCCTACAAAATCGAGTGCTAACTGACGACTGACAGTGACAAAAGTCACAAGACCTGGACCAGCCGCAAAATTACCCGTCACCCGACGTCAGTGTTTTGGGCCCGCCCCAAAAAGGTTGGAGTTAATAAGAAAGCTAATTTATCAACCGGTCCCCCGAAAAGGTCTGAGTCCGAAGGATGGTGTCACTGCATCCACAAAAGCGCAGCCCGCCATGTCAGTGTCTTGAAAATGAAAAGGTTCCAAGATCCCGATCCCGATCCAGGATGGTGGTATTGTTCAAGTCGGAAGCTACTCTCGGTCTACTCAGCAGTCTACCCCCAGTCTCCCCAGTCTCAGTCTAATTCAGTCACGTCGAGCCGTTGTGTCTATCAGGTCTTCAGGTGGGAAAAGGGTCCAAGGCAATCAGAATTTAAGCCCCGAGCCAAGACCTGCCCCCGAGACTGCCTAAGCCTATTCGGGTAAAATGTGGAGCCATACCTTGGTAGTTAGTGCTTCAGCCTGCAGTTAGGCAGAACCCGGGTACAGCTACACGAAACAGTTGAGGAAGTAGAGAATCCTCTTGCAACACCAAACCCCGAAGCAAACCCCCATCTTTGAAGCTCGGCCCTGGACCCCGAAGCAGTTCGTGACTCGATCAATTAAAGCAGAAGCCCTACAAGGCTTCTCGCTTCACCCGACAAGCCTTCTCCGCTCCGCAGCCCCGGCGGTGGGATCGACGGAATCTCAGGGTTTCAGGGTTCAAGCAATCCCTTAGATAAGCATGTCAGGAGCCACCTCCTCCGGTTGCACCAGTCAGAATGAGCGCCTGCATTTTGTCCAGTCGGAAGCAGAGCGACCCCGGGAGTACAGGATTTAGGCTGCCCTATTGTACGGGCTCGGCTTAAATTACCTCTTTCTACCTTATTTCATTGCCAGGTTTCCTTCTTTACAGGTTACACTACCGAAGGTACTCCTAGTCTCCTACTACCAGTACCCACTATCCAGTACCTCTACAATCTCCGGCCGACCTTGTCAAACCCTGCGTGCTGTCGTTCCAGTGGATTCCTGAGTACCAGAAGCGCTACAGTGGTATTAAAATAAAAAACGGAAGCTCAAAAATGCCATGCTTCGCAATTCCATGCAAAGGCGCACATGATCCCAGTATCACCCATGTCCCCCTGGGTACAGAGTGAGATCTACAAGCCTTGAGATCTACGAGCCTTGGCTGTCATTGCTTGGCGTCGCTCTTGTCTCACTTTGATAAATGAGGCGTTCGTATCCAGTCTCGCCTGGCCTTTTGGTGGCGGGGAAAGGACCGCAAGAGGTAAGAAAACGAAACAAAAAAAAGCAATAGACACAGGAGGAAAGAATGGAGCCCTGAATTGTCCCGTCGTCCCCCGATCCCGAGCTCGAGTCAAGACCCGACTTTCCACCACAATCCACTTTTCTTCCAGACAAGCTCAACCCATCCCGCCGAACAGGTAACCGAATTTCTGCCGGTCACTGTAGATACTCTGAAATTCTGTTGCCTACGCTCCTCATCCAGCCACCCCTCCCCAAGTCTAACCACCAGTGTGGTCAGACTTCGATTCCTCAGATTTTGCCTTGTTGGTCATCCTATTAGCAAACCCGGAGGTATTTCCCAAGTCACACGAGACAAGACGTGAATTCAGCACCCTGCTTCTCGATTTCTTTTCGCTTGCTTTACTCCTTTCCTTTTCGCATTTCAACTGTCTTGCTGGTCTTCGCCCGCCCCTCCCCATCTGATCTGCGCTTATATCCCAAATAAGCGCCTGGACCTCTCAATTTGCCATTTGAGAATCATGGCGAAGCCATTCATGCGTTCTAAATGAATCACATGGCGCTTCGTCGACCACATCGCAAATCCCGCCACGGCTGTCTGGAATGTAAACGCCGTCGAGTAAAGGTAAGAATCCCCGATGAGAGAAAGAGAGGAAGAGAGAGAAAGAGAGAGAGGGAGAGAGAGAGAGAGAGAGAGAGAGAGAAGGGAGAACCGAAGTGATAGGAGAAAGAAAAAGATCATATGCAACGAGCACATAGAAGGGAAATCTTCTGGCTCCTCACGTGCTTCCATCCTTCTTCAGGACTATCTGTGTCTGATTGTTCCTTATCCTTTCTTGTTTTCTTCCAAGTAATAGTGCGACGAAATTCGACCAACTTGTTCCAATTGTGCCAAACGTCACTCAGAGTGCGAGTATGGCTCATCAACCTCGCTCCTCTGGGCAAATGAGGAGCCGATCGTTTTCCGACAATCGACTTCTCGAACCTCAGGGTCAGACAATGGCCAGCCCAGCGACTCCGTACTAAGCAGCCCTTCGACTGACTCGCTGCACGTCGGTATGTTGAGTCATTTGGGTGGGGACGGCCTGTCAAGGCCCACTGCAGCAACGATGTCGACGTCGACGCCGACAACGGCCCTCAATTTGCCCGATTTGGAGCTGATGATGCACTGGTGTAACGACACGTACCAGACGCTTTCACGCAATGAAAGCACAGACCGGGTATGGCGCAATGCCGTTCCAGAAGAGGCGCTTTCTCACCCATTCCTAATGCATGGAATCCTCGCACTCTCCGCGCTGCATCTTGCCCGTACAGGGCCCGATCCTTCGCGAAAGACCGCATTTTTGAACAGGGCTGTCACCCATCAGAATCAAGCGTTGGCCTTGTTTCGTGAGCTTCTCAGCGATATTCGAGAAAGCAATGCTAAAGCCATGTTTGCATTTGCCAGCGTGGTGGTGGTGTACACCTTCGGTTTCCCCCACACCCCTGACGCGCAAGATCCCGGCAGCTGCATCGAAGACCTGTACCAGGTACTCTTTCTGGCACGTGGTGTGCAGCAAGTCATCCGCTCCCCAGCGGAGTATCTCAGTCACACCAATTTTGCCCCGATATTGCAAATAGAGGAGATCCAGACGGAATTGCCGGATGACGCTAACGCAACCATCAACGATCTGCACGAGGCAAATGAGGTCTGCGGTGCGCAAAATCGAGCCCACGAGACAGAGGTCTACACAGCCGCTATCGATAACGTTGCCGAGATGCTTCGCTGGGTGTACGGTGGTATGACGTCCAATGTTGTGGCGGGCCGATGGGCGATCAAGTTGCCCTCTCGGTTTATGGAATTACTACGTGAGCGTGAGCCTATGGCCTTGGTTCTGTTAGCACACTTTGCTTTGCTCTTACACTACCTCAAACATCGCTGGTGCTTCGAGGACTGGTGTGGACGATTGGCGAAAGCTGTTTGGAGGCTGCTGGATCATGAGTGGAGGTCGCTTGTGCATTGGGCTATGGTGGGTATTCTAGGGGAAAATTACCTTGAAAAGGTCAAGCCTCTATAACGGCCAGCGTTCTCACCCTCGATCACTCACACCCTTGCCAAACGCACCTTGTCGTCAAGGTCAACACTTGAAAAGCTCGACCATCGTCATACAGACGGGAATGGTCGATATATCACATTCGACTCGACTTCGTGGAGAGTCGGTTGTCGATACCATTCGAGATCTTTTGCCTCTTTCCCATCGGGGCATCTAGATTCGCGATCAGCATCCGCCGTCATCGGATCACAAGCTTGCCATGACCTCGATGATCTGGTCGAGTAGGGCGACCAAGTCAATGTCCTCCGTGCATCATTCCAAGCCAGATGATCAGCATCGCCTTAAACGGTGCCCACCAAAGCAGCCACAGAGTCTTGACACGATCAAGTCACTGATGCGGCTCGGCGCACAGCTGATTCCTTCAGCCTGCAAAATGAACAATTTCCGGACGGAGAGACAACGAGAGTCACTTCGCGTGATCGTCTTGTTTTTGGTAGTCATGCCTGGCTCGTATTCACATTGTCCGCGTGTGATGAAGTCAAACTGCTTGAGCGATACTTGGATTGTTGCTATTCAATGCCCCTTCTCGCCTCATTTACAAAAGTCTCCAGTCCATCCTATTCAAAGTACACACTCATTCGAAACATCATCTTCGAAATCGCGCTTAAGGATATGTACAGTGATATCCGAGTGTAACTGGACCAAACCTGCAAAAGTTTTATTGTGTTTCTGACGGGCGTAAAGGCAGCAAGTACTGCGGAACGCGAGTGTTAATCATTGGAGAACGCCGGCTCACCTCCATTTCATGACTTCTGCTTTCTCCACCTGCAATCCCCGTCATTCCCAGGGACTCTCAAAGCTTCTTTCCACCCGGAGCTTCACGTCTCGGTTGGGCTTATTCGGTCAAAGTGTGTGTCTTTACACTTTTGCGCGGAGAACAGGCTATTCTGCAACACATTTTGATCGAGAGCTCATTTCAAGTTTCGAATGTCTCGAGCCATCATCAACACGTGATGATCCAGCGTCTTCTCCATTGGACTGATCTCTAAAGACGATCTCTGCCATCAGCACTAGCGATCCATTATGAATGGACATGATGTATTTACGATAGATCTGAATTCCAACCACCAAACCTGCGTCTGCTGCCAGGCCGGTGTCTCTATTATTACTTTCTTGACTCAATGTTCAGCCCCAGATCAGACTCGAGCTCATCCACCGTATTTACAACTTTGCTTGCTTCTCGCCATTTTCGAGTACATAGCGATACCTCGCCTTCCCATCATGCATATCCGTCAAGGCAGCATTAACCTCCTCCATTGGTCTCTTCTGAATCCACGGCAGAACCCGCTTCTCCGCCGCAAGCGCCAGCATCTGTCGAATGTCCTCCGGAGATCCGATATTCGACCCGGTGATCTTAACACTTTTCTGAATCAACGAGAATGCCATCAACGGAGGCAGCGCATCTTCCGGCGCTCCAACCTGAATAAACACCCCGTCGCGCTTCAAAAGTCGCAAATACTGGCCCAAGGGCATTCCGGGCCCAGAAACAGTTGACAACAAGATATCAATGCTTCGCGAATGCGTCTTCGCCCATCCTTTCTCCTCGCCTGTAGCTATGAATGCATCAGCCTCGAGTCCCTGCATCGCATCCGCTTTCTTGCTAGACGACCGCGAAATGGCAATGACTCGGTCTGCACCGAGCGCCTTGGCAAAGAGGACGCCCAGATGACCCAGTCCTCCAATACCGATGACGCCAACTGTCTTGCCCGGACCAGCCCCCATTTGCGCAAGGGAGCAAATACAGTGACGCCGCCGCAGAGTAGAGGAGCCGCCTCGGCGCTGGGAAGCGTGTCTGGAATCTTGACGGCAAAATGCGCCGGGCCACGCCACCGCGCCGCGTATCCTCCAAAGGACTTGCTTTTGTCGGGGTACCGTCCGTTGTAGGTCCCTGTCATGCGTGTGCAGTAGCTTTCTTGACCGTCGGCACAGGCCTCACAGTCAGAGCGGAGGCATGAGCCACTCTGGGCACCAATACCTACGCGGTCACCTGTGCGGATGGTCGCCGAGGCCGGAGAGCTAGTCAGGTGGGGGACACCTGCGCCGACGCGCTCTACAATGCCGACAATTTCATGACCGACGACCTGGAAAAAGAAGCCGGGCATGTATGAGTATCACCGTTCTCCGCTCACATTACCTACCAAAATGAGTATCTTGTTGTAGACTTACACATGGATAATCAGTTGGCCCCCAACCAGAGCGTAGAGTATGTACATCCGAGCCACAAATTCCGCAGTGGGTGATGCGTATCTCAATGTCAGTATCTGTGAAGGGCTTGGGGGTGAAATCGGTGTAGATGAGAGGGTTGGTCGCGTCGCGAGCTACCCAACCCTTGAAGGTCTTTTCTGGCGCTTCACTAGGTGGTCCAGTCATGGTGTGCAACAGTGAGAACCAAGGTGTCTGCGCCGTGAAAGTTGTAAATTGTAGAAATGGCAATGCCGAGGCGGTTAAGGCTAAGAGGTGAGGTGGAGAAGCGCGGCTGGGGACACCCAAACCAAATGTTGGAAGAATGAGGAAGAGGCTCTTTTCTGAATGACAGCCGAGACGGAGTAGTTGGGTTTTAAGTTGCAAACGAAGCTGATGACTGGGGGCGGGTATATATTGAAGCTTAGAACCGATGGTAGCGGTAGGAGCTGTGGTCGCATTGGGGTTCCGCGTGGGCAAATTGCGGAGAACCGAGACTTGTGCCGAGGTTGAGGCGCCCATGGCCCATGCTGCATGTAGAGCCGTTGATAAGACGGATTTAGCATCAAATTGATGTCGAGTCGTCGATCAGCAGCCCCAGATATTCTTGACAAAGTGCATTCTCATTGGAAGATGCATCGCGGCTCCAGTTCGACTCTACTCGCTTCTCATTCCATTCATACCATCGAAATATTGGCAGTTCCGCTGGGATCCAGGCAAGCTGAGTTAGACGAGGCATGTTGACCCGCCAGGGCCTCGCAGCCAACACTGCTCAACCACGATACGAAGGTTGATAATCCCTTGCAGCGTCTTGGCTCATTCGGTCAAGAAGCTGCAATGTTTCGATATTGCGCGGATTCAGTGTTGAAGTACAGACCATGTATTAAGTAGACAATAGGCTTCATTCATTACCGATCAACATTCAATGACGCTCCAAATTTCATTAACGCGAAGGAACACCCATTAGATCCTCCAGTTCGTCACTTGTTAGAGTACTACGCCGCCGAGTACCAGCTCGGCTGGCCGCCTTCTCGGGCCGGCTTCGTTTGCGTGTTTCGCGTTCTTTGCGCGATTGTTCCGCCAGGCGGGCTTCGTCCTCAACGGCGGCCAATTTTTGGGAGACACTCAGCTCGAGGTCGCTTGCTTTGGCCTAATATCACAGATCATAGTCATTAGTTCCGATATGCGCTGACACTCCGCCAAAGGATTGGTGCTTTCTTGTACTCACCTGGCGAGATAAACTTGACTCGGTCTTTCGTCTCGACGGCCTCCGGGTCACGGTTTCCGCCTTGTGCGCCTTGATCAGCAGAGTCTCTTCGTCGTTATTTGGGGGCTCGGCAGGAGATCCGTGGAGTCCAGGAGTGAAAGAGACTTTGCGCAGCCGCCGGGGCCTTGCAACGGCATTATCGCTGCGCTCTCGCAAGGCTCGATCCGACCGTCCTGGCACTCTGCGGACCTTTGAACGAGACTTGGAGGAATCTGGTGCTTCCCGTACTTGCTCCTGAGTCTTTGTCTTTGCCTCGCTGATCCCTTGCTCGACATCTTCTTCTTGTTGATCTTCCAGAATTGGTGAGATGTTGCTGGATTCCAATCGACTTTGCTGAGCAGTGGATTCCTCGGTGGCCATGAAGCTCAAATCCAGAGTCATGCCGCGCTTCCTTTCCTCCACTCCCACCGTGTCGCCTCCATCTGTCATTCGTCGCTGCCATCCATCCATCATAGACACTGCTTGCTTCCAGCGGCTCTCCATCTTCTCCCAACCCTCCCGCAGTCGACCGATCTCCTGGTCTCTCATCTCAACTTCTTCAAGCGGTACAAATGAGGGATTGGTCAAAAGCGTTCGCAAATGCTCCAAAACATCGTCCATACGCGCGGACAGCTCTTCGTATGACGTCGGGAGCGAAACAACCGTCGGATCCGGATTGGAATAATTGGCACTCGCAGCCATCCCCATTGTTTCGCCATCCTGATCCTTTCCCTCCGATTCCGACAGCCCTTGTAGCTCCTTCAGTGTGTTCACGGTGTTTCGCGCAAGCTCGATCAACGCGTCGTTCTCGTTGCTGAGGTTCTGGCATAGTTCTGTCAGGAATTCGGTGGTCTCCTGCGTCAAAGAGTACCCGGGATCTTCAATGCGCCCTCCACCACTGGATTTTGAATGCGAGGCTCCTTTCGTCGCAGGGTTTATGTTGATGGTTGTGACACCCAACCCTTCCCGCTTCCCTCGTTGCCGCTCTGCGAGGTGCGATTTGAGCCTCTGCATCTCGAGGTCCCGCTTGCGAATATCGTTGGCGCATTGAGCCCGAACCTGCTGCACAGTTGACTTCATCCTTTGAACCTTCTCTTTAAGCCCACGAATTGTAGTCTCGGCGCCCGTTATGTTAGCTTTGAGTGCGCGTTCTGAAGCTTCAGCCAGTGCCAGTGATCGCGACAGCTCCGAGTTTTTCGTTTTCAGTTTGCCCTACGAAAGACAATATTAGCAACCTGCCAGTCATGGCCGTAAGGAAAGCAAGCGTACAATCTCTAATGTCTGCTCGGACTCGCTTGCGCGCAAGACTCGAATCGTCGTTGCTAAGCTCTCGCGATGCTCGGATTCACGCTATTTAGAAGTCAGTCGGTGTGCGACCCAGCATTCAGTTAGTGACTGACGTCTCTTCTCAACACCAGATCATTGACCAGGTTGATGACTCGCGCCATCGTGGCATCGATGCCACCCTCATTGCTTTCTGGATCGGCAAAGTCAATGGCTTGACCACTTTTCAGTAAGCCCCGAGCCAGTAGGAGGTTGTTGACATAGGTGGACGCGGCCTGTAAATTTTGCGTCTCCATGTCGGGCCGTTGCTATTGCGTAACGATCACGATAAACGATTGATCCAAAGCGGAAGAAAGTAAACATGGGTCCAATCCGGCGGGGCACAGCAACAATTGATGCAAGGCACGTGCCTGTCACCATACCACGCGTCACCAGTCGCGCACTGTCTCTTCACAACGTAAAAAACTTAACTTTTCAGTTCTTCGACTTCTATTGGAAAAAAATATCAACGATGCGTCCACAAATATCGCCTGAGCAACAAAGAGGTCAGAGACTGTACCAGAAGGGGGACTTCAAGGCTGCGATCGAGGCGTTTGGAGAGGTAGACCCATTTAAGTCTTAACCCGAACGGGAAGCTTATGCTAAAACACCATGTCTCCAGGCGCTCCGACAGCCGAATGTGGATACCATTGGTATTCTGGACAATCGATCGGCCACTTATTGCAAGCTTCTACAGTATGATCTAGCTCGCCGCGATGCGAAGCAAATGATCAAGACCGCCAATAATGACGAAAGAGTAAGTGGCTATTTCCTCTCTGTGATTTTCTCAGGCTTCTGCTCTTTGTTTGAGATTGTTTGGTTGTTAACACCAAGTACTTAGGGCTACATGCGATGCGCAAAAGTCCTGATTCTCGAGGGTAAACCCGAGAAAGCTCAAGAAATCTATGCCTATGGGCTGAGAACGATGCCGAGCGAGCATCCTAAACGAGGAGTAGGTCTACCTCAAAGCTGTCGTAATTTCAATACACACTAATATGCTGTCTAGCTATTGGAACAATTACACAAGAAACTAGAGAATCGCTTGCTTGGCAATCGCGTCGACCCGTTTGCGGTGTTGCCTCTTGAAATTGCCATGTTCATCATCAACCAATTCTCTTTCAGAGAGATGGTGTAAGTTACTTCCCTGGCTTCCCTATACACGACAAATCCAACTCTGATGACCCCGAAACAGAGGATTGCTCCGAGTGTGCAAAGGCTGGGAACGACTGTTTTGCTCCATGTCCCATCTTTGGATGGACATCAACCTTAGTGGGGCACGACAAAAAGTTCCATGGACTGCAATCCGGACGTACATTCGGCGTTCCAAGGCGATGCTCACAGCAGCAACAATCAAACATTTATCAGCTCCTTCAACAGTCAAAACATTGGAATTCCTCGGTCGTTGTCCGCAGCTAGAGCATCTGGAGCTCTGGGTAGCGCATGATGGCAGAGACTTCTACCAAAAATTCAAAGGAAGCAAAAGGTTGAAGAGCCTTGTCCTTTCTCCAGAGCTACCGATAGAGCATGACTACGTCGGCAAACTTCTGCAAGATCTACCGAACCTTGAGCGTCTCACAATTTGGAATGTCAAGACCAGACATCCTTATCTCGAAAGGCCTATCTTCGTGTGGCCGAAACTACTGCCGAAACTAAAAAGTATTACTCTGGCGTCACAACAGGATATGCTCGTGCGGGAAGAGCATTCACGAAATTTCCATGTGCTGTCGATACCAGGATTGGATGAGGTGAGACTTCGTAGACTAAGCTATCAAGTTAGACCACTGACCATGTCTAGAATTCCGAGCATGTTGTGTATCCAAACCTGGAAGAATTGCGTCTTGACTACAACCCCCTATTGCACAGCGCCTACAGATTCCCCAACGCCACGACTCGCCCGATGCCTCCTCTGCGTCGTCTAGAACTGCGAGGTATGACGATGGAAACAAATATCTGTGCCACCTTGCCGGATACCATTGAATATCTGCACATTGAAGGAGGCGCGTCGGCAAGATACCTTGCAACGCAACTGGAGCCCCCAGGAAAACGTCTACCGAGATTGCACACTCTACGATTCGAAGACACAGGGTTCGCCACACAACAGACTCTTTCGGTCTTTCTCCAGGCTGATCTCGTCTCACTCCGAACCCTCCACATCAACGGCTGCTTACAGATGACTGTGCGGGACCTGCTTGACATGGCCCGCGAATTCCCAGAGCTAGGAGATCTCACCGAACTGAGCGTGATCAATCTTCCCGGTCTCGATGATCACGCGGCAAGTTCAATTTTGAGTGACTTTAGCAAATTGAAGGTGCTTGATATGTCGTGTACGGAAATCACGGGCGTAACGATTCGTCGTATCGCCGACACGCGACTATCGGACTCTACAGAAGTTGCTAGACTCGATCGACTGATTACTCGCAATTGTGAAGGAATCTCTTCTGATGCTATCACGTATGGTCGAGGAACCGGGCTGCAAATCATGATATGATCTCTGGGACAATGGCAGTGATAGTCCATCTTGAGCTTAAAGCGACGAGCATTTTCGAAACCTGAGCTGTGTTCATTTACCAAGGTCAATGCTATCAACTAATCGAATAGCCTTTCACACATGTGGAGGAGATTTCATGTGGGGGTTCGATTTGAAAGGCCTTACATCATTAATCGAGCGATTTGTTATTCTAATCACGCATATCGAGCATTCATATTTTTGGACACGCTCATTCAGCGTTCTTCGGATAACCTCCTTTTTAGTCCAACCGGACTTTGTGTGACCAGCGGAAAGTGTAGGCTATTAATTTGAAAGACTATTGAAGCGCAGTTGCTCAAAGGGTCCTTCCATCTCCGAGCTCAAAATACCGCACTTGAGAGTTTCAAAATGTATGAGAGTATCAGAATTCACAAAGCCAGTAAAGTCGGCTGCTGTAATAAGTAAAGCCAAGACAATCTAAACACCACGCTCCTTACACCACTTCTCCACCTCCTTGGCCAGTTTCTCCTTTTGATCGCGAACCAGCTCCATTATAGGCTCAACTTGCTTACGGTGAGAAGCGATCCGATCCCCTTCACCGTTGACGCTGGTAACACCCTCTTTTGGCGCAAGATAAGTCTCATAGATTGAAATCATCAACTCCATAACAGCAGACAGCTGGTTTGGAAGCCACTATCAAGGACAATTGATCCACATTAGCATGGGTTCTCAGACAGACATCTTCATGAGACTTGGGACTTGTTTAGTGTGAGATTCGCAACTTACTGTGACGATAGGACTGCCGCCAGTTGCTGTGGGGTGAGGAGTCCGACGAATAATGTATTCACGGGCAAATAGCCAGTGACGCCAGCGGAAGCTGCGCACGTGGTTGAGCACTCGAAGGAATAGAACGGCTGTCTCGGAGTCTTGCACAGAGTAATTTTGCACGCCAATCTCCTCGGACTTCTCGCGCACATATGTGAGGAATTCGCGATGGGGGAGGGGGCGGTAGGCGCGGAATTCATGCAGGATCTTGGTCAGGGGCGTTGAAGGCATAGGAATTTGACAGAGATGGTCCAGAAGGGGAATCTTGGCGTGGTGGTTAGTATTTGCTGGACTGATGTTTGTTAAAGGGGTGAGGCAGACTCACGATGCTATCATTGGCGCCACTCTCACCGCGGAAAGAGAGAGGCTGGTTATTCTCAACGCCGTCGTAAATGACGCCGTTCGGAAACATGGACTGGTTGGTGATTCCGAAAATGAACACACGGAAGGAGAGGTACTCGGCGGGTTTGGAATTAGCCCACATATCTGGGATCAATTAGTCAAGCTCAAGGTAAGACGGATGTATTCTGATCTGGATTGTAATAGATTTCGGTCGGCTCATACCTTCCATGGATGCCTCGATCTTTTCCATGGTCCGAAGAATCTCGCGATAGCCATCGTTGATGTCTGAGCGATCGCCGTTCTGTTCAAGAGTATCGATGACCTTCAGAGCACCTGCAATGAGGGAACCTGTCTCCTTGACCATGTCCACGTGGGTCAGAATGAAGCCAGCCTCAGAGCTCTTTGGGTCCAAGCCTCGCTCAAAGGCGCGCACGAGGCGGAGGTTTGAGTAGTCTTCCAAGCCCTTGGAGTGATCTGCAAGAGTGTAATTGAACAGGGCATACGAGGCGGCATAGGACATGAATGGCGGAAGGTCCAAGCTATCACGAGAGTCAGCAAGTGTTGTGCAACTTGGCAGGCGAGTGGAGTGTCACAGCCTCATATATGCAGGGTGACTGAAAGAACAGGGTAAGAGGAAGAGTGAAACGGAAGCAAATCAAGATTCCTCATCAAATCACTCACATCTGAGCACATCGATACATTGGACGAGAAACAGACTTGGGCAAGACTTCTCGACCAAGACCATACCCCTGATCAGGATTCTTACACCAGTTTTCCCAACACGGTTCAAGAAGGTAGGAAGAAGCCAGGAAAGTATAATCCCGGAAGATTGCAGCAATAGTGAACTTATCCCAGTCTCCGTTGGGCAGCTTGAGCTTCTCAACCTCGTCAGTCAAGTCTGGGAGCTCCTTCTCAGTGGCAGGACCCAGTTCGTAGGTAGCCAGGAGACCGGGAGTACCGTCAAGCTTGACAACAGGGAGCCGTTCAACGAGGGACTCAAGTGGCTTGAAGACATCTGGCAGATGAGTGGGGGCGGTCTGGTAAGGAAGGAATCCAGTAGAGGTGGTAATGGTAAAGGGGTCTAGAGCATGGGAGAGGTTGGAAGGGTCATCGTGAATATGAGGGAACCGCTTCAAAGTAGCAGGCGAAGGCACAGGAACCTGAGAGCGAGTCATTCTTGCTTGGAAGATGCAAGTTTCAATGTGAAGCAAGTGAAACCAGGTGGGTGAAGGTGTATCAGGGGTGTGGAAGAGGAAAGATGTTGATGAGAAAGTAGGCACGACAAGGTCTGAAGGTCAAGAGATCAAGTACAGATCCGAGGGCAGAAAAAGTTGAGTGAAAAGATGGGTGGATGAACCGAGCCAGTATGGGATGTGAATAAAATGCTCGATGATGAGAGAAATTGGGCGGGAAAGGAGGCGATTCTTATAATACTCAGAGGCCGGTATCAATTCCGGCCTCATGCCCACCATTACGAAAAAGAATGAATTTCGCGTGGATCTTGTGACCTTCGCATCTAAATTGGGCTTAGAGAGCCCAGGTATGTCAAGAGACCAGTTTCTACGTGTTTTGTGAGCGATATGTATCAACGCCTGATAGTTCGTCTTCACTCTGCCCATCTTGAAGCTCTATATAGTCCTTGCTGGCATCAGGGCAAGTAAATATCACGGGACACGCTAATCCTCATTAGGCATTATATAGTAGCCGCCATTTTTCCGATGATGCAACGATTCTTACGATCTCTATGGATTTGAAACGACCTGGCGAATCATCAAAAATGTTGCTCCTATTTTTTGCGACAACTCATCTCAAGAACAGTCTTGTAGAAGGTCACTGATAGCACCCAGGTCATCGCTCATGTATACCACCAACGCAGCGTCAAGCTTCAGGATCAGGGTCCCTCCAGCTGATTGGCGGAGAAGCCGCCGTTTAGACTTTACTAGCGCCCGGAGGCCGGAATTCAGCCGGCCTCCGGTAATAGCCGGCCTACAGACACTGAGTCGGTCCGATTCCTGCGCAATCAGTGCATGAAAGCAACACAATCCGAGCAAAAAGTATGGAATGTTGCACAAAGCCCGATGTATTGCTTGAGCAGATCAACATGGCTCAACGACTACTTGATGACTTGTCACATTCAAGAAAGGAAACGTTGAGAGGACTATCGCACCGCATCATATACCTCACCGGGCCCGAAGAAGCCAAGCTGAAGAAATTAAGCATGATCTGATTGACAGAGGGAAGTACGGTAGCATATGATGGGGCTCTGGAGTCACTGAGCCAACACAAGAAGCCGGCCAATCGTGTCAGCTCCGATATCAGACGACACGTGGATGTCCTCTCGACGACTCTGACATGAACATTATTTGCTGCATCGTATCCTTGACCAAACTCTCATCATCTTCACTCCGGACCGTCTTAGCTTCTCAACATGCGCCCGGCAAACCCAAGATCATGCGTCATATTCAGGTGGTCTCATGGGCTCGAAAGACACACTGCACAGTGTACACAGATTTATATCGTACAAAACACTCCAACAACATGCATGGTATGGATGTTCAAGACCACTCCAATGGGCCTTCAACCGGTATTGTACAGAGTCTTCAAATTGGCAGATCCCTTCGCACCGAACGGGCGCGCACCGCAATTTGAGGTCATCGATAAAGAGGAAAGACCGCATGTGCTGCTGCGGCCGGACATCGCCTGATATTATCCTCATGAACCCGGACTCGTCTTTTGAGTTCCCACCCCCGGCGTCTCGGTCGTACTATGCACAGTCTGCAGCTTGAGATATTCTTCCTCGAGACGTTTTTGCAGTTCGAACTCGGCTTGGCGCTCTTGACGAATTCGCTGTTTCTCCATGTCGCGCTCGACACCTCTGTGCATGGCCTGTATCCTGCCTGTTAGTTGAAGTTTGTTTATGTCGCTGATAAGACGCAATACCTTTCGGTCGTTCTCTTGAGTCCAGTGGACAAAGTAAATGATGCCTGCGGTGCCCAGACCCGTGGCAGCGAGGGTCAACTTCGAAGCTCGAGACATAATGCAAGCCAGCCCCTGGTTTTCAATGCAAATGCACTGCCGATACAATGTTAAAGAAATAAACGACAGACGGGGCAAGCCTGAAGATAAGCCATGTGATCGGAGACGCATCGGCGGAATATCGTGCAATCACCAGGCGGAAGCGGCTGGCAATATGCTTCCCCACCGCTTTGGGGGGGGGGGGGGGGCTGATCGAGCTCCAAGCTCCGCATTCCTGTCGCCCCAATAGCATCGTCATTTCAATTGTATCCAGATACCAACTGTATACTTCTGGTAAAGATGGTAAGTGAACTACGTTGCTCATATAACCTTTTATCTGGGTGTTATACTAACTGAAGTAACCAAACTAGTCGGCTCAGAACTCCGCGGGCATTCAGACCCTCCTTGACGTACGTGCTGATCGGAGAGCCGCCGCAGGTGCAGGCGTATTGACACTGAATCTAGGCCGAGAGGGAGGCGCAGAAGATTGTGCAGCAAGGTCCGGTCTTCTTCCATCTTCTATGCGTATGCATTTTGCGATTCGGTGCTAACAAGCCATTTCACCAACAGCTCGGGAATGTATGAACTAATGGCACCCCAACCGTGAACGATCCCGACCTGACTTGACGCTGTTTCGCCATGCAGACCGTACCAAGCGGATAAGAGACGCCAAGGCCGAGGCCCAGAAGGAGATCGAAGAATATCGTAACCAGAAGGAGGAGGAATATAAGAAGTTCGAGACCGAGGTAGGACACACCATGGCCTCTCCGACGAATGTGAATACTCGCTAATCCCTCCGCATCTCACAGCATTCGAGCGGTTACAGAAAGGCCGAGGAAGATGCCGATAAGGAGGCTCAAGAGAAGTTGAAGGAGATCGAGGCGGCCGGCAAGAAGCAGGGTGACAAGGTTGTCGACGATCTGATCCAGGCGACGACTGATGTCAAGCCCAAGGTGCCGGAGAAGATTGCAAAGGCATAAGAGCCGCGTGTTCGTTTCACCAGGTTTTCTCATCATCTTTCCGCCGCCGTATTTAGAGCATACGTTTTCAAGCTTGTTTATCGATATCCGACGCAGGACAATTTCGCTTGCCGATCATACATGACTGACTGATCTTACATATTTTTTGCGCTACTTCCAGTCTCAAGTCGCAGGCTGGGGCTTGCGATTGTTTTCTGGTACCAAAGCGGGCTGTAGTCATATTTTGTTCACGCACGATGCCCTGCGACTGTACTTCGAGCTCGTTTAGTCAGGCAGCTACAGTAGCTCATCCGGACAGGGTTACGGTTCTTCTGGCCTGCATTGGTAATCGCTGGGGTATTGGCTATACCGCGCTCAAATATTATGATCATGTGAACCTGGTTCATTTTTATTGAGTAAATCAAGCCGCGACTTCTATCCAAAAATGATCTCCTCTCCCCCAGATAAGGCTATTGAAGATCATCGATTATGGTTGCCTCAGGCGCTCAGCGCATCATCCGTCTGTTGCGTCATTCCTTTGCAACCCGGACCTTTCTGCGCATACGAGCCCAACCATGGGATATGCAGCTCGATTTTGCGGTGCAGCTAGGATACGCATACATCGAAGTCCGCTTTGTAAAAAGATCTCGCATGTTTCCTCACAACCATACAGTTCGGCACAGGATGCGGCAAAGTCCATACTTGAACCCCGGCTCGAGGATCACGGCCGGGTCATTCGCGATCAATACTCACTAATTCGAGATAGCTACGGTGCGCACCCGAAAGCACTTCTGACCGCGATGTTTGAAGAACAAGATTTGTTAACATGAGAGAATTCTACCTCAGCGGCCCCCAAGCATCCGATCGTTCTCGCCCATGGCTTACTTGGCTTTGACGAGCTTCGGCTCGCCGGGCCATTCCTTCCAGGTGTCCAGTACTGGCGCGGAATCAAGGAAGCTCTTACCGCGAAAGGTGTAGAGGTAGTTACTGCGACGGTACCGCCATCTGGATCAATTGAAGAGCGAGCGGAGGAGTTGGCGCGCGATATCGAGATCGGGGCACAGGGAAAGGATGTCAATATCATCGCGTGCGCTCAGTGTTCCTACCAGCAGTAAGGTGATTATTAGAGCTAATCAGATGACTCGCTCTCCAGACATAGTATGGTAAGTACCCACCGATTATTCAGATTTATAGCTCAAGGCTAATCGATGTTTCAGGGGTGGGACATCCATAAGTTCCTTTTTTTACTGAATGTCCAAGCCTAACAACATCTTGCAAGTGGCCTGGACTCGCGATACATGATCAGCCGTCTTCAACCGCAGAAGTTCAAGGTGCTGTCTCTGACGACCATTGCCACGCCTCATCGTGGTATGTTTATACCATGAGCATATCATGAAGGGCAATGCTGCCAGGTTCTCATGTCAAAGCAAAAGCTAATGAGACTGTTGAACAGGCTCAGCAGTAGCCGATTACTGTTTCGACCAAATTGGCAGTGGGTTTACTCCGCATAATTTCATTGAGTCTCGAAACTCTTGCATGTTGACTCTCAGTTACAGCCGAATTGTTACCCCAGATCTACTACACTCTAAATAAGCTTAACGTCGCCACGGGCGCTTTTTCTCAATTGACGAGAAAGTATATGTCTGAGGATTTCAACCCAAACACGCCTGATCTTGACAGTGTCCGGTAAGGTCTTGCACGCTGTCTTTCCCTAGTATGGTCATGGCTAGTAAACTGACCGAGCAGATATTTCTCCTATGGGGCAACCGTTGAACCCAGTTTGTGGTCCGTCTTTCGACTATCTCACCGCATCCTCGCCAAAGCCGAGGGTCCCAATGACGGACTGGTCAGTGTGGCTAGTAGCCTGTGGGGTGGTGAGACAGGATACAAGGGAACTCTGGTGGGCGTCAGCCATCTCGACCTGATCAATTGGACAAATCGGTTGAAGTGGCTGGCGGCAGAGGTGACGGGCAATCCGCGCAAGTTCAATGCCATCGCCTTTTACTTGGATATTGCAGGTATGAGTGCCCAATCATTTACCAGCGTATCAAGCGAGTATATTGACCTGAAAACTGCGGTAGATATGTTGGCCAAGGAGGGTTTATAAGATGGAGGTGTCATGCTCTAATTGATCTTTTGATACCCATTGATCCAATGCTACAGGTGCATTATTCAAGTTGATTTAATCAGCATCCGAAAAATAACAGCTCTGCCATGTATGGCGGGTCAGCAGGATGACCTCCAGGAGGTTTCACTGACATGACCGAAATCTCGAAGCAGCGGGTGTTCCAACATGAGCACTTGAGTGGTTTGGTTCAATGGAAATGGTAAGGAACGTGGAAGTTCGAACTCGTTGCGGAAGCGTTGCCTGATCTGGTTTAAACTCTCTTCAAATGACTTGTCATTGAATGTCCGTCCCCCTAGTAAGTTCCTTAGAGAGGAGTGAGTGCCACTGAGTGGTGCGTCGTGAGTATCGCAGCGGGATGTTCTCGGAATTGTGGTGCCTAAACGCGAGATCCCAAAGCGGCACGTCAATGTTATTTTTGTGTAAGACACTCAGCGCCTTTGTATCCTCGCTGATACAGCCCCGCAGGTTCGTACTTTGAATGTAGTCGGTGGTCAGAGATCACTGATCTCTAATCAACATATTAATACCTTATCGACTGGGTAAGTCTGAAAAATGCTACAAATCGCGGTGGCTGATACTGTGGCGGTCCAACAAGGCGCAGCATTGATGCAGGTTCAATCCATCCAGTAGCCACCTTCCTAGTGACTGCCCCAGGCGGTTAACCAGCCTTACATAAGCCTTGAACTGGTCGCTGCAGCCTTAATTCTACGCCCGCGCGTGGAACGATGACGCTGATGACAGACGAAAATTGGAGCTGATGGAAAGGGGGTCTGATTGGGAGTCAGGACCAGGGAATCGCATCATTATGAAGAACTCCATACTAGCTAGTGTGTCAGGCCCACCGAAGTGCGTATATATACATGTCAGGTCCGTCGCGCCGCTCCCGTCTACTGTGGAGATTTGGACTTATCCCACCACCAAACGTCATCTCCGACATTCGAAGGGTCTTTCAATGCTTTTTGAAAGCTCCCGCACCCCTCCTGCATCGATCGGACAACTCCAAACAACACCGTCACCCATCCGGTCTCCTTCACTGAACAAGAGATCTTCCGAAAACAATAGTGGTGACATTGAGGTCGCACCTCCAAAGCTGCGCATCTCGCCCCATCAATCATACACCGGGACAGATTGATCGTGGAGACCCCGGGCGCTCCTCAGTCGCCGAACCCAACCCCCAGGGAGCTCTGGCGGCCCGGGGCTTGCGCCGCCATGTCCGCGACAATCCTCCTAGACAGCCATCATGCGCACTACACCAATTTGGACTTTCTATCGGGCAAAGTGGTTCTGCAGCTCCCAACGGAAGCTGCCATCGGGGGAATTCAGGTCAAGCTGGAGGGAGTGAGCCGAACGCGGCTCTCCGGCCCTCGCCATCCTCACCATGTGAATTCGGACAAGAAGCGCACCGAGCTGGAAGTCCATAAAGTATGTATTTCAACGGTCTCGACCAGATGCTGGAGCTTCCGGAGAGACTCAATCAGGTCCTACTTTGACCTCGGGTTGGGAGCATGCCTGCTGATTGACCGCAGATTCTCTACAAGGTTGCGACCGTTTTTCCTACGCCAGCGGTCATGCAGACGGGGACGCCGGCGCCCTCGTACACTTTCGCTGCCGGCTCATACTCGTACCCTTTTAGTTTCAAGGTGAGAGCCGTCCTTTAGTGATGTTCATTGCACGTGAAGCGCCCATGTTCTAACCATCTGTCAGTTTCCCTTCAACAATTCTTGCAATGCAATCAACAGCATGCGGACCAATCTCGTCACGTCGGGTCTGAAAGTAGAGATGGCGCGCGATACCAATCGACACGTCAAAAAAACTCTTCCTCCTTCATTGAGTGGGTATCCCGGCATGGCCGAGATTCAGTATTTCGTCAAAGCCACCGTGATCAGACCCCAGTTCTACAAGGAGAATATCAGAACCGTACGCGAGCTCCTCTTCCTACATTATGACCGTGACAAGCTCTATGCGGCAAAATAATTAACTCATGAATTCTCAGATTGTGCCTCTCAATTTTCTACCAATTGAGCCTCCAAGAACTGGCAATCCCAATGAGGAGACTTACGCCCGTCGGCAGCATCAGTTCATTAGCCCACCAACGCTGACGAAAAAGAAGAGCGGCCTCTTCGGTCGAAGTACCACCACGCTGCGCGAGTCGACCCAGGAACTCCCGCGGGTGTCCGTCGAGTCGCGGCTTCCTAATCCTTCCATTCTCACGTGCAATGAACCCATCCCACTCCGTCTTATCGTAAAGAAAGTAAACAATGCCCCAGAGGTGGTCTTTCTGCAAATGCTGCAGATCGAGCTGATATCATACACGAAAGTCCTTGCCCACGATCTCACATGGCAGGAAAATGGCTCATGGGTAGTCCTGAGCTCGAGCAACATGGGCCAGGCGCTCAGTCGACCAGGCGATCCCGCTGGCACAGACTGGACGATTGACCCCAAGATTTGGGCCGGCCTACCACTTCCAAGCTCGGTGGCTCCGTCTTTTGAGACCTGCAATATCGAAAGAAGCTATGAACTGGAGGTTCGAGTGGGGTTGACTCATGGCACGACTGGAAACACACAGGTAAGAAAGGCTTTCCCAGTCTGCTGTGCGGGATGTTGTGACTGACAAGGATTTCTGTAGCCACAAATGATCGTGCTACCACTGCGGATGCCCGTCAAAGTGTACTCAGGAATCAAGCCACCTTCAGCACTATTGGAAGCCATGGCAGCAGCAACCCCACAGTCCACATCCTCAAAACCCGCTCCGGTTCCGTTTCCATCGCAGCCCCATGAGGGAGAACGACCCCCAATGCCCCCCCCGCCCCCTGCAGGACCTGTCCCAGTAAGCGAAGGGGTTTTGCACGAGGACGCACCACCCAGCTACGAGGACGCGATGGGCGAAAACATCAGTCCCGTAGATGGACCACGTCGCGAGTATCACCCACCAGATGCCACGTCCTCCCGAAGCGTTGCAGAATCTGCCACTGATCCCAAATCTGCAGTCGAAATGGCAAGTTTCCGTGAAGACGGCTCAGCTGCTGAAGGTTCCTGGGCTTCGTCGAGTCACGCACGTCGCTCCTCATCGGAGTCCTTTGACATGCTTCCCAATACTCCTCCCGAGTCAAATTTCGGGTCCCGTCCTACGACCCCCGTCACACGATCTCAAAGCATGATGAAAGGTCATCGCAATGATGCACGCCAAGAAGGACCCCCACAGTACGAGCCGGTTGCCGAAGTGCACTTAGCGCCCCATGCTGAAATCGATCGTCAACCATCACGAAATAGCCCGCGACCTAAGAATTTGGGAGTTCCAGCGAGGAAGCCTGTGCCGCGCAATGCCAGTATGCCGCACTGAGATAAGCTCTTATTACTGCACACCGAACGCCTGTCTCTTTCGTGTTGAGATGGCATCTTCTCCATCACTTGTCAACACGCTCATGGCTCGTCAGCAGTGAGCTCCCACATAGTATAATTTGCAGCTTTTGTGACATGACCAAGGCATCCTTCAATACCCTCTTGTCTTTATATTGCTCACTAGTGAATAATATTCATATGCTACTGTCGAGTGGTGCTACAATCCCGGGACCTTGTCGTGTTTAGCTGACTGCTTGAAGCCGAGATGTCCAAGCTTGAGTCGAGATGAACCGTGAATGGAAACATGAACCTCGAATCCAGAGTGTCTTTGTCCTCTTCTGTATGGTCTCGTAGAGCAGAGTAACTTGAAGTCAGCCATCTCAATAAACACCTATCACAATTCCAACATACCTCACCCATAGAAAAATTCTCATATCGTCGCTTACAACCTGATCGTCAAGTACCTATCACTTCGAATCATGTATTCGCCCATGAGGCACGCCTTGGAAGTCATCCTCGAATACTTTCGAGAGTTGGCGTTTATGACATGACGGTCAAATCGCATTACAGCTGTGAATGACATCGACACTGTCTGTTGATGATCGAGTGTCTTTTCCAATTCGGATGGGTATGTATATCACAAGATCACCGGGACGAAGATGGAATCAACATATCTTGAGAATCCATCTCAGGCTACGACCCAATACGTTGCGTGTGGGGATACATGCCTGCTAGACTTAATATGATTGCTTCAGCATTCCGGACATATGAAAAAAACGTGATGTGCTCATATCATCACCCTTATAGACAGTAACCGCTTGCTCTACGTGAAGGGTACATCATTTATCATGAGAGTCATGGTTTAGCAGAGTGCGTTGAAATTCCAATCTGACGTTCGATCTGAGAGAATCTCCAGTAGTGAGGTATAGGAGTGCCAAAGCTTGACCTTTTCTCCTTTATAGTCGAGCAAATGGTATACCATTCCAGCAGCCAGGCCTGGTGGTGCAGTGAGGAGAGGTCCCCGACGGGGGGTCTCTCCCCTGCCGTGCCCCTTAGCTAAGGGCATGGCATATACCTTTGGGTGTGCCTCACTGGTACCTTCGGGTACCGAGGTTTCACAGGCCTGGCTGGCTGGGTGGGTGGGAAGTCCGACCTGACGGACGCGTCAGGCGGCGGCCAATTTTTTTTTTTCAATAATTTTTTCCGATGATATTTTTTTGATTCTTGACGATAAGACGTTCCCCTGGATTGGAAGATGATTTAGTTCAGTGAAGGCCACAAGACAATGCCTCGGCAAAGTTTATGAAGTTGTTGTAGGAGAGACTGCTGAGCTTCGCTGAGAGTATGCTTTGGTTGGAGTTGAGGTTTTGGGGGGGGGGTTGATGTATACACAAAGTGTCTCAGTATCAAAGAGACCTTGGGCAAAGGTACCATAATGCAGAGAAAGTCTGCGGTTCGAGTCCGGCAAAAATCGAATTCTTTTTTGCCCTCTTTTGAGATGGGAGCAAACAACGTGAGTCGTTGCCCAAGTTTTTCTGCCTCTCCATCTCAGGTCGTGCCTGCCTGTTGTTTGTCCGTAGATCTGATGTTTGCGGGAAGTTGTTGACAGCGCCGATCTTATACATGTGGGGCTAGTACAAATCGGGGTTAGCGCGCCTCCACGCGCTCCCCCATGATGGAAGCTTCCATTTTCCTGGACAAACGAATTTATCCCCCCAAGGCCCGTCGAATTGGGGGTCGATCAACGTCATCTCCGTCGCAAGTCTTTCTACACATAATAAAGCCTCACTGAAAGGGAATTGAGTCTTCTTCACGAAAGATCTTGCAGGCATTGCGGGGGTGCTCCAACGTTCTGAAACAGGGGACGATCGAGGAATAGCGGCCGCGACAGCAAAGCTCTCCCAACCTCTGTGCCCGAGGCAAACGATCTAGCTCCGACAACTGCTACATCATGCGCTTGCACCTCGTCATATCTCGCCATGGCCTACCGCCGACACGAATTCTCTGGACAACGAGCTCGTCCTCGACCTTAGGTGAATATGGGTCTCATCAACCGGCAACGGCGTCGATGGTCGCGTCTTCGCGCACGCCGAACATCGCCTTCGCCAATGGAGGGTACACGATCGCACAGTTGCTGGAAGATGTGAATGAAGTTGTCCCACTCGAAACAGAACCGACGATATTTGACCCGGAGTTTAGCGGTCAGTGGGGCCTGGAGGACTACGTCGTCGAGGTTGGGGGATCGGAGTGCCTCCATTTCATGGAGGTGGATGGGCTGCTGAGGGATGGGGACGAAGTCGTGTAGGGAAACCACCGGGACCCTATTCTCCATAGGATTTCCTATTACTGCCAAAATCAAGCTCTAACATGTTGCGATTTGCATAGGATCCGAGCGCTTCAACTGGCTGACCTTCGTGCTCGGCGTATTTGCGGCCGTCACCAAATCACTGGCGATGGGAAACATTTGATTGATGGAGTGCCGTTCGGCATGCCTTTTTACAAACGGACCACCTCGAATCGACCGGCTATCACAATTCCGCCCAGAAAGAAGCGGCGGACTGCTTTCTCTGGATGGGACCAGGGACCAACGTACGAAGATCCCGGTGCAAACGTCAGAGTGCAGAGAGGCCATGCAAGTGACGATGAATGGCTTCCTCAAGATCCTGGTCAATACGGAAAAGAGCTTTCAGTTTTGCCAGCCGACCATGAGATTTCGGACATGGGGACTGTGATCCGCCATCCTGTCAATTACTCAGGGAATGCGGATGAGGCCATGGATGAGGATTCTGGGGAAGATTCCTACCGCTCAGACTCTGATGAAGAAGCCGACATTGAATATGAAGCGGATGAGCTCGAGGACGAACTCAAAGCTTTGAAAGAAGAGTTCGAGATTTCTGAGCCTCGGATCCTAAACATACACTCTCAGCCTCGAGAGTCATCAGGCCCGTCTCTACGCCCAAGCTCAATCGCCAAGAGGCCCTTATCCTCGGAATCCCAAGGAAAAAGCTCGCTTGTGGGTGCGTCCTCCTTCTCTAGCAAACATTCCGCGGGTCACCAGGATTCTTCGCCCCGTATGCCCAAGGCCGTCAGGTTCAACGGAGGAGCCCCGCGTGCCGACTTGGCCGCTGGGGGCCCCACGCAGGAAGAAGAAGACTCGTCCTCCTCCTCATCAAGTGAATCCAGCTCGGACTCGGAGGACGCAGAAGATGAAGAGGATCCCGAGGTCTCGTCTGACGAAGACTCCCCGCCTGAAGACGTGTCTGCCTCCTCATCAGCAGAATCCGATACTTCGAGTACCAGCTCGACTTCGGAGGACGATACATCTGAGTCCGAGGAGGAAGAGGACGATTCGGTCATCTCCAAAAAGACCCAGTCGACTATGATGAATCCACCCGGGAAAGGATCAACGCGCACGAAGAAAAGCAACATGCGCTTTAAATTACGGCGCAGACTCTCAAAGTTGAAAGAGCTCAAGATTCTTCCCGAGGAGGCTGATTTCGCTGCTCTTCGTGAATGGGAGGAAAAGAACGGCGGCTGGCACTTGCCCGAGGAGACCAGCATCTTGTCTGCCTCTACAAACGCGGCTCAAAGGAAAGAAGATGAGCAGCGCGAATTCGAAGCAAGACGGGAGAAGCTCCTTCGGGACTTGGCTAGCGGCGGCGTGGACGTCGATGAGACTTCTGAGAAGCAGATTACGCAGCCCCAGCGTTCCGGTGATTCCAGCAGTGTTGAGAGATCTGTTTCCGCAAACGCTGGAGTAGCTGGAGAGACATCGAATCCACGGAAGCTTGACATTGAAAGCTCACGACGTATGCTGTTTGGGTCATTGGGAGTCCGCACGCCAAAGACCGAAGAGGATGTGGAGGCCACGCGAAGGAAGCTCGCGGCACAGGCCAGCACTGCTCACTCACGCAAGGCTAAAGCATCTCGGCCACCCGTGGAGGAAATGAATGAAGAGAGCGGCGGTGACGACGACTGGGAGAACAAGCTAGTCATCAAAGCGGTTGAGTGTATCCATGATGACATTGTGCTGACTGCGCCGCCGTTTCCCTTTGTGCAGAGATGGGACAAAGAGGCGAATGAGATCATTCGTCAGCGTAACGGCTGGGGTAAAAAGCGTAAGCGCAAGCAGAGAGTCCAAGTCTACGAGGAAGACGAGCATGGGGAGTACGACGATTATGATCATAACGCAAGCGAGTCGCACATGCTCAATTACGATTGTCAATGGCCAACAGCTGAGAATGAAACAGCACAGGCCGCAGACCACCAGGTGAAATCTGAAACAAGTCTGGCTGATGATTTGCCCCCGATGCCTGCCGATCCAAGTTCATTGGCCGATCTATCCGAGAAGGATACAAAGGTTGGAGCAATCATTGCTTTCAAGCAACTGGACATGTCAAAAGCGACCAACTGGCAGCCTGTGCTTTCAGGATATCGTGTTGCTGAAATTCATGAGGTGCACAACAATGGCGAAATCAAGATTCGCCTGGCAGCACGCGATCGACGGCCAAAGCCCAAAGAGCGGGACCCAGAAGACGAAGAACCTCGCGCATACATTGATTTTGAAATGCCGGGAATGGAAGAAGATGACGAAGACGACGGGTATCGTGAGGTCGACATGTCAGAGCTCGCCGAGCCAAAGCTTCTTCGCACTGCAGCTCTTGATATCAGTGGCGTTGGTGGTGATCAAGCCGAAGAGAATGACAAATCTGGAGCGTCCGCCAGAGAGGGTAGCACGTCAGTCAACTGAACCCTTGAATTCGTTTGCGTGTGCTCACTGTCTTCAAAGTGTATCTGTAGTAGAGGATTCTATGCCAAATGACCAGCCCGCATCGTCACCATCCTCACCCATCGAAATGGACCTGGATGAAACCACTTATGTGACCCTGGAGACGGCTGCCAGTCGCTTGCCCTCCCTCAATGGATCTCCCGCAAGAGCTACGGAAGCGGCGTCTTCTCGAACCCCAACCGCTGCCGCTGCCAGACTTCGCGTCCCTCGTGGCAGATATGCAGACGACGAGTACAGCGAGTCGCCAGCTGTCCCATCGCCAAATTTCTCGGGCTTTCACTCCGCGCGATCTTCGCCAGGAACTAGTATAGGGCCTCGATATCATGAGCTTGGAGACTCAGGCTTGGACGGGCATACTCTCGTCGGCGAACAGTCGATGCTAGCCGTGGGTCACGCGAATCAAGATATGTCTGCGATTTCTTTTACCTCTGCGAACCAATCTTTCTCGAACACTCAGCAGGACAGCACTCCGCAAGATCGACAAGTTGTCGACAACAGCCACATCTCTGCCAGCAACGAGACTCTAGTCTCCATGGCTCACCATACAGTCGAAGCTGCCGAGACCGATCTCAAAAAGTCATCGCCTGCTCCCAGTGTCAGTTCCAGACCCAGTTCTAGTTCCGAAGAGCAGCAAAGTGAGAGGCCTACCCCGACGCAAAACAGCAGCATGCTGGAGTTACTAGAGAGCGACTGCTTCAATGCAGGCGACACCGAAGCGGAGAGGGAGGAGGGGGATGATGATTATGATGAAGAAGACAGTGTGCTCCACAGCAATCAGAGCCCTGACCTCTCCTCACAGACTTCACCGAGACCTCCCACAAGCGCGCAGCGTGTGTCTCACCCCTCGCCTAATCTCAATGACGATTCTTTGCGCCAATATGGCTCCCCTGCGACATCCACTCGCTCCAGACGCCCACAACACTCCTTTACATCTCAGCCCAGTGTCTCTCAAGTTTCTGAAGTGATCGATCTCACAGAAAAATCCAGCCCGGGTCCTTTGGCGTCCCATAGCAGTTCGCCGCAGCGCCCGACGACGAACGGTATTGGTAACGATGACCAGTCTTCAACCAGTAAGGCTACAGCATCGTCAAGCAAGATCCAGGAGATGGCAGAAGTCGCGGTTAGCCCGGGACCAAGCCAGAAGACAAAGAAGAAGAAGAAGAAGACAAAGAAGAAGGAGCGCTTTATTAGCAGAGTCTAAAGCGCCCTTGGAAATTTCACCTATTATCACAATGTTGTTCGGTTGAAACCTCAGGTCTGTCACGGTCGAGGTTAACTAAGATTTTACCTTTCAACATCAACCCCGGTTTCTAGATGGTGTTTCCCCTCCTTCCCTTAATTGTGATGCTGGCCATGACAGCTCCTTTTCATTTTGTTGTAATTATTTGATATACCATGATGGCAGCTGAGCTCAAGTATTAGCACATGTGGTGGTAAATTCCCATAATATCAATTTCTCTCATATCTTCAAACCAGCAGCACAGCGTGTAGATGAGGGAATCACATCCCTCATGAAAGAAGGTATCCCATTGTCTCTCTTCTAGCGAAATCAGTTCAACGCACTACATCCAAACATCCATCCCCTCCCCGGCTCGTCACACGATATGTTGGCGGACATGGCACTCCTTCCCCCACCTCCTCAGCCGATCAGACAGGTCCATGAAATCTCTATGGAGGTGACCACCTGCCGTCAACAGGGGTTACTGCTTAATAGGATCACGCAGTCATATATATGCTTTCCAGTCATATATATGCTTTCCGTGTAAGCGTCTGTGATCAGCCTGAATATTCACAAATTGTAGACTTCCCTACAAGAACTTTCACTCATATTGAGTGGATGGCTATAATGCGATTGAATGTAAGCTACTTCCGTGCGGACGTACCTATTTAGTCCACGCCAAAGCAAACAGCATTGCAGTGAACCTGTGAAATCCATTTCTTCAAGCCCAAGGATTACGTCCCCACTGAGGTTCCAGGACTGCAGATTTGGAGGGCATACCTACCTGGTTGTTGCAATCTAGATTACTTCCACCATTTGGCTCGGAAGCCCGACGTTGGATAAGAATCTTGGAAGGCTATCGGACTTCACTCACACCTGGGCTCTTCTATAGGTACTAGAGTAATGGCGTATTCATTCGATGAATAGACGTCCCTCTAAGGGATGGATGAGGTGTGGAGTTGGGGTGGACAGCATAGGTCAATTTTACCTACATATGTGGCGTTACTTCATCGGTCGAGTAAGTGAACTTCCATGCATTGCTGTCAATGACTTTCGAAGAAAGATTCCTACGAGCCGCGAGAGATTATATTGATCGAGAGGAAAAAGATGATGTTTTGAAGCGTCTGAGATTCGAGCTTGGTATGGAACTAATAGATAAGCAGAAGCTCTGTTCATGAAACCTGGACGCCGCAGCAGAAAGTTCCCCCCGCAGATGAAAATGTTTTTCGGGCAAATCATTAAAATACAAAGAAGGAAAGGCGACGGAGACAGGGATGACGCCCAGGGGAAGAAGATGACGGGGTCGTGTGAATCGATGTCGAAATGGTCGGCTTTTAGCGCACCGAAACACCAGATCGGTCAGTAAACATGCGAGCGGCGATGTTCATCGAGGCCAGCTCTTGGAACAGAAGCTTGGCGGCATAAGGGATATGGACTTGAGAGATGCGGTGCTTGTTGTTGCAAAGACGGCACTCGAAGAGACCCTTCTTGAGTTTGCTGTAGGTTGGTCAGTACACAGTTTCGAAGGGTGAAAACAGTCGGGAGAGAGGATGGACTTACGCGATGGGAGTCATCAGCCCACAGTCATCGCAGATATGAACTCGGAAGGGGTCTGAAACATCGAAGAGACGCTCTTTCAAGAAGTGGCTGGCGCCGTGAGCGATCATGCAGTCACGTTCCATTTCTCCGAAACGAAGACCACCGTCACGCGCACGACCTTCCACGGGCTGGCGAGTCAAGATCTGAGTTGGACCACGAGCACGAGCGTGAATCTTGTCATCCACCATGTGGCGCAGACGCTGGTAGTATGTAGGGCCGAGGAAGACTTGAGCCACCAACTTGCGTCCTGTGTGACCGTTGAACATGACTTCAAATCCGCGAGACTGATAACCATGCTCACGAAGCAGACGCGAGACGGAGTCCACCGTGACGTCTGTGAAGGGAGTGGCATCACCTTCATAACCACGCAAGGCAGACACCTTACTCAGCTGGCACTCAATCAAGTGAGCAATAGTCATACGAGAGGGAATGGCGTGGGGATTGATGATGATATCGGGTGTCAGGCCCTCGCGGCTGAAAGGCATGTCCTCCTGTCGGTAGGTGATACCAATGGTACCTTTCTGACCGTGACGCGAGGCAAACTTGTCGCCAATCTGAGGAACCTTGGTGGTACGCATGCGAACTTTCGTAAATTTGAGACCATCGTTGGCTGTTGAGATCACAACCTGATCAACGATACCGTTCTCGGTACTGCGAAGTGGCGTCGACACATCGACCTTGGTGTGTGACTTGGTCCGTTGGCCAAGCTCTTCAGCATCAGGCGCGAGGGGAGCAACTTTGCCAATAATAATGTCCTCTCCAGAAACACGCACACCAGGAGCGACAATACCGTCCTCGTCCAATTTATCGTAAGTGCCCTTGCGCATACCAATGGTCTGACTTCTCAATGGCTTCTCGAAACTCTCGACAAAGGATGTACCAACCGTTTTCTCCGAATCGGTGTATGTTCGATAGAATAAACTGCGGAAAAGACCGCGGTCGATACTGCTCTGGTTCATAATGACAGAATCTTCCTGGTTGTAGCCGGAGTATGTGGCGATGGCGACAATAGCATTTTGACCAGCGGGCAACTCGCGGAAGCGAAGGAACTCCATTGATCTTGTGGTGGCAAGGGGTTTTTGAGGGTAATAGAGAATGTTGGCCATTGTCTCCATGCGCTGCGCAAAGTTCGTCAAGAAGACACCCATAGCTTGCTTGCCCATGGCAGACTGGTATGTGTTACGAGGGGACTGGTTGTGATCGGGGAAGGGAATAATACTGGCACAGACACCAAGAATCATACTAGGATGAATCTCACAGTGCGTCCAGGTATGTGCTCGTTGAGTAACAGTACGAACACGCTTGTTCAAGTCGGTGTTGTCTTCCTCAGGCATGGCGTAACCAGCTTTAAGGTGCCTGGAAATTTCGAGATCCTCAGGAGTCATGACAATCATGATCGTCTCCTCCTCCTCAGCATCAACGTATTCCACGACACCGGACCTGACCAGGCCATCCCAACCGAAGCCCTGCTCACGGAATTGCTCTGGCGGCAAATCACGCTGAAGCTCCTTATCCAATTCCAGTAAACGAATGTGCTCTTTGTTGAGAACCAAACCTCCTGAATTCTCACTCTTGGGGTCATTGTCAACAACGAATAGAGGGCGGCACACACGTCCAGCATCTGTGAAAATTTTGAATTCTCGGTCACGAATGTCACGAATCAAGCTGACTTCGTGAGAGATCATGTTACGTCGACGCAGGGACTGCATAGTGCTCACCAGGTGTGTGGGATCACGGTGAATACCGACCCAAACGCCATTGACAAACACCTTGGTAGCATTGGGAGTAACTTGGGGCTCAAACTCTTCAAGAACCTCCATGTTTCGCTGGATCATGAAGTCGACGATGGGCTCGCTAGGCGTTCCAACGGTGATGTAGCACATGAGTGCCAAGTTCTTGACAAGACCACAAGCTTGACCCTCAGGAGTTTCAGCTGGACACACAAGGCCCCAATGGGTATTGTGTAGTTGACGAGGCTTTGCAATCTTGCCGTCACGACCAATTGGGGTGTTTGTGCGACGGAGATGGGATAAACTTGAAGCGAATGTGTAGCGACTCAGCACTTGAGACACACCAGCCTTGGAGCTGGCAGCCTTCTTCTGCTCACCCCAGTTACCCGTCGCCAAGGCATATTTCAAGCCACCGGTAAGGGTTGCGGCCTTGAGGCCAATGCGGAGATTGGGCTCCTTGTTTGTCTCCACACATCGCTGCATGTAGCGTTGCAGGTCACGAGTGACACGTGTAAAGAGCACGCGGAAAAGACCAGCCAAAAGGGGACCGGCCAAGTCCAAGCGTTTCTTTCCGAAATGGTCACGGTCATCCACATCTCGGCGACCCAGTGCACATTGCAGCAAACGGTGAACCATGTAACCCAGGAAAAAGGCCTTTCGTGTTTCACTGCCCTCACTTTGGGAGATGTGGGGCAACAGCTCCTTCTGCATGATCTCTCGCGCATATCGGACACGTCGCTCGTGATTCAGATTAGACTGTGAAGAGCCACGCTTAGCAATGAAGTCAAGAGCGACTTCGCGGTCCTGGATAACGAAGCCTTCCTCGATACATGGTTTCAACATCTCCAGCATGGGGGTATCATTGCGGTCGTAGCAGACATGGTTGAGAATATCTTCGTCGGACACGACACCAAGAGCACGGAAAACGATGACAATGGGAATGTCAGACTTGACGTAGGGAAGAGTAGAACGGATGGTAGGACCAAATCCGCCTTTTGCACCGTCGCCCTTCGCAAAGAGCTTGAGTGCGAGTTGGGAAAGGAGACGTGAACCCTTCTCAACAGCACTTCGAATTTCGGCAACATACGGTGTTGGGCTGGGCGGGGCCTTCTTGAAGACCTGCACGATGTTCCCAGCACTACGCTCCTGAGCAATCAACACCTTCTCACTGCCGTTAATGATGAAATAACCACCTGAATCATAGGGGCATTCATTCCAGGCATAAAGACGATCCTCAGGAGCCTCCTTCAGGCAGCAGTACTTGGACTTCAGCATGATCGGAACTTTGCCGATGAAGATGGTTTCCTCCTCTTGCCAGCCGGAGTCCTGGGTTCGCGGGGTCCACTTCAGATATGTTCCTCGCTCCTTGTCCTCGTCGTTTGCATCAACGGGTTCCCCCTCCTCCCGGTCAGCCACTGGACACTCTCGCGCTTCGGTGACGAACTTTTTCATTGTCAGATAGAGGGGACTGGCGTAGGTCAGGTTTCGCAGGCGGGCCTCTTGAGGCAGCATGCTCACTGTCGTTCCGTCATCTTCCGTGACGGATGGGCGTGTAAGCATGACAGTGCCGAACTTGATTTCGTATCGGCGCACAACGACGGGCTCGGCTTCGTCCTCGTCGGGGGGGACAGTCTGATCCAAAACAACCTGCCCTTGCTCCTCCACCAACTCCTGCATAGTCGAAGAAATGAACTCGTCGAAAGAATCGAGTTGCTGGGATACAAGACCTTTCACATCAAAGAAGGACGAGATCACTGTCCAGCAGTCCTCGGAGGTGATTCCATCTTCGGCATCGTCATAGAATTGCTCCTCGTAGGCTTCGTCGTAGTCCGCCATGGTTGCAGTGATTCTGGACCTCGCAGATCCTGGTTGTGACGTAGAAAACGAAGGGAAACGGAGAAAGCGGTTGCGGTGAGGGCGCAGGGAGGGCGCGTTCGCAGCGTGGGAAGATAGTAAGGTGAGAGATCACCCAACGCGCTGCGACACCCACCTGTCAGTGACTAGCGTAAAGGTGGATTTCCTGCGAATGCCACAGACAAGCAAATGGGTGGCACAGAGAGCTTGGTGAGATGAAAAAGATCTCTCAGCGTGGTAAGTTGAAAGGAAACGATTATTGATCTTCGAGGATCTTGATGCTGCGGCGCGGCCGAAGCGGGCTAGGCCCGATAGAGAGGCGTGCAGCACGTGACCTTTTTCACGTGATCTTCGAATAGTCCGACGAGAAATAAGTAGGTGGAGCCGATGGCTAGGTAACTTGTCTATCAACAAATGAATGGATGTATGGCAGGCTGCAGTCACGCACAAAATGATGTGACTGCTGCCTTCATTCTCTGTGGAAGCAAGGGTCAGAATCAGACTTGACAATCTTAGCCTATTCATGTTCCAGATAAGAGATTGATTCAAATGTGAGACTAGGGACCCTCTATGTGGTAATATTATCCATTCCCTTCCGAACGCCACCTGTCACCGTCCGCGAGACCATGCGAGTAGACCATGCCGGATAATCAACTGTTTTTTAGCATGAGAAACACATGTTGGAATCATCCGCCAGCGCAATTATGCATGAATATCAATCAGTATCATTAGGATCGCCCATCCCAGCGGTTACTCTCATCACCCTCAGCCCACGATTGCTCCGTGTAGCCCAACTTCTTCTTCACCTCCTGAACCTTGGCCCTGTCACCAGTGTTTTTACCCATGTTATCGCTCAGCTTGACGGCAGGCCGGCCGTTGGCGGTGGCGATCTTAATGACAATGTTGAGGGGCTTGGACTTCTCGCCATTCGATTTGTTGGTGAAATCATCTTCGCTCACGTCAGAATATCCTTCCAATTAAATGCAGCCATCCACAGGAAAACTTACTTGTGAAGAATGTGCCAACGCCGAAGGTAGGACTGAAGCCGGCTTCTTCAGCAATTGCCTTATACTCCAGACAATGCTCGATGTTCAAAGAGTCCGAGAAGACAACCGTCTTCTTCTCAGTGATGCCCTCACGATCGTAGAAATCGCGAACCATTTTGACAAAGTAGGATGGGTCGCCAGAATCTTGCCGAACACCTGCATAAACTCGGGCATATGTCTTCTTGGAGTGGGATTTGTCCGTGTGGACATCGGATGTGACAGGCGGCTTCGCGGAAGCATCACTGTCCACAGTAGGTTCAAGGATAGGTCTGCGGAAGGCATCGAGGAAAGCCGGTGTGCCAAACGTGTCGGTAAGCGCAACACCAAGAACCTGTCAAGTGGGAGTGTTAATAGGGAACCATCATCTCGCTAAGACAGCAGACCCTGATCGGTGGGAACTTACCCCTTCTCCAAAGCAGCCGAGCCAATAACGCAGACCAAGTTCGTTGGCGTTCTCGTAGTCGTCTGTGATCGCGGCAATGGTCATGTACCACTCGTGAGCCACAGTACCAACCGCGTTGACGTTGTACTTCATCGCAAAATGCACATTGCTTGAACCCGTGAACACACCCTTCCATCCTCGTCGCTTTCCTTCCTCCGCAGCCCGACAGAGACCCGTCATCACGAGGTCTTGAGTGTGATAATCTCTCCGCCGACGAGAGCCGAACTCGGAGAACACGCATCCATTCTCCAAAAGTTCACACCCTTTCCTGAAGGCCTTCTCCTCTTGGTTGTTGTAGTCCCAATCTTTGTCGCTGAACATGAAGTACGCCTGGCTCGTGAGAGCAAGTAGTGGGATCTCGTACAAGATTGTATCTACCCAGAGGCCTTTGATGGTGTATTCAATGTCACCTTCATCCTCTTCGCTGCCAGTATCCTGAGTCGGGGTGAATTTGATCTCAATCTGCTCTTCAGGGTTGAGCTTGAAAGTGTCCAGGAATGTAAGGTAGGTATCATTGAGATATGGGCACTTCTGCTTGAGCCATGCTCGCTCTTCCGGCGTCACACGGATATTCGCAAGTTCTAGAGTAATCGTTAGATCGTATGTCGATCATATCGAACGTGGCTGCTCCAACACCGAAGAGCCTAGCACTCACTCTCCATCTGCTCTAGGAGCCATTTATAAGCGGCACGGCGCAATTTCATATGCGGTGTTCGATTCGTGAAGGCATACGTTACGTCTGGAGAGAGGTCAGAACTGAAGGTCTCTCTCACAGAAGTATGGCAACTCACGGACGTCTGGGAAGTATTTCAAGATTGCACATTGCATCGTCAATTTATACAAATCTGTGTCCAGAAGTGAGAAAATGCCTTCCGGCAGAGGTGGGGTTGCATTGTGGCCCATTCTGATAGCGTTCTGAAACTCCGCGTGAACAATTTAGACGAATGACGGGTACCGAGAGACAAGGTGATTTCGGATTGAGATGATGTATCGATGTGACGAAAGTTCCCCGCGATAGGGGGCAAAGGGAATTTAAAAGGTTGCGAAGTTCTGACTCAAAGCTGCAAGCTACGCGATAGCAATAATTTGGCGCGGGGAAAATCCCGATATCAAGGATGTTTGTTCTGTTTGCATAAAGATGATGCGTTCAGATGATAACTTTGAACCATGAATGGGAGCACCTTGTGAGAAGATAGAGTGTCATTAAGGGAGCGTTCAGCATAATAGCTGAGAAAATCTCCTGAAAGTTGTTGTATGTCTCCCATGCGCCAATGGGTAATGGGACAGTGCATGAATGCGTCTGTACAGTTCGGCTATCCAGTAAAGATGACGATGTCCCACGTCGGCGCGCCATATACACCTAAATCGATCAATGGTTCAGATGCATATAGATTTTTCCATTCATAATCATGAATATATGCAGCAGGTAATGGTTCAAGTACCAGTGAGCTAGAACATGGCGGAATGACCCGATACTTGTGTGTACCTTTGAAGCGGCTTCGAGCAATAAATAGCACTCTGTTTGTCCGCCTGTACATCAGAGTTGCATGATAGACGTCCGTGTCTGGAATACTTCCTGAACACTTCCTTCTCACCTCACATTCCAGATTCTCTTCTCTTGAGCTACGTGCTGCAACCCCTAGGTGAAGCTGTGTGAATTACAGCTGATAGCACCAACTATCATACATCCAGTAGAGCAACCTTGAATCTATGGCATGGACGCCAAGCCTGCGGCTCTACCATGTGATCGGGTCCAGCCAGGGGAGGCTGACTCAGCGAATACTGGCCGCCCGGCTCGGGCGGAGTCGCCATCTGCCCAGTCATCTCCAGGCGCAGGGAGATGCCTAGACAATGACGGCCGATCCGGAACGCGGCTGCGATTAATCATCAAAGGGCCAAAGGCCCCGAAGTCTGAATCTGAAGTACTGTCACCACGTCGGGGTCGTGGCCGACCGAGGAAAGGAACAACAATCGCATCGACAGTCGGCTCTACACGGAAGAGAAAGAACTCTCCTACGCCAGCCATGGCTCACGGTGCTGAGGACTGTGCTACAGTCCTCGAGCAGTTCGTTCACGATTCGGCGAACTTGCCCCTCGAGATCAATCATCTGATGGAAGAGATACAAGCCAAAGACAAGATCATGCAAGAGTCTCGCGTCACGATCAACTCCAAGGATGGAAGTCTTCAAAAGTTCATCAAACTGAATGGCAGTCTGGCACCTAATCCCAAGGAAGAGCAGTACACAAAGGCTGTGCTCGAAAGTTTTGATCGGAGCCAGCAGCTTCAGGAAGAAAAGATTCAGCTGAGCGACAAGGCATGTGTCCTCTTGGACCGTCAGATCAAAAGACTAGACATGCGCCTACGCGAACTCGTGAATGACGGCGTTCTTTCCAATGATCCACCACTTCCCTCATTGTTCGACAACAAAAACAATTACCGCGACCCTCCACGAGTATTTTTTCCCGACGCTACTCCTTCTGAATCCTCCTCCTATGCTACACCTTTGAATCAAACCTCTGGAAATGTCAATCCCATACTGGCTGCCGCTCAACGCCTGAGCCAGGCCACTCCACGTGTATCAGGCCCCTCTACCATCGCTGCTCAAGGTGGCGCTCGAAGCTCAGCACCGGCCACTCCTGCTGCATCGGCAGCGATCCATCTTCACCAACGTCAGCGAGAGTCTTCTGCGGGTGCAATCGACACTAAACGTCGGCGACTTAATGCATCCCTCGGTACTCTTCCCGCTGCATCGTCCAACTTGCGTCAGTCGTCAATAGGACCTGGAACACCCAAGGCAGGCACGCCTGCTGGCAGCCGCGCTGGTAGTGTTGGGCCACGTGGCGCAACTGGCATCAAGAAAGCCCTCACAAAGAAAATTGCCCCTCACCAGCAAAGCAAGAAGCTCAAAGCCTCGTCGTCTAGCAAGCACACCAAGCGATCATCCAGTGCCAGCGGTCGTATCAAGGCGTCGAAGAAATCACCAACAGGCGACGGTGCAGACGACGACGACTCTATGCTCAGTAGTGCTGATGTGTCGGAATCCGACAAAAGCGATGGTGCTGATGGCGATGAGGATGTTGATGACGACGATGATGACGAGGAGGGCGCTGAAGATACCAAGGTGTACTGCACTTGCCGTACAGTCAGCCATGGGGACATGGTCGCCTGTGATCACGACGGCTGTCCTTACGAATGGTTCCACTGGAAATGTGTTGGGCTTACCCGGGAGCCGGTCGGGGCTTGGTTTTGTGATGAGTGTCGAAAGACGCTCGGGAAGTAAGGTGTTCTCGACGATCTTGATCTCTTTGATTTTTAGGTCCGTCTCTTGTACGAATTCTATGATGAAACACTTTTATATACCCAAAGGCGTATGGAATGGAGGAGGCGTTGGAATAGTCTCTTGTTGATCTTTGGGTTCGTTTGCCGATTGAAGAATCTTGCTCTATAGCATTTTATGAAACGCGCGGCAATGTGCCTCAGCTGCCGAAAAAGACGATTGTTTGCGTTCAAGGACACATCTAAGTTGAACCCCTGCCACTCCATTTCATTAGGAAGATTGCCAGCGATTATCGCTCTTTGGCTCTGGTATCACATTTTTTTCCCACCAACCGTCATTGGTCTCGTCCAAGGCTGAGGGCTTTGGAGAGCTTCAAACATGTCAGGCGAAACGTAGACCACTACGAGTTGAAGTATAGCAATAAACCTTGACGTTTGTGAGGCGGATCAATTTCGATCAACCGAGGCAATACTTGGATGTTTCAGGATTGCATTGCTTCCAACCTCGTCTTGTGAGTTATGTCCGGGAGCACGTGGGGAGAGTCGAAGCGCGAATCGCCATTTGCCAATCAATATAAATCCCAAATTTCGGCCTGTGCATGCATGGAAAAAACACCGAGGAGAGTAAGGTCGCCCCTAACATGCGCCCAATTCAACGAACTATTATACAAAAAAAGACTTCGAGTCATCGTGGTCATATCATTCGAAGCCTATGATTCACCAGGCTTTGTGAATAACGGTCGAGGCTAGCCAGTCGCGATTCCGATGTAGGTGAAATTACATGCTAGGAGCTTGTCAGTCAATGTTCATCTGTCGGCTCGCTGGTTGTACACGATGGGACTCACGGCGGGAGCAGAAGCTCGCCGAGGCTGCTGTGGAGGAACGCGACACCGGCCTGTATATCTCACCATTAGCTTTAATCCACTGTGATCGCCATGGATATGGAGAATTACTTACACCGAAGACCAGGAGGCTGCGGACAATGGTCGCGTTCTCAGGGTTGGTGGCCTCGTCGTAAACCGTGCTCAGGAAGCTCTTCTGAGGACGGGAGGAAGATGAAACAGCAACACGCTTGGGAGCCATGGCGAATGTCTGTGTTGATGAAAGGGTGATGAAGATGAATGGAAGAAAGCGATCAAATATAAAGAGAGCAGTGAATTGAGAGGATTCAAGAATTCTGCGGCGGCCGGGCCGATTCGCGCATGGCAGGGAACTCAGGCCGCTCTCCGGGCGCAGTCTGTCTTGACCGCCTAGTTTTGCCCAGTACAGGCTCGAAGAGCGCAAGTACGTAATGCATGCGCTTGTATGCCATCGTTCAGTTGCTTTATTATGACACCGAGTGTAGAGGGTGTCCAGCTCTAATAAGGTAGTCTTCAAATGCACAGCTCAATTATATGTTTTCGGACAACCTTAATACATGTAGGTCATGAGTGAAGTGCTTGTATGTCAATCTCCGCGCTATTCATCGCATACTTCGAACTGAAGAAGGCGGTAACTTCGGCTCTATCGATACCAATCAAGGTGCGCCTCTTCCGCATCACTGCGGCATTGGCACCTGCTGTTGACTGTACTGCATTTCGTCGCGCGCGACAGCTTCTACATGCTTGGTTTCACATGCAAGGTCCTTAACTGCCAAACAAATAGATATCCGCGGCAATCATACTTCGAGCAGCTACGAGACTGCCCTACAGAAAAATCCATTGATCAGCAATTCTAACGAGATTGGCCTCCACATCCATTCGAGGCATTGCAACAATGACTAGTGTTGACGAGCTATTCAAGGTAAGTGTTGCGTGGCTGGGAAGACGGCCGCAAAGGATTGGCCCAAAGACTGACAACCACAAGAAACCCCTGGCAACAGGAAGCTCCAAGCGAAAATTTGAGCCTGTCCAGGACCCAAGTAAGCTCGTACCCACTCTGCAACTTGGGGCTCTGCTAATGCGATTGTACAGATGAGCTGTACAAAGCGGCGAAAATCGAGTCAACTGGCGATGTGAAATCCAATGGCAAGGGCGCGATGATAGAGGACGAAGACGTTATGGACGACGGCGAAGCTGGGCCTGAATTACCACCCGACTTGGAAGACGATATACCTGATGATGAAGAGGGTCGATTCTTTGGAGGAGGCATGGAACAGAAGACTGCTCAGGCTATGGAATACATTGATCAGAACGAAGATGAAGCTGCGGTAAGCTTGCGTCACAGTGCATTCGGTGGAAACGGGCTGCTAACAGGCTCTACCCAAATCAGCCAGAGAAGTTCGATGCGGCCTGGGTACGTCGGTTCGCCTTGAACTTCGAGAAAAAGATCTCCAAGAACGCTGAGCTACGCGCGAAATTTGAGAATGAACCACAAAAGTATGTGCGCACTCCAACTACTGGGACTGAGTATCTCTAACAAGTCTCTCAGATTCATGGCATCTGAAGCCGATTTGGATACCGAGATCAAAGGCCTGTCAATTCTCTCTGAGCATTCTGATCTTTATCAAGAATTCTCGAAGATGGGATGCGTCGGGTCATTGGTGTCACTGCTCTCCCATGAGAATGCTGATATTGCCATTGATACGATTCAGATCATCAGTGAACTCACGGATGAGGACGTGGAGGCTGAGCAGGAGCAGTGGGACACCCTGGTCAATGCTATGGTAAGTTCATGAAACTTTGGTGCTTGGTTTCTCAAGCAGTATGCTAAAGCAATCAGATGGATGCCGACCTTATCGAGCTACTTACTCAGAATCTCTCGCGCCTTGACGAGAATGCTGAGACTGACAGAGCAGGTGTTTATTACGTTCTCAGTAAGTAGAGGTGTCCGTTCTCGCTCTGTTCCAAGAAGCAATCAGAGATTAACCTGTCATCAGATGTCTTGGAGAATTTGTCGTCCCAATCTGCGTTGTCAGAGAAAATTGGACAAGACTCAGTTGTAATGTCTTGGATTCTATCACGCATCCAAAGAAAGGAGAGTCCAGTCTCCCAAAACAAGCAGTATGCTGCAGAAATTCTGGCCATTCTTTTGCAATCTTCACCCAAGAACAGGGAAAAGTTTATTGGTCTTGAGGGCATCGATGCGCTCCTACAGCTGTTGAGTCAATACCGCAAGAGAGACCCGGTGAAAGACTCAGAAGAAGAGGAGTATGTTGAGAACCTATTCGATTCATTAGCTTGTCTCGTCGATGAAGACTTAGGAAAGGTGAAGTTCATTGAGGCTGAAGGAATCGAGCTTGCTCAAATCATGCTGCGTGAGAGCAAATTCAGCAAGTCGAGAGCTCTGAAACTTCTCGATCATGCTCTCGGTGGAGCTGGCGGTACTCAGGCCTGTGAACGATTTGTCGAGATTGCTGGATTGAGAACGATCTTCGGCATGTTCATGAAGAAGGTCAGTGGTGTGTCGATGTTTTGACTGGAACCAATATGGCTAATATCACACAGCAAGAGGGCCAAAGTATCGAACATTTGCTTGGGATCTTCGCTTCCTTGCTTCGCCTTCTTCCTGGAGGATCTCCGCCCCGGATTCGGGCTTTGGCCAAATTCATGGAAAAGGATTACGAGAAAATTGAGAAATTGGTCAAGCTACGAACGGAATATGCCGCCCGACTGTCTCCAGTTGAGCAAGCCATTGAAAAGGAGCGAAAAGGACTCTCGGAAGACGATCTAGAGTTCATGACAGGCGAATGGCTGTCGCGTCGCCTCGATGCTGGTTTGTTCTCATTACAAGTAAGCTCTATCAATCCATACTCACACCTAGTATCTTAACTGATCACGACTAACCACATTATGTTGAAAGACAATTGATGTTATCCTCGCATGGCTTATTGCCGAAGATGATGGAGCGCATAAGAAAATCGTTGGCCTTCTTGCAGATCGAGACGAAGACTTATCCCTCATTCGAAACACTTTGCAAGGTAATTTCTTCTGGTACAGTGCTGCCCTATGAGCCCGGATTACTGACTTTCGCAGACCAATTGCAAGGATTGGAAGATGAGGACCAGGCGCAGAAAGACTTCAAGGACATGCTGACAACACTGATGCAATTCTGCTAGAGGAATGTGCTATTTGAATGAGTCTCGTCTTTTTTAAAGCCAGCACTTGGTACTGAATAGACCATAGTGCCTATGTATTATTTAATTTTCGCATACAACAAGCGGATTGCCTCGCTCCGGCGGCCATCCATCCCCGGCTTGTCCTTTGGAATAGTAAGCCAACCGTCTGGTTTGCCAACGGAATGTACCGGAAACACAGTAAGCCCCTGATGCGATTCTCGACTGTTGCAAAACCTTGTGCATAAGGATGAAGAGCGTGAATCAGACAGACTCGGGATGGCTCCGTGCGCAAATTCGTGGGGACTTGAACTTGATACCACTCCTCAAGAGTTCAGGATATGTACATGATTTCCATCAATCGTTCGCCTTTTCCTGCCCAAATGAGAGCCGCGCGCTTTGTTTTTCGCATCTTATGCAGATGTAAACACCCCTTCCTTGAACAATGCTGGCCTCAAGTATGCCTGAGCTGCCATGTTCCGTAGGCAGTTCATATTGCATTTTACAAGATGTCGGGCCTTCCTGCGCAGGTGTCTCTTCCCCAGATCTCAGAGCTTAGAATACGAGTGTCTTCCCGTATACGTCTCTCGCGCAAGATGAATGACTCCCTGGGAAAGCTGGGCCCGAGAGACATACATTGCCCGTCCATTGTCGATGTTCTGTCCGTTCTCAAAAGCATGGAAGACGATCTTCGTACCATCGACTGAGAAATCAGACCCCCCGGGTCCAGACAAGGGTCCAACATCACTGCCATTGCCAGAGACCAGCAAGGGGGCATTTGGGGCCTGGACCTTGGTATACGGGCCTGCGAGATTGGATGCCACAGCATAACTGACATCATATAACGTGGTATCGTACATGTTCGACGAGAAAGTCAGGTAGTATATACCACTATGCTTTGCCAAGCTAGGTGCTTCAATCAAGGGCCCGTCTGTATTGCTGCGATCCAAAAGCTGGATTGGTGAGCCTATGGGAGTTATCGCATCGGATTCCAGTGCTTGAAGCATAAGCGGCGTAGGATGAAGTGTACCGTCTCCATCTAGGCTGTTCCCGTCACTTTTGTAGACGACGTGAAAAGTACCCTGGTCGTAGAAGCCGTCTGGGTCAATGGCACCGCCTTGTTGGAGCGGACATGCTAATGGCTGGCTTTCGGGGATGTAAGGCCCAGTCACACTGGCTGATATCGCCACGCCGACACAGTGTTTGCTTGTGTCTGCTGCGGCCGTGGCAGCAAAGTACATCACAAATTTTCCATCCCCCTAAAGCAGCAGGATTAGAGATCCGGTTGTGCTGTTCATCATGCAAGAGAGAACCGGTCATTACTCACTCGTTGAATCACATCGGGGGCCCAGACTGCTGGGGACGAGCCCACCCATGAAGGAAACGGTCCAGGGAGAGCGTCATGTCCCGCAAGCAACTGCCACGAGATAAAATCGGCAGAGGAGGCAACTTGGATATTGACACCATTTCCATTTGTAGCAAAGGCGCAGTATTGGTCATCGGCTTGTATCAAACAGGGATCGGGGAAGTCGACGTCCAAGACTCGGATCGGCTCTGCCTGGGTGTGTACCCAGTTGCAAGCAAAGAGAAGAATCGAGGTCCAGAAAGGTTTACAGAACATCTTGGGAAATCAAAGGTAGGCGGTGAGCAGCAAGAGTAGATAAATTCAAGATCAGATGAATAGTATGACGATAATATGGGGTTAATTGCATAGACAGTTACGTGAGTGTTGGTGGACTGTCCTGTGAAATTGGAATCAACAGAAGCTGTGGATAGTGGTTGGTATTTATGTCACAGCGTTGGGGTATGCCTGAAGATGGATTGACATGCATGAAACAAGCTTTGGGATTCCACATCTGCAACTGAATAGGCCTTTGCCTAACATGCGACACGATATAGATGCCATGAGATCGACTCAAGTGTTGACCCAATGGAGACGAGCCGTACACAAGATTGGCTGGCAACACACATGTCGAGGACATGAAGGGATACACTCATCTCTTCAAGCACCGTGTTGTCAATATGGCCCCATGACGACCTGAAAGTCAATATTTGACTGGCATTGATCGGGGAGTATCGGTCTCATTTCGCAGCAATTCGATCGTCACAGAGAGGTCGAACGAATTCAAGAACTAGGCCAGTTGCCCAGAGCGAGACAATTGAATGCCTCGACTACCTTCGGAGTAGACGGCCCATCCACCAAGTCAGCACGAGCTAGACGTACGTGCACTCCACGCACCACACTGGACGCCCATTCATGGAGGAATTCACTTATGATCATCAGTTGGCAATGCTTGGACCTCCCAAAAGAGTGTGCTACTTCAGGCGGTCTGGCACTTGCAGTGCTCGCGGGGTATCTTCGGTAACAGATCGGATAAAGACCACCCCTACGTTCCCCGCGTTTTTGCTTCTCGCTTTCTCCACAGGTGCTGCTGTCCGACGTTCCGCGACGAGATGACAGACAAGAGCCAAATGGAGAGATCAGCAAGGGCCACTCAAGTGGAGAAGGTCTTACGACGATTGCTCAACAAAGTCTGGCTCCAGATAACTAGTAGTAGTCAATTGGGTAAGTTACTGGCAATCACTTTGCGGCACAAATATTTTCATGTCGTCCCTCATAAATAATGCCCAAGTCAAGTGAACTTTCTTGGTTCGAGCAAAACCTCATTCACTCTGTCTGTTGATCATGGCCGTCTCCCCTGCAATCAAAACTGTGGCCTACCCACGCCCCGACTTCCAGCGAAGAAACCTCAACTGGGCCTCGTTGGATGACGCATGGGACTTCATATTTGACGATTCCGATAGCGGGTTGTCTGAACGATGGCAGCAAAAGGGACTTCCGGCTCAAAATGAAGGGCACGGAAAACGCCAAATTCAAGTTCCCTATGCCTTCCAGTTTCCCGCGTCAGGGATTGGCCTCCATGAAGCCCACGAGGTCCTCTGGTACGAGCGCGTGATCAGCGATATCCGAACATCAGACGAACAAAGCAACCGCCTCATTCTGCGCTTTGGAGCAGTCGACTACGAGTGCAGTGTATGGGTGGATGGAAAACTGGTTGGTGGTCATCAAGGTGGCCATGTCCCCTTTGACCTTGACATCTCTGATGTGATGGTCGGCAATACGGAAGCTCGCTTGACAATTCGTGCTCGGGACTCGCCAACCGACCTGACCCAGCCACGCGGCAAACAATATTGGGGATCTGTCTCGGAGTCGATTTACTACACTCCCACCAGCGGCATTTGGCTGTCTGTGTGGATGGAGAGTGTGCCGGCAACGCGGCTGGGCTGTGGTAGCTACGGCACTGTCCTTCGCTCAGATGATATTGCAAACGGCCGGCTCCATGCGCGGGTTGCAATTGTCGACAAAGGAAGGGCCACGACCAAATACCGTGTTGAGATCGAGGCCTCTCTTGCAGGAAAACTTGTCAGCCGAGCCGTGAGGGACGTTCCGGTCGATAGAAACTTCGTGCAACTGGACTTGGATATGAAGGCTCCCGGCCTACTGCAATCGAGGGCATTGCCTGGTTTCGACGGCTGCTGGCGCGATGATCTCGCCTTGTGGGAGCCCGAGCACCCAGTCTTGTACGATTTGACGTTGCGTCTGTACAGTAACGACCAGCTGATCGACGAAGTTTGCACCTCGACGGGAATGCGGAGCATCTCTTGGACCGCAGGAAACGGCACATTCCAACTCAATGGAAAGCCGTTCTTCCAGGCACTTGTTCTCGACCAGGGTTATTGGCCCGAAACTGGGATGACACCTCCCAGCCCAGAGTCCCACAAGCTTGACATTGAGTTGTCGATGGCCATGGGTTTCAACGGCTGCCGGAAACATCAAAAAGTGGAAGATCCGGCCTTCCTCTATTGGGCGGATAGACTGGGTTATTTGGTGTGGGGAGAAATGGCGAATGCTTACGAGTTCGCGGACGACGTGGAACGGTTCAACAATGAGTGGACGGCTGCTGTCAAAAGAGACATCAATCACCCATGCATTGTGACCTGGACCCCGGTCAACGAAAGCTGGGGCTACACCTCACTGAATGATAACATCGAGCAGCGTAATCACATTCGCTCCCTATATTATATGACCAAGTCAGTAAACAGTCTTTGTGATCAGAAGACTACGAACGCCGTAGACTAACTTGAGACGCAGGACTTTGGATCCTAGTCGTCCGGTCAACGACAATTGTGGCTGGGAGCATGTGTTGACCGATCTCACCACGTACCACGACTACGCCGACTCAGCCGAACTCACCAAAACATGTGCCGAAATGGAAGGTGGTATTTTGGCCCCGAAAGCGGCCCATGACATGTTCACTCCGCCAATTTTCCATGGATCGATTCTCGTCGACGAAGGCGCGCAGCACAGACCCGGTGCTCCTGTCATTTGCACTGAGTTCGGAGGAGTCAACATTGCCCCCGCGAGCGGCACGACGGCAGGTGAACGAGACTGGGGATACACCACTGCGAGTGACTCGACGGATCTTCTTGCCAGATTTGAAAAGCTGGTCATGGCTGTGGTGCGCGGGGGCCATTCCTGCGGACTTGTGTACACCCAATTGTGAGTCGACTCCCATTTGACTTGAGCGCTATATCAAGTTCAATGTGCTAACACTAGTGCAGGTATGATGTAGAACAAGAAGTGAATGGGCTATACTCATATGATCGCAGAGCAAAGATTCCTGCAGAGAAGGTGAAGGCAATCCTTGATGAAGCGCAAGCATACTACTACAAACATGTTGCGCCCACAGCGACTAGACTGCAGAACAGGCAGAAGAGGCATTGAGAGGGCATGTACATTGGATTCAGTCTTGCGGTAGCAATGTCGACTGGGAAGTCGTTCGCGCCAAACTGGAAGAAGCTATCTTGCTTAGTTCATTCTACGACAGGTCCAATACAGCAATAGACAGGCAATTCTTAGTCCATATCTTACACCCAAATTGTTCAATACCGTGATTAGGAAGCAGCTTGATTAATTAGAGACTGAATGCACGTGTCTTCACACGCTCTCAACAAGTCAATATGAATCAAGCCTTCAAGAAACACATGTCTTCAACGGATACAATCAGTAGTTCAGCTCCTACAGAGAGACGCGCTATGCGTTTCTTGAAATTCTCAACGGAGCTGTCATATGAATGTCTCGCTTGGTGCGTTTGGAAGACAGATCTCACTAAGCGATAAGTCCAGGCCTTGGAATCACCCAATGTACGTGTCAGGACAGCCTACTCTCAGCACACCTAGATCTCAGAACACACCGTGGAGCCGCAACTCTAATCTGCTAGATAGCATGGTGTTCAGCGTCAACATCCTCTTACCAAGCCAAAGAGTCCACCGGGGAACGTCGGCTCAGTGGCTTGTCGGGGAACGTCGGCGCAGACACCGAAGAACCACAATACGCGGATGGCCTTTTTTCGACGCTAAGGAAACTTTCTCCACTTCTGCGACCTGATGCACTCGGTACTTCCTCTCATTCACCAGATTCGGCAGTTCCTTAAGCTGTTTACAAGCCTGCCAGCCATGACAGAGTGGTATGATTGGCATTCAGAACGGGATGGCACTCGAACAAGCTCAAACGGCAGCCCCGCCCCCGAGCTTTCTCCAGATGGGGTAAATCTGGGGAAAGCTAGATGTTTTAATAAACTCTTTGTCGATGGCTAGCTTGGATTCATATAAAAACTCGGGGTTGCCCTCGTCTCCGCCATGTTCAGAACTAACGCAATCGATAATTGGTCCTTTATACAGCAACATGTCGCTCAGTGACCAGAACTCTCCCGAGTCACGCCATGATGAAAAGAGGGATGTCTTTCACTCTGAAGACATGACCACTCCAGTGCTTATCGACGATGCCGTCGATGCGGAGAATCGTGAACATGAGATGGGAGCTTGGGAGGCGGCCAAATCTCATCCATGGGCCTGCTTGTGGGCATTTGTGATGTGCTTTACTATTGTATGATTTGGCTCCCATTCTTCGCGGTTCAGACCACATTGTGTGAGAGCTCGATACTAACAGCTCATAGGTCATGGAGTCTTTTGACATGTTTCTGAACGGCAATTTCGTCGCACTGGGAGCGTTCCAAAAAAAGTATGGTGTTTTGGTCGACGCCGCGACCAATACCTACGCCATACCCACCCGTTGGCAAAGTGCGCTGTTCCAAGCTGGACAGTGTGGTGCTTTCGTAGGAGTTCTAGTAGCTGGACCTGTGACTGACCGTCTGGGCTATCGCTGGACCACGATAATGGCATTATTGATGATGAATGCCACGATTTTCATCTCCTTCTTTGTGAGATACACGCTATATCCATATCTGTCGGGATAAGCTTGTCTGACTTTTTTGGGTCTAGGCTGACTCGCTGACGGTCCTCACTATGGGCCAAGCGCTGGAGGGAGTTCCATGGGGGCTGTTCATTGCGAATTCTCCCGCTTACGCAAGTGAGATCGTGCCTCTCGCTCTTCGCGGTGCATGCACAGCGACTTTGCAGATGAGTTGGTCGATCGGCGGTATCATTGTCGCGGCTGCCACGTACGGTATCAATCAGCGGAACGATGAGTGGGCATGGCGTTTGCCTCTTGCTTTGCAATGGATCTTCCCTGTAAGTTACACGCTCTGGCTGTGGATGTTCTGTGTCTAACTTGCTCAGACTCCTCTCTTGATTCTTGTGTTCCTCGCCCCCGAGTCTCCCTGGGGGCTTATCCGTCATGGACGCAAAGAGGGAGCTCTTCGCTCGATCAAGCGCCTAGGTCCCGGACCCAGGGACAAGGCGCAACAGACATATGCGATGGTGCAGCGTACAGTCGAAATTGAGGACCAAATGGGCGGCAATGCGAGATTCATCGAGATGTTCAGGGGTGTTGAGCTACGACGGACGGCGATTATCTGCTTGATGTATGCGTCGCAGAATTTTGCTGGAAATTTGATCGCCAATCAGGCTGTCTTTTTCTTTGAACGTAAGTCATTCACTACGCTTGAATATCTGAGTCGCGTATTCTAATATCTGTCTTCAGAGGCTGGCATCTCGTCAAATCGAGCTTTTGAGCTAAACTTGATCAATTCATGCTTGGGACTTATCGCCAATATTTGCTCCTGGTTCCTCTCGTCCTGGTTCGGTCGTCGAACCATCTATCCTTGGGGCACAGCTACCAATATCACGTTGCTGATCGTCCTTGGAATCTGCGCCTCAATTAAACAGAACAGCGCAACTAACTATGCTCAGGCTTGTCTCGGTATTCTGATCACCTTCGTGTTTGCTGGCACTTTGGGGCCCATCTCATACACTGTCATTTCCGAAACTTCGTCGGTTCGTCTTCGTGCCCTGAGCACCGGTGTTGATCGTGCTGCCTACTACGTCGCTGAGATTCCAATGATCTATTTGGCATCGCAGATGCTCAATACCACTGGATGGAACCTCGCGGGCAAATGCGGTTATGTGTGGGCTGGTACGGCTTTAGTTTGCTGGATTGGTGCCTACTTTGGTCTCCCTGAGTTGAAAAACCGGACCTATCGGGAGAGTGACATTTTGTTCAAACGTAAGGTGCCTGCCAGAAAATTCAAGTCGACGATCATTGGTGTCGCGGAGAATGCGTGAGCGATGGAACAGAGCAAGGAATGAGTGCAATAGGATCAATACGAGCGGAGAAGTGAGCTCAAGCATTAATGCATAGCATTCCCAATTGACGATTATCAGTAGGTAGCTCTTACGGGGAAATTCCCCGATCGCAAAAGTAGGCCATTTTGGCTCTGGAACTCTCTGGAACAGAATGACAGTCACGTCAGCTTACCTACGATGCGCTGTTCTGAGTCCTGATATTCAGAAAGTAAGCTTACCAAGACATCTTGAAGCCCCATACAAAGTATTCAGAACAAATACCTATAACCTACATTCCAAGAACAATTAATTCAACACAGGCCACCTGCTGAGGTCCTATAGAGCACCCTCGAGGCGATCGGCTGAGCCCTACCTCTTTCGAAGTGTGGGGTCATTGGTGGTTTGCTCCAGTCATTCTACGCCGATTGGTTTGCAGGCCCGCATTTTCTCCACCTTGATACTTTCCCCGCAATATCCCAAAAAAAGCTCCAGGTCACAATTGCTGAAGCTACTTCTGCTCGCTTTCCAAAACATGGATGAGCCTCGCGCGCCTCGGAAACGCAAGCTGTCTGGGGGCATTCTTTCTGCTCGAGCTGCCGGCTCATATCAACGCACCAAGGCAGGCAATGCCTGTCTTGTCTGCCGTGTTCGAAAAACTAAATGCGATAATGTATGGCCCATTTGCGGGTTCTGCACAAAGACCGGCGGGGAGTGCAGCTATACCCAGCCCACTCCCCAGAGGTAGGGACATCTTCTATTCTTTCCATTAACAAGAACTTGGCCTTCTCGACGCTCTGGGATTTGCTATCAATTGTCCGTGCTGATCTTCGATTAGGTTCGATCAAGCTAGTCTGGAGATTTTGAAGCGATTGGACAGCCTGGAGCGGGCAGTCGTGGATCAGAGACATGAGTGTTGTGCACGCCAGATTTTGAAGAGTCTCGGTTCTGATCAGGCTGGTAGCTTGGGTGCAGACGTGCACTCAACCCCAAGATCTGCACAAGATGCCGCATCATTTGGACTATTCGACCACATATCGACCCGGTCAGCTCACGATCCAAGTCTGCCTCAGCTTGTTACCACATCAAATCCGACTTCACCAGGATATGGCTCTAAGGCTTATGCAGCAAGCATTCAGTCACTGCTTGATATACCTCCCGGTCCTGATGTTTTGTTTCGTGCAACGGAGGAACTGGGTATCGAAGCCATGCTTCGATGGCCGATTTGCAGTGAAGCTCTTCATCAATTGGGGATGTCTCCTGATCTAACCTTGGTCGAGCTCTTGAGACAGGTATCTTGTCATATAGCAGCCGCTGGTCTCGGGGATGATTTCCCGGGTGTAAACAGACAGGCTGTTTCCCCCTTGGTCGAGAATTTCCTGGTCAACAACAATGTCAAAAACCCAATAATTGACCCGGTTGAGCTGAGACGCGATGCAGAGGATCTCATAGATTCCTCGTATAGACATGGAGGGAGGTTCTGCCGGCTTGTGAGTGTATAGCAAATCCACCTGATGGACTCATTCTGACAGCACATATTTCCAAGCTCCTTGTCCTGGCTATCAGCAGTATCTCCACCTCGCTTACAGATCATACTTCTCCAGGGGAAGTAACAGTGGCTCGTGACGCGACAGAGTTCCGGACGGCGGATCTTTACTTTCAAGGGGCGCAACAACACATGGGTTCTCCTTTCTGTGAGAACACACTTATTTCGGTGCAGTGCGCATTCCTTTCAGGCGTGTATCTGATGTATAACATGCGCATATTGGCTGCCTGGAAATCATTTGTTCAGGCAAGCACCCAGTGTCTAGGGTACTTTGCCTGTCGACGTGGACTCGCTTTCTCAGCCGAGTCAGACGTCGGAAGAGAAGCTGGGCTCTCCATAACCCAAGATCAGCTGCAGGCTTCTGCTAATCTAAGGGCTCTAGAAGATTCCCTGTACTGGAGTTGCCTGAAAAGTGAAATGTAAGGCTCAAGCTAATTGATGACTTCTTCGCCACTTACTCTTGCATTTTTTCCAAGTGAACTTCGACTTGAATTAGGGCTACCAGGCTCCGGAATCAGTAGCATTCAATATCCCAACATTTTCCCGTCAGTCCCAAACTTTGAACATGAGGAAACGGCCGCAGAACGCAATCAAGACTCACCATCAGACACCGATCGGGGCTTTCTTGTGAAAGGATGGCTTTTTTACCTGGGCGAAATTGCACTAAAAAGAATGCAATATCGTGTCCTGACCTATCGCTACGATCATAGCGAAGGTAACAACTCCCGCGAGGATAGTCATTCGGATAGAAATTGTTCTCTCCGAAACAGCGTTGCCGAATTCGACCTCCAGCTCCAACAATGGTATGCAAATCATGTCCCAACTACCTGAATGACGGTGATGCTTATCGTTTGTGTCAGGTTGAAATGGTTACCTCCATCCATGCGTTTCTCACCCACGTCCACAGAGCCCTTATACGATATTTTGCCGTGGGTTCTGCGCGGCCACCACATTGACATCATCGAAATACTACGATTTCCATCAATCTTGGCAATTCTCAATGATACTAAGCCGAGCGACTCTGCTGGAACACATCACCCATCATCATCGACCTTGGATTCCACCCACCAATTGACAAGAGAATATCTTGAGAACGTAGTCCGGCGAATTGGGGGAAACGAAGAAGGAATACTCCATCGCCATCAAGGCACGTGGTTAACGATACGAAGCTGTTCCCGAAGCGCACTGGCTTTGTTGGCTGTCAAGCTGGATCTCCAATCACACTATCATCATCACAGTACCCATGCAGACAAAGCATTCGATTCCATCATGCCATCCCGATGGGTGGACGCTGTCCTTCTCGTGATATCCATGCTGAAGGCGTGGGAATCGGAAAGTCCCGATATTGCTCAACTGCGACGCATCATTGAGGGCTTCCTGAGTCTTTGTCGCACATGAGCAGATCTCAAGGGCTGGTAGACGTGGCCAGAATAATCCATTTAGACGCAGATTCGCCCATCGAGCATGAGAAAACGCTTGTTTTGTATGGAGTAAGTTTTCTGTTCCCGGAGTCCGCACTTTTGCCTACGCCTTCACATATGATGTACAATATTTCATCGCGGGAGACAGTGCGCCCTGCAGTAATATGTCTTTCTCACTTTTGTTTTCTGGGTGTGCTTCTAGAAGCACCGCACGAGAGAGTAGTACACAGAGGTGGTGAAAGTGATAGAGGGCCGGATTAGACGTATTGAGTATCTATCGAAAGGTCTCAAGGTGAACTCAAATTTTGATACCAGCTATCAATCCAGGAAAGGTTATCTTGACTGAAGAGCGCGATCTCGGCAAGAGCAAATATCAAGATTCAAATATTCAAACCCTCTCATCCTCACTCTGGAAGCCCAGATCCCGGTCAAGATCTCCCGTGATGTTCTTCAGGCCGCCAGAAAATACACCATACTCGCGATTTACAGAACGGTCCTCTTCAACATCAACAGGGAAAGAGAACATATCAGACGTTGCCGCTTCGGCTTCTTTGTCTGATTGTGATTGATGTTGCATTGGTGGCGACCTTTGGTAATTGACTGCCTCGCCGGGATTACCAGGCTCCGCAAGGGGCGTACTTCGGAAGAAGGCCTGTGCCCAGTCGATGCCGTCTAGGTCTGCGGATGGTGAGAAATTGAGGCTCTGAAGTGAACCTTTTTCAGTACTCGTTGAGGGAGAGGGTATGTCCAAAAACGAATTGAAGTCAAAAGAGAGGTAGGAGAAAGGATTCTCGGACCCTGGCGTCAGGTTATGAGTGGGAAGTGCAAAGTGATCGTCGAAGTCGTTTGGGAATGAGCGTCGCTTATCTCCTTGTGTTTCGGCTGGGATTGAAGGAGATTTGTTCTCTTGTTGGTTCATTGAGGGATATTGTTGGTTTTTGTTTCGAGCCTGGTGGGCCGTGACTGGAGTGGTCTGTTGATTCGTGTTCGTTGACACGTTTGTCATCATCGGTGCGGCACCCCAAGATTCTGTAGGTGGATTTTCTGGTCTTTGACCAGTCTCTGTTCTCGTGACGGCGTCTGCAATACTTGGTCTCCTGACATCAGTGTGCGAGGGAGATGTGGAGGTGTCGAATGTATATTGCATGATTCGGTAAAATGCATTGGAGGCGCAGTTGCCGGGTTGCATCTTGATCGCGGCTACTAAGTTGGCGAATTCGGTGCCGGCAGCCGGATAGATGTCTTTCAACCCATGGAGCACTTGAACACAGCGTTGGAAATTGGAGATACTGTTCTCGCGAACAGCGGGATTGTCGGAAGAGGAATTGGAGAGATGAGCTACCGCGGCCGGGAGTATGACTGTGACTCCCGTCTGCGGTAGGAAGCGCGTGAGGTTCAGTTGGTGTAGGCCTTGAATGATATGGGTGATTCCTGTGGCCGCCTCCTGCATCTTCATTTGGGCCACGTTTTGCCGCTCCTGGCGTGTCTTGGACTGGTCTCTGGTGTTGGTGGCCCATGGTCGATGCAGGGCACTTGTGGTGGCGTGGTAGAGCATGCGCAGCATAGCTCCATGTAATAAGAGTACCTCTTCACCGTCGCGGAAATTGCTCCGTGATTCAGGGATAAATTGCGCGTCCTTCGGTAGCGAGCTCAGCCAGGATTCAAGTTTTTGGCTACACCTTGTGAATTCGGATTCAGAGGCTTGTCGAGGAACCAATGTCACTGTCGTACGGTCCGTTACGCCGAATTGGCGTTGAGAGGGAGCATACTGAGCAAACAACACCCGGCCAATGCATTGACAAAGCTTCACTTTCTCGATGAACATGGTCGCCAGGCGCTTTTGATGTGAAGTATCTTCGAGTTGTCGACAATGAAACAAAGCTTGCACCGACTGAGAGAAAGGTTCAAAGTCAAAGTCATCCAGTTTCAACATAGGTACGTTGCTGTTGCCATCATTCACCTGGAGTGGACGCCTCATACCCATTGCGATTAGGCGATCGCGTGAATAAATACACCACCAGATCCGTGTGCGAAGCCGCCGAAGTTTGGGATCGATGTCACCACTGAGTGGATCTTTGTTAAGTCCAATGGAATGGGCTTGGGTATTGCAGATGCCGATCCAGTCCCAAATGTCTCGATGAAGGCTGTTGTCAGGGTCTGACCAGTATGTCATTAACAGCAAAGTCTGTAATATAGCAATGCGATCCTCTTCACAATCAAGCGAGTAAAGCAGCTGCGTGGCAAGCACTTGTCAGCTTGATGAACCATCTAAAGCTCTGTGACAGGTAATCGAGTTTACCTTCAGGCGCATGTAGAAGCTCTCACGTGCGCTTTTTCTCGTGGAGTATCCGGCGTCTTGTAAATGCTGAAGATCGACAAAAGCTGTTCCAACAAACATAACCGCCTGGAATAGTAGAACACTAATCCTCCCTGCAGGATCATTCTCCGCGACGCATCGCAAGAATTCTTGCAAATTGATGACAGGCATGAAACTGTGGACCCATTGAACATAAGACCGTAGCAACGCATTTCGAAGACCGGTCTCCGGAATAGACAGAGCCCCGCGGAAGCGCAAGAACTCCAAGTCTTCTGGTGCAATACGATCTGGCAACGGCTTCAAAAAGCGCGGCTCGTCGTCGAGAATCGCTGTCAGTGGATCAAATTCGGGATCAATCAAGTCCTGAACCGCAGAGACCATGTTTGCCAAGGGCAGTGAACTGTGCACTGCTGGGTTCCCAAAAGTTCGCCATCCACTGATGGGCTTCGTTTCATGAAGCCAAGGGGCCTTCGGATCATAGCCTTGAAGATGATGACGCTTTGATGCAGGCTCAGTTCGCTCGGAGTAAGATTCGGCCTGCTGCAGCTTGCGCTTAAGCGCCAGCGCGTTGCGGTCCGGAGATCGAGGCATGGTCGATCATTCGGAGCATTGATGATGTCGTAGCAAACAGTTCACATGGAACAGAAGTTTCAGGCCCCTATTCACAACCCCGATTTCCCGCGTCAAAGGCAAAAAAATGAGTTGACATTGGTATTTGTCCAGATGAGGAGGCGCCCGCTCTAGCCCCAGCAGGCGGTGTTCGGACCCTTGAAGGCATGGAACTTCCGGGGTTCGCCCGGCGCCATGTGGGGAGAGTCACGTGTACAACGGCCTCCAACGTGGTGGAGATGCGGAGATCGGCAACGTATCGCAAGAGAAACTTCGTCATGCACTGTATGTCGGCGATTGGCAGCTCATGATACAGCAGAGTGACATCGAAATTTGAAATTACCTATAACAGCAGTTAATCATGAAAGCTTCGATAGATGAGCCAAAGTGATCGACTCTTCAAGGTTGCACATGATGTTCTCGCTGGCTCCAGCAGTATCACCCGCGGACATAGATCGACAATCATATCGGAAAAAGCCTCTAAGCGTCTAACTTTATCTCGACTTCTTCAACAATTACACGACCTACGGTCCAATCACCACGCGCAGTTGTTGAGAGAGAGCAGGCGAACAAGTGGTTTTCTATATTAATGTGAGCCCCGAGCGCTCAGAAGGCGTCTGGGCTTAGTATATAGGTTGCGAGTTGCACAAACCAAGTCCATGAATGTTTCATAATTCTTCAAGCATATATATATACCAAAGTCTTGCTGCTCTACACCATTTGGAGCGCTTCTCTTCAAAACAGAGTGCTCGATGCAGGAGTTCTCGCAGCCAATTTCTTGAAGAATGAGCCAGACTTTCGACTCTGAGCCGAGTTGGCCGTAGCTGGCTTCGTACGGTTGACGCTGCTTATTCATTAACAGCAATCACAAAACGCCATCGCTATGCAGTAATACTTTTTCCGCGTTCCTTTTAGCTTGCAAAGGCTGCCAGTGTTGCCGATCCTGCCATTGTTGCCGTTTCAGCGGTCATGGCGCCACTGCGATGATATATGGGCAAGGGCAGGGGCATCTCCGCGCCTGAAGTGAGTGGAGAAAGATAAGTGGTCACTCAAATCCTTCCCAGGTCTGGACGAATGTGTGTGAGTCAAGATCAGGCCGGGCTGAAATGAAAAGGATACCTCGGGCCTAACGATTCCAGTCTCACGTTTCATGCCTCCTGGACGCTCAGAAGCCAAGGACCTTCTCGTACCATGGATCGAAATACTCACAGGTCTCCGGGCTGATTGCAGCACCAGGAGAACAAAGTTTGATGTTTGGGCAAGATCCGCATGGTGCCTCGGTCATTCCATTTTTGCCCATACCGAGGATGGGACCACCAGCCTCCTCTTCGGCAGCCGGCTTCCTGGACTGACTGGCTTTAACAACTTCAGGGTTCTTGAGGGACTTGTAGTTATTTCCGTTGTTGAGAGCGACAAGTTTCCGATCGAAGCAGAGCATTTGAAGGAGCTGGACGATGCTCTCTTCACCTAGACGCACAGGTGTGATGCCACTCTGGTTGACGGCGTTGGTGATCATGTCAACGGTCGGGTAGCCGGAATAGTTTGCCGGGTAGGGCAGATAAACCTTCTCTGACTCCAACTTCACCTCCGCTTTGCCAGAGGCCGTCTTGAGCCGCTTGTTCCGACCACGATCGGTAGCGGGTACCTCATACCAGCTGCGCCGACTGACAGTGTACTCAATGTATCCCGCCACGCTGTTGATGAAGTTGGCGTCGAGAACACCATCCGTGAACCAAGCACCTCCAGTGATGTCCTCGCTCGGGGCCAGGCCCGCAAGCATGTACATCTTCCGCGTCGGGTATTTGACATTGTGCACGCTTTTAATATAATTCTTGCTTTCCAGCGATTTGACACAGCGATCGAGGATGGACTTATGCAAATTCGTTCGACTTATGATGTTCCGAATCCAGACGCCTGATCGGCCGCTCGAATGAATGACGTTGTATACCAAGCTCTCGTCGGGGTTGAGATTCTGGAGTCTATACAGAGAATGGTAGATTAGAGACCAATCTCCTCCTTTTCGGATGGCTATGGTATGAGGACTGGATTGGAGTAGCCTTACTTTTCAGCATCATCACGAGATATAATCTTCCACGCGAGGCGGTTGTTTGCGCCTTGGTGGAGTCGAAACAACTTTTGATCGACGAGGGCTTGAGTGCATTTCAGCAGCAAGTCAATTTCGGCCTTGGGGATCACATCGAGACCGAGAAGGTCCTGCTGGTAAAAGAGATGGTCGACATCAAATCTCTCCACACAGGCGTCATAAAGTCGCGCAGCGACCTCAGTCACACGAGACGCCATTGCGGGCTGCGGAGAGAGGCTGGGAAGAGGCTCGGCTGGGCTGAGGTGAGCGGTAATCGATTGGGGTGTAGTATTAAGGGTCGATGAAAATCATGATCCGTGTCCACTGCTATAGCAGGCCGAGGAAATTCACAGAATCATGAAAATGGCGAACAAGTTCTAATTGCAGGAGAATGTTCGAATATAGGTGAAAAAGTCTTGTCAGCCAGAGGAATTGTGAATCACAAAAACCCACCGACCGCTTGGCGACTTTTTTCACGGGCGGCGGGGACATCCAGGGCTTCCTTTTTAGGTCTAGCGTTTACGGAGCTTTGGACATTTCGCCGCGACTGATGCCTCAGGCGAATATGATCTTCCGGAAATTTCGAGAAGCTCGCGGCCTGGAGAGCTCATACATAATAACCATCGTCAGACTTCATCGTAAACTTCAACTTCCCTGTTACGAATCAACCTACGTACAAATCATCCACAACAATGGCTGACGCGCTCAAGGCTGAAGGTAACAAGGCCTTCTCGGCCAAGGATTACTCTACCGCAGTGTACGTTTCTCTACCCCGCCTTCACTGACCTATCGCTGTCGCATGAAGCTGTCGCTGACACAAAACACACTTTTCCCGCAGTGAAAAATTCACACAGGCGATTGCGATTGAGCCCGAAAACCACATCCTGTACTCCAACCGATCCGCCGTCTATTCTGCTCAAAACGAGTACCAGAAAGCTCTTGAGGATGCCGACAAAGCCGTGACCATCAAGCCCGACTGGTCCAAGGGCTACGTCCGCAGAGGTGCCGCTTACCGGGGTATTGGCGATCTTTGTAAGTGGATACAAATTGATACTACAGAATCGGTTCGTTAGCACAGATGGGGGCTAATAGGAAGAGGATAGTGGCTGCACACGACGCATACGAGGAGGCTTTGAAGCTTGAACCTGGTAACGACCAGGCCAAGTCCGGTCTGAACGCTGTCCAGCGGGCCATCAATGCTGAGGCTACTGCTGATGGCGTCCAGGGTGATCCTACTGGTGGTTTGGGTGGCATGTTCAACGACCCTGGTCTTTTCCAGAAGCTCGCCAGCAATCCCAAGACCGCAAGCCTGCTGGGCGATGCCGAGTTCATGGCCAAGCTGAAGAAGATCCAACAAAACCCCAACAGTGTTGGCGAAGAGATCCGTGATCCTCGCTTCTTGCAGGTCATGAGTGTTCTTCTCGGAATCGATATGAGCTTTGGCGCTGACGGCGAGGCCCCCACCGCTGATGCGCCGGCTCAATCCACCTCTGAAGCTAAGCCTGCCCCCACCCAGCCCAAGAAGGAGCCCACACCAGAGCCCGAGGACGAAGAGGCGATTGCCAAGAAGAAGGCCCAGGAGGCTGGAGATGCCGAGAAGAAGATTGGCAACGATTACTACAAGAAGAAAGAGCTCGACAAGGCCATTGAGCACTACGAGAAGGCCTGGGAGCTGAACAAGGACATCACATACCTGAACAATATCGGCGCAGCTAAGTTCGAAAAGGGCGACTACCAAGGCACCATTGAGGTCTGTCAGAAGGCTGTTGAAGAGGGCCGCGAGCTTCGCGCTGACTGGAAGCTCACTGCTAAGTATGATTGTTCTGGAGTTGCAGTTTGATCTTGAACAGTCCACATCTAACGTTTTATTCTTCACTAGGGCGTTCACGCGAATCGGTTCTGCCTATGAAAAGCTGGGCGACCTCACCCAGGCCATCGAGAACTACAACAAGTCCCTCACCGAGCACCGTACCCCCGAGGCCCTGACCAAGCTCCGTGCCGCCGAGAAGGCCAAGATCACCGCAGAGAAGGATGCCTACATCTCCCCTGAGCTCGCAGAGAAGGCCCGCGAACTCGGTCAGCAGAGATTCCAAGAGGCCGACTGGCCTGGTGCCGTGGACGCTTTCACCGAGATGACCAAGCGTGCGCCCCAGGATCCTCGTGGTTTCTCCAACCGTGCTGCGGCGCTGATCAAGCTGATGGCGTTCCCCCAAGCTGTTCAAGATTGTGACGCGGCGATTTCCCGCGATCCCAAGTTCATCCGCGCCTACATGCGCAAGGGCCAGGCTCTTGTTGCTATGAAGGAGTACAACCGTGCCATTGACACTTTCACCGAGGCTGCCGAACACGATGACGGTACACATGCTCGTGAGATTGAGCAGCAACAACAGAAGTGCTTGGAGGCGCAGTTCAGTGCTCGCGCTGGTGAGACTGAGCAGCAAACGATGGAGCGCATCCAGAATGACCCCGAGGTATGTATTCCCTCCGACTTGATTGACGTTTGCTGTACCCTCTTCGGCGATGTGGTGGCTAACACTTCACTAGATCATGGCCATTCTCGGCGACCCTGTCATGCAGAGTATTCTTAACCAGGCCAAGAGTGATCCCGCTGCCCTCCAGGAGCACATGAAGAACGCATCTGTGCGAATCAAGATCCAGAAACTGATGGCTGCTGGTGTCATTCGCATGGGTCGGTAAGCCGATGCGTCAATTACGCCGCGTAATGTCCCTTCATTCCTGGACAGGTCTCTTGTACCCGGGTTGCGTTTCTTTTGGGGATGTGATATCCAAGGGTAGGGCTGTCCGTTATCGTGTCATGAATTACCAAGATTTGATGAGCTGTCGCAAATAGCAATAATTACGTCTCCGTATGAATTAGCATTGACATAATATACCTGTATACGGTCAATTGGTCTCTTCAGAGTGCTTCGTGAGAATAGAAGTTGGGGACAATTTCCCAAGATGATAGTGTAGTGTAGATTCAGTGACAGAACACCGGCGGAGGGAACGGGTCCGCTGTGGACGGCACTGGACGGCGGACGCACTGCAGTCTCGTCAGTGTCATGTGACGGTACACTGATGCTGTTTGAAGCTGAGCTTTGAAAGGGACAGATATTGGGTGTATCTCTGGACTGTCTGATTTATCTGGTTCTTCTTCTACCCATTTCGACCAGAGCTCGCCTACTCAGGGCAGAGGGGGGGGGGGGGGTCAATCGAGGCGTTCTATCTCTGATGATCCCTCACATCCAGCGGCTCATTCCCCGCTGACCGTGCGTATGTGTTGTATACCTAATCACCACCGTCGATCTCACTTCCATATTCAGGTGGCAACGCGACCTGAGTGATACCTACCCAAGAGACTGAGAGTTGATTTGCCGAGCCAATCTTGCGGTCAAACTCGTTCGGGAGGTGATTTTCCATTTGCGGGAATAGTCCACAGTTACACTCTACAGTACCACTGTACATATGAGCTCGGGAGACGAGTCGTCACGTTGCTTCAACCTCACCTGCCACATTTTCGATCCATTCTTGAAGGGATCTATTCGGCATGGTTGTGGTGGTTAGGGCTGGCCAATCATCACGGATGAAGTCGATGTGTTTCTGCACGATAAGACTCACGTGGACCCAGCTTTGCCCGGGCCAGCGCGACAGGTTGAATTTAATGCAAAGAGGGCCGTTATTTTTGTCCAACAAAATTGATTTGAGCGAGAATGATCATTACAGAAAAGAGCGGACTTTTTTTTTTCTTTTTCACGGGACGTATACAAGAATTCATGGAAAGGGATCGGGTATACTATGAGTATGGACCCATGGAGTATGGAGGTGTCTGTGGCTCTGTGCCTCTGTGGAGCTTACCCTGGACCCTAGGTACCTCCAAGAAAGAACTGATACGATATTACAACAAGGTTCACAAGTAGTAGTCTGCTGGAAACTCCCGTACGAGGCTTTGCACAGTCTCAAATTTCGAGAAATTTCTGCTCAGTCGTGATTCTCTTGTAAGGGAGGACAATCATTGTGGTATCATTCTTCGGCGTTGATATTACTTGAGATCACAGTAGGAGACTCGTGTCACTGTCCAGTTCCACTACTCCACTACGCCACTGTCGACTATCGGAATTACTTTGTCCCCCGGTACCCAACAAACCCGAGGACAAGATCCAAGGAACCATTGTCAAGAGGTCTGGAATTGGCTATCATCTCCGAGGCCAAGCCCAAAGTGGAAATGGAAGAGAAGAATGTCCAATGTGGCGGTGCTACTACGACTGAGGTCAACGGCCCTACTCGCTGGCTATTGAGTCTTCACTCGTCCTGAGAGTGAGCTATACAGTAGTATGACTATGGAGTGTGTACTGTCTCGTAGTCAGTGGTCAGAGTCAGTAGTCAGAGTCAGTAGTCAGAGTCAGTAGTCAGAGTCAGTAGTCAGAGTCAGTTAGTAGTCACTAGTCCGTCACGCTTTCTCCCCATGTAACCTCGTGTTGCGCCTTGGAAACGAGGCATCCAGATTGTCAGTCGTTGAACTTGAAATTTGTCGAGTTGCTGACTATTTGATTCTGGTGGCTAAACTACCTGCTTCAATGCTTTTTACGGTCGCTCAATGCTTTTTACGGTCGCTCAATGCATTTTGACCATCAAGTTGTCACGGTGAGAGGAGAGGTTGAGGGTGAGATGTATCACACTCTGGCAATTTGTACATTGACTATCTTCCCTGGACCATCTTACATTGACCACCTTGGATCAATCATCTTGAGATCCTCCAGTGTAGTTCATCAGTCCTCAGGTCATGTCCGACGGGCTGTTTTGTGAGGATCACAGGAAATAAGCGAGCTCGGGCGATCAATCCTGACATCAGAGCAGAAATCGTCGCACCCCACGTGTTACTCTCGGTGATTGACAGGATTCGGGGAGGGATGATCACTCGATCGTCCCCTGAATCAAGGCAAGGCAATTGGCAGATTTTCCAACATCGACTCAATGTCCTCTTACAAGGGTTGTCTCTGTACTCAATGAGCATGGATCATGGAGCACTGAGCAGAGGTTGAAGTTCATGGTTCATGGCTCCAGTACAAAGTCCTCAGTATTGTACTCAAGCTTCGTGTCCTTATGGAGAGGGGTCCAATCACCGGGGAACGGTGTCACCTGGAGCGATCCGTGGGACGGCCTCGGATAGTAAGATGAGAGAACTATCCCCCTCCACGGGCCTCAACGTTCCAGGGCAGTGAGCACTGCAGTGAGCTGAGCACTGAGCACTGAGCACTGAGCACCCATTGATCTGCCGTCAAACTGCCACTGTGCAATGCCGTCCTGTAATCGTCTCGATGCTCCTTCCCTTGACCGGCGGCCCTCTGTAGTCTGTAGTCTGTCCATTGTCAATCCATGCTCAACGTCAATTGCTTCACGATCAAGATAGCTTCGTCTTGCCTTGACTGATGTCATCGCTCCTTTTTGCCCACTGCCCACTGCCCACTGCCCACCAGGATCCTCCTGGACTAACTAACCTCCAACTCGAACCTCGTGGATCGTCAACTCTGGTGGAGCCAGAGCCTCTAATCGGACCCGAATCGCCGTTCAGCAACCGTCCCAGCCACAAGTGCATCGGACTTTGACGCAAGCGGCGGGGGAAGCAAAGTTTCCATTCGCACGGGGTCTCCACCGGGTCAATTGGCTTTGCTGGCTCCTGTTGGCTTTGCTTGTGGGCTGGCCCTGTTCGGGTGCTGCCTGGCGCATCCAAGGTTCGTGCTACTGCTGCTGGTGCTGCTGGTGCTGCTGGTGCTGCTGTGATAGTACCGTGTGGCCCTCGTTCGGGGCTGGTCAGCTCCGCCTGAGGAGAGGAGCTCTTGTCGCTTTGGGCTTCGGCTGCTCCTCATTTCACGTTTTGCTTCCGCCCTCCCCCCCCCCCCCCCCTCCTCTCTCGCAAAAGAGATCAGCCTCCTCCCATTTCGGTCGAGGCACACTTCTCTCCTCATCTCGTCTTCTCTCCTCTCCTCTCACTCCACCCCACCACCTTCCTGTCCACCTCTCCTTTCATCCGACAATCAGTTCCTCCGGACATTGCTCCATACACAGGGGCTGCGTCTCCGTCACCGGTAAGTCGGTCCTCCCTCAAAGAGAGGAGAGCAATCGGCCTCGGCCCTCGATCCCTCCCTCCCCTCACCCAGCTCGCTTGGCTCCGTCTCCGGTGGCCTCGCCGTCTCCGAAACACACGAGAAGGAAAGAACAAGCCCCCCCCCCCCCCCCCCCCACAATCACCAGCTTGCTAAACATCCGTCTTCTTCCCCTTGGACTGCAGTGCCCAACCGCCTCTGCATTGTCAATCTCTCCACCAGCATCAGTGTCTTGGTGACACCGGTCTCGATCCCATTTGCCCGTCAACATGGCGTCCGTCGCCGCGGAGAAATCAGAGCTGAAGGAAGAGGGCATGATCGAGGCTGCCACCCAGCTCACCCAAGATCCCAATTCCTCAGTCAATCCCGACACGGTGGAAGAAGCGCTCGTGAGAGAGACCCAGGCCGCCGGTGGTGTCGCATACCAATTCGACCCCGATGCCTCGCCGGAAGCAAAGGCGGCAGCCGCGGAATCAGTAAGTAACCGTATGGAGCCATAGAGGTGGCGCCAACCCTCTTGTGCCATTCTTTTCATGAAAATAGAAAATAAATAGACATAAATAAACTACAGGCGCATGGCTAACGTTCATTTGTCGCACAGCGGCTACCGCCGGGCTTGAAGCGAGACAGCAAGCCCTCGGGAATGGCCGTGATCACGGATAAGGTACGAATTGACACGGCTCCTGGCGAGAATCGGAATCGCGCATACTGTCCCGACAGGGAAGAGCTAACACGGGGCATCTAGAGTGATGGAAAAGCCGATTACGATCTACCTCCCCCGCGATCAGCCACTGCGATTTTGGCCGAAGAGGCTAATGCCGCCACTGCAATCAACGGGAAAGTCGACGAGGACATGCGCTGGGCTCGCGATCGCACGGGATGGGCTCCCCAGTTTCATGCCGAAAAGACGGAGGAGGAAGAAGCCGAGGGCACCTTGCTCGACCACCAGGACTTCTTGGAAGGCCGGGTTCCAGACAAGTTCTTCGGGGACTGGTACCACAACGCTGCCATCATCGTCTTCGCCTGCTTGAGCTCTTGGGTCATCGCCGCTCTCGGTGGAGGAGTCGGGTGGGTCCTGCTGGTCATGGCTGCGTGTGGCACGTACTATCGTACCTCCATCCGCCGAGTGCGCCGCAACTTCCGCGATGATATCAATCGAGAGATGGCCAAGCAGCGCTTGGAGACCGACACGGAAAGTCTGGAATGGATCAACAGCTTCTTGGTCAAGTTCTGGCCGATCTACGCCCCAGTACTGAGCGACACCATCATCAACTCGGTTGACCAGGTTCTGAGTACCTCGACTCCGGCCTTCTTGGACAGCCTGCGCCTGAAGACGTTCATTCTGGGTACCAAGCCGCCCCGTCTGGAACATGTCAAGACCTACCCAAAGACTGATCCCGACACCGTCATCATGGACTGGAAATTCAGTTTTACCCCCAACGATACCATGGATCTGACAGCGCGCCAACTCAAGAACAAGATTAACCCCAAAGTGGTCTTGGAAGTGCGCATTGGCAAGGGTCTGGTCAGCAAGGGTCTGGATGTGATCGTCGAGGATATGGCCTGCTCCGGTCTGATGCGTGTCAAGGTGAAGCTTCAATTGCCCTTCCCACACATTGAACGTGTGGACGTCTGCTTCCTGGACAAACCTGAAATCGACTACGTCTGTAAGCCGCTAGGTGGTGACCACCTTGGCTTCGATATCAACTTTATCCCTGGTCTGGAATCCTTCATCAAGGAGCAGATTCACGCCAATCTGCAACCAATGATGTATGATCCCAATGTCTTCCCGATTGAAATCGCCAAAATGCTGGCTGGCAATCCTGTGGATCAGGCCATCGGTGTCGTGGCCGTGACGCTGCACGGGGCCCACCAGCTGAAGAATCCGGACAAGTTCTCTGGCACTCCCGACCCGTACGCGGTGGTCTCGTTGAACAACCGCACGGAGCTCGGCCGGACCAAGACTGTACACAGCGATGACAGCCCCCGCTGGAATGAGACCATCTACGTGATTATCACTTCATTTGCAGATGCTTTGACAATCGTGCCATTCGACTGGAATGAATACCGCAAGGATAAGGAGCTCGGTACCGCCACATTCCCACTGAGCAAGCTCGAGGAGGAGCCATCCCATGAAGGACTGTATCTGGAGGTCATGTCCAGCGGTCGTCAACGGGGTACAATCTCAGCCGATATTCGCTTCTTCCCTGTGCTTGAAGGTGGTCAGCTTGAGACTGGTGAGGTTCAACCGCCGCCCGAGATGAACACCGGTATCGCGCAGTTCACGGTCGAGCAAGCAAAGGATCTGGATGGCAGCAAGAGTTTCGTCGGAAAGCTGAACCCGTATGCTGTGTTGCTTCTGAATGGCAAGGAAATTCACGTCACCAACAAGCTGAAGCGAACAAACAACCCCATTTTCCAGAACGCATCGAAGGAATTCCTGGTCACTGACCGCAAAAATGCTCGACTCGGTCTTATTATCAAGGATGATCGGGATCTTTTGACGGATCCTATCATCGGACGCTACCAGATCAAGATGAACGACATGATGAAGATGATGGAACAAGGCAAAGATTGGTTCCATTTGCACGGTGTCAAGGAGGGCCGAGCGAAGCTGAAGCTTCAGTGGAAGCCCGTTGCCCTCAGTGCAGTGGTCGGCGGTACTGGCTACATTGACCCGATCGGTGTGATGAGATTCCACTTCAAGGAAGCGAGTGATTTGCGCAATCTTGAAGCTATGGGCAAGTCTGACCCGTACGCGCGGGTCGTGTTGTCGGGTATCCCTCGCGCGCGTACCGTCACTTTCCGCAACAATCTCAACCCACAATGGGACGAGGTTGTGTACGTCCCGATTCGCAGCGCTCGTGAGAAAATTGTGATTGAGGTCATGGATGAAGAAAAGATGGGCAAGGACCGCTCTCTTGGTCTGGTGGAGCTCAAGGCCGCCGATTTCGTTCACGAGAATGAGGAAGGCGAGTTTACTGTCGACGACGAGAAGCAACTGACAGTGTCGAATCTTCATTCGGATGGCAAGAAGAACTTCAAGGGCCAAATCAAGTACACGGTCTCCTTCTTCCCGACCATCCCCGTCACCAATCCCGAGGATGAGGCTGAGCAAGAAGCGGCGGAAGAAGAAGAAGAAGCACAGGCTTCCGAGCCCAACGGCGCCGGTCCCTCTTCCACCTCTCGCAAGATTACAGAGTCCAAGAGGCCTACGCATATCAAGACTGCTAGTGTTGACTCCAAGGCATCTATGACGTCTAAGACTCAAACAAATGGCGTTTCTACGGACAGTGCTTCTAACGAGGAGCCGAGCACCAATGGACGGGCTAGTCTGGAGACCAGTAGCTCTCGTCCGGTAGACTCGGATGTTGCGTCCGTTCGATCTATCAAGTCGATCCCGAAACTCGAGCTGGGCAGAGAGGACCTCGCCAAATACGGTAGGTTGATTCAGACCTTGACTTGCCCTATAATCATGTCCTAGTTGACATTGTCTCGATTTCCAACCGTCTCCTATGATCATTGCGCTAGCTAACACACCTTCGATAGAGTCCGGATTTGTCGTCTTCAAATTCCACCATGGCGAGTTTTCCCACAGCCAAGTTCAACTGGAGGTTGTGATCGACGACTACTTGTTCGCGGCCTACACGTCACCTAAGATTCATTCCAAGACTCTCAAGTCCACCGACGTTGGCGAGGCCTTTATTCGAGAGCTTGAGTTTTCTAAGATGACTCTGCGCTTGCGCCCCATGGATGAGGACAATGATCGTAGTGAGGACCACACCGTTGCCAAACTCACTGGCAATACCCTTACAACCCTGCAGCACATTCTGTATGAGCCTAAAGAGTTGGTGCTTCGGTCCAATACCGGTCAGCTCAGCAAAGTCACTGTCAGCGCTCGCTACATCCCTGTCCGTATGACGTTGAACCCCAGAGAGAGCATCAACAACATGGGCAAAATGCAAGTGAGGGTGATCAAGGGTGTGAACCTGCCGATCGCCGATAGCAACGGCAAGAGTGACCCATACTGCCGCTTCTACATCGGTGGAGACGACAAGCACCACATCTACAAGACCGAAGTGATCAAAAAGAACCTGAATCCTGTGTGGAACGAGGCCTTTGAGGCTGAGGTCAAGAGTCGCATCGATTCTAAATTCCGCATTGAGTGTTGGGATTACGATCGTGGTGTCGGGGACGATCTTCTCGGCGAGTCGTTCGTCGATCTGGAACAACTTGAGCCCTTCCAGCCCAAGGAGGTCGTGGTCACCCTCCAGAATCCATCGAAGGGTACCAAGCCACCTACCAATGGCCAGCCCAGCACCATCCATCTGAATCTGCTCTTCAAGCCTGACTATGTGATGCGTCTCACTCAGGGATCATCAACGTTCGTTGGTGGCATTGGTGGCAAGGTCGGCGGCACGGCTAAGACCATCGGTGGTGTTCCTCTGAAGGTTGGCGGTGTCGTCGTAGGTGGCGCTGCGCACGGTGCCACTACCATTGGCGGCAAGCTCTTTGGGCGCTTCAGTAGGGACAAACACTCGGAGGAGGATGCTGAGGTGATTGTCGCCGACGCCGATGGAGCAAACAGGTCTCGTGCGCCCGGTATTGTCTCTGGTGCTCCCCTGGTGGACGTCACTCAAGACACTCCTGCACTGACCGTTGAGGGTGCCGGTACTCCTCCTACACCATCCACCCCACAAAAGGAGCACAGCCGCAACCGCAGCGTAGCGACGTCTGTATATGGGGACCGACTATCTGTCTTTGGCGGAGGCTCTCGGGGCGACACAGGCACGGCGCACATCACCGTGGTCTCCGCCTCGGGCTTCCCGCCATCTGCCAACCTCCGCATCAGCGTGCGCGTGCAAGGTAGCAAGGGTGCCAAGGAAGTCCACAAGACGAAGGCCCACAAGGTCAGCAGCGATGTCGTCGCTTTCGATGAGACTTTCAAGGTTACCAAGGTCACCGCCGGGTCCCAGTACTCTATTCGCGTGGTCGACCACGCCACCTTTGGCTCCGACGGTGTTCTCGGTGAAGGCTTCTTCCTCGTTGCCGATCAAGGTTCCGAAGCTGGCCAGGACAAGGCCATTGTCGTGGGCTCGGGTACTGTGGTGATTAGGTCGAGCTTCGACTCGCCCGATGCGGCTGGAGCGAGACCCGGAACATCTCACTCTATAACTGGGGATGAAGAAGGCAACAGCCCTGCGGGCAAGATGCCTCGTCGTAGCTTTTTGAGCAAGAGGAGCGCCAGCGGAGCGTGAGCTTTAAAATTTTCTATAGGCCCTGAGTTCGTCCTGCGGGGATGAAAGGGTGCTTTTTCAGAATGCATCTCGACTTGGTACTTGGTCGATTCTGGATGGCAAAAAGGCTGGACGAACTTCAAGTATATCACGGCTCGCCCTTGGTGTCCAGAGATGCCTTGGGTGGAATGGTCAACGTGGACCAGCAAATATCAATTACGGTACATAGCACTTTTGCACATTTTGTTTTTCTTCTGCTTTCGCTGGGTGATTAAAAAGGACGTCTGTCTGTTCTTGATCTCCTCTCTTTCTCTGTTTTTCCTACCTTCTTGTTCGTCTGTTTTTCTTTTTGTGCTTCTGATGATTGTCTCTTTCTTGTCACGCGTTTGCTTTTCTCGTCGCTTGGCGTAAACTATGTGATATCCTCAACATGCACTGGCCGGTCTGTTGACTAATTTCGGGTCAATTCTCTTCTCCACTCTGCGATTTCGTCGAACCTGTATGCTTCACTTGGGCTGTCAGGAATGCCGTAAGACTAGGTCGGTTCCACTGTGCCCACTGCCTAGTAGCCTACTGCCTACTGCATAGGGTGTTTTTGTGTCATTCCGGTTAATCCATCTATGTTTGGAATAAGTGTATCATGCGCGAGTGACTCGGTTTGTGCTGCCCAATGTACAATTTGGAAGGCAGGGCGGGGGTGGACAGCCTGAGTTAATGGATTACGGGTATAGTGACCTGTATTGCCCGGACGTACTAGAATTCCCCCGACTTTCGGGATAGCCATCGGCACGGATACCGAGCTCCTTGGGTATAGGGATGTAAGTAGTTCCTGCATGAACTACCCCTACGATTTCGATGGAGAGAGATCGATAACCACGCGTTCTGTCAACTTTAGATATACAATCCCCTTTCTCATATCAAAGGTATATAGCGTTTCGAGGGGTCGTGTCTGTTCAGAGCCAGGAATCTAAGAGGCGTCTAGGTCTAGATGGATGGTAGAAGCTATATTCTCTTCTGAATGATTCACTTTGACTCACTCAGTTGGCGTTCACAGTTCAGCCGGGGTAGGATGACCGTCGTCAGGGTAGGGCTCCACTTTTATTTTTCCCACGTACAGGACCTCAGATCCCGTGATCGAAGCAAAACGTCTTCTATACTTCAACGTATGTAAAGATTACGGTCGTAGTTCCGCACCGGAAGTAATATGGCAAGATTTCACATTCGAGTCGCGATTCAGCAGTTAACGGGTGATATTATTATTCTACTAAGTCGTTTGTATTGAGATACAAAGACTTTGAGTTTTCTACCCTGATATACATAATTACCTTGGGTAAAAGTAAGCTAGTTCAAGGAAGTCAGCTCCTTATTTTAGGTAAATAAGTAGCTTCGTTACTTCGTGACACTATATGACAATATGTACACTGTACACTCAGACACTGTAGCTCAGATTGAGGTGTAAGTGTAACGAATCTCTTTCGAATACTGTACTCACTACTCAGTACTGTAGTTGGACCCTTCGCGGTGTACTCTGCTCCTGAATTAGTCCCTCCCCTCAGTCCTCAGCTAGTAAGCTAGCAAGCTACTAGTGGTGCTTTACTACCTTGTAGAACGGGTCCCTCAACGCCACCATGTTTCTCGGCCCTGAGACTCGGGTCACGGATGCCGATGGCAGTCGACTTGGTTTGGATCGTCAGGGACGTGTGAGCTGTGAGCTGTGAGCTGTGTGTGAAGACCTGTTGTAATTTTTCCGAATCAGCTCCCATGTAAAGCATCCCCATGACAACAATGCTCACCTAGTAGAAATGGAAACGTGGTACTCGGCGCTCGCAAACATCAAGGTAAAGGACAGGAAAATTAGGTCTCCGCTCTCGGTACGAGAAAGGGGGCATCCCGGCACCCTGCCACAGGCACACAGGCACACAGGGTACTTAGTCTTACTGTATGTGCCCCGCCTGGATCCGAACCCGACGCTGAGCCACCGAATCCGCACTTGAGCTACGGTGCGTACCTGGCCGGACCGTGTCACTCTTCCAGTTCCGGTCGGGTCGTGCACTGCTCACGGTGGGACAGCGCGTAGAAGTGCAGCGACTCAGCGAGAGGGAGGTTAGCTATACGGGATGTGCTGTTGGGTCTTGAAAGGGGATATTGGAAGGGCTACTCGGATTACAAAGTGGATTTTAGAGAATCGGTTTATTCATGCTCCATTGGAAAGGTCCACACTGGACATCTGTCCCCTAGAGGCTAGTAGTACTCCTGTAGTCTCGGTATCTCCATTGCATTCGTGTGTTCAGTGTTAGGGTGGATGGTGGATGCTGGGTAGGGACTAGGGAATAGGGAGTGTCTTGTACAGTAGTATGGCTATGGGGACACATGGAGGAACATACTGATAAGGTTGCTCGTTTAATGAAATAATTGCTCTGCGTTTGAGAAGAAAGGGGTAGTCTGGAATTGTATATCCAGACTTCTAGAACCAAGCTAGAGTCTAGGTGTCGACTGTCGAGTCAAGACCCTATCCAGGTCTAAATTCGGAACCCTAGATCTCTGCCTGACCACCTATCCAAGATCCAAAATGCACGCATTTATTCTCGCTAGTTCATCACTGCAGAACGAAGGTCATTCCCAAATGGACAAAGGTAAAGAATTGAGGGCGATGGATCTGGAACCCGGGCCCAGAACCGGGAAGTCGGTGGGCAAAGAGGGTGTGAAAAAAAAAAAAAAAAAAAAAAAAAAAAAGCGGGCACTGGGCGTTTTCCAGGACCGGTTGTTTTTTGGGGGGGGGGGTTGGAAGATTGGAAATGAGAGGGATGGATTTGTTGGGTTCTTTGCATTTTGAGTTCAGATCCAGGAGGATTCTATAATAATTCATGGATTGTGGATGTTGCGAGACTACGACTCATGTTGGGAGTGATTAAGTTGTTGTCGTGGTCCGGTTCCTTTTCGTATTTGTCTTGGTTTCGGTTGCGGTGGGAGTGAAGTACTGAATTGACCCCCACGTCTATTCAAGGTATCTAGCAGGAGGCGAATTTCGATCCCAAGAGCACAAACACTTTGTGCTTCGCACTACGTGGTGCGTACTGTGTAGTGTGGCTATATAGAGTGTAGAGGGTAGACTGTAGACTGTAAACTATAGACTGTATAGGACTAGAGTCCCCCCTTGAGCTGAATGTGTATATCGGCTTCGACATTGATGCAGTCGACCGATCCTTAAGGAGTGGAGTATGGAGTATGGAGCATGGAGTATGGAGCATGGAAAGGGAATGTGGTGAAAACTAGCTAGCACTGAGAGATATCAATAGGGTGTCAAATTGGTTCCAGAGTACTACTACAGGTATAGTGATTCACCCTCGTATTGACTGTGGAGTGTTGACACATGACGATGGTGATCGCGGGGGCTAGACTTATGTAAACTGTATTGTATTTCTGTATTGTATGAGAGGGAGAGTGTGTGTGTGTGTGGCTGTGTGCTAACAGAGTCCTCCGAGTTTCCCCCTTGGCCTCCCCCCCCCCCTGGAATCCCCTTTGGACTAATGTGTAGGAATTCACTTTTGATTTACTTTTATCAAAATCAATTTTTCCAAAAAAAAAAAAAAAAAGCACGCTGAAGTTCTGAACTGTCGCCAAAGACAGGACACCCGAGAAAAGGGATGTTCCAGTCCGGCCGTTAACTTTTTTAAGGTCCGACCCGTGGACAGAGCGACAAGCGCCAGTGGCTGGAGCTGGAGGAGAGACGGCCGAGTTGCCAGAGTGGGCACCGGTCGGAAACAGCAAGGATCTGTTCTGAGATTGCCTATGGGTAAAGACTGAAGAGTAAAGAGTATGCGACTGAGCGCTGTACAACGTGCGACTATGCAGTATGCACTGTATGCAGACTAGAAAATGGATGACTTCAGGTACTGATCTCAAGTTGTATGTGACTCAATGCCAATTTGGGTGCTTCGAGTAGAGAGGTACACCGGAGGGATGAAAGTTGCTTGACCTTGAACGCCAAGTTGAAACTCCCGAAGCTCATACCTATGCCAGAATAAAGCTTGGACCCTTCAGTTGTGGGCTGGTGTATAATTAGGTGCAGTGGTGTACTACTATTTTTGCAGTACCATGATACTACCAACGGATAAAGATCCCACGAGCAGTTAGTATTATCGGTACGAAGAGATCGGTTTGCCGACCAGGCTGTGGCTACGCTATTTATGCAGTGGCCACCACAATGGGCACTATAGCGTGTTTTTGCGAGGTACATTGAGACCTCTCGTTGCCACGAGGGGGGTCCAAGTTCAGGAGAGTGGCGATGAATAAGTGCCCAACGAAAGTATGACTAGCGTGAGCCGTGAGGACAGTCCTTAGAGAGCTGAAGCTTCTGCGAATGCCAAGTCTTGGTTTACTTCCCTTTCACGGGAGAGAGTAGAGGCTAGTGGATGAGGAGTCCAGGACTGACTACAACGATAGTACTACTACGGAGTATAAGTTACCTAGTTAGTACATACTACATACTACATACTAGTTAAGTTACATAGCAGTAACTTTGTGACTAACTTAGCACCCACAAAAAGTGAATACTATATTTTGACAGAGTACCATAGTAGTAGTGCAGCTCAGTACACTCACTACACTATGTAGATGTTGATGGATCGCCACTTGCTGTAGAGCAGTGGAGAGTGGATACTAGATCTCGGAGAAACTCTAATAAAAGTACTCTACTGCGACTATCGCATCCATGTCTTGGATTTGTGAATCACCGCTATGTACGCTGTCAGAGTGAAGCCATGGGAACTGATATGTGGCGGTCCCACCCCAATCAAGACAAGTACTTCCCCTCCACAGGAATAGTACCGAAGTACTACAAGCCACCCCGCTCTCATTCAAGTACTGTCCAAGTACTGCTACACCTTCGGCGCAGACCCGGTCAGGTACAACCCCACTAAAGCCCGGTCCACCAGGACGACCATCTCCAACGGGGTACAACAGGGTCTCACGATTAAGACTAGTCCGTCTGAGTATCCTCGAGTCCCTCTGCGTCCGCCGTCCAGTGAGTACAGTCAGTGACGCAGTATACTAGTAGGTCAGTAGGTAGTAGTAGGTAGTACTGAGTACCGGTACCTTAGTACTCCCTCCGGAGTCTGCTCCCAGGTGCAGGGACCTTTGTACCTTTGTAGTACTAGTAGTACTAGTATTACTCCGGCTCGTGTTCTTCTCAACGTTCTCACCGTCTGATCGACCACCAGAATAATAACTTCGTCGACATCCCCTCTTCTTCCTTCACTTTTTCTTTTTTTTCCTTTCCTCTCCAAATCTCTCCTCCCTTTTTCCCCTCCCTCATCGATCCTTCATCCTCTTCCATCTCAATTGAGTTCTCTACACCTCTCAATTGCATTACAACTTGGGGTCATATCTCTCTGTAAGTCTCCCTGCGAGCCCCTCCCAAAGACACAGTCCTACATGGACCATCCCGCCCCATTGGCAATGACGGCAATCTGTCGACACCTCCTGCAAGCCGCTTTCTGGCCCGGCTGATCAACGCACGGCTTGTGGCGAGCTGGCGGACAGCCCCTCCTTCTCCCTGTCTATACTCTATACACATCTGCTTGGGACTTTTTCCCCTCCCTTTGCCCATCCTCAGCGGTGATTTCTCCCGAGGAGAAAAAAGAAAATTACGAGTCAAGTCGGCCGAGGAGTCCAATTTGGTGCTGGTCTTGAAAAGAACCCCCGGTGTTGCTGTTTCTATTTTGGCCCGCTTATATTTCGGACCTGCTGGTTCCCCTCCCCCCACCCTCCCTCCCTCCCTTCCTCCTCCTCTTCCTCTGCTCTCCTCCGTTTCCAGGCCGGACCTGCTCAAAGCTCCAATTTTCCCGTGCTCCATCTTGTTTACACCACCTCCACGGATCCACTCTGAATTCTCCAAGCTGATCTTCTCCCACCGCTTCTCCTCGCAGTCTTCTCTCGACTTTCTCCTTCTCTCCTCGATCCTCGATCGATACCCTCTTCACATCACACACAATGGCGAACCTTGCTCCCAAGATTCTTCCTACTCACCTTCAGGCCCCGGCCAACGAGGCCGGTGGCTTCGGTGGTAAGCACCATGGCAAGTCTCAATCACATATGGTAAGTGGATAATTCTTCCCCTCGATCTCCCTCTCTCTGTCTCTGCCTCAGGGGGCACGCAGCCAGACACCACGCTCCTCCCCCCCCCCCCTCCCCCCCAAGTCGGACTTGCGAGACACGATGGTTTGGGATCATCCCACCTCTCCAGATAATCCTCCAGAGCTGCATCGTTTCTCATTGGATTCATCTGATTGCCCTAATCCCCTCTGCTCCTGGTGATGGACAAACTCAAGATCCAGTGAGAGTGCTCTTTCCTCTCTTGTGTGAAGGTGGAGCACAGCGCCTGCTCGGCGCTGGGCTTGTTTACACCTGTCCTGGCCGGATCACTGCCTTTGCTCCCACGAAACATCCTCTGTCCCTCTCTCTCTCTCTCTTTCGCGCTCCCTTTCTCTCTTCATCCGGTGGTCAAATACCCAAACCTGTGCTCCATCTGTACCAAACATCTTCCCCTTTCCCATCTCACCGAGTCCCGCTTCAAACCCCCCCCCCCCCCCCCCCCCCCTTCTACTGGCGCTTCTTTTTCTCCCGACTTGAGATCTCCAATCGAGTTTCTGCCGCTGCTACCCCCACTTTCCACCCCTCCTGTGCAATTCAACATCCCCTTGATTTACCCCTCCACGAACTGAGTGTCAAGATCATGCCAATGCCATCCAAGCCCCTCACTCCGCCCGAAGTGCCGAGCCTGGTTCTGCCCAACCAGCCAGAGTCGGTTCTTACATCCTCCAGCCATGGCCGTCCACTAACCAAAGCATCAACTCAACAGGCTTTCGAGAATGCCTCCACCAGCGTTGCTGCCTCTCAGATGCGCAATGCCCTGAACGCTTTGGCCGACTCCGTCACCGAGCCCAGTGAGAAGAAGCGTTTCGAGGCTGAGATGGACAACTTCTTTGCCCTGTTCCGCCGCTTCCTCAACGACAAGGCCAAGGGTAACGCCGTCAACTGGGATCGCATTGCTCCTCCCCAGCCCTCCCAGGTCGTCGGCTACGATGAACTCGGTGCCGACGCCTCGGTCGAATTCCTCAACAAGCTCGCTGTCGTCAAGCTGAATGGTGGTCTCGGTACCTCCATGGGTTGCGTTGGCCCCAAGTCCGTCATCGAGGTCCGTGAGGGCATGTCCTTCTTGGATCTCTCGGTCCGTCAGATTGAGCACCTCAACCGCACCTTCAATGTCAACGTGCCCTTTGTCCTCATGAACTCCTTCAACACCGACCAGGACACCCAGTCCATCATCAAGAAGTATGAGGGCCACAACGTCGACATCATCACCTTCAACCAGTCCCGCTACCCCCGTATCATCAAGGACTCCCTTCTGCCCGCCCCCAAGAGCTTCGACTCTCCCCTCCAGGACTGGTACCCTCCCGGTCACGGTGACGTGTTCGAGTCCCTGTACAACTCCGGGACTCTGGACAAGCTGATCGAGCGTGGCATCGAATACATCTTCCTGTCCAACGCCGACAACTTGGGTGCTGTGGTGGATCTCCGCATCCTGCAGCACATGGTGGACTCCAAGGCCGAGTACATCATGGAGTTGACCGACAAGACCAAGGCCGACGTCAAGGGTGGTACCATCATCGACTACGACGGCAAGGTCCGTCTGCTGGAGATTGCCCAGGTGCCCAAGGAGCACGTCAACGAGTTCAAGTCCATCAAGAAGTTCAAGTACTTCAACACTAACAACATCTGGATGAACGTCCGTGCCATCAAGCGTGTCGTCGAGGAGAACGAGCTCGAGATGGAGATCATCCCCAACGAGAAGTCCATCCCCGCCGACAAGAAGGGTGAGGCCGACCAGGCCATCTACCAGCTCGAGACCGCCGTCGGTGCCGCCATCCGTCACTTCAAGAACGCTCACGGTATCAACGTACCCCGTCGCCGCTTCCTGCCCGTCAAGACCTGCTCCGACCTGATGGTTGTCAAGTCCGACCTGTACCGTCTGGAGCACGGCCAGCTCGTCATGGACCCCAACCGCTTCGGTGGTGTCCCCGTCATCAAGCTGGGTTCCGACTTCAAGAAGGTCTCTGACTTCCAGAAGCGCATCTCCTCCATCCCACGCATTGTGGAGTTGGACCACCTCACCATCACCGGTGCGGTCAATCTGGGTCGCAACGTGACCCTGAAGGGTACTGTCATCATTGTCGCGACCGAGGGCAGCACTATCGATATTCCCCCCGGTTCCGTTTTGGAGAACTGTGTCGTCCAGGGCAGCCTCCGCATCCTGGAGCACTAGATGTGGTGGGACGATAAAGAAAATATGAAAACTCACCCAGTCTGGCTTTGCTTTGTCTATTCTTACTTTATTCCCCCCGGCGGTCGATAGCACCATGCGACTCGTTGGTTGGCCGGTGGGGGGGTCAGCCATGTCGGGAAGGTGTTGGACCAACCATTCCCCGTTGATTGTCTGAGTCTTGCCTACTGTCTCTTTTAATTGTTCCCACCTCTTTTTTTGGATATGGGAGGCGCATTCGTGGGCTATGGTTTCTTTCTCGCGGAGAGTGTGCAAAAATACCGTGTCTTTACAACATTATACAATAATTGAGCGTCTCTTCTTCTCACTGAACGTGCTTGTCTAGCTTTGTAGATCTTGATGGGGCTAAAGACGGGTCGAGACACTAGCCACTGCCAGTGGCCACCTCCTGTGGACTGTAACGCGCAGTAGGAACTGGGAAGGGTTCAGTGTTCAGTGTTCACCACTAGAGAGGCATATCTTGCTCACACTGAAGACAGAACCATTGGGAAGCTGATCGGTCTCATGGCTCCCTTTGGGGGCCACTCATGAAGTTGGAGATTCAGTCTGTAATAATGGAAACTTGACTTCGGTTTGGGCCAGGGACCGAAGAAGTCGGGAAGTCCGCACCCAGCCTTTCCCGCCTGGTTGTGGTTCGTGGAAAAGATATCCTGTAGTGACGTTGGGCGGACCGGACACTATGCGTTTCTTGCAGATCCATATATGACTGATGCAGCTTGCCAGCAAGAACCAGGTCGCCAAGTACTCGAGTACCGTTCTTGCACTTGGTAAGTGTAGCAGAGCACAGTCCTACATCACATTATCGCCCGAGCTACAATCAGCCTCCAGCCAACGAGCCGGTCGCAGGCGAGGGAGGAAGTATCTTCCTGGTCTGTATCGAGTATCGACTGCTCATTGGCCCTGGCGGACCTCCGTTCCACTGCCAAATGCCAACTGTGGAATTGGTGAGTCGGGCATTGCTTCCCTATGACCTCAAATCCACGTCTCTGCCAATGACCGCGCAAACAGTCTTGTGTTTGCGCCTCCCGGAAGATGTGGTAAGATGAGGTGGTTCCAGGTTTCTCTCGAGCTTTGCGCCAGAATGACCCTTCAGCCTTGACAGTCTGATTCGACAGAATCTTGTCTAACCCATGAGAAACAGGTACGATCGCCGCTTGGCACGGGGGTATCTTCGCATGAAGTGCAAATGGACGAGAACTTGCATATGGCTTTGGGTACAGGGAGACAGTTTCACGCCATCTGATGGGCGGCTTAGAACTTCCTCGTGTCACATGGTCAGGTGCCTTTATCGACGGTCGTCTTGACGTGGACCACTGGCCTTTTGGAGTTCCTCTCGGGCCCTTGTGAATATCAGCGTGGACTGATGGCCGTGATTCGGCTTCGGGCTCCGGGCCTTGCTCTTGAAAATCGAAACAGACTGGAGCTGCCGTTTTATCCGCCTTAATCAGCCCGTCTTTTACAAGGCAGAGCACTCTCTTCTTCTTCTTCTTCTTGAATCTTCCATTTGACTGGTGTCGTTCCCCTTTTTTCCTGGCCCTGGTGATATACATAACGTGTCTCGCCTCTTGATCAGGGTGGCTGCTTGTTTCGACGTTAACCCAGTTGCCTCCACCGTCATGTTTTCACTTGTAATTGTCACCTATATAGCCACCTGTATAGCCACCCGTATAGCCACCTCCTCTTGCCGCAGTTGCTTTATATTCGCGGCTCAAGCTGCCGGTTTGTCCTCTTTGAACTCCGCGTTCCTTTCCTGTTGATCTTCAGTTCAAGTCTTGATCCTATCCCCATCCATCTGCTTATTCGCATGCTTCTATCGAGGGCACCTTGCGACAACTGGGTGCCCTGTTGCACATTCAACCCACTGCACATACGCCACTGGTCTTCTCGCTTGGACCCGTATACTCTTGTACAGCCGACGAAACCCTCGCAAAAAACGATTGCACCGTGCATATGAAAACATCACGAGCCACCGCACATGCTCACCATCTTGCCATGTCTGATCAACGCGACAGTATAGCAGAATCATTCTCGCAGTACGGCCATGACAAGATGAACTCTGACGAGGCAAAGCCGTCCTCGTCATCCAGAACGTCAAGTTCGACGGCTTCCTGGAAAAGGAGAGTCTCAACCGCCTGTCTGGCGTGCAAAAAGTCGAAGCGGAAGGTAAGAAGTGTTCCTGGCGGGAACTCGTGCAGTCTGTGAGAAGCGGTCTTGCTATGGCTATGGGTCATTACCGGCGAGCTGTGTTTTACACATTAGGCGGAGTCTTCTATTTCTGGCTGGGTGCTCGCTCATTCCGTTTTCTTGAACAGTGCTCAGGTACCGCACCATGTGAGAATTGTCGCACTTTCCATCGCGTCTGCATCTTCGACGAGTCCCTCGACCAGCGCCGGCGCGTCGCTGCCAAACGTACCGCCGACGAGTTATCCTACCACCGAGATCTTCTCAATGACATCTTCAAGCTGGTCCGCGAAGCAGACGAGACAAAAGCACTCGATCTGCTCGAGATCATCCGTCACAATGCCTCGCCAGACGAACTTCGCGCCTTCATCAACGACACGCTCTCCGGCCTGGACACGTCGTCTAGTCGTACCTCGGCAGATGCCGCGTCTAAGTTAGAGAGCATGCGAGAGTTGATCAATGTTGAAGGAACGACACCTGTGTTTCGGCGTAAAGTCATGGATATTCACTACTTGTGTGACGAGGCCCCGATCAAGGTTCCTGCGCGACCGTGGACCCAGGTCACTGGGGATGACGACCTGGTCTCGCATTTAGTTTCGTTATACTTTACGTGGGATTATCCGTTCAATGCGTTTTTGGATAAAGATGTGTTTTTGAAGCATATGGTGAATGCGGATCCGGGCAGTCAGTTTTGCAGCCCGTTTCTTGTCAATGCTCTATTGAGTAATGCATGTGTGAGTGATGAAATTTTGCCCACTTTGCTCTATTCCCTGGTTTGGGAGGCGCAGCATGCTCGCCAGACTCCTGAATGGATCACCCTAAAAGACTTTTTCAAAAGGGGCGTGCTGATCCATTTTGACTAGTACTTTTCCGAATTTTCCGAGGCATACGTCGTGCCAGGAGACATTTCCTCCAAGGGCTGTGATTTCCTCGCAGAGGCGGAAAGGTTGAGGAGCGAGTTGCCGTTACAGCCCAGTTTGACGACCCTCCAAGGGTTGTTGCTATTATATGAGAGGTGTGACATGGGCCTTGTATCCCCCGGAGCGGAGCTTTTGACTGACTACTTCAAAGATACGCCATGTCTCGCGACGATGATCTCGGCTACGTGAGGCTCCACGATGCGATTCGCATGGGCGACACGCTCGGCCTGGTGGGCAATGCAGGGCCCAAAATTACCTCGGAACAACTATCCCAGGACATGGACATCTCATGCAGACGTACGGCTTGGGGATTGTTCAATGTTGACACGTGAGTTTTACGCTGACAAACCGGCTGTGATTGAGAGCCTTCGAATAGCTAACCGCGTCTCAGAATGATCCATACGGGCTTCCTTCGTCCCAGTCTCATCAATCACGTCAACATGCGACGACTGGACAGGGACCACATGCTTGATCAGTCCGACTGGATGCCCTATCCATCGCATCGCGACACGAGACCCTCATATTTTAGTCTGTACTTTGACGAGTCCTGCAATTTGTCCACGATCTCACGCGACATTTCACGGAGCATGTTTGCATCTCGCTCGAGTATCCTGAATCCGCAACAGGAGCAAAGTCGCGATGTGTTGTATGACAGATTGCAACGATGGCACGAGATGCTCCCCGAGATTTTTGAATGGGAGAAGATCCCACCATATTTGATGTTGCTAAAGTGTGTTTTTTCTTACCCAACCCTTAGCGTTCGAACTAACCTCTCCCCCTCTCTTTTTGATCCTTACGATGGCATATGACCTCCGAATCACTCGATATCAGGCTTTAGCTAACACCTCCCTCTATTCCCGCACAGAATGCGCTACAATGCCCTAATCATCAATCTATTCAGCTGTTTCCCGGGCAGTGATCCCTCCAGCAGCGCACCCTCCGACGAACCGCAAACCCCCGAAAGTCCTCCGCCGCCATCACCAGACGACCACGTCCCCTCCAAGTACAACTCCATCGAGCTCACCCAAACCGCCGCCCGCACCATCGCCCACCTCGCCCGCATCCACCGCCGCGAATTCGGCCTCCATCGCGCCCACCACTTCGCCCTCTACACCATCAATCTCGCCCTGTTCGCCATGATCGAGCACCCGGCCTTTGACGTGCTCGACCCGGATTTCCTCTCGCTCGTCAGCGCGCTCTCCGTCGTGGCCAGCCGCTCCGCGCTCGGCCGCAATTTGTTCCATCTGTTCCGGCAGTCAGTGCGCGCCAAGGCGCAGGGCGGCCGAGTGCGGGACTCAAATTGGGTGTCGGACGAGCTGAAGGAGGTTTTGGACGAGAAGGCTGGGTCGAGAGGTCACGGACGGTTTGATGAGTATGCGAGTGGGTTGGAGAAGTTGAACGAGAAGGAGAAGTATCATGGGATTCCGGGCCGGGGGGAAGGGTATGGGATCCAGGGGTATCCTGGGTTGGGGCTGAGTGACATGTTGGATCGGTATGAGAGTTTGAGTCTCGGGAAGGATGATGTTTTCTCGGAGAGGAGGAGGAGAAGGAGTCGAGTGGTTGGGTTTGAGTGAGAGGTACATGAGGGTACCACCACCTAATTCACACTAGCTACTACTGTATATACCGGGAGAGGTACCATGATTATCATCCATATAGATCTTGTTATATTAATTGATCGTTCTGTATAAATCTCTTTTCCTCGCATATCTCCTTAAAGGTCCGTCATATTACTAGACATGCATATTCTGTAAGGTCATTCACATCTTTACGGGCGAGCTCTAAACCTGCTAGGATATTGCGGCTCAGAACTCCGGCCCAGCCCTTGATAAGTCGATCCTAATGCATACCACTAGTACTCTCGAGCTGTCTACTGCTTATCAGTGGCGAGCACCTGCATCTGTGTAGCCTGGTCCCCTTGTCGTATATACATCAATAGTGGGTATCAGGTACCCCATTTCAGGCTAGGGGGATGGGGGTACAGTACTTTCGTACGTCCATGACGCTTCTCCTCCCGCCAGTCCGGCTCCACTGCCTCACTGACCCGTGCAAGAAGTTCAAGACAAGTTTCAGGTTGCAGATTCCACTGTCTGGCACGCATGGGATGGGATCACGCTTGTATCAGCACCCAACCAACTCCCCCTCCATGTGAAGGTCTGTCTCGGTGGAGCAATCGATGATCAGCGGTCACATACCTCTCGGCTATAACTAGTAACTACTGTATCGCAAGTGTGACTGTCTTGCTGACACTTCACTCTCTCGGCTTTCCTTCATCATACTCTAGCAAGATCAGTCCTTAGACGAAGATATAACGAGTAAATCCTCCCCTGATATCGCCGAAGTGATACTGTTCATCTGTGTCAATAAAGAGTTCAGTATACAGTATTTAATAAATCTTATTCGGTACATAGAAATCGTTCTTCCTAGCTCCTGTACCAACTGGTCGGTCCCAGTGTCTGAGAGTGTACTGTTAGTTTCTCGGGTGGGTCACGGGAGAGGCGTCTGACGTCAAAACGGGTAAGCCGATTGTGGACTCGTTTGCCGCCAGTCGATCCGCCACCTCCACCCTTTCTTCTCGACCAACTCCTGTTCGACTCGTCTTGAAGGTCGACCGTTCGAGCTCGACCATGCTGTTCGACTGAATGACTCGACTGATTGGGTGGTCTGGGCCCAGACAAGGAGTCATGATTTGTCCCTGAGTAATGGTGGACCTGGTGGATATCCTGCAGTCTTCTAAGTCTTACAGTTGAGCCCCCGTCTCATCCCATCTCAGGCGCACCTGGCCCCTTCTCAGACTGACGTCCTGTCTCTCTCCCTGTCCGTGGATCGGTTCATCTGTCATGTTCAGGTCCAATTCTTTCAACATGTGGCTAGTGAACTAATGGACAACCAGCACAACACCCTTGTGGTAGATCATTCGTCCCTGACGCGTGAATGATATCCATCGGCATACATAACGGTCAACTACCAAAAACCGGCTTCGGTATATCGCCACAAACAAGAAACCTGAGCATCTCCCCTCTCTCTCTCTCTCTCGGCCCCCCCGCCTCCCCCCTCGCCCTCTCCCTTTCCCTCGCCTGACCCATGCTTTCGCCCAGCTGAACGGGGCGGATGACCTAATCCTCTGGAGAACAGCCCAGTCAGCCTGCTTCACTAATGGTAATCAAGGTGTGATCTTACTCGGTTATCAATGGAGGAGAAGCGGCGGGAGAGGAATTCGCCTTCACTGCCGGAATGGAAAGAAAGAGCGGGTAGTACATAGTACCAATGGATGTCAATGGCTTCCTTTTCCTTCTTTTCGCCTTCCTCCATATTCAATTGATGACTATCACTGCGTTTCTTTCTTGATACATATAGTGGAGTCCTTTTGTTTCCCATGCATACTACTAACACCCATCCATTGAGACCCGAGTACGACTACACTCATTTCATCGGGCCCTGGCCATTATCGACGAACGTGAGTACTGTTATGAAGCTCTGGGCGCATCGTCAACTTTGCATACCTTGACTATACGAGCAAGACAACCTTTCTATCATCGCAACTCCAATACCAACATTGCCACTCCCTTGACTATACGAGCAAGACAACCTTTCTATCATCGCAACTCCAATACCAACATTGCCACTCCCTTTGGACACAGAACCCTACCATCAATTGAATCGAACCAACACACACACCACAGCAAGACGAAGCCTAATTGCACCTATTCACACAAAGACCAAGCAGTTGCCATGCGAAACACAGCCACTATCCTCGACGATGTTTCCACCAGCATCATTCTCCCCTTTCAATCAACATCAGCAACCACAACCTTCGCATCCGCATCAGCATCCATCTCACATTTCGCAAGTCGACGGCCACAACCACAGGGTCAGTGCCAGCACCAACAAAGTCGCCATTCCACGCTTAGCGCCAACAACTCCCTATCGCGCGCGACGACGATCCGCCCGAGCTTGTGAGACATGTCGTTTGCGAAAGACGAAATGCGATGGCGTGCGGCCTAGTTGTGGGCAGTGCAGGGGCCAGAACAGCAAGTGCGTATATGAGGATATTAAACGGGTGCGCGATCAGAAGCTGTTGGGCTTGTTGTCCAAGCGCACGGAGGAGTACGAGTCCTTGTTGCGCGATTTGGAGGGACGAGTGGATACGCCTACGGCGAAGAAGATCCGGAAGGCATTGAAGGTGTGTGTGCGCGTCTGTTTCAAAATATGCGAGCTCTTTTGATTGCGAGTTCGGTGATGAAGCGGAGATGGGGAGAATGTTCACATTCTTGGCCGAGACTGGAAGCTGTCATATGTCGCTCGATGATGATTCGCTTGACGTCATTCGATCATGTCCTGTCAGGAAGCTTTAATTCGCTCACTTTTGTTTTTTTTTTTTTTTTTTTTTTTTTTTTTGCGAATGAGTTCTAACGTTCATTTTCAACCAAACCACTAGTCCAAGGAGCGCAAGCCATTTCAGACTCAGGATGCTGCCGCGGCAGACTCCGATTCGGACACATCGCAGGGATCATTGGAGGCAATTGATATGCTGGAAGAAGATTTAAATCGCAATGAGACGACCCGAGCGATGGGCTTCTTTGGCAAAAACTCGGAGGTGGCCTGGATGCAACGTCTTGAAGATGACATTGAGCAGAAACATCTGGGTTCAGTGGGCATGAACAACAACAAAATCGACAACAACAGCAATAACAATCTCATCAGCCAGTATGAGGCAGTCATGTCCCAGTCAAAATCACAGTCTCAAAGCCCACCGATCCCTGAGCTTATTCTGCCGACTCCGGGGAATTATAACGGCGAGATTCCTCTCGCGATGATGAACTACCACCTGGACGACCTCGAAATTCCAAATATCCGCACAGATGCGGACCCCTTGAGCGTGCCTCCGCGCGAACTCGCAGACAAATATTTCGATGCGTACATGCAATTCGTTCATCCAACTTTTTGCGTTCTGCGCAAGTCGACCTTTACGACGCAGTACCGGCAATTTTTCGGACAGTTAACTCAGCCCCCCAGGAAGTGGCTTGCCATTTTGAATATGGTCTTTGCAATTGGCTCGCGATACTGCAAGCTGCTTGAGCCCGGTTCAAATTTGGTTTGGGGCGATGGGCTTTTCTATCTGGCGAAAGCACGACAGCTGGGCCTGCGCGATGGAGTCCTGTTTGAGCATACCGATTTGCAGCAAATTCAGTTGGAGTGTTTAGTGGCGGTGTATCTCTTGTCATTGGGACAGATCAACAGGTAATATTTCTACTTTGCCCATCTCGCCGACTTTGCCGCGGTTCATTGTCGCTTTCTCCTTCCCCATACTGCGAGATGGCCTCAATTTTTCACTGACTGAGGGGGAATTTTAAGGGCAACAAAGTTCTCCGGTCTGGCCCTTCGGGGCGCCTTGTCCCTCGGTATCAACCTAAACATCACCGATACTCGAACACAGGATGCCTCTAAGGAAGCGCGCTGTCGACTATGGTGGTCCATCTATTCTCTCGAGCATATACTCAACTCGATGCACGGGCGTGCATCTTGTATTCGAGAGGGACTTTGCTCGGCCCTGCCCTCGCTGCCATTTGAAGAAGACTCTTTCGATGACCCTCAGATCACCCGTCTCCTTCAAGACCGCGACTACCGTGAATCTACCCTTCGATACACGCTCTTTGAAGAAAATTCCCAATCACCTGACGGGCAGTCGCCGTCAAAAAGCGAATCGCGCTGGACGGCAGAATGCGCCCCGTCCCCGTCCTTGTATTTCTACCATCGAACCGACCTTGTGCTTATCACGCAGGCCATCTTGAATAGGATTTACAGCATCGACGCAATTCGCGAAGGAGCCAGCGCAACCGAATATCGGTTGCAACTGTACGGACTCCAATTAGACAAATGGCTCGCCAAACTTTCGCCTCATTACAAATTCACCATTTCCGACAATAAACCCTGGCACGTGGACTATGTCGCATTGAACGATCTGTCAGCCCCACATATGCGCGAGAAGGTCTCTTTTGCATTGAATTATTACTCTGCGCGGATTCTTCTCTGCAGACCGTGTCTTTCGCAGCCACATCATCAACCCAATCAAGACCCGACAACCACAAACTCGGACTCGTCTACCAGCCGCAATCATCATGATTCAATCCACAGGACGAAATTGGGTAAGGAGATGGCGAGGAGTTGTCTCCAGGCCGCATGCTCGCTCATTTCAATCTTCCCAGAGGAAACTGATTCCAATTGGATCGTTCGTGCTACCCCTTGGTGGGGTGTTCTTCATTATATTATGCAAGCTACAACTGCACTCTTATTATGTCTGTCATTCATGACCTCCTCCTCCGGCTTATCGCCATCGCCAGTTTCAGACTCGAACAACAAGCAGCACCGCCATTCCCACTCAATCAATCAAACACAACCTTCGTCTTCATCTTCAACTTCCTCAACGTCGCCCTCAACAGCGGCAGCAACATCCACGTCCACATCCACATCCACATCCCTCAGACCCTCATTCCTCCATTCCCTTAGCGGCAATTCCGCCTCCGGTTCAAAATCAACATCCTCCCACTCCTCCATCAGCCCTCTCCCCCAATCCCAAGCCCAATCCAATTCAGCTTCCCCCCAGACAACAAACTACCTCGACCTCCAACCCCACGACATCCAAACACTCATCATCAGCGCCAAAAGAGGCCTCTCCCTCATCGCCACCATGTCCGCCATCGACCCAGCCGCCAAGAGAGCATTCTCGCTCTGCGACGGGTTCGTCAGGAAACTTGCGCCCGCGCTGAATCTTGACTTGAGTGACTGGCCGAGTTTGGATTCTCTGGCTGGTGGGTTGGAGGGTGCGTCGTTGAGGTACGCGTATACATTTACGGACGGTTCTGGGTCTGCGGCTGGGCCCCGTGCTAATGCCGATGCTGGCGCGAATTCTGGTGCTAGTCAAGAAGTTGAAGCGTGGAGAATGGGTGATATGGATGAAAGGATGCACGAAGCATAGGCTTGATAAGTCTCCGGCTTGCCCATTTCCACGTTCGACTTCGTTTCACATCCGATTCGATTTCTAAAATCGTGGAGTCGATGGGTGGTCGTGACGATGATGGATTATTTGCTTGAGCATGACCGTCCATCCTATCAATATTCGACAGTTCGAGGGCTTTCAGCTTACTTTTTTTCTTTCTTTTCTTTTTTTCTGGCGCGGCGCATCTATTGTCTTACTAAGTGATCATGTACTTGGTTCTTTTTCCCTTTTCCTTTTATTTTCATTTTTCATTTCATCTTTTTGGAAAGTTCAATATCTTCTTTCCAAACTTGGTCATTTGGTTTGTCTTTTTTTTTGGGACAATCGTGTGATGAATAGTACATATTGCACCTATCTACTACCTTCTCCCTACTAAGTTACCAACTACGCAGTAGACACTCTGCAGTACACACCACACAATTCCACGATACACTAATGCCCCTGAATCTCCATATACATACCAAATGTCACACAAAAAGTCCTTCTTCAATCGGCGACCAAATCATCGCAAGTAGACGTCACCCATCGAAATGAACTCTTTCCTGTAGGACGAGGTGAGTAACCCAGTCGTCATCATTCCCTAAGGCATACGTGTCGCTCGGTTGATCTCCCCAGGTTGAAATTCAGTCACGGGCTGGAAGTAGATCTTACTTGGTCAGACAAAAGGTAGATGGCTTCTGATTGTGAACTCGCTTCATTAGGAATAGGGTGTTTCTTGCATCTCGTTAATCCGTACTATGTATATGTAGCCTGGAATTTGATCGCGCTATGTGATAATCCATGAGATTAAGGGTATATACTACATCGTGACTTATATATGCGGTTGTTTTGCCAAAGATCATCCAACGAAGAGAGCCGAGAGTGAAGAACAGGATAACAAGCACGCAATGATTCAAGTCGGTAAAAGAGGACGAAACAACAAACCAAGCGGGAAATGAAACACAGAAAACACCAATCACGCCGAATAGGATTCATGGGTAAGTCAGTAAAAGATAAGGTCGACAAGAGTGAACGGAATGCACGCAAAAGGGCGAAGCATTCGCCAAAGATCAGTCATTCACTGACCACCGCACATGTCGATATCGTAAAGGCGAAAAACAGAAACATAAATGCTATGCTTGAAGCGTCATATATCATAAGGGAAAAAGACGAATCAATCGCAGCTCGTAGAAAAATTAAAACAAAATCCAATCGCAAAACATCGGCTTCGTGTAATCAAGCCTTGAAGATATCGGGTAAAAAACATATATCAGGGAATGGGCCAGTGGATACATTGGAAGACATAGCGACAGCAAGTAAGACAAAAGGTCGCTAGCATGTTCTTCGTGGCTCAGGAATCAAGAGTGGACTTGGGAAACCATGAAGCATGAGAACCATTGACATCAGTGAACACCTTGTCTTCTCCGTTCAAGTTGTTTGAGGTTGCAGCTGGACTTGAAAGGTGTGCTGATGTTGATGCTGGGGTGCCGGGGGTGGCGGAGCGCGGGTATGCTGCGGCGTTGGTCGGACTGGTCCAAAGTGTTGTCCCTGCATCATCTGAGCCTGTGTCTGAGGTTGCGCCGGCTGTTGGCCTTGATGAGATGAATGCCCATTAGTAGGCTGCGGGAGCTGCATCGGTGGCTGTTGCATCGGAGATTGCAACGAAGGCATCTGATTCTGCAGGTACGGATGGTTCTGTGTTGGTCGAGCAGCATGGAGACCCCCTTGTTGATGCATCTGCAAGTGAGGCGGTAATGGCATCGCATGGCCACTTTGCAGAGGAAGCTGCTGACCCTGAGAATGTTGCTGAAGTTGCTGACCCGCTTGCTGACCCATGTGCTGACCCATGTGCTGACCCGTTTGCGCAAGACGCTGGGTCTGTGTAAGACCATTGTGGTGGTGCTGCTGCTGCTGCATCGAGAATACATGATTGTTTTGCGGGGGTACCTGGGCTTGAGCAGCCAGCTGTGGTGTTTGTTGCTGACCCTGGACTTGACCTTGAATTTGACCCTGTTGTGGATACGGAGGTGTCGGGCCAGGTCGCGTTCGTGGGTCGTCATCAGTCGGCGCTGATCGCTTTTGAGCTCCGGTTGCGTCTAAACGACTGTTCGACGGAGCGCCACCATCTGCTTGAGCTTGATCACCATCCTGAGCACCTTCGCCTGAAGCTGCTGCCGCTGCCGCTGCTGCCTTGGCAGCGGCTGCCGCCGCGGCATCTGCTTTGCGTGGTCGGCCACGGGGACGACCAGTACCTGGCTTCTTCTTGGGGGCAGCAGGTGGCTTTCTTGGTTTAGGTGGTGGCAGGGGCTGACCAGTCATCTGCGCCCAGGCAATCTGATCAGCCTTGCGGGGGCGACCACGTTTGCGCTTCGGAAGCTGCGGTTTTCCATCTGGACCGATCGTCATTTGAGGGTAAGTACCTGGAGCATTCACATTGAAGGGTTGTCCAGGCTCGGGTGGAGGGAGACCAGCAGCTAACGCCGCAGCCACCGCTGCGGCATGTCTGGCTGCAACTTCCTCCTTACGTGGGCGTCCGCGCTTGCGCTTCAGAGGAGTTGCCACAGTGGAATCGGTCCCATCAGCTGCAGGGCCAGGAACAGGCTGAGCTGTTGTCGGCATTTGCTGGTTTGCGCTCAACACATTGGTTGAAATTGCAGCAGGTGGAGCAGTCACATTTGGCATAGACTGGGCTTGTGGCTGAGACATAGCAGGCTGTTGGGCATGGGCCTGAATCTGGGCTTGCCCCGAAGCCGGGGCTTGGGCCTGAGGCTGGGAAGCGTTTTGGGCCTTCGCCTGGGCAGCAGCGGACTGGCGAGGCTTTGACTTCTTTTTAGGTTTAGGACTCGGGTTCTCGTGCTTGATTGTAACATTGCCGTTAGGAGCAGACGCGGAAGAAGCACTCGATTGGGCAGCACGAGAATTCTTCTCGCTGGTAGATTGAGTAGGCGGCTTATAATGCTGGAACTGAGTCTGCTGAGCTGGCTGTGTGAATTGAGGCTGCTGAGCTGGCTGGGTAAATTGGGGTTGCGGCTGCTGCGTGTATTGATTTTGGGTTTGAGCATGAGGTTGATACTGGTGGAACGGAATTTGGGTATGTTGGCTGAAAGGAGACTGTTGTTGCTGGTACGGATTGTGGGCCATCGTTTGCTGCTGCAGCTTTTGGAGGCGCTGTTGCTCCATCTGCTGTTTCTTTTCTTGTTCGAACCTTTGTTGCTGCTCCAGGCGTTGCTGATGGTGTGATCTTTGTGCCTCGAGTCGTTGCTGCTCTTGCCTCTGCTGTTCCTTCTGTTGCTGCTCTTGCCTCTGTTGCTCCTGCCTTTGTTGTTCGAGACGTTGCTGCTCCAAGCGTTGCTTTTCCAGCTGCTCCAAACGCTGTTGTTCCAGCCGTTGTTTCTCGAGGCGCTGCTGTTCCAGCCTTTGCTGCTCTAAGCGCTGCTGCTCGAGACGTTTTTGCTGTTCCAGCTTCTCCTGTTGCTTTTGCTGCTCCAGCCGCTGTTGCTCCAGGCGTTGCTGTTCGATTCGCTGCTGTTCGAGTTTTTGCTGTTCAAGCCTCTGCTGCTCCAGCCTTTGCTGCTCGAGCCTCTGTTGCTCAAGCCTCTGTTGCTCAAGTCGCTGTTGCTCCAATCGTTGTTGTTCGAGCCGTTGTTGCTCTAGTCGCTGCTGCTCTTGTCTCTGCTGCTCCAGGCGTTGCTGCTCTAATCTCTGCTGCTCGAGTCTCTGCTGCTGTTGGAGACGCTCCTGCTGCTGCTGATACTGTTGCTGATATTGCTGCTGCTGGTATTGTTGCTGCTGCTGGTGATGTCTCTGTTGATAAACCTGGTGCAGCTGCTGCTGATTTTGTTGCGGCGATTGAGGTTGGGGCTGCGATGACTGCCTCTGCTGTTGATTCAAGGCAAACATCGAGGTACTAGCCATGGAAGGACTTGCTGAGGTATGGGTGTCCCTTTGCTGAAGATTTGCATGGGGAAGACGATTCAGAGATTGCTGCGGTGAGGGTATCCCCATGCCATGACCCTGGCTGATGCCCGTAGACGGACCGATTCCCGTTGCTCCACGAACATGGGTCATGGGGTTTTGATAACCCCGCTGGAGATTTTGCAGAGCCATGGGATCTGAACTGCGCGCCATAAAGTCTGGACGAGTCATAAAGTCCGGAGAGGCTTGTTGCGCAAATTGGCCTGGATACTGTCCATAGCTGGTTGCAGTTGGGTACCCGGTCAATGGGCTTGAGGAGGCAGGCGCCATTTTGCGCATATCAGGTGATTGCACCGCTGAAAAGGCCTGCTGCTGAGAGGTTGCCGTACGATACAAAGGCTTGGCGCCAACATACGGGCTGCTCCCATGTTGCGGCAAGTTGGGAGTCGCGCTTAATGACGGAGACGGAATGTGATGCCGCTGTGCGCCCAGCGGATGCTGCACATGCGAAGCTTGGTGCGGCTGCTGAGGCTGCGACGGCGGGGGTTGCTGTTGCTGCTGTGGCTGTGGCTGTTGCTGTGATTGCTGTTGCTGCTGTTGCTGCGCCTGCGCATGGTGATATGGCTGGCCCCCGTAGCCCATCATCTCTGCTAAAATGAACAAGACTCAAACACGAAAACGAAACAATCAAACAGTAGCAAAACAAAAACCACGCAAGGACAAAGCTCCTCGGGCTTGGAACCGTAAGCGGTGTCTCGATAAGACTGAAGCAGGTCAGCTCTGGCTTTTATTTACGTGCGGCACAAGCGACCACTACTTCTTCCCAAAGTCCGAAAGAGCAGGTCTCGATCTCTACACGATACGATGACCTTTTTGGGCTTCGAGCAGTGGTCGCGCGGCCGACCAGAGTTGCCTTTTTGCTCTCGAGGATACCCAGTCGGGGCCAGCTGAGGTCGCGCCGCGTGTTTTGTTGTTCCGGCGGCCTGAGTCACCAAGGCACCAAGGTGTCAAAAATTGATGATGGTGGTAGTGAAATGGGCTGAGCTGAGGTGATGACGCCGCCAAAAGATGACTAAGACCTGGGTGTTGGGATGGGCACCTGAGGTTATCTTGCCTAGTTTGGCTTAGCGGCTACGGAAGCCGGTTTGCGCCAAAACGCGCAAAAGGTGAAAATTGCCAGCTGCACACGAAAAAGCGATTCAGGGGGGTTGAGACGGACGTGCTGGACAAAGCAGGACCGCGCTCACTGATCAAGTTCGAGTCCTCGAGATGGTTTGTCCAGGTAAGAAAAGCGGACACTGAGAAGCTGATCTGATCGGGGGACCCAAGTGGGTGACGCTGGGCGCGATCGTTCTTGACGGGCAAAGGGGGAAATAATTATTAAAATAAAACAATAATTAAAATGTGAAAAAAAAAAAAAGAGTTGGGGGAAAATAAATTCGAAAATTCAGAGCGTTCCCCCTTGGAGTCACGTGGTCTTGGCCATGAGCGATTGCACCTGACGTGCCTCGGATGCCAAGACCTGAAAGTATCCAGGGTTGCCAAACACATGGATCATTGATCCCTTATTGCATCTTGAGAGGCGACTAGATTGGGATCCTATTGCGCGAACCTTTTAGAAAATGCAGTTCCTCGCCGATGATCAGGTTATAGGCTGCTTGCATTCTGTTCGACGATGCAAACAACATTGAAGCGCCTGAGCCTCGCTGAAAAGTCCACATGATCTGGTGTTTAAGATGGGAATGATGTTCAAGCTTTGCCTGTAGATTGATTATAACATAAGCACCTATCAGACCGAAATAAAAGCCGAACCCTAGCTGGCTATCAACCTCCAGCGAGGATACTGATTTGCCCTGTGGACTGCGTCATGGGCAGCCCTATCGGATACCTATTCAATTGATCACGAGCCTGCTTCTAAAACCCAGCGCGCTTTTCGGACCATAAGAAGGGGCTTTCGTCTTGGGCATACCTACTTCATGACGACAGCAGTATTTCCCCCGCCATCGACTTCAACGCAGGCAAAATTGATACATTCCCAGCCTTCCTCGGATCAAAGGTGGCTTCCTCGATAGTATGCTGGCCCCACCTACCGAAAGCCTCGATAGATATATCTCCGCACGGTCCTCGGCTCACTATCCCGTCGACGTTCAATGGACAGTTTGACGGTATCGCCCGTAGGGACCTCTGGTATTTCCTGGCCCTCGATCTTGTTTGGAACCTACAGGTGGACGATAAAGAAAGTGCTCCCGTTAACCCGAGAGAATGGATTGATTCATGTAAACCCATAAGGTCGGGTATCATCATGCCACGACCACTCGCCTTCTAACCATCCATAGAAATGGGGGGGAAACACGAGGACAACAGATAAGGCACAGACGGGTCCAGAGATAATTCAATTATTAGGACACGCACACCTAGTCTTTCCGGGGCCCTCTGCACTACAGTAACCTTAAATTTCGAAGGGTTGCATGGATTTAATTGCTCAGTTGGGTAGGTACCTAACGCTTCCAAGTATAGGGAGGGGAAGTGTCTATTCGAACATTAGGTATTCAGTCTGAATAGATTGTCAGAGGCGGTTGACGCTCGCATGCATCAACATGAAATTGGACCAAAAAAACCTCGTAAATCGAAATGGTCCCAAAAGAAGTCCAACCCCATCATTTTCGATACTCGTTTCGGCTCTTCCAATTTTAGAAGGAAGCCAAAAAACGACAGCTGGCGGATTTGAACCGCCGCCTCCGAAGAGACTTGATTTCTAGTCAAGCGCCTTAGACCACTCGGCCAAACTGTCTTATCAATACACTGAAGCGTCAATTTTGGTATTATAAAGCAATAAAAAATCTCGCGCACGTGACCTAAATTGATCAACCGTGTCCGACTCTCCCTTTAGACTTGCATTTAGGGGATACCGCGGCTTGTTTACATCCCTTGAGATTGTATGTCCTGGCTACCGCTGCAGTATTTGTGGGATTCTACATGCACAATGATATATTGACGAGAGAGGTGGTTCAATTATCCACCCAACGACAGTCGAGATGTGTAGGTTGCTCCAGGTATTTGACTGTGTGAGACAGCGAAATTGAGACCCAACGCATTCATAGATTCATATTAATTTACACCAAAGTACAACCTCATCGTAGTCGTCACAATGCGCTCAAACAAGCAAAATAAAAGAGAGAGAAACAATCACCCCCCCAAATCAACAATCAAACAGCACAATCTGCTCCATTGTCGCGAATCGATGCCGACAACATCCAAGACCCTCACTCCGATCTAGTTGTTCAAACCGAGCGGGTTAGAAGCAGTCTGCTCCTGACCACCCACGCTCTTGACTTCACTGCTCTGGCCCTGGTCGCCAGCGCCGCCAGCGAGACCCTTGGTGGTGTTTCCCAGACCCTCCGTGGCACCGGAGACGGTGTTGCCCAGACCAGAGGTCACGCCTCCGACGGTTTGACCGACTCCGCCGACAGTGTCGCCCACAGTGTTGGTAACGCCGCCGACGGTTTTACCGACGGTGTCGCCGAGGCCGCCGAGGAGTCCGCCGTCTGTTTTGGGGGAGAGTGGTTTCAGTGGGGTGTGGACTGGAGAGGGATGGGTATTTTTGGAGTGGGTAGGTAGAGAGGTGAGGAAATGGGAGGAACAGTTGAGATTAATAGGAAGAGTGGAAGAGGTGATGTAGGATGAAGATGAGAGGGAAGAACGTACTGTTAGACATGCTGGGTGGATGTGATAATAAGATAGGCGTAGACGTAATAAGGCTTTGAGGAGAGACGATTTCTCCAATATCCGATTGATAAAGATAAGGCGCTTTTGATGTTTAGACTGGTGGTATGGATTATAAGAAAAGAATAACAACTAAACGCTCCCTATCGCTCAACACCTCTTTTTATATTCCTTCCTCTCTCCGTACCCTCTCTGTGAGTGAAACCGGAATTCGACAGAAAAGGATGATATAATCGGTGCAACGCCGATGATCTTCCCCTTCTCAGCAGTATCTCCCCTCCAGCTTTGACTCCACGTAGAACTCACAAGCCACACTGTCATCTACAGTAGGCCACCGTCAATAATCTAATCATATCAATCAGCGCGATTCCCATGGTCGTCTGTTTACATTGAGCGACCCAGTCTCATCATACTCAGCGGGGCGCCGAGAACATGATCACCGCAGGTCAAGGTATGAACTTCTGCGAGTACGAATTGAAATATTGTTTGGACCAGTCTGACGTAGCAGAGAGGCCCCGTGTAGCCTTCCCACTTGATCTCATGCCTGTCGAAGACGGCAGTCGATTGGTTGAAAGTCTCCGAGAGACGTTGGCGATGTGGGGCCCTTCCTGACTTTTTTTTGTGTTGACATGTGTGGCTGGTGCAAGGTTATAGTTGTACTTTTGGGAGATCAAATCAATACTGTCTGCGGAGACTATGTTCCTCTCGTGGTTGGCGGTGGTACGACATATGTAGCCTCGAGAATATTGAGTGCAGGAGATGTCTGCTCTGGTAACTGCTAGAATGAGGCCCCGTGGCCAGTGTTGATATGATGTCATGGCGAGCTAGGCTGGGGTCATTGGTGGGAGGGTGGATCAAAAGACTGGGATGCTGAGAAGTGTGTTATATTAAAGACGGTGGGGCAGAGGCAACATCCATCTGTGGAGGTGCAGATCTCCCAATCATGTCGTGGGTGAGAAGTTAGTCGTGGCTAAACCATGACTGCATCAGGCAGCTGGCTATTGCTGGAGATGTGGCGGTGTTCTTCTCCGTTGTCTACTCAAGGCAGACCAGGGTGGACATCACTAACTTACTTTATGCAACGTCCGACTGATGCACCTTACTACTGTGTACGAATCTTCAAACACGTCGATCTTTCCATCATTGCGTGGCGCCACAGTGGCTTCACTCCGAAGCCTACTTGCACCATTCACCTCTTCAGCATCTTTTGAATTGGGACTAGACGAATCCAACTCTCACTCTCGGCTCTGAAACCTACAGGCTCGCTTTACCCCGCGACTCATATGGGAGGAGAATGACTAGAATGCCCGCGGCAATGAATAATGCGCCACTGACATAGACGGGCACGGCCGAGTTCAGATTCGCAAACATGGCCACGATGGGTGCCATGATACCAAAGACGCGATTGGCACTAGCTGTGAGTGCATTGCCAGTACCTCGGTCCTTGGTCAGGAAGATCTCGGGCGTGTAGGCGTACAGCACCGCGTACATCAGACTGCTCATGAAGTTGTAGGCACAATTCCAGCCTAGGAGAGCATTGGATGAAGTCGCCGTGGTGGACGATAACAAGAAGATGCCGGTCAGCACGGTGGACGAAGACAGAGCTCCCTTGCGCCCGAAGCGAGGAAGCTCCACGAGCAGGCCGCCGAGCAGACAGCCTGGGATCCCCATCGCGGCAATGATGAGAGAGTTGCGATAGGTGATGTAGGTCGATCCATCCCCGAATTCGAGTCCGCGTGACTGCTGGATGTACGGCAAGAAGGCATTGTAGAGAGGAAAGCCCAGGCCAATGAATGCCCAGACCAGAATGATCAGCGTGGTCGAGTACGCTCGTTTCGGCGTATCAAAAAGCGCTCGGATATGCTCGAAGCGAAGCTTATCCAGCCGCCGACGGACAACATTGCGGGTCGTCAAGCCCGGCGACTCGCCCTCGTCCAGCTCATCCAAGTCTGCCTGTGTCAACGACGAGAACCGTCCATTTCGCCTTGCCACCTCATGCACCACCCCAACTGCTTCTCCATTCCTGGCCTTGCCCATCAAGTATTTGGGTGATTCGAAGATGGTGAAGAACAGAAATCGTATGACAAACATGATCATTGCAAGACCGCCCATTGCAATCAGGAAGTATCGCCATCCCATGTTCTCCGATCTTGTGCACCCTTCCTTTGTCTCACATGTCATGTTTCCTAGTAGGGGCCATGCGACCAAAGTCGCCAGGAGTTGTGCAAAGGCCCAGTCAATTGACAGAACAGTCAGCAGCCACTGATGTGAGCCCGGCAGGAATTCTAGGAAGATGGCCGAGTCGACAGGCAAATTACCTCCAACTCCCACGGACCACAACGCCGCGAACGCACATGCAGCCCCAAAGTTCGGGGACCCGGCCGCGATCAACCCAAACACCGCCGTGATGCCGATAGTCAAGTTGAAAGCCCATTTCCGGCCAAAGATATCACACCCAAATCCCCAAAATACCGCACCAACTAGAAGTCCAATATTCTGCGCCAAGGTGAGCAATGGGGCTCGGGGAGCGTGGAATTCGTTCGCGAGAGGCGGGAGAATCAGCGATGTCACGATCGGCCAGAGATTATCACTGGCCCAGCCGAATCCGATGACCACAAAAAGCTGCCACTGATACCGACCCATGCCGACATCCTGAATCGCTCGGTTGAGAACTTCCGCCTTGGCTTTGTAGGCGGCATCGACGTCCTGCCGCGTATCTGGCGAAGTGAGTTCGACGGGCTCCGACGCCGCCGGCACAGGTTCGTTAGGTTCTGCTTTCTTGACGGAGGTCATGACTGTTGGTGAGATTCTGCTTTGCGAACAATGACCATCAAAGAAGGGGAAAGGTAAGAGTAAAAGAAACCCGCTGATGTTTGTCGTTTGCGCTCAACAAAAGTCCCCAAGTCTTCCCTTTCCGGATTTGGAAGTACCTCGCAGAGTTGGCGGGTCTCGCGACGTCAACCAGACAGTTTTGTGCTGAGGCCCCCACGTTGCATGTCGCATTGCCTGGACCCCCTCCCTCCACAATGGAACATGGACACAGATCTGCAATCGAAATATGTCGGACAAATCAAAGAAGCAGAAAAGCACGCCTTAAAAGCCATACACGACGCTTTGATGCCGGGAGAAGCGATATGATTCGGGGGTTTGGATTGCGCTCTCTTATCACGTCTGAACGTATTAATGGCGTGATCCATGACCAAACTTGACATCCACCCATCTTTAGCATGAGGGACTATGCAAGCGGAGCAAAAAGAGAAATAAGAAATGTGGTTAAGTGGAAGAGTCCGGGAAGAGAACCACTGGATTTACCCCACGGTTCCCACGGGCGGAAGTGTCCGACCGGAAGAATTTAAGCATGTTAAAAGAATCAAGCCCAGGCAGGAAGGCATAGTGGAACACCCGCTGGGGAATCAAGCTCAGCACGAGTATAGAGATTGTTTTATGTGAACACTCCACGTGTAGAGTAGGGAACTGCCATACTTAGAATCTGTGAATCTTCCTCTCTTGCAGCGCCCTTTGTAAACCACGAACAGTCAAGATACGTACGTAGGTATGCAGACAAGCAACACATGCTTGATCAATCAAAACACCGAGAAAGGGCAAGAACGCAGGAACCAGGTTGCTACTGAGAAGCTCTGAAAAATCAGGTTCGTCTTACCCTATAAATCCGCACTCTTCGTCTTCTCAGAAGCAGCGTAGGCTTTTTTCTTTCCTTAATCTCACCTTTGGTCTCTTAGAAATCAACCGTAACTCTCCTGACTCTCCTCTGAATATGATGACGGATGGCCAGTAAATTCAGCGGAAAGCTATATCTCATCACAATACTTGCGTGGCCTCACGACCCTAATATTTTCGTTCGCCATGGATGGCGACTCCACTAACTACAACTATGTAGGTGTCATTTGCAGTCAGGGGTCTCGACTTACGCACGTCTGCCTAACTATTCAATCTTCTCCGTACAATGTGCACAAACGCTTGGTCCCCTGCATTATCTAAAACACCAGATACTATCTGGCTGGCGCAATCAGAAAGCCTCTGGCACAGCCGGTGCGGTACACATAAAGCCGGGAAACTTAAGTTTTGCTTCAGAGAGCTTCGCCGAAACAGGTCTCAACCTGACAGAAGCTATCCAAAATCACTAGACGATATCATACGAAAGAGAACGAGATCCACTCGGCAGATATCACTCGACGCTTCAGATACCAGCAATCAAATGGCTCACGTAATTTACAATTCCAAATTCCATACTATCAATAAGTAGTTGCCTTGGCGGCCAATGCCTTAATAGGCGTCTGACCGGGATAGAAGGAAGTCGGAATCGTGGGGATGGGAATCGGAGAGTCCGTACCAAATGCAGCCTTGAGATCCGCCGCCATTGTCGGGGCAGAATAGCCGGTTGGAGCAGTTTTGACAGTGACCGTGGTGCTGTAGGAGCCGCCCGTGCCCGGCTTGAGACAGCCACCGGAGCCATACGCGTTGTTGCAAATCTCCTTTTGGTAATTGCCGGTCTCGGTCCACATAGAAAAGTCCACCAGAGTTACGTCTGTGCAGGGGGCACCCGCTGCACAGTTCACCTTGATGGGGCCACGTTGAGCACCGTTGGACTCGGTACCTTTCCAGTTCTTGACGGTGATGTTGTCGAGGTGGACACCGTTGCCTGCGATAGTGTGCATGCTGCTCCATTGTTGGTCAATGTCGAGGGAGTATGCGTTTCCATGGCCTGGATAAAAATTCAGCATTGAGACTGATCAGAAACAAGGAAAGAAAAGGGATGCTCCCGTACCGATGAAGTTCTCCAGAACGACGTTAGAGACGGTGCCACTGCCACCGTTGCTTTTGATCATGTACATCTGGTTCGAGGCCCAGGTATAAACATTGCGGTAGTGAACGTCTGAGATGGCAGTATCAGCCCCCAAGGAGCCCATAGCACAACCGCCACTCCAGTTACAGTAGATATTCTCGACGAGAATGTTCTTGGCGGGACTCTGTACTATGAATTAGCGAGGTTTGTCCATTCATTCCAAAATCAATCGCCACCATCGGTGGAGTTAATCATACCTTGACAGTCACACACTCATCCTTGTTGGTGACCTCAACCTAGTATACCCAGATTCACGTCAGATAATTCATGGCAATGCCTCGTCGACTGTCGTACCCGACAATGAACGTACATCGTGAACCCAAATGTTATTGGACCAGACATCAATTCCGTCCAAACCACCAGAGTTACCACCCCGAATCGCCATGTTGTAGACCTCGCCATTCTCACAGGTATCCATACTGAAATGGAAAGACGGCGAGTCCACCAGAGCAAGATCATGCACTGAAAAATTTGTCACTTTGAACATGCGCAGAATGCGAGGTCCGCTCAACGATCCCTTCTTATGGAACTCATACCCCGAGCCCTGCACAGCACCCTTCGAGGTTGCACTGAACATCTCAAAGTCATCTGTGTGTTCAACAAAGATCATATTACCACCACTGGCGCCGGCGCGGTAGATAGTTCCGTCCATGCGAATAGCAGTGCTCTTGCCGCCGTTCAATGTCACCCATGACCCCAGTGCGTAATCACCGGCGGGGATATACACAACACCGCCAGACTTGCAATCATTCCACGCCGAGAGAATAGCAGGACCGACGTCGGTCTTCTTGTCGGCGACTGCACCATACTTCAGAACGTTGCATGTCTTATGATTTGCCTTGGTAGCGTATGGGGTGGTCGGTCCAACGCCACCAGATAATTGGGCCGTTGCCAGCAACGGCGCCATGCCAAGGGCGAGAAGAGAGAGTAAATAGACCATTATGCGAGACCTACTGCTTGATGGTGAAAGGTAGTGACTGTATTAAGAGTGATGTAAATTGGAAACCAAAAGAGCGGTCATTCAAGTGATCGACGACGGAGACAAGAAGGGATCCTCAAAGAGACGAAGATGAGGATCTAAAGACGTTTTTGAATAAGCATCGCCGCCGATTCCGACCCCACGCTTCAACTTCCCCGTAACATAACTGGCGCAAGTCAGACATTCAAGACATTCTGAAACAAATCAAGAAGATGTGTGACTGGTGCAAAAATCCCCAGCGTAAAAGAAGGGGGGATGCCTCCCGGAAGTCGTTCTGCACGCTAGACCTAAAGCAATCAGGAGCTACTCCTATTGAGCTGCAGAGCATAAAGATCCGAGAAGCCTGACATTCTGTCTAATCCACAGGATTTGTTGGGCCTGACGCTGGCGGGACTCTCCTGCGGTCGAAAGGAGAGTTTGGTCCACTGCAACAAATTGGACCCGGGATATAGCTTCTTCGGGCGAGACAGGTGCGGTGGTCGGCCGCTCCTTGAGATTGGACTGATGTTGTGTTTGAGGAGAGATGAGTGTGATGGCTAGCTTGTCTCAGGTTGAACCAGGTGCATTCCGCTTCCGAACATGGTAGTCTGAGCTCTGGATCTTAATAGACTCGCGTTTCAAGCTTGACTGTGACAAGTATCTGAGTCTTCAGAGTACCAATTCGATCTAAGGCTGACACGATGAACTTCATCCTAGATGGGGCCGGCCCTTGAAGCTCTCAACACATCGACATGATACTAGAGGTCGGGCGAGTCGCACCGCAAAACTACTACTGGACAATGGATGCCGCCTCGGCCGAGTCTCCGCCATGCCAGCACTGCACATGTGCCACATACAGCATACTGCAAGAGCAGGACCCGGCTTTTTCACTAGTCACTGACGTATGCGTGCAGCCAGTGATAGTGATACGTGTCACTGATTGGGCAGCGTTGAACATGGAGTTTCTGGCTGGAAAACGTCGTGTTTCCCTAGCGAACGACCGGGATGGGTCAGACCGAGGTGTAACGCAAATCTACGTTAGATTAAAAACCCCAGACGAGCAACGCCGGAGAGTAAGGGTAGTAAGCTTCTCAAGAAGATCTTTGGATTCGGAGCCGAGCTAGCGAGAGACCTAATTAAAGGTTTCACAAGCCCAAGGGCAAGACTGCGTAGGTAACACATGACAGCGATAACTTTCACCATATGAAATATATCACACAAGTGCAATTACAGCAGTAAGAAACATTTCAAATCCCAACCCCATTTGGAGGGAATTTCTCCACAAAACCTCCAACCATAACAGACCACTTAGATCATGAGACGCTCGACCTGGATCTTGATGGCACGGATCTGGTTGGCGAGCTCACTGGCATCGTTGGTGGTGATAGAGACAGCGATGACGGGACGGCTGACACCACAAGCACGGCCAAGGGCCATCTTGGAGGGAACGTAAACGTAGGGGACGTTCTTGTCCTCGCAAAGGAGAGGAAGGTGGAGAATGATGGGGAGAGGGGTGGTGCTGTTCGACGAACAATTAGCTAAAGACTTTCGCAAGAGGCGTTGGTGGTCTAGACTTACTCAGCGGCGAGAACGACCAACTCGGAGGTACCGCGGTTCAGGGTCTTGGTGGTCCTAGAGAGAGAAGCTGTTAGTGAACGTCTTCTGAGGTACTATGACAGCACAAATGAGACGGGCGAAGCTGCGCAGTCAGAGCGATCAACTGGCGAAAGAAGAAACTTACTCGTTAGCACCCTTCTTGACCTGGCGGTAGTTGGTGGCCTGCTGGACAAGGTCCAGAAGCTGCTGGCTCAGAGCCTCATCGGCGATAGGCCAGGCGACACCGGATTCTTCAGCCATTGCGACGGTTTGATAGATGAGAATGGAGGGGAAATTGAATTGTTTCAGAAACCAAATCTATTGAGAAATGGCTCACGCAAAGGATCACTGCCGTGAATGAACAGGGAACAGAAAAGTGATGGGTGGGGTATATAGAGAAGGAAATTTGGCGAACGCAAAGCCGAAAAAATCGAGTTGCTGAAGATTTTACACACCGCCTGCGATTCTGCCAGAACGTGAGTGGGCCGCGAGCATATGATCATGAGCTGGGCGATCTCACCTCACCGCCTAGTACCTAATCCCCTTCACCCGGTCGGGGCGGAGGGTTCAAGCAATTAGGTGAGTCACCTGACTCTGGCGGATCACTACCGCCTGGAGGCCTTCAGTGGCCTGAAGGCCTCAGGTGCTTTCCATCACCGTACAGATCCCCAGGTTCGATAACTACAGAGCACAGTGGTTGCTTTACTCAGGCCAACCAACCTTACAACGGCCACGGTTTCAGTGATGAGGTTCGCACTGTATCCGGAGAAGTCTGGGGGATTACATTGGTATACATCTTGATAATTTTCGAAATCCAGAGGGAAATCCTTTGGAATCAATTTTACGAGAAGAGGCGTGACGGTGAATATCTCAGTAATGGATCATGACGTGTCATTTGGCAACACTTTCTCATTCTTGACTATCAAACATGTCTATGCTAATTCATTAGAGGCTCCCAGTACCCTTGCTGACCGTGCTGCTAGCCAATTTGGACCGCGCTCGCAGAGCAGGTCCAAACTTGAACAGGATGAAGGGAATGAAAGTCAACAGCGTGGCAATGAGAGCCAGAAGGAGACCGGCATACTGACTGCCCAGATTGTGGAAGAATTGCGAGGCAAAGAGGGGCGAAACAGCGCCCAGAGTGTTACGCATGAAACCCTGACCGGCAATGGCGGATGACGAGTTCTCGCCATAGCAGTCAGAGGTGTAGCTGTAGCACGACTCAAAGATGAAGAAGATGCCAATAGCAATCAAGACAAGACCGACAATGGGACCGAACCAGAAGAGGTCTTTATATTGGGTGAAGCTGTAGATGAAGAGGCCGACGGGGAGCCACACGGCACCCCACAGAGCGCCATAGAGACGTGCCTCGGGGCCAGTCTCCTTGTTGGGATCGGCGACGACGGATCGGTACTTGCGGATTTGGAAGAAGTTGAGAGCAAAGCCCAGGGTCGTGCCGACGCAAAGGGCAATGTAGGGAAGACCGGAGACGCCTTCGCCCCAGCCACGCTTCTCTTGATAGGTGATGGGGATGGCGGAAAGGAAGAGGAAGGTCAAGAACCAAGCGAAACTGATCCAAAGACCGAAAGCAAACACGACAGGCTCCGAGAAGAGCATTTGAATAGCCTTCACAGAGGAGCTGTGGAGCATCTCTTTGATGCCAGGCGCCACAAGGTCGTTTTCAGTGACATATCGCTCATCACCCGTGGTTTGACGGATTGCCTTGGCCCGCTTCGTGAGGGTCACGCCGCCACGAGTCTCGGGAAGGAAGACGGCGATGATGATGACCAGGGGAATGTTGGCGAGACCCTGGATGCCTTCGATCCATCGCCAGCCAAGGGCTTGATCAATGAAGCCAGCATAGATCGGCGCAGCCACAGTACCAAAGATGGCAACAAAGGCGAAGGAGGCCATCGGAACTGCACGGTGAGCTGGAGTGTACATATCTCCAAACGTACCACCGACCAAAATCGTTCCCACGCATCCGAATAGGCCGAGCAGGGCACGGCAGACCAAAATCGTGGCGATATTCTTTCCCAGTGCGAGGCCGATGAACATGAGGGCGAAGCAGACATAAGCACCGACATAAATGACTCTTCGGCCAGCCAGCTCACAAAAAGGAGCCAGGAAGAGTGGTGCAAGAGCACAAGTGAAGTTGAACGTGAACAGGCCCAGCTGTCCGAGTTCAGTCGAGACTCCGAAGTCTTCGGTCATTCGAGAGATACCAGAGCTGTATGCTGTCGTGGCAAGACCGATGAACAGAGTCATCATGCATAGCAAAAGACTAATGAAAGCCTTCCTCTTTCCGCTCCAATTGAAGGGGTTCTCCTTGTCACCATCCGCAAAATCCAGAATGATGAAGTGCTGACCGTGGTGTTCCACCGGCTTTGTCACAGTCAAGGGAAGATCGACGTCCACCTCTTGCAATAATTGGCTATTCAATCCTTGTGAGCCTTCCTCATAGATGCCTGTGCGATATTTCCCCCCAATGATCCAGCCTTTCCGTGATAGTTCATCATGACTTGCGCTCACACCACTGGAGGATGCAACCTCGTCGTGTGAAGTCATGAAAGGCTGCGGTTCGTCTTGTTTTGCTTTCATGACTGACATCGAAACGACTAGACTTGGTGTCAAGTTTGAAGAGAGAAGTTCGATCCGCACAAAGAGCTATGTGTTGGTTGAAATACTTGTCAGTAGGGCTAAAATTTTTGTCCAATTGTCGTCATCCGAGAATGCCCGGATTGACATAGGCTGGGAACAAGTATTTGAGGGGAATTCAGATACGTAGCCCACAACGTGGTTCTTTTGAAGAGAATTCATGATTGGGCTCATGAGAGTCCGACGTGGAGAAAATGTTAGTTCAACTCCATGGCATGGACCGATCGGGCCATTGCCCTTGAGGCAACACTTTTGAGCTGTCATGATTTGACCTCGGCACTGAGCCCTGAGGAACGTCTTTCTGGCCCTGCTGATCCCGAGCCACTGTAACGCACTGCGGAGTGCAAGTTTCAGTAAGCACCGGGTGCGAAGTGACTGGTCTGCCGTCATTGCTCGGCGTTTTCAACAAAACTCTTGGATGGATCAAATATGAATCAGCCTGTCTTTGCAGTAGCTGTGTGGACCAGATGCACAATTTCACAAATCATATGCCAAGACGATGACGCCACCAGGTAATATCCCAAGTCCGTGTCGGGTTCTGCCCGAAGTTGAGAACGAGAACTGATGACCCGAAGATGGTCCGATTCTGGACCGACTTGCAGATTGTCGGCATGCCTTGGTTTCGGCCCCACCGCAGCACGACCGGCATGCCGAGTAAGCCACCGGCGAGGTCCATGAACTTACTAAAAAGGCCCCTACACGCAACAAGGTAACAGTTCTTCAATGGGAATTCGCCGAAGACAGAATGATATAAGGGATGCAAAATTTCTATGCGTCTTCTTCGAGTTCGCATCTCAGAAAAGACACAAGCATCCTATTACTACGTCAGTACTAGGATGTTTTCCCTCGTTCGTTGACCGGGTGTGATCGACCGGTCGGTAGATCCTCGGAGCTCCACCCTAAAAATTTGTTGAATGACGATCGATCCCAGATTTTGCACTGCGTGTCTTTGGCCACGGTACCTCCGATCCTTGACCGATAAGGATATTGCGGGTCACATTATTTTGATAGTCCAGTGAGGCTTAAGGCTGGAACTGGCTGGGCTTTGCAATGTCTCGGTGTCTAAAGATTCCACAGTTGACCGACTTTGCACAATGGAAGAGCAAGAGGCATGTCATTTCATAGAATCTAAAACTGCAGCGAAAAACATCAAGGACCGCGTTCAGTTGGACGATGAAATACCTTACAGCTTCGTGTATTCCCATGATTGAAACAAGTATCTATCCACTGACTGGTAGGGCAGAGAGTTATCCGCAGATAAGTCTGTACGGAAAATTGCACGTGATGTTCCTTGCATATTCCGACATCAACAACTAGAGGGTCAATGCTCATGATTGATCATGCGTGCTGGGGACAGACCGACCTATGATGTTTATGAAAAAGCTTTGCATCAATATCGTTGTACATGATGAAGTGTCTAAAATCATAACTCGCATGCTATCCGGAATATTCGGCAATGGGTAGATATTTCAGTGACTCAAAAATGAGAAGTTGCCATGATGTCGAATGAATTGCAAGCATTCGACCAATGGCGCAAAAGGACAGACGATTGCCTCTTGGAAAGGCTCATGGGAAACTTTGAGCGCTGACCTCGAATAGCGACTAAGGATCTTCGACATCAAACTTAATCAATCAACATAATGCGTCGCCTTCAACATATGGCTTGAAATGGAAATTATTTCTACCTCACCTGCATTAACTTGAGCTATCAGTAAATCAAGCTATCTTGCTTAAAAGCAATAAATGATCATGCGTTCAGTATAAGAGAAAAACAACTAAAATACCGAAAACTTCCTGTTAAGGCATTCGAGGCTGCTTGATACATCAAGCTGGAGAGAAGGTCCTTCATCAGATGATCAGCCCATAGCGTCGGCCAAGTATTACCTTTCAGGTAGTAAAGGCTGAAGAGCAAAGCTCACATCACCCCAAGGCCCTTGTAAAGCACAAAAGCGATTCAGGTAAACCGGGGTAGTCAGCGGGAAATAAACGGGGCCGAGCAATCCAAAAAGAGAGTTTTGGCTGCCTCGAACACAAAGTGGACCTTAAGGCACAATTATGATCAACCCAGAAAGAAAATCCTTCATATCTACCTATAAATCTACAAGCATTATTTTAGTGCCGACTAGACCCCCTCTCCCTTCTTCTCCAACCGAAATTTTGCGGGCAGATAGATCGGACCCCGGACATATTCATAGCAGGACATTTCGCAGACCTACCCGGCGGCCGAAGTCAGAACTTCCAAGTTTCATCGCATCTACGGCTGCTCCTCACCAACACTCACTCTCCGGCAATTTACCTAGTTTGGCAAAAAAAATAGTCAAGTCACATCATACAGCGGGGGAGATTCAAATATGGATAGAAGCAGAATAAAAAAAGAAAAGCGCAAGGTGCTGTGATCATTGAGATTGTTCATGATCATCACCTGGGCTCATGATGAGGATCCCTAGCATTGGGACGGCTTATTTGGAGGCCAAGTTGACACCCCGAATGCCATGAGTACCCAATTGGAATGAATTCAATTAGACTGAGCCTACCTTCGCAGATGAGTTCTATGCATTGAAGTAACCGGTCCCGCCTTGTGATGGCCCCCCTTCTTCGTAGAGGTGGCCATAGCCGAATAGTGGCGACGTGATGACTCAAATGATAGAAATTCCGTAATGATTTCTTCCAAGATGCGTTTATTCTTTAGGTCAGGCCGGAGCCGCGTAACCAAAGGTTCAGTGCCTGGATGCTGGCTAATCGCATGAACGAATTGGGCCTGTTTCAATGCGGCAGGAATGATGCTTGGGTTCAACTTCTGCGCCTCTTGAAGGAGTCTTTTCCACTTAGTAACGAAGGCAGCCGCGTTATCCCCCTCGCGATAATAGCAGGAATTCCATTCATCGTACTTCTGTTGGAAAAGCTGAGGATTCCTTTGACCCCAAGTCTCACAGATGTAGTCAAAGGCTAATGAGGCTACTTCGAACTCGCCAATAAAGATCTTAATAGATTCTTCCAGGGAGGCACGTAAGAAGTAAAGACAGCCACCATTCAGCTTCTTCCATTCTGCAAATTCCTTATTCTTGTCGTAGACCTTATTCTTGTCGTAGATATTCGTACGTATCCAAGCGCGAATCTGAGTAGGTGTAACCTTATCAAGATCAGTACATTCTTCGGCGGAAACGTTGAAGCGAACTTCCTGCTCTGAAGGGATTTGGAGGAAGTCGCTCATTGGTGGAAGAACAGCTCCAGTCATCACCAGCCATAGCTCTGGATCTTGGTATTCAAGGAAGTATTGGAGGTCCTTTTGCCAGATTTCAAGGTTGGATTCCCCCTTGAGCTTAGGAACATTGTCCTGAATCTCCATGTTGAAAGTTGAAGCCCCCTAAGGAGCCGAAGGTGTATGTGAGTCGTAAATCGTGAATCGTAATTTGTAAAGGTGATTCGAACAGGTGATTCGAAACGGTGATTGGTTGAAGTCGAAGTCCGGTGGCGTATCTGCAGCCCTTCGGTGGACTCGTAGTCCTTGGCTTCGGTAGGTGATTGGACGCGGAGTCTATTTGTGACCGTTCAAGGAGGGTGTCTTAACTCCCTGAAGAGATGAGTAGGTAGCCCAGCTTTGTGAGGTTGATGATTTGTGGTGTACGGTGACCGCGGTTGTGCTGGCTCTGTTGAAGTGCGTCAGGAACGCATCGAATAACGCGCTTTTTTGGCGTATTTGCGACAGCGGCGCTGTAGGATGATGAGGATGTGCGAATACCCTCGCCAGCGCGCTACATAGGACTCATGACCTATTTGTATATATCGATGTACAGGAAGGAAAAGAGGAAGGTGAAAAAACAACTTGATTGGTGTGAAGGCATGAGAAGGAAGAGAAGCTATCTAATGTGTAGGTTTGTGGGTCCCTCGGTGGTGAGTCGGCATAATCATCCAAACAGTGACTCCAGAGAACAAATACACGTCCGTGAAAATTTCTCCAGCTATAGCTTGATGCCGGAGCGGGAGATGCACACCAGCTTGTCATTTCGTCTAATCAATATGGTTTGTGGCTCTTTGACTTTCACCGAGAACTAGACCTACGCAGATATATAGGGAATGAGTGGTGAGAGGGACTATTCTCTGGATGCAGGTGGTGCTCCGCGAAAAGATAGAACCTTGTTGAGTGCTCGCCTTCCATGTTTCTTGTCCAGTGTACTCCGTACACCCGAGCGTATGAGGGAACCTCAAGCTGCCAAGCTACGTCAGTGAGCAAGCAGTAGCAAAGGTGCGTTGCATGTCCATGCCTACTGAGCTCAATATAAAGAAGGAGCAGCTTCTGGAACTCGCCAGAGAGGTTGACTTGCTTCAAACATTCCGCTGCATCAGATCTCCCCGTATTATCAATATAAGTAAAGCTTCATGCTGGTGGTAGAGCTACCAGTAACGTCATGACAGTGTACCGCTAGCATGTTTCTCCTTGGTTTTACCTTCAAAACGATCGCTAAGAATGCAATTAAGATCCTTGCGAAATGGGGGACCGACGCTTCGATTCCAGCCACGATAGTAAAATCGAGGAAGCAAATATCACTATGAAGATGGACGCCAAAACCATGAAAGAGCCTTCTTCGTCGGGGAAAGCTGCACAAGAGAACAGAAGGAAACAGGCTATTTTGAACCTTTCATATTAGATGGAAGACTTCAATAATGAGGACCAAATGGGCAAAGGAAGCAACAGCGACGGTCAAGAGCAGCGTCGATGAAGATTATCGAAAAAATTTGATGCACATTCATACGACAAGATTCAGGATTGAAATGCTTTTCACAAAGAGATATCGTATTGCGCTCTTTGTCCTTCACCCCTTGCTCAATGAATGCAAACGTATTGAACGTCCAGTAAGGCATAGTGTTCCGCCAAAAAGATGGGTCACCATGTGTCTTAGAAAACCTTGGTTGAATATGATCATAGAATATGCTGAACAGCGCAGTGAGGCTATTGAGCGCTAGGGCATACAGAACGTCCCTCTCTCCCATCGTCGCTGCAAAATGGAGTGAAGACTGATCGGCGGCTTGGTCTGAATTTTCTCCGTAGAGAAAGCTGTCATAAACTCCGCGTGAAGATTCTTGTATTCATCAGAGTTGACCAAATCAATCGCCTGGTTTGTCAGCCAGTATGATGGATGAATCATCTCTACTGTATGGGAACAAGGCTACTCTAAATTGATGAGGCACTTGATCTTCTAATGGTTATCGACAAGAATGTTGGTCTGATTTAGATTCGTGAGGCTAAGAAAGAATGGCCCTCGAAGGAACTCCCGGTGAAAAAAAGGACCATATGCTTTTCATAATCATTCATGCAGCTGTCTGATAGAAACCGTCTACCAGACTGTTGACCGCGTTAGGCTGTTGGCGGAGCCGACTTCCATGGAATGTAGTGATGTCGTTTGGATAGGAGTCAACGGTTGTGTGGGTCACATTTCGCGGTATACTTATCTACAGGAATATGTTTATTTTCTAATTGTTGGTGTTCAAGAGTAAGACGGCGGCTACTTAAGCTTAAATACCCGTCTTTAGCTAAATGGAATGAAGGAACTAATATTTGGCAATGGAGTGCGAGCCAAAGTTAAGAAAACGCGGGAGAGACTATGGAAGAGGTTGCTGCGTAATCCGGGGTCATGGCGTCCTTCTTCCTAAGTTTCAGAAAGTACCTTCCCTGGCCCTCGCGATGGATTGATATATTTAATCAAAAGATACGGCGTGCATAGCTTAAGCTGACCTTCTGTAGGATGCTGACTATATCGAGATGTGGCTGGGTAGCTTAGCAGAGATAAAAGCCAACGACGCAGACGCTTAATAGTACGGGTGAAAATGGGCAGGTTGTCGAGAAAAGTGAACTAAGACCGTAAGTAAAGATCCATATTCGAAGATGCGTACAAAGGGGGCATACAGTTTCGCCATCAGACAGTCCGAAGCTATAAAGCTGGGGATTAGGAGCAGTCGCGCAGTCTTTTTCAAGCCATGCGTATGTGCTAGTTCCACAACGGACCTTCTCGTCCGCATTCCCTGGGCAATCCTCGCCAATCCAGTACGTTAAGGGAAATCGAGCTATCAACTTCTTCGCGGGATTTCGTTCCTAACCACCAACGTCAACTCGGATGCAAATATTGAAGCTCCCGTGTATCCATTCATCCATATCTACAACTTGGTATATGTTTTGTGCTGGGAGGTGGCTACAATAGGTGCAGCAACACCAAGTGTGAGAGGCTTGAAGTGTGAGATTGCTACGGGGGAGAGATTCTATCTAGGCTATGGACTGCGGTGAGTCGGCAGTATCACATGCCACATAATCAGTTCGTAGAAGTGAGGCCGACATGGTGGGCAGCGATGGCTTTGATAAGATTGACATTCCGGTACAGGTGAGTAAAGAATCGGAATCTTTTATTCCTGTAGCTCAGCTCATGGAGAATGCTAGTATCTTTATCCTTTACTATGGCGGGGGTAATTTTACCCCGAAGTAAGCGAAGGGTTTTAGTGTGCTAGGCGAATCCAAGGCTCTAACACTGACACATTCGAACGCGAGCCTCGGCTTTGTTCCAAAGCGGAGTCAGTCGACGCCGGCCTAATAATTTCAGGAGACAAGAAGTCTGTTTGATAGGGGGAAAAATAGGGAGTGGACACAATTAGCTACCAGGTTGGGTGAATAATTCTCCCCGCGATAATGAGCTATGTTGTCCAGCACACAAAGATTCCTGTTCCAAAGGTCTTAGGACATGGGAAGTGCGTGGTCGGTCCGTACATTGTAATGTCTTTTATTGAAGGAGATGCGTTGAGCGGATACCTCAGAGATTTGTCCCAAGAGGAAATCACATTTAGTTCGAGTATCCCGACACCTGTCTTGAGGAGAGCTTATTTCCATCAGCATGGCTGAAGTACTGTCGAAGCCTGAATTTCCGTACATCGGAGCTATCAGAGAGGATCAATCAGGTAGCTGGATTGTGCCAAAGCGCCCACTCACTTTCAACGTGAATCGGCTTGCTCAATTCTCCAATATTCCACATAGTGTCTTCAGGCCACAACATTTCAGCAACGCGGCGGATTATTTTGAGGAGCTCGCTTAGCAGCATTTCTATCATCTTGAGTATCAACGCAACGATGCAATTTCAGACGAAACCGACTGCCGGAAGAAATATATAGCGCGGTGTCTTTTCCGCAAAATTTCGCGCGATATATCAAGAGAACATTGTAATGGACCTTTCAGGCTCTATTGCGATGATATCCACCCCGACAATGTCCTCGTTGATGTATCAAAGCTTGTTGTCACTGGTGTGGTCGACTGGGAGCTTGCTTACGCCGCTCCTGTTGACTTTACATATGCGGCTCCTTGGTGGCTCTTGTTGGAGCGTCCAGAAGACTGGGAGTGCGATCTAGATCAATTTCTGCTTCGTTTCATGCCAAGATTTCGCATTTTCCTTGAAGTGCTTGAAGATTGCGAGGCAAGAAAAATCAAAGGTGGGGGTCCTTGTCGCAATCCCAGCGTCTATCCGTTGCTATGGAGAATTCCTTGGAGACTGGCCTCTTTTGGATTTGCCTTGCTTCAAGACACAGCTCCATGTTTGATGAGATCCATTGGAACTTCATTGATCCAAGGGTTTTTGGTCGTTTTACGACCATTGAGGATCAACTTTGTCTGCTAAACGCAGAGGAGCGTGTAAACATCGACATCTTCATTGAGAAGAAAATGCACCAGGCAAGTGAGGGTAATTTGATTTCTTATTACAGCATCGATGAAATAGTTGACCTATGAATGTCACTGGCAGATTTCCTTACGCTATGGGCCATTGGAGAGACAATGGAATGAAATGATTGTATTGGATCTATGTAAAGTACATTCGCCGAAGCTCAGGCTCCCACGTATTTCCCCCCTTTTGGCTTCCGAGACCGAAGACTCGCTTGTGCCGCCTGCGTCAAAGATCCTTCTCGGCATTGGAAATTTTCTCGATGGCATCTTGAGTCTCAAGGTCTCTTCTAGAGCTTTCTTCAACTCTGCTCCTTGCTCTGCAGACGGAACATGACCCTTTCTCACTTCTATCTGAATTTCGCCCGATGAGATTCTTTTCACAAATTCAGGGGCTTCATCAGCTGAAACGTGCTTTTCGTAATAGCTGAGCATAGATGCGAAACTATCGCGAGCCTTCTGAGCTCCGGAGTTGCTGCTCTGACCGCCCATCGTCTTGGAACTAGAGATGTTGGATTAGCCTTCGAGGTGCCACAGTTGAAAGGGTATCCACATGAAGATCAGTAGACCCTGCCACCTTATGATAGCACTTGGTTTCCCAAAGCCCGCGACGGTTATAGTGTCTTGTTGGTCAAAGGCTAATCAGGACTTGCAAATGATAGGTCGGAGAATGGTCACCTAAGCGTCTAGAAAATGCAGGTGGCTACGGCCTATATGCGAAATGCACCAGCGGCTGTATGACGAATAGAATTCCGGCACTTGCCGCTTGCTGATATCAGATTCCCGAGTCACAAGCTAACTGTTTCAAAGTGTTGAAGATGCGCTCGCAATGAGTACGTCGAAGATCGTCTACATATTAAAGCCATGAGGAAACGCACCCTTGACCATTGAGTTTCGCCCCAGAAATCCTGCGGCTTGATCATCTTCGCTGGTGATTTGTTAGTGGGGACCAATGATGAGCCGGAGAAGGAACGTCCAAGCGCCCAGATAATGGGTAATGTCTTCATGAGTAAGATTTTTAAAGCAGATCAAAAAGTGAAATGTGAGAGGGGGGAAGGAAAAAAGACTCTTGTCAATTAATTGCCTCGATTTTCAGCCGATACGTGCTGGATCTCTCAAACTGTGACGCGAGCAACCCATCACATGGCACCCGACAAATGACGCATGCATGTCAATTGGCAGTGTGAGACATGGTTGTTCGAAAGCTGGAGGGGTCCCCGGAGAAGAGGGGAGCCACTGCAGTTCAAGACAGCGCGCCTACGACGTCAATTGCTGAATCTGAGGTCGTCACCAGATATCAGGTCGGCTTCTTTGTTGTATTTCTAGATTTCTGGATGACGTTTACCGGACCGTCCAGGTCACTGACGCCCAACCACTTGGGAGAGTCAAGTGACATGGAGCGGTCGCACTGCCTGGGGACCTACTGGATTCTCCGGTGTGGCCATAGTGACCATCTTTCTGCCCAGTTTAAGCTTATTCGCTAGCTCGCTCATTGCCGTGGCTGATGTCTTGGCATATCAACAACCTAGGATTCAACTCATCTGCGAAGATCGTCGTCGTCTTTTGCAATCGTGAGTATCGTCAGGACCTTGGGGGTTATCACAAGAGAACATCAATTCGAGGAGGCCTCTTCCCCATCAGACTAATCCCATTGTGGGAGAGAACGTGTCCCCATATCCGCAATGACATCATATTCCCCGGATAAGCGGGTAGGCACAGGCTTTTGGGGTCAGCTAACCGTAGGGTTCAACAAGAAACTTGTCCGGCTGGAGTCCAGTAGCAGAGTGCTGACGAGACAAAATTTGATCTAGATGCGCTCAGGCCTGTTTCCACGTAGTGGTCTGATGTATGTGACAGGCAACAATTGTGCCGGTCCCCGTCACAATGATGCAACGAGAAGCCGTCACTGATGTCTCCACGAGGGGACGAGGAGCTATTTAAGATCATCCGCCAAGCCTTGACCAAGAACTGGGGTCGACAACAAGCCCACCTGATTGTTCTTAAATCATCATTCATCCTCCACAACACACACGCGATCCAAAAATTCTACTTCTCCATACATTTGCCATCAACCGCAATAATGTCGCCGAAGGAAGATACTCACCACCTGCACAAGTAAGCTTCCACCCTAAACCCGAGTTGTCTCCCGGCCACTGATCTGACACAAAAGTCAAACAGAGTTGGCGGTTGGATGCCACCCAACCACGAGGACCACCGAAAATGGCTCGGAGGTGTGATCGACCACGTTGATAAAAATGAGCAGAAGCTCCAACCAGTCCTTCAAGAATTTCAACAATTGATCGAAACCAACACTCGAGTCTACATGCTCATCACTGGCATGTTCAAAGAGATCCCCCACAAGAAGCCATACAGCAGCGATCCGACCGGCACACCCCAGATTCGCGACTACAAGCACTTCCTGCAAGTGATCAATCACCTCCTTACCACAGCTCCATCTTGGATCGATAAGGCTCATCGAGTTGGCTTGGTCGGCCTCCCCATCAATGCTGTGCTTGACTGGGCCATGGGCACACCTAGCGGCTATGCTGCCTTCCTGGACCCTGAGATCAATGCTATGTTGAAGAAGGTGCTAAACGCATGGGGAGAATTCCTCCAATCCCCGCCTTCCGCGGAAGTCCTGAACGACACTGCCCACGGTTGGTTTGGTGAGACTGGACATCGCGACCTCACCCTCGTCGCACGAGTTGGTCCCACGGCTGCCGAGAATTTGCGTTTCCAGGACATGTTCCAATGCGACCCTTCCGCACCCCATTTCGGCTTCAAGTCTTGGGACGATTTCTTCACCCGAAAGTTCGCCGAGGGAATGCGACCGGTCGCAGAGCCCGATAATGGCAAGGTGATTGCAAATGCCTGCGAGTCAAAGCCGTACCGTGTTGCTCACAATGTGCATGCCCGTGATACCTTTTGGATCAAGTCTCAGCCCTACTCTGTTCTGGATATGCTGCACTTTGACGACTTGGCTGAGCAATTTGTCGGCGGCACCATCTACCAGGCTTTCTTGAGCGCCCTGAGCTACCACCGCTGGCACGCCCCCGTCAGTGGCAAGGTTGTCAAGGCGTATGTTGTTGATGGCACATACTACTCCGAGCCTTTGTTTGAGGGTGTCGGCAATCCGCAGTCGAAGGCCGCCACCATCAAGATGGAAGGCCAGACCATTTCTCAGTCCTACATTACTTCGACCGCGACTCGCGCTTTGATCTTCATCGAGGCTGACGAGCCATCAATTGGATTGATGGCCTTTATTGGAGTCGGTATGGCGGAAGTGTCCACCTGCGACATCACCGTTAAGGAGGGAGACCGTCTGAAGAAGGGTGATGAGATTGGCATGTTCCACTTTGGTGGTTCCACTCACTGCTTGCTCTTCCGAAAGGGCGTCAACGTCTCGGGCTTCCCGGAGCCGGGAATGGAGGAGAATATGCCGGTGCGCAGCCATTTGGCTACCGCATCATGAAGTTTACGAGCCGACTATGTACAGTGAGTACACATGTATGTAATACTGGTAATTATTCTCATGAGAATGATAATGAAAAGTCATGTATCAAACCATCTCCGCAAGTTGAAATTGGGCTTGAAACCCATCACATTCTGACGGAGCGATGCCGATAAAGGCGACCAACTAAATTGCGTCATTGTGTTATCTCGCGAGAAGCTCAGGTACTTCAGCTTTCCAATACATGGTTAGCATGACCTTTTCAACGTGTCACTTTTGATGCCAACATTCTGTTCGTATTCCACAGTGGCGAGGCTTACAGTACTTCTATTCAAAATTAAAATTCTATGGGTAATTTTTCCGGCCGGGTTCCGAGAAGAATGAACTCTTACCCACACTGCGGAACTTACTCCTGCCTACTGAGATACTTTCGGCCCCCACCTCACTACGCGCGGTCACAATATCAGCAAGCTGAAGCGGATTGTAGACCGATCTTCCTAATGATCACTTCAAAGTCCAAGTCCATGAAAATTAGTTGAAAAGGGACAAAACCCCCCATCTCACATGGACAGTTTCTGACACAGGATGGCCTCGCAGGACCAGCTCGAACAGCAGATCATTATACAGGCGCGTCAAAGACAACTGCTTCGGCAGCAGCAGGGACTTGCGGCTCAAGCTATGGCACAAGAGGCACAGCGACGAGCTGGCCGCTCTCAGCCCAGAACCATGAGGATGTCCACTCATTTTGACGATCTTCCGATCGTCGAAGCAGGTGATGTCGAACTGCTGATACCCGAGCCAGCCTGTACTTCACCGTTCGATCTCGCCTGTCGAGATGGCCCCCTATCGACGGTGATAGAAGGCCTCACTTACCAACCTCGCACGCCGGCCTTCCTTCACCGCGGTCTCTTGATCGCTATGCGGTCAGGGAACTTGGAAACAGCACAATATCTTCTCACACACGGCGCACCAATCTCTCGACACACTCCAGAGCTTGTTTTGAGATCGCCGCCTCAACGAAAGATTGAGCTCTTTGAGCTTTTCTTGCAACACGGATGGACGCCAAATAGTCCAGGGCTTTATGGAGCTGTGATACTCCCGAGCATTGTCGAGGACCTGCCGTTACTCTCGTGGTTTCTGGCCCATGGCGCAAATCCTAATCTTGGCCCCCAACAGCTCTGGCACGACCGGCTAGGTCCATCTGAGACTAAAACATGCCTCGCGCTCGAGATTGCTTCGGCGCGAGGAAGCTTCGAAGCTGTGAAGATGTTACTGGAAGCAGGTGCTCGGATCGATTATGGAACTCCTCTGCATAGCGCGGCTGGAGTGTGCCCGAAAGGCACCAACCCTCACGCAGGCCGTGTCACGCCCAGCAAAGAATTCGACAATGATAGAATTCCTGTAATGCGCTTGTTGGTGGAACAAGGAGCTGATGTGAACCAGAAAGCTGAGTCACGGCATATTACACCGCAATATGCGATTGTTCATGCGGTGATGGCCGGTGCCTTCGAGCGCGTCAAGTGGCTGCTTGCCCATGGAGCCGATGCTCATCTGAAGGGATCCTTTGGCAGCGCTATTGAGTATGCGTCCTTCTGGGGTCCAGAAATGAGACAAGTTATCGAAGAGGGGCTGGCTGCGAGGAATGAATCTACAGCGGAATATTAGCCTTGAGCATCCATGGCTGAATATCTTCAGAGGACTTATTTCCTGGCTTTCGGCTGGCTGAAGAGGTGCATGGATGATTCACGAGTCTTGCATATGGAATTCTAGTAAGCCGAATTTGGAACGTTCAACGAAACAACCACTTACGCATGGTTATCAGGGCATTATTGGTAAGCTCTCCCAATCCGAGGCTAGCTCACTGGGTGCTAGAAAGCCCGATTGTATCCGACAGGAGTTACTTTGAACCTGCAACTCACAAAATTTACTTCGATACACAATTCACTCAGAAAAGCAACCACACTGTGGGGATGGGATTATACTCATGCAAGCAGGTTCAGACATTCAGATAATTGGAACAGTGTCACTTAATCAGACCAAAACCTCACAAGTTGAGCGTTCTTCTCTCGAACGGAGCCTCACATACCAGAGTTCTCAACTCACTGCTGAATTACATCGGGCTACAGAGCCCCCTCTGTGGGTTTTCTCGGGCGCAACGGTAATTTCACTATTTTGGAAGCAGCAGCCTGACCTCTCGTCCGACGAGCAGGTCCTTGATATGATGGATCGTAGTTGCGGTTAGGATTAGCAGACTTACGCCGCTTCTTGGGGGGCTCACCCCCATCATCTGATTCATTTCCATCGCCCCCACGAGGGCGCTTGTGTTTCCCGCCCGGCAGAGCAGAGTACGGCGGTGGAGGCGAAGCGGGAATTGTGTCGATGTCAAATTGAAGACCAAAACATCTTTGAACTTCACGGTGAACAACAATTTGAGAGACATGGCGTGTGCCTCGGGGATACGCTCCTAGAACAAGCGATGCGACAACTGAGCCCAGTTTCGTACCTAATAGAGCGTAGAATTTTGACTGACCTGGAACAAAGTGATATTCCACGCGGGAACCATCCGGGCGCCTATCCTCGGCGAAGATGTTATCCAGCACAAACTCCACTGTATCCTCGTTGATCACATCTAGAAAGAAGACATGCTTAAGCGTGTCGATTCTGTTTTCGCTTTGGTACATCGCTTGAGCGATCTGTGAGACATAAGGTCCACTCGAGCGGTAAATTGACGCGATGAAAAGCGCCGACGGTGCTATGTATGACTTCCATTCATTCAGCGTCTCCGTTAAAACTTCCCCTTCGTCATTGAACGAATAACCCGAATCCATGGAGTGACGGACCCAGGGGCCCTCGAGATGTAGTTGCACCATCTGATGTGCAACCTCTTCATCATCACGGGCGCCAGGCGTCCCAGGTTTTCTGTCGATGGTTAGAGATTCGCCGATGTCAGCTATGGTGACATCGCTTCTGGCAACCTTGCAACCAGGCGCCGCTGGGTTCTTGGCCCAACGTTCAAACCAGCGCCCACGATGTTCGCGCTCGCCGTAAAGAAGCGTCTCTGGACCCGGAATTGGAGCAAACACCATATCGACAGAGAGACAGAGAGAGAGGGTTACTGGGAGTGAGGAGGTTAGGTAGGTGATCCAAGAGTGAGTTGAGATGTGAAGTTATATATGAAGATATGAAGTGGTGAGAATGTGAGGTGTGCTAGTAGACAATCACAAAGGATGATGTTGAGTTCAGAGTCTTGTAATAAGAGCTGATGAGAGTGAATATGCCCAATACCATCGCAGATTACCATCCATTATATAGACATTTTGGTCTGACTTCGCATGTTAATTTGCCCGAGGTGTCTTGAAAGAAGCCTGATCTGAGCTAATTTGGTCTCTTGAATGCCATGGTTGTCTGGCCTTTGTGAGTCCTCATCGAGGGCTCGACAAGAACCATCAATGACTCTGAACAATGTGAGACTGAAAGGAATGTCAAGACTCGTAAACAAAAGTAACTACCGACTCGAACAGAAACAATGAAGGTGTCGAAGCACCCGAGTCCCACGAGTAAACTCCCTCTCAAAGAAGTTTGGGTCAACCGCACTTCAAGCATGCGATGACAATGGCTATTATTGAACGTCCGTCGAACTTTAACGAGTGCGAAAAGTGAAACGCGCGACTAAAAATAACAAAGAATGCCGTTTCAGAACATCTGAGCATTGTCCTCGATAGCAGATGTGATGGCGTTCATGAGAAACTACTGCACCATTGTTAATACTTTGGAAGGTTGCGCGAATAAGATCGCGCCGAAAGATCCCTGTATAGCGAATTAATTCCGATCTTGATTCCTTAATGTTGTAAAAAGCTGCTCTTGAGCGAGACGAGAAATGCGTATATACACGAACTTGGAGCGTGGCGTACATTGCCGTTCTTTCAATCAAAAGTCTCCAGTGGTAGTAAGCGGGCGCCAAGATTCTATTGTTATCCTCGATGACTCGGTCTCGTCGGACCAAAACAGACTGGAAGTGTTGAGATCAACAAACAAAGAATATCGGGTCCCACTACCGGTTGCGGCCGATGTCGTCTCATAAAGCCCTTGTTCTCAATCCCTTTTGTCTTCTTGGCATTGATGGCTTATATTCGCCAAGTTGAAGTCACTCGCCAGCGCTATAGCTTGAAATTTCTGACCGGGGCGCAATCAATCAGGTCTCAAGGCAGCAAAGAGTGAAAGCGTTATTCAAGTAGGACAGAAAGAAGGAAGGAGGTGAATAAAAATGGATCGAGTTTGCACGAGTCAGTTCGAGATCCGTCTAAGCCGATTCCGTTGATGATTATGACAATGTTTGGGCAGGTACAGTACCATGGCAAACCTCCAGCCGTCCTTCTATTGCAGTCACGTCCTCCATGAGATAGCACTAGACATATGCTCTGCTTTCGAATGCGACACAGAAAGATGAAATGGATGAACTTGTGGCACGATTTTCTATTGATCTCGCAGACTCAAACCGGCTGGGCTACATATTCTATCTAGATTCTACCGAGGCGCAAATTCCAGACAGCCACGCAAGGCCACCGCGAGTAAGGTATTGAAGCGAGTCTCTGCCCAAACAAGGATGATGAAAGCAGTGCAAAAGGTTGCGAACAGGAACTCCAGCTGAGTTCCTTCCCACTGATCGGAACTGATTCAACATCACCAATCGTATTGCGTAGATACGCCTTGTGGGCAATCTGCACGGGAGTCCGACGGAAATCTGAAGAGGACGCGGTTGAATCCTCCGATTGGGATGCTGAGGACGTGTCACTGATACTGAGAAAGATTGGACAAAGCCCTCCGCTAATGTGTACTAGAGACCCCCCCCCCACTTCCCCACCTGCCCTGGTGAGTTTTATCGATCCTCGCGTCCCTTCCGGGGCGGGAGATATACTCCACAAATACAAGCATTGACCTTTCGTTTCTGGAAGGCGAGTGGTTCAAGTTGCCTGTCGATTGTTTCGTAATCGCTTCTACGCTTCGGGTTGAATAGGAAGGTTCTCGGGTTCGCTCCTCAACAGAGATGCCAAGATGGCGGCGTCTCTTGGCAAAATAAAGTTCATGTGCAGTCCTTTCCCTTTCGACATCGAACACCCTCAAAGAAACAATCCATCATTCTTGCTTCCAGAGTCCTCAGCTGCAGACCACACACTGTGTCAACCCCTGACGGACCGCATACTTGAATCATTCTCATACTCGACAAGGCTCAATTAGCGTCAGGCATGATGACCAACGGTGTGAAGCTAATTGACCATGATCCTTGTTCAATCTTCTGCAAGAATACGTGACGATTCTGACATGCCGACAGCCACATTCGCTACTGGACCAAGGACAAACGACCTCAAACAAGGTTCGCAAGCCGATTGTTCGAGTGCAACCCTGCGCGGCTTTCCTGCAGACTTGCTTGAAGTATATGCTTAGTCTGGCCGTCATGGCCTTCTTTGCGCGAAGACGCAACGGTGCACGGTCTCGCCTACAAGCTTGGCTAAATGCTTAGCATTCCACCAGAACACTGTGTCCTGCCCACGTGTGTTAAACCTCGAAAAAAAAAAAAATTATATGTCGGTGAAGACTTACGTCGACATGTGCTTCCGTAGCTGGACGAGATTGCTTTAGGAGTGCCCGAGGCGAGTTCTGTGGCTGGAGCGGTGATTTATCTTCGCCAGTGGCAACTAATTCCGCAGCGGACGTGGAGCCCATCTTGGTTGCTCCGCAGGGAGTCCGGCGTACCTTGTTCACCCCCGCAGCGTCGATCACTTCCCTTCTGACCACTCTGGTCAGCCTGGTGTAACTGAGATGATCCTGAGGAAGGACAAAGTCAACAATCACTGGACAAGCCCTGCAATCGCCTCTCTGCTCGCCCACCACTCAAATGCGCTTATCTCCGCCTCATCCGCCCCCAGCTGCCCCGGTTGCCATCACTGACTGCCTCGGTGTCAGGTCACTTGCGGCCCATGCAAAGTCGAGATCGTGGTCGTGAGCGGGACAAAGCTGTTTCTTGAGGAGTGTTATCAGGAGACACCAAGTCCCGGAAAGGCGCCATTCGACGACGGACGAGGGGCAAGGTCTACATATAAAAGCTGAATCGTTCCCCCGCAGCTTGGCAGCCTTTCGATCATCATTAGCGACCGAGTCTTCTCGTTCTCCCTTTTTTCAATTGTCCAAAGGATTCACCAGGGTCACTAGATTGATTCCATCATGACCCGTTTCTCCAAGATTGCCGTGGTCACCCTCGGCTCCCTCAGCGGTGTCAATGCTTGGGGTGTCCTCGGACATGCGACGGTGGCCTACGTTGCTCAGAATTACCTTTCAGCTAGCACGGCTTCCTGGTAAGAGCATAGCAGTCTATTCAGAGCCATTATCTTTGCGCATTTCACGTGTCTTGAAAACAGACGATCGACTGACCCCTCAAACAAAACAGGGCGAAGACCGTACTTGGTGATACCTCCGGCTCCTATCTCGCCAACGTCGCCTCCTGGGCAGACTCATACCGCACCACAGCCGCAGGAAAGTGGTCTGCACCACTTCACTACATTGACGCCGAGGACAACCCTCCCACCAACTGCAATGTGGACTATGCTCGCGATTGTGGCAGCGCTGGTTGCTCCATTTCCGCTATTGCCAACTACACCCAGCGTGCTGGGGATGGCCGCTTGACCACCGCTCACGTTGCCGAGGCGCTCAAGTTCCTGGTCCACTTCATGGGAGACATCACCCAGCCTTTGCACGACGAGGCCTATGCAGTCGGTGGCAACTCCATCAAAGTGACCTTTGAGGGTTACAACGATAACCTCCACTCAGACTGGGACACCTACATGCCTCAAAAGCTCGTGGGCGGCAGCAAGCTGACCGACGCCCAGTCCTGGGCTACCACTCTGATCGGTGAGATCAACTCTGGCAGCTACAAGTCCCAGGCGGCAAGCTGGATTCAGGGCGACACTGTGAGCGACCCCATCACCTCTGCGACTCGCTGGGCGTCCGATGCAAATGCCTACGTCTGCTCCGTTGTGATGCCCAACGGTGCCGCTGCTCTGCAAACCGGCGATCTCTACCCTGACTACTACAATTCCGCCATCGGAACCATTGAGCTGCAGATCGCCAAGGGCGGCTACCGACTGGCCAACTGGCTGAACTTGATTTACAACACTCACGTCGCCAAGCGCGATCTGGAGGGCGCTGTCGAGCAGGCTCAGAATGAGGGTCCTGATTTGATGGGTCGTGATCTCCTGCCCGAGCCTCGTGGTGTGAGCCGTGCTCAGTTGGCTCGTGACGCAATGGGCGAGTCTTGCTGTGGGTCAGCCAGACATGCTCACTAGACTGGATTTCTACCATTGATCTGAGAGCGTGGCTGCATCAGGATCAGCTGCCTGTGTGAAAAGGTGATGACTTGATGATGTGATGATGTCTCTCGGAAAAGTGCGTATCTCGTGGAGCTCGACAGTGCTTATCTTAGCAACATCGGCCAGATTGCGCTGTTTGAACAAGAGGACTTTTTCTAAAAAGTGAAGTTCTCCGGGCCCTTCCCATCTTAGACATGTGAGACCACACAAGTGCGAAAGCTCGTCCATAATGACATGGTGCTTGTCAGGGTCTTGTCCGGTCGTACAAAAGGTTTCTTGGGCGGTTGACTGGAGACATCGAACCTTCAGAGTAAAAAGTTGTAACTTATACCTTCCCCTTGAACGAGTGATAGGTGGTTGGAAAAAAGAGGTTGGCGACCTGCACCTGCATGGGTGAAACATCATGTATTCAAGCCTTGCTCATGACGGTCATGTGTTCTACGAGCTTTCTTTAGCTCCTGGGCTGCCTTATCTGTCTTGACGGGTCAAGTGAGACTTTAAATCGGATTTTCCACAGCCCGAGGCAGGCCTCAAGGCTTGCGGCACGTGTTGGTTTGTAAAGCCGCTGCATCAAGTGATTCGAATGGCGAGTCGGCAAGTACGCCTGACTTCACAGAAGTGTCACACTGCCACCCATACTGTAGAAGAATCGTCCTGCGTGTCTTTTCTGACCTATTTCAACCCGCGTGTTATAACTCGCAGAAGTATTCACGGCCCCGGAAGCATTTGCCGCACAAATTCAGATGATGACAGCATAGCCCTCGAAGGAATGAGGTTCACCCGAGACATACCGAGTTCATTAAGCTATCACACAGGCGAGGGGTTTGAGGGGTTTCATGACCTCTGCAGGACCGATAAGAACGCTAATCTGCTTGTTGAGCCCGCGCAAAGGATGTATATACCTTGACGTTCGAGCTCCCTCCGTCCCAATCAGCAAGTTTCTCTGCACTACACATTGAAGTGAGCATCTTAGCGATCCCCTCAGAGCTTGTCATCTGGTGTAAATTAGACCAGTAAGCCTCACTTTCAGGGCCTATCTTCAAATGAGCTCGGCAGCCGAGTCGAGATGCTCGAAGAACGGCGGCCGCTCGATCCCGACGCCGCTTTTCATATTGGCTGAGACAAGATTCAACCTCAGGTCGAGAGAGGATTGTTCGCATGCCTCCCATTCTTGTCTGAGATACTAATGGTCGGAGGAGATTGGTAAATGCTGCGGCTGATTCTAGAGCCTGGTTTGCACCCATCGCTCCGTGAGGGACCATCTATTTGACAGATGACCATGAGTAAAATAAAATGGGGTTGGGTAGCTTAAAGCACCGGCAGGCTCAGCACTCAGCACTCACCTTATGGGCTGAATCACCCAGCAGAAAAAGTCTGCCGGAAAAGAATCTTTCGGCAAGGCCCTCTTCTAAGGCGGTCATGATAGTGAAACGCCTCTTTCTGAGAATCGCCGCAAACTTTATTCCATCTGTGACCGTGACATCGGCGACCTGTCCACACAATGCCTGACTTTCTTGTTCGGAGAATTGCCGAGATGCTTCACCAGCCTGGATCTCCCGGGTCACAAACCAGGAAGTCACCCCGCCGTGGCCACTGAACACCAGCAGTGATACACCGGGTCGGTATATGGTAAATGACCGACCCGGTCCAATGCTCGAGACTGGGTCCGAGATACCCCAGACACAGACGAACCGCGCATCAAACTCTACAGTACCTGGGTCAGCTTCCAGCTTCGAGCTCAAGCATCTGGGAAGTATGAGCTCGACGTACGGAAATCGGGATTCTCTGATCTGGACATAGTATCTTTCTCAATCTCACGGCGAACGACGGACTTGACGCCGTCTGCACCAGCAAGAATTTCGCACGCCAGTTGGGAACCATCGTCGGCAACGATTGTGGCTCCACTATCTGCCTGTAAGACGGAGACCACTCGTTTTGAGGAGAACAGTTTCGTCTTGTCGTCGATGCTTTCATGTAGAATCCGAAGTAAATGATGTCTTTCCATCAACACTCCACCATAACCCAGTCTGAAAAGCCGAACAGTCAGCGACAAAGCGAACTGGCGAAAGTTTTCGCAAGAGATGTGACAGTTACTTTTCCTCCATCACAGCGCCCGGATTAAAGCTCGCATGGAGCTTTCCGTTTGCATCACGATGCTCCCATACCTGACGCTTGACATTGTATTGATTGATTGCATTGATCATCCCCAGCTGGTCCAAGATTCGCAGGCCATTCGGCAGGACTCCAACACTAGCTCCTGCGAGAGGCGCAAACCGATGGTGCGACTCCCACAGGCGATAAGAGATGCCTGACATCTCCAGCATCTTGGCCAGGGCGAGACCAGCCACACCCCCGCCGACGATGCCCACAGTCACATGGTTCCTTACAAGATCGCCCATTGTGGTCGGGACAAAGGCTCAATCTGAGCGCGATCTGGCCAGTGTTGAAAGGCTTATGTAGGTACATCATAGCACTGCCCCTAATTGTTGGGTGGCACAATCTCATTTGAGGATCTACAGAGGCTGGTCACATGATTCTCTTACTAGGGCGATTGAAGATCTCCCTTGCACAAACAGTATCCATTTCGGGCCGTGCGGGACGCCTGAAACAGCAGCTGGCCCTTGGTAGAGATGTTTGACATTTGATCTCTCGTGCAAGCCCAGACTCTGAAACTAACCTAAATCTTTGCTTATGCCAGGTTGTAGGCTATTCAGAGAGCCGCATACAGCTCATAGTCGAGTATGGGTTTACTGAATTCTTTGAAGATACTGTAGTACGAGGCTGTAGCATTGGAAGACAATTCGAACCTGTGAGGATATAGAGCATTTTGAGTGTCAGCCTAGGGGTCATTCATGAATGTAAGCTTCTTAGGCTTTTCCACACAACCCTACCTACCTACCTGACAGGGCTGCCATGGATTTGATCGATAGACGGACTGGGTCGGGAAGGTAACCTAATCCCAATGTTGCTGGTTCTAAATTCCATTAGCTCAATGGTAATAATACCTACTTATAGCCAGAAAGACAAAGGAAATGATTAAAGTGGTGAGTGATACTCGCAGCAGAGTAAAGGAGACTAAGTTAGAAACGACATCATATTTACACAGATCTCGATGTAACCTATACTACTATTGATGAGGTAGACAGCCTCAGTGACAATATGCTTGCATTGTATGTTGATTGTTGCCCTAATCTCTTCGCGAGTGGATGAAAGATTATTTGCAAGCCAACCATTCTTTCACGACCTAAAGATAACTTGGGCATTGTTTACTGCGCGGGATTTGTGAGACAATGAAGGTCACTGTTGAATCACTAAGTCTGAGGCTGTTCAGACGATTTAAAGTGGACGTGTCCTCATTGACGAAGAGAGACTGAAGAGTGCAAATACCAGAAGTCTCCTGCTGACTATACTGAAGTATATTCGGGCCACTTCATTCGCCCAGCGGAAATCTATTACAGCGGTGAAGAAAGTCTGGGGTCATCAAGGTAAAATGACATCAGACCCTACCATCACCTTATTCGGAGAGAAACGATTGAAAAATGTGAACAGCCTCCTTGTCTGGAGTGACAAACTGTCACAGTTCGATCCCGATCATCAAGAAGCCGTGCGTTTCTTGCATGGCCTAGAGGCCGATTTTGACCAGTTGAGACAGGCGACAGCATACGAGCAAACGAGCCCCTGCTTCCCGCTCAAGTGTCAAATCATCACTCATACCATCCAAGATGCGATCGACATCCTTCGAAGACAAACCCTGTTCAGCTCTGACGAGGTCGGACAAGTCCTGAAGATGATTGCTCATCACATTGGTCGGTTGAGTCTGAGCAAGCAGCAGGGTGTCGATCTATATGCCGAGCACATGGACCGGATGACTCGGAAGATCGACGCATCATGGAAATCCAGGAAGCTCAGAGCTCCGCAGCCACAAGCCGAGAACGAGAGGCGTCAGGAAAAGTTACAGGAGATATGGGATCGTCTGCACTTTGCACTGCCCGATTGTGCATGTCTTCAGTGCTCGCGCGAGTCATGACCGCTTCTAGCTTGCTTCAGTAGACCAAATCGGGCGGACGCGTGGCTCGAGCTGTGAGAACCGGACCAGGTTCTCAGTCATCTCGTCTCGGCCTCAATAGAGTTGTTATCGATCCAAACATGCTCGAGAAAGCTCACAGACTTGCAGGCGAGCAACAAAGTGGGACGTGCAAGAAGTGTAGATTGTCTAATTGGTGAAACACGCATCCATTTGCGACAGGTTAAACTTTGATACCTTGGAAAGTGACCAGGCTAAGTGTGTATTTCTAAGCATTCGGGTGCTCATAGTATGAAGCGTTAAGACACCCAAGACAGAGAGACCTACTGCGTGGAGCAAGGGGTGCCAAGAACCCGACAACACTGCCACAAGATGAGTACGCGGCCAACATTTCGGTAGAGAGAAGGATGGTCTTGGCATAACGCATCATGAATGCAGGGAATTTCGACGAGACTTTGGGTCAAGTGGGGTTGAAATAGTTGTGGGGGGTGTTTTTTTTTCGCAAATATTGTCAAGTGCATTCCATGTCCATAGGGTCAGATCACACGATTGTCAGCAGTGCAGTTGTGCTGGTGCTCGGCTGGAGACTTGAGATAAAAGGATGGGTCTTGGCAAGATGCAGCTGGCTGACGGAGGACAATCGAGGATGATGCGGGATGGACATTACCCATGGATCTAGCGGTCAGGTGATTAGAGCGCGCGGAAAGACTGTAGGTTACCTAAGCCTGGCAGTCATGATCCATCATGCATGTACATCCTGTTGTACTACCACCCCAGAAGTGGTCCTCTTATGCCCCCAGAAGCAGCGTAAATTAAGTAGCATCAGGCACTGTCCGACCTCTCCACGACTTTTTGCCCACTCGTCAAGTCTCCATTCTTGCAAATAGACTTGGTACACGCCCCACAGGATGACCGCTCGAAGCTCAAGAACCTCTTCAGATACCCACCGACCATCGCGGTTCCCGCTCTTATCGCCGTTATCCCCAACTCTAATTGCCCCGCTTGCTGATCCGAGGAGATCTGGACGCGAACCCGATTCCGGCGATGGCCTACGTCAATCCCACGGATGCTCTGCATCACTCAGGAACTCGCCCAGGGAAAACCACCGTCTCCGCTGAAGAACTTCGCATGACGCCGAGACTGGACAGCGGTCCTTCGGTCTGAATATCCACAGTGGTTGATCCGACGATACCACATCCTTACGTCCCGTACAATAGATAAAGGCAGCGACGTCCCGAGGCATCGCAAAGATGGCGTACTACGAAGCGATCCAGAAAGTCATGGGGCTGGGCTCGAAGAGTCAGTCGGAAAGCAGTCCAAGACTGGAATTTACGAAGAATGGCACTTTTCACATTTCCGTCTTTAATGATTTGCACTTTGCCGAGGGTAAGTGGGACCGTGAGAGCTGTGAAAGCTCGAAGAGCAGAGACGCGGTGGCCCTTGTCAATCCGAGAATGCTGATGTTCTATCACCTGCTCTCAGATGCAGACAACGACGTCAAGACACAGGATGTTATTTCCAAGTTGATCGGCATGGAGAAGCCCGAGTTCATCGTGGTGAATGGAGACCTGATCTCGGGCGAAGCGACCAGAAGCTCCAATGCGGACCAGTTCATCGACCAAGTCCTGAAGCCGCTCAAGAAGGCGGATATTCCTTGGGCGTCCACCTACGGCAACCACGATAGTGATGCCAACCTAGACCCAGTGCACAACATCTACAACCATGAGAAGACTTATAAGAAAAGCTTGACAAAGAGCATGATCAGGTCGCCGACAGCGGGCGTCACCAACTATTATTTACCGGTCTATGCACATGGCGCTTCCGACGAGACCCCCGCGCTTATCATGTGGTTCTTCGATTCTCGGGGGGTAACTACCCGGCTGACCATGGAGATGACGACCCTTCAGGCCGAAGAGGCGATTGGGTTGATGCTGAGGTATGGAATACAAACCCCTATCATCCCATTTGCCGCCAATACAAGAATTTTGGATTATCGAACAACTCTGATTCACCTCTCTGTCATAGGTCGTCAAATGGTTCAAAGAAAAGAGCAGCAACTTGACCGAAGAGTATGGCAAGACCATCCCATCTCTAGCTTTCTACCATATCCCCGCGCATGCAATGGCCAAATACCAAGATGACTATTACGACAATCGAACAACACCCGGCATCAATGGCGAGCGAGTCGTCGCCCAGGGAGCCGGTGCAACAGACTACACAGGCCAAGATACCCGCTTTATGCAGGCGCTGCTGGACACGCCTGGATTGATGGCTACCTTTAGTGGGCATGACCATTTGAATGACTGGTAAGATGCCGGAAGCACGCATCCTCGATTCTGTGCGACTCTCTTCTCTGACCGTCTTCTCTCAGGTGTTTCAAATGGAACAACGGCATCGAAGACCAAAACCTCACCGGCAATGGTCTCAACATGTGTTATGGACGACGAACAGGCTACGGCGGGTACGGAGATGTGGCGCGCGGTGGAAGGCAGATCCTGTTGCACGAGAAGCACATGGCCAAAGCTATTGATACTTGGGTCCGTCTGGAAGATGGGAGCGTCTCATCTGCCATCACGCTCAACGCGACATATGGTGAAGATCAATACAACGAGATGCAGTCGAGCATACTGCGCGTGGTGACATCGGGAACTTCTGATGTACATTCAGCGTCTTTGCTGCCAGTGATGCTTTTCTGGATGTTCATGATTGGGTTGCAATACATGAGACGGATCTACTGAACTGCTGGAGACTCGATTGCGCTTTGAAAGAATCCGGTGTCATGATGATATCCTTCGCCTGCGACGAATATATTGTTACATTGAATACTACATCCTTTTCAAATACCCATACTATCAGCTAGGAAGTATAGCATCACAACTCAAACGCACTGGACCACAAGACCTTCCTAGGCTGGGTACTTGTACATTGCCCTCTTTTGCCGAGCAGTGAAAGTCAGTGTTCTTCAGAGCCACATAGTCGACACTCGACCCACACAGCCAAACAAAAACACCACCCGAGGAGGGGTCGACGATCTTGGCATCGATGTCCACAATTTCGCCGCCTCCGCCAGATAAGGTTCCAACCCATCCTCCTGCGCAAGGCCTCGATGTTCGTCGCTCGAACATTCTTTCCGGGAGACTCGGGACCGTAAGATGAACAATGCCATCTTCCTCATGAAGATCCTCAAATGGACACTTTCAATTTGTGGCTTGTGCACCTTACCCCAGAACACGGGCGGCTAGATCCATGCTATCTACTTAATCCGGTGGGCGGGACCTAAGAGGCTCCTGACTGTAGAGGATCACCCGGACGGGGCTGAGGCATGTAGCTGGCCAGCATCTTGAAGTAGCAATCGCGCTCGGCTATGGTGGCCAATTTTACGAAGTGTAAGATGGACGGTCGATACTTCAAGTCAAGACCTGGCAGAGTCGTGAAGACTCACGTCATTCCAACAGATTCCAGGGAAGCAGACGCTCATGTTCAATCCCGATTCAAGATCTACACGGCGTGAGCTTGTTCCACGATAGTGCATCCAGCGATTGATACCCACTCATGCTATGAGATGCAAGAGGTTCATTCTGAGATCGAATTCGCCAGCGAGACTGGGAGTTCATAAAAACTTCTCTAAAGTTTTACTCATGATCGCGCTGTTCCAGCTTCGTTTGTCCAAGCCCCAACTTCAATGGGACATAACCCAAAGCTTGACAACCTCCATGCTTTTCCTTGCCGTGCTCACTTGGAAGTTTCCCGCACGAAATCGCAAACGCGTCCATCCACATCAACACATGTAGCCTAATCACCTATGGCCCGAACACACAACCCGATAATTGTAAGGAGCTTAGAATTATGATGAAGAAAGGCGGAGGTCCTATCAATATCAATTCTCAAAAACAGCAACCTTGCAGGCTTCAGACCGATTGAACACGAAGACAGGTCCGTAAAGACCATGATTCACCAACAGAAAAGCTGTACGCAATCTTGCATTTGATCCTTGGTGACTGAGCCTGCATGTCAACATGAAGCGTGATGGGGTTAGGGCCGTGATTCATCGGGGCAAGTTAGTCTGCCAGGGACTTCAATTCGGCTTTGCTGATTGATATGGGTTCGAGATTGGGGTCTGCGAACCGCGTTTGGTGGGCTAGAAAGAGGGGCAGGAGGAGAAGATAGAAGAATAGCATTTTGTAGGCAGGTAGGTAGTGGTCGATTATTGCGAGGTGCTGGTGATAGGAAAAGGCTTGGGGATGAACACAGTAGCACAGCAACCGAGTCGGGGTTTAGGGTTTGAATACATTCAGGATTCAACTACAAGCAGTCGGATGAGATTTCGCAGGACCCGGTTTGGGACTATCTAGCAGCGAGGAGTAGGGATGTCAGAGAATACAATCAACACCCGCAAATCGACCGCCTGGTGAATGGATGGTCTTCCATACACATCACTTCAAGTGTGGGATAAATCGAAGGCCTGGTTCCCTTTCATCCAAGTGAGCTTGATCTATTAGCATGTCCGCTATCACGGACATCCAAACATGGAACAACTTGTCTACCTACCCAAAGTTCCACGCCCGGACAGTAGTACTACTGGTCTCACAAGAGCCGGTATAGGTAGTACACATGATTCATACGGTATGACAGCGGGGGTGAAATTGTTCGCCCGGGGAAGTCAGTTCCTGCTTGATAGCTCACGAAACTTAACTGTTTCTAAGCAGGTGAATAAACTTCCAATATTTGATCAAAATGGGATTACTTCCCGATTACGTACGACCTAGGACTAGCAAGTGTTGCATACAGTAATTTTTACCATCGGCATCAGGTTTATCATGTTACACTGCTGACATACTTTGAGGTGTCTTGATTCTCGGTTGAATCACTAGGTGCTAGGACGGGTAAGCGACGATTGAACTTTATAGTGGCGAGCTAGTATGTAGCAGACACTGCACTTTCAGGCCCACGCAAATGTAGGTACTCGAGGTGTACATCCATGATCGATGTTGATACATGTACGAGGGGGCCAGATGGAAGCCGCGAGCGGCTCGGTTTCTTCTGTGCAGTTATCTTGTATCACTTTGAAATAGGTATAGGAGGTCAGAAAAGACAATTTACATTTGATAATGAAATTTTAAAACAGACAAATTATCTGTCAATGTTCTTGTCCCAATATCCACCCGTGAAAGCTACACAACCTAGACTGCATGAAGTTCACTTGAGCGACTACCCACTCCGTATGGAAATAGATTCAGACCATCAATACTGAGGCAAGTACCTAAGGACAAATAAAACTAAGCTCGCCGGGATAAACCAAACACTGCGTGCCCTCTAAAGAAAAGTGAATCAAGTTAGTGTCAGTTGTTCAATATGCTCTTCAAGCTCTGCGCCGGTTCAGTACCAATGGACATAGGTGTAAGACGTACGACAAGTGGAGAACAGTTCCCAATGACCCAGTGCACATGTGACGGTCACATCTTTGAGTGTTGAATTGAAGTGTGGATCTTTGGCAATGTGTTGGAGTATTTTCAAGATGCCGGCGCCGCTGAACTCGGCATTCGTGCGAGGAGGAGATACAGCATTGAGAGGCGAGAAAGGTGAATCGGGAGATAGGGATGCAGTTGACGCTGACACTGCTGGAGAGATGAGGAGAAGACCTGCGGAAAGAACGAGGCCCGTATTGTGAAGTTTCATTGTGAGTGATAAGTGAAGCGGTGGTCAAATAGTGATTTCTAGCCAAGCAGTTTGATGAAGATGGTTGATTTGCTCGATGTATAATAATGACTGCCGGGGGAGTGGAATCGTTAGAGGAGAACAGGAAAACTTTCTTTGCAGGTGATTGTTCTTATAATATGGAGTTGTGATCCAAGACCGACGGTCATGCAGATCAACGAAATGTCGCTCAAAGCCCAGACCATCTACTACCTTCCTACGTTGGCAAGATATGATTGCAACACATATGGTGACAATGCAATCCCTGGGCAACATCAAGTGCACAGATATTCCGCGCGGCATCATTTCCTTCCGAACGACTCGTGCGACTCTGGTCCTACTGCCACAGCTGTCCCACAGTGACCTCGATCGACTCACAGACACTGTAAAGACTCGTTGAGTGACCTTGTCAAACAAAGCCACCATACTGAAAAGAGCGTCTTTTGACACTTCTCTCTTCTGGATCTGTCGTACATAGATGGTCACACAGAGACATGACTTGAATTTGTTGAAAGCGATTGACACACGGGTGGTGCAGAACTTCAAGAGCCGTGGTTCAATCGATGAATAGGTAGTGACTGCATGCTCGAGTGTGAGACAAACGTAACGGTCGATGTACACACAAAATTCGTGTGTCCGTACTGGTAAATCGGTCGATCTAAGCCTAGTGAATCTTGTATACAACTTTGCATAGACGATACTATCCAAGCGAGACTGGCGATGAAAGCAACCCGAGCTAAGAAGTCTCTGTCTTGACAAGAGTCAACTAGGCCTCTCATAGCTTGATGTATTCACATATGGCAGCAAATATCGAACAGCTGGAGATGCCCTGATGTGACCAGGAAGGAGAGCAAGGACACGATTTGACTCGGATGACTTCCGAAGCCTGGAGTCTGTTTGTATGGCATGTGATACTGCCGACTCACCGCAGTCCATAGCCTAGATAGAATCTCTCGCCCATGGCAATCTCACTCCTCATCCCTCTCACACATCGATACTGCTGCCCCTACAGTAGCCGTATCTCATCAGAGTCCACTTGCGGTGTGGCCAGCCCGGAGACTAAAAAACCCGACCAGATTAATGTCTCGTACATCACCCACAGTGATCAAACACCGTACTACTGCATCTGATCTCAGAGTCCTCGGAATTGAAGAAGAGGTGAAAAGCTTAGCATCCTCCAAAAACGCCACTTGTATGCAAAGAAAGGAGATGAACTGCCCCTGATGAGCGCAATATAGATAAGTCAGAAATGACCCATCATGCAAGCCCGCCTCCGAGGGCGGATCCTCTCAAAGTCAGCTTCAACATACCACTCAGCAGGATCATGAGGGACCGGCCAGAGATCAAACCCTCGGCTCTACTGAGACAATGTGAAAGCTAGAGAGGTACGTGATTTGCCTCTTTGGAATTTAAGAGAATATCGAGACCATAAAATGCATTCGACGGGGCATATGTCCAGAGACAATAGCCGAGGCCCCTTGCGTCAGAACCCATGCATTGGGCTTTTGGGTGCAATTGTTGCCTGGATGGTTAGTAAACACATGATAATCTGAGACCTGCAGTGCGCTTCCCATAGTAATCTCCAATAACAGAGAAAACTGTATGAGGATTGTGTCGGAGAGAAAGATGAGTCCGTACCCAGGAGCCGAGGGTCATCCCCCATGCAAATTCCTTTTGCTCAATTCCTGCGCGGAGCTGGACAAGGTCTGTTTGGACTGGAAGCCGAGTCGATGAGATCTTGAATCTGGACGAACTTCAGGGCTGGACCCGCTCCATCATGGGTGGACCAGCACGTCTGACGAGGTGGGAACATGCGTCTCGTCATGTGTCATGCCGATGCAGTGGTGGTTTATCCGACTGGAGTATGGTCAAGAGTGAATGCCTCAGGCCTCACATCATATTGAAAATCGATCCAGCGTCTGCTTCTGCTGTCACCGCTCCCGAGACCATATGGTCGACTCGTCACACTACACATGTGGATGCAGACGCGTCTTTATTCTGAACAAACTCCATGTACTTATGAAGCTGGCCTTTGATGAATCGTTACTATCACAGAGTTTCCCGAAACTATGTACACGTATACGTTGCTCATCTAAAGGCGAGCATGTTACTAGAGTGGTGTGAGGCCAGTTCACTTTGGCTTGTGAAAGAGGAATCATATACCGCCGACTCCCGAGGCCATTTATCTGGTGTGTACTTTTTAGTTATCAAAGTGGATATGCGTGGGTCCCGCTTGGACGAGGTGGCTTTGACCGACGCCCAGACCCTCACTCGGGCGACGAGGAAGGTCAGCTACCTCCTTCAAGTCCATATCTTGAGTTGGGTGGGTAGGTAGAATAGTCTACCTGAGGGTATTGTAGTACCGGTGGTTACAAATCACAACTTACTAGGAATTAGTATTTGGTAGTCACTGCTTGTACTGATTAAGAAGTCCAGCGACAGATTGAAGTTTTCGTCTGTGGCCCGTTGGACTCGTCGCCAAACCAATGGATTCGAGCATGCGATTGACCGAGTTGATGCTGAGGGATATGCGACACAATTTTATTTTCAGGTCTGAGAACGACGCCACAATCAAGCGCAAATGCCCTGTTCGATAGTAATAGTCGCTTCCCACTGATTAGTCACTTCCTGTACCCTGGCCCTCCAGTCCAGTGCAGAATTTCGGAGCCCCAAAGAGTGGACACCCTCCAATTCGGATAGTCTGTATTCGACCAGTCGACTACGGAGTGAGAACTGCTGCACAATACAGACCCAACTTGGAACTTCCGGGGAAAGGGGGACAAACCTTATCTTGGCAAGTCGCTGCTGGATTCCCCCTTCTTCCGAACAGAGACCTCATATACATCGAGACACAGGAGTCCAGGTGGTCTTGTGGTCGTGGAGAAGGGGGCTTGTTCTCACGACGAGAGCCTCTTCGGTAACTGCCAGTCTTAGTTAGGATGTAAAAGGCAACCGGAGACGGAAGAAGTGCATGTCCGGTCACCTGGTGCATGTTCCCGTAATTGCAGAGGCAAGGCACCAACACCGGCAACAAATCGTCCAGCGACGCAGGTACTTTGGCCACCGCGACCTTTTTCTGATCTTTCTTGATTTGGCTTTCTCCGGAAGGTCTGACCCCCCCTGATCGACACTGTCATGCATGCATTGGGGGCTAAGGTTGATGGGCTTTCCTATTTACGACCATAATAAGAACATGGCGTCGGAGAACAGTGATCATCGGCCACAACGATAGTATGCTGGTGAGCTTCAGCCTCTATGATTAGGTCGACTAGGTCCAACTCACTTTGGTCCCGATTAACAACAACCCAGTACATTTATGAGACCCGCTGGCCTGGATTGGATGTTCGGAAGACGGGAAGAGCCACTGTGGAGAAGTCTTTCGAACAGCCAGTGGAGCCAAGAACCACAAATTTGAGGATCTTTGAGTGGTCATGATCACTGGAAGTGTTTGCTTTCTTTCAGTTCACTCGGCGTCGCCTCCCCACTTGCACCCAACTGTTGACGGGCCTATCGGCTGCACACCCGACTAATGCATACAATCCTCGAATTGAATCCGGTGCAAGCAGCTTCCTCGACCCCTTCCGAGTACACAGGCACGGACTCACTGGATCCAGGAGCTCCCAAATCATTTGATTGTGAAGTTTCTGAATCGACCGGCCCAGTCCACCATGTGTGAAGGCCCCTTTCTACAGTGGAACCCCGTTATGGGGCGATCCGACCGTTTGACAACATCGAATCTAGATGCTCACTGGAGAAAACCGAATCCTCGCATGGTTGGAGTGCATCTGCACTGTTTGTCCGCCTGAGACAGATGGGAGCGCAGCCGGCGATCCGAGTCACATCGCTTGGGGTCGATGCAATATCATGGGTTCTTCCCAGGGCGCACGGCCATGGATACCAAGGGTACATTTAAGAGACTACTTTTCCTCCTGATCTTCTTCTCCATTCTCCTCTACAGCCTCATTCTCTTGTCTATCTTCTGCTGCATTCTTCTTGCCGTTCTCGGCGTCCGTTCTTTCTGAGATTCCGTCTCATTGTCATTCGCTATAACACAACTTTGCACATCATGAAGCAATCCCTCATTACCTCACTGGCTGCTCTTGCGGCCTCCGCATCTGTGAGTATTGCGGCGTCAAGCGGTATTGTCTCCAGTGTATTCATGTCTGACATTCGTCTTCTCTAGGGAGTGTCCGCCTCCGAAGGCCTGATCAGTGTTCCCGTAGGTCTTTGCGGTGCAATCTTGGGTGAGGCCCAATGCCACCAACAGACCACCAGCAACGGTCTGATCAACGTTCCCGTGAATGGATGTCTCGCTGCCCTTGGCCAGGCAAAGTGCGACCAGGTTTCTTCTTCCTCCAATGACCCAGGCTCCCTGATCAGTGTGCCCGTCAACGTCTGCCTCGCCGTCCTCGGTGAGGCTCACTGCCAGCAGAGCCACAACTCCAATGGTGGTCTCATCAATATTCCCGTGAATCTGTGTCTGGCTGTGCTGGGCGAGGTTGAGTGCAAGGATCACTCATCCCAACCTGCCTCCCCGGGGCAGGGACATGGACATGGCAATGGTCATGGTGACGGCCACGGCAATGACGGGGGTGCTCTCATCAATGTTCCCGTCAACATCTGTGCGGCTGTTCTGGGAGAGGCTCATTGCCAGCAAAGCACCAATGTCGGTGGCTTGATCAGTATTCCCGTGAATACCTGTCTCGCAGTCCTGGGCGCGGCCGAGTGCCACAACCACTCTGGCGCCTCAGGCCAAGGTAGCAAGCACGGAGAGGGACACGGTAACGGCAAGCAAAATGGCGGCGGTTCCTTGATCAATGTTCCTGTTAGCATTTGCGCCGCCATCCTTGGTGAGGCTCATTGCCAACAGAGCACCAGCGTTGGTGGCCTGATCAGTGTCCCCATCGACTCTTGCCTGGCGGTCCTCGGCGAAGCTGCCTGCAAACAGTATCCTTCGTCTGGTCCTAACAATGGTAGCGGTAACCACGGTGGAAACGGTGGCTCCTTGATCAGCGTCCCCACCAACATTTGCACCGCTGTTCTTGGAGCGGCTAACTGCCAGCAAAACTCAGGTTCCCCTGGCGGCGGTTTGATTAGCATTCCCATTGACTCATGCATCGCTGTTCTCGGTGCTGTTGAGTGCAACAACTACCCTCCATCCACTGCAACAAACCCCGGCCCTACTACTTCTAACACCAATGTCCCCACTGGTCCTGCCACTGGTCCTGCCACTGGCCCTGCTACTGGTCCTGCTACTGGTCCTGCCACTGGCCCTGCCACTGGCACCGCCACTCTTGTTGTGCCCACTACTGCCCAGCCTTCGTCATTCAACACCTCCCCTTGCCCCGAGTCTACAACTGTCGTCTCTCCTTCTGCTTCTGTGTCCAGCGGCAGTGTTCCTTCCGGCCCTAACATGAGTTCTTCTGCCACCTCTGCTGCTGGTATGCCTACTAACACTGGCTCCGGTCCCGCCGGGTCGGCTCCCACTGCCGCTCACACCACTGCTCCTGCTGGAGCGGGTACCATGACCGCCAAGCCGTCATCGACTGAGTGCACCACCAGCACCTGGACCATGAGCAATGGCTCCATCACTTCCGTGGTCATTCCTTATGGTAGCAAAACCTCTTCCATGCACCAAATGCCTTCACCAACCCAGTCCACCCCTGTTGGCTCTGGTGCTATGGGAGCTGGCCCCTCCGCATCCGGATCTGGTGCTGGCTCCAGTGCTTCAGGTCCTAGCTACCCCGGCAGTGGCAGCACTCCCTCGGGAATGCCTATCTTTAACGCTGCTGGTCGCGCAACCTTCTCCGACCTGGCCGTAGCCTTCGGCGCTCTCCTCGCTGCTATTATGCACTTGTAAATTTCATGCCAAGTCTCCATCACGTTGGACGCGAATGGGATTGCATCATTGCATGGGTGATCTACCTCCCTTTTCCCAGTCTATGTGGACTCGTCACGTACTCTTTTGTGCTCTTTTGGCTCCTCTGTGGAAGGCAGCTTTCTTCTACTTTCTCTATGACTTTATTTATGTTGCTGTTGCTGTTGCTGTTGCAATACTTGCCATCCTTTCTGTGTACTAATTGTCGAAATACCCTCGCACTCTGGCTGCCCTGATACATACTTACGAGACATGTGCCCTCAAGACATCGAGCGGATTTCAATTCATTTATCATGTTTAACAACCCTCCACGCATTGTCGAATACTCCAAACACTTGTAGTATGGCCACGGCGGGGTCACCCGGAAAGTGAGATTCGTCGTAGAAATCAATTTCGTCATTTTTTTTTGACAGTGAACTATATCCCCCATCGTCTCAGGTCCGACGTCGCGAAGACTTACCTGGCAGATGCCCCATCCCGTCCGTTGCACACTCCCATTCCCAAAACCGAACGTTTAGCAGAATTTAATTTGAAGTCGAATCGGGGATCATCACAAAATTCCGAACCAGGTTGGATTTTGATACGCCTAAAATTACAACTCGGGAGAAGGAAAGATGATAGATCAAGATGTACAATCGAGGAAGCGTAAAGCAGAAAAGTTTATCCACAGTATCAACAATCTCACAATCACGATCAAAACATCTATCACAAAAGAAGTAAACAAAACAGAAAAATGGAAAAGGAATTGATTTGACCTTCACTCTTCCCGTCGATCTCTCTTCAAAGAATTATTCGCAACCGCAGAAAGACACCATCTCTCCAGCTATCTTATCTACTCCGTCGACAGATTCTCAAATTATGCTCCAAATCAGCATGCTCTTCCATCCTCGCCTCTAGTAAGTCAATAGAAACCTCCCATTCGATCTCCTTGAAGATCTCTCCTATGTACTTACTCAGTAACACCTCTTTGCCAGCCATAAGTCGGGCAACCAACATTTCAGCAAGTCCCCGCCTGGGCATGCTAGACCTCACCAATCCCTTCACACCTCATCAATGGTTATCAAAGCGGCCGGGGGAAAGTCGCATTCGGTCCCCCTTGCGGTATAAAAGGTGCAAGAATCCGGGCATCTCGCACATTTACCGTGGGCAACATGCCTCTCAGAGCCGTAATAGGCTCTGCCAGGTACAAAAATCCCAGGTTATCCGGCGCTGTCGCCGTATAAACAACGTTTCGCATCCACGAGCCACTCAGTCGAACGTGAGTTTGCGGATTGTAAGCTTCTCTGATCACGACCGTTTGCTGCGGAATCCACTGATGATCCGGACGCAGGTATTTGAGTCCGCCTTGAGCAATCCTGATCTGCAAGTTGAACTCGTATAGGTGCGTCTCGTGCCGCGCCATGTTACCATTGTAGTTGCGGATCTGAAGGTAGCAGAGGCGATGAGAAATCGATGTGAATTTTGTTCGCTTTAACAATCTCTTGTGTGGGAAGAGCATGTTGGAAGGGCAACAGAAATAGAAGATACATTGCTTTTCCCCTCTGGTCTGCCTTCGATTTCCCACTATCTTCTTGAAAGGGTAGCCGAACATTCCATATGATGATGCCACCTGTGACCTGGTGCCCGATGGAGCTGCTTGAGCTTTCCATGCAGGAGCATTGAATGCGAGTTGCGGGACAGACCTAGGACCATTCAACTGGTTGTGGTATTGATGTCAGTGTTTTCCTTGTGTTCTTCCCGTTACCTCGCCGACCAGGACTTGGTGGTAGTCGAGCAGCTGGCAATACATCTGACGCAGGGACTATACGTACACCCTCAACCCAGAAAGACATGGCCCTGCACTGCTCATTGTACTTTTTCACATCCTGGGCTTAATTGCCTCACGTATACATTGTACACATAGTAATCATGCTCAATCGACTTGATCTTGCCTGAAATGAGCTCACTGATGTCCGGACTTATCTTGCACAACTTCTAGAAAGCTGCACGTGGTTGACACGGCCGAGATTGCACATGACTTCTGCAGCACGTGACTTCGAGTCGTATAACTCTTTTCCAAGCGCGGGTGCTCGTTCCCTTGAGAAGAGTGGCTGATCACTTGCAACCTGTTCACCCGCAGGGTAGTATAGTCATCACGGAATACACATGGCTTGATCGCGTTGAAGAAGCTGTCTTCGACCACAACACTCCTCAATTCTCAACCAAGCCTCGCGCCTGTGCAGACTCGGCCGGGCGGCCCGCGCTGATCTTCACCAGTTTCCCCCTCGGCGCCCCACCCTCGTCATACTCGAGGATTCGGTTGACCCACGGAAGCTCGAATGCGGTTTTTGCTGTGTCGACTCTGTCGAGCCGATTGCTGATCTCTCACTTGGACCCTTTGTTTCGATCGACCACGGTTCGATCACCTCCGTCGCCGACCAAGAGTGACCAAACTTTCGTCAAGCGCTCCGGCTCCGGTGATTATGACCCAGCTTCCACTGGACGACGAATCGCGGACACGCTACAGCAACGCCGAACTTCATGCGTACTTTGAGAGAATCAAGCTGCCCCAGAAATATCGCGACTCAATTGTCCTCAAAGACCCGACTCAGGCTCTCACAAAACAGCATGGACTACCTTTGCTCGTGGCCCTCACAAGGCATCACACTTGCAATGTCCCGTTCGAGAACCTGGTGCTGCACTACACTTCTCACAAGGCCGTGACACTCGACCTGACCGCGCTCTTTCAGAAGTTTGTCCGAAGACAGCTGGGCGGTCGGTGCATGGAGAATAATAGCTTCTTCGCGACCGTTCTCCGATCGCTCGGCTACGAGGTGCGGAATTGCGCCGGTCGCGTATCGCGCGCCATGAGCCCCTACACCGAAGTCCGACGCAATCAAGGCGACACATACGACGGCTGGAATCACATGCTCAACTTGGTATGGCTTGAGGACGAATGGTATGTCACCGATGTTGGAATGGGCGCTATGGGCCCCAATCTTCCATATCCGTTGCGAGACGGGTTCGAGACCGTCAGTGTCGCTCCGCGAGAAATTCGTATTCAACATCGCCCAATCGCCGAGACTTATACATCTCGCTCGGGAAAGGGGCCAGAACCACCCAAGCTTTGGTGCTATGATATCTGCTACAAACCAGACGATGAAGCCGGCAAGAAATGGCTGCCCGTATATTGCTTTACGGAAACAGAATTCTTACCTCAAGATTATGAGGTGATGTCCTGGTATACGTCAAAACATCCGAGGTCGTTCTTTACTAAGGAGATCATGTGTACCAAGATGATCATGGACGAGGGGCTTGAAGTGATTGTGGGCAACTTGACGCTTTTTAATCACACCTTGACAAAAGCAATCGGTGCCGAGCGAACAATGGTCAAGGAGTGCAAGACGGAAGAGGATCGCTTACAAGTGCTGGAGGAGATGATGCAGGTTCATTTGACAGACGAGGAGAAAAATTCAATTTCAGATGATCAGAAGCTGGGACATGTCATGTGAGATGAAATGGAATTGCTCCCAACCCAGCAACCCTGCACAAAGCGATACACGACGAAATTGGGAGAACGCTGTAAATACTACAGCAATCCTGGAGAAAGACATCTCCCTGAGAGTCTTACCTTGCCGAGTTTGGAAGTAGACCACGGTGTTCCATTTTCGTGCCAATATCACATCTCAAATTCGCATGCACTTCAAGGTCTCGGATTGATCCACACGGCCTGGGGACTGTGTTGTATAGCTCCAAAATGCGTGAGTCATTCAGATCACCAACATCTATCGTCAATGTTCACAGACTGTACCTTTGCATACGCCTAGAGGAGGACTTTCTGTCTCTTGCTGTATTTCTTGTAGATTTACTCCACTCTGAAATCTGTACGCTGCTAGTTTGGCCGAAGGCATCGCCTAATCGACCACTTCGGGCTAATGAGTATGATGAGAGGATGGGTTCCTGCCAAGGGCCTACTGTCTTTCCCCGCACGCCGATTATCTCTACACTCTGCAACAGGTTTGACGTGAGAGTAATCTCCAGTGACAGAGTTCATCCAGGAAGAGCTCTTTTTCGGGACACCGATCTCGCCCCGCGACGCAACTATTGTGCCAATTCTAATTGATAGCAGCCTCATCCACCACTCTCCTCATAATCTTAGGTAACAAGACGTTCAGTTGCATCCACCGGAACGCGGCCACTATGGTAGAGTCCAAAAATCATCAGTTCCACATTGCTATCGTTGGTAAGATGAAGTGTACCAGTTATGTTTCATCTCTTTCAATTTGACTGAAATCATCAAATAGACGCGGGAATTGCAGGGCTTGCCTTGGCTATGGCTCTTCACAAACAGGACGTCTCATTTACAATGTACGAAGAGGCCAAGGAGTACTCCACTGTAGGGTAAGTGCGCTTCCATGGATATAACAGAGGTACTACATTATGCGATCACGCAAGGACAGAGCCCATTTCATCGCAGCGCTGAAATTGGATTCTCTCCAAATGGAATGCGGGCTATCAACTTGATAGAGCCTACTTTCCGACCTCTCTATGAGGAAATCTGCGTGGGTAGTAAGGGCGAAGACGCGAAGCACATCTTCTTCGAAGGGATGTTGCTTGAACCCGGCTTTGGTAGGGTTTGATCTGTGCCATATTCGACTTATGAAACCTCGAGAATGATTGAATGTATCCAGGCTGTGGTCAATCATGGCATGGGGATTCGGCTTGGAGTCACCCCGATTTTGTTCGCAAGTCCGTAAGTACGGGTTTGTCATTGAGACAAACCGGGGCAATACTGATCGGAGCCCAAGCACATCGAAAAGCACTGCTTGACACTATGAACAAATTCATCCCACCCGATCACGCCCGATTCGGTAAGCGAGTTGCAGGAATCGAGCAGCAATCGGACTTTGTTAAGCTTGGCTTCCCAGATGGTTCAACCGCCACTGCTGACATTGTCGCTGGCGCGGCTAGAATCCAGAGCGTGGTGAGAAGCCATGTGCCCCGGGATACGAATCCGAGTCAAGTGGCACCTGTGTATGCCGGTGCATATTGCTATCGAGGTGTCATTCCCATGACTGAAGGTTATGAGATCCTTGGCGATCTCACGGACGTCGCGAAATTCTATTTCGGACAGGGACGGGGCGCCGTGACGTACAGGATTAGTGGTGGAGAGGTTATTCGGCGATCTTGACCAGAGATACTTTGTCAATTTCTCACAATGATGTATCATCACCAGGTATCCAATTATCTCCTCTGCGTCGCCGATACCCGTGACGGATGGAAATCGAAAGACGCTGTGACAGAACGAGTCCGGCCCGACGTCGTGATGTCTGATTTTCAGGGCTCAGACACGGATGAAGCATTTCGAAGACTTCTCAGTGAAGCCCAACCAGTGAGATGGGGATTGTTCCACCACCTGGAGACTTCGACCTATTTTCGCGATCGTGCGTTTATGATCGGCGATAGTGCCCATGCATCTTTGCCCTTTCAAGCCGCGGGCGCAGCGCAAGGACTTGAATATGCAGTGGTCTTGTCACGAATACTTGCCGAGCTCGCAAATAGCAGGAATCTGCACGCAACAAAAACTTCGACTATCCACGCAAGTCCGGGGCCGCGTACGACTCAGTACGCCGTCCACGTGCTCAAAGACAGCTTGAGCAGTCGGCCGAACTGAGTCGTATGCCCTTCTTTCAGCATGAAGAAGATGGGTCAGATATGAAACGAATTCTTACGTGACTTCAAAATGGTCGATTCGATTGGTTATGGTTTCATGATTTTGAGCAAGACGCGGAGGAGGCTCGTTGTAGAATGAACACATAGCCGGTGATATTGGACCCGGATGTCAGGGGGTCTCGGACGATGTGTTGGTCATCATGGACACGTGAACAGCGGAGACCTTGGTGCAGGCAAAAGAGTATTATTTTTGTGTTTGCTGCTGTTCGGGAAAGAGCACGATGCTCAATGTCCACAAAATCTTCGATGAACTTCCGAACTCATGTGAGCTCAGGGTCTGATCAGGAATCTACTGTCGCTCAAGGTGCCATTCGGGCGAGTCTAAGGCGCGCCGCCGCGCCCGCAGAGGCTGCAGAGCCCAGGCCGATGTCAAGGGAAGGGCGCACGCTAGTCAACATGGCCGACAGCAGAAGTACACAATGTTCCTTAAATGAACAGCCTCCAAGATTCTTTTGTACAAACCGAGGAAATAATCCATTTGACACATCTGCTTCCTGAACCCCCTAATCATGTCCGAATCAAACTTTTACTTCCGCATCGCGACCGCAGAAGACACCCCCATCCTCAAACAACTCATCGAATCCGCCTTTCGCGCCGAAGATACCAGACAAGGCTGGGTTGGCATTCCAGAACTTGCATCCGGATTCTCAATCGAAGAGAAGCAGATTGCCAGCGGCGTCGCAGACCCGAATACCGTGTTTTTGATTGCCAGAGACGAACACGAGCACCTGCTTGGCACTATCGGTGCATCGAAGCGTGGGTCGGAGGTTGCTCGTCTGTTCATGCTTGCAGTGGATCCACGTCTTCATCGTGGAGGAACAGGGAGAGCTATTCTGGATTACGCAGAGCAATACTGCAAGCGCGAGTGGAAATCGCGCGTGATCAGCCTTGATGCTCTTTCGACTCGCGAGAGTCTTATCGCTTGGTACTTGCGGCGTGGGTACCGTCAAACAGGCGAGACGAATCTTTTTCCTCGGGAGAAATGTAAGGATTTGGATTTGCCCGAGGATTTGCACTTTGTTGAACTTGAGAAGGAAGTTTGATGTACTACTGTTCGAGCTGTGCACCTGCTCATCGACGACTTCTGAATCATCTTCACGGTCACTGCAAGCGCCGTTGATGACCGTCGAGATCAATCCGCCCTGATTCTGAGCCTTGATGCTTTCGAAACGAGGAGCTTTGGGTTCCGTGACGGTAGCTCCAGGCACTGTTTGTGGGAGCTATCATTCAGACTACGTTCGTTCAGCATGATCCATGAAGTATTGCCAGGGATGTCGCTTAGTGTGGGTCGGGACTGAGCCAAAATGCGGATGCAGGCGTCGACGTGCACCAGCATTTAAAAGTACCAGGGCGCTCCCAGACCGTGGTCGATTGACGTGGTAACCTGTTGACTCGATCTGGGTTCGGAAGAGTCCATCGTGGAGTAACCACTGATTGATCAATCACAGTTACTTGTGGTCGAGAGGGAGTGAAAGGGAACAGCAGGAAGCAACCGTAAAAATCGAGTATACTATGTTTGATTGTATATATACACAGATTCTTGTTCACAGAGCCACAGACTATGAAAAGTCCCTGTTCAAAATAGGATTACAAGATCCTGTATATCCTCACATGCCGGCCTCGCTGTCCAGAAGCCGATTTTGTCATTGCCATCACGCCTTGAATAGTTCCTCGTTTTCCCTCACCCACTGTTCAAAAGACGTAGCCGGAGATCCAGTATACAGTCGCACATTATCGACACCAGCATCGTAATGGACACGCTTCTGCATCCCACCTTCTTCACGTTCCTTCACCACCCGTATAAAATATTCCACTATTGGCTTGGGCAATCCATTCTCGAGGTACTGTTCCTTTGCCTCTTCCTCACCAATTGTCGTGATTTTGATCTCTTTCCCCAGGACCTTTCCAATGATGCCGATCGCTTCGCGCTGTGTAATCACTTGAGGCCCATAGAGATAAACCTTCGTCTGCCCGTTCCGCAGACCGTGCACCAGAATTGTCCCGCCGACGCGCCCGATATCACCAGGCGTGATACAGTCGAATTTGAGATGACCGTCGAACATCTTCACTTCACCCGCGGCGACGCCATTTTTGAACCGAAGCAAGTTCGTAGCGAACCCGCCGGGCCTTAACGCCACATAGTTCTCTGTCCCAAAGACTTCGTCCAGGTTCATCTCCACCTGGGCGTGCGTGTACGGGATCAGTTCACTCGCAGGAACATCCTGCAACTTTTCCCACACGGTATAACTGCTGAGTAACACGACGAACTCGACACCTGCGGATCTCATAGCTTGCAGTGTAGCTTTCATGTGGTCTGGGGAACCGTGCGCCAGGTAGATGAATGCGCGCTTTGCGCCGCTTGTCTCGATTGCTGCGGATACAGACTGGGCATCTGTCAAATCTGCTTGGAGTCTTTCAAAGGCGCCTTTTTCTTCGTCGGTAGGGGACAGACCCGGAATGGGCTTCTTGGTGTCTCGCATTGCTAGGTAGACTTTTGCGCCGTGTTTCTGGGCCGTGAGGGCCACCGCGGAGCCCACGCCTCCTGTTGGACCGAAGACGATGACTGATGACATGATGGGGTTTCAGCTGATCAACTGCTGTGTGTTTGTGGAAAGTCCAGTTCCCTGAGATTGTCTCTCCAACTTTTTGATGACGGGGTCTGTCATATTTGTAGGTGCAGGATGGGTGTTACGAAGCGGAGACCACAAAGTCCGGATGCCGAGCACTTTCAATCAAAGCTTGAATTATCCCCGGATTTCAAGCGGGTCAACGGGTTTAGTGTGACCGACGACCTACTTAACTCCGATAGCGCCTTCAGGTCCATACATCATATTTGGTAAAATCTGGTATACATCCTGCAAGCCTAAGCCCTTCAACTTGATGCCCTCCACACGACATAACTTATCAAGCACTTTGCGGAATCTTCCAGGTTCCAGTGTTTCTTTTCGCGTAATCCTCGGGCCCTCTGGCATTTGCAGCAGCCCGGGTCACCTCATAATCATGGCGTACATGGACCATGCTCATTGGAGAAAGAGGAATATCACTCTCTGGAGATGACGGGGCATTCGGATTAGTAATCGATGACACTAGACCTGTCATCTTGTGCGGGCTTTTCACTCCCTGGCCCGTGGACAGAGGATTGCTACTCCATTCTCTTGAGCCTTTCGCTTGCGCATTGATGAATAATTGTCTCATGGAAGCGACGCACGATATTAGAATGGCTGTCGTCGAGAAATTGAATCAGTCACTCGTCGGAATAGGTTTGATAAATGGGATGATGCGGCTCAACTTACCGGTGGTACCCTCGACAATGCTCCAGAAACATAGCCATGCGACATCGGTCTGGTGGTTCAGACTTGCTTTGACGGCCACTCGGATGATGGCAATGATCATGATGAGGATTGTGGCAGAGAATATACTCAGGAGAATGATCTTCTTGCGTCGGGAGATTTTGGTGTTCCAGAGTACCATTATCGGAATGGACAGAACTGGAGATGCTCATGGATGTCAGATGGAGATAACAGCATGAGGCAATTCGCTTCCCAGCCATGCACTTTATAGGCCGAAGGCTTGAGTCAGTGACCATAGGAGGAAAGATCCACTCACTCATCATATCGGTAGCCACGTCGCCGGCACAATTAGCCCAGAATGTGCGATTCTCATAATGGACGTGATTGAGCTGAGGGCATTGTTCTGTCATTTTTTTGTTGTTAGTAGGACAATAAGAATGAAGTATCCCATATTTGCTGAGTGGACTAGCAATTCAACCGAGTTTATATTACCTAAGATGTATTCAAGACTCTCAAAGCTGCACTTGTACTCGATATCCGCTATCGAGGTGATGTAGACCCCGAAAGTGAAAACAACAACCATCACCCACCAAATACGAAGCCATTTGACCTTGCAGCTGAGTCGGTAAAAGAACGCTAAAAACGAGAACTTGACACACCACAAAGCAGTGTAGAATAGGATTTGCAATGGAGCCAAGGAGCGCATGAATCGATGCCAATTCGACAGGAAGGACGGGGTGATAGGATCGAGGCCGGATATCACTCTGTCGAACTTGTAAAGATATCTACCATTGACCTGCCACACCGATGTGGCAGTGAGCAGAATGATCCAAGCAAGTATGACCAGAATGTCGTCAATGAATAGCCTGCGAAAGGATACGAGTTGAGCGTAAAGCCGGAAGACAACTAAGGCGAACGCTGTGCCGTTCAGAGCCCACGAGACGCCCTGCATTTCAATCTTGAGGTCAGTAAACGGCGCATCACTTCAAGGCTGGGATAAGACCAGGTTGGTCCTCACCAAAAACACATTCTCGGGGATTGCGTCGCCAAGTTTTTGAGATGGTATGCTACCGTAATCCATCTTCTGAAAGATCTGTTCTCAGACGAACTTCGGCTCAAAGATCTGATGAGAGTATCCGAAGGATCAATGGACTAATATTTGTCATGAATTTAATTGCTTCCATGAGGTGAAACGTATAAGCGTTAAATTTGGCTGTGGCAACCACCTTCCATGCTGCTCAGAGCACAGGGAACGTCTTTCTTTGAAAAACGCCATGGCTCTTCTCCTCCTCTACAGTCAAAGGAATAGCTTCTTTCAACTTCATTGAAATCAAGCTCGTTCGAGATGGATCGAGTCCGCAAATCACAATTGATCGAAGCAAGCGAGCAAGTCACTGACCCACATTTCGGTTCCGAATGCCGACGATGGCTTTCAGGACCAGCCAAGCGAAACCGTTGATGGAAGATCACGTCCTCGTCTAATCTTCATGCTTTGTTCAGTCTTTGCAAGCGGAGTCTCTTGATTGCCATACCGAACCACTGACAGCTGCGACTTATTGGTGTAAATGCGCCACTCGCAACAGGCATGGAATCCCGCGGAGATCATCTCTTTGTTGAATGATTGAGATGAAGAAAGCGTGCCACAGGCCTGAGTCTCGAACAACTTGACTCGAGCAAGCCGAGTACGGCATTGATATCCAGCGCCTGCCCGATCCTGCCAAGCCTTCGCTCCAGTTCCCGGGGCCTTCGACTTCAACAAAGAACAATCATGAATCAGTGCCTCGACCCTGGACACGATTCCCATAGAATCAGCATTAAACAGGTGTCTAAAAATTGAGTCAAAATTCGACCTCTTTTCCTTTCTTTGAAGAACGCATGAGTCGTCATGCCTAAATAAATCAAGGAGTATCAATTTTTCTAGCCATTCAGTGGACTCAGACCATCCGAACCAAGACTTCCTGGATCAATGGCATGCTGGAAGTGATGAAAATAATGTAAATGCAGACCTTTGATGAATTGATGAATTTGCTGCCCCATGAGTCAGACGGTCTCACCCGAGAGTGCCTTCGAAGATCAGGACTGAGTTTCGTCTCCGCGACGGAACAGTGTAAAAGAGTCAACGTAGGCCGGCAATCCAATGACGAGATCCCGAACACGAGATAGAAAGGCTTCAAAAACGTTGGACATGCCAGAGTCTTTCATGGGTAAGTCAGGATGAGGTGTGCCCGTCGGTCCACCTGCTGAGGGGGCAAAGTTGTCATGAAATTGAATGCATTTTTGCCCTCGGAAAGGAGACCTGGACATCTACCGAGGCAACGTCAGCTGACCAAGGTGAATGATGAGCAAAGCGAATTGGAACTGAATACTGAGAAGAAGATCCTTCTTGAAGGTTTAAGCACATCACCCATAGATCTAGTGAATACTGTTTATACCTTCTCGCTACGACAGAAATAATCACACTTCAATGAGTACCATATCATGATTCACAAAAGTTCACTGCTAGCGGCTGATGTTCTCATATAGAGGAGCTTCGCGATGCAATCATAAAACGCAGGCTTGGCGACGGTATGTACAGGAAAACAAAATTCTAAAAGACAGGTCGTAATGTTCATCATTTCATCAATCATACATGGGAACCCGGCGAGGTACATGAGTGGAGTAGATTCCTTCATCCATCACGCCACTGGGCATATATCGCTTGGCTGCTGCGCTCCGAACGGGGCTTGATCGACGAGATGACCGGAGAGGAACTCCAGGTCCGCTGAAGGATCGAGGTCGTTCGGAGCCACTTCCACCACTGCCTGGGTGACTCCCACCGGTACTTCCGCCGCTGTAGCTGCCTCGGCGGCCTTCTTCTGGCTCAAGGTTAAATCGTTGGCGAGGCACGGACCGCGGTGGGGGCATGGAAGTGTATTGAGGAGGCTCAGGGGCCGGGGTAGGTATCGGCCCGTCATACATGGGCTCACGGAAACGAATGTCGGCCGACGTTGGGGGCCGGGAGTACGATCGCCCTTCGTGTCGAGATTGACTGGATCTCGGGGGTAAAGGTCCTGGCTAGCGTAAGCGCGCCCCGGAGCGGAAGGCGAGAGATCTCGATATGGTTTTCGTGTATATGCATCGTGCGAATGACGACGTCCACGTGAATCAACAGGGGGAGATAAGTTGCGATGACGATGGGAGCGATGTCTTGATAAGGAATCGGGGACCGGCTTGCGAGGAGAGGGTTCTGAAGGGTCCACATCCGGCGGGTACGAATAGGAATGAGAGTGACCATGGCTGTGAGAGTATGGATTCGGACGCGATGCCGCATCCTCTCTCTCGCCGCTTAGAGGACTGGTGTGCCAGGCAGAATAGTCGCGACCGCGAGGCCGCGGCGGGCGGTCCACGTATGGCGACATGCCCGGGGACCGGGTTCGAGGTGAGGACACCCCCGAACGGCCACCATCGGGCCTCACACGCGACCTTGGATCCGATCTGTGGCCTGATTCGTCATGACTGTCGGAAGAGTCCTTGTGTCGGTGGCTTTTCCGTCGACTAGTCGGACGATCGGAATCATAGTGAGCTGAGGACTTGTGTCGGCGCGAGCTTGTCCGCTGTGGCGGATGAGAGAAGTAGTCTTCCTCCTCTGGCAAGGGATCTTTCCCACTGAAGTGATAGTGAAAAGGGCCAAAGTTAGGGGGCGATGCTCGGTGGACGTTTCTCTTGATGTAATCATGCTCGAGTCGTTTGGCAACCCCTTCATGCCACTGCAGCATCTCCGGATCAGGTTCGGATGGAAACGCATCTCGGGGAATGGTCTTGGGGAAAAACTCCCCTTTCGCGTCTGCGATGTTCCATGACTCGACGGCGTTGTTCAAGAAACGCCAGTGCTCATCTGGGTCCATAAGAAGCTGGATCGTCTGCCATCGTACAAAGCCATTGGGGCAGAGCGAAGGGATAGCTGGAGGCTCATATGGACTGGACGCCGGTTGCAGACTATGAAAACAGCCGAGAGACTGATAGATAAATGACAAGGCCTGAGGTTTTGTTTCGAGAAAGAGTGGATCGTAGTTGCCCCCCACCTTTCTATAAAAGGCAGCGAGGCGGTCTGGCGTGAGGTCGGTTGTCGGGTTGGAGTCGAACGAGTGCTGATCCAACGGATCGTTTCGGTCAGTCCTGCCTTCAAGTCTCGCAAGAGAGGGACTTCTTCAGTCCAGAACGGATACCATCATACCATGATCTGTGCGATCCCGAGACATAACTGCTCCAGCATCGAGGCTGGACTCTTATCCGGATTGATCAGAGTTCCCCACTGGCTGGCCGCAGAAGCCATGTTAGGTTGGGCGCTGGTGCTTGTACTGGGCCGCTCGAACGATGCATCCGACTGCACACTGGAGGTATGCTGTGGAAGAGCATCAGGATGACTGCTCACGGTCGAGTACAAGATCAACGCTCGCGACTCGTCTCCAGGCAGCGAGGAGCGGTCAGGCACCGCAGCAGCGCACATGGACCCACTGCACTGCGGGGATGGAGATGTGCGGGACGAGGAGGCGCGTGTGAGCAAGGAAAGCAGAGAACATCCGATTCTCGAACAGGCGACCCCGGTGCGAAGGCAAAGTGGTTAGATCTGTGGATGCGATGACCGTGTGTGAAAGTCATGTGTGCGTGGATATGGCAGTTGACTGAGAAAGGTCAAATGAGAGGCTGGAAATGTGATTTTCACATGACGTGAAGTGAGTGGCCTGATGGGTCCGCTTTCCACGCTTTCCACGCGCAGTCATCGCAGAGTTGACAAGCAGCAAAGTACCTCCGCTGTTCTCAGGTAGTGCTCTTTGTATTGATTGTTCCGCTATAAATGCAACACCAACAGAGCACAATACCTTAGAGGCTGAGTACATTCCCTACTTGTACCCAGTACCACCGTTGAACACGATCAAACAGGATTTGACCCGAGCCAGGTCAGCCTATCCGCTCATGGAGATCCGTACCACCATTGTACACCCTTGCAGCCTCACTTGCAGAAGTACCTTAAGTTACCTACTGTATGGCGTTCAAAATCCAGCTACCTTATGCAGCCAACCAATATCCCTCGAATTGTCAAAGTCCCTCATTTCAGGATGCGACGCCGTTTCGGAGCCCTCAGTCACACCATTCTCATATGCTGTATGACTCTGCCACAAGTCGACTCTCCGCTAGGGCCATGACTTCCATCGCCTACAAATGTAGAAGACCTCAGTAACACTCAAAAGTCAAGTCAGGATGACCACTGACACACGACCAGGTACAAGCGAGTGTACCTATGGAGATATCCCTCGGCTGCCGATGTCCATATGTGCTCTTGGAACTCCAACATCAGCCAGGCGCCCGCATCACTTTCCCACCAGCGGCGCTTCACTTATGCCTTGGGCAGCCTTCCGGGAAGTGCGGCGGGAGACTTGCAAGAACTGATTGCTCCCTATCAGAGCGAATGTCCGACTGGCGAAGTGGATAGTCCTGGATCGGATCTGAAGACTATTAGTTAGCGGAGAAAGAGGAAGAGTTGGAATTCGTGAGATGGAAACTGTTGCCACGGTCGCAGCTTATTGAGGTGTAGCATCAATTCTTCTTTTCTAGGTATAAATCACCGTGCACCGATCCACATACGTAACCGTGGATCAAAGTGGATCTGGATTGAAGCCCCAACTATAGATGACAGGCATTATTGAAGAGGCTCTCTCTAGGGTAAGTTCTCACCGGGACTACTAACTTACTGGTGCGAGCTCTTGAGTGATGATTGAAAGTTTCGGTTACTTGCTTTCCGGACTCTCGTAAATCTTGAGTCAAGTCCAATATTCGATTTGGACTCATTCCGCTCGTGTTAACCACCGAAAAAGCACTTGCCTATCTGGTAGAAGACGGTACAGGTAGACCAAGAAGGGGAGAAGGGTACAGTGAGGTTGAAAGTATCCTCTGATCAACAAGCAGCATCACAGTTTCATGTGGGGATAATGATAGCTCAGTGTGATCATGACAGCCAGGCTATCGATACCTATGAGGATCAACTCCTGGGTATCGGCTGACAACAGCGCGGAAGACTGACGTTGTCGTAGTAGGGAGTGAACATGGTCGAGATAACGAGCTCGGCCTGTGTCGATCTAGTACTTTGGCCGCCGTTTGATATCGAGTTGATGGTCATCGGAAAAGAGCCTTCAACAAATTGATGTCCACCAGGGTGTTGGACGAATAGATAGCATGATCCAAAGAGCGGTCCTCCTGCAGCGTTGAATCGCAAGGTGATTAGGCACCCATTTGTGATCGCGTTCTCTCAACTATGTTCCCATTTGAGTCTCGGCCCTCGCTGCTACAATACGCCGAAAGTCTCTGGAATGAAAAAGAGACGTCGACAGCATCAAATTCGTCTCCTTGACCTGTGCCGTGTTTCGGCCTTTTTCAACTTGACGTCCCCAAGTCACTGGCGGCATAGTAGGGTTACTTGTTTTCTCTCTTGCCCAGCCGCACGCGAGTACCGCACTTGTAACTGTTCCTGCGGCTCACTTACAATGAATCTCACACAGCTTTGTCACCAAGTTGAGCCACGAGATAGTAGTCAACAGACTCTAGATGGTACACTCTATCTGGGCGGCGCCGCCCAAGTCACATTCTCGAGACACGAAGCCAGGGTATCAAAGAAACCTTCACCCGACAAAATGCCTCCATACCGTCGCCCGTCCCTGACTCCTGCATTCCTCAGCAACATACCATCTGCAAGGTTGGCATTCTCCCGCAAGATCTGCTTTGTCATTGGATGAGGAATATCAAAGGACCTCGTGTTGCGCATCCTCGCAAGCTCTTCATCGGCTCGAATCCCGCGGTACCTGGTCAGTGAGTGCCTTATTACCCGACCACCCGGGGTTGGCAAGCCCAAGAATCTCGAGTCGTGAGCCCTTTCAGCCGCCACCGTTGGATCTTCAGATTCGCAGATTCCTGACAAAAATGGCCTGAGTGTAAACAATGCTGACATAGACACGCTGGTTAAGTTCCCTGTGGTTCCCATTTCACGATGTTGGCATCTTGCCCCTCCAATTGCTTGACTGACCTCTCTACTCCTCTGTTTGTTTATTGACGCTGCAGCATCAAAGCACTGCCACAAGCAATCAGCCCAAGCGACCGGTTGAATAATTCCTGGGAAGGCCATCCATCTCTGACGAGTCGCTCACGAGCCTTATCCGGCACAAAAGACAACAAAGGAGCTTGCTGCGACCGCACCCTGTGTACTCTTTCAACTTTCTTGGACTATAACTATACGATAATCTCAATCGACAACACTGCATAATTTCAACCGGAAGTCAACAACCGGATATAGACGGTTCAACGCTATCAGTGCTCGAGCTTGAGTGTCGGTTAATCTATTGGTTCGCCTTGACCGCGACCGGGACTGCTCCTTACGCCTTACAAGCACGTACCACCCGCGCCCTGTCCCAGCGTCATGGCTCTTGTTCGAGACCCTTACTTTTGGAAACGATTCTCAACCGCGGTGCACCTGCAAGAAGTGGAGTCGAGAAGCAATAGCGAGTGCATTTCACCTGTCAAGTGAGTACGGCATCACTCGACCAAAGGTGCTGGAATCCGCTAATGACAGAATTTTGATGAGTAGAAAATCAGATTCATGGCTTGAGCGGGAACGCCGCAAGCGCAGGCGCACGTTAGTATGGGGATTCGTGATCTTCTTCGGCGTGCTGTTAGTGGTCATCGGTGGAATAATTGTTTGGTGGCTTGCGAGACATCATTGGATGCAGCGAGTTGAGCCATAAGGGAATAGAGTTGGGATAGCTCCTTTTCACCATTCACGCCCCGAAGCATCATGTCGCCGTGACTTGGTCGCAAGCGCGATAACTGAAAAAGCCCCAGATCGATCTGGAGATATACCCGCCGCAGCTCCAGGGCGGCATTTTATTGGGCGTTATTTGTTTAGTATGTCGAGAATCGTTCTCTTGTGACTTTCACTACAACCATCTTTGAATATAGCTTGATCTTCAGAAACTTTTTGCTCTCGTAGAGCTGTAATGTGATCGCACGGCAATTTTCGCATCGCATAGTCTCGGTTGAACCTACTCAATCTGGACCGGCCGCCTCAGGTCCACTACCCGAATCCATCCTTGTCTGGACTCCTGAACTAGCCTTGTCAATAGCCTCGATCTCGGTCGTGATTCACACACCTTCAAATAGACAAGCTACCTTCATCCATAGTCCTTCAAATTTCAATCAGCTTCAAAACGACGCAGAATGTCCTTCCAAACTCTGTCCTTGTAATTGTTGAAAGAAACAACCGGGAATCGTCGACCCGTCGAGTTGACTGCGGACTTTAATCCGCCGACTCCAGCCGACGGAAGCTTCCGCTTATCGCTCTTCTCCACACGCGACTCTTCCCCGCAAAGAGCTCCCCTCGGGGGTATATAAGGCATCTATTGCCGTGTTTCTCTCGATGATACACCAGCCGTCGCCATGCTTCCTCCATTTGATTACTTCACGTATCGCAAGATCCGGTAAGCTTTCTCACTCGACTTCAAGCTGATTGTATGTGGCGTAAAGGTCTCTTTGACTGACTGGTCCTGCCACCAGCAACCAAAAGCAAGCTGAGCGAGCAGCTCGCTTTGCCTCGTTGCCGTATCCCTACCACGAGAGAATCACCCAAGACGAGAGGAAATTAATCGATCAGCCTATTGGAGAGCTGGTCCAAGATATTCAGAGCTCAAAGACCTCTGCCCAGACCGTTCTGAGGACCTACGGCAAGGTTGCAGTCAAGGCTCAGGAGCGAAGCAACTGTATCACGGAGCTATTGCTGCCGGAGGCCGAGTCATGGCTTGTGTCGGACGTCAATCTGAAGGGACCACTGGCTGGTATCCCGGTATCACTCAAGGACTCGGTTCACGTGAAAGGCTTCGACACTACTCTGGGCTATTCAGCATTGGCCAATCAACCATCCAAGGAAGATGGGCCCATGGTGAGGCTGTTGAAGGATGCAGGTAAGTCTCTTTCATTGTTACTCAGGGGAAATATGAATTCTTTACTGACTTCGAGATAGGTGCGGTACCGTACGCGAAAACTGCTCTTCCAATCACCCTCCTGTCCTTTGAATCTGCTAATGGTCTCTGGGGCCATTGTCGCAACCCGCATGTTCCTGACTATAGCCCTGGTGGTTCGACTGGCGGTGAGGCCGCTCTTCTTGCCCAGGGTGGACGTATCGGCATTGGCTCCGATGTTGCTGGCTCTGTTCGCGTGCCGGCTGCTTGGAGTGGCATTTACTCACTTCGCTGCAGTACTGGTCGCTGGCCCAAGGTTGGAGTGAACACAAGTATGCCTGGCCAAGAGGGCGTCCCGAGTGTCTTCAGTCCCATGGCTCGCACGCTGAACGATTTGACATACTTCACCAAGGCTATTGTTGGCATGAAGCCATGGGAATATGATTACACTGTACACCCCATCTCATGGCGTGAGGATCTTAAGGAGGAGGCCCAGAGCAAGTACCTGCGCATTGGTCTGATGAGCAGCGATGGTATGTTCAAATTCAAGACTCGTCCTCGAGGAGTCTGCCTTGTCCAAAGCTAATAATCTGGATGCAAGGTGTCGTTCCCCCAACACCCGCCATTGAACGCGCTCTTTCCACCACCGTCGCGGCTCTCACTGCAGCCGGCCATTCCATTACCGAGATCAGCCCTCCACCCGACGCAGACCCTTTCAATGGCCTCAACCTCGGCTCGCAGCTCCTCAACTCAGACGGCTGCCATCACTTCAACGCCAAACTTCGCTCATTCGAACCATCCGATCCAGGCGCCAGCCAACTCTCCACCATCGCCCACCTCCCCAGACCCCTAAGATACCTCTACTACCTCTACGTCCGCTACATCAAGCGCGACAGCATTCTCGCAACTCTCATCAAGGACTTTGGTCCCAAGTCTTCCGCCGAACTCTGGACCCTCGTCGCCCAGCGCGAGGCCTTCCGCGCCACATGGCACAAGTGGTGGGACGCAGCACCCCAGCAGTACGACTTTATTCTCTGCCCCGTCAATGCCACCCCTGCACTGCCGCACAAGGCAATGCATGACGCGGTCTCGTCCTGCGGATACACTTTCTTGTGGAACTTGCTCGATTATTCGGCGGGCGTGCTGCCCGTCGGCCACGTGGATGCCACCCGTGACGCACTCGTCACCTCGTACAAGACGGCGCTGAAGCGTCTGGGATGTAACCACAGCGTTGCGCGCGGCGCGTGGAAACATTACGACGCGGTGAAGATGGCGGGGTTGCCGACGGCTGTGCAAGTCGTTGGGCGCAGGTGGCAGGAGGAGCAAGTTCTGGGTTACATGGCTGTTGTGCAACGGGCATTGGAGGACTATGAGGATCCGTTGACGGGATTGAGTTGCAAGTATGATCTTTTGGAGATTGATTGATAGTATAGTGAGCGGTACTATTCATATTCCTCGTCAGGACCGAGTTGTATTGCCATTGAATTGTGAACTTTAGTAACTGTCCAAGATTCGCTTCAGATTTATTATGATTCTTCAATACCATACGTGCGTCCTTGGCCAGCCCCGTGGAAGTAAATCCATCCGCAGGTCTGTACGATATATGCGGGTGTATCAACAAGCAACCCTCATGTATAGGCCAATGAACACCTGGAAGAAACAGCAAATAGGCAATAATATGTACAGCACCCAAAATATCGAAAATCCCAACCCCGAGAAAGACCGACTGTTCACCGGGAATTCGCGCATCATATACAGCGTAAATGTCAAGTAACTTCAAACGCAATACTCGCATCGTTCAGTTAGCTAGCCGACGAGCAATTTGTTTTACGAGCCATAAGTTCTGCCTCGCTGCTCTGTGCCTTCCGTGCCGCCGTTCGATAGCAGAGGCTGCCGTTCTCCATTGCCTGGTGCTAGTCCATTGCCATTGGTGCCTGGGAATGACGCTTGCATCACCCCATCTTCTGTGTTGAGCGATTGCTTTTCACGCTCGCTTCGAAGAAAAACGGTCTTCCAGCTTACGAACCCCACCAAGACAGCACCGACTAATCCGACAAGTGCTGTAAGCACCACATTTACCGGGATTGGGTTCCCACCAAACCGCTTGAGTGTAATCGTGTCCAAGCCAGCCTGCGCGAAATTTCCTAGACCTGCCAAGCAAATGATCAGTCCGTATACTTTGCCAAAAGTCTGGAATCCGAAGACTTTAGCGGCGAAGTCGGAAACAGCGGTGTAGTAGAACGGGCGATAGAGCACGAAGAGAGCGATGTTGGCGTATGCGGCGAAATCGCTGTGCGGGATACAGCCAAGAATTCCAAACGCAGTGGCGATAACGGCCAGAACGGCCAGGATAGTGCGCGTTTGGAAACCATCCAGGAAGGTCCCAATGAATGGGATGGAAACGAGTCCTCCAACGGGAAGTAGTATGTCGAAGATACCATTGATTCTGGCCGCCTCGGAGCGGGAGCCGAGAAGATATGTGTACTGGGAACGGAGGGAGGCGACGAAGTAATTGATGCGAAGCATCATTAGAATGGTGAAAAGAGCGATCAAAATAAACCACGGTGTTTGCAACTGCTTCAACGCACTGCGGCCATGCAAGACACCCCAGACCCCACTAGTATTAGGTGGGTTCTGAGGCAGAGACTGCTGGAGCTGGGATTTCGATTGTTGCTCGCGAAGCGTGCGATCGCATTGACCAGCTATCGGACTCGATGGTCCTAAGGGGGAGTTGAAGACGCTCTCGTTGATACCCGCGGCCGAGATGACGGAGGCTGTGCCGTCGTCGAGGAGGTCGTGAATTTGATTGACAATGGTTTGCCGTCGTTCACGCCGAACGAAGCGTTGACGCTCGCTTTCATTACGATTCTCGGTGTTCTCGTCGATGCGATCATTCATTTCATCAAAGACCTGGGCTTCGACTTCTTGTACGAGTTCTCCGGTCGTCTTGTATGACGTTGATGGCATCACACTGACTTGAACGATGAGGATGAGGACAGGCACCACAAGGTACAACAAGAAGAGAGTCCGCGTCGTGATAGCGCCATCTGTGCCTTCATGTAGAAGACGGAAGACGAGGAAAAGCGCACTTGATGCATCAAAGGCGCCGGTCAACATGGACAGGATCAATCCAGATCGCTTCGGGAAGGTATTGGAAAGCTGGAAAGACGAGATGAACACGAACGGTCCTCCTAGGGAGAGGAATAGGTATCCAGGAATGTAGCCATCAAATGGCAGCTCCTTGGCTACGGCGAAAAGAAAAGCGCCAGCCGCGAGACAAATGCTTCCGATGATGCCACTGACGCGTGGACCATACGCATCTAGGATCGTGCCGACCGGTAGAGCCGAGACATTGGTCACCACGGCGGCGATGGTGAACATCAAGTTCAGTCTTCGAGCGCAAAAGTTAGCACCTTGTCAAGCAAATTGATCAGGAGATTCTCTTTGACGGGTTCAAAGATCTTACCTGATTTCTTGACCGTCGCAAACAACTACATCTCTGTTCAATTCGTCTGCAGTACAAAGGTGACGATAGACTCCTTCGCGGATGAGGACGGGCTTCAAGGCTGCGAAGCCGAAGACGACTCCTGCGGCGAGGAAGCAGTAAACCACAGCCAACGCGACTTGAGCTATGTATCACCAACGAGTCAGTTCAGTGGGCCGCTCTGCGTAACACAGCCAGTTGGTCTGTAGTTCATTATTCACGGTCGGACGTGCATACCTATTCTTCGCGAGGGACTCACTTCGAAGGCCGCCCGCGTATTTTGCACAGCCACGGGTTCTTTATGCGCCACGGACCCCTGCGGCGCTGGGGACTGTCTTCTTTCCAGGCCGGTCCGTGCATCTGGCGGGCTGGTTGACGTGAGTCCTAGATTGCTTAGCAGCGACCGCCGTTCGTCCCGGTCGTCTATCGCGCTCTCATTCCAGCCCGGTCCGGCATATGGATTGAAATTGAGTCTGGTATACGTAGAGGGGAAAGACGAGGCCACTGAAGCATCGTCTGGCAGATCTTGGTACGTATCAGATTCGGTGTCTGACGGCGGCTCCTCCGCACGGCCCCGCAATAGAGCGGCGGCGGGCGTACGCTCCCATCCTTCCAAGAAGGAAATCCGTGGAAGAGACATCGCGGGGGATGGTCAGAGTTCCAAAGTCAATCTTGTGTTAATCGCGCATGATCTCAGGAGGGAAAAGGTCTCAGACGACGTGACCCCGAGTCACTTGATCTCGAGGGCATCTAGGGCGCGTGCTTGGGGAAATGTAGCAGCAGATAGGAGGCTGGGAGATAAGAAGACGTGACCCATGATGATAAGGTCCTCTTGTTTGTCCGGCTCGACATGACTCCGCACGTTGAGTTTCTTGATTTCTTGTAGTAAGCCAGAAGCACGGCTGCATCCAAGTTTGCAGTCGCTGATACGCACTTGACTCTCATGGGTTTGGTTCACGGGCTGTTGGGCCGTCATCGGACAGTCACCTGATCCCATGTGACCGCTGCATGACGAGATGCTGACGAGCGATGCTCTCAACCCGCATTCTGCGCGGGCGGAGACGGTCGATTTGACGGATCGGCGACTTCGAGGAGCTAAAGACCAGGATCAGAACGCATGGCTTGGCGATTGATGGGGCCAAGATGGCTCTATCGAGTATCGACATTTAGTTTTGTTTAAGCGTCTAAGAATCTACCGCGACATCGGAGCTGAAAAAGCTTGCAGGGGTGGAGTGTCAAATTCGATTGAAGATCCATTTCCAGGTTCGCCGCACATTGCATTGTTTCAGCATCAGCATCTGACTGAAAGAGTTATGACTCAGCTCTGCAAGCAGGGTTGATCCATGCGGGCAGCCGCACGGCTTAGGAGAATGGATTGTGCTTGGGCCACTGTGCTTTGGTACAGGAGATGGATATTATCTTCACTCCCGAGTCCCTCCTGATGGACACATGTGCAGTATATCAATATAATGGTACCACATGCAGTGTCCTGCCTGGCCACGAACCCAGTACCATACTTCATATATTTTCCATTCGACCTGGACGATGGTCTCAGTACATCTTCGAATCATGAATGGATGATCGCTTAAGAGGTACTTGACCTACTCGTCCTGTTCGGGACATCAGAGGATGCCTAGTACTACTGAAGTGGTTTGGGCACGTGACTTACAGCACCCGTCCTCACCGTAATATATCTGTCATTCCGAACCAGGCCGGATCAATGTACTAATGTACCACTGTATATGTGAGTGCATACTACATAACTACATCTGTATTCCGCCATGGCTAACCTGGAGATGAACACCTCGGACCTCCATCTCCTAATACCATACATAGCTCGATGAAAGGCATACTGGCAAGCAGCAGCAACGCACGCAATACTTCATGGTACCACCTGCAGCAATGACGAGGAGATCTAACAGATACCAGAGAAAGGTCGTGCGTTGTCCTCCACCTCCACCTTTGCACTGAATGCGATGAGACAGCCATGAGAAGTTTGAATATGATTCAATGTGAAGGAGTGTAGGTGGATACCATGTTCCCAATTGGGTAGCAAAGGGCGAGGCTGATCGATGATGGATGCCAACTACCTAAGTGAAGACGAGCTGTGAAACGTGTAGCCAAAGACAACCCAAGAATCCCATCCAATTTGCAATCAACTTGTTGAAAGTTTACTTCCGTAAACTGATGCTCTGTCTACTAGTGACTGTTTGACAATAATGCAGGCTTCTCCCATAGGAATACTGCAAGGTTTGAGTAATCTCAAGGTATCAGGAGGAGGTACGTACCTAGGCCCATGGGTCCAGTATTTTGAGTCTTACTAACGTAGTACACGTCCACGTGCCAATGCCCTGAGGGAGGCGGTCAGTCAGAGAGCGGCAGAACCTCTCGATGTTGATCATGTGCCTGACGCCTTCCTTGCCCACCCAAAGTTCCAAACTCGTCTGCTCAACAAGACTTCGTTCTCTGTGGCCGATCAAGATTCCAGGAGCCTCGTGGCTGAGTCGCCTCCATGCTGCACTGTGTGATCTACCTCAGTTGATGGTGTTGTGGGACCCATCTGCCACCCCCTGGATGATTACCTATCATGCCGACGGCAGTGGGCATTTCTATACCGACCCAGCGCCTTGGACAGCAATGCTCAAAGAGGCAGCTGGAAATCTCGGGAACCCCACCTTGGATCACGGAGAAATGCATCCGAGCCTGTAGGAGTTGAACACCTCTGGCTCGAGGAAGGTCCTGGCGGAAAGAGAATGATTGATGTGGGAAAACCCCTTATCATCCTTCTACGAAAAGGCACCGCTTTGACATTGGGAAGGGGGGAGTCGGCACTTCCTTCATTAAGTTTTTATGCTTTATGATTCCGCACCCGCGGTTCCCGCGAAGGACAGAGGGGACCAACGTACGGCTGGTCAGCGCCATTCGAGAATCTTTTTGTGGTCCCAGATATTCTGAAACCGTCCGAATCACGGCTTCGGCTTTGGGTGGCTCTGCGCTCGGCATGTCGACCTCAGAGATCCTTCACGATCGACAGGGTTTGTGACGGGGCCCGAGGATAATAAGCCTCACTCGCAGCACGCTATCCACGGATCCCCAATTAGCATGAAATGAAGCCCGATTGCCCGAAGCCAATCGAAAGACTGCCGTGAAATTGAATCGCATTACTAAAAACACCCCCACTGTCCGCTGGACGTGCCAGGTGCCAGACACCAGACACCAGATGCCACATGCCAGATGCCAGGTACAGCACAGCACAGCACAGCACAGATCACACGACTGCGAATGCTCCGATCCCATGGACTCATGCTCATGTTGCGTGTGTCATTCTCATATTGACGGCCACAATATGAAACAGTGTGGTCAAGTCCGTGGTCTTCGTCGCGTTCGCTGTCTTGTTGACTCTTCTCCTTCCACGCACATCTTCGGGAAGTGATGCTCGGCGGCTCATCTTTCTTTGAAGTCTGGAACGAATTTAAGTCGGGCTTTTGCAAAATTGTCAATTAAATTATGGTTCGCTCAGTGTGGAGACTGCTACCGAGGCCAATCACCATCTTGAGAGGTGGCAAGAGAAGGGCATTGCCATCCTTGTCGGTCCCGCTGTCAACGGTTCTGATCCGCATATCGATTTTTGGCACATCATTTGTCGGCCAGGGACCGCTGCACGAGCAAAGAATGTTGATTTACCTCGGAGCTCAAGGACTCACCGAGCTCAACTGTCTAGTAGCTACATGATTTCGAGGGTCTCGACTCGATTCGTGTTGGGTTTGTTGGTTTCTCACAGACTCCTCTCCCCAGGAGCACTGATATTGAGTCATGAGATCTTGCTGGACGGGGTTCACTACTGGGCACGATTGCCACAGTTGTGCAGCAAAAGACCTTCACATCATTCAACAATCACGAGCCTATCCTATTGCATGGACGCATAATCAAACTCTATTCCGAGTTGACACGCCAGCGAATAAACCCCTTTGGAAACTTAGTCCCTCCCGCCTTGCTTCCGCCAACTCATTACTATTGTCCCCGTGGAGAAAAACAAGAGACCAATGTCCGTAGATGGTGGCGTATGATGCCAGAATGGCCACGGGAAAAGATACCCTTTGACCCCCGTTGTCGACCCTCTCATTCTCGAAAGGGTAGGAGTCTCGAGAAATATTCATGTCACCGTGCCGGTCCTCCTTCCCCCTTCCCCCTTCCTTGTGGAAGCTAAACAATGCTCTCTCGCCCGGTCTCTATCTTTACAAGCACAGAGAGGGCTAGGATATGCCCCCTCACTCAGGCTCGCACAGGGCACCTCTCACTCTGTGCGCTACGACACACCCATCTCGCAGCGACAAGATCAACGCAGTGATTCATGCGGACTCGCTTGTCTTTACCCCTTCAGCGCTCGGGCTCCCGAAGCCAGCCGTGAAGTCTCGGCCAGACCGTGATCAGTTACCTTAAATTCCTGCTTCTTCTGGAAAAGATCGTTTCTCTGGGTCCTCTTGCTTTTTTTTTTCGGGGAGAAGGCGGAAAACCTTGTTCGACGCTCGTGGGGTACCGCGGCCGTCCAACCAGCATCCGCAAGTGACTGTCATCAGAGCGGCTCGGTGGAGAGCCATGGAATATCTGGCACGGTACAGATGGCCGCGTTCGCATCGTGAAATTAGTACAGGAATAGACTCGAGTTGAGGTCGGTCTCCACGGTGCAACTCCACCTCTGACCGGAGCCTTTAATCCTGTTCCTGTCAAGCTAATCTCCATGCACGCAAAGGGTGTGGCCCTGGACTCTCCAAAGGTCGAGAAAGATCATGTCACGATGATTCGCCCAGGGACCAGCTCTCTGGTTCGGTCTGATCTATCCTATGCAGTGATCCGAAGAAGCAACTCCACTCTCTCCACGCTTTTCAGATGGTCATCAGCCTCGTGGCGCCGCCCGGACATCTAATTTGATCCATGCATGTTAATTTGACGATTCCCGCCAGGACATAGTACCCTGGATTTTATATTTACTGAGCGTCCTCGGGCCTGGAATACCGAGAATGTTTTCATTCCGGAAACCTTCTATTTTGATCTCGTTCTCGTGTCTCTCGCTGCGTAATGAGGGGATGGTAAGCTGCACATCACTACGAGGCCGGAAAGTATCTTTGAGCGTGTATACTGATCAAGGTCCGATGCTTTTAGCCTCACCTGCCGGCTCCGCCATTTGAAATGTATGAAAAGCTTTCCCAGTGAAACGAGCTGCGCTTTGTCTCCTTCGTTCAAGGGCTTTCTAACTAGTCCGCGCAGGTGACAAGACAGGAGGGAAATGCCTGCGCTGTCAACGATCTGGCCGCGAGTGCGTTCCCGCACCAGGCAAGTCAGAAGAGCTATCATTTCGCCATGGTCAAAACCCATCGCTACGAGGGAAGGGACCACCACGGTATGGAGAAAGCGATTTGTCGTTTCCAGAGGATCAAATCTGGATCAAGTCGTCACCTGAATGTATGGTTCATCACGATGCTCCGCGACTGCCGCGTCGATCAGATGTGTGATATTGACTTTTCCCCAGATGCTTTCAAAGATGAGACTGCGCAGACTGCGTCCGAGTATCATGTGCTTCCAGTGAACGGACAGTTGGGCTCAAGATCACCATCTGAGCCCCGATCAACGCCCTCATCTACAACCATGGACGCTGTGCTTCCTGGGCGTAGTAATTCAATTCCTCACAATATTATCGAATCGCGTGGCGGCTCCAGATCAGCCTCTATCAACTCACCGCAATCCTCAATCACCCCGGTGTCAAGCCCTCGTCTAGCAAACGTCAACGAGGCATATTTGCTCCGGCATTTCCAAAGATACATCGCGCCCTGGGTTGGTTCCTCGATCCCGTGTGCTTTTCGCGACATTATACTGATCATTTAGCTTGACGCCGGCGATCCCGAACGACACTTTTGCGCAGACGCCGTGGGACGAGCCAGTGAATCGCCGCTTCTTTTGTACGCCTGTCTTGCAGTATCGGCTTGCCACCTCTCACGCACCACACACACTATCGCACCAGATGTAGCGGATAGCTATCATGAGCGCTGTGTCTCAATCATGCTACCGGTGCTTGACAACTCCAACTATGAGATTTCCATCGACATTCTTCTCAGCTCAACCGTGATCCTCCGGTTCTTCGAACAAATATCCTGTACGATCCATTCACCACCAATAAGCCCATGGTTCGGGCTGAGCAAGCGACTTTCTATACTGGCCCAGATTAGACGTAACGAGTTAGCTGACTCAAAGATTACTCACTCAGCTCATACACCCTCCAACGATCCCCAACGTCACCTCCTGGCTGGTTCGGTCTACATCAGTTCTCACGTCGATAGCGCCATCTCAGGGGGTCTTGCATCGGCTTCTTTCTGGGTCTTCGTCCTCCAAGATATACAATTTGCCCTAACACAGCAAAAGTGTCTCCGGGTCGCATTTGCACCACTCGATGACCGTTTGCATCGTTGGTGGGCCACAAAAGCGGTACTCACCGACGGAGATTGGGTTAATCAAGCCATTTGGCTCCTCGCAGCGACGGTCGATTTTTGTTACCAACTGCCTGATCAGCATTACGGAATTCATGTGAATATCGCCGCGGGCAACGCGCTAAAACAACGGATTCAAGATTGGGAGGTTAGGCGACCGGATGCCTTCACTCCACTACACATTTCACCGCCAGATCCACGAGCTGGGAAGCCTTTCCCTGTGGTGTGGTACACAAATGTGTGGCATTGTAAGATCTCCACGTTCTCTGGGTTAGTCAGGCAGCACAGCTCTAACTGGTCTATAGCAACGGCTGTGCAACACGTGTGTCTCGCCAAGGCCCTTGTGCTCATGCGCGAGCTTGAGATTTATGATTACCCCTTCGATCAGCGCGCCCAAATCAAGGTAAGAGACAACGAATTCGCAGTTGTCCGGAGAGGCTCAGCATCCTTGCTGACCACCTATTTTATCAACTCATTTAGGAGCAAATCACCGAAAATCTCAACTACCTCTTCGGCATCGCCCTATCTTCCGACGACGAGCCCTCGCTCCGGATATTAGCCGGCCACGCACTGTGCGCCTGTAGCGCCTGGATCGACGACCCCCTCGCACAAACGCTCCTATTCGATCTTCTTAGGCGCACAGAGAGAGACAACGGTTGGCCATGGGCTTATTTCGAGCAGCGCATTCTCCAAACATGGAGAGGTCACCATGTCCAGGCCCGGTGAAAGCGCGAAGAAAAAAAAAAAACCCACAAGAACAATAAGAAAAAGACTGGAAACCAGCAAAAGTCGATTGAATGTACTTTCGACTCAGTTCAATACCCCGCTTGTTAATGTATTTTGAGAATGATACCATGAGCGGCATATGTGAAGCTCAGCCTTGTGCATGTGACTTTTCTATGATTGATATCCAGATCCGTCAAGACAGGGGTGATTATTGCGAGGAGAAATTCTGAAGGCAACCGAGCGCAGATTGTAATCCTTGGGTGTTATGATATCTGCCAGTGAGTGTTTATATGATACTCCATTTTGAGGCAAGTTTCATGCCGAGTAACTCACAGCATGGATGTATTTACGCCACGGAAGGAGCTGAAGCCGATGTTAGATAACTACACGGGCTGAAATAGATGCAGGAAGTCTTCATGGGCTACGGCCTTGCTCTCCTTGTGACAGTGGTCTCGGGCAAAATTTACGTTGAACCCTGTGTGTGATTTCCGAGCTACGCATGTGCTACCATGTATATATATCCCCGTTTCGACATGTCCAATTCCTGGAAACACACAATGCCCAGATTATATGCGCTTCCAGATCCGTGTCCAGTTCGCCCTGGATGAGCTAGTCACAACTACCGTTCAGCCCTGGAACTCTCCGTAAAAGTTCAACGGAAATGGAAACAGTCCCTCATCGACCATATTCCCAAGCATATAGAGACTGAATGAATCAAATCCCGCATCCATGTTCATATGAGGATCAGTATTGAGTGGATCCTGCGTGGTTGGCAGATTCATGCCTGAAATACCGCCCATTCCTTGAAGCTGGCTCGACCGATCAGAAGCCGAGATACCATTGTAGCTCTGGGCTGGATCGTTGTTTATAAAGGGAGAGTAGTACCCTGAGTTTACGGACACAGGGGGTTGGAGTGATGGCACGGAGTTCCAGGTTGTGGTGGTGGTCGAGGATACCTGACTTGGTGTGCCTGTCATTACACTGGTTGCATCTGGTGACCCGAAGGCTTTGGTCGAGGTGTGTTGTGTAGATATTGGGGCTTGGGTGGAAGTATGGCCGCATGTTGAGGGGGAGTAGGATATGTTTTCCTGAGCGTCGGCGGCCGGTTTTGCATTGAATGAAGCGCTGCTGACCGAGTTGCCCATGGCGACTTCGCTGAGAAGATGGAGCGGCGTTGCGCTTTGCTGTGCCTGAGAGGTTCTGTCAGTAATGATTCATATTTCTCCTCTAGAAGAAGCGTTTGCAACACATACCATCTTCGCCGCCTGCTCTGCTGCGTTTGAATTCGTTTCCGAGCCGAATATCTCTCTCAAGGCAGGACCATTGCCTCTTTTTTTGAGGAACCAGTTGCGCAGCATCATGATAATGTAACTAAATTTCCCGGCTGCTCGGCCGCCATCGCGCATGGCCGCACCGCGGTAATGGGTGATTACTTTTTCAAAATAATACTCAATCTGGAGACTGCTGAGCTCAATGAATTGACCGAGACGAGAGTTTGGTGCCACGATCAAAGAGTACACCTTGATGAGGCTGACAACGACAAAGGTTGTGCGGGCTAAACAGACAGTCGGGAGGCAATTCATTTTCTCGAGGTCCATTGAACATATAATCTCAACGGCTTTGTGGATTGAATGGATGCATGTTCCAATTGCATCGATGAGTGGAGCAGGAAACGAAGCGGAAATTGGTGAATCTGAGGACAACCTAACGTATTCGTCTTTTGTATCGACATTCATTGCACTCTCGTGGATGAAGAGATTCAGCACATGATGTGTGTGAGCAAGAGGTACTAAGAGGATAAAGACATTAGAGAATGAAAGACTCGTCTGACGGGAAAGCAGCGGTTTGCTTACCGGTGTAAGCGTCTTCTGGAACTTCTCTGCGCCATTGACTGAGCTGATGAGCAAATCCCCTGACGAGGTATCGATACTTGCTGTCTGCGAATGACAGATTACTTTGCGCGTCGTCGAGGATAAGTTGCGTGCTGGCTTCTTCCATGATCCGGCCTAGCCTAGCCCACCAGACGAGCTCTTTGTCCGATGCGAGTGCGTCGGGATGACTTTCCAGGGTACGCATGCACTCGTCCATGTAAGGGTTCCATCTCACAATTTGTGTTCTCCGCAGAGTTGTCGAAGTTCTGGGCCATAAGATTAGTTCGCGGACAGGGGAATGTCGGAAACAAGGAGGTGAACTCTTACTGAACCGACAGGAAGTAACAACCAGCCCACGTTCGCTTCGCCTCGGGGCCGTTGGTGTCAGTCGACGACCCCTTTGGTTTCCTCGTCAGCACTTCTTTTAGACGTTTCATGCCCCTGTCTTCGGTGCCTGTTCGCCAATTCAACCCCAAGTCCATCGCTATTATGACAGCAAATTGAACGAGCTGATAGAACTTCAATTCCTCCATATTATCCGGTGGCTGATACCATATCGCTGTGACCAGCAACGCCTGCACGAGTTCAAGAGACTTTTCACCCTTCACGATCACGCGCTCAGCAATAAGTCGGTAAATGTCATCTAAAAGCTTGGCTTGGACTTCCTTTTTGAAAGGTCCTATGGTTGTTGCAAGGATTGCCAGGAATAATATCGGTTTTTCCCGACGCACATATCCCATCGTTGTTCCCGGGGGAAATACCACAAATGGCAGTTCCGTAGCACACTTGGTCACATATCTGTCAAATGTGGCATGGGCAGTTTCGACGTCAACCAAACCTCTGTCGATGACGTCCGCAAATTCATTGTCAGACTTGGCCGACGGCGTCTCATCGACCGAGGATACCCGCAGCCATCTGGTCGGAGGTTGTGACCGAGGCAGCTGTTCCGCCGATGGGCTGTCTTGTCGAGGATACTGCGATGCCAGCATTTCATCGTGGCCCCTCTTAGGTGCAGGAGGATTCAAATCATCCCTGAGCCATCTTCGACTAGAAGATTGCTGTACAGTGCTCGAGTCGGCTGGCCGGACAGGCGACCCATCTTTTTCCAAGGCTACTCGGTGTGATGCTTGCAGGGTAGCCGTCAATGCGTCAATCTTACGCTCGAGCTCCGTGACTCGCGTGTCAGTCTTCTTCTGACGCTTACGCGATGGTGCAGTGACCACACACGTGCGTCCTGACTTGGCACATCGCTTACAAGAGCCACTCGGGTGATCGGCGTCCGGATCACAGCGGACTTTAAGTTGACGACAAGGCTCACAAGCTCGTGGTTTTTTGATCTCCAAATGCGGGTTCTCTGCATTCTGAGTTTCGACAACAGGCCTAGGGCCCACGTCAGAGTACTCACGGTCGCCCGAGGTTCTTCCATAAACGTGATGTGACTCGCTCATTTGGCGCGGAGGGTCCGGATAGTTGCTTTCCATTGTCAAAAGTGCAGGTGGGTCGGAGTCCGGCAGCTACCAGGGCCGATGACTTAGATGACTTGACGAGATTGCGACCACAACAATAGAAAAGATATCATAGACGCTTCGCTATCTCAAGAAGTCTCGGCAGTAAATGAGGTATGTCCTTGCATGAACACAATTGGGAGCACTCAGTGTTCAAGGCGCTTGGTCTTTCTCGTTTCCCTCGTTCTTTAAGGCGCAGTTGGACAATTTCCTCGTAGAACTCCAAAAAAAGTATCGCAGCGCGGCGACTGCAAACACCGAGCGCCGATCTACACTGCGGGGCAAGGCGCAACGGGTTGTCAAAACTCGAGAAGCAGGGGCTGATAAGGCATTGGCATCAATGAAAGTGGACTGAGAACTGCTCTGCGGGTTGAACGCGCCCTCGTCATATCAAAAAGACAAAGGTAATTTTGGTCGGTAAGCTTGATGGCCGTCAGACGGTCGCTTCTGAGTCGTGATGGCACGTGACTGGGAGATGATTGGGACAGCAGGAATAAGCTCACGCCCCATCACTTTAGGCAAGTCCTCAAGCTGTATGAATCTGTATGATGGTCAGCACAATTAAAACGTGAAGCTGCTCTAACCTTATCAACTTGTTGCGTTCAAAGAGACAAAATCTAACACACCAGATGTATTTGTCACAATAAACGCTCTACCGTACTGGTAGTCTGACTCAGTGTGCAAAGGGAATTGTTCAATGTGTCTTCACTCGTTTTCCTAAGCAATCTAGAAGCCAATTGCACATGGGATGAACATTCAGGATGTCTGCTACGGCTGGAGATCAGATCGATAGAGAGGCCATTTGAAGTCTCGTTGACAGGGGTATAATATAACGAATACGGCAGGAAACGTATGCAGCCATGCACCCCCGAGATCGCTATGATTGAATGAAAGAAAAAAAAAACCAAAAAAAAACAAATGGAAATTTGGAGAAAAAACGAGAATCTGAATCGATCAGACTAAAAGGATATCTAGCAAGTAAAGATGAAAATACAAAAAAGACAAGAGACAAAAGAAAAGAAAGGAGACAGCGAGAACAGGAAGCGGGAGAAGAAGGAACCAGGAGCCGTGCAGTGTCTGCAGCCCATTGAGCATGCGCGGCGAGACGTGAAGCCTCCCTAGACTTTGTGCACTGGACACTCCATCTTCCTCTCGAACCAGTCATCAATGCAAGCCTTGTGAAACTTGCAGAGACATTTGAGGCGAGCTAGGATCTGCCCGGCCTCATAGTCCTCGAAGCAGATGGAGCATTCACCCACTTCGCCGTTCTCACCAACACAGTCCTTCTCCGAAGCTGTAAATGACAGCATTTGAGGAGCTGCAGGCAAGGAAGTTGACGGCTGGGATGGGGGCGGTGGTGCTTGTCGAAGGTCCACATGTGCAGGCTCGGCCTGGGCTGTCGGCGAGGCACCGTAGTTCTCGATGCACTCGCGCACATGTTCCTCGCGAGCTTCCTGGGTGTGCTCGTTGTCGAGCGGCGGGAAGATCAGTCCACAGACGGGACACATGTCGTCTTCCGAGACTTCAGGGCGTCTCGGGGCCACAGAAACAGAAGCTCCGGGGACAGTTGGGGATGGTCTGACCGTAGTGGCGGTCATAGATCGACGGACGTGATGATCAAGTCCAGGAAGATCTGACGGACGGTCAGTTGACCCAAGTGTTCGTCGCTCCTGACGATGAGAAGCGCCTTCTCGCTATAGAGGCCAGATTGGAATTAGCTACATGTTCTCTCTTCACGCCCGAGGGAGGGGGCCATTGAAAGGATAACTCGATTTGACACTTACCGCAACTCGAGAGTGTCGGTGGCCCATCGAATCTACCGAGTGCGTGGATCGATGGGTTGACACGCGAGGGAAGCCGTACCCCAAGGGATTAGGATTTGGGTCAGGCACACAGGGATTGCAAAGGCGAACTTTTTCTCCGCCGCCAAGCGCAGGGTTGGTCGATGGGTCGAAGAGATGGTGAGGACCTTCTCTGGTTGAATCGACCACCGGAGGTTGATGCGCAGGAGATGAATGCAGGTGCGAGGAAGACGAGGGTAAGTCCGCCGGAGATGAGTGTAGGAGTGAGTTAAGAGTGTCGGGAGGACGAACGATGTATTGACGAGGAATGACAATCAAGTGAGGTGAGCAGCTCGCACAAACGACGCGGCCACACTTGCGGCAGTGGTGCTTCCGGTGCCAGAAGTTAAAGACTGTCCCACAGATAGGGCAGCTTGTGACCTCTTCGTCAGGCTGCCATCTCGGCGGACCCGCCTCAGAGAACTCCGGCAGTCCTTCTGATGATTCTTCAATATCAGGTCCCGAATAAGTTCCAATACTTGGACTGGATAAACTTGTCTCCATCGCTGCTTCTGAGGACCTTCCGCTACGCGCCGCTCCCCATCCGAAACTGTCCAAGGTTCTCTGTCCGTTATGATGAAGTGGTGGGTATCGAGACTGATCAACTCTATACATTGATAGCCCCATAGAGCCTCCAAGGCGCAGAAGATCTTCCGAGGTCGCATTGTCTGGACTAGTATCATCGGACGATCTGTCTGCGCCGCACGCATGCAAACCCCTCGACCATATCTCACCGCTCGAGGACTGCGAAGAACGGCGCGGCGGCGGAGCCCAAGGAAGAGGCTTTCGACTGGAGTTGATAGCAGGCTGTGAGCTGGCTGCTTGCACAGCAGGTATTGAGGTATGCCATGTTTGATATCTCCTCGCAGGATGTGGGTCCGGATGATTGCCCGGAGGTGCGAAATGACCGTAGCCGGGTATCATACGGCTCATTGAACTAACTGCTCCGCCTTCTGGGGGGGACGAAGTGATATCAATTGCTGTGCCATATGAGGTACCAGGTATTTGCGATGAGCCTGATTGAACCTCCGACATGGACCGATGCAGTGACACAGGCGTGGCCTCGGGCTCGCTCTCCATCATACCACTAGAGTACGTGCGCGGTAACTTAGCCGCGTCACTCGTGCTCGTGAGGCGGCGCTTTCGATCACGTATCTGAAACTGAACTTCTGGCTCTGCCAGCGTGTTCTGTGTATCCCCACCATAGGCGGACTCGGACGATACAGACGCCTGTGAGACTCTCCTTGCCAGCACAGTGGCCTGTGGTGGCATACCCCATTGATCATCAGCGCTAGCAGCAGTCATTACTTGGGAGACAGTCCTGCTTATCTCTCCTCCGGCTCCTGATGCTGCTGGCGTGTTCTGCAGGGGGAAAGGCGTGCTTGTTCCCGACATTGCCCCGTATTGGATATGGTTTATTGATTCTGCTTCCGAGGCTGAAGATGGAAGAAAAGTCTTGCACACGCAGCAGGGCCAGCCCTAGCGGAGATTCATTATCTTCAGCCGTATACGACACAGACGAGCCCAAGGGTACGGAATCTTGTCCAAGTCACCAATCCTGTGAATTGCCGAAACAGAACAGAGGCGTGGCAAGTGACAATGAACAACGAGATCACAATGAGCCCTCGGTTATTGACTCGGACACAGCTGTCACATAAAAGTCAAAGTCAGCTTGATTCGCAGGACACAGGTCCCAGTGCACACAGCAGCTTTGCAGCACGAGACTACCTGGCAATTTTGCTGGATTTTGACGGACTATGCTCACTGTGGACAACACACTGTTCTCCTGTCTTTGCGTATGACCCTGGTCCCGTGGACTGGTGGCTTGCCGGTGATATTCAAAGACTAGAACTACGGGCCTCGGCGAGTCGTGTGTTGACGGCAATGGCAGGAACCACAACAACAGCCAAGACCGGTGTCTCGTGATAGAAGATGGTGCACCGCAACTTCTGTCCGTCTGTCCGGGTATGGTTGGAGTCGTTTGCAAAGGCAGCAGTGTTAAAGCTCTTCAAAGGAGTCTGTTACCTGGTACAGCAGCACCGGGCATGCGATAAAGGGGACAGCGAGGGTCAAACGAAGTCATAATTAAGTGCGGGAGCTGATCGTTCCTTATCAGTGGGGCTCAGTGGGCTTGAAGGGCGGTGTATGATCGGCAAATCGATACCGATCGCCACCGCCTCCTTCCGCTGATTGCCCGGAACGATCCCGAGGGGGAGGAATTCGGGCGGTCGGATGGGAGGAGGGCACCAACAAGCTGTCCCAGAATGGAATTTTGTATGATGCTGACTTGTCACTACGGTTGTGGGGGATACTGTGGCAATGTTTGACTTGACTTTTTCTACCTTGATCATGGTATGTTCCATTGGATACTGTTTGAAACCCATCGTTATTTCAGGAGGTACATGAGGATCATAACAAACATCTGCACTTCGTTGAGTGCAGCAATTTCTTTTAGCTGGCGAACTATACTTATACTTAATTCAGGTAATCAGGGCTTTGCATCCATCGAGGTCATCGATTTGCAAGGTAAGAGCAGACGGAATTCACAGGAGGAACCTTAGTCTTTTAAGCCAAGATGCTTGTATCCACATGTCAAGAAGTTCAGTTGGATACCTATCATATCTAGATGATCTGATTAGATCGCTGGAAACTCAGGTAGTTTAACATGTGACTTTACTTTGAGGGGAGATCCATGGATGCATGTACACATTGAAGTACTTAGCTGGTTCCTTTGACTTATAGAACATTTGTGTCACACCCCCTCTATGCAGGTGCCTATTCAGAGAATCAGAACATCCCCAGGTGACAGTCAAATGACACTGTCAGGTCGACATCCCTTTCTGGACCGGTGGACGGGAAACGGAGGGAGTGTCACTTCGCTGGGCAACACGGTAATGCCCATGGGGCTTGAAATTTGGGTATGATTTGATTACTGGATCAATGGACATATTCTTCTGGTATTTACTTCTCCATGTTCTCAGGGACATTCCTACAGCTGAGATTATCCCCAGACCTGCAGCCTTTTCCACCCTTATCCTTGGGAGATTTACGAGGTATTCCACGCACGTTCATATTGATTTGAAGACTTGTTAGAATGTCTACTAAGATGTCGTAGGATCCTCATCAAGTAAGCTATTCGAAAGATCTTTTCAAAAGATCTAATCCAAGCTGTGCCATTCCCCGAACTAAGAAGTTTCATTCCTCTTCAACCCTCCAGTCTCCACCACGCAGGTGGCCGCATCTACCTGCGATGGGAGGGGAGTCCCGTCTACCAAAACCCTCTACATGCAAATACAGTATTCCTCTAGTTACAACCTAAGTTCCACTCTCTACCTAATCATAGCACAAGAATTCATACTTTGAAGCATTGAACCCACCGCTAGAAAGCTAGCATACACTACGGACACCATGCAGGGGTATACCTAAGCGCGTTGTCTTCATGACGGGACCCGTTCGATCGCATTATTCCCTTAGGTACTGTAATATTCTCGTTTTGACGACCGAAATAGGAATAATCGATCGATAACGCTAGATTGATGCTTACACGGCACTGCAACGGATCCAGATACTGTTGACACGTTTAGTAGGAATCTGGCAGAGTATAGTACAATGTCAACACTTTTCGTGGTGATATTCATTTTCAGTAACATAGCGCTATATCGAATCAATGATGATGGAGCCAGAAGCCATGGGTTGATATCACTATTAAGGTTCTCAAAGAAGACAACGTATTCGCAGAACGCTGCAAGGTAACCGACACGACACGCTTGTGTGGTAACACACAGTCTGAAAAATGCAAAATGGCAAAAAGACAAAAGAAAATTCGTTGCGGGGGCATGATCAAAGGTACGCTAGCTTGCAGATGGGGTGCACTAAGAAATGCGTACAGAAAGCGGGCTGTGCGAAGTCGGGAATAAAGAGAAAGTAAGCTTAAGAGGCTGGCAGAAACAGGGAGAGGTTCGATGAAATTTTGGCATGTAATGCACATTGTGTCTTAATATATGAAGGCGTGTGAGAAGCTTTTAGTGGTGCTGTTCGAGCGCGCGTTCGTCCACCAGTTCTGCGGCGCTGCCAGTAAAGGACATTTTGTCCGGACTGGCTTCGTGGATATTATCGCGTGTTCGGTGTTGTGCGACATAGCCCATACTAGACGGTCGTTCGGCTCTCTCGCCGTCGCGACCGGTCCGATGACTCGACGTCACCGAGCCGGATGCCGACGCCACAGAGAGGCCTCGCTCTCGAGATGGCGAACTGCTCGAGCTGAAAGGGAGACGAGTTGCAGTGGAGGATAGCTCAGGCTGCAGGTGCTGGACTGAGCGTGAGTTTGAAGCCTTTGACCCTGGTGACGAGGCCTCTGTAACTGTAGGCAGGTTCAGTATTACCTTCTCTGCGCCAGTCTCTGAATCTGGCTGCGTACGACGAGAGCCAACCCGACTAGGCAACTCAATATTGCTGACTGTGTCAACTTCTGGTAGTATTGGTGCTCCAGCCCCACTCTCAGCTTCTTGTAGTATTTGTTCGCCAGATTCGACCCCTTGCTCAGCATCCGTGTCATGGTAAGGGACCTCACTTGCAGATGCAGAACGGGAGTGTCCGCCAGCCTCTGCCTCTTCTGTTTGAGGCTCGTCTTGATATGGCTCATTGAAATTACCGGCGGGGAAAAGACCCGGAGGTGGCGCTCGAGCACTTCGAACAACCTCAAAACCTTTGCCCTTGTCCTTTGTCTTGCCTTGGAACAAGTTGCGGAACCAGCCGGTTGCTGACGAGACAGGGCCGGTGGGGTCTGCAGGACCAGTCTTCAATTTTCGAGTCCCAGTATGGGATAGCGGGGGACCGCGCACTCTATAATAGAAGTCTACCTCACGGACAGCATAGTCTTTTCGCTGTTCAGTCTCCTCCATCTCCATATCGTCCTTGGGTGCGGGCAAGTACGCAGGGACCGGGGTTCCGCGCCCTGACATCGGGGTTCCATCGCCGAGAGTCTCCTCATCACGTACACGACTTCCTTTCAAGAAGGATTTTGAAGTCTTTTTACCCCGATCAAAGGAGCCTTGCGGTGTTCGTCGCCCTGGACGAGGTGGACGATAGTAAGGATCACGTGGGCTCGGCGCGATAAACGTGCTACTGCTTGGGGAGCTACTGAAGTATTCACCGGCTCCAGTGTAAGCCGTCGGTGACTGTGCGTAGATGTTGCCACTCGCAGCTCGGCTGTGCCCTCCACCGTAGGAGCTCGCGTAGTCGAGGACTGCACTGGCGCGACCCTCACTAGCCGGTGGGCGATTGAGGAGAAGTGCGGAGCTTCCGGACATGCTGCGAGGCCGGGAACCACCAAATTGTGAGGATAGTCGGTCATCAGTATGCGCTAGCATCGCCGCGTCCGATGCCATGCTTTGACGCGCAAGGTCTGACCGGGGCACCCGCCTGGACAGCTGCCGCATACCCAAGACCTTGACCAGACCGCCACGGGTTGCACCACCAGCACCAGCAAGTCGAGCCAGCACTTCAATCAAGGTCTGCAAAGCGTTCAACAAGAAACCAAAGATAAGAACTAGGGCATGCAGGACAAGAATGACATAGCCGACCCAGCCTCTCGTAGCAGTGGAGACTGTGAGAGAAGGGACAAATACCACGCTCATGATGATCGTCAGGAATCGAATGCACGAGAAGATAGCATGGTAAAGGTTCATATGGGTGGGAGAAGGGAAAGGTCGGAATGCAACCAGCGTCAACACGGCTACGACCTCACAGATGGCGAGTAGGACAACTTGGGCAATGCCGGACGGCTGCAATGCTCCAATGCCAACGCCGCGTGCAAAGTTGAGGATAATTGGGATCATGGCAAAAGCGGCGGCGTCATCACAATAAGTGTTGTAGAGAGGTCCGTACAAAAGAACCGTTGGCAGGTCGTCAAAGAGATGAGACTTGGGTCGAGTAGAGATGATAATTCGAATCAGCCAAATCGCGAAGCACATAATCATGAGTATCACAACGGCTGAAAGAACCACGCTGTAAGCCGGGGACCCCTTTGCAGTGACCAGCTGGAAGAAGGAGAGCGATACGATCGGGAGGAGGAAATAGTTGAAGGTTATGCGAATGACGTTGCCCATGGTGAAAGGCCCATTTTTGGAACGCAGATCCTGCTCTGTGCTTCGCGCAAGTTCGCGATGCAGCCACCGTATCGCAAAGCCAAGTTGACAAGCGACGATGGTGCAGGCCAAAATACTCAGGATCCAGACCATCATCGAAGGCCAGATTTCACGGGTAGAGGCCATTCCGACCAATTGGTTCATACGGTCGAGTCCATAGGTTCCATTGATCGCATAAACCCCGTCAAGCACAGGGGTGTTAGCGCCAGCGGGATCAATGAAGCTCTGATTGAACATGAGTACGGACCAAGACCCGTAACTGACAGCGGGCTGGAAAAAGCCCGGATAATCCAGGGAAAGGGATCCAGTCAAGACAATGTACTGCATGTACTGCAGACAATCTGCGAAGCCCGGCGTCACCAGTCGAAGCACATCCTCGTCACGGCCGTAGTTGCTCGTCCATCTAAAGATGTCCGTGCTACCCCATGGACTGTATACGGCCGCTGCGACAGTAGCAATCGCCACAAACAGTAACACCACCAATGGCACATACGTCAATGCGTTTTTCAGCGAAGTGCCAAAGTCGGGTGTGATCGATAGGGAGATGCAGCCAAGTTCCGCCGCTGAGGCATCCCCTGACCGGATGGAGAAAGTCGGGTTGATTGTCGAGAATCGGTACGTGGACAGCATGTCATGCTGAATGAAAAAGGATCGTAATGTGCCTAAATCGCTCCTACATGTCAAGCAAGAGTCAGTATTCGTTGGCAGGAACTCGGGGAGACTTGTACTGTCCAAGCTAGGTGTTTTGGTAAGGAAAGCTGAACTTACATATTATACTTGAACACCGGGCCCAGCGGGCACTGGCCCTGGTCAACTGCCTGGCAGAACCGCGACGCGTTGCTGAACGGAGTGAAACTCAGCATATCGAACGACGTTATGAGCGTAGTATATTTGTTGTTGGGTTGACTGATGTCAACGATCTTTCCAACGGTCGAATTAAGATCGATCCACGATTGGTCTGTCGCCGGCGGAGCAGGGGAACCGTCTGCTGTGCCCGTAACGTTTCCATAAACGGTGACCTTCAATGGATTGAGCGAACTGGTGAGGTTAAAGTGCACCGACACATTGAGGGGCACGTATTGCAATTGAGGAGGATCGGATTGCAGGGTTGTTTGGCTCAGGCAATTGTCGAAATCGAGCATTGCAGACCTCGCCGGTGACACGCAGGCTAGAAGCATGCATACCAGCGACAGCCACCAGCGAGTCGTTGTGTTGTTGATTGTAGGGAGAATTCGTCGACGCCGGCGTTTCGAAGTCTCTCGCCATCTGCGACTTTGGTGTGTCAAAAGTCCGTCGCGTCGCGCGAGGTCAAAATCCTTCCGCCCGGAAGAGCGAGCTTCATTGGCCGCTGGTGTCATGTCGCGACACATCTTGGCCGTCTCCGCGATCCAGATTGACCTCCGCGGGGAGGTCAACCCCCGTGGTGAGAGGGTGAATCCACGTTGTTTTGAGAAATTCAAGAAGAGGACGGTAAAGCTGCCTTGAGATCCACTGGGGCTTGGGCGCGTATTGCCACGATGAGAGTTATCGTTGCGTGAGGATCGCGTCGGGTGAGCGGTCGTCTGGTCTCACACTGGTACTGCGCTGGACAGAAAAAGGGACGGTCGCGCGGCGTTTCAGAGCGCGGAGCGACTGGCAAAGCTCGATGCAGTTGTGTCGATGGGCCGTCGGATTTCGCTGGCCGGCAATGCTGGGAGGTCTGTTGGAGTTGGAGAGTCGACTGGGATGGGCAAGTCGCTGCGGGAGGACGAGAGCAAAGAATGGGAAGATAATCAAGCGAGTGTCACGGAGCTCTGCTGCATGGGGAGACCCGACGACAATTGGAGAGAAAAGAAGGAAAGCAGGAGGGGTGGGAGAAGTTGGACGTGTGCCTGGCAGCCTAGAGCCGGTCTGGGAGGGGAGGGGGTGAGCCGCTCCTTGAACTTTGGAGACTACGACAGCACGACTACGAGTACGCTATCTTGGGCGCGGTCGCCGGGTTGAACACCTAACATGTACCGACCTTACTCGAGGGGGCAGCACACATCTCTCTGGTCCTAGTCATCAATTGATGCATGGCAGAATAATAATATGACTCTCAATCGAGGCAGCTCAACTTGTGAGATGTACGAGAAGGTCGTAGAAAGGATACCCGTCCACCAGTCACCAAGGGCACTGGGACTAGGATAGAGTGCATGGTTCCGCCGCTTGCCATGTATCATTCGCGCACTTGGCACTAGCTTCAAAGAAGATCTGGGTAGCAATCCAGCAGAAGCTCTCTCTACCTTGGAACGGGCCCGTGTTTCGACGAGGTGATTCGCAGACAAGGGAAGTATCAGCCCAGCCAGGCCAGGGTCGTCTCAGTCTCAACTGTGGTGGCTGCGCCCAGGGTCTGGCCCGGTGGAGTGTTGACAGTGAACGGATTTCCGGGATTGTGAGTAACATACTGCAGGTTCCATTTGAAGGTACTCAAGACTCAGGAGTCGGTACTTGGGAGAGTCGGTTCTCGAATAGCTGGGCAGATTTACGAGCCAAATGATTGTGCTTGGCAGGGGATGGTACTGGTGTTAGAGACGAAGAAATGCTACAAGCTATACCTGGTGGTACTTGGATGCTTCCGAACCCCCGGCCTCTTCTTTACATGCTATCAGCCTACGACGAAAGCCACACCTTGTCCGTCTGGGTTAAAGTCCGTACTTCGTGACCTCGTGCGGTACTTTCCTCTGGTCTTTAGAATCTTTACTTGGTATACATCACATCTTGGATGAGATTACTGTGCCTCACTGCCAAGCGCCAGTACTGCCTACTAATGGCCAGCAAGGTCTTTATTGCCTTCGCACCACAGCCTCTCCAACGGGCTTGAGCCCGTTCTGCCCTCGCTTCACTTGCTCTTTGTGCTGGCTACCTGTGCTGATCATAGGGTTAGTCTGTTGTGATTCAATATTTGGGGTTCCAGACCGCATCTCTGATCTACCTCATACCGTTCTTCACGGTCGCCAAAGTTCAATCTGTAAGGATACAGGGACTATCACAGGCTTCACAGCTAACTCAGGTCGCACTTGATGACCAGGCGTTCTCGCCATTTCCAGACCTAGAGTTGTGAATACCGTGAGTCCACAATCAATTCTCGAAGTCCATGGAAGCTTCCGCAGGCTTTGTCCAACAGAGACCGTGTTGTCTCCCAAGGGTCCAGCAATGACACACCCGGGCCGGGTACATGAGCGCAGCAGAAAGAAATTGTCTCGAAGGCATTGGCCAGGTGTCACAGGTCGCTACGGCCAAAAACGGTTGACCAGTATTTGTAAGTGAGACCTATGTAGTATCCACTATCCACCATCCATTCGTGCTCGAGGTCGTTCAACCGCAGAGCAGCTGAATAGTGCGAAAGTTCGTAAGGAAACAAGCAGAGACTCTCAACCCAGCGCACAAGAAAAGATGCGGCCTCACAATTCCACTTACCCTTGTCCAGCAGGATAGGGAGATGTGACCTGTGGCCCTTATGTTGGGCTCTGCATTGCTGCAGTTTGAGAGCTCGACCTTGCGAACTCAAAGATAATGCGCTATGCTCATCTTTGCAAACGGATCAGCTTTATGAGCTTTACGACGGATATCCACCTCCGTCATCGGGGACAAGTCCCAATGCACTCTCGCTGCTGGGTGTCTGGGTGGTCCGAGCCATCGCGCATCGGAGTCGCCGCATGGCAAATGCATGCTGAGGGAAACCTCCTCGAGTGTGTTGGGTTGTTGAGCGAATGTCTCAATTGCTTGGTGGATCTCAGTCCCCAATTCGAACAAATGGATGATGCCTCGCCAGAAATAGGCGGTCAGAGATACTGGTTGGAGGTTATGGCCTTGTAGTAATAACGCCAAAGGTGTCAAGATGACCTCAGAGCGAGTATGCTTAAAAATGTGCATAATTGTGTATACTGTCCAGTGTACACTGTACAGTGTCTGAGTGTACACAAGGACTGAAAGCGGCATTCGAGCCTTACTCAACCGCTAGGGCAGCTACCTCTAAGTATGTACTGTATTTAACTATGTACTATGTAGCGCATTGAATCTAATGAAATGTCTTGAGGTACCCCCAGAGGTCGATTCATTTGATGATGTCTACGGTGTCAACTTCCTTGAACGTAATTGAGGTATCTTATTTGTAAATGAGACATGTTACGACTTACAGTACCTAGGTTCTAGAGGGCCGGTGGATTACATGAGTACAGTTTGCTCGCGCGACTCACAGAGTGAGCAACAGCATGATTACCTTACCAATTTGCTTCTTGAGTTACTAGTACGTTGGAGTCGGTGGGGATCGTCAGATCACCGAAACGAATAACTGGAATCTTGGACAGGTGGCTGTGTTGATGTGTTCAGTGTTGGTGTTGATCGATGTCGCAACCTAAAGTACTTTAAGTACTTTATCAGGCACTAAGTTAGGTAGACCGTTAGTGTAGGTGTACTGACTCTACTGAGTAGTGAGTCACTGAGTACTCGGTAACTGAGCTAGTACTGGCATTCTTTCATAAGCTACACACAAAGCAACCACTATAAGAGGGCGATTACCTCAGGTGGTTGGCTCTGAATTACTTAATCTCACGCCAGACGTGTAATACAATGTATTATAGTTCATGATTTCGACGACAATACTCAAATAACTTAAAGAACGTGGTGCTTTACATTAACGGACCGTCGATCGGACTTGGAGAAAGCCTCGAGCGAGCCGTCAAGGCTTGTTGTTGAACACGACGTGCTATTTTTAGATTCCCGGTCCGAACTCCAGCCGCGGAAACTCCAGTGGTCGGCGGAGTCACTCGCCCGGGCCTTGGGGCGGAACAATCTCCCCATCCACCTGAAGAAAGCACCCGCCAGCGACCATAGATGAGGAAGACTGGAATGTGCGATACTAGTTTCCTGTGATAAAGAAGGAGCGATCTGATCAGCTTGACCCGTCCCAGTCACCTACAATGTACGTCTTGAAGATTTGCGACTCCTACCGTCGGTACAGCTCATGCGTGACGCGTCCTGATGCCTTGATCGGCGCCTCATGGTGAGCAAGTCCTGGCAAGCTTTGGTGGTGGAGTTGCTGGTGACGATCTTCCGTAGCCATGGCACTCAAGGCAGAGAGGGCATGAATTACTGTAAATTCATAGGGTATCTACTATCTACAGTAGATTTCTAGACTAGTATTAGTATACAGTAGAAGACTCTGCGTATCCAGATAGAATAGACTGGCAACATTGATGGCTTCCCACAGTGGTATATCATTATGTTAGGTAGGTTAACTCTAGTGTGGCGACAAGCTTTGACAGTACTGATCTACAGTAAAGGGCGACAAGGCGATCAAGATTTATTCGAGACGATCCTGGAGGCAAGAGAATAAGCCTTGTTGGTGGCGCACACGGAGTGGTTCATGCAATCGCATGCCTGCAACCCCCCCTTGCGACTCGAGCACAATGGAGATCAATTGACGGATGATTCTCCTTTGCGATCGATGTCTGGGTAGCCAGTCACGAAGAGTAGAGCAGCCCGAGTGATGAAATAACCATACAATATGCCTCATACCAGGACTCTGAATACGTATGGGACTTCACTTGCGCAATGCGAGAGAAGGAAAGCGGTGTGGGAACCATAAATAAGGCGACATCCGTGAGTGCCTGCCTCGGCGGCCCCTGGGTCGTCCACGAGTCTCGGAGTCACAATGATGTCTCGGGAACATTTCCACCGCAATATGGTAAATCATGCATCAGGCTCCTTTCAGATCGCTCATGCATAACCTTGTTGGAGTTTGTGTTCTCCTTCCACTATACAGTATACAGTATACAGTATCTACTATTCAGTATTCACTATGTCAGGGAATGCGAATGCCATGTCTAAATAACCCGGGGATTACAAACGGACTACTCCATCTTGGCAGCTTGGCGCTTCTCAGACTATCCGGCGAGACTTGTTTCAAGATAAAACCCGTCTCGAGGATTGGTGGCCTCGAGTGGGTCCAGACCAACGCTTGTGTACTTTGGGCGGATCGGACGGTGGGGCGCTTGCAGAGGTTCTGGATTCCAGTACGGTATTTCGCTACTGTAGTACTGTAGCAAGTGCCAACCCAAACACTGATACAAGGCAGACAGCTTCGTAGATACGAGGCCACGCTTTGCAATCAGTGATGTGGGACTTCTCTTGTCCTGAGGAGATTGAGGATATGCGAGAATTGCCAACATGAAGAAAAAGGATGATGTAGATCGAGTGATGAGAATGCTTGCCAAAGCTTCGGACGGGTGGGTACTGGGTAGCACGAGCAAACAATTCCGATCTCCCTGAGACCCTTTTAGCGAGGCGGATAGACCGACAGCGAGGAGACTTGATACGGCCAAGCCAAGTAAGTCCCTGCCGGATGTCTTAACATTGAAGACCACAATAACTTAGGTCACTTGTGAAGTAATTCCTGCAGAAGTCCTGAGCCCTGACGATGGGCATGTCGCTAAAGGTGTACTCCATGAGTCAATGCTCATCGAAGTTCAAGAGACACTACAAGTACTAAGTACCTAGTAAGTACTAACCAGTACCACTGCCATATACTTACTGGGTCTTCCATACAACACTGAGCACATATTCAATAATGTTGTACTTCCAGGTAAGTTAGGTAGTTACTCACGAGTCTGAGGTACCTCTGGTCCACCGAAAGGAACCCCCTTTTGGCCTAAGGCGCCCAAGTAGGTACTGTCCGACTCGCACGAGACCTCGTTTAACCGCCCACGGAATTGGGTTGGCCCTTGTCCCGGACTATTTCAGCCCGACCATGGGTTTCAGGATCGCCTAGGACCCTCAATCCAGACCGTTGGAGGCAGTGACGGTTCCTGAACTCAAACACAGTGTGGCACTGGGTGTTCGAGTGAAGCTCTAATTTGGAAGCGACGAGCCGTAAAAAAAGGGACAGGAGTCCTGGTGGAGTCACATGTCCTGAGGCCGAGGAAGCAGGAGCCATCGATCTCCACTTATTGCTGGGAGCTATGGGATCCCCTCCTATCAAACCGGAGGATCCAAGACTCTGCATCCTCTGTGCTCCTCGCACTTCCATCCTGCCTGAGGGAAGTGTCTCAGAGTTCCAGTGGCCGCATTGGATCCTCGTCTGAGATCCGCGGGTTCAACTTGATGATCACTTGTCCGTCGGTCGGTTGCCAACCACTCTCAGCGCTCAGTGCAACTGGTAACTACGCGGCAGGCCCAAGGGCAGCTCGCCTCGTCACTCTAGAACAGTACATCACATCCTCGAAGTAAAAGACAAACCCCTCCCGCCCAGCGCCATGCTCCACCGACCGTGACTGATAAATGGATACAGGTGGCATTTATCCAGACTCCAGAGGCACTAATCACCGTCCGGGGTCAAGACAGTGGAAAGATCCCCTCCCGCGATCTTTTGGGTCCACTGTTCCTGGCTTAGTCCGACCAGAGTCGTGGGCACGGGCGCTTCCACCCTCTCCCCTCTCTGTCTCTGCTGATTGAAGTGTGATCTGTTTGTCTTTCCTTTCATCTCCTTTGTGTATGCCTCAGCGTTGGCAAACTATCAACTGCAAAGCAAATTGGTGACTCTGCAACCGGCCCGTAGACCGACGTTTGCATATCCGTCACTCCAGCAGTTCACCTCCCCACCGGCGATTCTCCGTGCATCTTCAACCGCCGAAAGCGCTTTCCACCCCTCGCCTCCGCGACACTTTCCCCCGCTATTAATACTCGACAGTGCATACGCACGCCCTGGCGTGTGTTTGGGATGTCATAGTCGGCTCCAGGATCACGCTCAGACAACTTTGCTTCACGCACTAGTCTTGGCGGAGTTGGAGTTGAACATTGTCGTGGTCGCGTGTCAATTGTACTGATCGAGACGGCTGCAGTTACCGAGGCAAGGACCCGTGGCTGTCGCAAGAGCTCACTGCGATCGGCCACCTTTTGGCGAGAACTGGTGTCCCGACCGACCACTACGAGCGGTGCAGGCTGTGTGATTGCGATGCTCATTGCTGGGAATCCGCGTTAACGACCCTACAAAGTGTTTCCGAGCGACATGTCTGCCAATGACCCTGTCGCCATTACGGCTGCCGAGCAGCCCAAGCCTGTCAAGGAAAAGAAACCCAATTGGAGGGGGAAACTCTTCTCCAAGGACAAGAAAGACCGGTCAGCGACCGATCAACAGCAGATTGAAGACTTTCTGGCCTCAAATCGGCCGATCACCGAGACGGTCACCTCCCCGAAAGCGGATTCAGGAGCCGCCCGTCCAGTAATCTCAACTCGGCAAATCCCTTCATCGAACAATATCTCCCAGAGCCCAGTCGTATCGATGCGTTCGCCTTCCACAGATGATTACACTGCATTTGATCTCCAACACTCTTCCTCGCCGCTTCAGCGAGACGCATACTTCTCTCGGGAGTCTTCTCAGGCCCAACTTTCCTGCCGTAGTATCAGCAGCAAGAACATACTGAATCCTCAGAAAGGAAAGGATCTCCATGTCAGATTCTGCAATTTGGCTCCGCAGATTATTGGGGAAGGTGGTGATGAAACAGACACCCCGACCATCGAGATCTCTCGCGCACGACAACAGCGTCGCGATTCACCCTCAATAGCTCAACCATCGCCTGATGCGCAGCGCTCCTATTTGCCGACCTTGACACTGGACACTTCACTGGGGGACGTCGATGGGCGAGGACCGGCGAGTCCAGAATCGCCCGGGCGGCCTCCTCTCATTCAAAACCCGCTTGACGCAGAATTTCTTAGTACACTACAAACGCAGAAGCCGGGATCTCGACTCTCTTTCCGAGGTTCCGCGGAATCGCATGCATTGGCAGAACGCGTCCGAGATCAGATGCAGGCGGAGGAAGCTCGAGCACTGCAGCAGCACCGCATCGAAGATGATCTCCTTTCACCTACAGATGAAAAAGCTGATGTTGGAAGCGGTGATATGCCCCCCGCATACAGTTCGCAAAGTCCAAGCGGGTCAAGTAATGGAGCATCGCCTCATCTGACGAATTCTTCTTCAGTTGGGTCCGTCTTTCAACCAAGACAGGGATCGCGCAGTCCGGATGACTCGCGAATCCCCCCTTAACCTCACTTCCGGCAGCTCGATGAGTCCTCCACCCAGAAAGCTGACCATGCCCGGGGACGATTCGCCTCACGCCTCATCCGTCCGGGAAGCGCAACGCGCTTCTCAGCATTTGGGCACAGATGGAGCTACGATGCAGCCTGGCTCTTCTGCTGCCCGAGAAACGTCTCGCAGTCCGCAGCCCCCGAAATATTCCCTGCGCTCGCTAGCCAGCCAGGTCGGTGAAGTCGCTTTCAACGAATTCAAAAGTTACATTGAAACAGTTGCCAGGAACATTCACGAGGCTGCAGAACAGGCCAAGCCTGTGGCGGAGACGTCTCTGTCAGAATGGATTCGGGCAGCCATCTGGTGGTTCCTGCGCGGGAGGTCGCAGTTGGAATTACACGCACGGTCCCGCAACACTGCACCAGCAATTCATGCAAAACAGGCTATCATCAACTTGGGGAAGGCATTGTGGATCAACGAGAATGTTGTCCCCGGCCACTTCGAACTCGCCCGATATGGCTCTATCAGCGTCGATGCGATCTTGGCCATCGCTAGTACTACCGGCCAAAAGGAGACGGTTGAACTTTTGAGCGCTCACGTCACAATGATGAATCACCTTCGCTCTCTTTCCTTGTCTATCAAACGCAACAACATCCTTGCCAATACTCTTGCAGAAAGTGATCATTCTCTCAGCCAGCTGGACGTATCCATTTGGGTGCGATATCCCTACTTCGCTTCGGATGTGTCTGCGGTCCTTTCTGGGAATGCTTCGCGATCCATGTTAGCCGAGACGTCCCTCAAACCTCGGAGTCTGGTGAACATGATGCCATTGGGAGACACCAGCCAGTTCTTCACCTATGGGACTATGTTTGTGCAAGCCTATGTCAGTTCGAAAGAAGACGAGAATCAGCAGTACGCTATGCCATGCGCGCTGTCAATCACGCGTGAGCGGTCAGATTGGTATGTATGTACGACGATTACGAGTCAAAGTCCGCTCGTCAATGTGATGATTCAGGGCGATCGCAAGCTGGGGTCTACCTGGGAAGACGTCGAATGGGACGAGCGAAATCACTCTATGCGATTGAAGCTGCCTCGGGGTTTCGAACTTGATATTTTATTTTCGGACGACGATTTTAGAACCCTGTGGAACATCGTCAAGTACATGCAGAACTCGGAAGCGAGCCTGTCTCCCGAGGCCGGCGAGACCGTCGTCTTTGAGAACACCGTCAAGTCATTTCAATATATGGACCCCGCTACACCTCCTGCATTCCCGGCGGAACCCGCAGACAGATGTCGGATACGTGTCTTTGAACGACAAGTTACAATTACCGAAGGAACCGGATCGCGAAAGGCTCACCGTGGTTTCCGTCTGAGCGTGTTGACCAGTCCTAAGCTCAAAACAATGAGCAATGTGACCCACCGTCTGGGTGTCGGTTGGCCGGTGGTGTTCGGTCTATTGCGCGGAGAAGATGGCAGCCCTGCCCTTCTTTTGAAGGTGACCGAAGATGGCCGCACACGATCGTTGTTGATGACATTCCATGAAGTTGGGGAGCGAACAGAGATGCATTCCCTACTTTTGAGCATGTTGCCGCGCGACCAAGAGACGGTTACACGAGAACTGCCATTGCGATCCTATGCGCTCGAGGAGCCGGCAAATCTAGCGAGTGGTCGTCCTCCTCATACGCATTTGCAATTCCCCGCCAGTCATGCCAGTGTCATTGATCAAGAACACCACCTCGTCAAGCACGGATACGGCCCAACGATTCTGTCTGAGCATTTGCGCGCTTTTATTGCAACTGAATGGGGCTCTGTAACCGATCGGATTAACCTGGGTAAGAATGCCCAGTGGCCGAGGATACTTGATTTGCTGCTGACCATATATATATTTTTATAATAGGCCCTGGCGACCTGAGGCTCGGCTTAGATGTTAAAAGGCCCACTGGCATGAGCTTGTTCCGCCCCCCACAGCACGATCTGACCATATCTTTGGCGGACAATTTGATTCGACCCGACATGCCTGAGCAGGTCTCGGAGCTTTTGCAAAGGTCGACATCAAAAGCACTGATTCGTCGATTCGATTTCACGAATATTCAAGGTGTGTAGACTGGACCTGGAGCACTTTCCTTGAGATGGTTACTGATACTTGACAACGATCTAGATTTGCATGCTTTCGAAGAAGCTGTAACTGGGTTCAAAGTCATCTATGACGGGTATGTTAAGCTCTCAGCGTCTTTCTAAGGAAAGAAATACCTGGACTAATTCTATCAATAGAATTGCTTCATCATTCACTATTTCTCGCCGCCGCATGGTGGTGCCGATCTACAAGAAATGGGAAGCAAGCTCGGCCCGCATTCAAATCGTGCAACGCGAGAAGATCATCCAGCTCATTGCTTTCTTCAGCGACTTCCAGCACGGCACTTGCATGAACTTTGTTTTGAAGGGCACCGATCAGATAGAGTCCTTCACACGCTCTGGCAAGTTTGGCATCCGCATTATTGACGCCAAGTTTGCGTTGCCTAGCAAGGAAGAAAGTGCCGCCTCGGGCTTTGTCTGCTTGGACATGCCTGAATATCCAATTGAGCACGACGACATTGCCATTGCTTTTGACAAAGAACCCGGTTAGTACTCCCGAGGTGTTCTTTCTTGGGCTGATGTGATGTCATCACTTTGCTAACGAACTTACCCTAGACCGCAATCATTTCAAGACAGTCCTGCCTGGCTCTGTACGAGAACCATCGCGTATGGCCTCACTTCGCCGATGAGCTCGGTAGATTCTTACCGCTTCTTTGTATTTCTGACATGTTTTATCGATCAACTGTGATACCCCCAACCCTCTCTTCTCTTGTCCAGGCTGTTGTCCCATCTTCATATTCTCCAACTGGCTCGGGCCAAATGCTCGAAACGTGCCATCTGCCCCCACACCACGTGACCGGATTGCGCACCGCTACCCCTCTCTACCCTCGGGGTCGTCTCCGCGTCGCGATAAGAAGATCTTGCGATTTTTGGTTTATCGCACGCGGGGCTCTGCCTTGTTCTCTCTTCTTCTGCTGCCTTATCTCTCCCCTTGTGCATATCCTGCCCTGTGTGATATGTTTTCTCTCGCGATGGCGCAGAGTACTGGTACCTCCACCCGATCATTGCACGCAGATGACGTGCTAAACGTCGTCACTGATGTGGCTCCTCCAATGCATCTGTCTACGACTTTCCGTTACACGGCGAATCCGTCGGCACTCGTCCCGTGGGCTAACCTTGACCATGTATGCCAATTCTCACAATGATATCTCTTGTCTGATTCCCACAAAATTCTACTATGTGCTATCTGCCTTTCTTGGCATTTGCTCCACTGTATAAAATTGTCACAGCTAGAATCGTTGGATCTGTCTAATCATTCACTGTTGATCTAACCATGTCTGCGATATACTAGTCGAGCGGGGATCCCACAACTCACACCTACTCACGAGTCTCCGCGCCGAGTTCAAGTCGATTCGAAACGATTCTTTCATCCCTTCTGAACGGCAAAGCGGTCGCCTATTCCTCAGGGCTCTCTGCGCTCCATGCGGCGCTCACTCTCCTCAACCCTCGCCGCATCTCCGTTGGAGAAGGCTATCACGGCTGCCACGGAGTCATTGCCCTCTTCAGCCGCATGACGGGGCTTCAAAAGCTGCCGCTAGACTGTGCACCCAACGATCTGCAAACCGGCGATGTCATCCTCCTCGAGACACCGGTCAACCCCACTGGAATCGCCTTTGATATCTCGGCATTTGCGGAAAAGGCCCATTCCCAAGGGGCCTATCTCATTGTCGACAGCACATTCGCCCCTCCCGGCCTCCAAGACCCGTTCCCCCTAGGCGCAGATCTCGTCATGCATTCGGGCACCAAGTACTTTGGCGGACACAGTGACCTTCTCTGTGGCGTGTTGGCCACCCAGCGTGAAGACTGGGCCCAACAACTCCTGACGGACCGGATCTTCATCGGCTCCGTCATGGGCAACATGGAGTCCTGGCTAGGCGTGCGGAGTCTCCGCACACTGGAAATCCGTGTCCAGCGCCAGAGCGAAAGCACATCCCGTCTCGTCTCATGGCTACACTCCGCCCTGCATGCGTCGAATCCCGCGCGTGGCTCGGATGAAGTCGCCATCCAGACCGTCCTGAAGGACGTCCTTCATGCCTCGGTGCAACCAGAAGTCCAGGGTGACTGGTTGAAGAAGCAGATGCCGAATGGATTCGGACCGGTGTTTTCCATCGTGATGAAGGAGGAAAAGATGGCCAGGGAGTTGCCGAGTCGATTGCATTTCTTCCAGCATGCGACTAGTCTAGGAGGGGTCGAGTCGCTGATTGAGTGGAGGACGATGTCAGATGCGAGTGTTGATCGGCGATTGTTGAGGATTAGTGTTGGGTTGGAGAATTGGGAGGATTTGAAGACGGATCTGGGCAGGGCTTTTAGAGAGCTGGCTGATTTGTAGACCACCGACCGCATTTTTAGACTCCAGAGCGCTGCTGTACCTCTGTATGCCTATTCGCTTAGGTTCCAGCATTGCATGCATCATGAATCTCTACCACCTCATTTATCTGAGAAAACCCCAACCAATTTTTGATAAAGCTGTAGACAATGGATCAAAGTGGTTGATTGGGCGAAGCATTCATCCATCCGGTCTATGGATATCGATCCGAAGAAACGAAGTGCTATACATTCAGAACCTTCATCCATGCAAGCGGATAAACCGGCAACCCGTTGCACGGAGATCAGTTATGAACGGCTATTTCTAGGTATCCTTTCGAGCTTGGTTTCCATTTCCTGCCAACGCATCCACTTCAGATCTTTCAAGTCTTCGATTGAAAAATGTTCATGTTTGTAGGTATTAAAGTCTTTAAAGTCTCGACACTGCCAAAGTCTACATTTAACATGAAAATGAATATTGGTGAACACGTCTTTTACCTTCAAATCAATGACTCCTCCATTGAAGAAGAGAGACGGACCTCAAGAGACCCGCACACATATACATACACACACACGCGCGCGCGCGCACAGACGCTCCCAACATGTGTTGTTCAAATCAAATACCTAAATCCCTTCCTCATCTGCAGCGATTCATCCGCACTATCCATAAACACCACATTCCCATCTCCGGCTCCATGTGCACCTCGTCCCTGCTGACCCTGCGCAGGAGGATGCTCCGCATCCCACTCCATCTCCTGCTTCTCCAACTTGGTATTCAAATTGACCAGGATCATACGGAACAGCCAGAACCCAATCATGGTGACGCCATACATGGCCGTCACAATGCCGTAGCTCTTCCGGTAGCCGTTCTCCTTGAGGTCCCAGACGTACGAGCCCGCCACGTTGCCAAGCTGACTGAAGGCGTTGATGAGGGCGAGGGCGACGGCCCGCTTGGCGGGGGTCGCGGGAAGGAGGAGCTGATCCAGGAGTAGAAGACGATGAAGCCGGCGTAGGAGCCGGCTTGGAGGAAGAGGGCGATGTAGCGGGCGGCGACGTTGAGGGTGGACATGCTGATTATGAAGCCGACGATGCCCATGATGATGGGGCCGTAGATGTGCCAGATCTGGGTTCGGGGTGGAGGGTGTGAGTGGGAAGGAAGATCTGGGAGGGATCAGAGGATGAATGGTGAACGAACCTTTTCTTGGGTGCGATCGGCGTGCCAGGCGTTGAGCACGGAGAAAAGACAGGAGAAGACCCATGGGGGTGCACTCATCAGGAGAGTGGGCACGTAGGAGAAGCCAAGAGTGCCGGTAAGAGTGGGCTAGAGATGGAAGAAAAGAAGGGCGAGTTAGTTTATCGTCAGAAGGACAAAGGGGATGCGGTTGTTGCTCTTTCGCTGAGGGTAGGGGCTTAGGGGAACTGTGAACGTACGAAGAAGGCATTGAAGGACAATCCAATAACGTAGGCAGTAAAAGCCAGCATCATCAAGTAGATCTTGAAATCCTTCAGAGCCATGATCAGACCGCTAAAGGCACTTTGCTCCTCCGAGTCCGTATCGGCCTCGCCCACGTCCTCCAGGATTCGCAGCTGCGCAACGAGGAGCTCCTCCTCAGTAAAGCCACGCGAGTTGGTGGGCAAATCAGGCAAGATGAACGCGGCCGAAATGGCAATGGTCATGGTCACGGCACCTTCGATCCAGAAGAGCCATCGCCAGGCGGCATGGCCCAAAGTGCCTTCCATGTTGGACAGCACACCGGCCGCGACGAGAGATGAAAAGGCGTTGGAAATGAGGTTACCGCAGAAGAGCAGCGCGTTACGGGTTGTCAGTTCGCGACGGGTATACCACTTGGACAAGATGAGCAGAGCCCCCGGCAAGAAGGCGGCCTCGACGAAGCCCAGCAAGAAGCGAATGGCCACCATATGGCCAAAGTTTCCTGCCAGACCCGAACACGTGGAGATCAATCCCCAGAGAGTCATGGAAACGGCAATGTACAACGAGGGCCGCTGAATGCGGTTGATGAACATGTTGGAGGGGACTTGCATCAGAATGTATCCGACGTAGAGGATACTTAGACAGGTCGAGTACTGTGTATCCGTCAAGGAGAGATCTTTCTGCAGTCCCTTGAGACGGGCCGCTGAGATGTTGTTACGGTCGAGGTAGTTCATGATATAAATGAGCACGAAGAGACTGCATCGCGCGTCTAGCTTTCGCATGAGGCTCTTCTCGACCACGGCACGACGGGCCGGGTCGATGTGAGGCACCACGTTGGGATTTTGCATCTCCACCACATGTTCGCAGCTCTCGATGCGCTCCTTTTCGACGTCGAGGTCAATCCGGTCATGATGGTGATTGGTGTGATTGTGATTGTCCTTGTGATTTCCCCTTGAAATGTCGTCTGCCATGATGTGTAAAGGGGGAGAGAGAGGAAAAGAAAAGGAAAAAAAAAAGCAAAAGAACTCGTCAGTCGTTGGTCTCTTGAATCGTGATTCTCGTCAGACCCAGCTCATATGTTTCACCTTCACTGGCTAGCAAGAAGGGAGGACACGGTATCGGAGGGACAGTTTCAAGAGAATCCCCGACATGAAAGAAAAAAATGAAGATGAAGAGGAAGGACAAGATTGAACCTGTCCGGGGGAGGATTTTCAATCCCTTTTTTAGCCTGGTGCCCTGCCCCAGGTCTACCCCACCATCTCCATGCCGCCATGCAGCCATGCAGCCATGCAGCCATTGAAGCCCTTGAAACCCTTGAAGCCCTGGCACACGTCCGGTTGCGTCCAGGTCGGGATCACCCCAAATCGGCTCGAGTGTGACCCCCACGCCAAGCATGGGGGGGGGGGGGGGTCTTTGTTTTTTCTCTTCTGGCCAGGCACGGGGCCCGGGGATACTGGGTCTGGTGGAGCTCGGTTGAGCAAGAGAAATTCGATCCATCGGATTTATTGGTTCACTGCAACAGTACAATACCGATATGTTGGAAGCTGGAGGAGAGCTGGGGCTGGAGTTGCCGAATCGCTCTTTCTGTTTACCAACGGGATGTGTTTGGAATGACCCAGGAAAGAGATGAGTGACCTGAACAGGGATCAGCTGGACAGAGGCTGAGAGCACCGCTCTTCGTACGCATTGATCTTGAAGTACTAGTGAATCGTGATGATCCATGCAAAGATACCGTGCTCTATCTTTTGACATGGGGGTTTGCACGTCCAGCCGGTCCGCGGGGAGAGTCCCCGTGCTTCGGCGGAGAAAAACGAAACCGCCCTTTTTCCTCCCCCGGTTTCCCGACACAAGCCGTCCCCCGAGTCGGGCGGAGACTCTGGGATGAGTCTTGGATTCGTGATTGGGGCATCGGCCCGTAAGGGTACGACTACGTTGGGTGTGGGGGACCAGAAAACGCAGAAATCAGAATCGCTCGCGTTGCGCGTGCCGCTTTCCGCTTTTCGGCCTCGGCGGATCCGTACCGTTTCGGGCTCGGCTTGGGAGTTGGGCTGGTTCGAGCACAATCATACACATTAAGAATAAGCAGTCCGTCAGTGTATGGTAGTATGGTAGTATGGTAGTATGGTAGTATGATAGTACACCTGGAGGACTGGACTTTGGTTTCGACCTTGAGGGTACTGATACATTTCTCTGCTGACAAAAACCCCGATCAATACTCCCGTCTGAAGCGCAATGGAAGCCGAGAAGCTGTCAGGCATTGCCGATGTGGTAGACCGTCACGGTGTAACCCCCACACTACGCTGACGAAGAGAAACAGAAACTTGGAGAAAACCCACGATCCCCACAGAAGGGATGGCGCTCATCACGTAGGGAAGGATTTCCCCGGCTGTTCACCCCCAGCATAGTAAGTATAGGAGTAGCCCATTGGCTCGTACCGAGTACCATAAATAGGCTGGGGGTTGTGTGGCATTCGAAGCACACCTCTTCGTGATGGATGGAAGAACGATCAGCCCTCGACGTGCGTGGGGGGCGGGGGGAAATGGAAAGACTGCAAGTCACGCCACTTGACCTTCCCGATTGAGAGAAGTCGTTGAATCTGGACCCAAATCCAGATCACTCTCTTTTACCGTGTACAGGCATTTGCATCTTTTCTTTTCCAAATTGACTATCATACGCCCAGCCCGAAAAGGAGAAACCCCAGCTTTTGTTGACTCCTTTCTTCTCCTGTGGAGGAGGAAATGTTGACAAGTAAATCAGATGATATCATTCAACAGCAAAGGCGTCTCGGTGCTAAGGTTGAGGTAAGGTTTTCCCTGCCGTCTGGTAGGTGCTGACCTCAGAAACCCGGGCCGTCTCGTGTGCATTCGCATCGAGTCGATACTGCACCCAAGCTGGAGAAGAAACGTCTACCGGCCTAGGTATGAGGTTGTATATGATTCTTCATAAGCATGTACGACTGCTCAATGCTTTGACCGGGTCGTGAAGTCAACACCGAGTCTCTCTCCCTGTAACCACGTGAGACATCATGTTACCGTCCACTAAGATGGACTTACATAATGAGTTCGCCAGATGACCCAAACAGGGAAAAGCCTGACGCTCACAGATTGCTCACAGATTGCTCACAGATTGCTCTGCCGTGCTGCCTATTCGATCAAGTTATATCATTCCCCGTGCCCCGTGTTTTCCCAACCTGGTTCCATCAATTTGAGCCCCCACTCCCGAGTCCAAACCAAGCTCACCGACCAGGATCATTATCATACGCCTCGGTCATCATTTTCTCATGGCTTGCTCCGGCTTTCTGGGGGCGTGGGTTCCCCATGCTATATGTGTACTGTGTACACAGTACACAAATGGAAAAGAAAAGTGTAGGTAGTCGGGTCTCACAAGAAATAACTGGGATTCCCCCGCAACTCTCCCCGACAACAATAAAGGTCTATTTGACCAGAAGAGCGTGACTTGTAAGCTTCCAGAAAGAGCGGCCACGCGACAGCGAATCTGGGGAGGTTCGGGCATGACCGGCCAATCTCTTCGGGGCCAGCTTGGGACGGCTCGGCTCCCCCGACTGACGTACTGGATGACTGCATGTCTCTTGCCGAGCCCAGGTACAATATGAGGTGTGAGGTGTGAGGTGTGAGGTGTAGATGAGGCCATCTCTTTTAGGTCACTAGGTTAGTAGGTAGTAGGTACATACTTTCCTTCGTACTCGGTAGGATAAGGTACCATGCTACAGGTGTGAAGATATTGCTCCAGGCCTACCGTCCTACGATCCATGGATGTGCGAGTCTGCCAATTTCCAAGTAACACTCGATTTTCTGCTTGAATTGATGGAGATGGCTTTTCAGAATAAAAGGGCTCTCCTACCACTGTGTGAGTTGGTGTCCATCTCAAAGTGTCTGGCATGTCTGCTGAATGCCGCCCGATGCTCGGCCTAAGCCGTGCGAGTCCAGATCCCACGCTAACCCAATTCATCATCCGCCCGGTTTGGCCCCGCATCTCGACCCCCGCCGCCTTCATCCCACATGATGTTGCCTCAACTGTCGTGCTTCAGTTTACAGCCTCAGCACCCTGGCAGCCAGCAGATCACTACTCTTCGAAATATGGCTACGAATACATCCCCATCAGCCGAAATTCCAGCCACGGGCTCATTTACCATCTACTACTTTGCTACTGCCGCCCAATTCACGGCCAAACACGCGGAGCGTCTCCCCGCACCACTTCCGTTGTCCCAGCTATACCCATTGCTGGAGGAGCGATATCCGGGACTCCGAGACAAAATCCTCGGGAGCTGTGGGGTCAGTCTCCAGAACGAATACGTTGATATCGAAGAGGACGGAGAAAGAATCATTCAAGCTGGAGATGAAGTCGCAGTCATCCCGCCCGTTAGCTCGGGGTAAGAGCGGCCGCGAGTCAGGGATTGTGGGGGTCGCACCTGGTATTGCACTTGGTCTCGCAACGTGGGTGATATAGCCATGTTTCATCTCTGAATTGATAGTTGGGTGCAACCAAGGGTCCACACTTCCTCTGAGTACATTTCACCTCTTCTAAAATGATTTCGATATTCCTGTGGTCGTGGACAACGAACTAAGTGAGATGATGATGATCAAAAACAGGCCTTGACGAGGTTGTCTAACATCCTGGGATGACACCGCCGTGTTTGCAGTGCCTTCACTCCCAATCAAGAATCTTTCGTGCTCGGGGCCAACTTACACGGGTGCCATCTCTTCCTGTTTGAGAACACGACGTTCCTGCCCATCGGCCATTCTCGAACATAACCGCGAAAGAAGATATATGAAGATGTATCGTGTCGTCAATCCTGGACAAGGTGTCTGGAGCAAACCAATTGATCTCTGATTCACCCAGGCCTGAAATAGTGGCTCATTCCGTCAATCTTGGCATATTGGCAGACACGGCCTTTTGGGCGCTTTAACCTCTGCTGTTCGAGGCACATTGAGGCCTCTTAATTGCCAGCAGTCTGACTTCTGTTCGTTTCTGACTTTAAAAGCGACCAGACCTTGCAAAGTTGACTCGCAATAGTACACAGTTGCATCCCATGTCCTCAGCCCCGCGAACAGTGATAAAGCCGAGGATGAACCACGTGGGGGAGAATCAAACGGCGAATATACGGTTCACTCAAGCAAGTTTCGTTGAAATGTGCTGTGAACATGCTGTATCTCAACCACATGAATAATATGTTGATTCCCTCTGATCTAAAAGTGTGACTCCATGAAAGATGCCACATCCTCGCACTCCAGCACCTCTCGCTTTATCGTTGATACATCACTTACTCTCAACTATACTAAACCCCCCTCGCAGCCATAAGCACCTCTTCCTCGTAGATAGATGGCCCTGTATCTCTTGATCGAGTCACAGAAACTCCGCAACCGAAATATATCCTCTCAACTTCAGAGAATCCGATCATTTCTCAGCATCAACATTTGCCTTTTTCTGGCGCCAGAGACAAACGTTGCAAAGAAACGAAAAGAAGAATAGAATACTACAAATCGAGCCACAAGAAAGTCAGCACTAGCTACGGGCGCCATTTCGTCTCGAGTTCAACCCGGGGGTTGCATTGGAGGACTCACCACAAGGCAATGCTCAACCCCCAAATCGCTTTCGTCTCCAAACAGATCGTCTTCGAGGCCCCGATCCAAGACGCAAAGTCGATCTTACCACTGAAACTCGCCACCACATTGGACAGACGCGATGCAAACGCGTAGACGGTTGCGTCTTGGAACCCAAGCGAGGAGAGGCCGGAACATTGTAGATACGAGAGAGGCTTGCCCATGATCACTGCGACGACGATGAGGGCAATCAGAAGGCCCAGGTCGAGAATGGCGCAGGGTAAGAAGGGGAGGATGTCGTCGAAATAGAGGATGCCGGTGATGATGCAGTAGATCACGGCGATACTGGTCTTTACAATCGAATGGAATATGGATTAGAGGGATTTCTGCGACATGGACCCATGGATTGAAGGGATACGTGAGGGGGGAACTTACCACACTGATGGTGCCGATTAAGACGTCGGGCGGTGTTGCATTGTTGTTGACTATCGAGGCGATGAAATTGGCCGTCATGCCGATGATGGCGATGAGTGAACACGTTTGGAACAGGCGCGCGAGTTGGAATGTTGCACCGAGAGCTCCGTAGCGAGGTGCCATATTGATTAATTCGGGAGGTATCGAGTGATTCCAAGAAAAAAAAAAGAAAACAAAAGAAAAAAAAAATTGAAGATGGTGACAGTGACAGAGCAAGATAGGTGGTTTGAATGAAAGATCTGTGTGTCCCGGTATAGATCCGCTCGAGAATAGCACCGTTCGAGGACAATCGATGAAGTTGATAAGAGGTTAGATTTGCGGTAGATTCGAAGAAATGAGTGGAAAATTGGCAAGATTGAAGGACTTGAAAAATGTCTATGAAAGTATGAAGAGAATGTAGCGCAATGAAGAGATGAAGAGAATGAGAATGAGACTAGCTAGCCCTGGAGATTCTGCTTCTTCCTGTCCTTTTATTCAAGACCAGCAACAAAGAATCTCAAAGACAATCGCCATCAGCATAATTGATGCTACACTTCAGTGATCTAGACCAACACAAAATTAGCAACATCCATTAAGATCTAGATCCTCACAATCAAAGCTACTACCTCTCTTTCAGCCTTTGTTAGGCGGACACGGGCGCCACATGCAACAGACCCCAAGCTCCTCGAATAAGGTAGCTGCAGCTCGAAAACAACGAGCATTATGTAGTGAATGCAGGTCTTCCGAATCGGAACAAAAAAAAGACCTCCCTCAACCAACAAATCTCCAGAGTCTAAGGTAATCCATCCACTGCGGCGCTTCGTGCAGGAAAACATTCCAAGCCCTCGGGCGCGAGCTTGCAGCCACTCAGGGCTGCAGAAGGACAGACATCAGACGGGATCTGAGCCGGGCGCCTACTACACACATGAGTTATGGCTCAGCATCGGAGGCTTTTAAGGCTGAGGAGAATTGACTCTGATGCACGGTCGATCAATGTTTCATCTGTTAGGGACGGGTTTATTGTTTGTGCTTGTAATTGGTCGAAGTAGTCCCTGGAGGGTAAGGTAGATTTAGGTTGTTATCCTTGTTGGGCTTCTTATACTTGAGCGCATACAGACAGCAGGCGGCTGTATTATGATATGTCGATCGCACGCGGCTTATGCGCTCCTGATTAGGGTCTAGATCCCTTGAACGAGGTAATTAGAGCATTTGAAAACAGCCGCATCGATTGATTATTCATTGCGAAGTTCCAAGCAGAAACCCCAAGTCATGTAGAAATTTGAAAATGCCACGGCCATGGCAGTGCCAAATCGCAGTACGAAAGCGACCATCTTAGCGGAGGAGTGATCTGACTCACACGACTCTTTTCGCCGCTCCTGCAATTCTCGACGAAATCTGCTTGATTCGTCTCCGAAACGAGGGGAGCGTATCTTCAATCGTATCTTGTGGTCGACGATTTCCACTTCGGCGAGGATGAGCTGAACCCCCTCAAGAATCAGACTCCCTGCTAGTTTGTTGTTGCAAAAACAGAGAGTCGAGTGCGAAGGTCTTCCATCCTCTGACAATTACAAGAGCTCCAGAACTGACATTAGAATACCCATGGTTGCGGTGACTCTGCCTTGCACCATGAGTTCTTCGTCAGATGGGTGGACGGCTCGGTGGATTTGGTGAAGTATTGCGGGAAGCAACATTACAGAGGGTGGTCAGGGATATGGAACAATCACTACAACCTCCCAATCTCAGCCCTTTCACTCAGCGTGTGCTTGCTGGATGAGCGTCATAGGATTGTTTGAGATCAAACTCAACAAAGTCAGGTTTCAGCCGACATTCACGCACCAGTATACACCATATACGATATACTACAGAAATCCTTCGCCCGAGTGCCTGGAGACCTCGTCGTGGATCACAGGCATGATGTGGTCTAGTTGAGTCTCCAACCACCACTCGTTCTCTTTTGGAAGAATCCCTCCGGATCATAGCGCAATCGTGCCTGCAGCGCGGATGCTTTCGAAGCAGGATCGATACGACCCCAATAATCCTGGCGGAAATAGGCATCGTTCATGAACAAGGGCCTATAGACATCAGGGAGGAGACCCTTATCAACATTACTCTGGATGAAATTGTCCATTCCTTGATAAAGTTGTTGATTGGCTTGGTCGATCTTGGCGTCGTCGAGAGCGAGGGACCAGGAATAGTCGAGTTCGACGAAGATGTAATTCGTGTCGGTGGGAACGTTGAGAAGATCCTGGATGTTTGAATGGGCGTGTTAGTCGTCGGAAAGACCCCCCCCCCTGGGATTACCTACTGAGGATCACTACTTACACCACCGCGAGCCTTGGCCTTTTCAGAGAAGCTCTTGGGAACGGGCTGGAAGGCAATGGATGCAATAAGGCCTGTCACTTCAAGGACGGACTTTGAGACCTCGAACCAGTGATCGTAGATATCCTGGATCGGTCCAACTCCCACTGTGCTATTTGGCACCGGCGTCGTTTCTGTGGCAATTGAGTATCGTTGTCCACTTGAACAACTCTGTCAGTATGATTGGGGCTCCCAATATCTGGCATAGAAGATGACGTACTGCAGGATGAAAAAGTCGTTGTGTTTGAGCAGATCATAGTAAGAGTCCCATGTCTTGGTCGTGGAGGTGTGTCCAATTGCAGTAAATTCGTCAAACACTCCCGCGGGGGGCTCGGGGCCATCGTAGAAGAGGAACATGATCCAAGTATTCAGGAGTAAGCCATGCTCCGCGGTCAATATGATCGCCGCTTTGTCATCAGGGTAGTTGTCCACAAAATTCCGGACTGCTTCCAGCAGTTTGGGCGTTTTGTCCGCCGTGAAGACGTAGTTGCCGCCCCAGACTTTGCCGATAGGATGGGTTTGCATGGTGTAAGATGTGACAATTCCAAAATTGTTGCCACCACCCTTAAGAGCCGCAAAGAGATCTTGAGAACCATTAGATTATGGAATCGATGGTCTGATGAAAGGGGTAAAACCACTCGTACCTGTGTTTTCCTTTTCACTAGCATTGACCACTGTGCCGTTGGCCAGCACAACTTCGTAATTGACCACATTGTTGGCAGCCCAGCCATACTGAGTGCTCAGGAAACTCATACCACCTAAGATAGTGAACTGAGTCAGAACTAGTCTCAATTTCATGTGCAATGGCAGGCCTCGTCTTACCTCCCAATATATACCCTCCAATACCCACACCACCAAGACGACCTCCAACGACAGCACGACCAGTCCCATCAAGTCCCTTTTGAGCCTCCTCCCATGACAGACCCGGTCCAATCTTGGCGGTCTGGTCCTCGGGTATGTAAAAGACTTGATCGAGGTTCTTGGTCGACACCAACAGACCGTCCTGGATGCTGGCAAAGCCGTTGTTCGGCATGTGGCCGCCGGACTTGACAGCAAACAATGTATCGACATTGTGCAATTCTTGAATTACCTGCGACATCTCGGCAGCGCTAGAAGGTGCGGCAATGCATTTCGGCTTGAGGTCTCCGCATGCCGCAGACCAGTAGTTAGTCAAGTCGGCTGCATAGCTGATCGAAACGGGATATTCGATGTCGATGCCGCCGGCTGCAAGCGTTTGACAAATGTCAGCGAGGGCGACAGGAGTCAATGCAGCTAGTGAGAGCGCAATGGAGCGCCAACCGAAGTGGAGAGGCATGGTCAATGAAAGAGATCTTCAACAGTACACACTACACAGGCCTTTGTGCACGAAGATTGCAATTCCAGTAATCGGCCAGACACGCTTTGAGGGTACCGTGGCGCAGACAAGACGCAGCGCAGCAGCAGACTATGGCCAGGGGACGACAGCCCTAATAAACTCTACATCTTCGGGCTGACGCTTATGTGGATGAATCCTTTAGCCTCGATAGTCTGTCCATTGCGTGGGTCGGAAGTGCGGAGCCCCCGGGAAAGTGATCCACGAGTCGACGATGCATGAACTCAAACGAGCTAGGAGAAAAAGAGTTGGGAGCCGGATAGGTAAACCTATCCCTCAATCAAGACACTGGCCCTCTCGGACGAACTTTAGCCCATGTTCACAGCCTGGACTGTTATGCAGACCCAGAACCGAGGAGAGAATGACAACATATCCTTGACTACAGCTTTGAAGACGTCCAATCGCGAAAGTGTGAGTTGTAATGTCCGGTGCATGGTGTATACACTCTAACGCAAGAAGGTAAACCTCCGCTCGTGATCATCATTCTGATCGCACTACGTCTCCAATGGCAAGCTCGGAAGAGACCCGAAAAGATTTCGATTCGCACAATCTGGGTTCCAGGGTCTCTGAGACACTCGACTCACGACTGTCATTCCGCATGTGTAAGCGATGCTTAGTCTTGCAACCAACGTGGATGAAGATCGCAATCCACCTATAAAAGCCCCCACTGGGCGCCTTCTTGACGGAAGTGGACGCAAGTGACTTGGAAGCTGCATGCTCACAGTAGTCAAGTTCTGCCTTGCAGAGAGTGCTTGGCGCTCGATCCACCATGCCCAGAGCCAGCGAGGAGACACGGTCCAATAATGTGATGGATCAAGTGTGAAAGCGGGTTTGGGGCACGAGGCGTTGTCTTATCGTGGTTGGCCGAAGGGGGATATATGTACATTCAACATTGGCCTCGAATAAGGTGCGAGTGGCTGTGGTTCGGCCATGGACCTTGCAGTTTGCCCTCTTCTGTCATGGGGAATTCCGCGAGAGGCCTCGTTCCAAAGAGAGCATCAATTGACCAGGACAGATCAGATCTAAAAAAGGATAATCATCGGGCGGCATGCGGAAATGTCTGCGACATGATGTGCACAAACTCCTTTTGGCCTTGATCTTTAGAGATATACCGAGCAGGCCGAGAGTCAACCGACCGTGTTTTCACATATCGAAAAGCACCAGGCTAGACCAAAGGTGCTCCTGAAAAATTGTGGAATGAGCGGGGGATCAGCGCGAGATCAGCGTGCCCCTGAACGGTCTCTCCTCCTTCATCGGGCAAGCAGGCCGGTTTGCTGTCAAAAGTCGAAGTTCCTGTCAGCCTTCGTACCGTTGAGTGGAGTGGACCAAGTTCGCTTAGACCATTGTAGTAATGATTTTCAATGGCAAGTCTTACTCTCCGAAGAGCTGCTAACTTCAAGCTTGCAAACTCTCCACAAGGATGACCATATTTGTGCTGAATAGGGATACAAATGCCCGTTGCCGATCCAAGTCCTCCAAGGCCCCGAACTACCGTTGAGGCTTCAGGCTAGTGGTATGATTCGGGAGCTCATACTCGAGTCTCGATCATCACTGACACGGGAATTTCGGTGGCTTCCACCGGCAGAATATCTCACCGCCTGCAATCTGCATCTTATCATGATCGTCCTTCATCCCAGATCTTCACAAATTAAAGACATTTCAAGCGACTCACATCGTGTCGAATTACCTCAGTGCGAGCGGTTTTGATATGAGGAGCCCATTTCGTCTGAAAAAGGTGATGTATCTGCGTTCAGTCACTCCGATAGCTCTTCAGAAGTTCCTATAGCTCTTAACGCGTGTAGACTCCCGTGTAGAACATTCATCGGGAACCATGATCGATTGTTAGGATCCGTGTTTGATTTGGCAGCGATGCACAAGACGCATGACTGGTTTCTAAGCTTATCATTCCCGGCTCCACATAGAGGACTCAATCTCGATGACAGCCTTGGTTGCTCCAGGGGGAGTTAAAGTCGAAGACCGTGAACTGGAGGACGGGTAGTCATGATTGATGTCAGGATCACAAGGAAGACCCTTATCTTCGAGTCGTTTTCATTGCAGTCCAGGAATCCTCAAAGATGAAACGGGCTGGTCAGATTGCAGAGTTGCGTCTCAGGTCTCCGTTTTCCCAGCACTCTCGTGTCCTGTGCAGATGTGGCTTGACATTGCACGATGGACTATTGCTCAGGTTACCATATGGATGGCGACTATCCTCATGGGCCAGAAATCGAAGGAACAATCGATCGCTCGAGTAGTACAGCAATTTAAAGATTTGGCACTTTCATCACAGTAGAAAGTGCACCGTATACTTACTCAAACATACCTCGAGGTAGGAGTAAGAGGTCGGCCGCCCTGCAACTGGAGGTAGTCAAAAACTTATGTCTCCTCCAGGTATCATGACCGCGGCAAGATTAACCTAAGGTGCTCTATATACTATTATCTTCAATTTTGAGCTTGTTAGGTGTAGGGGTCACTGTGGTACCTGAGTCTTACAGAAGCTCTTCTTCATCGGTAAAAAGTTGCTTGAAGTAAGATCAACGGTCGTTCTGGTCAGGTATGCTGTGCCAAGTTCAACAAATTACCTGTGTAGTCAAAAAAAGTAATACTGCTTCATATAAATTTCACCGGTTGATAGGTAGAAAAGAACGACCTGTACATGGATCTCCACCTGCACCGCTGGGGAAAGAAAGGCTCTCTTTCATAACAAGATTATGCTCCAATTGCAATGTCCAGTAATTGGGAGCTGACCAAAGAAATATCCAGGTATTCATCAACCGCTGCTGGCATCTTCTAGTATTAGCATTGACACTTTCCATCTTTTTTCCTTTGCTGGCGCGGGGGTATAGGACCGAACATGCTCCATTATTCTTCACATTTCGTTACACCCAGCTGGTCATGCCCAAAAAATGGAATTCCTGGTGAGTGGCAATTGCCAATTACGCGAGAGAACAAATGATATGAATATGATTTTCTGTAGTTTGGCGTTGAAGAGTTGTATGTGTACGGAGCATCATTCGTGCATTCTGTCTAGTGGAATTGAGCTGCCACCCACCTAGGTAGTTGACAACCCCTTCTAGATACGGGTACAATTCTACTATATATCAGAGTAACATAGTCATAGTGCATTCATTTCATTGTACTCTTTGTTTATAGGTTTCGGGCAAAGCCGAGCAGGTTGGTGGTTCTTCACCGCCTGTTCGAATTTGATCCCGAGAGTTGAACGCAAGGGTGTACGGAAATGACATGACTCCTGCATATGACTTGGAAGTGGTGCCAGGGTAAGAGTACAGATAAATCAGGTCTCAGCTTACAGTACACAGCTGGAGGCCACATGTAGCGAGTTTCTCGATGAGTAGGACTAGGATGGCGTGACGGAATTGGATGGTACTAACCATTAGTCTCCACAAAAGTAGTGCCCGTGTACTTGACACACATTCGGTCCTAGTATTCAACATTGGAGCAATGGTGGCACACACTTCATGAAGCTGGTGTGAACAATAGATTGGTGCTATATGACATGCGCAAGCAGTCCGAGGTCGAATATCTCAAATAATGTTCGAGTTCTTGGTAAATCAAGATAAGTACTGATTCCATATGGTTGCAAGGAGTGGCCATGCAGAGATCTACAGATCAATAGCCCTGGAACAACGTTACACGAGCTGAAGCCGGACAGAAGCCGTGAGGATCTGGATGAGCCCTACCGTAGCAATGATAGCGGTGAGCAATGGTTGCGAAGAAACAGTCATAAAAAGGGACGTCTTATGTCCGCTTCGCTGGTTTCTGCTTGGTAGGGCTGTCTCAACTCTTTGTGTCCAGCTGTGGCGAAAGCTTCTTCCAACTTGCACCATGAATTTCCCCAACGAACCCTTCTTTCGACGTTTGGTTGATCTCGCCAACGGTCACTCGCGTGTCATTATCAGCGATGGCTTCTCTGGCATTAGAATCACCTATGGAGAGCTGCTGTCCCGGGTACTCCGATTCCAACAAGATTTGCAGCAGCAACTGCCTCCCGCTACACTAGACAACAACAAAGTGCTCCGCGAACCATTGTGTGTAGGGATCCTTGCCACCGTCAGTGTGGAATTTGTGGTGGCCCTCTTAGCAATACTATCCATTGGGGGCATCGTGGTACCCTTATGCAAGTCCCAGTTCGCGTTCTCTTCTCTAGATGGCAACCTTCCGGCTAACAGTGCTCCACAGCAACGGCCGATTCCGCTGATTCAACGGTGGAAAAGATTGCCCAATGTAATGTCGCCTGTGTGGTATTTAGCCCACAGCAAGTCGAGCTCATGTGGCGAATCCGTCAGCGTGCATTGTATATTACTGAGAAGAAGACATGCACTCTTGCCATAAGAACCCACGCTGGCAAGCAACCTTCGAGTCTACCATTTACTGCTGATCACCCAACTCACTTCCTGCCTAGACGCGAAGCCATTCTCATCTTCACATCAGGAACAACGGGCCAGCAGAAAGGCGTCTTGCACTCCCGAGAATTCTTCAATGCCAAAGTCGAGGCCGAGCCCATAGGAACAGATTCTGAATGCCTGCTCTTCGCTCGTATGTCGATCTTAGTCGTTTCTATCCGCGTCATGGTTCGGATGCTCCTGCGGGGGGTTCGCATTGAGCTATGGCCATATCTGTATGACCCGGACATGATTTGGGAGCGTCTGCGCAAGGGTGGAATCACCGCGCTGGATCTGTTGCCGACCATGTGGCGAAATATGATGCTTGCATATCGCCAAAGAATAAGTCAGCTTCCTTCAGCAGAGCAGGAGAAGTACTGTGCTGGGGCGCGCCAACTGCGTGACGTTGCTTGTGGCGGGCAGCCAATGTTGCAAGATGTCAAATTATTCTGGCAGAAGATGCTGGATGGACGATGTGTGACCATCATCTACGGTGCAACGGAGGCGGGCAATAGCTTGCTCAGAGCCGTGGGCGAAGATTCACTGGTAGAAGTAAGAAAAGAGAACATTCTTCTCCTTATACACAATTTCGATCATTGTGATAAGACTGACATCAGTCTGATGTGCACAACATAGGGAACAATCGGGAAGCCAATGTCTGGGATAGAGGTGAAGTTGAGTGAGGATGGCAGAGGAGAATTGCTCGTCAAGGCCCCAACACTCTTTCTCGGGTGAGTTATTCTCCCTCAACATCAACAGGCCGAGGCTTCGCCAAATCTGACCATTCAAGCTACCTGAACAATCCCGAGGCCACACGCAGCGCTTTCGATCAGGACGGCTTCTTCCGGACCGGCGATATCGTCCGTTACAACGGCAGCGAGTATGTGTTCGAGGGCCGCGCCTCATGTGATTGTAAGTATATGCACAGGGAGTGCGTATCTTGAACTTGACTCAATACTCAAGCTGATCCAACACATTACCAGTTATTGCTACCCAGGTAGGCAGAGTGTCTGCGCCCAAGGTTTGTCAAGCCCTGATGGGTCTCTCCGAGGTCCAGGAAGGGCAAATTTTCGGCCTCGCAGATTCCAGATGCGTAGAACGTATTGCGGCTTTGGTGCGAGTACGCGCAGATAGCACGCTTTGCCAGGAACGTGCACCATTGAACCTGTTGAACTTGCGACAAAAATTGGCATCTTGCTTGCTCGAGCATGAGCTACCATCTGTGCTTCGAATTCTGGCGGATGAGGAGGAAATTCCTCACGGTGATTCAGGCAAGCTCATGTACCAGAAAGCTCGAGAACGGTTCTTTCCCCCTGGATATGAATCTCAGCCAGGGGTAGAAGTCTGGGAGTCAAATTGTGCGTACAGTTGGGTTAAGACCCACCCAGCCTAAGATGATGGCTGGACTCAGGGACTGACCTACGTAGGGACCATGTACATACTTACTCACACCCGTTAAGTGGCGATAGGCAATTAGGTATATACTGTCCATGCCTAAAATGTCGGGCTTATATACCTGAAAAGCCAAGACGGTCCACCTATGTACCTACTCCTTGTGCTGGGTGGGATGAGCCTCAACTGTGTGCTACTGTGCTGAGATAGAATGAGCTGCTACTTAATGACCGAGACAGCTTATGGTTTCAAGATTCACTGTTGGAAAGCCTCGAGTGGCCTGCCATCATCCATACAAGTAGGTATACATGCATGTCAACGGACTATAAGCGGAGAAGAAAGCCCTGAGTCGGAATGAGAGATAATCCTCTTAAAGGAAATCTTCCAAACAAGGCTGGAGCTTCTCGATAGGTGTTCCCCAAGGCCTCGGGTCTGCGCGAGGGAATTGATGCCTAGCATAAGCGATATTGAGAGGATGACTCTGCCCTTACGAAGCTAGATATTGTCCCATATAGCCAGCTGAGTGTGTCACTGCAAAATTGTGCATCCGACTACGCCAGAAACTCACCTTTCGTGAGATAAAACCACCACTTTTATATGGGTCGATGGCCATCAAACACGAGACTGGTGAGTTCGCATCAAAAGCACTTCACACTCACAGTTCCCCCCGTCTTCGACAAGGAGGCGATAAGCCGAGATAGCATCCACCGCCCCACGGCGGTGGGCGGCTTACTGCCGGTATAATAACCAAGCTTCCGCGGCTTGTCCTACTATATTATTCGAAGCGTGACCTTTTCTCGTCGAGTGGTCATGGTTCTAACGCGAGTGAGATTGGTGCCAAACTTGACCAAGCTACGGTATCATTATTTGAAATGCTTCGCTCTGCAGCAGGGAGGCTCAGGCCTCAGTACACGCTTGCCGACTATTACTCTGCTATCGGGCAGCCAGCCGTTGTCGACTTCTCGAGCGCTTAAGTTGGTGGGGGGCGAGCAAGTTGAAGATGGAGTGAGTGATTCGCCATAGATTGCTTCAGTCTAGCACTTGTCTCTAACAAAATATCGTTTAATAGGAAACGGAGAATGCTCAGGTTCTGCAGAACGCTCCTATCACCGTGGAGAACGCTCGACTGCAGGCTGAACTAGAAACCTATCGCGACATTCGGGAGTACTTACGAAAATGGAACGAAACTAATCCGAGCGTCCTTGATCCCGTGCGAGAACCTGGAAGTGCTTCAGCTTATGAGGATCCCGGTCAGCTGGTGGGGAACATGCTCAACGGTCGCGAAGCATCAGACGCCCTGTGGGCAAGCTCAGAATTATCCAACAAAGACGACTTTGATACCTCCCAAGATTTTGAAGGCGACCACTTGGAGCCGGGAGATCTGGTGGCGCGACTCACATGTGACGGCATATTCAGTTTCGCAATATATGTTCAATCCGTGCACAAACAGAAACAAGTGTACACGAATCGAGGGAACTGGCGAATTTGCTCCAATCGAGAGATCGATTACGTTGTAAAGGGGTTTGCGTTGCCAAGTCTCCTAGATCCGATCAAGCCATACTTTCCAAATCGCCCTCCGAAAGCTCTATCTGAAATTCAATCGGTGCCCGAAGGTGGCCTACCACGACCCTTGGGCCGTCCGCTCATCGAGATGATGATCGATTTTGAGCAGCAAGTTTCCGAATTCTACCGAGAACATTCCCAACTTTTGGATAATATCCACGACATGGTAGCGGACGATTCTGACTTTCTGCGTCTAACCCTTGAAGAACTGGCAATGAAGCTTTTGAACGTGGATGAATCGGAACTGAACAGAGTTAATCTCTTCGCGGTGCACCAAGCGGTGCGCCGACGTCCTTTTGCAATTGACAAAGATTTCAATTCTCTGTTTCAGCCCGTCTACTTGATTCAGCCCAAGAGGATCACCAACACAGTCAGGCAGGTGACAACGTGGGTACACGAGCATCAAGAATATCTGGTCCGTGCAGCCATGGTCAAAGATACAACTGGGCTCAAGGACCATCCAATGCAGCAATTCGTTCAAAAGGCGCAGCGCTTGATTCGTCTCAGTCGAAAAGTCAGATCCCCAACAGTCATGTCCAGTGTTGGGCCCTCATCTCAAAAGTTCCATCCCGGGCAGGACGGCAAACCACTGGTGTACCGCGAGGTCTTGACCGAAAAGTTTTCAAAGACTGATCAAACGATCATTGAGTATATGCAGTTGTATGCTATTCCCTCGGTGGCAATGCCTTCTGGCACTTTGCGCTCTATTGCGTCACATGTCATGCGTGCCACGGGTATGTACAACACCTTGGGTCTGAGTGAATCGTCAACCAGGATGTTCCTCCAGGAGCTCGGCGTGATTTCCCCATGGGAGAACCTGAGTCTTCTTGATCAGAATGTTCTACTTCCCGGCCATGGAATGTCGTTGATGGAAGACATGAAATGGGAGGAGCTCGAGGAAACATGCGCCGCTCTGCCAGGATCAATGACCGATTCCATGAAAGATCTCCGCCGAGACTGGGGTGACTTGCCGGTCTACTGTATTGATGCGGTAACAGCTCAAGAGATCGATGACGGCGTCTCATTAGAGCGAATTCCAGGATCGGATGACACGTTTTGGGTTCGGATCCATGTCGCCAATCCCACTGCATTCTTCAAACATGATAATCCCTTGATGGAGTATGCCAAATCACGACTCGCTACAACCTATGCGCCTGAAAGAACATATCCAATCTTCCCCAAGAGCTTTACTCAGACACATTTCAGTTTGTCGGATGGTCGACCGACATTGACATTCAGCGCCAAGATGAATGTCCAGGGAGAAATTCTCGACACCGAGATAATCAACGGCACGATCAGAAATGTCGTGAGCTTAACGCACACCACACTGCAACAATTCCTAGACCCGGGTACCAAAATCTCTTCTGAAAGGCTGACCGTGGGCGGGGAGCCAGTTGAGCAAGGTCTCCCGGAAGGAAAGGCCATGCGCGACAATCTGACAGCCGATGATAAAGACACATTCTCAATCTTGCGCCAGCTGATGCTTGGCTTCCGCACCCAGCGCCAGAAGAATGGCGCCATGGATATTCAACCACCTCGACCCGACACCTCTCTATCCGTCTATCTGGGAACGACTCCAGCTAAGCCATATGATATTCAAGTCAACGAAGGCCGGTACTTCCTCGGCGACCCGATCATCCAACTCCAGATGTCAGTCTTTGACCCTCATGAAGTTCGCGATGAGTCCAAGCGCTACTTGGTCTCCTTGCTGATGAATCTGGCTGGCCACATTGCTGGACAATTCTGCGCCGCCCGCAACATCCCCGTCATCTACAATGGTACCTGGTACGACCCTGAATGCGAGCACGTCACGCGAGAAAATATGGATAAATACGGCGGAGAGGCATTCTATCAGCTCGCTCTGCCCAAAGCCGTTTCGGCGTCCGTCCCTTTGCGTCATCATATGCTCGGTCTAGACGCGTATGTGAAAAGCACGAGTCCACTGCGTCGATTCAGCGACGTCATTGCCCACTATCAGATTGAAGCCGTACTGCGCTATGAACATGAGCACGGCCGACAATTCGACGCTACCGTCGATACCTCGAAAAGTGAGCTCGACGAGAACGGTTCTGGATCATCTACGCCTGCTGCATCCGTCCTACCCTATTCCCAACTCCAAGTCGACGATCACATTGAATACTCCGCGCCAATACTAGCCCGACTCCGCGCCATCTCGACGTACTCGAATCAGCACTGGGCATGCATGCTTCTCTTCCGCGCATTCTACTTTGCCGAATGCGCACTACCGGAATCTTTCCCGGTGATTCTCCGCTCCATGCGTGTCGGCAATGAGGTCGAAGGAACCACCTATTCGGGCATCATCACCAACTTGGGAGTGAATTGTACCATCACGATTCCGGATACTTGTCCGGACAAGGACAAGATGGATGTCTTTGGTGTTGTTGATGCCCAGATCAAGGCGGTGGATATGGCAAATCTTGAAGTCAAGATGGAGGCTACGCGGTTGATTAAGTCGTTCGGGAGAACGGGCGAATGGGCTTGAGTGTTTTATGAATGGTGTCCGTGTTACAGACTACGGTGGATGAATGTATGATAGGTTGTATGAACTATGTAGGACGTCCTGTACGAAACCCTGTACAACAGAATTAAGATACCACTCGGTTAATTATCGAACAAAGCTTCACTTTCCATTGGAATGGATTTATCTTACACGCTGCACCTCGACAGCTTTCAAAGTATACATCACCATGGACAACAGTAATTAGTGCGCCGCGTTAGGTTTCGAACAGTACTAAAGTGGTGCTGCCGTTCCGACCTTCACAGGTTCCCAGCCATCAACGCTCAGCCCTCGACCCCAAAAACCTCCTTGACCAATGCTTTCTTGTTCACTGTAGTAACAAAAACGTCAGTCAATTCACCTCATATCGAACAAGATACTCTCCAGCATCAAGGAGGGTCGCTTCTCGAACCATCCAAAAAACTCACCCTTGCCCATGGCGTTCCTCGGAATCGCATCCAACACCTTCATCTCCTGAGGGATCTTGTACGATACCAACCGGTCCTTCAGTGCCCGACGCATATCCATCGCACCCCAGGATTTACCGTTTCGGCCGGTGAAATGTGCGTCGGGGTGAAGGACGACAACGGCGACGACTTTACTGCCCCATTGTTCGGACGGGAGGCCGACGACGGCTACTTCGGCGATTTGGGGTCTTGAAACGCGGGAGAGAAGAAAGGAGAGTGGGAGGTCAGCATATCTGAATCAAAAGCAGAAATTCCGATTAATCCGGGAGTATGGTTGCAATGAAATAAATCAAACTCCATCATCGATCAAAAGGAAGGAAAGAGCAAGAAGAAGCAACTTACAGAGAGAGCAGTTCCCGTTCGACCTCCAAAGCACTCACTTTCTCTCCGCCTGTCTTGATGATATCCACACTCTTGCGGCCCTGTATGAAATACATGGGACCACGCGCCCATTCTCCACTAGTACCCTGACCAGCACCCTCGACAACCCGTCTTGTCGCGACATCACCTGTGCAGAACCATGGATTGCCCCCGTCATCGCTTCTCACGAAGCTCTCTCTCGTAGCTTTCTCATTGCCCCAGTACTCACGGAAGATCGTAGGTCCACGAAGTTGGATCTCTCCTACGCGTTCACGTCCATTGGCGTCTTGCTCTTCACCCACTGGTATGACCTGATTCGTCTCCGTATCCATGAGACGAGCCTCGACTGAAGGCAGAGGCCAGCCAACACTGCCGTCGACACGGTCTGCAAAGTCTAGGCCGCAGCTTAGCGCCATGCCGACTTCGGTCATGCCGAATCGTTCAAGGAGGACATTTCCATTGCTGAGAGTTTGCCAGGCAGCTTTGGTGGGCGTGGGAAGCGCTGCAGAGCCGGAGATGTTGAGGCGGAGATTGCTTGGGGAGATGCCTTTTTGCGCGGCTTTTTGAATATCTGGGGAGAGGGAGGGAAAGGAGGAGCGAAGGCGGTTGTAGACTGTGGGAACGGCTGTCAGGAAGGTGATTTTGGGTGTCGGGGTATGGGACAATGAAGTTGAGGTCATGAATGGTTCTGCGAGACGATTCCAGACATGATCTGTGTTGAAAGGATACATGAATTCAATCGAAGAACCAGCAAAGAGAGGCGTGACTATCGCATTGATCACGCCGTGAATGTGATGTAGCGGAAGGAGATGAAGAAGGCGATCCTGAGGAGAGTATTTCCAAGCCTCTAGAAGAGAAGTTGCCTGTGCAGTGATTGCTCGCTCGGGAATAAACACTCCTTTCTGGAGATGGTTTCGTCTTTTTAGTACAATCCAAGTATCGTTCACGATGTGCACTTTTCAAGATTGACTCACAGGTCGATTGGTCGTGCCAGAAGTGTACAGCATCATCCCACCTGATGAGGACTCCAGATCACGATTTGATGCCTCTAGAGAGACATTCTCATGTCCACTTGCCCCCTTCATCAACTTTTGTTGAATTTCAAACAAAGGATCATGCTCTAACCCAGTCTGAATTACGGCCTGCATCTTGTCGGCATGCTTTTCCGTGGCTAGCACGATCTTGGCCTGTGAATTGTCTAGGATGTATTTCAATTCGCCGGTTGGAAAGGCAGGAGACAATGGTAGAGCAATGGCATCAACGCCCAAGATAGCCAAGAGCATCACTTGATGGAACGATTAGCACCAACACAGGTCAATCTCGACGTGGCTGCATATGTTATATCCACTCACCGACATAATCGTAACCATTCTCAGCCATAAAAGCAATTCTCTCGCCAGATAGACTCGATAATCCACCCTTGACTTTGACAGCCTGACGTTCAAGGTCCTCTTTTGCGCGCGAAACGTCGGCCGTCAAGTTCCCGTAGGTGAATGACCGCCTGGACAGGCTATGAAGAACCGCCAAAGCTTCTGGATCATGGTCCTTGATAGCTCGGAAGATTGGGCTATTTGGGAGATGTGCCAGAAGGCCGTTCCTTGTTGAAAAGAGTCTTGAATATGAGGGTTGAGTGCCTGCTCCTAGAGGCCTCGGTTGTATGCGCGTTGCACCGACGCGCAAAGGCAGACGTGCGAGTCTCCTCATAGATATGAGACTCGTCATGATGTGAGGATGCCCTAGCGTTGATCCACTGTGGATTCAAGCTTACTACTTCCACGCCGAGGTGGACAATTGAGATCAAGAAACTCGAGTGTCTAGAACTAAATTAGAAAGATAGCAAAGTTGATGTCATGTCATGCGGGTCCAGCAGCTCCGCGGAAAGTCTTCCAAATGATTCGAGTCCCCACTTCCGCTCGAACATCCGATCGTCCAACGCGCGCAATTGACGCTCTTAGGAATCAGTCGCTGAGATAGCTTTTGCGTAGAGATCCTTGTTGCTTTGTACTCTCACACGCACACAAAGTCCGCGCCTTCGCCATACCCCCTGCTGAATCAACTGCATCCCGCAGTTCTCCAATGCTCCCTCGTACCGTCCCAGGCCTCTTTGCGCGCCGCCTCTTCTCCACGTCCGCCAGGATGGCTTCCACCACGCCAATGGAAGATCTCATGCGCGACAAGGTAAGGCATTCCTGCAACCTAGTGTTCACAATTGAGACCACACATATACTCACCCGCTTCACGCGCAGCTCACTCACGCGTTCACCCCCTCCACCCTCGTCATTCGCAACGACTCCCATCTGCACGCCCACCACTCCGCGATGCAAGGCTCAACGTCCAAGGAGACGCATTTTCAGTACGTTCAGATCTCACCCGGGAACCTCAATCGCCAGGCGATGTCTTCCATCGTGTAATGCATGTCAGCTATGGCAGTGCTAATGAGTGTCTGTTCTTTTTGTTTTCGCGATTAGTGTGACGATCGTCTCCAATGCTTTCGAGTCCAAGATGCAGCCGGCTCGACACCGCATGGTCTATGCGCTACTGAAAGATGAGATGGCGCGGGACGGAGGCATTCATGCACTGCAGTTGAAGACGAAGACACCGGCGGAGGAACAGCGGGAGAAGGAGAGGAAGGCTTGAGGTTGTATATTGGAATTTGTCGGGGTCCGTGAGCAGAGGGAAGGAGAACGAGTAGAAGTTGTAGAGTCGACTACCACCGTAATGCAGACTCAACTTCGATTGTCTTGTATAGCAACCAAGGTCGAGGCGCCAGTTGTGCATATTCACATACCCCCACGACATGCATTGATGTTAGTGGCTGATAAGGTCGAGATACCCAAGAAAGATATGATTACTCTCTCTCTCTCTCTCTGCAATGATACGTCTGCGAGACTTTAGTCTACAACAATGCAAGAGTTATTGTGGAACAGGTGGGTGATTATTAAGAGTTATTACGTCGGACTCAAACGTGCCATGAGTACAGCAGAATACAACAAGACGCAAGGAAAACACAGGGGGAGGAGACGGTCTACTATGTACATCACAGGAAACAAGTCGCTTGTTTGCGACATCCACGCGCAACACCAACCCGGAAAGCCGGGCATTACAAGGAACAGGACACACACAAAAAAAAACACAATCATCATCATCGAGCAGTCGCAGAGGAGAGAAATGACACAAACGAACTGTGCTAGGTTCTGGCAACAGCCGCGGAAAGACAAGGAGATGAACGAAGACGGCCGATCGTAGAGTTGGGCTTTTGACAGGACAAAACAAACAAAAAACCGGAGGGAGACGAGATGCGAGGTGGTATAAAGAAAAGAAAGCGAGGGCAAAATGTGTGGCAGTGACAAAATTTGGTAGCGGGGGCGCCGAGGCGCAAGGAAGGGGAGGGGGAGAGAGAGAGAGGGAACGAGCAAGCACCCTTTGGGACTCGTTGATCGACGACAGGGGACAACGACTTGAAAAGCTTGCGCGTGAGTCGAATGAGAAGTTAAAGCCACGGGAGGACGTCATATCTATTTGGCGGTTTTGTTGGCCTGGGTGACACCAACTGCCACACCCACCACGATCGCAATAATAATGACTGGAAAGGGGAACAGGTCAGCACAAGAACTTGAAGACAAATAAGAGGGGGAATTGAGTCGGGAACCACATACTAACGATGATCAGCGCATACCACTTCCAGCGGCGGGCGTTGCGAGCGCTGACAATGGCACTGTCCAACTTGGTGTTGGCTTGCTGAACATTGCGGTGGGTCTCTTCGGCACCCTGCTGAATCTGAGTGACAGCAGGTTCTTGCTGAATGACGAGTTCCTGGACATCGGTGAAGAGCTGAGCGAGATCGGCCATGTCCTTTTCGATCTTGCGGATGGCAGCGGAACGGGCGAGAGTGGCTTGACGGGCATCATTGGCCTGGCGCGATCGGGTTCCGGGGGTCTAGACGAGATCGTTAGCATTGGGAGATTATTGAAGACAAGAAGCCACATTGCTGTTTTTTGGTTTTCCAACAATGTCGCGAGGGAGGAGGCCTTTTCCGAAAACATACCATGAAGGCCTGCTCCTGACCCTGCATCACAGCCTGGACACCAGCTTCCAGCTCATCCGGAGAAGCCTCCGGGTTGGCCATTTGATAGCGACGGCGCACCTGCTCCTCGAGACGCTTGTGGAAGTTGGACTGATCACCCTGGTAGGCTGTAATTTCATCCTGTAGACTGCGCTTGGCGATGGTGTAATGCTCCGCGGGGCCGGGAGAACCGCAACCGGGAGTCTCGGCGATGCGCTTCATCTGATCGCGCAGATAACGAAGAGCAGTGTTGATCTCATCCTCGACGTAATCAACATTCTGGCGCGTCACTTGATCCTCCTTGCTGGTGTTGGACTCGAGCAGAGCTGTCTGGGCCGCGCGGAGCTGAGTTGTGCGCTTCCTCTTGACATCTTCAATTCCCTGCTTGAGCTCGTTGATCTTGGTGAGGAGCGCGTTCTTGTCGGGGGCTTGCTGCATGTTGGACATTTCTATTTTCGAAGAGTACAACGGTCAAACGAACGGTCCTGTTGGGGAGGGGGAAAGGGTTGAACCGTGTACATGGTCAACGGTTGAATCTTACCATAGCCGCCATTGCCCTGCTCCATTGCCCCGGCCTGGCCGTAGCCACCACCGTATCCGTAGCTCTGCTGGGGTTGTTGCTGTTGCGCTCCGTAGGGATTGGACTGAGCCCCGTACGGGTTGTATGATCCATAGCCACCTTGGCTGTTATCTTCCAAGTTCTGGTACTAGCGATGGTCAGAAAAAGGGGGAGACATGAGGCGCACGACGAGCTCGCAATTGGCAGTCTTTGCAGGGATCAGCAGTTGCCAGGTCACTCACACTCATGATGGAACTTGTGCGATGATGAAGCTCCGATTCGAATTAAAGATGCGCAAGGATGAGAGAGAGAGGGGGGGGGGATTGTGAAGATGCGGAAAGGTTTAGTTAACGGGGAGAAAGGGAAAATTAAGGTCGGAACGGCCAGAGGGTCGAAGAGGGTCGAGGAGGGTCTGCGGGTAAGACTAAGACTTAAAAGGAGTGAAAGTCGGGTCCCCGACCAGTTGGCACTTGGCAGAACAATCCCAACTCTCCAGAGGAGTGGCGCGGCAGAAGCGCCCTGGCGGTGTCGGACCTCTTCGGGGCGGCTCTACGGACGGCTTGTACCTGCATTGCTTTTCCAGTGTACTTGACTCGAGGTCAATTCAAGGCAATAGACTACTCAATCCTCTACAGCTGTACTGTATAAGCCTACCAAATAGTACATAAAAGACTACGACTATGGTGTGGTCAACGCAAAGCTTGCATGACACGGACTAAGACGGCGTGGCTGAGTCGCAGTGGGTTCCAATCGTAAGAAATGCGGATGCCTTCTTGAACCAAGTTCGGCACCGGGAGGCAAAGATCCCAAAAAAAAGTCGCGTATGGGCGTATTCAACAGTGATGAAAATGAGGATTCTCGATCAATCTATATCACTGTTGTGTCAGGACTCCTTACATTCCATATGTATGGGAATCATCAAGCTCATGCATGAGTTTCTCCGAGAGTAAGGGGACCTTGGCGTTTCAGTCCTCCACAGATTAAGCTCTTTCTGTCCGAAACGCTAGCCAGACAAGGTACATTGTCCCACTGTGGTGAACACCGCGGAGACGAAAGTACCTCCTTCACATTTGAACATGACAGAAATCGTCACTTGCCACTGGCAGTGGCCGGTGGCCAATGGCCATGTTGATGAGTATTTGTATTACAATATCTGGTATTGTAATATATGGTGTGCTTTCGAGCTGCCCACCAGAGGTCACCGTCATCGCCCTGGGCAGGAGCAATTCAGTTATGTCAACTTGGGACCCAGACTGGAAGAAGGAAAACGTCCCCAGAAGCCTCTGTTTGAATGCTTCTCCCACGGTAATTTTCACTCGGTCCACCGCCAGTATAAAATTGTGAATGCCTCTCGAATCCCTCTAGGCTCCCAAGTCCCAAGCCATGTGGGGAGCGCAGAGCGGCAAGCAGCGAGCGGCAAAAAGCATCCGCCACAGCCAAACAGAGTGCCTCTGTGCAGTTGTGCACTGTGCAGCCCGTCGAGACACAGACTCAAGACTCAAGACAAATGGAGAGCATCCTCGCACGCTAATGCAAGTATTTCTATTTTGGAAACACGAACTCAGTACGGAAATACGCATACGCGGGTCTCACTATCTCGGTGGATTTAAACTCTACATGTACGATACGAACGCAATCATGATGTGCATGTCTGCCTAGTCCTACAGGGCGCTACAACCCACGTGACATACGAGCGTCATGCACAAGGCGGAGCGTATCCGTAGTAATGTACTCGTGTACATGCAGGAGCGTACTGTATAATGCCCACAGGTAGGGGGCACTGGGCAGAAGTAGAGCCTCTGGGTAGATGTCTACCTAGCTGGGTATTGGGAGTCTGCTTCCAGTTGGAGTACTTGGTAGTACCGAGCACCGACTACTGACTGCTGACTACTGACTACTGACTACTGACTACTAACTCGACAACATACCACAATCCCAACCTCCAGCAAATAATCAGCCGAACTGAATTCCATTCAACCCCAAAAGCCGCGCCACTTGATTCTCACTAGAGCCCGTCCCCGGCATTCGGACGGAGAAAGAGACAGACAATCCTGCTCTCGTGAGAAGAACGGACTCGTCAAGTCTGGCTTGGACAAGCGTGGTTGGGATGTGTGCTCAAGATGCGTGAAAGGCGTGACGTGCGTGTGATGAGATACTAGATCAATTCAAGGTGATAGCATCCCAGAGCTCCCCATCAGGCTTTTCTTGGAAGCCAGGCTGGACTTTTATCAAGTCACGATACTGTGGAGCAGGACGGGATCACTGGATGTATTATTGAAATTCTTTCATATTGGCTATCCTTCTGTCGTAGTTCAGAGGACCATGTTGATATGCTATATACGTGGACTAAATTAAAAAAAAAAAAAAAAAAAAAAATGGACATTCAACCAGAAACGGAACATTTCCATGGCTTCATCTCACATAGCCGCGCAGCAGCCCATGCCAACAGGAATAAGAAAATCCATCTCCAACGAGCCGTGGACCGTAAAGGACGATACTCACGCTCGTGCTCATGCTCATGCTCATTGCCATGACAAATGCAATGCAAAAATGTTTCAGAGAGATCATGCCCATATATCACGTAACACCAGATGGGAGAAGAGGGACGAAGGAAAAAAAAAAGGCGAGATTAATGCAGGCAAGGAAAACAATCAGTGATCACGGACAAATGCAAGTGCTAAAGAATCACCATGCTTTTCTTATGGATTTGCTCCGGTCTTCAGTGATCGTGAGGCTCGTTGCCGCGACGAGGGTGGTCCTCATCGGGAAGAGGGTCGTCGGCATCCAAAGCGTTCATATCATCTTCCTGGTAGTTGAGGTGACGGAAGGTCAGGAAGAAGAGGATACCGCACAGGAAGGAGGCACAGGCAAGACCAACGAACATCCACATGATGGCGGGATCGAAGGCAGCGGGAGTCAAGGCCTCGGCGATGGCGGAACCAAAGGCATTGGTGAGCAGGTACATGGACTGCACGAAGGACTTCATGGAGGGAGGTGCCTTGGTGTACGCGTACTCCAACCCGGAGACGGAGGCGAAAATTTCCGAAATACCAATGAACACGTAGGCTGGGGTCTGGATGGCAATGTGCACATCGTTACCTTGCGGGCCAGCATCGCACAGGGGCTTGCCGTAGCAGGGACCGGCAGAGTAGATGAGGTGCTGCACAATGGCGGCATACATCATGGCCAAGGCAGCGACACCGAAACCAAGGGCGATACGGGTGATGGGGCGGAAAGGAATCTTGAGGCGGCGCATGACGGGGTAGATGGCGGTCTCGAGGATAGGAATGAAGACGATAATCGAAATGGGGTCGAAGTTCTGCATCAAATCATTGGGAATCCCGTGACCGTTCATCTGAGCGGCCTGGGTGACAAAGTTACCGGAGAACTGGCCGTAGACGACCCAGTAAATGGGGTAGAAGGCGAAGACGCGGCAAGCAACCAGAGCACGCTTGAGCTCGTCAATGAAGTGGTCATCCCAGGGCAGAGACACCTGAGCACCAGCATGATGCTCGGCCTGCCAGCTGGGCTTGGGGGCATCCATGTTGCGGTTCTTGATCATGATCCACAGAGCCTTGAAGGCATCGGTAATGATGGAACCCTGAGGGGGGCGCACGACGTAGAATTTACGGCCCAACAGGAGCACCGCGGTACCCATGGCGAACATGCACAAGCACAGCAAGTAGGCACTCCAGAAGCCGGTGTACTTCTCCATATAGGGCGTGGCCAGCAAGGACAGGGAACCCAAGTTGATACAGCCATAGAAGATCATGTAGATGCGCTGGATGGTCAAGGCCGGGTCGATCACGACTCGCTCCCCGGTCTTCTCGATGGTCTTGAGAGCCATCTTCTTGCGCTTGTACTGATCGGCAATCAGGGGAGCAACGTTACTCTTGATACCACCGGTACCCAGACCGACAATCAGGATGGACACGATGAACCCGGGCAGACCAGCACCGTGCTCGAGTGCAATAGGCAAGGAAGTCAAGACCAAGATCAAAAGACCAATTAGGTAGACGCCGCAGAAGAGCACAATGGTCTTGTACTTGCCGAGGTACTGATCGGCGACAATGGCACCGAGGATGGGGGTGACTGTCTCGCACATTCCAATTAGCACCGGGCTCTTTCTCTCGCGAGGGGAGAGATCAAGAAGAATCTCCCAATGAGATTCGGGGAGGGGAGGTAACATACTGTAGCACCAGAACTGGAAGAAAGTCACCAACCCAGTGGCACCTTGGTGACCCATACCAAGAGCACCAGGATCCGCCGGGGGGTGCCATCGGGATTGCGAAAGGGTCGGAAGACATAGTTCTGGAACAGACCAGACATTCCGTAGTAGGTGAAACGCTCGCAAAGTTCGACAATAGCCACCAGCCACGCCGAGATGGGCAGGTTCTCGGCGATATGACGCAGAGAGCGCTTCTCGTTGTCGGTGGGCTCTCCACCGTCGGGGGTCACGGCATTGTTCTCCTTGTCGAAGTCCATGTCATCCTTTTCGTTCAGGATCACCTCGTGTTGCACGGGAGTGTTGTCATTGTAGGCGGGGGGGCTATCAGGAAGGAAAATCAAGGAAGACCAAGTCAGACAAGGTTCACACTCAAAAAGGTACAGGTCTTTGCGGTGCGCGACGCCATCGGGATGATCGAACAGAACGGGTTGGGGAAACATACTTGGCAGACACCGCCTGGTGATCGGCGGACGACATGGTGATGGAAGGATCAGGGAATACCCTTTTCCTTTCGTTTCCAGAGATTGCACAGACACGGAGAATGGGAGGAGGGACAAGAGGGCAAGCGAGGAAAATGGGGATGGCACCCACTATACATATATAGACAATTTCTTCTTCTTCAACGGGCCCGACCAGACGGTGGAGTAGATGGGGAAATTCCGGACACTCTTATCAGCGGGTGAGCCGAACACGCGAGGATGGCCATTGGAGGGGGACGAGAAAAGAAGATGTCAATTCATCGACTAAGCACGAAGAAACCGACGCATGTCCGAAAATCGACCCGACAGGGCAATTCAAGCTCTCTTGGGATTCAGGACAAGCCCCAGAACGTGTGGGTGCCGGTGGAGGTCGCCCCGGTGTCCCACATTTGGAAAGGCAAAGATCCAAACCCGAAGGCGCACGCGAGAAAGTCGACCGAAAGAGGAAGAGAGAGGGAGAAAAAGGGAAAAAAAGAAAGAGCCATCTCCCCGATCGCACCGAGCATCACAAGCAAGGAAACGGTAATTGGAGAAGCGCAATGCAACCCTTTTGTGCCTCTTCGCCAACAACCGTGGATGCGATCGGCAGTGCACTAATGGAGAGTGATCGGGGGCAGCGGAGCGACCGATCATTGGCTTTGGGACTTCGGACGACCACTCGATTTCGTGCAGAATGCCAAGACTCGCGTGGAGCCGACGATGAAGCAACGGCGGCGCTGACAGTCTCTTGGCGACCGTGAGACCGGCGACGATAACATGTCCCCAGAAGCCATCGAAGCCAATGAGGTCGGACTGCTACCGACGCAAAGTCAAGGACGGAGGAGCTAAGCCTGCGACTAGTGAGATGTAGTCAATCCGCACATGGAAGGATGTTCGTTGATTGAGCCCTGTGAACGTTGCAGCCACTGGAGCCAGTGGCTGCCTCTCATTTCCGGTCGCGGCTCAACACCGAGCGGGCGAGTCCGACTGACGGTCACGAGTTGACCCGGCACATTCTTCCTGTGTGTGTGTGTGTGTGTGTGTGTTTGGGTGTTGATGTGGTCCTTCCGGTGTGCTCAATTTCCCTCGACATGCCGACCGAGGCTTGGCAGTACGCATCTTCAGGCTGAATGGGCTGAACGCTGGGACGCCAGATCTTCTCGAGGGCGTCGAACCGAGGGGCTCCATCATGTGGCAGAAGGGAGCGGCCACACAAAAAAGAAGAAAAAAAAAGTCATTCTTCCGGGACCTTCCACCAGCATGCCACCTGCATGAAAGTGTACCTGACTAACTGCCGTCCAGCAAAAGGTGAAGGGTAACTGGGCGACACATTGATAGCCTTCTCCCCCCAAGGCAAAATGATGGGAGGGTGGATCGCCCCGAAGACTCCACTCTCGCTATCTGGACAAATCACGAGATAGCAAGTGGGTCGTAGAAGCTCCGTAGAATGATTCACGTTACCAGCAAAAAAAGAGCAAAAAAAAACGCCAAGAAAACAGAAAACAGAAAACAGAAAACCCTTCGGTCATCTTGTGGTGGAAGGCTGTTTCCGGTATCATCGCCGCAGGGCCCCATCCCACATTTCCAAAGCGCTCTCCGGGCACAAAAAAGGCTGGTACTGGAGGGCAAAAAGGAATTGGGAGAATTCGCCACGAGGCGAGATGGGCTGATGGGGAACAACACAAATGGGATCCGTTGCGAATCCTCGACCCATCAATCGTGAAGCAGCCCTCTCTCTCGCGCGCGCGCGCGCGCCAACCTGACAAATTCGGAGTTTTGCTCTCCGGACTCCGCACACTGCCGATAGACGATACACGGACACAGGAGAAGTAGACGTGAGGAAGCTTCAAGCTGGTCCATAGCATCGATCTACGAACGGTGACTGTACAGTGTACACAGTTACACACTTCACTCGCATCGTCTCCCGGTGGCAAGTCCGACGTTCTGCTTATCAAAAGCTGAGGCAAGACTTGACCGACAAATGCGAGTGTCAGCGGGTGAATGCAAGCTGTGGCCAATGATCAAGCGTTCCTCGATCGAGGGTGACAGCATGCATGCGCGCCCGTGTACTTCCTTCGATTGGGGAATTTCAAGCTTGTTCCGCCATGACACACACGGCGTGTCACTAGTCGTGTAACCACCCTCGATGCGCTCTGATCGCGAGTCAATGCGGAGCCGCGTCTGGAGAGATTGACAATTTGACTCACGAGGGCTACACTATCGACCGGGGGGGGGGCATCCTCCACACCGGCGACCGTAGGAAACCGCATCATTGCTGACGGGGTGCCTCAGCCTCCTATCGTAGGCGTCGTAGGGGAGCGATTCAGGCGATTTAGGAATCAAACAGCGCCTGGCTTCCCGGACTCCAGACTCCAGAGTAATCAATGTGAATGCCACAGCTGCGACATTCCGGCCGCAGACCGTTATCAGGGCGTTGCCATTCTGGGTTCATAGATGGTACCCCCATAGTTTATCGAAACCCGGATTTCTCCGTCGTCTTGTTCTGTCTTCCTGCGGCTCGGTCGGCTGGAACCCAAAAAGAGCGAGAAAGAGGGTCTCCATATGGCCCCGGGGACTGCCCGTTTGGGTTTCTTATCAGGCGACCTCCGAGACGATGTGGTTGGGAGTCCGTGCAACAGGGGTTGCCGTTGCTGCTGCGTCGGTCGTCTGGCCTGGTCTCAATAGTCAAACACGACAGTGCATCATGCAAAACATCCTATGCTTCGCAATGCGCAAGTGTCTCTGGAATTCACCTGAACCCCCACCCTCAAAATGCAATGTCGAGTGTGTCTTTTTTTTTTTTTGAGTTGCGTTTCAATGATGTTTTGATTCAATCAAGGAGGGCGGCTCATTGCGCCGAGGAGTTGCCTTCTTGGGGGAGGGAAGATGCTTAGCGCCGCAGTCCTCAATGGAGCCGGTTCAAAGCTTCCAATCTGGTCGCACGGTGATGACTGAAAGACGTAGTAATCCAACAAAAGCCCAGAAGACAACATGGAACAGTCGGGGACAAAGCGTATCTCCATCGCAGTCTGTGTACCTCTTGGCGACTGCAACGTTGGGGCCGTCTTTTCCCCGCGTTTCCGAGTCGAGGATTGATCGTCCTGGGTTCAAGAACGAATCATAAAATCATGTGTCGGACATCGTGATGCCCTGCTACCGGGCTTCTCGATCCACGAACCATTGGAAGCCCCTCGACTGCATAGTCGTCACTCAAAACAAGTCGACGGACTCTCGAAGCCGTGAGGATGAAAGTCCGACATGGCTTCGGTCGGCAGATTCGCGCTTGCCGCAGAGAGTGTAGATTGTAGAGGCCCCCGGACAGAGCGCCACTGGCTCCAAAGGCAGCCCACTGGGAGGAAAAGGCAAACAAGGTCACCGCCCATTACTCCAGTCTCACTCGGAGAACTCATCTCCAGAAGGTGAATACGCCAGGCCCAGCGACGATCCATCCTCTATCAGTGCCCAGTCCTGCATAAGCCGTCAATATCCAAGCCAACCATTCCGCTGTCCGGGGAGTTAACCATCAACAGTGACACAAGAGTTGCTCCGCATTGGGTGGGTAGAGTGACGGCTGGGGAAGCCCGTGCTAAGAGGCCATCTCCCAGGATCGGTCGCTTCAGCTTGGAGGATGATCACATTGAAATGTATCCTGTGTCTTCATCAGACATCCGACGACGGTGATTGTTCGATAATCCGGGCGTCTTTGTATAAGGCGTCGTCAAGCGGACTTGGCTCGTGTCTCGTTGGTGAGAATACACATTGGAGCCGTATACAATTGGGTGTCTCGCAATAGGGATTGTTCAGTCACAGTGTACCACACTCGAGATGGGGCGACAGTCAGCCCCCCCCCCCCCCTAAGGACTTTCCGGGGTAATTTTTCTCTCGTAAGAAGTCGGTCGCGGAAAGTCGACGGCGTTGGTTCGGTGGAGTTGCTGGCGTTGTCTAGCCGCCTTGGGGAGATAAGGACGGTTTGGAATTGTCGACAGTATTGGTCATCATCAAATCTGGGGGATGTGAAGCTCAATTCCTGGAGGTGTCGACATGATGAGTCGATATCACGTCCAGGATGAGCAGAAAAGGATTTTGTACGGGCGAAACTCTCCATCACCGAACCGCACTGGAGGGAGGGGGGATTAAGCTTGCATAAATAACCAGCACGAGCGCCCAAAAGCCTCGCAAGCCCCCCCCAAAAGTAAGTAGCCCAGCGACTCTTATCGCTCCGACTTCGCACTCTCTCCACCAACGAGAGGGCAAGGATGGTCGCGATCCGCCGTGCCTGGTTGGTCGTCGCGGTCTGAGAAATCCGAGCCACATGGACCGACCGTCTTGGGTGCCCACTGGGGGGTGTCTGGATGTCTACGAAAGGGCGCAAGTCCCAAGCCTCAAGCCCTTGGCTACATTGGTGGCCAGCCATGACTCCCCGGGAAAGGTGACCGGCGAAGAGGGGGACAGTGCGAACGGGGGTCGAGAGGTGGTCAAGATTGGGAGTGAAGTGTTCAATGCGTCTCAGGTGACTCTTGGATTGGCTGAGCAGGTGAGTTCTGAGCCGCCTGGGCTCGAGAGTGATGGCCCGAGTTGATTTGGGGCGGCACGATCTTGAAGGAGCAAAGCGCCGAGATACCACCGAGGGAGAGGTCTTGGTGTTCCACGCATGGCTTGGATCGTGGCTGCGGAGTTCCAACGGACTCAAAACGGAGTGGAGGAAGACGGTGATCCAACGTAACTCCCTTTAGTAGTTTAGATGCATTCCAAGACTCATAGACACGATTACTGTATGTCATCGTTGGCGATCGCCCTCTGCGCCTCTACGATGTCGAAGTATCACAGTAGCGAAATCGGGGGGGGGGGCTCGCATTTTAAGCTTTGGTTAAAGTTGTATGCGGGTGAGTCTTGGCAGGACGATCGGCTGTTTGTACCTGATTGTGTATCATGCGGACAGAGCTGGCTCTCGAAGCCTCGCGTCTAGCAGGTCGTGACAAAAATGACTCTGATCATTTTGTTCTCATGTAGATATGAAGCCAACTGAAGTCTTCTTTGCATAAATTGCTCGTTGAACATTTCGCGCCATGCACCATGTCCCACACTCGGGTACCTGACGACGGGACGGATGTCGGCATTCGAGATTAGTCGAGAGATTCGAGACTCTCGAGATCTGAGTCACGCACTCACGCCAGGCGAGGTGCAGGAACTTGCATTTCTCCCCTGGATATCCCCTCAACACCGAGATCAGGTCCCCTTCGGCGAACGACGGGATGCTTGAACTGAATCTCACTAATAAGGTCACACCTTGAAATCTTCCGAAGACGCACAGGGCCGCCGAACTCGCAGAGTTCTATAGACTACGATCCTGTGGTGTCCGCTTCTTGCATTCACAGCACCAGTGCCTGTACCTTGTTCGAAAGGCATTGGGAAGACCCTATCATCTGTACGCTCATCTTGACTCATTTTCATGACTGCTCCGTTGAGTCAATCATATTGCGACATTGTCGGCCAGTGAGCATTCACGCGGTGGTGGGTCGGCAGACCAGACGACGGATGTTGTCCGACGAGCATCTCCATACATTATACAATAACATACCTTGTACATTGAAGCGTCCGGTGTTGAACTGACTGTCGTGGGACTAGGCATAATTCAAGTCATCTTGATGACAGGGTTCACATTGTCTTAAGTGGTCGACTGAAATCCCAAGCTACGAAGTAGTAAGAATCTTCTCTGTCGAATAAAAAAACCCCCCAGAGCTCGAGCTCGCATCCAACGAGTACCACCTCAAGCATGAAAGGAGCTAGGTAAGGTAGTCATATAACAGCTCGTGCCTCTATGCAACGACTTGCGTTCAGGTTCCGTACTGCCAGCTTCACAAGTCTAGCAGCGAGAGTAGTCATATAATAGACCAGAGGACGGTAGTAGGACCCCCATGGCCCGATTGGAACCTCGGATGAACAGAATCATTCTGCGTAGTGAAACCAGCGACACCATGTATGTCGCTTGTTGAGCCCTCCTTCTGAGAGCCTTTGAATGTCTTCATTTATTTTCCAACCTCGGAATTCGTTCACAATATCCATTACAGTATTACACAGCTACACAGCTACACAGCTACACAGAGCCCTCCTTTCTCGGTTGGTCGCTCACACCTAATATGAAGTAGGTACGACCAGAAGGGCAACACCTCGAATCTCGCACCTCATTGATGCACCTATCATGACAACGCCATCATCAACATGCACTTTGCTACATGAAGTGACCGTGGCACTCCTCTCCAGCCCGCTGCCGACGACCGCTTAGGTCGGCCGGTTGTGCAGAAGCGCTTCCAGATGGCGCCGGCTTCAAGATCTCAACTACTACCCGTGTGCGGTCAAAGTTGACTCGCGCCTCCAAGGAGAATATGGCTCATTACAATATTGCATTGCTTCGGAGTGGGCGTCTGATGCCTACGTATGGCTACGTCATGTCGAATTTTATTGGATTTGGCCAGACTGATCGCGCTTCTAGCTTTGACTTGCCAATCATTCCTGAGATCCGGGAAGCTCGCAGTGATCAGAAAAGGAAAGATGGTCTAAGATTGTTGTCGGGCATAGTTCTTGCCATCACTTCATTTCATTTCGGGAAGAGAATTGAAAATCGACAATTGTGATTTTGCCATGACTCAATCTGGACTCGATCGGCTAAGCACAGCGCGGTCCAAGCTATCCACCTTTCTCTTGCACTCCATCCAGTAATAAGCAAACAAATTAGCGAATCCCCAACATACGTTTTGAAAGATAACCAACGTCTGGTCTGCATTCAATGAGCAATCCAAACTGAAGGCTGCGAGCGCGAGTTGGCCCCTCCCACTCCGATTGCTGCTTCACAATCAGGCACGGTCGATCATCTCTTCCGTTCGTTGATGACCGCTCGAAGTCCCAGAGGAGCCATGATTCCTCCCTGTATGAGATGGACGTACAATTAGCTCTACCGTTTCTTTTCTTTCTTTTTTTTTTTTTTTTTTTTTTTTTTTTTTGAAAAAGAATCCCCACTTGAACAAACGACAAAAGCACAACGGCAAGAGTAGACGACCAACTCACCGACGTCAATTTAAACTCATACTGAGGATCGACCGTCCACTCGATCCGCCTCAGCATCTCAAACAGAAGAATCTTCATCTGAAGCACCGCGAAGCCTTGCCCGAGACACTTTCTTGAATGCGCATTGAATGCAATAAAATGACACTGAGTCGTCTTGCTGCGCAATGTACTCTGAATACTTTTCACATCCTTGCCCCATCGATCTGGGTTGAACTCCCTGGCGTCGGAGCCCCATACACTGGGGTCAGTGTGGACGCCAAATGCATTCCATCCAACCCAGGTATGATTTGGTATAGCCACTTTCCCGCCTAGCACGGCCACGGAAGTTGTCACGCGATTGATTAATTGAGAGACAGGCGGGTAGAGACGGAGTAATTCAAGGATGACGGCAAAGAGATACGGAAGAGAATGGACTAATTCCGTCGAAGGGTCTTCTTCTCCCGTTGCAAGAATCTCCGCGCGAAGTCTTTGCTGTATATCTTGGTTTTGACCGAGGACCCAGAAGGTAGAATTGAGGAGTTGTTGGGTGTTTTCATGAGCGGTAAGAAATGTTACTTTGAGATTGGCCCGATATTGCTCTTCTGTGATTCGGCCTTCTTTGAGAGCGCGGTCGAGGTAATCGACGACTTGGTCGCCGTCGGCGGTCTCGTCATGGGAGGGTCTCTGCTTGACCGTCTCGCAGAGAAGATCCCCGAATTCTTGCATGATTCCAAAAGCAACCTTGCGTTGGCGAAAGATGTATGGGTACCGGTCAAGTTGTGGAAAGTTGAAGAAGAGGGGGTGGAACAGTGTCTTTTTGATGATGGTCTGAAGTACTTCCAGGCGTTGACCTGGTCTCTCGATGGCCTGTCACACAGTATGTCATTTGATCAATGGGCGGGCCAGAGACAGGCAAGAGTTGCAAAGGATCAGGCTCAACGAACAAAGTGCAGACAGCCTACCTCAAGATCGACGTCCATAAAGTGAATCCCCATACAACTAATCGCCCATCGTTGAATGATAGGATTCACAAGCACGCCTCGACCAGGCCCCAAGATTTGCTGCTCCTCCAAGATTATATCCACGAATTTTCTCGACTTTTCCAATAGAGGCCTTGAGTCAGTGATTCGTCTTTGCAAGCCGGGCTTCATAATCGAGGTATACAATCGCCATGTCTCCCCATGACTGTTGATGATATTGTCTCCCACCAACGACGCAATCACACTCCACGGTATCTTCTTCTGACTGCCCGCCTTGGCATAGACATCCTCGTGTCGGAACATGTCTACCAAAAATGAAGGTCGGGTGGCAAGAACGTTCCATCGTCCAGCAAACCATATCTTCACTGCGCCGTATCGTTCAAGTGGTTCACGTAGCCAGCGGTCGTAGATATCGTCTTGTCCCATGTCGCTCCAGAGACCAAGCAGGGAGATGTAGATCGGGACTGTGGGAATATTTCGTGGCATGGAGCCCGGCACCCGGGTGAACCAGTATAGAGCGATCAGAGTGACGAGAATGAGGCCTAGTATGCCACGCGGCCAAGTGATCTGTCCCAGAATCCAGTGGTACATGATGCTTCCGGTCTGTCAAACGGAGCTGGAAAGTGGACTGCGTGATTGTTCTGGCCAGATAAGCAAACGGGGCGAATATATCGTGTACGTTGCTGCAATGTTAGCTGATCATTCCTGTTTATCCAACCTCATGCCAGCAAATGTGCTCGGTCACGAAAATCCGCAGAGTTCTCATGTATCTGGATCGAAGCGCAAGCTCATTTTCCCAGAGAAATCTCCGGGTCAAGTATCAGCTCGGGGATCAGCAAGCAGTGGGCGAACACCATCTCAAATTACCACAGTTACATTGCTGACCACTTTGGCCGATGAGAGCAGGGTGCCCGATCATCAAAGTTCACTAGAGGAGAGCGCGAAGCCGGCATTCGCCCTGAGCGCGTGGCGTGATTGTTCGAAGGTGTGACACCAAGTCGCTCCCGTGTCACCGTGAGATTGACAGTCATAACTCCAAATGGGTCTTCATCTGAGCCAGGGCTGAGAGCTGAGAAGATGCAGCTGGATGACTGAGATTCGAAATCTGGCTTCTACCTGTCCTCTGCTCGATCTGCGCTTTTGCTGTCCACACTCGAATGGCAAGGACAATCAATCACGAAAGTATTCAACCCGTCTGAGAAGAACGTGGAAAGAGTGCCTTCATCATGGGAAGCCGCTGGTAGGTCCATCGTTGGCTTTGCCGCTCAGGGAAAGTCAGATGAGCCTTTGGCAATGGGGAGAATTGTCTCATCTACTTCCTCGGCGCCCGAAGATGACGCTTTCTGACTGCGTTCTTGCTATACGTGAGACATTGCAAGACGTGTGACAATAATCTGCCACAGGCTTGAGGTTTCCCAAGTCAGAAACCGGGGGTCGAACGAACGCAAACCGCATGGACTAGGCTTTTGGAGAGCAGAACTCGCTCTGCCCAGACAGGGACCTTCCAATACTCTTCCATAAACCCCGCATAGATGAGAAGACATGTCTAGCCTTGGATCAGTTAGTAATGGAGATTGCGGAGTGGCTTTCGTTACCGTAGCTCAATCGTGGGATCTGCCGCAAGGCACGCGAACTCTCCCCATGGAAATGCTATGGATGTACGCTTGTGATAGGACTTGGATTCACCAGGAAGGTAAGAGTGCAGCCGCGACGTGGGTCTCATAAAATGCGTTCAGTAAAGGAGGATACATGTCGCAAGGCAAAAAAAAAAAAAAAGGTCATGACTGTAAAGAACGGGAGCCAGAAGAGGTGTGCAGCACACTTTGAAGGACTCAAGATGGTTCAATCTTTACTTCGGGGAGTTGCCTTGAAGAACGCAGACTGTTCACCCTTCTGAATGATCCTTTCCAATCCCCGATGCGCCTCTCATCATCATCACCATCGGTCCATCTTTACCTCAAAGATTCCTCAAGACTCCCCATCTCCATCTCCAAGCACGATCTCCGTCGCTTTTCCCGGGCCCGTTCTGGGTATCAACAAAGGGAAAGCAAATCTTCAAAAACAAATCGAAGAAAGAAACACCATGCAGCCATTCGCAGCTCAATACCACGAGGCTTAGACGGTATACTTGGCCTTGGCACGGGTGCTGCCACTGTGCGCGCTATCGGTGTGGCCGGAGAACTCGACAACATCGGCTTCCTTCAGGCGCAGAACGTCCTTGAACCGCCGACCGATGGCCTCGAGGATCTCCTTGCCCTGCGCAGGTGTGCGAGTGGCCTTGTCACCGGGGATGCTCTTGCCCACGGTGCGAGTCCAGAGACCGACACGGTAGAAACCCTTGCGCACATTCACAACAACGCCCATGACCTCGTTGTCGCCATCGGCCTCGAGAGTCTCACCAATGGCGGCCAGCTGGGCGTGCAGCCAGAGGTCGTCGATGGGAACAGATCGCTTGTCCTTGAATAGGTATGACCACTTGCCGCCGTGCTTGTTTTGAGGGTCCTCCCACTCGGGACGAACGCCCTTCTTGAAGAGGTGGTAGTCGGCCTTGAGGCCCAGCTCGGAGGTAGGTGTGATGTTATTCTAAGATGTCGATATCGGTATTAGTACGCAACGGTGGCAAATTTTAAAGAAACTCAATCGGGGCATGGTCTTTGACAAAGGACCGGTCCAGATGCACATACGTAGATGCCCCAGAATTCTTCGACGGAGCTGAATGTAACGACCTCCTTCAACAGGTCATTCCAGTTGTCGCCCTAAGTCGTCCCGGATTAGCACAGGTTTCGATCGGTGCATACGAGCGATGGGTACGAACCTTTCCTGAGGGGGGCTTGGTGAACCAGAGAGTCCACTCGTGCATCAGCGGATGCTTCACTTTGAAGTTCTCGGGGTCGTGGAAGATGGTGGCCGCTCCATCGGATGTGGTATCGACCTTGGTCGCGGGGTTCTCGTCAGTCACAGCGTGACCGTTCTCTGCGACAGCCGCCATCTTGGGTTGGAAATATGGATTGGCGGAGGTTGTAGAAGGCGGAAAGAGTGAAAGGGAGGCGGGAGCGTTGAAGGCAAAGGCGGCGGAGGGGAAGATTTTCGAGTGCGGAAGACGCAGCAGTCGGGCGGAGCAGACTGAGTGGAGGAGAGGTGAGGTGGGGGTGATCAATCAATCAACAATCAGAGTTAAGGAGGAGCTTTTGATATAATCTGCTCCAGGCAGGCGTGATCGATCAACAGTCAAAATGAGGATGTCACAGATAGAGAAAGTCCGCCCGGTGCAAGACGTTTTGAAGTTCGAGATGCGGCAATGGCAAAAAAAAAAAAATACTGCCTTGCCTGTTTCGGTCGGGCCGAACCAGCCCTAAGAATCAGGTATCTGAGAGTGTGTTTTCACGGACTTGAGTGTGACGGACTTCTCTGAAGTAAATAAGGGCTCTGAAAGAGACACAAGTGAGATTAAGGATCCTATCTAAAATCTGGGCTAGCAAATTCGAAGGTTGATCAAACATTGGTGTGATCAATGTTTGTGATTCGCCAGACTTGAGGTAGTCTCCAATGCAAAAGCAAAACATATATACTGGAGATCCCGAACATCAATGCGACCGCAAAGGGAGGGAAACGACCGTGCAATTTTTCTATCGTAAATGCCAGTGGTATCGCCAAAACTCAATAGTCATATGGAACAATCGCTCATGCCAAATATATGGAATACATGTCGAGAAATGGTTGTCTCTCTGTGAATGTTCATGTCTCGCCGCTGTTCATCAGACTCAAGAAACAATTCCAGCCTACCCAACAAGTTAGCACATCATCTTCCAAGCAAATCTGCTGTGTGTGAAAGGAAGTCGAATCTCACCTAAGCTGACCACATTGACGACCAGAACTCGGAGCTCCAGGGGTACGAATGCAAAGTTGATACCCTGCACAAAGGGCCAGACCATCAAGTTGGCCTTGTACGCGGGTCCAAAGGCCTTCTTCCATTTTTCAACCGGGTCAACGCCCTCCATGATAGCCATCGACGACAGAAAAAAGGACAACTGAACAGGTGCGAAGACTACCTGATCAGCAGCGACGCGAGCGATCGTGGTGGTCGCGGTGCCTCCCAAGACAACATGACGCTGGAGAATGCCAAACCACTTGGTTGCGACAGGACCGAAGACAGCTGCCGCGGAGACAAGGATATCAGTATGGTGATCTCCTGGGGGATACAAATTGAGGAAGGAGCAATCATACCGCCGCCATAGAGAGCCATACGCCCGGTGCGCGCAAAGTTGTGTTTCTCCAGGCCTCTCTTATCCACGAGTTGTTGAGCTAGGACATCTCCACTGCCGAAGAGCACCTATCGAAGACATTCATGAGCTCGGACGCGTCCATTTGCATGATGGAGACGAGGTAGAGTCGGGCAAAAGATACGTACAGCACTGGTGATGCTGGCAGTGAGGATGGGCCTCTTGGCCAACTTGCTCTGATACCTTGATTCGGAAAGAGTGAGTTTGTTTGGGGTTTTCCCGTGGGAAAGAAAGCTCCTAGTAAGAACGGGGTGGCTCACCAGCGCAACATCGTAGGTGTACGGAGCAGTAATAGATGTCAGATGAAGAGCGGAGTACAAGACAAAGGTAGATACCGCGCTTCGACAATGATGGGTGAAAATTGTTTTGGACAGGGAGGAGAAAATACGTCAGAGGGAGAGAGAGCGTCGGTGCCTTACTTGTCGAGCTACCACTAGTCAGACTAAGGGGATCCGATCTCCATCTTTAAATTGCGGAGACCAGAGTTGGTTCGGGATGGGGGTTCGCTCGGCATGGAAACGCACCCGCCTGGGGCGGCAATGTCCCAAAAAGGATTCAATTATTGGACTTGAAGGTTCTGGACCCTTTGTGGGCTTTTTGGATGCGTGAAACCTCTCAAACGGGCAGACTTCGTGGAGGTTGTCATGCCCGCTCTGGGAAAGAATAGTCCATCGCTTACTTCCTTGGACAACCAGGCCTAACTCGGGAGATATTCCCGTACAGAACGAGGTAGAAGGGAGTCAAGGGACCGATAATCAACTACGATTGTAGTATAGTACATAATACCAGACGAAACCACGACCTTGAGAGCGACGTCACTTTGCACTCGCAGAGATCAATATGGATAGGCGTTGGATAGAGGAGCTGGACCAGAAGAGGGTGTGTCGCGACCATACCTACATTTACCCCCTATGCGCAAAGGAATGCTGGCAATATTTCTTCCTGGGGCTGTTGATCGACATGGTTGAAAGGGAGGTAACTATCCGATAATCCGGCCGCCAAGTCCGAAACAGTCAACACTCGAGTGTCAGCAGACCAGCGCAGACCAACTTCGAGAGTCTCTGACAGGAACAGGATCACAAATGGGTCAGCTGACATTGCGCCCTTACGGAAGTGGTACTACTGGCCCCCGGGTGGGTTCTGGACTTGCGATCAGTCAGGTGATTCAGGTGGACACGGAGACATGAAAGTGGCACGGACCACTTGCCGACTCGAGTGCCCCGCTGCTCCTCCCCTGGGCTGCCCCAAAACGGATCTTAGGGCTCAGGGCTCACTCTAGGGCAGCCCACGCCCAGCACCCGCTGCTCGCTTAGCACACCCGAATTTTCGGCCCAACAAGTCCGTCCAGCTCGAATCTCCGACGAGCGCCCTCCCCCCCCCCCGCCCCCAATCGACGACACCCTTTTTCGACAACCTCACCTGTCGCACATCTACACAAAATGGCTGACGCTGCTCCCCGTGGACGTGGAGGTTTCGGTTCTCGCGGTGACCGTGGTGGTGACCGCGGTCGCGGTCGCCGTGGTCGTGGCCGTCGTGGCGGCAAGCAGGAGGAGAAGGAATGGCAGCCCGTCACCAAGCTGGGCCGTCTCGTCAAGGCCGGCAAGATCACCAGCATGGAGCAGATCTACCTGCACTCTCTGCCCGTCAAGGAGTACCAGATTGTGGACTTCTTCCTCCCCAAGCTCAAGGATGAGGTCATGAAGGTACGACACGAAGTTCTTTTCTATTTCCAGCGCCATGGCCATACCTATTGCGCAAACGGAGGAATCACCAGGGCTATTCAATGAAAGGCAGTTGCGAGAAAATTGCATCGTCAATTGGAATGGAAGAGGAGGAATTTCAACATGTCGCAACATCGCCGTCGAAAGACGGGAATTGGAAATCCAAAGTTTCGCGCAATGAGGGCAGCCATCGCAAATTGGAATTGGAGGACCGAATCACTAATTCGCGCTTTGTTTTTCCACTCCTACAGATCAAGCCCGTCCAGAAGCAGACCCGTGCCGGTCAGCGTACCCGCTTCAAGGCCATCGTTCTCATCGGTGACGGTGAGGGTCACATCGGTCTCGGCATCAAGACCTCCAAGGAAGTTGCCACTGCCATCCGTGCCGCCATCACCATTGCCAAGCTGGCTGTCCTCCCCGTTCGTCGCGGTTACTGGGGTACCAACCTCGGTGAGCCTCACTCTCTGCCCGTCAAGCAGTCCGGCAAGTGTGGTTCAGTCGCTGTTCGTGTACGTATCTCCCCATCTTTCCAGGCAATTCGACCATCGACAGTGCATGAATTGCATGGTCGATATCGAATATCGCGTCCATTGAACGCATCACAAGGAAAAAAGCCTTGAGGAAAAAAAAAAAAACTAACATTCACATAGCTCATTCCCGCTCCCCGTGGTACCGGTCTCGTTGCCTCCCCCGCTGTCAAGCGTCTCCTCCAGCTTGCCGGTGTCCAGGACGCGTATACCTCCTCTTCCGGTTCCACCAAGACCCTCGAGAACACCCTCAAGGCCACCTTCGTCGCTGTCGTCAACACCTACGGCTTCCTCACCCCCAACCTCTGGAAGGAGACTAAGCTCATCCGCAGCCCTCTCGAGGAGTTCGGTGATGTCCTCCGCCAGGGCAAGAAGTACTAGATTATTCAAAAATAATGCTAGCATGATTTAAAGTTCCGAGTCCCCAATATCACTTACTTCGCCTCCCCACGACCGCTCACGTCATGCCCAAAACAAGTTTATCAAATGGGTTGGCAGAAATGCCATTCAGACAAGTCAATTTTCGGACATTGGCTGTCCATGGAAGTGTATCTAGCATGGGACACAAGGCCCATCTCAAAAATCGCAAAATCAGCCCTTTTACCCCCGTGATCCTTCATGACATGAACCGTAGCGGACGAGCAAGCTGTTTGGATATGATCGATGGCAGTCGCCGCAGGCAGTAAAAAAAACGTACATTAAGGTACGGTATCCCTCAAACCAAGCCAATCTTCAATGCCATTCCAGACGGGGCCCCTGCTCTCTTCCATGTATGTTCGCAGTAAATGTGTCAATGAAGCACGTCCAATTGAGTAGTTAGAAGGAAGGAAGACGTCCACAGAGCTTGGGGAATTGGAAAGCAAGCCGATAAAGTAGTCTACGCTGCTGCTGACAATTGCTCTGACCTACCCATATACTGGATCTATGCCTCAGCATGTGGCCTGCTAGGTACCACAATATTTGAAGACACTCAGACCTTCGGCTCTGAGATAAGCAAGGTATGTACCGTCGGATCTTTTCGAGCATAGATCCTCGCGTTAACAACGAAAGCCCAGGTCAAAATGGAACTGAAGCATCATCGGGTGAATTGAATTTTTCTATGATGATAGAAGTGCCCGGCAGGTGGGTTACGTGGAATGCCTTTGATGAATTCTTGTTAGTACAAGGATATAGAGTAGGTAGTAAACTCACATGCAACAGGGCGAAACTGGACCCGGCAGTTCGACGGCCTGCTCATATAATACAAATATCTAGGGTTGTCCAAGCAGAGGCGAGATGCCTCCATACCTGGGTATTCGTGCAGGTAGTACTTTTACCAATACTGGAATCTTGAGGCATGAACGGGCACTCATGTTATGACGGTAGCGGGGGTTCCGATGGACATAGGTAAGACAATGGAAGCTTCCATACTCGACATTCTTTATCAGATTCTCCATCTGAAACCTGCCATGAGCTCAAGTCTTGTTCAAGATCCACGTGGGTAGATGTATCTCGCAGGCTGTTCATCGAGGAATCAAAGGGGAAAATGTCTGTTTTCATGACTGGGGGGAATAAAGGGTGACGATGTGAATCATGAGTTTTGAATTTATCCATGATACACGGTAGTATCATGTCCAGATGAGGCTTAGATACTGGATGCATGATTCTCGTCGACTTGTGCTGTGGGGTTTGCCTGCTTAATTACCAGCCCCGAAAGGTTTGAGATGCCCTACCCAAAGTTAAAGTACTGGCTCTATACATATTACATAGTCATGCATTGACAATCTAAGGCAGTACAGCAATCAATACATTAATCTAAGGGCATAGTCAAGCACTCAAAGACCTTTGATGTACCCATAACTAGCGTCCTGGCGTCGTGCCGTCCTCACCCTGAATCAAATTCTCTCATTGAGGCCGTCACCTCCAGTTGACTAGTTGATTTTGAATATGGACATATGCTCATCTATCAGCGAGAAGTCGTCAGGCCCAACCTAGATATGAAACACCAAGATCACATGGGGACGCACCAAACATTTGTGCAATATCACCCACGAGTGGAACCGTGCTGTTCCCTGCTTCGCTTTCCCAACACCTTCTCGCCTTCTCCAAACACTCGAGGTTGATTGACGTTGAGTTTGTTTGATACGTTAATCCCCTCCCATCCTTCCATCAAATGACAAATCTAATTCCGCGTTCCCCGTCCGCTTGAGCTTGACCACTAGCTTGCTTGGCCTTGATGGCCCGGTGCCTGGATGTTTGGGAAGGTACTCTGTTAGGACGTGAATTCTGGCAAGACGTCCACCGCCACGACGAGCAGCTGAAGAAGCTGGACGATCTGGCGACTGGTAAGAAATACACTTTGACGAAATTCTCGCAGTCGACATCTTTCTTCCCCCTCCCGAGCAATCATTCATCATCATATAATGCACCTACCGACCTGATCATCCTCCAGAAATCATTTCCCCCCAAAGTGCCCCAGCCAACACCCATGGTGACCAACCAGTGTCGACTCGCCAGCCCACACTCCGATGTCTCAGCATGTCTGACATTGGGAAAATGGACCCCCCACCTCACGGGCAGTCTGTCCTAGCGTCAGGTCTTGCCCGGTTCAAAGCACTTGAGCGTCGTGTTCGATCCCCGTCCCCTCGTAAGATGATGGCTTCGTCCATCAGTGCGTTGACATCCTGGCGGCTCTCGCCCGTCTCGTACTCGGGTCGTCGCTCAGGACACAGCTCGCCGGCCAAATATGTCGAGGTATCTCCCGCCAGCACGACATTCCGGTCTGAGGAAACGTCGCCGTCCCTTGTCCCTTCACTTTCGTCTTCGTCTTCACAGCAGGGATTGGAGAGTGTAGACCACTTTGCTATTCCTGAGCAGCCGTGGATGGAGTTCCCCGGCGGCTCGTCCTGGGAGATCCTTCCGCGGAGCAAGACTTCTCTGGGTCTCGACCTTGGAAGCTCTGTCCCCGAGGGGGCGGACGAAGAAGATAACGTCCTGGAAATCGAAGAGCTGAGACCGCTGCAGCAGTTTCGTGGACTGCGCTCTCTGCAATTGACGGGAATGCTGCACTCGTACCAATCCATCATCTGGCAGGCTGTCTGGCTCATGACGGATCTAGATGAACTCACTCTCGAAATGGCCCTCGAGCCCGAGATCATTCATCCGTACTTTGCCTCATACTGGAAGCAAATCGACGAGCATTGGACCCTGGCCCAAACAGACGGCGAGAATTGTGTGTACTAGTAAGTGAAATCCTCCATGACGCGGAACATCCATTCATCCCCACCCACCACACACGTGTGTCGCCCACACTCACCTCTCTCCTGAACAACACAGCGGCCATCTCCAAGACGGCCAACTCCGCCAAGACATCGGCTACGGCGAATACCTCGACAAGTACTGCATGGAAAAGGCCAAGGTGCTCGCTCGCACCTGGGGCCCCACGCTCCGTCAGCTCCGTCTCAAACAACTCACTTTATCCGGCTTCGTCGTCGACGTAGACCCCTTCCTGCTGTGGTTCGATCCCTTGTGCTTGGAAAGAATCCGGTTCAAGCGCGGATGTGTCGATGCGGGATTCTGGTTACCTGCTCCTATGAAGGATGTGACTGTTCATAGCCCGAGTGAGAACGAAGCGGGGCCGGTTGTGGTTCCGATGGTGCCTGTTGATGCGATGAGAGAGTTGAAGGTTGTGGATGTTTCGGCTCGGACGAAAGTTGGTAGCGTCGATGAGCGCGAGGCAAAGGTAGTTCGGGAGGTGGGAAATCGCGCACTTTGTGATTTCTTTTAGGGCAAATGTGGGTGGGAACGTTCTTGAGGCAATCGGATCGATACGTCTGATGTTTGTGTATTTGGTGTTGATGCTGGGAGGTTGCTCTGTCCACGTGTTGGGTAGTTTGTGAAGTTACGGACCAGACTACGTATCTGTACGATTATTGAGAGGAGATTCAACTTACAATTAATCATCTGAAGATCCATGCTTGATCTCCGGACTTGATGCGGAATTGCGTTCAATACGATCCGTTAATGATGTCATTCATTGCATCGATAAGTTCATAAGAGTGTCAATGATAAGGAAAGTGAATCGATAAAACCAGACAAGCATCAAGCTTCGCTTGCCAAAACGGGCATTATTCATGGAAATGGAAGTACCAGAAAAGTTTCACAAGACTCAGCCGCGATCCAAATCGTGGCGAGAAAGAAAGACGCACATTGACCCATCAAACACACAGAGCACGATGTTACATCGCTTGATCGGCCGGGTTTGCACACTGGGGAAAGTGGTGGTAGAGGTAGTGGTGGTCGATGATCAGAGAAAGGCAGCCGAGCGGGGGAAAAAAAGGAAAGACAGAGCGGGATGCTTATCATTCCTGTCTTTGCTTGAACTTGGTAGAAATACCGAAAAAGGGAGGTTGTCAAATCACTGTCATGTTGCGTCCGATCACAAAATACAAGATGACAAGGAGTTGACTGGGCGATGGCGAGCACGGGTGCTGGAAAAGCAGAGTAGCAGCGCAAATGGGCAAAGCCTTGAGGAGTCGCTAGATAGTAGGCTTGACTCTTTGCTTTCCAGCCTCGGCTTTTGAAAATACTCGATGTCCTTACGCACCGTCCTCGTCGGTGATGCGGATGGAGCCCTCGCTGGCAAAGCCGGAGGTCCAGAAGCCCTCGACGGCAAGGGAGCTAATCGGAGTGTTAGAGCGAGTGGATATCCCACAGAGAGAGATGGAAGGTAGTTTCCATTACCTGGTTTGGGCACTATCCTGCACCAGAACGAGCCAGTAGCCCAAAATACCCTGGGAGAAGATGTCCTGGACGGCGTAGATGATGGTCTCGGCATCGACGCTGATCTTGGTGGCCAGGGAGCCAGCTGCGAGGCCACTGTAGTCGAAAGAACCAGGGTCAATACATTCATCTTGTATGCAATTCCCCCGCCGCGGGGGAAGAGAGAGAGGGAGCGAGGGCGACAGGATTGAGAGGTGGTGTGAGTCGAGACCAACTTACATAGGGAACAAGGCTAGGGCAACAAACGCAGTGCCCGACAAAGCACCAAAGAATCGGCGGACCTTGACGTCCTTGTTGGCAGCGGCGCGCTGGGCATAAAAGGCGCCGTGGTGCAGCATGGTCAAGTAGCTCAGACAGCTGACAGTCAACCAGACCCAGCGTTGCGGGGTGTTACCGGCAAAGGTACCCAAGAGACCGGAGCCCAGCATGGCAAAGTTGGCCACGATGGCGGGGATCAGGTTGGCGCCGGGCAAACCGGAGACGAGGGCCAGGTTGATCAAGATGAGCGGGGTGGAGATGGCCCAGTTCAGGTATCGCAGCCAGAGGACTTGGCGGTAAAGATCCTCGGAGGTGTTGGGAACATGTTTGTGGTGGTGGACCACAGTGGCATGTTTGTAGACGATACCTTGGCCAAAGGCGAGAGCGAGATAGGTGATGAAGGAGAGAGTGGTGACGAGGGAAGCGGTGGTGTGGAAGACACGCTTAGCCTGGGGCGCAACGAGAAAGAGTCAATCATTGTCATATAGGGGTCTCAGATTGACAGAGAATATCGGCGTATGCCAATTTTGTGAAACGACACAGCAAAGCCGAAGCTGTGGCTCAGGCTCCAGCTTAACCTTCGAGGGCTTCGGAGAGGCCTCGAAAATGATGAGGCTGAAGATAAACCAAAAAAAAAAAAGAAACGTATCGGTCAAGAGAGGAAGAGAGGCGGGGATCAGGAGATCGAGTCTAGGCTCGGAGGGAGAGAAGAGACTTGAAAGTACAACCAGTGCAGTACCTGCCAGTACGGGCAATGCCCGTACTGGCAGGTACCGCAAGTGGGCCTGGGCGGAGGGGGTCTAGGCGTTGCGACGGGGGGTCCACCATAGAGGAGCTTACCAGAGGAGCCCGGGCGGCCAAAGTGAAGAAGACCAAGGAAGAAATACCCATCAAGACAGCCACCACCCTGGAGAGCAAGAATCAAGAGAGTTAGCATGATGGGCTCAAGCTCATATTGACAAGAGGTCATGGGGCTCATGACAAAGAATCCAGGCTCGACAGGCAGGATGCTTGTCGAGCCTGTCGAGCTCAACAGCTTCGAGCTCCCCCAATGCATGGTCTGCTGAGACCATGCAGTAGACGCGGGGGACGGAGGAGATGATGCTTACCACAGCGTCCGCTTCCCCGTCTCATGGTGATGCTGATAGATGGGGACATTGGGGATGACGGTGGGGATGGGCGCCACCGAGGTTGGAGTGGTCAGTGGCAGCGAGGCCGCCGTCGCCTGGAGGAAGGCGTCCATGTTGTCTGGAACAAACATTGTGGGGATTGAGCAAGTGAACAAGGAAGAGAGGAGGAATCACGAGGGTGAGAGAAGGGAAGATCAAGTCAAAGAAGAGGAGGAAGACGAAGACGTAGACGACCGCCGAGTCGAGAGGTGTGGGTGACGTGATGAGGAGGGACAAGCAGGTCGAACCACTCTCCAAACGGGTGGTGGGCAGGTGACCTGAGGCGAAGTTGTCCCAGCAGGTGACCCGACCTTGAACTCTCGAACGAGTCTACCCGACGGAATTGGTTGTCGCAGGGGGAGGAGGAATGGGGAAAGGGATAGACGAGAGTTGGTCCGGAATCCGGATTGTTGGTCGCTGACTGAAGCCAGAGACCACCGGTCAGACGGGCCACGACGAGGAAAGCAAACGGAAAGTTCAACAATCACTACTACTGTACTGCCCACTACTGAGAGTGAGTAGTCGTCGAAACTGGGAAGATCGATCAGACATCGATTTTGGGGTTTTCCTTTTTTGGGTGTCTGGACTCTGGAGGGGGCTCAAAAGTGCAAAGGGTTCGTCGACTCACGACTCCAGCGGTGGGACTCTGTCCAGTCATCCGCATCATCGAATTAATCTATCAGACCAAGGACGGGTTCGAAGCAGAACGAATGAGAGCTTCAAGATGCGCAGTGAGAGGAGAGCGACAAGCGCTCTCGACTGGGCGGAAGTATGAATGACACACTGTCGTCATCCCGCCACTGCCCCCGAACAGGAAAACACCTGCCTGGGCGGGGAAAAAGAGACTGGGAGAGACGGGCATCCACGACAGTCACTCGAGTCCATATCCTTAGAAGGGATGGTACTACCTCACTGCAGGTTGAGGACAACAGGAAGTACGTCTGTACTTTCGGAGAAGAATCATGACTGGATGCCCGAGTGGCACAGCGCCTGCAGCTGAGCTCCGGTGGTGGGACACAGAGTCACAGACTGATATGGGGAATTGGAAGAAGACGGAAAAGAGGCGGGGATCACTTCTCCCGTGGGTACCCTGAATAGTACTGTAGTGGTCATCTCAAGACAGAGTCAGCTTCCCCCCGCAGGGGGGAAGCTGATCGGACGGAGCATCAGGGCATGATCGACACATTGATGAGCGTCCTGGGCGTAACCGTCAAGAGCAGGGGTTCAATTACTTCATCATGCAGAATTGGGAAAATGCATAACGTTAGTGGAAGTGCCATGTCATGGCATGAGACCTGTCCCGGTTACCTATACAAGAGAGAGTAGATAGTGATACTACCGAGGTAGATGGATGGATGCTGTGTCCAGGCAAGAAAATACGAGAATCAATGGGAGTCAATATATTATTTCTCATATTATTTCTCAATCTACTATAGCTACACGGTACTGAGTACACACGGCCACACTATGATCGACAGGGTCATCGACAGGGTTCCCAAGGCAGCAAGCAAAAGCATACTCCTGAAACCACAGAGACAAGCCCCAAACACAAGAATGAGATCAGCCTCCTATACTAGAAACGTAGAGAGACGGGTCACATTCGGGTCTCCACGGGCGCCATGCAAAGTGATCCATCCAGCAATCAAATTCAAATGCACAACCCGATAAATGGAAAAGAGGGGAATGAACAGAGAGAGAGAGAGAGAGAGAGAGAGAGAGAGAGAGAGAGAGAGAGAGAGAAGCTGAAACAGAGAGAAGCTGAAACAGAGAGAAGCTGAAACAGAGAGAAGCTGAAACAGAGAGAAGCTGAAACAGAGAGAAGCTGAAACAGGAAGAGCCGAGACGTTCTACTACCACTATAATGACATTCTATCGTTTCGTAGCCGCGCGTCGAGAGGTCCAAGACCCATCCTAGGGAGCCCGGGCAAAGGAGTCTATAATACAAAGAAAGCAAAGATCTGTCAAGAATGACCCAGGTTGAGTGTCATCATCATCATCATGGAGTGTCCCAGCCGCTCTCCATCGTGACTCCGGAAGCCGTGGTGAGGGTTTCCCCAGCTTGACTGAACCGGTCTACACGGCGGAAGGCGTGTCCGTCTCCGCCACAGCCTCCAGTTCGCTGACCACCGTCGCACACCGATCGCAGATGGACTGGTCCTCCTCCTCCACCGCAGCTTCCGGGATGGCGTACCGCCAGCACCGCGGGCACTTGGCAGCCTGAGGCGCATACACGTGCACGCGTCCCGTCCGTCCATCGGGCAGCTCACAGGCATCTTCGTAATGCCATTCCGCCGGGGAGATCGCGGCGGGAAGAGCCTCGTCAGGTTCAGCCAGGGTCACTGAGGAGACGACAAAAAGATCGGGCAACTGAGCCAAGTAGGGCGCGAAGACAGTGTGCGAGCTGTCAGGGAGCACCAGGTGCACGAACGATTGCAGTGAAGACCCGAGTTGCTTTTTACTGCGAGCCTGTTCCTGGAGGTTCTTGATCACCGAGTGAACAGCGACAATCTCCTGGTACTGCGCGTCCAGGGTAGGGTCGTGCCATTCATCAGCAGGGCGGGCAGTGAGGCGCCGCAGGGGGTGCTCGCTGTGAGACCGGATCGCGGCGGGGGTGTGCTCCCAGGTCTCCTCAACCAAGAGCGGCGTGATAGGGCCGAGGGCCTCCTGGAGGTAATGGTAGATATGGTACAAGGTGGTTTGCGCCGCACGTCGGCTCGTGCTATCCTCGCCCAGAGTGTACAGGCGGTCCTTGATGGCCTCCATGTAAAAGGCCGAGAACTCGAGATTGGCCCACCGGTTCATGGTGGCCACCGCCTTGTAGAATTCGAAGTGATCGCACGCCTTTTGCGTCGTCACAATCATATCCGAAAGATGTTTCAGTGCGATGCGATCGACAATCTGTAGTTGCTCGTACGGCACCACCGATTCAGGCCGGAAGTCACCGAGGGCGCCCAGCAGGAGCTTGAAGGTGACCCTGAATTTGTGCAGACTAGTATGGACCGTCTGAAGCACTTGCTTTCCGATCACCACGTCGCGGGTATAGTCGCTGCTGGCAGCCCACAGACGAAGTGCGTCGGGGCCCAATGCATCGTAGCTCGGCTCTGCAGTCTCGGCCTGTTTCTTGCCCTTGCCCTTGCCCTTGCGGGGCTTCAACGGCGGTAGAAGAGTGCCGTCCATGATGGTTTGAGGAGCAATCGTATTACCGATAGACTTACTCATCTTCCGTCCATGCTCATCGAGCGTAAATCCATGAGTGATCAGATTCTTGAAAGGCGCGCGAGGAGCTACCGGCTGATTCGACGCAATTTGATGCGAAACGTATGTGAGCAACCCAGACTGGAACCAACCCCGATGTTGATCGGATCCTTCTAAGTAGACATCGGCAGGGTGACTTCGGCCGTCGAGAGGACCATCAATCTCTGCCCAACTGGTACCACTGTCGAACCAGACATCCATGGTGTCCATGCCGCGTCGATAACCAGCAGGAGCATCCCGCAAACTGGGATGAATCCATGCACTGTCATCCGCATCATCAGTCCACCAGGCATCAACGCCACGCTCCTCAATAGTCTGCATAATATGAGACACACTCTCCTTGGTCAAGACCGCTTCACCACTGGACCGGTGATAGATAGCAGGAATGGGAACACCCCATGCTCGCTGGCGAGAGATACACCACTCACTGCGGTTCTTCACAAAGTTGTTCAGACGGTGCTTCCCAGCTTCGGGCACAAAGTGGACATCCTCCAGGGCCTTGAGAGCGCTACCGCGAATATCAGCTACATCGGCAAACCATTGTTCGGTCGCACGGATGATGATCGGCTGCTTGGATCGCCAGTCATAGGGATACTTGTGCTCATACTTGTGTTGAGCGAGAAGATAACCGTGGGACTGGAGGTATTCCAGAACAAGGTCATTACCCTCACCTAGGACAAGTTTTCCAGTCAAGTATGCGGGGTTCTGAGGCATCGCCTTATCTGTGAACCGACCTTCGTCGTTGACAGGCGCAAACACTGGAATACCTCGAGCCAAGCAGGCTTCGTAGTCATCCATACCATGGCCGGGTGCACAGTGGACCACACCGGAGCCAGAATCGGCTGTAACAAAGTCTGCGCTGATGATCGGCTGCGGAGTGGAGTTGTCATCCTTGATGATATGCCGGTACGTCGTGTGGTCGGCCAGATCAGACCCCAGAATTGACGGTTCAACAACTTGAATCTCCTCTTTGAGCATATTCTGGAGATATTGGACTCTGGATTGGGCGACAAGTAGATGGCCATGCTTTTCTGAGTGCACGATGACATAGTCCATCTCCGGGTGAACGGCAATGGCCGCGTTGGCAGGCAGGGTCCAGGGAGTCGTAGTCCAGATCACAGCATTGACGCTCTTCGGGTGAAGTCCTTGAATTGCAGAAAGGCGTGGTGGCAGCCTGACCAGTGGAAATTTCACCAGAGCTGCAGTAGAGACATGGTCCTCCTGGTATTCCAGCTCCGCCTCGGCCAAGGCGGTACCAGTTGAAGGGGACCAGTAGACAGGCTTGAACTTGCGATAGATGAGGCCATGATCCACCATCTCTCGAAAAATTCCCAATTGGCGCATCTCGAACGATTTGTCCATTGTTTTCCAGTGGTTCTCCCAGTCCGCCATAACCCCAAAGCCCTTGAAACCTTTCATCTGCGCCTTGACAGTCTGTCGAGCTAGCTGACGCGCAGATTTGCGAATCACCGCAGGGCTCGCTGATTCAACTGACGAACCCGCTTCGCGCAAGCCTTGAAGCGCCTTGAGCTCGATCGGCAGGCCATGGCAATCCCATCCAGGCACGTAACGCACCCGTTTACCGCGACCCAATTGTACTCGGTTGATGATATCCTTGAGAATCTTGTTCAGCGCATGACCGATGTGCAGGTCACCATTTGCGTAGGGAGGCCCATCATGGAGAACGAAGGCTTTATCGGCTGGTCGTTTGCAACGTTGCCAGGCGTAGAGATCGTCGGTGCATCGTTTGAGGTACTTCGCCTGGTCGGCCGGCGACACGCGCGGAGGAAATGTCGACTTGGGAAGTTTGAGAGTCGATGTCCACGACTTTGGATTCAGCCGTGCTGGTTTATGCATTCTCCCAGCATCTCCCCATGGAAGTCGCAAAACAATTTGGGAGACCTCGAACGATTTGTAAATTGTGAGAAATGGCGCGGAGCCTCGGAGGATCGGCGAGAACGGGCATTGAAATATTTGTACAGGTATTTACCAATCATACGCGGATCCTCCTCATGGGATCTGCAAAAGGCGGGTAAGTTTCGGTATCAAGTGCTTGCACTACATACATATTCCGCCTCGGCCTATATAGCGGTCAGTAGGTTCTCTTACATACTTAAGTAATTAAGACTTCAAAAAAGTTTCCATCTGCACTGAATACATATCATCATCGTGAATCATAGTCATTGAACCAGGCTATTACTGAAGGTATCAATAAACTGTTAGACAGCTAACGGAGCCGTTCTTTAGCACTTCAAACAAGAGCCCCGGGAAGCCAAAAAGTTCAGTATTGCCCAACCCGCCGTCATGCCCATCGGAGACATTTCTGGGCCCTCGAGCCATGCTCTCTTCCCATCCGCCGAGGAACTCAACACTACTTTCAGGACTGTCACCCCAGCCGCGATTCAAGACCATTGGTCTCTGCATGTCACGTCGTCCAGAGACTCCAGCTTCTGAACCTCTCCATACGTCGCGCAGTGTTTGAGATATTTCGTCGTAGGGAGTCTCCGAGTTGAGAGTTTTGTCAGACGAATCTAGATGAATCGTCCAGCGACTGCGGCGATGGCGATTGAACGGATATGATCCAGGCACGTTCCCATGTAATATGATTTTGGTCACTGTCAGCTGTGAGGCGGACGGCTGGGAGGATGGCTCAGGGAGGCTTGATAAAGGGAATGCAGGTCCTGGCGTCGCAGGGTACGAAATGAAAGCATCGAATCCGTGATGAAAGTAATTGAAAAAAGACTCGGCAGGGAGGGAAGTGGGATCGCTGATGTTGTTTGATGATACCTCCTCATCCGAATCGTCAGTTATACTGTTGTTGGAGGAGTGGTCAGTGTCGGCAATTTCCAGCCCGGTGCCAGGCAGTGAGCCTAGGTGGAGAGCCTCTCCCGCGCCGAGCCCACTCGCTGCGCGGTGGATTGAGATCCTTCGGTCATGTTTACGGTATATCGCATCTGGCGGGCCGAACTCGGCAATGAGATCCTGAGCTGTTGTCTCCCCTAAGACAATCTGCGCTGGAGGACTGTTTCGTCGCTCTACTTCTAGTTTCCCAGCGCCGAATATGTGGAAGCCTTCAACCTCATCAGCCAAAACATCGCGACTCTTGCCCATCACCGTTGACGAGCGCGGGTACTGTGGCTGTTGAATGAACAGTTTTGCGCGGACCTCGGGCCACGATGGCCCTTGGAAGATCGACATGGACGTCGCTGATAATGCAGCGGAAGATGACAGCAAGGCTACAAAGTCGCACGACTCGGACCAAGCTGAATGTTGAAGGGGGAAGGAGAACGCGACGCCTGGGTATGAAAGAACGTAGGTACCGTATTGTGCATGAGGATCTGTTGGCGGGACATATTCGCCTGGGTATGAGGGTCCGAAGAGACGATTGTAGACATGTCGAAACCCCGGACCCTGTGAGGTAGAACTCATGTCGCCTGTCTTGCTTGCTTTCACGACCTCCTGGTTCTTGTAAACGAGGTTTGCGCGCGAAAAATCTAGTACCTCGATCAATCGCAATCTTTGGTCCGGGCCGTCAAATCTAAGCCGCAGTCCGTTGGCAGGCAGTTTAAGAACAATAGGGTCGTGTAAAGGGTTTGCTGATGAATAAACCAGATCAATTTCGGGGTATATCTGGGGGTGCGATTTGACCCGAGTCAACACGTTATGCAATGAAGCACCCAGCGCTTTTTCACGATTAGCGACAACGGTCATCCGTATAGATATGTTGCGGGGGACACATACTGATAAAGCCCAAGCCCTTCCCGGGGGATATCTGAACTGCTGCCGCCCGAGGACTCATCGTGGGAGATCAGTAGCTTCTCATGAAATTCACTTGGAGCCTCGAGAAGACAGAAAGAACAAAATAAAGGCAAAGCAACCGCGGGGGCGAAGCACGATGATGCTAAACATCATGTGAGGGGAAAGCGTGACCGGGGGACCGTCACGTGGGATCGGCGGACTATCTGCATATCGGCTTATCGCGGGCGGACATAATCCACTTTATTTATGTCGGGTGTGTCTGCGGATGGGCTCAAGACGGTGCAACAGGTGGGGCCTAGTGCAAGGTTGACGGGCGGCAGTTGAGAGCAACATGGACGACACTCAGGCAAATGAATATGACAGACGCGATATTGAAGTACATTTTGCCAAAAGCTAGTAGTATCCAGCTATCTAGCTCGTATTTCAGAGCTTCCGCTATGATATGAATACGATTTCAGGTCGAAGTTATCGCATAAAAGATCATCGAGAGGCGTAGTGCCACTTGGTCACGTGATGATTGTTTATGTTTTGCCCAAAGAGATACCGTCCTCGCATCCCCGATTCTGCACATACCGCACCAAAGAGTAGTGATCCAACTACGAATTGATTTCTCAGGGCCACGCACTCAACTGAAAGGTTTGAGCTCGTGTCTACTGGAATTGCGCTACTCATTACCAACGAGGTTCAAATGCCCGCTCCCGGACGGGCAAGCACGGCCATTCCTGCCGCCACCAGGCGCTCAGGTTTGCGCCAGCCTACTCGGCGAGCCGGATCCGCAGTCCCTGATCGACAGACCACGCCGTCTGCCTTTGCGAGACCAGCAGCACCGACCGCGCCCCGTCTTCAAAAGCCTGCCGTAGAGCAGACAGCACCAGTAACGAAAAGAAAAGACAGGGAATTCGAACGTGAGATCAACGAAGACACGAGCATTCATGTGGTCGTGCGGTGTCGAGGGCGCAATGAGCGCGAGATCAAAGAAAACAGCGGAGTCGTTCTGTCAACCGAAGGAGTGAGCGGCAAAAGCATCGACCTATCCATGGGACCGAACGCAGTTTCAAACAAAACGTATGCCTTTGACAAGGTGTTCTCGCCTGCAGCCGATCAGACGATCGTGTACGAGGAGGTCGTTCTGCCGATACTGAACGAGGTAGGCTGCCTCGGTCAATCCCAAATACTCCCCAAATTCGATACTAACTTTGGAACAAAGATGCTCGCCGGGTATAACTGTACCATTTTCGCATACGGACAAACGGGAACAGGGAAGACATACACAATGTCAGGAGACATGACAGATACATTGGGTATCTTGTCAGATGATGCCGGTATCATTCCGCGCACGCTCTACTCCCTCTTCCACAAACTCGAAGATACAGAGAGCACGGTCAAATGCTCCTTCATCGAACTGTACAATGAGGAGCTTCGAGATCTTCTCGCGGCGGACGACAACACCAAGCTTAAAATTTACGAGAATGAAAAGAAGGGCCACTTGGGCACATCTGTGCAAGGAATGGAGGAAACCTACATCGACTCCGCCACAACTGGCATCAAATTGCTGCAAATGGGAAGCCACAAGCGTCAGGTCGCGGCCACCAAATGTAACGACCTCAGCTCACGAAGCCATACAGTCTTTACTATTACCGTCTTGATCAAACGGACCACCGAGTCCGGCGAAGAGTATGTGAGCTCTGGTAAGCTCAACTTGGTCGATTTAGCAGGCAGCGAGAATATCGGTCGCAGTGGTGCCGAGAACAAGAGGGCTACTGAGGCTGGCTTGATCAATAAGAGTCTCCTGACTCTGGGCCGAGTCATCAACGCGCTTGTCGACAAGAGCTCACACATTCCTTACCGTGAGTCGAAACTCACTCGCTTGTTGCAAGACTCCCTTGGCGGCCGAACAAAAACATGCATCATCGCAACCGTCTCACCAGCCAAGCACAATCTCGAGGAAACAATCTCAACACTGGACTATGCCTTCCGCGCCAAGAACATTCGGAACAAGCCTCAGATCAACTCCTTAATCTCCAAGAGCAAGTTACTCCGTGAAATCGGCATGGAAATTGAAAAGCTCAAGAGTGAGCTTATCGCTACACGTCACCGCAATGGTGTATATATGACACCCACCGCCTACGAAGAATTGACCATGGAGAGTGAATCCCGACGGATTGTGAACGAAGAACAAAGAGCCAAGATAGAGTCCATGGAATCTAGTCTGAGACACAAAGTGCAGGAGCTGTTCTCGCTTACAGCCAATTTCAACAGCCTGAAACAGGACAACGAACACACACAAACCAGGCTGAAAGACACCCGAAGTACCCTTGAGCAAACAGAATCGACACTCAAGAGCACCTCAGATAAGCTGGACGAAGAAACTGTATTGAGGAAAGCCCACGAAGCCACAGAAAAGAAACTCCGTGATGTCGGGGCCACACTTTTGTCAAGTCTGGACACGACTGTTGAGGACATCCATGGATTGCATGCCAAAATTGGCCGCAAGAATATCCTCGATAACGAGAACCGTGAAATATGGGAGGCGTCCACTGGCGAAGTGTCCACCGTCACCCACCAGATTGATGCACGAATCGACGGCTTTCAGACCCAGCATGCTGAAATTCTCAGGAACATGTCGAACAGAATTGATCAATTCGTCGTCGAAGAGCTCCACGCTGTGCAGTCCACTCGATCTCAACTTGATGATTTTGCCGTCTCATTCGACAAGGTCGAGCTTGATGCGAAGAAGCAAGCTCACAACGCACATGACGAGATGAACGAGGTTCTTGAGGAAATTAAAGTTCTTCGTGAGGATGTCAAAACCAAGGTAGGCGAAGGACTCAACGGCCTATCAGCCGCCGCTGGTCGCATATCCGAAGAAGTTATTGGGGAATTTGCCGAGTTTCACTCGCAGCTGCATTCGTCATACAGTTCCCTTGGAAGAGACATCAAATCCATGTTCGAGACAATGACTTCGCATATCAATCAGCAAAAGTGTGAAATTGACAAGCTCAGGCTCGAGCTCCAGGAGGCCAATCGTCAGTCGGTGGAAGCCAGTCGCAAAGCATCCTCAAATTTGGCGCAAGTCATGGAGGAGGAGCAGGCTGCGGCGAGAGGCGAGCGTGACTTGCTTATGTCGCAGATCAAGGCTTTGATTGAAGAGTCAAATCAGCGCCAAGCTGCCCGTTTCAAGGGCAAGTGCGAGGTGGTACGAACAGACATCTCGGCTGCTGGCGATTCATTAGAGCATGCCACAGCCCACTACGACCGCCAGATTGATGAATGGATTTTCAAAGAGGAGCAATTTGCCAAAGACGTCAACGCATCGAAGGATGAGATGAAGTCTAGAATGCAACATGATTGGGAGGTAAGACCAAGATCTGTCCTGGGAATCGAACGCGTCACTAAACCTGACTCTAGGCTTTCGATCAACGCAACGTTACCATACAACAGGCAACAGAGTCCGTGCATCAAGAGACTGTGCGCATTGTGGATGCTCAGATGCAGGACATGAGCAAGCAAATGGAAGCGCTTGATGACTTCGTCGCCACAGCCCGATCACATAATGGCCGCTTCCACGAGTCGCAGCTCGGTAGCTTAGACGCCCTGGCCACGAACGGAAGGAGCTCACGCAACCTCATTCAAGAACAACTGAGTAGTCTTGAAGACCAAGTTGCGCAGCTTCAGGAAGATGTAGTGATGTACACGGACGAAATCGAGCAAGCCACTGCCCCCCTTGATCGAGAAGTTCGGAAGCCGCTGTCTGAGCTGCGTACCCGCATTACAAGTCATTCTATCAAGGAGTATGTTCCGACTGGAGCGACTCCAAAGAAGCGCAAGTATGAGTACGATACGGAATTGCCTCGCACGGAAGGGCATGATGGAATTCGTACACGACACAGAACATCGAAACAATTCACCGCGCTTCCATTCAACGAGGAGATTGAGGAGCCTCCTGTCCCCAGCTCGCCGGCGTCTTCACCCGCTAAGGGTTTTGTTTATAGCGATACCGCGGAAGAGGTAGGGATTCAAGCCCCGTCGTCCGCAACCAAACTCTCCAACACTGGCCTTAGGGAAGTCGATATCAATGTCGCCAAACCAATCTTGCACGATAATGATGAAGAATCAGGCTTTGTCAACAAACCTGAGACTCCGACACTTCCCCTTTCTTTGGACCTGGACAGTACACCCGATCACGACGAGTCAGAGCAGCCGCCTTTGAAGCGTCGCCGCTCCGCGTCCAGTAATCCTCCGGCGGAGTCCAAGCTGCCTCCCAAACTGATATCCAAAAGGATGGCTGGTATGATGGAAGGCCGAGAGAATGTCCGTCCATCAAGTTTCACTGGCGGGCGTAGATTCAGGACCCGCAACGCGGAGTGAGCTTTGCACGGGATCTATTCCCCTGGCCTGGATGGCCGACTTTTTCCCCGTCACTTGGGTTTCTGTTTCTGTTCTTATATTCCGTTCTATTGGGTTAATTCCCTTCGGTTCGTTTCCTTTGATACCCATCATCGCAGGTGATTCTATGGAGTTGGGGTTGCTGCGCAAGTTGTAAATGTCGGGGGCCCTCTGATGTATTTGTCTCATCGAGCGAGCTTCTTCATTCAAACCTTTCACGAGACGTCTAGTCATTCCTTACTTCTCAATTCTTTGTCTCTTTTTTTGGCCTTTCGCGCATGATGATCTTCCAGTTTGAGTCTCTTCATTGCCGTGTCAGCTGGATTTACACCGGCGCGAGCAGAGCGATCATGTCGGCAGCAAACATATCGAGCAAGACATTGAGATTGAATTCATGTGACTTGATTACTGTTACGTCACTCGGAGACCCCTCTGAGGATCCTTAACCACAAAGCTTAATAAGACTCCTTCGAAGCCTCAATGGTTAGTGCTTTTTCTCCATCCGAGTGGGTATCTGCTCCTTCAACAGGCTCGGCTGCATCGGCGTTTCGCTCTTGCCCATTCGGCGCTTCTTGCGGCGAGGGACTAATATTTGCAGCCTCTATCACCATCTGTAACTCACGCATTCTCTTCGCAAACTGGTCCATCATAGCCTCGAGTCGAGATTTTTCACGGTCTCCTTGGTCCACTGCCACTTCTGTGGGTAGGCCTTCGGTCCCCAAGATCTTGAGCATCAGACCATGCCCAGGAGCTTCGCCAGACTCGTAATTTTCGAAGGTTGGCGCCGGCGCTAACTCGCTGCCTAATGTCTGCCATGAGGGTGAAAAGCTCTTTGCAGATTTGATCCGATATTGGGGCTGCGACATGCTCGGCGCAGGAGATGCTGGATGCGGTTCGATGTACGCAGGCGATGTGGAAATGGACCCCGCGCCATGAGCTTCGGCGGTGCTATTGAAAATTTTCGCCTGATCATCATTTTGCGTCACGCCGGTTGTCAGGGACACAGGCTCAATGTCGATAATGATGTAGTTTTCACGTACTCCAGGAATCGGCGGCGGGAGTAAGGAGGTCTTGTCACCTTCGACTGGGTCTTCAGAGCCCTGGGCTCTACTTGGCGATTTATTGGTCGACTTTTGCCCAGGCTGATCATCTTGTTGTACCTCCAAGCTACGCAGAGCAGCTTCTGTGACGATGTCGGTGTCATCGTCAGAGAATATGTAGTGCACCGTCGGGTGGAAATGCTCTGAAGTGTGAGCATCCTGAATGAGAGTGAAGAAGGGCTGAAACGGCGGACGGATCTCTTGATGGGCTAAGGTTTCGTCATTGAGCATCTGGCCGACGCTGTGCTTGGATTCCTGGCCCAGGCCGCCATGGGCTGACGATGAGATTGGTAGAACATGATCAGATGCCGCATCACCTGCGGAATGGCTATCAGAAGCGTGAACCGACTGGTCGCTGACCCGGGAAAGATGTTCTGGTCTCGCTACATGTTCAGCTGGACTTGATTGTGGCAAAGAAGAGGAAGGATGGGCTGCTTTGTTCACAGCCATGTCCGTCTCTACATGACCGAGGTAGCGAAGAGGTGTGGGGAGATTGTAGTGGCCATAGTGACATGGATTGCTCCTTATCGCGGCTTTGCACGTGACCTTATCGGGACTGAGAGGGCAAGACATTGTGAGCAGCTTTGTTGTTCCGTGGCTGAAATGGCCAAATGAATTGGCTGAGGCGTAGATAGGACGAAATAAATTGCAAGACAAGGGAAAAAGTGTAGCATCTTGGAAAAATAACGGTAAGAACATTGAGGGAGGTATGAGAAGTCCACGGTAGTCTACTTATCGCTAGAGTAGCAGAGCCTGCTCTCAGCTCAGCCGGCGCTGTGAGGGTTGAGCAATCAATGACCAGAGGTCCGAGACAGCCAGTGGCTCAAAAACTTGCAGAGTGTAATCTAATTGATAAGCTAAAAGCAGAAATGAATGGGTATACTTGAAATAATGATAGAAGCGCCAGCTGTATGCCAACAGGGTGCAGACGTGCACGGTCGTGAGGACCATGATCCTACTTTTCATCCTGAACCCACTCGAATTCTGGCGATGCAATGTGAGCTTCATCATCAGACATCCCGACAGTGAAATAGTGGACTTACTTTGACGACACATTGGGCATAGACCTTTCGATGTCTCTTGCTGTATCCATGTCATGAGGCAATGCTGTGTTCGGTATTAGCCAAGCCCTGACCACGGGCAGACTATATCGCGACCAGGTAAATACCCACCATATGAAAAGAATGGCCGCACTTGCCAATCACTAGCTCACGAATATGGTTATCAATTTGCTGATTCATCAGGCACAGAGATTCACAGTATGTAACTCACGTAAAGCGCAATCATCGCCCGGAAATTTGCAAGTCGGACAGGTCCCGTCAAACTGGACACGGCAAATACCACAGACCTCATCTTCGGGCATGTCCCAATGCCAGGTGGCTACCGCATTCCATTCTTTCAAAATCACCTTCATTATAGTGGTGAGATGTATCAAGTGCAATGGATGTATCTCATGAGAAAGTGCAGTCCTTAGCGAGGAGGAGCAGAAAGTGATGTGTGAGGATGCAGGTGCACCTCTACAGGAAGTGTACTGCCCGTTATCGTGTGGTCATCGCGTGTTGATGTCAACTTATCGCCCCATCGACTGAATTTCTTATCGGCTTATTCTTATCGAAGCTTGCCCTTGTTCCGTCATTATCGCTTTATCACATGAGATCCGTGCAATTACTCCGCACCTTCTCCACAGCCTACACAAGGTTGTTGACGCAACCTTAACCAAACAGGTGACTTAGTCGCACACAGTCTGCTCACAGAATCGTTTGCGACTACAATGGCTGCTCGAATCGGTGCTTCCTCGATTCGAGGTTTCCGGACAAAGATGGCGGCAAGCTCTCCCTCAGTCTCACAGACGCGTCAGATCTCCTTCTCTTCTTACCTGGTCACCCCGACGGAGCTCAACGAAGCTCTCAAAAAGAACCCGACATCGAAGATTTCTACCTCTCCCCGCGTGATTCCTCTGTGCGCTGCTTGGTTCATGCCCAACGATCCAGAGAATCGCAATGGCTTTGACTCTTTTCGACAGTCTCGAATTCCCCACGCTCGTTTTTTCGACCTTGATGCGGTCAAAGATCATGATTCGCCTTACCCGCACATGCTTCCGACATGTGAGACCTTCGCTGAAGCTATGAGTGAGCTCGGTATCCGCCGTGATGATGAGATCGTTGTCTATGATACTGCTGAATTGGGGATTTTCAGCGCCCCTCGAGTGGGGTGGACATTGCGTGTCTTTGGCCATCCAAACGTTCGCGTTCTGAACAACTACCGTCTCTGGGTCCGTGAAGGATTCCCGACTGAGAGTGGAGAGCCTGACCCGATCGAGAAAAGCAAATACCCACTGCCAATCTACGATTCTAAACTGGTCATTACGTTCCGTGAAATGAAAGAACTCGCTTTGGACGTCGGGAAGGAAGGCGCAGAGGAAGTTGAGGTTCTGGACGCTCGGTCACATGGTCGCTGGTCTGGATCAGACCCTGAACCGCGCCCCGGTCTGTCGTCGGGTCACATTCCAGGCTCAAAGAGTTTACCTTTTCAGGAATTGCTGGACCCCGAAACCAAGACTTATCTTCCGGCAAAGGAGTTGCGGAAGGTCTTTGAAAAGCACAATGTTGATCCTTCCCAGTCGATCATCAGCTCTTGTGGGACCGGAGTCACAGCAAGCGTCATTGAGACCGCTCTCAGCGTTGCAGATTATGGCCCAGCCCATCTTCGCCGGGTGTATGATGGCAGTTGGACGTGAGTGCGGTGTCTCTCCTGCGATCTATTTGTTACTGACTTGAGGAATAGGGAATGGGCTCAACGGGTCAAGGCCTCAGATAACCTGATCAGAAAGATCTAAACCCAAGGTCTTGAATCGGCAAACGTTTTCAGCGTCACAGCAACATTCAGATGGACCTCACTTCTAGAATTCGTCAATTCCTGATTTAGTCCTGCATTCTTTCTAGACGATACTCCACCCGCTGTCTCATAGATGCCTCGTTTGAGGATCTATCTCATCATTATCATGCAAATGTCACACTTTCACTTACCTCTCAGTTGACTCACAATGAATAAAGACTATGTTGATCTCCGTACATGTTATGTATCTTTTCTAGATTGAAACACTTACTCGCTGGCCCTGGCTTTGATGACAAACTAGATTAGGCGTTCATTTCAAATACTCACCTCGTCACCCTAAAATAACAGATAGCGGTGGGCGCGGGCGCTCTCCTGAGCTTGACGGTAGAGGGCGGACGGGCACCTAGCGTCCACGGGTGACCTAAGTATAAGCTTAGTAAGCCTCGTTTTGATCACCGACGGTGCCTCACTGCCTGAACATACAACGCCGGAGCCGGATACTTCAGCTCATCGTCACAGATCGGGAAGAACCTTGACAGCATCGGCCTCCGCGTACACAACGCTCCCACCCGCTTCTCTATCGACAGTTTTGCCCCAAGTTGAAGATGCTGCAGATGATCTTGCACCCTCACGCTACTCATTGTAAGTCACACGTTCACTTCTCTAATACCGTCCTATCGACCGACCAGCGCAGTCCTCGGCGCCCCCACATTCTCATATGTCCCGCAATTACTGAAACCTCCTTCTTCGGCTCGATTTCTTGCCCCTGTTACTGACTGTTTTGATCGTGTTAGTCGCGGCTGTCAAATCACTTAGTCTTCCAGCTTAGGAGACCCTTTTGCGCTTCTTTCACCCTCCACATCTTTCTTCCTTTGTCCAACTCGACCACATTCGTTCCCTGCTTCCGCCATGTCAACTGGACGCAAGGTCTTCCATTGCGCCCTGGACGAGACGGCGCTCACCACCAACATCAGCGAGATCAAAAAATGGACCAGCAACGGAGCCATCGATCTTATTGTTCCACTCTACAGTATGTGTTTCAAACTTTTGAACCTTTGATCTTGATGCAGTTATCCCTCGCTGCGTGAATCTTGATCTTAAATTTCTCATTCTCTCTTGTCATTTAGCTCTTGAACGACTCCACGCTCTCAAGCGCGCCGGATCGCAAACTGCTATCAATGCTCGTGAGGCCGTGCGCTTCCTTGACCGAGTCACTTCTGGAAAAGACAACATTTCCGCCGACCGGGTTGTCTTGCAAGGTCCCATGGAGCAGTATGAGCGATGGGAGGAAGCAGAGAAGTTCTTCTTGCCCGAATTTGAGGAGGAACCCGAGACGATGGGCGACTCAGATCTCGTACAGTCTTCAGCCGAAGGATCGCCTAAAGTCAACGGAAGCTCTGACTCGCAGGATCTGTCGCAAATGTTGCTGAGCAAGTTGAATTTCAAAAAAGACACCGAGGTCGCCTCTATCACTTCTGGTGGTTCTCCCAGCGCACCTGGATCGCGCAACTCCTCCCGCAGCTCTCGCACCAGCCCCGAGTGTGCTCACCATGAGAATGGCACGGCTGAGGATGGTGAGGTGCCCAAGTCAGGTCACCGACGAACTGAATCTGGCAGCACGATCCCCGTCGCCCCGCTTGTGCTTCGACCTCTTCTCAGCGCACTGCTCTGGAGGCTTCACAGTGGTCCAGATGCTGAGAACTCTACCAAAAGCTGCATTTTGGTGACAAACGACCGAACGACCCAGGTCTGGGCCCAGAAATTCGGCATCGCGGTCAAGAACATTCTCCAGCTACGGACTGCGATTCAATACGAAGAAAGGGAGTTCAAAAATCGCTGCAAGTATGTTGAGAAAGTCCAGGCACAACCTGCAGAGCAGCCTAAGACTCTTCTGTCATACGAGGACGAGTCAGACGAGGATGAGCTTGTCTTCGTCCCACGTGGTGGCCGCGGTGGTAAGCCTGTCTCTTCTCGCGGAGCGCGCAATGGAGCCTCTCGCAAGAGCACACCGAAGGTTGTACCTGCTGTCGTCGAGACCTCTGTGGAAGTTCCTACCCAGCCAATCGACCCCAACTCGTTCAGCAGATCCCTCGGCGGCGCCAAGCAAGCCCCTGCGACTGTAGACTTGAGTACACAGCAAGGTGCCGCTCGTGGTCTGGCAGGAGCCTCTCGTCGCTCGAATGGACGCCGCGGAGGCGCTGGTCGGGCCGCTGGCCGAGGCAACGGACGTGGTCAGGGTAAGCTTTGGGTTCCTTGATTGAAGACTCAAGTCTCCAGTGATTATCGATTACATCGTACTTCTCCTGGCAGACCGTGGATCCTTCATTCCTGCAAATCACCCGAACATCCAAGAACTGGAACGGGCGTGTCTTTGTCTCCTTACCCACACCAAACGTGACTATGCGACAGAGAACCTTGACTGCGACTTTCGAGCGAACTGGACTTCGTCCAGACCGTTTTACTCCTTGTCCTCTCGTCATCCTGGTCCCGGCTATGGCTTCCAAGCTAGCTGGGTAAAATCCGAAATCTTCGCGCGTGTTCACGTGTGATGAATGAGCCTTGAACGAAACACATCATGAGCTCACTGCGTACGTGTCTCATTTGTGCACCCTCATGCGGACCCTTCACTTCTCGGACAGATTCTGCTTCCTGAAACCATGTGTGGAGGAATTGGGTTGCTCTTTCTCGCCTTTTCCGAACTTTGACGTTGGAGAACTTGCTTTCTTGCTTTGCCTTCGACTTTGTATGATGTTGATCCGGATAACCTTTTACTTCGCCAGATCTACTACAAGGGCGGAGAAAACGCGCAACGCTAAAATTCCATTATTTCGCGCTACTTGATTCTCACAGAAACGTGCCTACCTCTGTAGTGTCCATCTTGCGTAGTTTAGTAAGCGTGAACGAGATCCACGTCAATGAAGGTGGATGGCAGGGCAAACCAGAATCATAACGTGGAGGGAAACAGGGCCGAGTGCCTCGAAAAGACAAGCTGTGTCGTTTCACAGGTAGATAGTCGTCTTCGATCAGATGACAAGACACATGTCAGTTCCTGGTAGATTCCAAAGTCCTAAGTTTATGACACTCTTGAATCTCATGCTGGTAGGTAGGTATGACTGTATGAGCAGTCGGTCAGTCAGGAACAAGAGCAATCGTCACAGAATATGTACGGTAGCATTGCTACTACGATGTCTGTTCGAGCCGAAGTATCCACGTGGGTAGAGTCACCTCGATTTGAATGCAAGCTTAGTGGCGCATGATGTCGACTGTCTGGATATTTTGGATGTCCCTCAATACAACCCACATTTCCAGTGCCTTTTGCAGTCATCTTGCGTGCCTTGAGGATTCAAAATCTACTGTATGACGGAGCCCCATGGCCTGTCACCTGATTCGGTCACACCAGTAGCGTTGGCGTGCCAACGGCCCAGTGATCTCCTCGTGGGACGTGGGCGTGATGGGGCTTCCCCGCACGTTGGAAAAGGGATCGACGGTGATTCTCACATCCCACCTTCATCTTTGTTCCCACCACCACTCAATCTACCAGGTTCTTTCTTCCAATTCAACTTATTGCCCTGTGCAATTAGTACTCAATTATCAAATATTCAAGATCATCCTCTTTTCACAATGTCTGGCGTTATTGACGAGACCCCACTCAGTGCTGCGCCTCTCGAGCGCCGGAACTCTTTGGAGAAGCATCTCCAAACTCGCCCAGACATGCAGGATCTCAAGAACCGCCATATCCTGCTGGACACCAACGTGGCCCCGTACAGAGCCTGAGCATACCCAGAGTTGGCAGCTCACATTTGGACTAACAGATCACCTCTCAGATCTCTCCAGTCAGCTCAGCAAGAGCTCGATCGTCACCGCGCGACGGACAGTCTCAAGAAGAATCTAGAGAAGAGACCTGACCGTGATGAACTAGTGGAGCGTACATCTCCCTTTTTCCTTGACTTTCTCAGATGGTTCACCAGCATGAGGCTCTTTTGCTTTCGATTGCCTTGCCACGCCGCTCTGATTCACACATGATCTATCTCTTGCAACTTTGAGATTGCTTTTGATGACCCTCTACTAACGAGCAAAGGGAATATTCTCCCCGCGACCACCGCCGCACCGGCCTTGCAAGCTCACGCCCGTGAGCTCGAACGCCACATGCTGGCCGACAACCTCGAGCACAAGATTCAGAATCGACCCCAACCGGATACATTGATCACTCAGGGCATTTTGACAGAGGATGAAGATCCCCGATCGGCCTAAGCAATGTGTGTCTGGTCCTTCTGTCCTCTTGCTCTAGTCAATGTGAAGTTTCCACGCTTCCCTGAAATCATGCAGAACGGCGGGTTCTTCTTCAGGGAGGCGCCTATTATTTTTCTTACGTGATCGATGTTGATCAGTTCCTGAAATTCTGCTGAGACCCCGCCTCGTGTACGGTAAGCCTGTATGGCTTCAATTCAATGATCCCATGATTTTTTCTCCGTATGCTACTGCAGTGAATTTTTCGAGGCCATCGCAATATCTCTGTCGACCGTTATACTCTTAGGACTTTCAATAGTAGGTAGGTACGTAACACTACAAAGTACATACAGTACATCAGAGTCTTAGAGGTGGTGATGTCACTGTGACGCTGTGACCAAAGGGAAAGGAGCTGTCCCCACAGAGTGAAACCTTAGCTTATTCCTTATCCATGAGCCTCTGAGCACAAGAAATGCGAGCTGGACCAATCTCTCTGTAGAACACAGTCGAATCTAGCATTGATGATGAGGGTACTTGATACCTCCCAACACCTGGACCAGCTGATCAAGCAACAAGACATACCTGCCCATACACGAGCCTTTGGCCACTCTTCATACTAGACACCGCGACTGAATGGAGCTTGTGGTGTACATTGAGGACTAGTTTCCATAGTGCTTACACAATTTGGAGAAAAAAAATTTACCGAACCGATGAGAATATTTCAAAGTAAGCGGAGGCCATGCAATCTGGATTTTTGGAACATCGTGCGAGGGCTTGCCGCTGGGTTAGCGCACGAGTAGTATGCCTTCAATGTAACGAGGAGGAGCACCATGATCAGACTCCTAGTGTATCAGATAGCATAGTAACATGCGTTCCATGGCTTCTGGTTCACCAGTATGTAGCCACGTGTGAAGATGGGGCCGGCTTATTCCCGAGTATATTTCGAGGAAAACGAAGCACCCTGGGTTTTGGCAATAACCACACCCGACTCTGCAGCTGATCAGGATCCATTAAGTACATACCGAATGAATCACATTCAGCACAGCGTAGTGATGAGAGATGCAATTCTTTGGCCATTCTGCCGAATCCAATTTTCAAAAAGGATTTTTTTCCGTTCCTCAATGAGTCTCGACTTCCATCGCGGGTCCCGACAAATCTGGAGTCCACCCGCTAGGCCGTTCACTCCCACGAACGAGAATGCCATACGCGGCACGCTCGACCTTTTCCACGCTGTTTTGCATGACCTCCTTCTTCTTCGCCAGGTCCTTGTACATGGACGCACGGTGTCGCCCTGAAACACTCAGCGCCTCGCAGCGTGCGCGAATCGCGCGAAGATCCACGAGAACACCGGCCTTGGCAGCGTCCGTCGGCGTCACCTTGCCCGAGCTCAAAGCTGTCACGGCGAACCGCATCATTTCACCCGTGAGATCAAAGATGCCCATCAGATAATCTTCCTCAGTAACCAGGATTCCGGGTAAACGCTCCACGACCTCAGCATGTGTGATTAATGTCTCGGTTCGGAGGTAGTGGTCGAACGAGATGGCCTCGATGAACTCTTGAATCCCGCCGCTGATTTGTCGCTGGTAGCGCCACGATTTGATGCCGACGAGGTCGGCTGTGACTGAGGCAAAATGTTTGTAAATTTGTTCGACACGGGCATCGTTCTCTTTGATGATGTTTTGAGGAATCGGCTGTTTGATTGCTCGGACTCGTTGTAAAGCGAAGATACTGGACATGGAGATTAGAAACAGATATACTGACAATGTGGTGACGAGGAGCTCACATTTTCTTGCTGAGCGCAGTGATATCGCGACTAGCCTTGATAATGCGCTCGCGGCGATCGTGGTGCTCGTCCAGCTCGTCGCGGAAATTGCCAAAAATGGCGAGCGTGGGATTCGTGGATTCGGAGGCGGACATGTTCACCACAGTCTGACCTTCCCAGGAGCGCTTTGTACCCATGGTGTAAGTTAAACAATTGAGTGAAATCTGGAGCAAGTAGAATGCGAGGCGGTCAATGTTGAAACTGAGGGTGATCTGAGGTGAGGGATTGCAGCACCTTACCGTGGAGAATGATGGCAGATAAGTAGTGGGGCCGCTATCGATACTACCTGTAGGCGACTACTCTATCGATAAGCCTTGAGTTCTGCATTTCCACTGCAGAGCTCAAGGTTCTCCACATCTCGCGTCGAGCTTTCTGCCTGAACGTTCTCACTAAAATGAAGAGCTAACTTGTTGAACGAATCAACTTTATCACTTGCACTCCCAGTCTGCTTAGGGTTCCTGCCCATCATGGATCACGCCTGACAAAGTGTTTCAGATTGACTCAAATGCGACTAGTTTCGGTCCGAGCTATTGGCTTCCATGTGAGCTCCTGTATGACTATGCAGTGAGCAGTCATGGTCGAAGCACACCTTCCCGAGAAGAACCCAAGATACTGTGGTTACGACGATTCTGTTATTCTGTTGCACTCAGAGGTCTAGGGAATCTTTACAACGGCTCTGCCCAGTACCTCATCCTTCTCAATCTTCCGAATGAGCTCTGGTGTATCAGAAAAGGAAAAGACCTCTACCGCGGGGGTAATGACTCCTTCGACGGCGAGTTGCAGCAGGTCTGTCATCTGTGCCTCTGACCCGACCGAGGAGCCTCTTATCGTAAGCCCTACAGAAAGGACATCAGTTTATCAATGTCCTGCGCAGTATGCAGTGTCCGTCAAAAACGATGAACTATCAACCACTCACCTCTGGCGGCGCAAAGAGTCGCTGAAATTGGCAGCTCTATATCGTTCTTTGGTAAACCGACACAGATAATGTGTCCCAAATTTCTGACCAAGCTTGGTGCCATCTGGAGAGCTTCTTTCGTACCCGGGACAACGATGGTCGCATGGGCACCCTCCTCGGTCAATTCCAAGACACGCTTGGCGACGTCTTCATTTTGAAAGTCGAGAAAGACCTCGGCACCCGAAGACAAACTAAGATCTCTCTTCTCCCTGCCCGAGTCGATTGCAATGACGCGATATTTCTTCACCCGGGAGGCTATCTGGACACCCAGATGACCAAGTCCGCCACCGGACCCTGATATGACAATCCAGTCGCCAGCTTGTAGTTCACCGTCAACATGAGCCAGGGCACCGGCCATGGTGAGGCCTGCACATAGTAATGGCGCAACAACTACATCTGACAGACCCGAGGGGATCGTGGTTAGGAATCGTGCGTCGGCAATGCTGTATTGCTGGAGCGTCCCAGGAACGTGGCGACCGACATTTTGCTGTTTAGAGCAATGATGGAAGAACCCTTTGCGACACACGGAGCATTCTTGACAGGCGTTGTATAGCCACTTGAAGCCCACGCGTTCTCCCATGAGAGTAGAGGAGACATCTGAACCGACTGCTACCACGACACCAACGCCCTCGTGTCCAATAATGGGATTGTAAACGCCCCAACCACGGACGGCGCGTACCTCTGAGTGACTTAAGTATGCGTTAGCTTGGGTGACGATACTATATCCAAGTTGGAAGAATGGAGGGAGAGAAAGACCAGATTCCCGAACAAGTCAATTTGACGAGAGCCTCATTTGGACCGGGACTTGTGATGGGTGAATCTTCGCAAAGAGAAATTGTATAATTGGGCCCCGGGTCTTGGACCACTGCTGCTTGTTGCAATTTGGGAGGAATTGACACTGCCATTCCTGGCGGCACAGAGACGCAGCGACGTTATTTTGAGGATAGAAGAGTCGTGCAGCTGCTTTGGAATAATCGAGTGCGACTGCGTCTTGGAAGAAGCTTTGACGGATCCTCTACTTTGTTGAGGAGTATCAGTGGTAGGTCTTATCCGTGTGTTTTCGAATATCAGCTCCTTCTCGCCGTTGGTTTCTCGGTGTTGGTAGTTTCAACTTGAAGATGGCCCGATTGCCACTGCCGCGCCAGATGCCGATCCTCGGGCAAAGGAAAACCGCCGGGAGCTGAATAACCGAGTTGTGCACTTGTTGGATCAGATGCGAACCCGCTGAACAGTACCCGACTGAACAGCAAAGCCAATCTGTTGTTCTTCAATTTGTAACTTCGTCCATGGAAGCTTGTCTCTACCGCCCCAGAGATGATTAACTGGAAGTGCATTCATTTGGCACTGGTAACAGTCCAGCAACCATCCATCCATTCTTCATTTGAACTCTACAATGCTCTGTAAATTTTGCCACGGACCTATGATACTTGCCTGACTAAGAGATAGGTACGAATGGACATCCAATCACCTTCGCATTTCACCAGTACTGTCCCTTGTTATATAGATCACTTCAATAGATGCTTAAAGATGAACATGATATGAAGCCAGATAAAGACTGGAACAAGTCACTCACGTCATCAAATCGTCTCAACGCCCTCCTGGCCGAGGAACCGGAATTTCAGAGGCTTATCGCCTAATCCGGACACTTCAATAGTCTGCTCATCACCTGGCACAATATCAATAGCATTATCGCTTATCCTGACTCCCTCCTGCTCCTCGATCACAAGGCACTTGACCGGCTTGCGAGAATTGACCGTCAGCGTGGCCTGTCCGGAAGAAGACCGCTTGAGCTGCACGTGAAGACCCCGATCTGAAAGATTGAGATACTTGAAGGGCTGAGGCCAGTCCACATCACGCGCGACGACCTTCTGGTCTACCCACAGGCGCGCAGCGAGAACATGGGGCTCGGGCTCGGCGATGTGGTCGAGGAGACCGTCCGTGATGATGTTTGTGGTGCCGTTAGCAGTGAGAGGAATGTTCTCACGGAGGATTGGGGTGCGGATGTCTCGGCCTGTGTTGACGGAGAGGAATCGAAGCTCCACGCTGCCGCGCACAGGCTCGGGGCTATTGCTGGATACCCAAAGCTCGTACTTGCTTTTGTGAGGCGGCTGGGCGTGAGCGACGCTCCAGTCGTGGTGCTCGCGACGAACGCCTACGGCGATGGGGTTCAGCACGCGCTTGACGGCGTAGTAGGCGGGTTTCGGATTTAGGAAGTAGTCGGCGATTGCCCAAGAAATTGTGGGCCAGCAGTCATTCAGTTGCCAGAGAAGAGCCCCGCCACAATGTCGCTCGTCACCCCATTGTCGGCGCCAGCCTCGGTAGCCGAACATCATCGTTTCGGCTTGAACGACTTGGGTCAAGTAGATGTACGTCTGGGGGTTTTTAGCTTGCGTTTGTTCAGTCTCTTCGAGAGAGCAATGCATACCTCAAGGTCAGTCGCTGTGCGCAGGTTCTCTACGAGATAGGTCGCCAGTCGCCTCTCGTGTCCGTCTGCTTTATTGTGAAAATCGATAACGTGCGACTGAGGGAATAGGTCTTTGCGGTCTTCGACAAAGTATTCGATCGTGGAGAGGTGGGGGAACGCCTCCATGCCGAATTCACTGTTGAACCGACCACCGAGGGTGTCGAAAATCTGATACTTTTCTTGCGTGCCGTGCCACACTGACGAGATTGTTAGTCGAAAAAAAGCCAAGTGGGACCGAGGTCGAGGTCGAGGTCGAGGTCGTAGGAAGCATACCATTCCACTGGTGCATATCACCAACCGTAGTATCAGACGACTTCTTCCCATCGCCCCATGGGCTTCCAGGATGGTAGAACGTGCTTGGAGAGTATTCGGTGACAACTTCGGGTAACAGCTTCTCGTAGATGTATCGAGCAGGGAAATCCGTCTTGAGCCAGCTGTCCGGATCCTTGTCTTCGTAGTTATAGGTCAAACCCTCCGATTCTTGCACCTGGTAGTCTTCGTTGTTTCCGACCCAGATGACGATCGAGGGATGATGGCGCAGTCGTTGCACGTTGTAAACTGTTTCTTCCCGAATTGACTCCAGTAGCGAGGGCCATGTGGGGTAGTTTCCACATCCGAACATGAAGTCTTGCCAGACCAGCACACCTAGCTCATCGCAAGCTTCGTAGAAAGCGGCATCCTCATAGATACCGCCACCCCATACTCTGCTCCAAGTTAGCAATGAGGTCCCCCTCAAGATCGAGAATTCGACTCGTACCTGATCATGATCTGCCGTCCCTCGACCATAAGCTCAATCCACTTGCGATATCGATCAGCTGTGACGTTGGTCAACAGACTATCCGTGGGGATCCAGCATGAACCACCGCAGAAAATATCCATCCCGTTGATGCGGAAGTAGAATGATTTGCCATGCTTGTCGGGTTGCTGAATCACCTCCGCCGTACGAATGCCAAACTTCTTCGAACTCTCGGCAACTTGAGCCTTGTTGCGCTGCAAGGAAACGGAAATGTTGTAAAGGATCTGCTCTCCATATCCGTGTGGCCACCAGAGCTTCGGGGAATCCACCGTGACAGTCATTCTGGCTTCATTCTTGGAGGAAACAGGTACTTCTTCCGCAGCAACCTCGGTCCCGTCCAGGCTCAGACTGAACTTGGCGGTAAAGTCACCACTAGACGCATTCTCAAATTTGGCCACCGCAGTAAGCTCCGCCGACCGATGATCTGAAGCCAGTTGAGTCTGAGGCCACAGGTCAACCACCCGAGCCGTATACACTTCCAGGGCAACGGGACGCCAGATACCCGCCGTCATCAGGACGGGGCCCCAGTCCCACCCCCAGTGATACTGAGCCTTACGGACAGCGAGACGCGACGGATCGCCGTTGAATCCAACCCAGGTGTGATCTGAATGCTCAGCTTTGAGCTCCAACGCCTTTTGGAGCGCACAGTCGAATTCAATCTCCAACACGTGGTCGCCTTCCGTCTGCAATGCCTCGGTCACATTCACCCGATGACCGAGAAACATGTTATCGCTTCTCAAGATCACATTTCCATCCAGTTTAACGGTTGCAAAAGTGTCGAGGCCGTCGAAGACCAAATCGATCGAGGAATCCGCGGGGACCTGGGGCCGTTGGAAGGTGTTGCGATAGACCCATGATTTTTCATTCACCCATCGAGCTTTGAGCTCATTGAAACCAATGAATGGATCTTCTAACCTAAGGAAGACAGGAAGAACATCATAGTGTGTGAGAATTGACTTTGGCTCATAATCGATCATTTCATGGGAGATTTCATGCGAGATTTCATGGGAAATGGATTATTGCCTACATACTTCTTGTTGTCAATGAGATCTTGCTGTACCACAGAGGGCACTACCTTTACAGGCATCCACTGCTCATTTTCACGATCACGGAAGCTCCAGCCTTTGGAGAGCAATTGACGGCTAACCTCCATTCCAACGATGAGCTTTGTGTTTGCTGATTTCCAGTCTGTCCGTGACCACCTTGGGGGGGGACCACAGCTATTTAGACACAGCTCCCCCCATCTTATCGATAAGAGCTATCCCCCGGAATTTCCTCTTTCGGAACGGAGGTCCAGACCACCTGACTTTGGTGCCTGAATGGTTTGGCAGTCAGCACACCCACTTATTACCGGATTAGGTGGTCCACGGCTTTCGCTGTATGATTGTCCTCCTCTCTGAACGTGACCGGCCCGTTTGGGTCTTCCCCATGGGCGCAGTGTGGATCGGGCAGCGCCCATCTTCCCAGCATCCACACCTCAACCAGCCGTGGAGAGACGGAACCTGCTGGCCCAAATGGGCTGCGAAGAGGAGGACCGTCCCCCTCCCCTCATTGAGCAGAGTCCCCTTTCGGCCACGGAGACAGCTCCGTCAAGCTGCTGGCAAATCTGCTTTCCGGACTCGTCGGCCCCCCGTCAGCCTGGAGGGCCCAAACCTCCTCGGTGTCCCAATCGTTCAACAGTGAGCGCATACTCCGCCACGTCTGCAATCATCATCGGAACTTCAACATCTCGATGACGCTCCAGAAGGAACGTGACGCTCTTTTCTGAGCACGAGTCGACATTCACACGGATGGGAAGAAAGGTCTCTGTACCACGTCCCGGAGATCGGTTTTCTGTTGACCCATTTCCATTGCAGTGCATCTTGAAACCCGCTAATGCGGCCTCCGTCCTGACACTAAACCGCTTGGGTCGATGGAGGCAGTAGTCGTCTGTAGCCGAGCCAATAACGGACCGGAGGTGAGATGTTTTCTCCCAAAGTGCTTCGGCATCCCAGCGGGACCCAACGGCCGCTCCATCGTGCAATTCTCCGCATTCCTCGGCCGCAAAGGGAAATCCACGAGAGCCACGTTGGTTGTTTCCATGCATGCCCTCCATCATGGGTCGTACGTCTCCCCAGGGGTTCACGGTGAAAGGGACAATCTCATGGCATGTGTCTTGCGGGGTAAAACGACGAACATCTTGGACTTTTCTCCCCCCCCCCATGATCACCTTGACGTCGCTACCCCGGATCAAGTGCGCGTACATGCCGAGCGCTCCGGCATTCACGAATAGGAGAGATCATGCATGGGGAAAACTTTCTAGGCTGACTTCCTTTTGTTCACGCCTCCTTTGATCCGATGGCCGCCTCTAGGCTCAACAGGGACGGCGCTGCCCGGAAACAAAGTCTCGGCATTCGGTGGGAATCAGGTTCGACCAATATCTGGTTCTGTCTAGCCATTGGTAGCCGACCCCTTCATCGCAAGAGCATTTCTTTCATCTCCCCATCCGACCCGAGTCTCCATTACTTTGAAAGCAAAGCTATGCACTGGCCGCACTGCGCTCGAGGAAAGAAGCGCTGTTTCTACGCTTCTATGAGCTTCACTCGACGGCGGGGATTTGACACTTCTGAAAATCAATTTACTGTGGATTGTGGAAACACAAGGCCATGGTCATAATGGACTCGACAACAATCACTCCATACCTCACTTGCCCAACCGAGAGTGACCGAGGAAGTCTGGAGAAAACCGGGGAATAATGCAGCAAGGCCGCTCGGCACCTGTCTTGATCCATGCATATATCGTTTATTATGCATGCATCGGCGGCGGCATGGGCCAAATAGGAAGTACATCCACTTTCTGGTAGATCGCGTCTTCGAGGCCTGGGAGACTGCCCAACGCCACGATGTCCCAATTTAGACTCGACACTTTCTTTCACGAGAGGGGTCTCTTTGGATCGGCAAGGCGACCCTCTTCCCCAGATGATCATCTGGTCGAACTCCTCGCGACTAGAGTAGCCCGCAAGCTTCAACGGCTCGTCTTCTCCAAGAAGACGGATGAACCCACCAAACACGATGCTTGTGGGTGTTGCCCCTCATCTCCTCAGACAAATAATTTCGGATAGATCTGTCCACTTGCCTCTTGCCCCTCTCCTGCCTGGGTCCATTTGCTCTCTACCCTGCCCCAAGGCGCCTTGAAGGGGGTTGCGAAACTAGTGGCGTAGAAAACAGAGAGGGAGGGTGCAGCCTCTCTCCATCATTTGCCTCCTTCATTTCGCTTTCGCATCTTGCGCAGCCAGGCCTGGGGGACTGGAACGCTGAGCAGAGCAATAAACGCCAAAAAGGATGGAAAAAAAAGAAACAGAAAAAAAAGGAAGGAAAGTGGCGCACTTCGGTGAGACTGTAAAGGAGAACTGCCAGTGATCGGAGATCCGCGCTGCCAGGATGTATGATCGGGGATCCTGGTCACTGATATGTCGGCATTCATTGCAAGTGATGAGAGTGGATAGAAGGGCTGACAGTCCTGTCTCCCTGTGCTTCTGCTTCTCTCCCTCCAAGAGACAAGGTCTCTGGGGCCACCTTCCCACCAGCATCGCTTTGGGCTTGTGGAGGTCTTGATCCTCTTGACTTGAGGTCTGTCCAGCATGGAGTCGGTCTACTTCTAGAAATGTCTGACTCTGGATTGTATGGCGCTAGACTGGACGCTAGCGCTATTGATCCCACACAGCGTCCGAGGCCTGTCCCTGGCGTGGATCCAATAAGCGAGGCTGTCTCTGGGGACCCCGGAGTCACCATCGCCAGAGTCCGGCTGTCAGCGTGGAAAAAATCAATAAATAGGGGACGAACAAATGACAAGAAAGAAGATATGCACCGTCGAGTCAGTAGTAGATGAAGAGACCCAACAGTCCAACCAAGGTTCCTTTCCTTGGAATTGCGGGGAGAAAGTCTCGCATGTGGGTAAGGCTCCTGTTTTTTTAACTTTCCAGTCTCATGGAGACTCGCTTCGCTCTCAACTGTCTGTTTCGTCACATTCTTAGTCTCTTGATGATCCTCTTTTTCGTGAATTCCCTCTTTTTCGTGAATTCCCAAGACCCAAGAAACTGTCACCTTCTTCATCCCTCAGCGCGCAAAGATCTGCTTCAAGTCTTCTTGAAAACTTCACCATCTCACAGTGCAAGTGGAGAAAGTCACACCACCCCCCTCCCCACAGTTATAGGATCCACCTCCCCTGGCACTCTTGACCGGCCTTACCCTACTCCTGTTTGTCAAACTAAGACGCAGGCCTGGCAGTTGGGTAGACGATCAAGAACCCCCGCCATCAGACTCTCTCGGGGGCAGAGTATGTGACTGCGAACCAAGACTGTGCCTGCGTGATACTGTGCAGCCATCATGTTCCATACATTTGAAGGGTTTGAGAATCCCACGGCAGCGACGCCTGCCCGTGCAGCGCGCCCTCCCAACCCAGAACGCCGTGACTCGGTCACTCGACGAGTCACTACACTTCGCGCCTGTACGTCATGTCGACACCGGAAGATCAAGTGTGATGGCGAGAAGCCATGTGAAGCATGCAGATGGTATAAGAAAGCCGATCAATGTCACTACTCAGATCCTCGTCCATCCCGCAGGTATGTGAATCCTCCAGGCGAGAAAGAGGGAGACCTCGGGAAGAAAGAGAGCGATGCACTAACACTTGAACACTTTCAGACATGTGGAAAAGCTGTCCACAACACTCGATGAATATCGGAGTATTCTCTCCAAGCTCTTTCCCAACATTACGCCAGAGTCGCTGGTGAATCTCTCACGCGAGAAACTGCTAGAACTGGCGACAGGCACTACTTCCGCAGCGTCGCTGACCCAGGTGCCGCCGGCCTCTACAGGGGCTCATGCGGCTCTTCATGCGGCCTCACCGGCTACATCGGGCTCCGGCGAAGCCCATGTGTCTCCTTTGTCCAACGATGACGATAACCTGGAGTCGTTGCAGAGCATGCCGGAGGAGCTGGACGACAGTCGTCCCGGCTCCACCGATCTGGTGGAAGTGGTGTCGGACGATGTGAACGCCCTTTCACTCTCTTCTCGACGGCCGTCCTCCTATCTGGGAGTCTCCTCCATCCAAGCAGTGCTCAAAGTCATTGTCTGGCTGGATCCCGGGAGCGCGGCCTTTTTCTCCAGAACCCCGCCCACTCATCCACGCGACCGCGGTAGTGTCGACTTTGAGATGCCGTCCGAGTGGAATCATGGTGAAGGTTCGCTGCAAGGCAATCATTTCATCCCCCCGACCGAAATGCAGATGCTCGATGCCTACTTCCTACATTTCCAGGCCTTTGCGCCTTTGATCGACGAGCAATCCTTCAGGGAGACCTACATGACCGGCCACCGCAAAGATGATCATTGGCTTGCCTTACTCAACATTGTCCTCGCGCTCGGCAGCGTGGCTGCATCGACGCCGGACGACCATACACACCAAACCTATTTCCTACGGTGCAAGAGCCATCTGAGCCTTAGCTCACTGGGCAGCTCCCATTTGGAGACGATTCAAGCTTTGGGTCTTATGGGGGGTTGGTACTGCCACTACATTATGCAGCCTAACCTCGCATACTCACTCATGGGCGCCGCGTTGCGAATGGCAGTGGGTCTGGGTCTACACAAGGAGTTCGCCGAGAGTCGTCAAGCGCCGAGCCCTAGCAAGTTGGCCTCGATGGATCTCAAACGACGGGTCTGGTGGTCACTATTCTGCATGGACACTTGGGGTGGTATGACCCTGGGCCGACCCAGCATGGGACGGTTTGGGCCCAACATCACAGTGCGGCCCCCGAATTGTCGGGACAAGGTATGTACTTTTCACTTTCACACGCGAAGAGCCAAGTCACAGCCATCGGACAGGCTAACATTTCCTCCAGGACACTGTGCTCGAGATCCTCCCATTGGTGGAAAATATTCGATTTGCGAAGATTGCAACTCAAGTGCAAGAGTCCCTCGCAGCTGCTCCACTTGTGAAGCATCAAGAGATGGCCCACGCAGATACTCAACTGCTTGACTGGTGGGAGAACCTCCCACCTGTGCTCAGGGACCACGATGCGTGCTCTGAATCCATCAGGACCGTTCGAACCGTCATGAGATGGCGGTACTACAACCAGCGGATGCTGCTTTACCGGCCTACTCTCCTCAGTTACGCTATGCGACGTGTACCCTACATCGCGCTTCGGGCTGAGGAGCGCACAGCCATTGAGAAATGCCGTGAGGTTGCCGAACAATCCATTGCAGATATTGCCGCCACCGCACAGCTAAATCAGCTGTGTGGGTGGAACGCCGTCTGGTGGACCTACCAAGCATCTCTCGTCCCCATCCTGGGTCTGTTCCTGAATGACCCCACCGCCGACGACGCCCGCGCCTCCATCGAATCATGTCAGGCGCAAGTTGAGATGGCGTTGGCCACTCTCGCTCGCATGCAGACATTTGGCCACACAGCCAAGCGGTCACTTGACTCGCTTGCCCGCATCTACGAGGCCAGCAAGCGGGGGCAAGATCTGTCGGGGTCGAGCAGTTCCGGCTCCCAACCCGCCAATCTTTACCCCGGTGGCCGTGACTCCGGCATGATGTTTTCGCCACCTGAACCTGCCCGATTGAGCATGGCCATGGGCGAGAATGGAGCCCAAGATCCCTTGGCCCCGCCATTTGTGGATGACTCAGGCCAGTACCTTTGGGAGTACCTGAGCTGGAGCGACCAGAACATGTGGCCGGGGATCACCGACATCGACAATCGCAGCGAGGCCATGGCTCTATTGACCCCTGACCACGAGAAAGGGCCCAAATTCGGAGCCCATCCCTACTTCGAGCCTATTCCTGATTCATATTTTGCAAACCCCCCCGTTTATTATGGATAAATTCTTTTCTTGCCACTGACTGAGCTTTTCCACTTTGTTTTGTCCCTTGCACTTCACGACCGGAATATCCATTGTACTCCTTGAAATTGGGTTTTAATATTTTGACTGGGTTATTTTGTTTGACGGGTACTTTTAGCGGATACGATGCTATGTGGGAAACGGAATTTTGTCGTGTTGGATACTTTTTGACCTACATACCTATTGCTGTTTTTTGAGTGTAAATATATCCCCACTTTGAATATGATCACTTTTATCGTCTCAACAAAGTCTGGCGTTAGTGGTCAACACCTTCGTTACGACCTCTGAACTCCTGGCCGGATAAGTCGATGGTCTTCTGGACTCTCTTCCGGACTTGATTATGGACACATTGAGATGACTGCTCTGCCTCACTGAATCGTCAGTGATTCACACTCAACTCTCTCGGACCGACGCCCTACCTACCTAAGGCACTTGGTTGAATTGTTCCCAATTCTACAAAGCAACATTGAGCATGGTTGAAGTCATCGAGGACTGTTCGAGCCTCGCAGACAAAGCGCCAAATACCTTCCCTCGGTGCATTCCATTTCGTTGATCTCACCCAGGTCAAATGAATGCATCAATGCAATGGCTAGTGGAACGACTTGGCGTACGCCCTGTCCCTCGTTTGTGCGCAATCCGAAAAGCAAGCAGGAGATTTGATGTACGTGCATCGCCACTCCAAGCATCATTCCTACCCACTACCTAGTAGTAAACTTCTGAATGTATTGGAGGACTTGAGAATCTCTTTACCCACGTTCAAATGAGCTCTCCCAAAGGGGTACACTTAATTAACTCCCCCCAGGTACAAAGTTCCATTGACGTCAGTAAGCATAACACCGTGATGGAAACATACAAGCTCTTTGAAGTTGATCTGACCTGCCATCAGAGAAATTACTTGCATAACTTCCCAAGGATGAGAGGGCTATCAAGGGTTCATGTCCCTCTTCGGCACGGAGCAAATCCCGTCACACATAGAAACTACATCATCCCTCCATTGCATGGCCAGTCTCCAGCTCTAGAGACCCTCCGGCCTGAGTGATTAAGATTCTGGGACAGACGTGGCTGGACACACGTCACTCGTGAAATGTTGTAGAGGGTTTCCAATGTCATGACTTGCATGGCTGGAGAAGTAATGGTGGTATGATTGAAGCCTTGTTTTGCGTTTGGCGCTCTTCGAATCCAACGGGTACGGGTGTCGCGCCGGCTGGTGTTCTTCAGCGCGCTTCGTCCTCCGATCTTCTATGCGGCTGAGTCATTGTTGGGATCTGCGGCGAGTCATGGGTGAGTCTCTACCTAAATACATATATGATATCAAAGTCCTGGACTGTCTTCATATGTAGAGGATGGTAATGGTGACGAAGTCGATCGATCTATTCATACTTTACTACTACCTTTCAGGTACCTACCGTCTCGGTAGGTACTTGACAATCTAAAGCACCCCATACATTGATGTTCTTATTTCAATCTCCGGTCAAACTTCTAGAGACATCGAGATTCGTGGTATCCGGGCCGAGTTGTCAACAATAGACTTGCATCATGCGTAGGTTGCCTTAAGCAATGTTCTCCACACATGTAAATAGGAGTAAGTACTAAGTACTATACGATTGTTGTCCGTGCACGTGTCGCGCTTTGGCGTTATTTCTGTGTCCTCATTATTATTTTTTTTACTATTACTATTATTCATTCGCGGATCTGTCATTCTGTGTCCTCATGTAGTTCCCATTTGTCCTTGAATGGAAGTAGCTCTCCAGAGCCACACTTGACTAAACCTCAAGGGAACTTCATTCGGTTTACCAAACGCACTGGCCCGGTGGCCCCCAAGTGCCTACTGCCTACCTATTTCGTTCGGCTTCAATGGTCCAAAGACATACTTACTAGTACGTATAGCAAATGAGGGAAGAACCTATGTGAAATGTTTGACTTGGATATGTAAGTGGTCAATGAGAGCTCATGGCATTTCCTCCAGAAAGACTTCTTGAAGTATCTACAGTCTTCGCAACCTTCACTCGTAACTCCACCCCCAGTAATCTACCAATTTGGCAACTGATCGGAGATAAAAAAAAGGTTCGTCGTCACGGTGAGCCACTTCCCCTCAGACTCTCCACAACCGATGTCCATCGCCACTCAGTATACAATACACTATGGAGAATACTAGCACGCGTTCTCCGCCACAATCAGCTATTGTATGTTCATTACTATACATGTATACACATGCATCTTGACTTTGGCTAGAGACGACGATCGACTCCCCAATATGGGGGGCATCCGACCAAGTAGTGATTGGTCCACCCATGACATGTGGACCCGCTCCCGCTGCTGACTCAGCTGATTCTCGACGGGCCTGTGGCTGGCCGTGTGGCATCCCGCATGGAGCTCTGAAATCTGTAAACAATCACAAATCACGGCGATGACCACGATGGCTGATTGAGCCAAGGCAGTGGTTGGAGAAATCGAGATTGTGTAAGGCTACGATCATCTCAGTGCTCAGCTGATCGTTGGAGATCAAATCCATCTCCAACTGGTATCACCCCCAAAACAGGAAGCTCCCTCGGTTTCCCACTCCGCAGCGAGACTCAAAGACCCAATAGGGAGCTTTCAGACCCCCAGATTCTTCAACCGTGAAGGATATCCACTGGGTGTCTCAGGGCCATCACCTCCCTCAAATGGCGTTGTTCGATTCATCTCTGCGGGTATTCGCGGCAGCCATTGTGCTTCGCCTGACTCTACTGGTCTATGGCGGTTGGCAAGATGCCAACTCCGCGGTCAAGTACACCGACATCGACTACCTGGTCTTCACAGATGCATCCCGCTATATCAGCAAGGGTCAGTCACCGTATGCGCGTGACACGTATCGCTACACGCCTCTGCTTGCGTGGATGCTTCTCCCCACAGCATGGGAGGGCGGATCGGGTTCTTTGGCGTCGATCGCTTTCGCATTTGGCAAGATCCTATTTGCCCTCGCCGATGTTGTGGCGGGTTGGCTCGTGGTCCAGCTATTATGCAGATGCTACCGCATGCCGACTGAGCGTGCCCTGCGCTATGTAGCTGCGGCTTGGCTTTGGAACCCCATGGTGGCGAACATCAGTACTCGAGGAAGCTCCGAGGGTCTCTTGGGTGTTCTTGTCGCTGCACTTCTTTGGGCAACTCTGACCAAGCGGGCTGCCCTGGCAGGTGTGATTCTGGGGTTGGCGGTCCACTTCAAGATCTACCCCTTCATCTATGGGGCTTCGATCCTCTGGTGGTGGGATGCGCAGCAGGATGGCGCTGCCCCGAGAAAAGACTTGAGTCTTACCTCGCACGTGCTTGGCTTTATCACCCGCTCGCGTGTGGTGCTGTTCATTTCGGCACTGGTCACCTTCACATCGCTCAATGTGGTGATGTATCGTCAATATGGCATGCCGTTCTTGCACCAGACATTCTTTCATCACTTGACCCGCATCGACCACCGCCACAACTTCTCTCCCTATAGCACTTTGCTGTATCTTGCATCCGCCGGCGGTGCAAGCTACCGCTTCGAAACACTCGCCTTTCTTCCGCAGTTACTACTCGCTGTGGTGGCTATTCCATTGGCCTTGGCGAAGAAGAGTCTGGCTACGGCCATGCTTGCCCAGACATTTGCATTTGTCACTTTCAACAAAGTGTGCACCAGCCAGGTACGCAACACTCAAAAAAAATCCTTGGAATTCTCAGCAAGAGAATCATGTCTAATGCACATCTGCAGTATTTCATCTGGTACCTCATTCTTTTGCCATTCTACTTACCCTCCTCTTCTCTCATCCGCAAGCCGAATCTAGGCATTGCTGCCGCCGCGCTGTGGGTCCTTGGCCAGGTAGGATCGTCAATTGTACAGCGCCTCCATTTTGCGAGCTATTGTGCTAACCGAGCATAATTCTAGGCAATGTGGCTCTCACAAGGATATAACTTGGAATTCCTTGGCCTGTCCGCATTTGTACCAGGACTTTTCTTGTCGTCACTTATCTTTTTCGGGATCAACGTGTGGATCATTGGCATTGTTATTCGTGACGGGGGGACAGAGGAGTTCAGATCTTCACCGTAGCCATCAGAGGATTCCGAGCCTGAGGGCGATGTATATATGAGGTGTCGACATTGATGGAATGAGTATGTGTATGATACGAAGTGTCAGAAACAATCTTCATGGCTAGCTGTCGAGCTATTTTACGGGCAGAGACATTGTATTGGAAAAACTGAGCAAGCAAATCATCATCATTCCATGTATTTGTACCCATGGGTCGCCCTTGAAATCTGTTGGTTGGAGCGCGCTTGAGGTCGTTCGTGAGTAGCCTGGAGGTATAGGGTTCCGATCGGTTGACTGCCCAGGTGGGTGCCCCAAGCCCGTCGCCTCCCAAGTCGTTGTCAACACCTGATGTACGACAGGCCGTCTATAACCTACGGCGGCAATCGCCCGAGCGCTCACTTGATCGTATGGACGATCTTTATTGCGTTGCAGACGGGATATGCCTCATGGTTGTCACCAGCCACGCGAGTGAATATTTACGGTCATTCTCCACTGACAAAGATGTGATTCCCTAAATATGAATGACGGAGGAATGACATGATGTGTCAGACTTGGTCTGCTCACTTCACGGTGTAAACGGTAGAATAGTAGGCAGTTTTTCTGGGTATCTGGTGGGCAAAGAGAAATAGACATGAATGTAGCTTGCTACCGTTTCCTCCGAAATGAAAACCTCGGCTCCTCATCACTGTCAGAGTCTCGTATTTCGCGAGGTCGTTTCTGGCTGCGATTGCGCGACGACAGAGACTGAGACCCAGGAGTAGGATCCGGCGTTGCCGAGATCGCGATCGATGATTCAGGCTGTTCAATTTCCTGGTCGTCGGCCACAGACGACTGTCTTGTCTGCCGGGTGTCCTGCTCGCTCGGCTGGCTGACTTGCGTGGACTTCGTGCTGCTGACCCAGTAGTGTTCTCCGATACCAAAGTCCTTGCGGGTCACCTCTTCCAAGGGGACAATCACGCTCTGGATTCGGCGAGCGTGCCGTGGTTCTCCCTTCCTTCTGAAGCGCTTGAAGTTTTTCCGTCCGTTCCACTTGTCGTCCCATCTTTCGGAGGTTTGGTGGTCTCCTTGAGGTGGTTTGCGAAGTGGTATGTCCATTTCCTCGACGATTGCGAGGTCTCTCATCTTCTCCACGTCAATGTCCTGAGAGGCTTGTAGATGTTCCTCGGCCTGGCGCTTTTGCTCTTGCTCTTCCTCTTCGCGATGTTTGCGTGCAGCTTCTCGGATGTCAAGCTTCGCGCGTTTGGGTTTGGGGACAGCATCTGCCAATTCACTCTGTTTTCTCTTTTCGTCCCGGCCTTCACTCATCTCGGCGCGTCGACGCTTCATTGCTCGTGCTCCAGGTAACAACTCCGCCACTGTGTCCTCTTCGTCCTGCTCCATTGCGTCACCGTTCTCGTGACCCACTTCATTAATTTGAGATGATCCCATGGCCATGGGCTGAGTCGCAGGCACATCTTCATCGACAGGCGTGTAGACAGGTACTGATTCTATGTCGAAACCATCATCAAAAGCTTTCATCTTGCTGACATACTTTCGTGTTCCCGAGGTCTTTCGTTGCGACAGGGCCGAGTTACTCTCTTCTTGAGATGGGGGCACGCTTGATGTGTCTTGCATGGAAGCCTCCCTCGCGGAATTTCTTGACACCGCTTTTTTATTTGCCTGGCTTTCATCCGACCCGTCCGCACGCGGAAGCGGACGACACAACGGAGATGCATCGTTACTCAAAATAGCATCGAGGAACTCACGCTGCTCGATCACTCTCTGGTCCGTGATGATAGCCACCTCATTGCCCAGCTCGATGGACCACGGTTCGAACTTGCCTTTGGATCGGAAGCGAACTAACACAACGCCGCCTTGGCCCTCTTGCTCCGAACCAATACCCTTTTGGCCTGCAGCAGATCGCATATATTGCACAAGCTCCTGGGCGGTCGTTTCCCCATCCTTGATTTGGTAAAACAGAGCTTTGCCTTGGCCATTATTGATCGCTTCTTGTAAGTTATCGAACTGTGAAGCATCGCCGAAAATAAAGGTGTAGCCCTCGAAGACATTGACACGCCTAGCGTCGGGTGCAAATGCTGCAGCTGGTCGACCAACAGGCTCGTTTCCAGCAGGCGGGAGGTGTTCTGTGGGATCTGGCCACGCGGAGTCAAAGTCAAGCTCTAGGGGAGAAGGCGATGCGTCGTTCCCAAGATCAGTCGGGGTGGTGGCATAAACAATGGCGTCGATATAAGAGTGCTGAACGATGTATTTGCCATTGATCAAAGCCTGGAGCCCCTTGGCTGTGTTTCGTTTGCTTTGTACGACGTGTGTTGTTTGTTTGACCAGGTATGGGATAATCGTTTTGATGTCGAGGCTTTCGAGACGGTTCCGAGCCTGAGCCAAGGGATCCTCAGCTCTCATATCTTTGGATGAAAATGAGAAGCTTAACACGACAGGCTCCCATTTGATTCTGTGGGTTCATTGTTAGAGACCGCGTCGATAGATCCTCGGAGGCTCTGGACTTATGCTCACCTCAGCGCATGCGGATAGTTGCCCAGCAAGATACTGTTCTCATCCCCAGACAACGCCCTCTTTCCTTGAATCTTTTCACCATTGACTACAGTACCACGACTGGAGTCAAGGTCTGTAATGGACACCTTCGTTCGCGCATGTGTTCTGGTCTATCGCGGGTCGTCAGCACAGTCCATTCTCGGCACATTGGTGTCGATCGAAGCTGTCATACCCCATCGCGCGGCTCCACATTGGAGATTTCAATCAGCATGTGTTTTCGAGAAATTGACTTGTTCGGGATGACATGGCGCACTGGTTGAAAGGTTCATTGTTAGCTTGCTGATGCTTTTCGGCACGTAGGACACCCAACTAGGTAGTCCACACACCGTCATCTCCCTTGACCCGTCCAAAAAGATATTGCTTGCCCGGACGCAGCCACAGCCGCTTTCCTGATCATTTCACTTAGTAAATTCCATTTCCACAATCCAGTCTCCCAGTGACCTCACTGAAGGCTTACCGTCCAGGAAGTCTCCAGCCGTATCCAATATCCACATGTAGCCCAGTCGTTGCGGAGAGACAAGCGGTGCCGCCCGCACACGTGAATCGGTAACGCGCTGTCACGTGGTCTGGCGTCACTTTCTGTCGCGTAAGCCAGGCTGACGAGTCACGATTTCCACCAAAGTGCAGATTCCGTAGCATCGAGTAAGCAAGCATCAACTCGACATCGCTCGCTTTTTACTGATGGCTCGCTTGAAAATATGACAACTCCCGATGGAGCCGCGAAGGAGACGTCCGTTCCGCCGGAAGGCGAGGAATCTTTCGAAACCCTCAAATATCAGCTGTTGGGACCTTCCTTGACAAAGGCAGGTCAAGATACAGTTGATCAGCAAAAAGTGTGTTAAATAGACCATTGAACCGCTGAGGCTCAGATGGCCAGCTGACCATTAATTTTCGAAGGTGTCTGAAATCATCTACAATGCCTCGAAGGGGTCGAAATACTTCGATCACGAACAGGAACGTGATCGAAATCTTACCGTCAAGATCCAGCGCATCCTCAAGGAAAAAGCCAGACTAGAGAAGCTAGATCTCTCGCACGATTTACGCCGGGCAGATGAGTACCTCGCGAGCCTTGAGCTAGGCCGCGATCTCTCCCAGTACATCATCCATGTAGACTGTGATGCGTTCTTCGCAGCAGTGGAAGAACTAGATCGTCCGGAACTCAAGACGGTCCCTATGGCTGTTGGCAAAGGTGTATTGACGACATGCAACTACGAGGCCCGAAAATTTGGAGTTCGAAGTGGCATGGCGTCGTTTGTGGCACTGAAATTGTGCCCACAGTTGATTCTCATTTCATCGAACTACGAGAAATATACCGCCAAGGCGAAGGAGATTCGTGAAATTCTGGCCCATTACGATCCGCTCTTTGAGAGCGCCAGCATCGACGAGGCGTATTTGAACATTACCGCGTACTGTTCAGAGAATGAGCTGAGTCCAGACGAGGCCGTGGAGCGCATGCGAGAGGAGATATTGGAAAAGACCAAAGTCTCGGTATCCGCCGGCATTGCTGCGAACGCGAAACTGGCCAAGATTTGTTCAAACAAAAACAAACCAAACGGACAATATCAAATTCCCAATGACCGAACAGCTATTATGAGCTTCATGCGAGATTTACCAGTGCGCAAGGTTAATGGTGTCGGTCGGGTGTTTGAGCGAGAACTGGACTCCATCGGCATCAAGACATGTGGTGACATCTACCCTCAGCGTGCATTGTTGACGGGACTGTTCGGTGAGAAGGCCTTTCAGTTTCTCGCACAGTGTTATTTGGGTCTCGGGCGGACCAAAATCGAGCCAGTGGAAACACATGAACGCAAAAGTGTGGGCACGGAAACCACCTTTCATGCGATCGATGGTAAAGAAGAGATCCGGGAAAAGCTTCAATGGGCCGCGGATGAGCTCGAGAAGGACCTGGAGCGAACCCAATTCAAGGGTCGAACATTGTGCTTAAAAGTCAAGCTTCATACCTTTGAAGTTCTCACCCGCCAAACCTCGCCTCCCCGGCCTGTGAACCGGGCGAAGGACTTGTACACTTATGCTCTCCCTATGCTGGTGAAGCTCGAAAAAGAAATCCCAGCGATGAAGCTGCGACTGCTAGGTTTGCGAGTGACCAACTTGGTCAGCACGAAGAAGTCTGGGATCAACTTCTTTGGAGTGACGACTGTTCCAAAGAGCAATCAGGTGGAGAGCGTCGAGCCTCTGAATAATGCCCAAGAAATTGGCGCCGAAGAAGCATTCGAGAACGCCGCTCGTCAAGAGCAAGAAGATGAAATGAACGACATCGAGCAGCTCAGTCAAGATGCAGGTTCTCATGTTAGGCCTCCTTCTCGTGACCGGAAGGCCGATCATGTCACCGCCATTGGTGAGTCTATTGCGAACGACTCGTCTCTTTCACCCTCTACTGCAGAGCTCTGGGAGTGCCCGGTCTGTAGTCGTCCTCAGGTCGCGGACAATCGAGTCTTCAACGACCACGTAGATTTCTGTCTTTCAAGACAAACCATCCGTGAAGCAGCTCAAGATTCAGCGTCGGAAGAGCTGACCGTGCCGTCTGGCAAGAAGCGCAAATCGTCGGCTCAGTCGTTGTCCGCAGAGGCTGATTCTCGACAAAGAAGACTTTTCTTCAGTTGACGTGTCCCCAACCGGTGACGCCTTGGGCTTAGAACGAAGCATAATCCCAATGGAACTGAGACCGGAAGCCATCTCAACCTTAACATTACCTATCATGTCTATGCGGCTTTTCAAACCAAACCTCTGATTGCAATTGTACGGGCGTCGTGGCCATGACTCCAAAATCCATACTCTCTTTCCAATATTCTATAGATACCTGGAAGGTGAGGCTGTAGCAGACCACACTCTCTCTGCAGATCGTGAACCCTTTTTTCGCGTTTTCCATGTTTTCCATGTTTTCCATGCTGGAACCATGGCTCTCGCATACTTCAACTTCCACCGACCCCTTCTTCATTGGCTTTTGGAGCAAGTGGACCCTCGGGGATCTTCCCCCTTGTCAGCTTGTGACTTTTGGCTCAAACCCACCGACATCAGGGCCTTGCAGACGCCTCGCGTCATCCTACTCGATATTGAGGGATTGAATGACGGGCTATGGTGTGCCAGCGATCAATAGTCTAAATAGTCACTTGCTTGGTATTGTAGTCGTACGGACCATCTTTCCACACCTACGACCTCGCCCTCACTTTCTCTCGAGCGTTGTACCCCATCTTGCGCGGGTCCCTGAGGAGAAAAATAGCTCCAATGCCGAGGAGAGCTCCCTATGCATTGCGGTGAACACCGCCCTAGGCCCGATCGGGTCTGAATGTTTTCATGTCCCTCATCAACCTCCCCACGGATAACCCTTTTTTGATGCTTCGGGGTCAAGTTTACAGTGGTCTTTTTCTGCTTCGTGTAGTGTCCGATCTGAGCTGTTGAGGGTGGCTAGTGCCATCATGCTCTGGGATCTCCTATACATCACGATGACAGCGCCTAATCTCGTTCCGCAACTATGACCTCCGATAAACAAACACACGGCCATCTCGCCAAACCCTTCACGCCGACTCTCTCGGCGGCCTTTACTCGCACAAGCAAAGCACCTTTGACGCCAAAACTAGCGAGTCCGGCCTCGGGATACTCCGTTCCTCGTCGTCTCGCCCCTCCCGATCACCACCCCTATTCCACCCCCACCAAAGACGAGATCAATTCCGCTTCTACAACCACTACACATGCTACTCCCTCCTACCTGAGCGCAAATGTCACCCCTCGCTCAGGGGCCCGCACCACTCGTCGCGATGCAGCGTTCCCTTCGCCAACGCACTCCGTCGCCGGACAATCATCCCCAGCTACATACTCGCAAATTCCGGTCGGCGTCGGTATCAATGGCGTGCGGCGGACAGAGCGAAGTCCCGCCCGCGCCCTCAAGCCCTCTGAGTCTTCGCGGAGCTTGAGGGGGAAAGCCTCAGGACTTGAAGGGCAACAGACACCACGCGTGCCACCATCTACCGACCCTCCTTCAAATTCACCAATGTTCTTCCACGCGTCCGCGGTGCGGTCGACTGCTGCCTTGGAGACAGAGGTACCATCTCGTCCGAAGCAAGGCAGATCTTCCCCAGCGTCGAGTTTTGTATATGCGAACGGTGATCAAGAAAGACACGACGACGCTTCCGATGATGTACACTCAACTGTCAGTAGCCTCAGACGTCGATCGGGAGGCTTTGCCCGCGCTGGCTTACCACCGCGGACGGGGCCCTCAGCTTCTGCACGCCTTCGCTCGCCACGAATCTCGGACGCTACTTCTCACCCGCCAGAGGATGGAGTCTCACGTTGTGCGCCATCGCCGGATCTTGGTGCAGTCGAGAGTGTGATACAGAGATTCGGGCCCTCCGCAAGTCAGCCTGTCGAGCGCCCGCAGCTACTTCCGCTTCGACAACACCGAAAGTCATCCAGTGTTGACTCTTCGAGCCAAGTTTCCGTTCCACCTGAGGGGCTCCGAGCTAGCCCTGTGATAGTTTCGACGACATTACATACAGACGGAGTTCCGCCCGCTATTTCCGAACACATGCCTACGCTGCGGCCTCGGGTATTTAGCAATGGCTCCTCTGTGACCACAAGCCCTTTGCCCATGAGCCCAGGTAAACCTGATACCTCTCGCGATCCCGCTTCCAATGCGCGAACCGAACGGAAGATCATGGATCTTGAAATCAGCAACTCCTCTTTGCTGGCCATCAATCGGACACTCGAGCGAGAGATGCGGAAGCACACGGCGGAACTGCGAAGATATCGTCGACTCAGCCGCTCGGGTCGTCTTTCCATGGCACCATCTACACGATCCTTCTCTGGTGTGGCCCTATCTGCAACGAGTGAAATGGACGAGGAAGACAGAGAGCTATCTCTCGCTCGCTCTCAAGATGACATGTCGGATCTGAGTGATGAAGACTCTGTGCTAGATGAGGGGGTTCTGAGTCCCGATTCTCTTGCTGAACATGACGCCAAACACCGGGCGGACGACGAGAAAAAGTTCATGCTTGATCTCGCACGGCACCAGGAGCTTCTGGTTGATAGCCAAAAGCTCAATCAAAGCATAAAGCGATGTCTGGGCTGGACGGAGGAGCTCATCAAGGAAGGCCGAAAGGCGTTGGAATATAGCGTTCGAGTCCAGGATGTGGAGCTGGGTGGTCGAGTCTTGTCACCGGAGGAAGTTGGCGACACGAGCGAAAGCCGGCGGGGTCTCCTAAGCCCTTCTACGGACTTTTCTACAATATTCACCCGCGACTCTTCAACGCCCGATAATGCCTACTTTGATGCCCCGGATCTTCCGTTACCATCGTCCCCTGGTGGGAGTGAACCTTCTGGAGATTGAGTTTGCTCGGTTTCCATTTCGTCGTATTTGCGCAATAATACCCACTTGTTTTCTTTCCCTAATCTTCGTTTCCAACCCAGAGTTTCATATGACTGCGATGAGTTTCATTTCTTCATTACACCACTGTTCATCCTAGGCCTTGTCTATACCGGATATACCCTGTTTCTAGAGGCCCGTTGTTTCGGGCGACATTATAGTTCTACTTCATCTCCACCAGTTACGCAGCTCAGCTTCCAAATTCCTTTCATTTGAATATATACCTATATGCCATTTGATCTGATCGAACACCTCTTCCTCAACATGTGACTCGTCGAGCCCACGTCAGTCTAGGTATCGTTGAAAACATACCTTATACACCTTAGCTACCTGGTTTTTTCCAGGTTCGACATACTGCGTTCGAGGCTGATCCCGTAGGTCTACGTACTGTTGGGTGATCCGCAAACCCAACCTCTCGCCGTGTCTGACGATCTGGAAGCAGCCTTGGCTTCGGGAAGCTTTCGATGACACCCATTTACGAGGATGGACATCCATCTCCATTTCTTTGAAGATCATCTGCAGTAACTTCTAAATCCTTCCCTCTTGGATCTCTGCATGTATCCCGGGTTCAAGTATCTGGAGGAAAGCATCGTCAAGTGCACCATTTAGTGTCATTTCAAGGCTGGGCAGCAGCTTCGCACCCTCGTTCAGGACCACATACCGAACCTGTCCCGCTGATTCAACGTGAAAATCGAATAGAGGCATAGCTAAGTACTCGACCATGGTCTGATAGATAGCCAAGCTCATTTGGCAGTCCACCAGTCCGTCAAATGGAACGTCCATAGTTACTGCGGCTTTGAGGCAAGTCGATTCCGCGCTCTGAACTGCGTCTGTTCTGATCGCACTACACATGTACGGGTTGAAAACGTCGGAGATCCATAGTAATGATGTTTCTTTGAGCACCAGATGTTGCGGAGAAGCTCCAGATTCCAGTGAACTCTCAAGGACGCCTGGCATCATATTCCGAGGGGATGCAATGGCATCTAGCAAACCCTCGGCTCATGGGGAGCGTTGTCGAAATCCCTCATCCAACTGAGCTTCTAGGGGCCCCTACTTGTCGCGATAGAATAAAGGTGGAAAAGGTGAACAAGATTTATGAGGTACCAGCGTTAATATTCTGTGACATTTTGTCAATGGCCTCGGTAACGCTGAAATGCGGTTGTTGGCCACTTTTCTCGCGACATCTGCTTGATCTGCCAACGAGAGTTGCCGGAGTGCAATGAGCGTGACAGCTCTATCATGTCGTCCTTTGAAATGAGCTCTCCCTTCCGTGGCAAGAAAGTCTGCGAATCAAGCTTTGGACCCTCACGTTCTCGAAGGACACCCGCGATGTACAGTTTTCCCGGCGCCGAGTGTTTGTTGAAAGTCTTTCTTCGTGCCCTTGGGAACCTTTTGACGAGTCCAATTGTTTTTGAGCTGTTGCTCGAATATCTTGACCGAGTTTTTGATGATGGTTGCCCTTGATGCGGAGATCTCGATTGAGCATCCTGGAGATTGGTCATCAAGCATCTCAGTGGAGTTTCGAGACAACTTGAAGGATCCGAAGGCCATGTCGGAAGGAATCAGGTCCCGTGCGAAAAGAGGTTGGAAAGTGCCACGTCCCCTGGGACATGGGAAAGTTGTCTACTTATGTTGCAGGCACATGCGAATCACACGTGAATGCGGGTGAGTTAAGCCCAAATTGAGTCTTGTTTTTATGGAATAATCATGTACCTTTGAGGCCGAGAAAAACTACAATGTGATCTTGCCTACCAGAGGTGCAGCGGTCATTGGCTCAGAACTAGTTTGTCGTGTCAGCCTCGTTGGCCCCAAGAAGCGAACCGATTGCGATGCTCCCAAACGAGCCGGCAAGGCGCGACGAGTAAAGAGCAGCTCAGATCCAACACTTTGGCCATCAAACCAAGCAGAGGCCTGGTACACTCGTCTCATGAAGCGCCTCAAGTTCGAAGATTCTGACTCGTTCTGGCGGGTTGATAAAACATCTTAAAACCCGGCCACCCTCTCCTCTAATCAAAGAGGAACGCTGGAGACAGGGAAAGCTTTTCTTCCGAGAAAGGTCCAGACGAAGTCAACAACCTCAACTGTGTCAATTTTCCCCTTCAGAGGCCTTTGTGCGCTGTTTGTTCACGCCCCGTAGACGAGTCCAAGCGCTTTATTTTGGTCTTCCTCGCCTTGAAGGCAAGCTGTTTGTCTTCGCCAATCTAGGAACCATGACACCGGAATTAAGGACCTCGTGTCGCAATTGTACTTGATGAGAGGTCAAGCAAAGGAGGAGATAAAATACTCGTTCGCCACAAAACATTCCCAGGAATGGTATTTATGTGTGAAATTCGCAAACCCTAGCGTCAATTATCTTTACTGCGTATATCAAATATGTGCTCGAATTGCTCGGGAAGTGTGTCAGCATTCCAGACAAGCAGGCTATTAAGATGGGTAGGGTGAGAAAAGTAGCCCTGGTATGGGGAAACAGCGCGTTTCGTACAAGCAATTACATCCCGATGAGACATTGATATGGGGAGGGGGTGTCTTTTCTCCTTCCGCTTAAGCGACCACGGTGGTCTGAGCAATAGTGGCAGAGTCATCCTTGATATAGGGAATACCCGTCAACTTGAAGGCCCGCTCACTCAGCTTGGGATCATTCACAGGGCGGTCGCGATTGTGAGGATCAGGCTTGCCATCACGCTGGGCAACATTTGAACCAGTGTGTCTGGCGTTGGGCCAGTGAGTGGTACCGACGCGGCGGTCAAAGGCATCCTTCTTGCGGCGCAGATCCTCCTGCGTGGCGTCCGCAACAGGCATGAAGCAAGTGTAGATGGCAAAGCGAGGCTGATCACGCTTGGGGCTCAGGTTATAATGAGGAGTGCGCGAATCCCAAACGAGCAGATCGCCCGGCTCGGCAGTGAGCTTGGTCCATTCGCAGCCGTGGTCCGCCAGCCACTTCATGCCGCGGTCGGTGAAGCCAAACCACTCCGGGGTCCACGCGGGGATGCGCTCCTCGTCCGCGTTGTCGTGGTGGAATTGTTCGGAGAGAAGGTGGGCGCCCTTGCAGACGATAAGACCGCCGTCATCGGGGCCGTTGGGGAGCAGATTAACCAAACCCTGCATGCAGCGGAAGCCGTGCTTGGTGGGATCCTGATCCTGGTGAGGCCAGGGCTTGTTGGGTGGAAGATCGGTGCGGCTGTAGAACAGGGGGAGTGCGATCAGTATATGTTGGAGGATTGGCGATATCGTACAAATGCATGTATGGGATGACGGGTGAATACAAACTTGGGGAATTGGAAGTTGATAGCATCGAAGGAGACAATGAGATCCTCGTCGTCATAGACCTTCTCAAAAGCTCCAACGACACCAGGCTCGGAACGAACGCCCCAGACAAAATCCTCATGGGAGAGACCATATGCAAGACACATGCCTTTTTCGTTAATCACGGGCAGCTTGTCCTTGTGCACGGTGGAAGGGTCATTGCGGTCGTAGCCCAGGTTGCTACTCATCAAGTCAGTCTCAAAGCCGCGTACAATGACCGGCTCCTTGAACCTCCGCCTTCTTAGATTGGGAATACACACAAGCTCTCGAGCCAAGAGTACATCTGATCAGCGTACTTCATAGCCCGCTCGCGGGGGATAGCACCCTTGACCACGGCGTAGCCATCGCGGGCCAGATCATCGCGCCAGTCACCAAACTGCTTGTCGGTGCCATCGAGTCGCATGCGGCCATGACCGTGCAAGTTCGGGTTGGCCAAGGTGGTCTTGGTAGTCGTCGAGGTAGTAGTTGTCGACATTTTGATATGGCAACCTGTGTCTTGATGTCAAAATTGGGAACCGATCGAGAGCAGAACAGAGCGAAGAACATGCGCGTTTCTTATAACCTGATCTGCTGCGCACTGGAAACGTAGTCATTCAGACCATTTTCAATTGTCGCGCCCACACGGCCTGGCCTTGGATCATACCCCATGACCACTTTTCTTGGTCCCAATTGGACATGAAGGAATCCATTCTTTGATTGACAGTTGCGCTCGGCGCTCGGTGCAAAATCACCGGAAAGTGGAGGTGGGGGGATCAGCTTGAGCTCGGCGCAGGTGGGGGAGCGGTTGGCCGAGGTATGCTCGTGTATGCTTCTCAAAAGCAAAGGGTAGCGGCATATAGTCGAGGCAAATCATTTTGGTTTGAGGGTCTTCGCGCGAATCGAATAGCTCCCAGTCAGACTTCAAATAACAATATGCCTCCATTCAGGATTGTTATTGTGGGCGGTGGGATCGCAGGCCTCACTGCTGCGATCGCTTTGCGAGGACCTAATCGCCAGATCACAGTTTTAGAACAGTCTCGCTTGAACAAGGAAATTGGAGCTTTGATCTCCTTACAGCCCAATGCGTCCAGGATTGTTGAACAAACATGGGGTCTGAAGAAAGAATTGGCTGCTGCCCGTTCAATGGTCGACGAGGGTTTCCGCATATACAATACAGACGGAGCTCTGGTCAATTCTGTCCCTCTCTCAACAACAGCCGAATATGGAGCCGAGCGACTATGTTTCCACCGGAGAGACTTTCATGATCAGCTGAAAGAGGCTGCTCTCTCGACCGAACGCGCCGGGGAGCCCGTCATCCTTCGAACTGCCTCCCGAGTGGTCGACTGCGACCCCGAAGCGGGATCAGTTACACTGGAAGACGGCGGGGTTCTAAGCGCAGATTTTATTGTCGCAGCCGACGGAATGTGGGTGACATCCTTCGTTTTTGAATATGATTATCGGCTTTGATCTGATTCCATTCTGCCGGGACTAAAGTCACAGCGTGATTCGCAAGCATGTCTTGCAGGAAGAGCCGTCTCCCTTGCCAACAGGTCATTCTGGTGAGTTTTTTTTCGAATGTGTTTAGAAAGCAACTCAGGGTTACAAGCTGATTGTCTCTGTGGCAGCATATCGTTTGATGGTAGATGCCTCCCTATGTCCGAGGATGTGGTGGTATGTAGCTGATGTGACATTTAGATACGGAGCGAGATACTGGAGAAGGAAGAGCCCGATTTCTGCTCCAAGATTAATCCTCGCGACCCATATACGTCCATGATGGTGGCGCACAACTGTCGACTGGTCATGGGTCCCGGCAGGCAGGGGGAAGTCTTTGGCATCGTTGCACTGGTGCCTGACGGTAAGCGATGGGCCTTGCAGCCGCGAAGATCTGATCACTAACGATACCGAATCGGCAGAGCAAATGAATGAAGATCCTTCAGCAAAGCAATCCTGGGTCGCCGAGGGAAACTTGGAGAAAATGCTTGACACTTTCTCTGAGTTCCCAAAGTGGATGACTGGTATCTTCAAGTGAGAGGCACTCTCAGTCACTGATGTCGACGGTCTTTCTGACTCGCCTGCAGGCACTCTTCAGACCTCGGACTGTGGCAATTACGAGATCTGGTATGCCTCTGCAGTATCTTAATCGGCGTGGAGCTTCCATTTGACAGTCATTCGTAGGATCCTCTGAAAACATGGCACCGTGGCCGTGTAATGCTGATCGGTGACGCTGCGCATGCTATGCTTCCAACGCAAGGCCAAGGCGCTAGCCAAGCAATTGAAGATTCAGAGGCCCTTGGTGCCTACTTCGAGGGCATCACCGAGCCACCGTCAGCAGAAATTCTCTCGCAGACCATGGAGGTTCGTTCTCCAACATATGGCCGTCGCAAGTTCAGCCGGCTTCCGTGTGCTAATCGTTTGACTCTAGAATATTTTTCAAGCTCGCTACTCCCGTGTTAGTCTAATTCAGGCTTATAGCAGGGAAGCGGCAAAGCCCGCTGCCGAGAAAAAGACTGTCACTTTGTAAGTTGAAGATGTTGATCTTCGGCATCACCAAATGAAGATCCTGGTTTACTAACCGACTGTTCTTGCAGGCGACCGGATGAATTCATGAAGTTCAATTGCATGTACAAGGGAGCAAAGGCATGGAGCAACCAGCAGATTCCTACCATGGCGTAGATGCCTGTCGGTGAAGTCAGCCCTGGGGAGCACTCGCGTTGAGGTAGTGCTGGAAGTGAGCGAAGAGGACCGTCAGGGTAGCGAAGAATCCTCGAGCAGAAATCAGGGATTGGCGTGCGTATTGACGACATTCTGCTCAGATCCCCAAGCATGGGCATTCTTCTGCTCTTCAGGACCGCGTGTCATATAGGTATACACTATCTTGTCTGAAGCCGGATACGAACCACTAGCTATGTAGTCCCTTGAATCGCAGCAATCGCATAAATCTTTCTGTAAACCGGTGTCGAGCGCAAGATGGATGACCACCGGGTGAAGCGTCGTTGACGCGCAATCAAGCGTCTGTTCAAGAGATCAAGCTTCTACCAGGCTACGAACATGGTTATTACTTCCCCAGTGGACGGTCGAGGCCAGTGAAGAACCGATGTGACTCAACTGTTGTATTCTGGATGCTCGATACTCAAGCCACATCTAGTGACAAGCAGCGGCCCTACTGGATTCGGTGTAACTTAGTCGTCGGCAAGACGTGCAATTGTGGGCCACAAAGATCGGTCCCCGGCCGATGCTCCCCACATATCTGGGGAAACGCCCTGCTTCGCGTCGGTTGATAAAGAGCGCTTGTCCACTTTGCTCCCTCCCCACCTTCTCCGAATCCCCCCATCCCCCGTCATGCCGGAAAGACGCCAGATCGAGCTGGGAGACGCACGACCATCGCCGGGGAAGGCGCTCACTCAACACCACTGCCCTCACTGCGACAAGGCGTATGAGCGACCGGATCATTTGGCCCGGCATCTGGATTCACGTGAGTGAGAGCCTCACCTCACGTGTGAAGAAGGACACCCCCACAATCGACGTATTCTCTGACGTAGAGGGTTAGACCGGAATGAACGTGTATATCAATGCCCGATCTGTCAGCGAGGCTTCAATCGCCGGTACGTCGCTTAGTGTTGATTTACATGTGAGTCCAATTGCTGATCACGCAAGCAATAGAGATGTCTTGCAGCGACATCAAGCAGTGCATGAAAAGGACGAGGCCGACGGAAAGCCTTCAAGAAGGACCAAGGAGCGTGCCGTCAAAGCATGCGAAGCGTGCGCCACCGCAAAGTTAAGTTGTGATAACCAGCGACCTTGCAAAGTAGGTAGTCAGTTGCACTCCAGAAAAGACAAGAACGATGCTAAAAATTCAGCACAGCGCTGCGAATCAAAAGGCGTGCAATGTGTTCCACGATCTAAGAGTGGGCGTCGATCAAGCGCTCGGTTGTCATTTTCTATCTCAGCGCCCTCCTATTCACCGCGATCCGGACTCCAAGCGCTTGAGCAATCTTCGTATTCAGAGACCCCTGACTCAGGTCCATCTGAGCATGGTGGCCCATCACTGTCCGGGTCTTATCCAGCACATGTCCAGGAGATGTTCCATGCCGCTATGACCCCTATAAACGGTGAAGGGACAATGGAAAGTCTCCCAATCTCGACAGGTGTGCCGGTTTACTCGCCGCTCAACGGCTTTCCCGCCTTCTTCGAACAGGTGATGTTGCCCGGCCCCGAGGTCAACGAGAATGTGCCAACTACACAGCAACCGCGGGTCTTTGATTTCACTCAGGACACCGAGTTCAGTCTCTCCGATAACGATATCTTTGGCATTGATTTCATACCTGAGCTCGACAAGATTCTCGACGTTCCGCTTCCCCCTCTGACTTTGAGGACACTCGACAAATACTTCTCGATGATCAAGAGTCTGCAAGCCAGCGCGCAGCTGCGTTCGGCCGTTCTGTATGGTGAGACAAACCTTGCAAACAACTGGTTTCCCGTTCCGCTTTGATACCGCGGTCTGACATTCTGGGACAGGCTTTGGATTCCTGAGAAGAATCAACATGCGTTTAGCGATGAACAACGCCTTCCGCTGCGGGATGGTGACAGCATTTCCTCCATGAACCAAAACCAGATAGACACTATGAAGATCCCGGGTCGTCTCTCCCATCAAGCTCGCGATGACATTCTCAAGATTGTTCTTCGAACAGGCGGCTCACGATTATCTGTCTCGACCTTCCCGTCCGCAGACTACTTGGACACATTAATCAAGATCGGTATCGGCAAGCGAACAGAAACAGACGCGTGGATTCACCCTTATACTTTTTACGATGCGAATTATCAACAGCTTCGGCCGGAACTACTGACGGCGCTTGTTGCAGCAGGCTGCGTTTGCTGTGGGATGCCATCAATTAACAAGACGGGCATTGTGCTGCAGGAGATCACGCGGGTGAGCCTTGCACAGTTGGTGAGTTTTTCTCCTGTCTCCAAAATGGTTCTCCATTATCCCTCGTGAAAGAGATGGCGAGCTAAACAATTTGGACGTGTAGGTTGAAGAGGATAATAGTGTACTTCGAGATCTACAGTACTTACAGGCCTCGATGATCTGGCTGGATATTGGTGTATTCTGCGGCTACACTCGGAAAATGCAGATCGCAGAGAGCTATCTACAACCGCTTGTTACAGTAAGTGACGCTCTTTTGGTAGCTTGGAATTGCCCATTTACCAAAATCCTTAGGCCCTTCGCCGCGGTGCTGCGTTCGACCGGTCGACCTATACGGCCATTACTCCCCATACATTTGGAAATAGTGAAGAATCCCTTCAACGGGCCTGGTACGCCTGGGTGCGACAGGAATCTCTAAGGAGGTAAAGGGCTCATATTTGAGGATTGACGAGTCTTGAGTATGCTAATTCTTCCATTAGGCTTGTCTATCATCTTTTCGCTCATGACGTGGGCGTTGCTGCGGCAATGAACCGTCCTGCGTTGATGTCCTACACCGAGCTGACGCTGTCTTTTCCTTCTGCGAGAGACCTGTGGCTGGCCCCTACTGCCCACACTTGGAGAGAGCTCTGGGTGACAAAATACCGAGGTGCCACAAGCTCCGAGATCAACCTACGGGAGTTGTTATCTGACCCATCTATTCTCGTACAATTGCCCGTTGACCTTGACTTGGAAATCGCGACGACCGCTATCTTGCAAGCGCTGGCCTTGCAGGTATGGGAATTTCGCCAACAAATGCTTGTTGCCCAGGACTCGCGCTCGGGTCAACGTGCGACAAACCGTTTGTGGCTTCAGAGCCGTCAAGACGACCTGTGTGTTATAGAAAGCTCCCACACTCTCCGCCTTCAAACGCTAGCTGGTTACTGACAAACACGCAGATACATGACACTTCAAGCCGTGCAACAAGACTCGCGCAATCCACTCCCCGTGACCACTTTATTCAATGAATTTACCATGATGTCTCTCCACATTGACATGGACGCCGTCCAACGCTTCGTCGGAAAAATGGGCGAGGTGGAGGCACGCCGCGCGTATCCGGGACTGCGGGACTGGAGCCGGACGAAGGAAGCCCGCAAAGCCATTTGGCATGCTGGGCAAGTGATTCGCGCCGCCCGAAATGTAGCGTTCTTCCAGCTACGGGGATTTGATTCTCTCTCCTTATACAACGCCACATTGGTCCTCTGGGTGTATGGCTTACTTCAATGCGGCGAGAACAAGCGACACGAGGTAGCTACGCCATTGAGAGAGGCCGGGTCTGCAACCCAGGTCTCTCTTGATGGCCTTGAAGATCCAGCTATCAAGTCATTTCTCAACCACGGCATCGGTCGACCTGGGTTGATGATGCTCCAGTCCCGTGATGGGCAAAGTGAAGAGGTCCCAGTTTTCTGCGAATTACACAAGCCCCGAACAGTCATGGCCGTGGCTCGGCAGGTCTTCAAAGGCAACTGCCCACGGTCTTCGCCTGATGATATGCTGCCTCCTATGATTCACAATATCTGCGCTCTGATTGAAGATCTGGGGACTTTAGTATGATGTCCCCTTGGGTATACGATGCATGATGACATTCTTGACTGGAATGGCAAAGGATGTACGGTGGAATGAAGAGGCCAAGTGGGCTACCTTACTTCCGAAGGCCATGAATCTATGAGCCAAAAAAAACATTGAACCAACCTCCAACGACGCAACTGTGATGCACAAACCCCAAATCGAATGAGCGGGGAATGTGAATCCATCGCGTACGGGCATCTCAAACTCGCCGAGAGGAGGAGCCACTCAGAACAGTCAGAAACGAACGCAGGTGAGCCATCCGGTATGTGGGGGACTCCACCCCCACGGGGAACAAGACCTGTCCTGCTCCACTCGCTTCCCAACATCCGGCATCTCATCCAATTCCTACATCCTACTACACGGCCTCGGTGGACATTGGCGTTGTTCATCCCGAGCCACCAAACCAATGGTATTCTTTTGAGACGAGACGCCTCGGGACTCGAGCGTCAATTAGTGGTCCCGTGAGCTTAAGCCGACTGAGCCAAATCGAATCCGCGCATAGTGGCCGTCCTGCAGAGGTCCTGATGCATTTTTAGGTTTGTGCTTGTACAAAGTCAGACGTCTCGTCGCTGTACGACCGGCTCAATAGAAGTCCCGGATTCCCACGTCCTCCCCCAGCGTTCTTGCTTCTCCGCTGTCTTGTAGCCGCTGCGCGTCCAGACAAGGCCCTCCTTGAATCCTGCGCTAAACAGCAATGCCCTCTGCCATGGATCAGAAAGCGAACATCGAGTTGGTGGAGGATTTGGAGACGCACGGCGATGGCAAGGGTGACGACGTCCTTGTCGATGCTGCTGGTGAGATTCAGCGGCTGCCCGTTCCCAGCGCCGACCCAAATGATCCTCTCAACTTTACGGTGTGGGAGAAGACCGGTGTGATCGTCAGCTGCTGCTGGTTCTCCATCATGTCTCTCTCGGTGGTCGGAGGCTTGGGTGCGATCTTGGGTGTCTTCTTTCAACTCTATGGTGCTCAGGGCATCAGCTCTACCCATATTGTCTGGCTGGGGACGTTTCCCTCGTTGTTTGTTGGTATTGGTGAGTTTTGAAATTCCTTAAACTCACGGGTCTTATGATACGTGATGGCTAAGACGGCCAGGAAACTATCTCATTCTTCCCTTGGGTCTGGTCTATGGTCGTCGGCCGACTGCGATTGGATCCATTATTGTTCTATTCGTTGCTACTATCGGATGTGCGGTTTCGCAAACCTGGTTGCAGCATCTGTGTTTGCGATGTCTCCAGGGTCTCGCCACTGGCGCTACTGAGTCGGTGCGTACAAATTTCGGGTGATCACACTCAGCCATCGTCGGGTCTATCTAATATGTTCATTCATCCAGCTTCTCCCCCTCATGCTTTCAGAGGTGACGTTCGTTCACCAGCGAGGTCTCGTCTTTGGAGTGTACTGGGCGACTCAGAACGTTGTCACTAGTGCCCTCAACATGGCATCCTCTTACGAAGCCGCTGCTCTCGGATGGCGATGGTTTTACTGGGTCTACGTGATCGCAGTTGGTGCTGGTCTCATACTCGTCATTCTCGGCTGCTTCGAGACTCGGTATCAGCGCCGCGCTCAAATGGTCAATGGTCAGATTGTTGTGACTGACCAGTTTGGTGTGACACAAGTCCTGGTCGGCGATCAAGCCCGCGAATACATGGCTGGGCTCCAAATCGAGGATCGGGAAATCCCCGACGAGGTGCGACCCAAGAAAACATATATCCAGATGCTTAAACCTTGGGAGAAGCCTGCCAAAAACCCCCTCCGCATCGTCCTCAACGCTTGGCTTCACATGTTCGAGGCCTTCATTTCCCCAGGGATCCTATACGCAACCTTGTTGTCGTCTGTGGTTCTGGGCTGCAGTGTGGGCATGTCATTGACTTATGATACTGTCCTGCAGCAGGTCTACGGCTGGCCTGCCAAGAGCGTGGGACTGATCAATTTGGGGGGTATCTTTGGTGGCTTTGGAGGCATGCTGTACGCCGGTGTCTTCGGGGACTGGTTTATTGTGCGCCTGGCCAAGCGAGCCAATGGTGTTCACACCCCCGAGCATCGTCTGATCCTGCTCATATTCCCTGGCTTTCTGACAGTCCTCTCGCTGCTTCTATACGGATTCACCGCTAACGGTGGTGCTACCTGGGGCGGACCGTATATGGGATGGCTTCTGTTGCAAATCGCGTTTGTCTCTGTGCTGATCCTATCGACTTCTTTCGCTGCCGAGGCCTGGGAGAAGAACCCTGGTCCTGCCCTTGTGGCAGTCGTTGGCACCAAGAACATCGTTGCCTTTGGTATTAGCTACGGTCTAAACCCCCTGGTTTCGATGTACAGCTACCCGGCTGCGATGAGTATCTTTGCTGGTCTCTCTGCAGGCATCTTCCTCCTGGGAATTCCGGTTTACTTCTTCAACCCTGCTGTAAGTTCATCTGCCTCCGACTAAGTACCTTTATCGAACCCATCTCGTACTAACTGACTATAATTTCAAGTGGCGCCGCTGGCAGCGGAGACGTGAAGGCAAGGCTGTTTAAGGGTGTGCGCCGGAGAGTCTCCATCTCGCTCCCGACCATGAGACTCTGTAGCGTCGTCGTCGATTCTGATTCCCCCGATTGCGCATATCATCTTGGGCTGGTCAATTGCTGCAGATAACTTCCGGTGGCAAGCTCGCCCAGATCATAGTAATAGCAAATGGACCTTATATAAGACGTGGCTCTGGAACATCCAGACCACATGATTTGTGGATTTAGTTTCTCCTTTGTACTCGCAAGAATGCTTAGCTTCCTAATTGGTCGAGCTGGACCCTTCCAGTGAGGCCCTCATCTTCGTATGATCCACTCTTCTGCTGCGATGTACTTGATTAGCCGTACCACTGCAGCCGCGACGTATGTAGAGACGGTCTCGGTGATCTGCAATTCTACACGAAAAGAATTCTTCAAGAAACGATTCCTTCCTCACGCTAGCAGTCTTCTGGGCAGACTTGTTGAGGAAATTTTTCAACATCATCATGTCCAATATCAATTGACTTATCAGGGCAGTGATAGGTATTGGTGAAATCAGAGAGTTGTCAATCGGATATCGCAGTGCCAGATCAGGTCCCTGACAGTGCAGGCTCCTCTATAGTCTCTACTGCGTAAGAGGCAATGGTCGCGATTCTGTACTTCTCCATTGAAAATCTCAGACTTGAACACAGCAAGACTGTAAGCAAACTAGTAGGCGTAGGCAATTATTTACTGTGAATTCAAAGCCCTAGCCGTTGCCGCAATGAAGAATGGTCAAGTGATAAGTCTACTTGTGGCGTTCGATTGTGTCCCAATGATTCCTTCGGACCTGACTGTCAGGGCTCCGTCTGACTCGATTATGGAGATTTTAGCCGCGGCTCTAGCCGAACCACGAGGCACTAATTGACCCGCGAGAAAGGCTCCTGGTACTTGCACTTTCGGTATTGACTCGGCGCGGGGTTGCCCAGACATTGGCAGGGGCAGCGCGCAGGCTGCACTGCAAAACATAATGCATCTGTGCTTGACAGAGTCGACACGGACTTCCTGTCAGAGAAGCGTTCTTGGAGGATGTATTTTTTATTCGACATTCACATCACATTCGCATCTTGCTATTCATCTTCAAGGAGGTATTGTTCCGGTCAGATGACTTATTCGAAGCTTGACTGCACTGGCTTACCAAATTGAAAGCAGAATGATTGTTCGATTGTCAGAGGCGCTGAAATTGCAAATGATAATGTTCGCCCAACATGGCTGTAGTACCAATATTTCGCTCGAGTCACATCCACCTTCCTGGCGATGAATCAGCAGCAGAATCACCGGCTTGAGCTTAGTATCCCTCCCTGAGTTGAGAAAGTTGCCGCGAGATAGCCGGATGACAATCTTTCTGAGTCAGCATTCAGTATGGTGTTCACGACGCCTATAATTTGCAAAAAGTGGCCGACCGGTCAGCCAAAGTGCTTCATGACATCCGCAAAGCCTTGGCGCGTTGTCAGCATTTAAATCTCAAAAATGGGGCTCCGTTGAATCCGGTATGGTGTACGAAATTTTGCGAGACACAATACCCGCCACGAGGACCACGCGACAGAAACGAGCGTAAACCCAAGTCACGGTGCTTGCAATGCTCACGTCTGAAACCGTGAAAGGCCACTACAAGCGCAAAGGACGATATTCGACATTGGCAAGATCGATCGATGGTGATTGAGGGTCTTCGGCAACGAGCTGAGCAAGTGAGTAGGCTTCCAGATTGTTCAGCCTAACGCCGGACCCACTTTGAGAGAGCCGAGGTTCAGCCGCGCAAATTCAACCCTAATTGGGGTACGTGGCGTGAATTGAGTTCTGCATTGAAGAAGCCCAGGAGTGCAAAGGTCAAAATAAAAACTCGTGTTTCAGGGATGAAGGATCGCACACTATGGTTTCGTCCCGATGAACCTTTGTTGTAGTTGTTTGCGAAGGGAAACCTTCTTATGTAGTCTAAACTTAACTTTATTGAAGCCTATCCATGTAGATCACGTTATTCTTCCTGTCTTGGAAGTGTTTCGTCAAACGTGTCTCCCTTTCCATGCAATGATGCGCTAATCAAGTAAGGTAGACTCCACCTAGCTTCTTGAAAGGTTCTTCCTCTCTACTATATTGGAAGCGATCCTGAATTGCCGTTGACTCTCTCGGTAACTGAGTGTATGATTCGTAGCCTCGCTATCCCACCCCGACGATTGGTCAAGCTGTCTAGTCCTGAATAGAGCCAAGGGTTCGACCTCATTTCCGTCCGGCTTTTTTGACTCGAAAAGAGGTATGGATCCTTGGTTTGCAATCTCGCGAGTCTTGGCGATATCGGAAAACCCCCCTTATCCCGGGCCTAGTGGTTCGGCTACGGGCAGTGGTGTTTGTTGCGCTTCTTTATGAACGTCGAAATTTTGACGGGTGAGAAATGAGGCTCATTGTAATATGGCAGTCTTGCCCTGAAAATGGATTCAAAGCGAGAAAAAAAAGAGTCTGCATGCTAAGGTACTTTGGCAACTTGGTATGCAAGAGTGAGTACGAAATGACGCCTAAACCTGGAATGTATGTCTTCGTGCGGACCCGAAAACAACATCATGCACCTTGACCTTGATTCTACAAGTCAGGTCTCTGCCACCCTTTCCAATTCGTACCCTATTCGACAGTAGCAAGCGATAGACTGTAGATTTTAATTACACAGTCGCCTTGCCCGAAGCTCGGATCACAATACGACAAAGTGACTACCATGTGAAGTATCGCAAGAACATGACCCACAATTCAGAGTCCACCCAAGTTCATGGCACAGGTTAATGGATAGTGATACAGTATTCAGAGGTAACCTTATTCGCCACATGGGCGACAGAGAGCGGGAAAATAGGACTCTAGCGAGTATCGACTCCTGCGTGGGTCAGCTCAACTACAATATTGTGAGAGCCCAGACTCACTTCTGATCTTTTAGATGGTCTCTCTCCTGCTGTTCTCTTGAAACCGTCTTTTCGAACAGTCCTTTTGGAGACTTCAGTCTTAAAATCGTCCCTTACGATCTTACTGATACTATTTTCAGACTCGGCCCGTCACTACAAATCTTCCTCACATTGTATTCGTTCCCGAGAGGTAAGAAAATGTATCGGCAGCCCTATCATTACTATTAGGAGTAGGACGTGAATCCTGTAATGACCTCTCACTACCCCAGAAAACAATTGCCGGCAGACACCTTCGAGCCCCGATGTAGATCTTATGATAACCAAAGTGCAGGGACTGTAGATCGTGCAATTGATATAGTCCGTGTGCAAGCCAGAGAGTAACTAATCGGAGGTATCAACACGTGGCTCACACTAGCCGATGTCTAACATCGGATGGTATAAAAGATACCCCACCTTATACTTCAGGACATGGGCCCTCCGCTGCATCTTACATGAGTAACTTAGTGATGGGCAGAGTGATGGAGCATTTTTACCCGAGCCAGTCTAGAACTCTGGAGATGCTATCGGACACACATCCATTTTCCCAATCGGTACCTCGTCACACTGCTCGTGGTGGTAAAGGCAGCTATCACACGCCCAATTGCGAGCAGCAGGTTGAAGAGATGGCAGAGTAACCTTCTACTGTCTCCGGAGCCTTTCTGAAATGCTAATAAATGCATCTCGAATAAACCCAGTGAAAGAGACAAGGTTGATTCTATGTGCACATTCCGTTCATCAGGTGACGGTTCGAATCATGTCCCTGAAAGTCGACCCAGCTGATTACGATCCGACGTTAATGTTCTAAGTTGCCCAGACAGAGTCTGATTTGCTGACTACGCCACAGCTCAAATGCAGAGACACTGAGCCGGAAGACAAATTGAACTCGCGTGTTGTATACGAATTCAGAATTCGGCTCATTTTTTTCTTCATCAGAGTGGGCGGAGTCGGGTGGACCCCCCATTCTAACTAACTACCAGCGGCTGTACGTGGAGTAAGTGGGAACTGCATCGTAATTGAGTGAGAATCCACGAGGTGAAACTGGACTAATCGCGAAACCCTATTTGGGCGGATCCAATGGATGAATTTTGGGACTTTGAGTATATATTGTCTTGTGAGGTTCTTCGCCACCCAAATCGATCGTCGTGGGACCTCTATCGATTCGGATCCCATGGATCAATGCCCTATGTACACCTTTCGTGGTAAAAAACAATGTACCTTTGGATCTTTCTGTGGATCCTGTCTTTTCTTCTCCCACAATTGCAAGTGATCGAAGGCCATATGTGTCGATTGAATATGTTTAAGAAGTACTGTCATATCCTCTCGATCTTCGCCAAGTTTGGACTTTTGCCGGCTTGACATTCGGAGCCGCCTCATGGTCAGAGTCGACATTCTTTCCCAGTGACGCTCATGCTGCGCCATAACACACTCGTTTAGAAACCCAGGACTTGCAAACAGGAACACACTGAATACCTGTTGCAACGCCTTCCACCTGGTGCACGAGATCACCATGCAACTCCCTCCGAAGGCGATCATGGCCACTTGGCCGAAACCAAACTACGTCAATTCCGAGTCTCGCGGCCATGGAGTCGCCTATGTGAATGCCATTTTCACTTTCCTCGCGCTTGTGGTGGTCATGCTCCGTATGTACGCTCGTGCGTGGATCACATATAGCGTTGGAGTGGACGACTGGCTTATCTTCGCTGCTCTGATCTTCACGATCGGAATGGTGGCCGTGACGACCTTGGCGACAGAGAGCTGGGGATGGGACAGACATGTTTGGGATGTCCCGGTCGTCTGGCTATCGACCGTGCAAAAGCTGAATGTGAGCTTTCAGATCCTGTATAGTCAAGCGACGAGTTTGACCAAGATCTCTATTCTCTGGTTTTGTCGGCGCCTGCTGGGCGCGGGTAAGAAGGGAGGAATGCAGGTGTATAATTGGATCTTTATAATTGCCATGTTTGTCGCATTCATGGCGAATGTGCTGTTCACCATCACGAGTATCTTCCAGTGTTCGTGAGTAATGAATCCATTCAACCTGCGAGAAGCATTCTGTTTCATCCACTCCTCTCCTGATTGATGCTGACAAAATTTGCATTTGCCAGACCCGTCAAAGCATACTGGACGGTAGACCCGCAATTCAAACACCACTGCCTCAATGAGGGCAACGTGCTCTTTGCTGCCAGTGTGATCAACCTCTTCACCGATTTCATGACCACGGCCGTGCCGATGCCACTCATTTGGCGCCTCAAACTCCCTGTTCGCCAACGTCTTGCCGTCATGTCCATCTTTGGCCTCGGTGTCCTCGTCACAGTCGCCGGGTCTTTCAGGACTGCCTTCGTGTGGCAGAGTATGGTAGTCGGATATGACAGGACCTGGCTCAGTTGGCCCATTCTGATCACCGCCTCGATTGAGATCAACATTGGTCTGGTAAGTTGACACCAAACATGATCATGTTATCATGCATGTACTGACGTGGACATGATCATGCAGATTTGCGCCTGTGCACCCGCTCTCCGACCGCTTGTCGTTAAATGGTTCCCCAGGCTCGACAGCAGTAAAGGCAATTCGAGCTATGATCCTAAAGCACGGAGCGGATCATCAAAGCCATGGCTGTCCACTGCGCGGTCTCACAAGATGATCAAGAATCCAGATGCCAGCATCATGGCGGTTACTAATGTCGGATACGAAGATGATCAGGAGGGCATAATGCGCACTGTTGAGCTCGAAGCGTGGTCGACGAAGCAGGGCCAGCTCACCGGTCATACTTATGAGATTCCTCCGGCGGATCGGTCACGGTCCCCTTCCAGCCTTGAGGCAAAGGACGACATCATCGTGTATTCATCTGCTTGCAGTGGTCAGTCCTCTGGTGTATTGGGTCGAGATGATACTCGTCGAGTCCGTGCATGGTCATAGCCCATTTTCTCGACACATCGCTTTTCGTGTCTTGAAGGGTGTCAACCTTCCTTTCAAAACACTCATTCAATACACACTATGATTTCTTTGTTTCATTGCAGAGCGAAGCATAGGCATAATAGCCCCAGGGGTTCACTTGCGGTAGTATTAGTCCTCTGAATGGATGCCCAGGATGTAGAACCGAGGGTAATTCAACACTTGGATTCATCATCAAAACAACGTGCTTACCTAGGTATCCCAGCGCTCCCCAAGGTACCTGGTCCAATATGTCCCTCGTGGCGAGGCACCACCTGGCACATCGGCGTGTCCACCTATCAATTGAAACAATGGGATTGCTCGGCAGATTATTTATGGCCTTCGATTCGTTCTGCACTTCCTTGCGAGGCAGAAGTAGCCCTGCGCTTAGGAACACTCGTGTAACCAAACATATTCACGAGTCGTGGAACAACCGCGCTCCACGATATGCATTCTTGTTACCATCTATTTACTGTTCGATTTTAGGTACCTTTCCATTTGTGAGTCCCCAAACGCCTTTGCAATCATTTCCTATCTTGGCTCACAGTTCCTCCGGTTGGAAGATATGTACGTTTCTTGGTGTCGTTCAGGAAGTCATTTACTCCAGCTCGATGGTGCCGGGAGGCTTGGAGGTACTGCAAGGCCAACGTCAGATTGGAATACGACTTCTTCAAAAAAGGAGAATTTGACTCACAGATCATAGACAACACGGGCCACACCCTCCACCTGGTTACAGATGGTGCGCGAAACGTTCTAAACAAAACACATGATCAGTTAAAGCGAAGGGGATGGTTGCCATGCGCCATAGACAGTCCAACACCAAGGCGGTAAAGCTCCACTATGTCGAAGGCCCGCGGCTCGAGAAAGACTCACTGCAAGGAATGCGTTGTCAAAGTTGAAGACCTCGGCGCTCATGAAGTCCTTGGTGCGAACAGCGCGGAGGATGATGATGTAACCCCAAACACGCTGGTCACCGAAGACACCAACACTGCGGTTGGTATCAAGACCAGCAAATGCCTGAGAAATCTAACGAGAAGAAGGTATATGAGCATTTGGACCGGCCTGAAGGACACGGGGCAACTTACTTGGTCATAGAGGCCAGCCTCCTTGATCATGTTAATGAAGATGTTGTCGGCCTGGCGAGCAATCTCAACTCGTTCCTTGGTGACATCACCGAGGATGCGGATGGCAATGCCAGGACCGGGGAAAGGGTGGCGGTTCACGAGAGACTCGTGGATGCCGAGTTGGCGACCAATGGCCTAGACTGATCAGCACACCAACGACGGTCAAAAGTATTGTGCTGAATACACTTACCCTGACTTCATCCTTGAAAAGGAGTCGCAGCGGCTCAATGAGCTGTTCGAAATGGTCAGTAAGCTGCTTTAGTGTCTCTTGGTAGATTCAAGCGGCTAAACTTACGCGCAGGCCTTGCTTAAGGACGGTAAAGCAATATCAGTACGTAGTTCAGATGGTCGACGAGGAGAATCTGGGCGCTTTCAACTTACACCGTTCATCATACGCTATAAGCTAGTTAGCAACTGACCTCCATGGTAATCATGTTCATCTTGAGAATACTTACCTCGGGCAAACCGCCGACGTTGTGGTGAGCTGTTCGTTTTGTCAGTCCATCTATGCATCTCACTTGGACTTGCCGAGCCTGCCGGCCGAGCAAGCAAGGTAATTTTCTTACTCTTGATAGTGGCCGAGGGACCACGGAAGCTGAGGGACTCGATGCTATATTCATGTCAGTATGAGTAAAAGCAAGCATCGCTGAAAGGGAGAAGTCATACACATCAGGGTAGAGAGTTCCTTGCAAGAACCACTCAACCTTGCCGGAGTTGGGGGTGTTCTCGGCTTCCTTCTCGATCTGATTGAATGGTTAATCAGACAAGCCCAAGCCTCACATCGGGTGTCAACACCTACTCGGATAGCCTCCTGCTCGAACAAGTCGATGACTGGAATTAAATCAGTATATTTCACACCAAATTTTGTAAAGTAGACATCGAGAACTCACAGGTAGAGCCGATGATCTTGCGCTTCTTCTCCGGGTCAGTAACGCCGGCAAGGCGACCCAGGAAAAGCTCAGCCGCATCGACAACGGTCAAGTTGATGCCCAGGTGCTTTCCAAGCGTCTCCTTCACCTGCTCACACTCGTTCAGACGCATGCATCCGTTATCAACGAGAATAGCCTTGAAGCGGTCGCCGATAGCCTCCTTCATCAGAGCCGCGCCAACAGTGCTGTCGACACCACCGCTCACAGCTCCCAGAACGAGGGCCTTGTCACCAACGAGTTCGCGAATGCGAGCAATCTCGAGCTGAACAAAGTCACCCATCTTCCAGCTTGGCTTAGCACCGCAAATCTCGACACTGAAGTTACGGAGGATATCGGTTCCACAGGGAGTCTAGATTGACACGTCAGTTGGGGTCGGTAGCGTGTGGACAAGTGGTAAACGCACGTGCTCGAGTTCGGGGTGGAATTGAACGCCTGGGAAGCGTGATGTTAGCTTCTCTCTTCTTAGTGGTCACCAAGTTGTATCAGGCAAGACGTACCGAAGATAGGCTTCTCCTCGTGCGCAATACCGGCGAACTCGGAGTTCTTCGTGGCACCAATGACCACAAATCCCTGAAATTATGTCCGTTAACAGCAAGTCAACAGCAATTCAATGCGCTTTCAAAGTCGACCAACTCACGGCGGGCAAGGTGACGAGCTTGTCAAAGTGAGACATGAAGACAGGAACCTCCTCTCCTAGTCCAGCAAAAAGGCGGTCGACGTGGCTGTTGACCTTGGTGATCTTGACATCGGCATGGCCGTACTCTGGCGATGATAAGATGTTAGGTAAGGTTTCCAGGCCATTGGTCTCGAAAAAGCCTACCGCGAGCCTTTCCACGGGCAACATTCTTCGAGTCGATACGCCAAGCGATTTCCTGGCACCCATAGCAAATACCCCTGTTGTTGTTCGTGTTAGCCACGGTCCAATCGCTTCATCAATCGATTCGGGTCAGACTAACAGGATCGGTACGTTCAGGTCAAAGACCGCGGGATCCACGTCTGTAATTGTGAGTTTGGGCCAGCAGCCAGTTGAGACCAAGTGAACCTACGGGGTGAACCCTCATCATAAACGGAGGAAGGACCTAACGGGAAATTGTCAGATATAAATGCACTTCCACCATCGAAGTTATGACGCATACCTCCGGAGAAGACGATTCCCTTGGGCTTCCATGTCAGATCAGCGATCTTGGTGGTGCAGGGAAGCAGCTCGGCGAAGACACCCAGAGATCGAAGACGGCGCAGGATCAAATGGCTTGTTTGCGACTGGAGGAGGATGAGTCAGAAGGTATATAGCCTTAATCGAAGAAAAGGTAGGATCGCATCAAGTTGGAATTTGGATTGCTTGACAACGCAGCCGGGTTGGGAGGGCACATACGCCGAAGTCGAGCACAAGAATTGTCTAGATATTGCAATTGTTAGCTTTTGTATAGATTTGACGGGTTTCAAATTCTCAATGTCTCGCCCACAAGCCCCACCGAGGAGACGAGAGGTCCGAACATGCGGGGAGCATGATAGTCCTTGGAATGGAATTGATGACACCTAGCGATGGTAGGTATAACATACGTCAAAATTGTTGTGAGGCAACTCAGAATCGGGGGAAGCCATTTTATCGAGGGATGCAGCGGCAGATCTGTCAGATTGACGGTGTCCGCAGGAGTCAAGATTGCCCCGGACTTTGGAGTTGACAAGGAAAAAAAAAATGCAATATAGCCGGCAGAATGGCGGCACACCTGCTACTGGCCGCTTCCTAAGAGGGAGACCGCCTTCGTTCTGTGACTCACGGTCTCGGAGGGGGCCGGGGCTCATAGCCTGAGGCATAAACATTCGCTCACATGTCATCGAAACGCTGCACGAGCCACAGGGACGAAAACCAGACTCCAGTGTAAACACACGGCGAATGCGGCATCACTGCGGCATAGATGACGCGAAACGGAAAGACGAGAGATTCATTCGTGCATCTATCCCAACTATTCTCTTGCGGTCTCTGTGTTTGCATGGCATTTGATTCTGCCACTCACCACAGTTCATAGCTTAGGTAGAATCTCTCCCCCACCGCATTCTCACTCCTCATCCCTCTCACATCGATACTGCTGCCCTTACCGTAGCCGTATCTCATCACTCTGTAACCTTCATCATTCATGACGCCTCAGGTTAAGGTAAGTGGGGGATATCTGATGCCCGACCACAACACCACTAGTTAGCAGATATTGCCTGTTAGTGACTGTTCCTTTCATAAGTCTATCATTTCGAACGCCGAAAATCGGGATAGCTACCCGTATACAATTGATGATCGAGGAAACATTAGCTAAGAGCGTGAATCTAAAAAGGTCGAGGGAATGACGAAAGCAAATGGAACGGATTTGAAAGAGACCAAACTGTAGGGATGAGGAAAGATAAGGCTTCCCTAGCCGTACAAACTACAATCAACTAGTAGTCACTGCATTCTTGGCGAACAATCAACTTGAAGTGGTGACTTAGTACTGACCACGAGGTACTTTTCATGCTTTTGGTCATGTTCAGGCAATCGACTGGCGCAAATTGATGTCAGTCGACAAGAGCGTTGCTCGAGCTGTCGAATCGACCAAGAATGGTCAAAATAAGCGAAGCCGTGGTTTCAGGTAGTCAGAAACACCTCGGTGTAGAGGCCTAGAAGGAAGTATAGGTACATTATGCTCTACGAAATCCCGCACATACCATCAAGGTGACTAATTCCACGATCTCCGACAGGAACATGTTGTCATCCTCCTAGACTCCAACTAACTAAACACCTCCTACCACCGTAAGGGCCGGCCGCTCACATGACCTGGAAGGTCCGTCAGGTCGACATGGTCATTTGTCTGCTTTCCTCACCCACCAGTGACTGTTCCAGAACCCATGCAAAGAGGAGCGCTCTTGACCACGCCTTTTCGTTGCTTTTTTTCTTCCAGGAGCACCATGCTCGACGGGATGCAGCAATGATTCGATTTGACCTTTGGCAAAATTGTATACAAGATCTTCTCACCCCCTGCAGAGTCAGACATGTCACCGTGCGTCGTGAGAGCAGCAATGGCCCGTCAGGGCTGAATCTGCATTGAGCTCGGTGACGGTCTCCCTTGCTAAATACCAAATTGTGGCGTGTGATCCGTCTGAAAAGCTTGCTGGGAAAGCACGATCCAATAAATTCCTCAATACAGCAACAGAAGCTTGGTTCCAAACACAAAAGCTCGCTAATGTCACACCGCATTTGATATAACGCCAGTGCCATCACGACGTGGTTGCTCGTATTAGTCTTGGCGGTGGAGGGTCCATCGGAGGCCTCGTTGCTTGTGTGGGGATTGCGCATCAAATCGGATTGGTCGGCAGGCTGCTTGGGCTTCCCCGTCAGAGCTGATTGATGATCATCTCGAAAGGGAGCGTTGCTCGCAGTCGAGTTTCTGGCCATGATCAGCGCTCGAGTCTCGAATTTTGGACAGGTCTCGGCATTCTAGGGCCTCCGACGGGAAGCGCCGAGAGCTGCATGTATGGCCAAATTCGACTCTTATTCGTGAAGAACATCCCGAGCTGAAGCTGTGCTCATGTGCGGAGATACATATCCCTCGATGGAGGCTCCTTGGGAGCCGCATGAACCGCTTATGGGTCTGTCTCCAAGATAAAAGGCACAACAATTCGACTTGCGAACAAGTGACTACAACGTGCCTCGCTTGGGCATTCATTTTCCGTTTTTTATATCTGCTATCATAGACTCTGCGAAGGCTCGCTTCTTTCTCTTGTCTGACAAAATTTTCTGTTGAGGATCTAGCTTCCTCTTCTTCGATCACAACTGCGACTTCTGCCACTACCATGATCATCCTTCATGTCGCTCTATTTGCCATCCTTGGCACTTGTTTGGTCTTCTCGATCATCGAGCTAGGTCTCACAGCCTATGTTGTATCGTTTTTCAGTGGCACTCATCAGGAAGAGACCTGGGATCCTTATAGTGGCTATAGCGTGACCGATGTTCATTACAGTACTCCAGGCATATTGGCATTCATGCTGTTCAGCGCTATTTGGTCAATCCTCGTATCTATCGCCGCTGCTGTTCTGCCCTGGTTCTACACTAGAAAGGGAGTCGCTAGCCGAAGGCTGAACACTATCTTCGGCGTCTTGTTCATAGTGACCTTCTTTGTCACCTCTGTGTTTTGGCTGGCCTGTTTCGCCGACATTGCGGCTCAACTTGGAGGGGGCGTCAGCTTGAGCGATTACCTGAATGCTATGATCGCATTTGCAGTTCTTCTGTGGTAAGACATCCTTTTCGCACGCCTGTCCTTTCCGCAAAGTCCTATTCACTCACTATTGCTTCTCACCGCAGGCTTCTGTTCCTTGCTTTAGGCATCCTTGCCGTTCTCTCAGCGTGTGGTGTTCTTGTCTCAGACTGGCCCGGCTATCAGTCAATGAGGCAAGGCGCAGTGACAGAGCAACCCCATGCCTCGACTGTGCCTGCCACCGCCACTGCTAATGAGCAGATGAGTACGGTCCCTACTCCCGCCCCTGTTGCTGTCACCGAGCCGGCGGGTCATGATGCTGAGGCTTTGCACCACCAGCCAGGGATCATTCCGCCGCATAATCTTTAACGCAGGAGCCTCGGGAATGAACAGATTTGAATTAGGCACGGAAAGCCAGGTTTGATGAGTTGGTCGCATGCCCTCGTGTTTCACTCGGAAACAACCATAGCACTAGATGATTTTCTGAGGGACACCACACTGTGCTACTGAGTGGATGGATTCTGATGAACTGGAGCAAATCAAACGGCCCTGTTACCGTGGAAATACCCACCTAGGTATTAATAGTAATTGTTGAGGGATTTCAAACAAGTCATGTCTAAAAACACATGAAGCGAAATCTATTTCACACTATTCAAAGCTCTCGGTCAGTATAAGCTTGACAAGTTTCCATGTTGTGAGGATCATGATCTGGCGGGGCCTTGCTTTAACGACAATCAGCTCGGGCTTAGTGAAGTGTTGTAGATCAAACTCAGGTACTGGCTGATCAGTATGCCCTCCCTGTCTAAAGCATAAGCAGCTTGAACAGCGGATACACTCCCTTTATTCAATGTGATATTGGCGTGCAGAATTTTCAAAGAAATACGAGGGCGGTTTATTAACAGGTCGTACCAAAAGCAGACAGGCTTAGATCTTAAAGCTCAAGGGTCAGGTATCAAGAAAACAAACTTCTACGCAGCAGCGGGCTTGGCTTCAGCCCGCGAAGGTTCAGGAGACTCGTGGCCGTGTTTGCCCTTCTTCTTCTTCTTCTCGTCCTTGCCCTTCTTCTGCATGGCCTCCGCCATCAACTGCTCGAAGGCCATGTAATCGCCTTCTTCCTCCGGATCACGTTCAGCCTAGGGGACATGATGTCAGTCGCGAAAGTCAATGGTTCTGTGGGAAGAGAGTTGGCGCGTACCTTGGCGTAGATGTTACCAGCCAAAACAAGCGCGTGAGCGCGTTCCACACGCTTCTCGAGACGAATTCTCTTGTCGTTCAAGATCTGGTCACAGACCTCCCGGAGAACGCTTTGAATCTCGAATTTACTACCCCGCCAGGCGGCCGCAAGGATCTTGCCAGTCACCTTCTTCTCATACTCTGCCTTCTTCTCATCTGTCCAGTCTTCTCCTCCACGTTCCTCTAGCTTTGCCATCTCCTCCATGGTCATTTGAGCGTCAATGGCGGTGGAAATGGTTGTCCAAGTCTCCTTGGCCAGGGTACCCTTATCCTTGAGTCGCGAGAAGAAGCCGGAAATACCAAGGAACTTCTGCGACTTCAGGAATGAGGTACCCTTTTGAACATATGTGGCGCCCACAGCGTGCAAAATTTCCAGACCAAAAGACTCCATCTTCAGGTTCTCCACTTCCAAACGAATCTTTTCCTCAAAGGCGCGGGTGACATCCTTGCCTTTGTCAGTCTCTGTCCACACACTGAGGCGATCGATCAACTTGTTGGCAAGGGTGTTGACACGTTCCTCGCGAGCCTTTCTACGCTCTTCTTCAAAGGCAGCGAGACGCTCCTGCTGCTCTTTGGAAAGACCCTTCTTTTTCTCCTTCTTGCGAAGTTCTTTCTCCTCCTGTGTCAGGCCAGCTGCCTCCATTCGCGCTTCCTCCTCGGACTTGTCCATCAGAGCCTGTTGTCCCATGTACCTTCGGGGAGTGCTTGCACCGGAGCCTTGAGCGGCCTTCGCGGCCTGAGTTGGGGGCGCGGTAGCATCTCCGTAATGTGGAGGGGCACCAGCATCGTCATGGGCCGATGCCTCCGCAGTAGCTTCTGCAGCTTTAGCCGCAGCCGCGGGGGACTCCTCGCCGTGAGCTTTCACCTCCTCATCGTGAATGTGCAACTTCTGCTCGGCCGATTCCGCTAGCTCTTCCTCTTCCATTTCCTGCATCGTGATATCCATGGTCGCCGTGAGATCTTTCATGAGAGAGATCTCTCCGATGAGGTCGACAAATGCTTCACCGCCGAAAATCATGCTGAAGAACTCGGATGGATCCTCTATGCGCTACGAGTCAGCTCAAATGATTTCCATCTGTTTGGAGGTCGTGTGCAGTACGAACCGAAGCCACCACCAGGGACTGCATCCTCCTTTCCAAACTTGTCGTATCGCTTGCGCAAGTCTTCGTTGCTCAATACCTGATATGCTTCACCGATCTATGTTCATCGGGTAGGTCAGTATCTTGAAAGCGCTTCAATAAACGATGCCTAATCATACCGCTTGGAACCGTTCATGGGCTGTCTCGTCGCCGGGATTCTTGTCTGCACCGCTATTGTTAAAAAGTATCCTTTCTGGGGAGACATAAGGAGTGGCCTGGGCATACCAGGGTGGGTAACTATGGCGAGCTTGCGATATGCCTTTTTGATTTCCAGCTCAGTCGCAGTCGGAGGGACGCCCAAGGCATCATAATAACTGGTGTCGGCGACCATCGTGGGTAGAGCAGTACCAGATGCGCTGCAAAACGAGTCTGGCGCTCAAGCAAGAGATTTGCGGAATGGGATAATGAGAAGATCCCTGAGGTCACTGCACGATTTAAAGAAGGGTTCAAGACAGGATGAGAAGCTAGCAGGCTATTTTTTTGGGGCGTACTTGAGCTACCATCTCGCCCCGCCAAACGCCGGTGCGGCATGACGCTCTTCCCTCGCGCGGACCCGGGTCCGAGGTCACCTGACCCCCATCTCACTTTTCCTCCATGTGGATATCCCCCCTTTTTTCCCTCTGCACAACTTATTTTCCCTCTTTCTGAATTTGCCGGAGTGTCTATTCATTCAGCGGCATAGGTAAACAAATCTCAGTTTTTCCCCCCTGGCTCTCCATTGTCTCCCCATTATACTCCAATTATCCGTCTATTGGTCACTCGCGTGCACAAGCAAGCTCTACCTCCGTCATGGGTTTCATCGGAAATGCCATCTACTTTGCTTTCCATCCCACTCAATTGAGATCGGTCATTCAATGGTATGCCTCCTTAACCAACAATGGTCCTAGATTGAATAGATGGACCTCGGCTGACATGGATTTGGCTCAGGAAAGTCTGGCACAATCCGCCTCATGAGCGAAATGAGAAGAATGAGACCGAGACACAGAAGATCTGCTTCAAGTTCTTAGACTTGACGAGCCGAAGTTTCAGTGCAGTCATCAAGGAGCTGCATCCTGAGCTTCTTTTCCCCGTCACGGTCTTCTATCTTGTTCTCCGCGGCCTCGACACCATTGAGGATGACACTTCCATTCCATTGGAGACGAAGGAGCCTTTGCTGCGCAATTTCAAGGATGTCCTGAGTCAAGATGGGTGGAACTTTACGGGCAATCGCCCCGAAGAGAAAGATCGGGAGCTGCTGGTTCAGTTCCAACACATCATTGCCGAATTTAAAAACCTGAAGCCTGCCTATCAAACCATCATCGCGGACATCACGGATAAGATGGGTAACGGCATGGCCGACTACTGTGTCAAGGCCGAAAAGGAAGATGCCAGTGTGAAGACAGTTGAGGAGTTTGATCTGTACTGTTGGTACGTCGCTGGGGTAGTCGGCGAGGGACTCACCCGTCTCTTTGTCGAGGCCAAGTTCGGCAACCCCGCTCTTCTGGATCGTCCTGAGCTCCAGAAATCCATGGGTCTGTTCTTGCAAAAGACGAACATCATTCGTGACGTTCGAGAAGACTTTGACGATGAACGGCGATTCTGGCCGAAGGAAATCTGGTCCAAGCATGTCGACGACTTCGAAGACCTTTTCAAACCCGAATGCAAGGAAGCCGCGCTGAATTGTAACTCTGAGATGATACTCAACGCCCTTGAGCACGTCGAGGAGTGTCTATTTTACCTGGCTGGCCTGAGGGAGCAAAGTGTCTTCAACTTCTGTGCCATTCCCCAGTCTATGGCGATCGCTACTCTCGACCTTTGCTTCCGGAACTATGACATGTTCCAGCGGAACATCAAGATCACCAAGGGCGATGCTTGCCAGCTTATGGTCGAGTCAACTCAGAACCTTAACGTCCTTTGTGAGACATTCCGTCGAGTGACTCGCTCCATCCACAAGAAAAACACTCCCAAGGACCCTAATTTCCTCAAGATTAGCGTCGTTTGCGGCAAGGTAAATTCACGCCCTCCCCCGATATTGGCCTGGCTCTACAGACTCATTCGCTGACCGCGCTTCCCACAGATCGAGAAATTCATCGAGACCATCTTCCCTACTCAACGGGCAGAGGATGCTCAGCGCCGTATGAAGGGCGAGCTCAGCCACGAGCAGGTGGAGAAGCAAAAGGCGGAAGCCGAGAGCAAGTCGGACCTGTTCTTTTTGATGGCAATCATGGCAGTCATAGTCTTGATCATTGCCGGCGTCATGGTTTGTGCACACTTTCCCAGCACAATGGCGGTACATGTTAGCTGACCTCATTCCAGTTTGTGACTGCTTGGTTCCTAGGCGCTCGCTTCGACCTTGCATGGAAGGAGATTCGGTCGGGCAATTTCAGACCCTCTGCCGCAATCACTCATCAAGATCTTTGATCCGATGCATATGATCCTTCTTCTCAACGGCGTTACGATTTCTAATTGTCTAATATTCTCGATTCCCCTTTCCCCGCCGGCGACAACACCTGTTTCATTATATCCCTCACGTTACTCACTATGACGCCGGCGGCATGATCTGTATTGATAATACTACCATTTTCCTCTTCTCAGTACGTTATTTACTGACCCTACTTTCTTACGTGACTCTATCTTCCAGGATTTCGGTTTCTTACTCAGCACGGATGTCAAATTGCGATCCAGCCTTTTCCAATGGCCGTGATTGTGCCGAAGAAGTGCTTATATTGATCGTGTGGTTTCTGATCACATTTCGACCAGTGAAGTACTAGATTCATGCCTGATGACTTGACTGTCGCGGTGGCATTCGTCCATTGATGATCTGGAACATTCTCTTTGCTACACCGTGACTCACCTAGCAGCATTTTATTGAATATCAAACAGTTTTACTTTCGCCGCTCTCATGCTTGTGCCGTTTTGTTTGCGTTTTGCGTTTTTCGTTTTAGCACGGATGTCAAATTGCGATCCAGTCTTTTCTCATGACTGTGATTGTGCCGAAGAAGTGCTTATATTGATCAGGACTCTGTCCTCTTTAGCCAGTGAGTACTAGATTTGTGTCTGATGACTTGACTGTCACGGTGGCACACGTCCATTGAAGATCTGGGACATCATTCCGTGGATGTCTTATGTAGTTGAATGTTCAACCTTTATTCTTGTCGTGTCTCTCCCTTTACCCTGTCCGTAGTATTTTCTAGCACGGATGTCAAATTGCGATTCAGTCTTTTCTCATGACTGCGATCGTGCCGAAGAAGTGCTTATATCGAGTGGGACATTGGTCCCTTTAACCAGTGAGTACTAGATTTATGTCTGATAACTTAACTGTTGCCTTGGCATACATCCATTGAAGATCTGGCACATCCGCATCTCAGCCATACGCAGTTCTACGTGTATCAAATGAAGAAGTTTTCTGCAACGCTGCCACCGTACGAGTCGCTCATTCTACAGAAAGCATAGTGTCCAAAGACAACAGTAAATAAGTTTTCGGTAGGTACATATCGGCCGCGGCATACCGTGAGTTTGATCACGTGTTTGACTAGTTCACGGGCCCGCGCTCGGCTCATCGGACCCTGCCTGCAGCATAAAATCGGTCCGACCCAGGCGCTTAATCAGCCCTGACTACAAGAGTCAGTGCTACTATCCATGCAGGGATTGCCCTTGGACTCTCACCAGCTTTGTAATCTGCTCATAATCCTCAGCCCAAAAATTCATTCTTAAGTCTGGGCTTTTCCTCTCGTCTCCAATCCTCCTCTTCAGCAATTATCCTTTTCCGTACTCTTGAGTTCCGTCGGTAGTTGGCTGCATTCAACTGCCGTTTCATGCGCATCCCAACAAGTCTCGCCGCATCTCGTGTACTTTCACGGCTGCTCCCTTCGACACGCCTGTATTCAGTCACACATTCAACACTATCCGAAATGGTGGGAAAGGATTTCCCAAGCAGTGATGGTTCTGAAAAACCTGCCCAGGCTTTGCCACCCCTATCTGCGAGCGACTTGCGTACCTACAACAGGATGGCTGACGGGATGGAACAGTTTGTAAGCCTCACTAAATGACCGGAGCGACAGTTATGCTCGTGCGGCTAACCACCTTTTAAGCACAACCACTTTCGTTTATCATGGCGAGAGCTATATGCTGCTGTCGAAAAACGATCTGGGAATCTCTCAGCTCGTCAACTGATCAGTGGACTCACGAACTTTTGTCGTCAACTGGATTTCCACCATTCGATTGAGGAAAAGCACATTTTCCCAGTGCTGGCGAAGAAGATGCCTGAATTCAGGAAAGAACTGGACTTGTTGAAACAACATAAGCAGATTCATGCTGGTCTTGACAATCTAGAAGCCTACCTGGAGAAATGTCGATCAGGAGAGGAGGACCTGCGCCGGGAAGAAGTCAAGAGACTCATGGACAGCTTTGGGACAGTGCTGTGGAATCACTTGGATGAAGAGGTGGAGACGCTCAAAGCGGACAATATGCGTAAATATTGGTCTCTTGAAGAGATGAGAAGATTGCCCATGTGAAGGAATCATAAAACTGAAAGAGGTTGATCGGCTGCTAGAGAGATACAATCACTCATACTGATTTGATGGACGAGTCCACCGCGCGACTTGCACTGCTTTAATTGAGATAACCCTAAGTGGAGGCAATAGACGTGTAAAGCACAAGTCAAAAGCGTGCATCCGCGCTGGGAACTCCATCTATCTCATGCAGATAGCAATGGGTCTAGCCAGGTATACGACTGGTTTTTTTTTTTTTTTTTTTGTAGAAATAGGACCAGACATCGCTCGAGAAATCCATGCTTACCGTTTTGGTAAGATGTTGTCATGCGTGGCCCTGGAGGTTTGCCGTCGATTCTGACCCTTTTACACCAGGAACGAACAGGACAGAGGTAAGAGTCGATTACCATGCATAGATAGCATCCTCACTCTTGAAGTCAAAGTCGAGATCCTCTCACAGCTAACAAGAGGCTCGTTGACATCCTCAGATGAACGGGCAGCTATTCGGTCGGCTCGTGTCTCACTGGATTCGGTGAACATCTTGGTAAATCAAACAAGAACACAAGGGGCATTTCCTAGTCCGGCAAGTTGTTACGCTTGGCCACTTAATTCTAGATTGTCGCGCGCTGTGGGGTACATCCCGTTCAGCTTCTCCAGATGCGCAGGTTTACGCCCGCAAGACGGAGGTGTCTTGGATATTGTGATCTGGAGTAAATAGTAATAGAGGGTTTTCCTCAGATTAGCTGAGTCACAGCTCGACGTTTTCAGGAAGTTCGAATGGTCATCTGCAAATGATCTCCGTTGAGCAATTTTCGAAGAATGTGAGTTTCGCCCATCCGGGATTGACAAGAATGCGGCCTATCCCTGCCAACCTGAAAACCCTTCTCCCAATTCTTCAGCCGTATACGAACTGCGAGGACAAGCTACTTTCGATCTCAAGAGTTTTTGTACTGGCATATAGACTCAGGTCGTCTAGAAATCCCACAAAGATGTCTGAAGGAAATAAAGACAAATCATGAACATGCAGGCTTAGAAACTGATGACTGAGGCATACGTGTATGCAGTTATGCACTATGCAGAGGCACGTGTTCAGCAGAAGGCTGTATGCCGATCAGTTCCTGCAGCCGCCAACCTTAGTCATAAGTCTTGTGTCTCACACGTGTCGGAATGTTTATCTCAGCTGCAGAACAATTCCAATGGCTCACTTCTCACACCCTACTGGGCAGTTCCTTGTCACAATGATCGAATCCGTCAGGGGGCCGCTGTCAGATGTCATTCGTGGCCGAGGAATTCCTGCAGACTGAACTGATTCAACCCAGAATCCTGATTTCCAGGTCTGGGCAGTCATGAGTGATGGCCAAACCCACTGCCACACGCGGCTTGTGAATCGTCTTCGTGATGGGCCCTCGTGAGGGCCAAACCAAGTCAAACTTCTCAAGAACAAGAATAATAAGAAATGACTCGATCGACCGCGCCGACTTGGATGTTTCGATCACTCCTAGAAAAAATCTGCAAGCCTTGTGCCTCCCGTTCTGGTGGAAGCCTGACCAATCTTGCGTCGTGGCCTTCTTCCTTGGAAGCTGACCTGAATTACCCCACGCCACGAGTTCGACTTCCCCATGCGGGTTCAACGCTCGGATCGTAGCTGCATGCGACTTTTTGTCTGAAACACGACAAGATGTCAACCTTTAAAAGGTCGATAGTCTATGCCTCCATGACGGGAGAATCACAATCTTCTTTCTCCTCCTGCCGATCTGTGTTACCCAGCCTGACTCTGTTGTCATTGCTCGGCGAATCTATCGACTTCCTTCTAAATTGATCACAGTCCAACCTACCCCAATCATGAAGCTCTCACTCGCATTGACTACAGCCACCTTGGTGGCTGGTGCTCTTGCAGCCCCCCGGTCTGGCTTAGCCCGCCGCCTTGAGGCTCGCGGCATCTTGGGCCGCCGATCCGTTCCGCCTTCCAAGATGGAAACACTTGTTGGAGAAAATGGTGTCCTCGTCAAGTCCGACGACGGCAGTGCAGAGGTCCAATACAGTAAAAACTGGGCCGGTGTCGTTCGTGAGCAGCCTCCAGCTGCGAGCGCGACATATACCCAGGTCTCAGCCACATTCACTGTACCCCTTCCGACTGCTACCGACTACAGTGGTGATATCCAAGCAGCCTCTGCCTGGGTCGGCATCGACGGTGATACATACACCAATGCCATTCTCCAGACAGGAGTCGACGCATATGTCAACTCCAACGGCGAGAGGGCCTACGACGCGTGGTACGAGTGGTACCCCAATGCCGCCGAGAACTTCGCCATCGATCTGACTGCTGGCGATGTCATTGTGGCCACCGTCAAATCTACCTCCCCAAGCAAGGGTGTTGCTATCATCGAAAACAAGTCTACCGGTCAGAGCGTCACTAAATCCATGTCCGCGCCATCAAGCAGTACTACACTCGGAGGGCAGAATGCGGAATGGATCGTCGAAGACTTCAACTCTGGCTCGACCATGGTCCCTTTCGCCAACTTTGGCCAGATCGACTTCACTGGAGCCCGAGCCAAGACCTCGCAGGGCGATCTTGGTGTCCAGAATGCAACTGTCTTGGAGATTGAACAGAATGGCGCTGTCCTCGCAAAAGTGGATGTCAAGAGCGACTCTGAATTTACCGTGACCTACAAGTGATGTAGATGTCGTCTTTTTGTACATAATGGGTTGGTTCCAGGTTGCATTTGTGGCGTTTGGGCGAGCTTATTGCGTGGTCGGGTCTATTTTAACGCATCCATTTGATGTTTCTCTAGGAGTGCTCTGGGATAGAACCCAGGAGCCTACGTCATGTTCGTTGGCAGTCACACTGCTTTCATATAGAGCCTGAATTAGAAACATGAAGATCTTGCATAGAGATTTGAATTGCCTTTTGAGCAGGTAGCAAATGGCATAGCCGTCAATATTGTAATGAACTCTAATAGAATTGCGCCAATGCCGATTTGAAAACATTGTTCGGCTCGTAGAGACCCTTGATCTCTTTGAGCTTGCTGTACTTGACTCAGTAAATAGACTTTATATCGAGTCACCGGGCGATGTTAGGGAAATGTAGGAAGAATGGACAATGTTCGATGGGTCCGTCTTGCGAAGGTCATCCCGAAACGCCTCACCCCAGGCGACTGCTTCAGCAGCGAGCTCCGGTGTGGAAGCCATGGGAAGTATTTCCAACAGAAAGTGTGGCTGACGGCTGGCAGGCTTAAATTATTGAAAAACGTCCTTACCAAATTTCGTTCCTTGCCAAGGTTGGTCCGAATGGATGTATAGGAACACTCCTTTTCGGCAACGACTGTTTCATGTTGGTGTTCTATTTCCCCACGGGGCGGGTGGCGTGTTCCACCGGGCAGGCAGTTCTCTCACGCCTTTGAATAGATTTGGGGTCCCGGCACATTGCTAATACCATTCTCTCAAGTTGTGCTTGAATATCGCTGCTTGGCTCTGTCTATCCACGAAATAGCAAGAACCCTACTTCAGTGATTTAGTTCCCAACATGATCGAACCTTTCATGTGTCGTAGACACGGGCCAAAAGATGCCTGGCCTTATGCCCGAGGCACGAAGGCTATCTAATCTTATCTTATCTCCGCCCTCATGACGCCCACGATTCTCCGGGGGTCTCATCTTGACCAAGTGCACTCATCACAAGTCGCTATATACTGAGACTTAAGTCAAATCTTGTGAATTTGAAACTGACTAGAAGAACCATGTAGATCATGGGCTCAATTTATCTCCACCCAGAAATTGGTCGCGATGACTTCAGGATCAGACGGAAGCCAGTGTCTAATCCCAACCTCAGGGGAACGGCTATGACCCAAGCCCCCGGACCTGGAGGCTTATTACACGCTGCTACATCTTCATATCTCGCGCCGTCACTGTCGTCTCAGCCACCATCGTATGAGGAACTATACGGCCCCAACTTTTCACTTCCTGAGCAAGAGACGTTGACGAGGCCAAGAACGGCGGATGCATCGAACAATCCAGCATCTTTCTCTCAATCTCCATCCCCGTCTCCCTCCACGGCCACAGAATCATCTTCGTCAAGGCTGCAGAAAGCATACGGTGAAGCATGTCATTTCTTGGGAGGATTAATTAATCATCCTACCGAGTCAAACAAACATGTCACCGTTCTGCGACATTCTCACGGTCTGGTCTTTTATCGAGGCCCTTCCACCTCGGTGGCAGTATCGATCTTTTCCGATGCACCCTTGCCAGAGGACCGCACAGTCTGGCTCCAGGATAAAGGTTGGTCCGGAAAGGCCGGTATGCGAGCCAAAGCTCTGTTTCGATTGAACAATAACTGGATCGACGTCACGCCGGGTATTCCTTTGCATGCAGATCAAGTTGCCGCGGGCGATGAGCGCGCCTGGCAGCGCGATATCAAGAAATTTTTAAGAAAGCCACCATCCGAAGCCAAAAACCAGCACCTACTACGCGAAACTGTTGTCGTGCGCATTCCAGCCGAGGCAGGCGATGGGTATTTTCAATTGGTGATATGTCAAGGCACGAAAAAGAAAGTCATGGGATATAGTCCCGTCTTCCGTGTCATATCTACGTCGGCCAACCCTCATTCCATGCGCGGTGCGAGTCTGAGCACAATGCCGCTTGAAGTCGGCGCTATGGTGGTCAGCCTGTATGCACGAAGTGCTGCAAAGACCGTCATGACACCCGCTACGGCCGTGGTCCAATCAAAGGTGACTCAGTATCGTCCAGCTTGGGTGAAGGAGACCGCGGCTCGAAAGGCATATCAAGTTAGTGGACTTCAGGATCGAGTGACTGGTATTCACCATGGTTTCTCCTCAAGTCCAGTCAAGCGTCCAGTATGTGCGGCTGCACCTTGTTTGATCGAACGTGAGACAGAACACGGCGTTGAGGTCGGTCCTCAGCCACCGTTCCCAATGGCCTTCGAGTCTCGTGTGCAGTTGAAGTCGTCTCCGATCGAAAGTTCGGTACCTGAATCATCCAGTCAAGAAAGACTGACGCTACTTAAAGTCCCGGACTGGGTACTTGAGCAGATGTGCGGGTACTATTTCGGCTGGGCTTGCTTTAAACATGGCTTCTTTGATACACCCGCCGGACAAACATCGTCTGCTGCAGGATCTTGGTCTCCCGCTGTTTTATCCGTCTCGACATTGGATCCACTGCAGGCAGCAGGAGTCAATATGAGTCAGGCCACCAAGCGAGTGGTTCAAATACGTCTTCTGGAACACGCTGCCCTCCGGACAAACAAGCTTGAGATTCGCGTCATGGGCTTTCTTCGCGCCGAAATACCTCCACCCACTGGCCAAGACAGGCAGGCGCTGATGGAGGCTCAAGCTGCTGCGGCCGAAGCTGCCGTCCTTGCCGATGCATATGACGTGTCTGTAGTGCAGGGCACATTGTTGCATCCAGCCTGGGCGCCGGATACACGGACAGGAGAGGAGATTAATCGCGAAAATGCTGGCTGGGTCGATAAAACCCTGCAAGGATATGAGCAGATCGTGGCCAACGGGCAGAGATGGGTGGAGCAGGTTCCTCTGCATCGGTTGGGTGTTCGATCAACCGCAGATGAGTGGCGAGAGCGACAAGTTGCGGTCAACGGCTTCTACATCGTGCGTTGACACACCATTTGTCTTCCCAACTTTTACGTTGTCGAAATGTCCGATCTTGCGTTCAAATTTGTGTTTGGTTTTTGCAACTCTTCCATCGCCGCCGCTGGACGAGGCTTATCATCAATCTTTCGAGTATCAGCTGTACAACACTTGTTCTTCTGTATACTAGTACGCCGCTCCTCTCCATGTCATACTCCAGTGTACTATGTATTTTAGCCCCTGGAGCCTTTGGAGTTCCCGGTATTCTTACTTAAGTGTACCCACATTCGCCACATATCCTTTTTCAAGGTCCAACAGGAGCCTCGGAAGCAGCAAGATTGCACTGCCTAAACAAGCGCACCTCGTCGGGCATGAAAGCGCCAACAACAGAATGCAAAAGTCCCCGGTTGTTAAAAAGCACCAAATCTCCCTCTTCCCAATCATGAGCATACACAAATTGAGGACGGATCCCAGGACGCTGGAGTCGGTACACGATCTCTCGCACGCGCGTCAGATCATCGATCGCCGAGCCATCTGCAAGATGGATGCGGCGAATCGCAGAGGGATGAATCTGAAGGGCTAGTTTGCCTGTAACAGGGTTCTTCCAGAGCATGGGGAGAATTTTGATCTTTGTTGGGTCGATGGGGGGAAGATCCGAGTCGGGGAGTTCGAGACCTTCGGAGTGGAGACCGAGACCGGTGGACCGAGAGTGAGCGGGACTCATCCAGATGTATCTGGTGAAAGTAAAGTCAGTCACCGGAAGATCGTTCGCAAAATGAATTGCCTCATGGACAACCATAGACTTATTCCCAACAGGTTGACTTACGGGTGAGGTGCGTATTCAACCTTACTCGTCCGAACAAACTCCTGCTCAGCAGGCGAGAGCAACTCGAACATTCTTTCACCACTAACGAAGGCAGTTGTTCCGAGTGGAACATCCATCGTCTCATTCGATCCATCATCATACAAAAGAGTCTGCCGCCGTCCCTTGGGCACCTGTACTGCCAAAAGAGTTGTGACCTGTGGCGGATTCAGATCATACAGCGCGGCGTCAATATGCCACCGGTAAAACCGCGTATAATCATAATCTTTTTCATCCGGGATATGGTCCTTGTGAAAGGTGCGATGGTGAGGATGCCGTAGTTGAAAGTTTTCCAGTCCCTCGTAGGATTTGATGGATCCGTTGCCGATGATTTGGACCTGTGGCTGATGAGGTACTGTTTTCAGATCTGGGTGGAGGATGCTGCGCTTTGCATCGATGGTCTTTCCATGGCCGTAATTTTCGGCTGCAGGGTCGAATCGTTTTGTTAATTCGTATTGCGCTCGAGCGGAGAGTCTATGCTGATTCTTGAAAACCACGACTTGGTGACGATACAGTGCATCACGAATTCTGTGAATTGATCATCTGAGAATTGTCAGTGGGGTGAAGTAAATGCGACTTATCAATGGAGGTGCTCACCAGTCAAATCTTCTAGGTTTATGCCCTCGATGCACGCTCCAAAGTCGATCTGTGATCCAGGCGCCGGTTGAAAAAGCCGTATCGTGGGGGGAAGAACGGCCATTGTGCCGATTAATTTAAACTTAATTCGGATGATGTGAACCCCAGGGTCTGTGCAATGCAATGCTGATGATATCGGGATCTCAATAGAGCCCTGCCGGGGGACTCTGAAGATAATTTGACGAGGTCGAGGCTCTCTTTTAGTCACCAAAGTTTCTCTTCAAAAAGAGAATGTCTTCTCTATTGCAATCCGGAGGGTAAGCTTGGAGGTATTTGTACGCCATCTTGCTCGCATCAATTTCTTGCGTGGCTCTCGTCAGGCTGGCAATATCTCTCTGATCTTATCGAGTGCGGATGAGTAGTAGATGCGGGTGAGTGCGGACAAGCCCACTTGGGTAGTGTGAACACACTGGACTTGAGAGTGGATGAGCTTCCGTATGGCAATGGACTGTGGAACAGCTCAGCCGATTCTTTGCAAGATAGGGTCGGCATTCATCCAAGGAATCACATCTCCACATACCCACCTTCAAACGGGCTATTAGTCACATCAGTGTCACGCAGAACAAAAGTGGTTACAGGAATTGAACTGTCATGTGTTCAGCCTGCGCTCGCGGCTATGACTGGATCTTGTTATCGTTATCGATTACGACGGCCGATAGAAGCACTTCTGAGAACGAACATCTAGTTAAGTTACTAGTTTCACCAACATGTGTGACCGGCGGGACTCATCATCACTGCAGCAAGATCACGAGGGAAATCATTCAGAAAGATAATGTAACAAATGGTGCGAGAACTGAACTGTGACATGGAAAGCCGTCCAGAAAAACCATCCAATATGACCCGTACGACTACTACCTATGGGTATGCAGCTTTACTTGAATTGTGCCCCCAACACTACCCAGTGCTCACTGCCCGGAACTTTGCTTCAAGCTACAATAGTTTGGAAATTCCAGACACTCGTACAGAACCTTGGCGTTTGTGTGGGTGCTCTTGTCCGCCGCCGTATATACGCGGATCTTGTGTTATCGATAAGAGAAGTGTTCTCCGATGTTTTGCTTGTAGGGCTTTTCGTCTACGTCTACCCTAGGTCTCAACGATACAATGTCTGCCTTGAAATGATCACCTAGTCATACAGCGATATGATGATTTCACCCAAAACTCCCATGGATTGAAAGAACTTGGAACTATTGGCAATTGTATATAAGGTTGTCATCGGAAGATTGTTAATATTTTACTGGTGACTGCGGCCCAACTTCACCTGAAAACGAATGTGCTGACATAATAAACAACATGGGAATACAGCTCGAGGCTCCAGGCACTCGATATGAAATGGGGAACCCGTTATATTTTCAATGAAAGATTCACCATATCTTGAACCGCGAACGCTTGGGTCCCTCCGGCTGCTCTGCATCGATGACTTCCTGCAATCCCGTCTGCATGTCGACGTCTTCAGAACGCCAAGCCCAGCGGTCATTCCAGTAGACCAATCGGTGACCCAAGTACAGCACCAAGAAGGCGGGAATTCCGATGTAAGCGGTGAAGAAATTGCTGACAGACCACTGGGATGGGAAGAAGACGGTGAAACCGTTGATCAACAGCATCAGAGTGGCACCCGCAAGGCCAAAGTATGCGCCGTAGGGCTGGATACTTGACTTGTACGGCTGCTCAATGCCCTGAACGGCGATCGCCTTGCGGAAGCGGAAGAAGACGATGCAGCAGCAAATCCAAGAGATGAACCCAGAGGTATTGGTAAAGTTGATCAGCCAGTTGAAGACCACAGAACTGCTGCTGCCGACGGAAAGATAGGCCAGAAGTGAGAAGAGTGCTGAGACGCCCACTGCATAGTACGGAACTCCCCACCGGTTGCAAGTTTTGAAGATGCTGGGAGCATTACCCGACACGGCCAGCGAGTACAAGGAGCGGGAAGACATGTACAGGAACGAGTTGCCTGCGGACCAGGCGGAGGTCAAGACTGCGGCGTTGATAATGTTATCAAGGACGGGGATGCCAGCGTTTTGAATGCCCACCACAAACGGAGAAGACTTGACGCTGCCACTGCCGGTAGTCAGCTGAGAAGCGTTGGAGGGGCAAATCACACCAATAGCGAGCGCCGCGAGGATATAGAAGAACACCAGACGGTAGATGTAGCGGCGAGCGGCACGAGGCACGTTGCGTCGAGGGGACTCCATCTCGCCACTACTGACGATGATCAGTTCAGGAGCAAAGATGAAAGCGATCGCGCTGGAGACAACGCATTTGAGCAGTCCGACGAAGCGACCGATATCACCGTCAACCAGATACGTGTTGAAGGAGCCGGGCTCTTTCCAGTAGTGGAATCCCAGACGCTGGTGATTGGGGCCACCACCCCAGAACAGAATGAAGGAGACGATCAACAGTCCGATCAGAGTAATGATTTTGATTCCCGCAAACCAAAACTCAGACTCGCCGTAGAAGCGCACGGGAAGGAAGTTCAGGGCAACAATGACGATTGTCATGATGGTGATCCATATAGCAACGTTGATTGTGCTGTTCCAATAGCCTATGACTAAGCTGGCAGCTGTGGTCTCGTATGGGACAAGAATGCCCAGAGAGTACCTTCCACAACGAATTAGTCCGGAAAACAGCGTACCCAGTGACCTTCGCTCTACTTACCAGTAAAGCCAACCCATGGAAAACCCCAGACTTCGGCTGACATATCGATGGCCATGTGAAGCCATCGAACCACCGTGGACGGGAAGATAAGCTCCCACTTCAGCTATCGCTGTGGCGATCGAGAATACGAGTATTGAAATGGCGATGTATGATATCAGTAAGCTCGCAGGCCCACCGGTGTGCAGGGATTGTCCGGATCCGACGAAGAGACCTGTGACGCAGGAAAAGTCCCACGATCAGCAACGAGAGACGCAACGGGCAATGTCGCGGTGGCAGACTCACCTGTGCCGATCGTTCCACCTAGAGCCATGAGTTGAACATGACGGTTCTTCAGACCACGTTGTGTTATTTCGTAGCGATCATCGAGATAGTTGGCCTCGAGAGTAGACACTGTGCGACCCTTTTCCAACATGTTGACGTGATGCTCGTCACCCTTGGCCTCCGGGGCCACATGTTCAATGGATGTCATAGTGATATTTTGAAAGATTCAAGAGTGGGAGAAGATGTCCCTTTATCACCTATGTGGCTGATGTGACTCAATCGTTGGCGAACTATGTAGGGAAGTGGGAGTCGGTGTTCTTATACAATTATTTCTCCGCTTAGTTTCGGGTCGGGGAAAGCACTTGTGGATCGCATGCGACTAGGTAGTAGGTACGGGCCTACACCAGACCGGCGCGGTGACAGGTCTCTCAAAAGAAAGCATGTTAGGCACATGAGAACGGTTTGAATGGAGGGAGCTGAGTGGGCGCCACCGCGGGCTTGAAAAGATAAGAGTGGAATAATCAGCCATGACAAATATGGTTAGTCTGGTGGACCCCACACAGTCGAGTCCACGGGTCCCCGCTAGACCCGGTTCTGACTCTGGGGTAAGCAGCGACAGCAACTTTGGGTTTGGTCTCGCTGCACGCCGGGGTAACCAAGTGGGGCTCTGCGTGGAGACAATGATAAGCAACACGAAGAGTTTAGTCAAGTGATGGTACTGACCCAGGGGAGTTAGTTTGGTGGATGAATTGACTACCGGGTATGTTAGGTTATCCTACAGGCTTCTTGAGATACATGCCAAGGTTCCTTCGACAATTCTATGACCTCAACAATCCAAGTACGGGAACCTGCTTTTCTTTATTGGCTACCCTATACGAAAGGTCATGCATGGTATGAGCGCTGGGGTAATGCACCTCCCATTTCGGGGCTGGCTGAGATTGACAAAGCATCTCTGCATAGCGCAAGGTATTCTTGCTAGCTCCGGTGTCCAGGAAACTCGGATTGATACAAGCGATAACAGTAGTCCGGCATTGACGACTCTCCGACGAATCAAAGAGATGCTTCAGGACCTTGGTCAAGGTGCTTTGACGAAAAGGAATATACGCTTTCGATGGGGCGGTTCCATCACCCTTGTCGATGCCCGGCATGCTTCGAATATAATCTTTCAACACAGATAGACTCATATTGAGTTCACGAGTCTCTTTCATTCGCTCTGTCAAGTGCGAGAAGACATCACGTGCTGCTTCCGAGCCAGCGAGGTCGATCAGATATAGGATGCCATCTCTCCCTGGCTCCTGTGACGGCCTTTCAATTCGAATGCGACACACTGCGTGTGAGCGTAAAGAACCGTCATTCTTGACTGTATGCGCTGATCTTCGAAGCTCATTTGCTGTATTGAGGAGAGCAAGCAGTTCAGGTGTGCTTCCTATCTGAGACTCCTGAATCCCAACCAATTGGGTCGTGCCAAGGTGGTCCTCTCGAACCGGGAAAGGCGCGCGAGCACTCAAGAGATCTAAGCCAGATGATCAGTTACCGAGGATGAGAAGAATTAGACATTCTCTCATCGAATGAATTTCCTTACCATAGGCAGAGTTGCCGGCTAGCTCGAAGATGGCAAGGTAGAGATTCCGCTCACCCTCTAATGTCCCATCGAATAGAGATTGCGCAACCAGATGCTCTAAACCACGCACGGTGAATGTTTTCCCGGATCCTTTTTGCCCATAGGCGAAAAGCGTTCCGACATTTCCATCCCATGCCCAGGGAATTAGGGAGTGTACTACATCATCATAGATTATCTTGGTTTGAACATCTGCACCAATCGAAATGAGGAGGACTAGTAAGTAACCATCAGTTCTTGGAGTCATAATCTCTTTCCATTTAAGATTCTAGGTACATCGAGATTGCACTACCGCCACGATGCTGCAGCAATGCTACACAGAAGTCGGACTCGAACAAGGTCCGGGGAGGAGATCACGAGGTACTCACAATCAAAGGGGGGACTCCCCCGACAACACGTCGCAGCTTATGCAAATCAACGGCTCCGATACTATCAGATCGGGAGCAAACAGCAACAACTAGTCCCCAGGATCCTTCTTCGGAGGATATAGGTCTCACGCGAGTCACAACGGTGATATTGGGGGGTGTGGTTTTAGACTTTGATCCGGTCTTCTGACGCGGTGGCTCGAACCTATGAACGAGCATTTGATGCCGTGCTATCGAGAGGAAATTGCTCCATCTCATTCTCTATCCCGAGGCTCGATTATGAACGTAAGTTGTCTTTGCTGAGTATCCGTCCGTATTCTCAAGCATCCCTGGTTGGCTGTGACAGCGGCTGTGAAAACAAAGTTATGGCCCGTGGATGCAAAGGCCGCGCGCTTGGCCTGGCAGAACCGGAACCCACGGTCGGCACGTGAACGAAAGAAGGGTTGGACAAGCCGAACCTTGTGGTTGCCAGACTCCAGCCGAAAAATTACACTTCTGGTACTTTTAGTCTTTTGCATCTTCGCCCGGGAGACAAAATTATAGACGGTCAATGGATCAATATTTGCTAGTAACGATCAAGCACTGATCAAACAAACGTCATAATGGAAAGTGGCATCAGATGAGCGAAAGAAATCCTGTGGGTGGCTACATGTGCATACATCTGCACCATACTTCGCATGAAATGGTGACATGCATCATGTTAATACCCGAGTACAAATACTGTCCATCAAGGCTGGTGTCATGCTTTGAGTATCGAACATGCTCCGCGAATAATTCGTCTAGTATAAGGGCACATTACCGAACTTCGTTCAATTTCGTGAAGAACGCGATTGGTGGTACTTTCGTGATTGATATGATAACCACCGATGAAGCATCACTCTAAGCGACGCCCTTCATCGAATGATTTACCTTTAGACAATAGCATGGAAAGCCACACCGGAAGCGCTCGCCGGTCAGGCCCGGTACCAACGGTTGAGAGGCGACGTGCGTTAGACTGCCTCTAACAACGCCGACACTTAAGTGTGGTGATGCTCATGATCCTTCAAGAGGCCGAATAAGCGACGAGAGCGATCCGTCTGCCGATCTGGTCAAGCGTCAAACGGATGGCTGCAAGCACCGGGCCGGTGTCGGGTCCTGCAGTACAGCGCCCCCCGGGTGCCGGGAGGCGTTTGGACAGGGTTCATGTAGCGGCGTTGGTGAGTGGTGGACGGTGCCCTGCGCTATGGCCCATTGCACGAGAATTCGAGGTGTGGGCGGCGAGGCGACATGCAAAAGGAACGTGGCTTATCAGGGCGCGGCAACGGCTGAGGGGATCATCAGCCGATCCGCGTGAGAATTGTGACAGGGCACGCTTGGATGGTCGGTGGAGGCAATGAGATTGATCGAGGAAATGGGAAAAGCATGAGAGCCATGGCCCAATTATCAAGCCAGCCAAAGTACTTGATCCTTCAATCTGGCCTGGTTCAAAAGACAAAATCAAAGCATAAACAATGGAGGGATGGCCAAAAGTCAAGATCGAAGTGGTGGGAACCAACAACGCTGGACTGATCAGGTGATCATCAGTCGGAAACTTTACCGGCGGCCTGAAGACGGCTAACATCGGAGTCCAGACAATCTCTCACGCTTCGATGTACCGACACATGATGCAGTCTAGTTGAAGTAACGATACTCTTGATGAAGACGACAACAATATGATCTAGCAACTGGGTAGCAGAGAGCAAAAGAATCCATCACGATCCATGATTAAGCATTTAGTCGAATGGGACCGATCCACCGTGTTTGTGGAGATTCATGTATCTCCCTCTACGTACCCCGATCTGTGAAGGTAAATGGGAGCGCATCGCTGTCACTGGGGGGCAGGGGTGGTCCACCTGAGTCAGCTGCAGCATATTTGATGCCTGAGGCCGGATATGGCATTACAACTGTACCCATTCCCACTGAAGAAGTTCAAAGGTTGACTTTGTTATTCTCCACATGTCGCACAGGTTGCTGGATTTCACTACTGCTTGACATGATCATCCAAATCTCATCATTTGACGAGCGAACTTGATCGATCTAAGGACGGGATGATGAAAGGACATCCATAATGGAAGAAACGATACACTCCAGGCTCACCATATTCTCAGACTACCTCCATTGACCACAATCGATGTATCATGGGATCCATTAACGTGGGGAGTTCCGAAAACTTGACCGTAAGATGTTAACGGACGTCAGGTTTGGCGTTGCTTGGGCTTGTGACTCGTGACTTAAGCAATGGATCAAGGTACACACTTGGCGAAGACTGACCGAGCTCCTTTTCTCTCCGACGATAACAAACACACAGTCTACGAGCGAGCACATGAAACAGGACCAAATACTTGACCCATAATTACATATGAAGGATCGCTCACCTGATAATAATCGGACGGAAGGGTGATCAGATTAACAAATCAAACAAGAGGGGGAATACCTACCTAACCAGCGGTCATCATGGACGTCAACTCAACCAACTTCATATAGAGGACGAGGTGACCAGCCCAATTATCTTACATCTTAGTCTTTTGTGTGCTCACTCGTGACTAGCCCTCAAAACCCAATGATATGAAGGGGCAAATTTTGACATATTGATTCAGAGGACTGTCAAACAGCGTCTGCTTCACGAATCCTTCACGTTGACTTTGAGCTCATGCTCTAGTAGCTGTGAGTCAAGAGCTATGCCTCTGAAGAGAGCCAATCTGTTCGGGTATTGATGAGCCCATACGTCATTTCAGATTTACATATAGCATGAAGCTTATGCTATAGAGCAGCACTATGATGTCAACTCTCAAAGGTGGTGATTGAGATTAGATTGAGTCAAAGGTTGAAAGCCGAGCTCTTCCCGTTGTGCTCGGTCAATGAAGACAGGGATCGATCCCAATATCTTCTTTGTCTTATGTTTACCCGAAGACGTTGGCCTTCTCCGCAAGTTCCGGGCTCTAGCGTAGCCTCCAGTGCCCTCCACTGACTGTTCTTGAGTAAGACAGGTATCGACCGTCTACAGTGAATGAAGTGTCAGGTAAAGGATGTGACGGATAATCATTATTTGAATTCGATTCAAAGGTTGAATGAACATCGCGATGATAATAATAACTGTTGCTGCTAACACTAAACTGATAACAAAGTCACCTATGTAAGTATGTAACAGACGGCAACACGCCAAATGCACAATGAAACGGACATTCATCCAACGCAAACAGCACATGCGAACGAAGAAAACGCCAAAGTTCAGAGATGCAGAACAAACAATAAGAAAACAGGCTTCGATCGCCAATCAACAAGTCAAAGACGCAAACAGAAAGAGGCCAACGGCAACAACCAACGCCAAGATATGAATCAGACCATAAACAACACGATTTGGGGTAATTGTACCCAACAAAAACACCACAAATGCAGGCGGCAATCAACGCTCATCAGAAGTTCACACATCAAAAACACGACAAGGCAGGAACGTACGAATAAAACAATAAACATGACGATACTGGGTTGTGAGGCAACCCCACAACCCCAAAAATCATACTCCAGCTCAACTCCAGCACCAAGGCGACTCAGTCGAGTCGGGGCATTTCAGTTGCCCAAGTCCTGTCGCGCCGATTGTGGATGTCGGCGGTGCAAGCCTTCTATTTGTAGGCCTTGCAGCGGGGAGGTCGGTGGGCCTCGAGTTCGATGACCCGAGCACGGTGAGCGGCCATCTCTCGATGGAGCCGCTCGAGTTCTTCCTCGCACTCGATGATGTCGCCGAGGAACCATGGATTGGATGGCCCTGGCTGGTCGAAGAGGTCTTGGAAGGATCGCAGCCGGGAGGTAACGAGCCTTTGATGATGCTCGATTTGCTTCCCGGCCTGCATCTCGGCCGTGTACTCTCGGATCCATCGATCCGGAGTAGTCGTGCCGTCACGATGGCCAGCTTTGGGCTTGCTGGCATTGGTGGCTTCTCTTCGTGAAGAAGAGAAGCGAGAAAGGGACTTCTGCTTCAGGTGGGCGAAGCGGGAGAAGAGACGGAGAAGGTTCTTGAGGAACGCCATTTTTGGCAGTTCCAGGAGAAGGGGAGGGAAGTTGCGACGGGAGGGGGGGATTTGAAGGAGGGGAAGTGCGAAGGGAGGCGGATGCGCGATCTTACGCGAGAGCGTGCGAGAGCGCGCGAAAGAGGGAGAGAGGGAGAGACGGAGACAACAGAAGAGGAGGAGAGACGAAGAGAAGCAGGGAGGAAGAGAAGGAGAGACAGGGACAAAGGAAGAAGAGAGGGGATTGGGATAAGGATGAGCGTGTTGAGAAGAGAGGTGAGAATGAGAGAGATAGAGATGAAGATGAAAGGGTGAGGGTGAAGCTGAGGAGATGAGGAGAAGGTGAGAATGAGGATGAGAGGTCTCGAACCGCGATTTGTAAGTGCGGTGAGACGGAGCAAAGTGAGCTTGAGATGAGAATGGATGTGAAGATGAGGATGAAGCGATGGATTGCGCAGAGATGATCGACGGAGTGATCTTCTAGTGTGCACGGAACCGCTGGAGAGTGGTGAAGAAGGAGAAAACATTCTGGAGAAGATGAAGAATCTTATAGTGAGTGAAGTCTCTGCTTCTCGTGACTGTATTACTTCACAATTTGTCGCCGACTACACTATTGAGTTAGAAGAGGTAAGTGCGAAGTCTTTTTGCTATCGTCGATTACTCAAATGGGAAGGAACTCACCCCAGCCGATGACGAGAGACACACGGCAGCGTCTCCTGTTTGGAAGTCAACCAGGCGACTTTCGGCCAGCAATAACAGTCCCAATCCATGGAAATATAACTCTATCGACCAATCAACGAGGAGAAGTTCGACCCCCATGGGGCACAAGTGTCATTTCAATGCCAAGTACGTCAACAAACATAACGGGAGCCTCCCTAGAATCGAACTCATCAAGGACAAGAAGTCTATACTCCATACAGTCCATGATTGATAGATCTTTGCATCAAATCTTATCAAATGTAGTCAATATTTATGCTAGTGTTATATCATCCTCTGTGTTTGTCGAGTCTATCTTTCAGTCATGCGACAAACTATGTATGTATGCATTGATTATCGATCTGATATCAGATCTCCACTCGGGTCGAACCCAAACCGACGGAACGGGTGAAGAAAATCGGTATCCACCAATCACATGCCAATCAGACGGACCTCCAGCCAGATGAGCTCACTGCTGCGCAATGCGTAATGGTTGACTTTCGTTGAGAACAGAGTAAGTTACTCACTTCGTGTACAGTAAGTGTTGTCGTCTGATGCAATTTTCATAAGCATCTGCAAGTGTGCAGAAGTCTTGGCTTCCGTGACTGCGGAAGGTACCGCGCTGGTGCCATACGACTGATTCGGTAGTAGATACACCAGAACGAAAATCATGATTCATCGACTACCTGCATGGACTGAAATCAGGCAATATGGTGCGTAGTGAAATAGATTGCGGTGAGCTGGTTTTCATTTTTTTTTTCGTCTTCAGTAGTTGTATTCCTTCGAAGTTCTTTTACGTTTTTATCCTCACAACAGCCGTCCAGGACAACAACTGCAGAAGGTGCGTACGGAGCCATCTACAGACCCCCCAGCTATCGGTCTTTCTTGTTTGCTAGCTGTACAATCACCACATACAGCCCTACTCACTATTTCATTAGCAACTTTTCCAACACCCACAATGTCCACAATGAAAGCTCTGGTCTACACGGGAATCGGGAAGGTCGAACAGCTTGATCGGCCCAAGCCGACTATTCAAGACCCCACCGACGCCGTTGTTCGTCTTCTCCATGCTTCGATCTGCGGCACCGATCTACACATTCTCAAGGGCGACGTGCCGACCGCTCAACCTGGTCTTATACTTGGTCACGAGGGCGTGGGCGTGATCGAGTCCGTCGGCGCCACAGTGCAGGGACTCTCGGTGGGCGACCAAGTCTTGATCTCCTGTGTGACTTCATGCGGTGCCTGTCAGTTTTGCCAACGGGGTCTGCCGTCGCACTGCACCACCGGCAGCTGGATCTTGGGTAACAAGATCGATGGCACGCAAGCCGAGTATGTGCGAGTACCTCATGCATCACTCTCTCTGCATCGACTGCCCGCCTCGATCAACCTGCGTGCTGCACTTGCCCTCTCCGACTCACTCCCCACGGCTCTAGAATGTGGTGTGCTCAGTGCAAATGTGCAGCCCGGTAGTTCGGTGGTGATCATTGGGGCCGGTCCGGTTGGGATGGCTGCATTGTTAACTGCACAACTGTATTCTCCATCGCTAATAGTCATGGCGGATCTGGACGAGTCGCGACTTGCAACCGCAAAGAAACTCGGTGCAAATGCCACGATCAAATCCTCGGCTTCGGACACGCGAGAGCAGCTGCTGGCATTGACGAATGGGTATGGGTTTGATTCAGTCATTGAAGCCGTGGGCATCCCGGCCACATTTGACCTTTGTCAGGATCTGGTGGCGGTGGGCGGACGCATTGCCAATGTTGGCGTGCATGGCGTGCCTGTCCAACTTCACCTGGAGAAGTTGTGGGATCGCAACATCAGTAAGTTGGGCAAAGTACCATGTCTTGATGTCGACGCTGATCTGACTTTGTATGATGTATCTGCAGGCATTCACATGTCGCTGGTTAATGCGACCACTACTCAACGTCTCCTGAGACTCCTCAACGCCGATAAGCTAGACATTAGCTCGCTGGTGACCCATCGTACGTACAAGCGCTAACACTCATTCCCTTCATTCGGTATTCCTCCGTGAATATCGCCGGAGCCGCGTATGCACAGTCACGAAAGCCAACATGAGGACATTGTGTGCCATGTCGTTTTCCAGTTTCTGCCACGCGAGGCCTCGCACATCTCCCACTGCATCTCACACACAATCACGGACTGCTAATGAGTGATCGCAAATCTCGCTTAGACTTCCCGTTCAGCCAAGGCCTTGAAGCGTACACCACATTCCGAGCCGCCGCAGATCATCAGGCACTCAAGGTTGCCATTGACTTTTGACGGACGGCCGATCCAGCAAGAGATTTTTTATTGTTACCGCAGATATAGTTCAATGTGATGCAAGCGACCAATCTTGCGAAGCTCATGGTCTAGCCTCGCGGTGTCCTTCCCCTTTGCAGGTGCGAGATATGTCGGCCCAAGGCCGTCGCGATCATTATACACACTCAATAGCCTCCACAAACAGGTCCGATAGCATGTTTCAGTGGTTGCACTTTCGTAGCCTCCCCCTTTCGTAGCCTCCCCCTTTCGGACCACTACTATCTTCGTACGTTCGCCAATCTGGCAAGTCGTACTGTACACGCTGGGTTCTGAAGTTTGTGGCCCACTTGGCGGTAGCCTGGGCATCGCGGAGGAGTAAGTACGAGTTGCCCCTCTTGGTGCCTTTCGGTGCGATACCGTCGTCTATAGGGAATGGGTACGAATTAACAGTGCAACTCCATCTGCTCCATCTACTCCATCGGGCTGCCAAGGTGCCCCACTGCGCCCACTTCTGTCCACCGTGATTGCGCCCCCTCGTCAGTGGTGACCGGGGACAAGTCTGTATTAACGTGCGCCGTTGACTGCAAGGCCCTAAGGGCAACATCACCAAGAACGGAATGTGATCGTGTGGCATACTAGTAGTATGCTTATCTTCCCGGTCGCGGTTCGGTTCGCGAGCCGTCAATTCCGAGGATAATATGTCTAAAGAGCAATAGAGAGCTAGCCACCCCTGGATACGCGATCAAAGTTTAGGCTACGGGCATACTTTGGGTTTGATTCGTTTCACGTTGAGATTGCGGGACGGTCGTGATCTGGCATCTGCGGCCAAAGCGCGAAATTAGTGAGACTTGGGTCGATGGAACACATGGTAGCACACCGTCTTGTCTGTTCAAGACATGCTTGGGAATTTAGGGACCACAGCAGTAGTGGATTACCGGATGCTTTTTCTGGCTTGTCAGGAGTCTCAGGAGTCAGGACACTCGTGAAGCGTGGTCGGTTAGGGAGGCTAGGTCTTTTTTATCATCGTGCATCATTAACCCGCGTTTGGTTTCCTCTGACATCTTAGCAGAAGAACGCCAAGGTACGAGCAGAGATCTCTGTCAGATGTCTAGCGCATAAGCTACATCCTTTGCAACTTGTGACCGTAAGAAATTCTCGCGCCCTCCAGTCGGGCAATTCATGCGGTCCGGCGCAAGGCCGAATACCCCTCAAGACCACGATGAGGTCTCCTTTCCCGGGTCAGGGCAGACGACTAGTACAGCGGAACCTCATGCACAAAGCGCACCCAGTTGGAGCCTCGGGCTAGAGATGCAGCCCGGTGGAGGAAGATGCATCTCAGAGACAGTCACAACTCGGGCGCGGCCAGTCAGCAGCCAAGGCGCGAGTCCTGCGTTTTTTGGATTGAGTGGACCACCCTCAAAGTCAAAAACACTCAACAAGGGGCCGACCGACCGTGGTGGAAGATGTCCGAGTCCAGTACGGACGTGGACCAGTGCAGTTGGATTCGATTGGCGCGGAGGGGTCGTCTTCAACAATTGTACTACTGTATGTACCACTGGTGGTCCATACCTACTCCACCCTCCACGCTGGCTATGTGTAAGGCAGAGATGAGGCTGCCACTTTTGCTCGAGGAATGGAGTGGAAGACTGTTGTCGTTGAGGTGGCCATGCCGCGGTGCGCCAATTTCGGGCAACATCCACCTTCGGTCGACGCTGACATCACCACTTCCCCTATTCCGAGGCCACCGAGTCTTGTCTGTGCCTCGAGGCCTCACTCTTTGTGAGGGAGACCGTGTACGACAAGACATGTATCGGGATTCTTGAAGCACAATCTCCCTGTCACTGAACGGAGAAATCAACACACCACATCAAGATCAACGATGATTGTCGCTATCCACTCATCCGCTCATCCTGTTCAGGCGTGGGTCAAGGTTTCCATTCGAGCACTTTCCGGTCAAACAGGCCCTCTGTTAGCGTCATAGTCACGTGAGCGGACTGCACGTGTAAACCTGGGTTGCGGCGGGAAAATCACCCGTGGCCAATGAGTTCCCCAGACATCACCCGCGACTGGCCGCGCGATCCACAGCCTCCAACGCCCGGACGGGATAGAATACCGTTGGTGGAGGTATGGTGGCGTCCTTGATAGTAGTAGTCTCACGGTCTCCCCCTACCATCTCGTCGCGGCAAAGGTCTCAAACGGGCAAAGCGAAAGCCATCGGTTCGGCGCACTGCAGATATGAGATCCGGATCCTGGGAGACTGTCTGCCGAAACTCAGCTCGGGATCACAAGTTCGCGACTTGGCCATGCCACGCGGCTGATGTCATACTTTGGACACAGAGACTAGGGACTCTTCTGTGAGGCTCGAGCTTTCGAACACTACATTGCACAATGCATATTATTCTATCATCTATACGCTGTTGCTCTCCTTACCCAGATAACTCACGATCAAGCTCTGGGCCTCTCCCATTCATGCGCAAGGCCCCACGGAAGGGCACGATTGGGTCAAACTTACCCACGCCGACTCTTGGTTCCCGGGAAATGGCTACCTTTCCTTGGAACCGGAGCACCTCAGACGAAATCTAGAAGACGAACAGACTTTCCAATTCCTTCTTTCTGCGTTATTCGAGACTCTCACACCTCGTGGTCGTGGTCTCCTGCCAACTTATGCCTCGGGCTGAACCGAGTAGTCGCCGTCATTGGTTCACCTTTGACCACGGTCCTCTGTGCAATCGTGGACCGAGGCGGTGGTAAGGTAGCGGTGCAAGGAGACAGTACGATGGAAAAATCATCAATGATAATATCGAAGCTTTGTATATGAAGAATGGCCAGGCACATGTTTTGCCGGAGAGTATATCACTCGCCCTCGAGGCCAAATCGACCCAGGCATTGTTGACTGCTTACCTACGCAGGGTCATAGTCGCAAAAAGTATTGAAAGATTCTCAGAGGGAATCTTGATGATCAAGATCCACTAGTAGTCTACTAGTCATACTACTATGTAGTGGTGATGACTGGATTGACTGCTCGTATAGTATTGAGTCTATTGACTCATTGAGCAGTAACTTTCAAGCGGGTCACAACCTTACATGAAGATACACTGGACTTGAAAAATACCTTACGTATGTGCCTACCCTGATGCATGTAACCAACTACATGCAGGCCTTTATGCAAGTAAGAATGTCGACGAACGTCCACCACATTGGCACAGTCAGTGGACTTTGATCCAACCAAATGCGCCGAATGCGGTCATTTACTACAAAATATCTAACATCTACACAAGAGACAGAGTAGTAGTATCTTTACTTACCAGCTGCAGTGATCTAGTTGGGAAAGTCTCAACCAGGAGGAGAGTTTCCCCATATGGAGTCCAGATTCCTCACTTCCTTGGGCGCTCCATTGGAGTCCATACTACGTAAAGTGAGTGGTCACCAACCCACCCGCTTCCTTCAACCGCCGACTCGGTCGCCAGACGGTCTCCAGCCGAAAAAGAAAAACTCCACCAAAGCCTCGTTCTCATGCCGATGCGTTTGCCCCGCCGAGTCCCCATTTTCTGTTCTTGCGGGTTGGACCTTTTTTTTCGTTTTTTTTTTCCCAGTCCTCATCAGTTCTAGCGGGACGGACTAAAAGGTGGCGATCTGCCCCCTCCCATCCTGGTTTGGAACTCCCAGTTCTATTTCTCCAGCTCAAAAAACTGTCACCCCAACGGTACCGACTGGATTCTGTCCGCCTTGTGCACCTCGACTGACAAGTGTGAAAGTCAATTGCGTAAACTCCGCCTCTCGACTGACGCCGATACTGAGAAGTGGAAGTCCAGCAAGCAGCAGACACTAGCGGGTCCTTCGAAAAGTGTACATTCAACACGCCTGAAGCATCACATCGCGCATACAGCTCCGAGGCTTTCGAGTCCCCGCACTACGCACCGCTCCGCGATCACATCTCCGACCGACTCCCTGTCTCCGCGCTGATCTGAAGAACTCGACTTTCAAGTCCAGTCCGATCCTCAAAATGCAGGCCGACGCATCGCGGCGCGCCTCCAAGGTTTCGGCCACTCGGGTCGAAACCGGCGCCAGCAACACCAATGCAGACCGCACCCTCGAAGAATTCGGCTATAAGCCCGAGTTGGAGCGCAATCGCTCCATCTGGCAGGTCACCTTCATGTGCTTCATTCTCTCCTCCGTTCCGTATGGTCTGTCCACGACCCTGTATTATCCCCTCGTCGCCGGTGGCTCCGCCAATGTCATCTGGGGGTGGGTGTTGATCTCCTTCCTGATTCTCTGCGTGGCCATCTCTCTGGCTGAAATTACCTCGGTGTATCCGACTGCTGGTGGAGTGTAAGTGTCATTCCCCCCGAAAACACCTTGGCGAGACGACAGACGATGGCAAGGGCAAACAAGGGGAACAATAACCCGGTTTCTGAAGCCGTCGTGGGCCCATCGACTAACAATGCGCCCTGGCCGATCCTTAGATACTATCAAACGTTTGTTCTGTCGCCCCTGTGGTGTCGACGGGTCACATCCTGGATTTGTGGCTGGTCGTACGTCGCTGGAAACATCACCATCACTCTCGCCGTCAATTTCGGTACCGCGCTTCTGTTCATTGGCTGTCTCGATGTCTTTGAAAAATCTCCCGGCGTCGGACTCACCGATGATTTTGGTGCTTGGCAGACTTTCTTGATCTTCCTGGCCATCACGCTGTTGACGCATGCCATCTCGGCCTATGGCAACAAATGGTTGACCATGCTCGAGGTACGATTATTCCACTCTGCGTCTGCTTTTCCTCATCTCTTGTTGGATCATCTTCGATCCTGTCGAAGATGCGCGATCCATGGTGTCTGGTGTGTCTGTTTGATATGAAACGAGCTCCTCCCTCGTCTGGTCACGGGTTCTTCCCGCGCCACCGATCTCACGTGCTATGACCCCTCCGAATACACTTACGCTGATAAACTGTTTCCATCTGCAGACCTTTGCCATCTTCTGGACCATTGCTGGCTTGATCGCCATAGTCGTCTGCCTGCTTACCATCGCCAAGCAGGGCCGCCGTGATGCGTCCTGGGTCTTTGGAAACTTTGAGCCTCAGGCTGGTTGGCCAGCGGGCTGGTCGTTCTGCATTGGTCTGTTGCAAGCGGCCTACGCTACTTCGGCCACCGGCATGATTATCTCGTAAGCTTCCGTTCCCTTCTGGACACAAAATAAAATTCCACCCAGCCCAGGAGACAGCCCAAGTACTGACCGCTTTTGATCAGACTCTGTGAGGAAGTCCGCGAACCAGCTGTTATGGTGCCCAAGGCCATGGTTGGCACCATTGTCATCAATTTTCTGGCTGGCCTTCTCTTCCTCATTCCCCTGTGCTTTGTGATGCCAGAGCTGAGCTTGGTCATCAACTCCGCTCAGCCCACGCCCGTTATCTTCAAGGCCGCCATTGGCAATGCTGCCGGAGCCTTCTGCTTGACCATCCCTCTGCTCGTTCTCGGTCTGATCTGCGGTGTTGGCTGTGTCACTGCCACTTCGCGGTGTACCTGGGCCTTTGCCCGTGATGGCGGTATCCCTGGCTCTGGCTGGTGGAAGATTGTGGACAAGAAGCTCGATATCCCTCTCAACGCCATGGCCCTTGGCATGGTGATCGAGATCGCGCTCGGTCTCATCTACTTTGGCTCCACTGCTGCGTACAATGCCTTTTCTGGTGTTGGTGTCATCTTCTTGACTACCAGTTACGCATGTCCTATTGCCGTCTCCTTGATCTTCCGTCGTCGCGAGGATATCAAGAATGGCCGATTCAACTTTGGTGTTATTGGCTTGATCGCCAATGTCTTTGCCCTCGGTATGTTCATCTGAAAGCCCTTTCTTTGTCCTCGTTATGCTGATTGTCTCCCCTCCTCATATAGCATGGAGTATCCTGGCCATTCCGTTGTTCTGCATGCCCACGACCAAGGAGGTGACTGAGCAGACCATGAACTACGCCTCTGTGGTGTTCTTTGGTTTTATCGTCATCGCTACCGTCTGGTATTTCTTCGCGAGGAAATCCTACCGTGGCCCCCCAACGGATGCAATTCACGATGAGGACTCAATCTCGCCATCCTCGCGTGAAACAAGCGAGGTGTCTCGCGAGAGCCATGAGCTTGCCGGAAAGCCCAAATCACCTTGATCTGCGAAATACGCACCGGATCTGCCCACTCGCCCAACACAACTTCGTCTTCTTTGGGACCATCAATCGCCAGCCTTTGTTCCCTGCTATGACCCACAGACCTCACCCGCTAACTCACTCACGCCCGATGACCTTCGATTGACTTGACTGACCTGAGGTGTATCTTTTCGCCCGTTACTCACGTGGCGTTTCTCACGTGACATCAGACCGTACATCTTACATCTTGATCATCAGCCATGAGTAACCCAAAGCGGCCAACGATCTCCCCAAGCGACTCTCGATTTACGCTCCTATTCCTCAATACTGTCTTGTCCGCCTGGCCATCAATCTCGATATAATTCCCAAGCAGTCTCGTCGTTCACCCAATCCAAGTCCCGCCCTCGCCTCCACCAGCCTCCAAGCGCCAAGTAACCGAGTCCGTGCAGTTCTTTTGTGCCATTGCAGTCATCAAGAATCTGTCCCTCATGCGCCAATCCGGATTCGTAAAACGACCGACGCTTCTTATAACGATCCTGTCCCCCTTATATTTATACCTTTTGTCCCCCTTATATTTATACCTTTTGTCCCCCTTATATTTATACCTTTTGTCCTTCTTGTTTCTTGTGGTCAATGTGTGTTCGACCAATCGTTGATTCCTCATGTGTACATACGTCGCAGTCTCTCTCGCTTTGGTCTTGACTCACCCCATCAAGACGCTATTCTCATAGGCTAGCTTCCAAGCATGGTGCGCTATCATTAGCTGAACCACGTTCAATCTTGTATCCTATCTTCCTCCCAGCATGCCGATTCTGTGCGAGCTGTCTTTCACAACGGCTATTCGGTGAGGAAAGATCCCATACACCGATCATTCTACTGACAGGCAGGACAAACCTTTAAATGGTAACATGGAATGTTTCCCGCCCTTTGACCGTCATGTATGTACATGGTTCAAAGTCTGTAGTTTCGGCTTGTCACTCCATTTCCGGGCGGCGGGCTGAGTACCTCCCTAACCCAAGAGAAATCGAAGACTCCATCAATATATAACTAATTGTTAAACTCAAGCTAACTCAACCGTTTTCCTGAACACCATTCTTGGATACCATTGTACTCCACATTTGAGACGTTCAGTGGCTTACGACTACAAATGTCTGCCACGTGTCAACCCCGGGACGATACAAAATATGACTAAGAGTGTAGAAATGCAGGTAAGGAATGGAGTGACTGGATAACATCCGTGGCATTGACAGACAGCGTTGACAGCGGTATGACATCCTTGCCCCCAGCATCCAGTACGAGGATTCGAGGACTGTGAAAAGCAAAACCGAAGAGACCAGACTCATTTCACAAATTCTTGAATTGTAATTCTCATTTCCGATCTGACACTTCTAGCTGTCCGCAAAACCAACATTTCTATCAGTCCACAGTTTAGCTTACCCCCTAGATAGCGGCAACATGATCCGTTACCAGACATGTAAAGTCACTCGTTCCATAGTAGATGGTGTTCCCGTCGTCAGAGGTCTGACCACTGCTTAAGGTGTCCCCATACTGCCAGAACAAGTCACCCGCGATACCCTTTGTGTGGAGTGCGGTCGCCTGCCAGGGTGCTTCGATGCTGCAGTGGTTGGAGGGGTAGCCGTATTCCTCGAGGAGACAGGGCTTGCCGGCTGCGACGCAGGCATCGCCGTGGGCTTTAATCCAGAGGTTTCCCCAGTCGGTGGATGTGCCCCCTATATGAGTGGTGATTATGTTAGCAGGGCTGGTTGAATATCGATTCGTGATGAATGATGACGGGCCGTTATGACAGCGGCGGTGCCTGGTAAACAAACAAGCCAAAAAGACCAGATACGCCAAACGCATGTTTTGGTATGTCCCGGCGAAGTGTAAATAAGAAAAAAAAAACAAAAGGAAAATCCCAGGCCATCAAACAACTTACAGCTAGATGGGTATAGATGAAGAGTACCGAAGTCGATTGTGGGAATCGCCAGGTTCTTTGAGAAATCTAAACCTTCGTCAAACGAGAAAGGATAGCTGCCGTCGCTATCGGTGGTAAGACCGAAGCCCTCTATGTAAAAGGTCAGAGGGAATCGTTCGATTTCACAAGAACCATAGGCCACGCTTGTGGCTCTTGGTTTTTCAATGCGATAGAAGGAACAAAGAAGACTTACCGTCACCCAGAGTCACCATGTGTTTCGGGTCCAGACCTTTGATATATGCACTGGTCGCCTTGGCCCAATCGTAGATGACAGAAGTGTCGCAGCCCTTGCAGCGAGGTTCATTGGCCAGCTCCCAGGCAAAGATTGCTGGCGAAGAAATATAGCGCGAGACCACCGCCTTGATGTAAGCCTGATAGGTGGTCTGGGCAACGGTGTTTGTATACCACGTGGTGGCGCTGCCGCCAAAGGCATTGACATAAGCATTGATGCCACCATAGTCGGACCAGTTGTTGACAAAGTTGATAATCAACTTGATGCCGTGCTTTTCAGCGGACGAGACGACATAGTCCAAACGTTGAAGGCCATCGGCACCGGTGTTGATCGTGGCGCCGCTGCTGGTCAGGTGCTGGAACCAGACGGTCCCGGTACCTGGAAGGTTGTTCACGTCATTGAAACCCCAGACGCGCAGGATACGCAAGCCCGAAGAGCTCAAATGTTGCATTACCAAATCGACATCGGCATTGTTGGTCAGGAAACCGATCCAGTACGAGTTGGTTCCAGCAAAGTAGCTGGTCTCGCCGTCAATGGTGAAGTTCAGACCATTGGTGTGGGGGAAGACGGTAGAGGTGGACACTGGCCCTGAGGTGGTAGTTGTGGTCTTGGGTGGCGCAGTAGTGGTTGACTTGACCGAAGTTGTTGTCGTGGTCAACTGGGTGGTTGTGGTCGTCGTGGTGCTGCCCGAGCCGGTGCCTTTTCAAACACCCAATTGTGTAAGTTGAGAGGGATAATCGAAATATGTTTCGAATTCGACTGAACATACCTGGCAAGCACTGACTGTACCAGTCATTTTGGTATTGACATGTGTATGGAGACTGGCACGTAGTGGCGCCGGTCCAGCCTTTTCCACCACACTGGCCGTATTCGGCCACTTGTGCCGCGGCCAACCCAGCCAACAGCACTATCGCCGATGAGTACAACATGGGGAGCAGCGGACTTGTGAAAGCGCGGTATAATCCTGCAGAAACTAATGGAACCCGCTGTCTACACATCCGCGGGACCAGTAGCTTTTAAGGACTTTGCAGTCAGTTCTTCATGGCCGAAAGTAGCTAGTGAGGTCGCAACGCCGTCTCGATCCGAGACCTGTCCCATAGTAGTGGGGGATCAAACGCGGAGAGCGCCCCGTCGTGAAAGAGGGCTATTTCCGCCTCAATTGCTGGGCTCCTCGAGAAGAAGTCAGACATCGCAGCAAGCTAATTCGACTATTCTCAAAGTGGACAAGGTCATTTAAGGACTTTGCATGTGGGGACCGTGGAGCAGCCACGACGCCCGTTTGGGGCTAGAGCATGGACTCCGAGGTTGGACCAGGTCCCAAAGTGTTCGATTAGACTCTTCGCTTGTGACGAATTGCGGCAGTGCTCAGACCTCACGTAGCTGATGAGGTGACGGGAATGTGTCCGCCAGGAAGATTGTCAGCCCGCCAATAAGGGTGATCTGGAGGCGAGGCCCCGGAATTATGAAATCCGGGGAAACTCGTCAAGGAACGAGGAGAGGAAGCGGAGACGCGGGAGAGCGTGAAGACTCGGATCCACCCTGACAGGGATTGCGTGAGGGGAAGAGCGTCGCATTTCAGGCGCCGTGGCCTTTTACTCATCAGTCACTGACTTAGTGCGGTCCAGTCCGCACACTTGTGGCTGATTCTGCATCCAACAATTCTTCGCTCGTGTCCTCGAAGACAGATCAAGCTGGTCGGATTCGGCTAGCCTCCCCTCCGCGATCGATCGTGCGCGGGGAAGACGGAGGTGCCCTTTGCTTCTCTCGTCAAGGGCCATCACTTCCATCCCGTGATGGCCGGAGATATTGATTCACGGAGACACAACGATGTCCGAGCGATTTGTGCCGAGTCAATTGCACATGGACTAACAGTCGTCGATCGATCAACAGCAGCCGAGAATGAATCTCTTGCCACCGGGTAGTGTCATGGCATTTTATGCTCAAGTGTATCTTGGATACCACCCAGAAGTTGATGAAGCTGACATTCCCGATCGTCCTGAAGCGGTACTTCCATCAATATTGGCGAATACATCGATCCCGCTTCAGACATCAACATCTGGATTAGGTGGCGCATCATCTATCTCTCCTGTCATCGCACATGTGGAGTTGAAGAGCCCAATTGCGATCCTACCTATCAGGAGAACATTGTGTTCCCATTTCCGTGATCATGGCGAGACACACCTCCCAATTTGGGGCCGACGAGTTCGCGGAATGGGAAAGAGTGCTTGGACTTGGAACCCTCTGGTCGGTACCGGAGCTATGCATGATTGATGCACTTCCTTCGGCCGGTCGCCAGATTCAACGGTCGAAAATTTGTTTGTATGGCATGTGATACTGCCGCACACCGCAGTCCGTAGCCTAGACAGAATCTCTCCCCAGTAGCAATCTCACTCCTCATCCCTCTCACACACGATACAGCTGCCCCTACCGTAGCTGTATCTCATCAAAAATCCACCGCGCGCAACTCTCGATCGCTGGGCAAACTAAGCACCGTATGATGGCTCGTAAGGTCTCTCCTTCTTGCCCTTTCCACACTCAGCCATCCGACTCGGCCGCATTGTGCAGGAAGTGGGGAGGTAAGATTATGGAATATGGTGCCGAGTGTCTTTGCAGAATCTACTAAATCCCCTGACTCGATATCCGGATTCTCATGGACGTCTCTGGGTTCGGCCTCTTCTCTCCGACCGTGGATGTTGAGGTTCTGTCCTCAGTCTACGCTACGCTGAGCGATCAGTGGCCTGAATTGATGAGGCACGTAGATGCGGAGCCTCGGCAACAGGCACTCTCTTAACCAAATCTTGCTTGATTAATTCTTGGACTGGATCTTGCTACAGGCTTGATGGATCCGACTCGGAATGGACTTCATCACTAATAAGGTGAATGGTTTAGTAAGAGGGAACCTCTCGGGACCGGAAATGGACAGAGTGGGCTCGGGACTCGCTCAGTTCGTTGTTTACCTGGAAGTCGTCCACTACTTCGACAGAAGCACAGTGATACATTGTTAAACCATCGAACAAACGCATCACCTACATGACTCTGTCTGTTTGACGATGCTTCCAAGCCATTTTCATCAGGGCTCGTAGTTTGAATCATGTGTTCGAGACAAACCTAGGATCTGGACTTTCGAGGTACTAAAAACAATCACCTCAGCCCTGCAGTAGGTAGATCGTCGGAAACCTAAACCTTTCAATTGTTCCCGTCCAGGTACTAAGGTATGCAGTATCGGGCTCCTAACCTAATCTATCTATTGAAGATGAATGCCTTCTAACTGGACACGCCGAAGGTCCTCGACTACATTCACTCTTAATTGGGCTGATTGGCGGACGATTTAAAACATGAACTGCAATTGTATGAATGTCAGGTATGAGGTTGATTTTACTGGAAGTACCTGCGAATGGATGCGGTCGTGATGCTACGGTCGCATGTGCCCCATATATATCATCAAACAGGACCTACGTAGGTATTCCATCTCCAACTGCAATGGATATGGTTGTTAACGGAGCTCAGGCTAGGCGGCAGAAAGATGAAAGTGATTGATACAGTCAACTCCCAGTATCTTTTGAGATCATGAACAGGTACCACGAGAACGTGCAAGGTTGGGAGATTGGGTGATTGTCCACTGGTCCAGCGAACGTTCATGATGATTCCTCCAGTGAGGAACTTCAAGGCCAGGCCACCGCCTGGGCCAGAAAAATGGATGACGTCGCCAGGTACTGGTCGCGGCGCGGGTGTGGCGCCGCCACGGATGGGCGAAGCCGCCATGGAAAATTCTCGTGCTGAGTTTCTATTCCCACGGTTCCGTAAAAAATGCAAGCTTAGTCATGGTGGTGTATAGCGAAATGTGTTATTCTTTTGCAATTATTTGCTAGAGGGTGGGGCAGCAAATAAGTGTTTTTTGACAGGCTCCAAAGGTCAACGGAGTGAATAAAGGTGGAGACGAATTCTTCAGTGTTGAGACAAGCAGAGACTGCTAAAGGTTACTGAAACATCAACTGAAGCCAATATCTGTCGTCAACCACCTTGCTCCTTCAGTTCCATCTACACGTTGATAGAAGGGGGGGAAGGCGCTTCGCGAGTCCTTTCCCTCGACATTGTGTCCAGTTAAACGTTGAACCAATCCTAGTCTCGCACAACAGGCTTGATGGGAAAGGTGCATCCAGGATTGACATCATATTTGTGGTTCCGCCGTGCGAAGCGAGCCAAGTGGACTTTCCACTCCTGACGCTATGCCGTTGCCGAGAACTGGTTGGCTCATCCGAGTCTCGGGTACGGAAGGCTTCGGCACGATTAGAAATCCGCATTGTCTGCCCGAACGTCGGGATCATGCCGGCGGTTGTGTTGGGCTACTTGGTCAGACGGTGGAAGTGCATGGACTATGGAGTATGGACTACGGACTATCGACTATGGAGAGTACTCCAGTTTGCCCCGATGTGAGAGAAGTCGACCGTCTGGGGTCTGGAGAAGTGGAATTATATCTCTGGCCCGGCCGAAAAATGAGATCTCGGGGAACCTGAAGCCCAGCCGATTGAAGGTCCCGATGCCGAAGCCGAGCCACGTCATCTCTCGGCGTGGCTGCCTGCAAAGAAGCCGATCGCCACTGTTGCACAACCGACGACACAACCACGCAACAATCCAAAAGAGGACAAGTGAGGATGATACGAACAAATCAGATTGTCCGCCAGGTCTCAATCACCCATGGTGCGCCAATCGGTGAATCCCATCAGCGGCCGATAGGGTCCGATAGTTCCAGCCGTGGACCTTGTCTGATCTCTTCCTTGTCCAGCCTTTGACCTCTGACGAATTCTTCTTTCCCCTTGGTGGATGCCCACTTTCCCCCACATGCATCGAATCATGTTTGGCTGGGGTCCTGGGGACAACTCTTGTGCTCGAACGTCGTCATTGTCTCGCTAGGCGAACCGGCACTCGAAACGGAGGCATGAAGAATCTTGTCGCGGCATTGGCACTCCCCCGATGCGTGTCCCGCAAAGTGGACTTCCCCACGAATGAGCACGACTTGAGGAAAGGAAATTCTCTGCGCCGCCGGTTTAGGAACCCATGTGATGTGTGATTTGGGCGGATCAGCTCGGGTTGCTGGCTTATTACAAAAGGGCCTTGTCGTTCACTTTCTCGATTCGAGAAGTTCATCCATCCGCCAGCGTGGACCATCAAGATCATTCATTTCTTTGAACCACTAAACGCACTCATTTTTAAGCATTGAAGTGGGCTATTGTTGTGTCAGTCGATCACTATTTGGCCTGAGGTTGATTCTATCCCTCACATAACATCAACAAACGATTCCTCCTCCCCTCCACCCGTCATTTCATCACAATGGGTCACGAGTCGAGTGCCCATCATGGGGAGAACATCGCTATGGCCGGTCTCCCCACGAGCTACGCCAGTGCCTCTTCAAGCACCGATGCCTCCATGGTCGACAACTACACAGGCGGAAAGCCTGTCCGCCCTGTGGCCGGCGTGGACACCCCCATCCCCCGCGTGACCGCTCGTTCGTTGGTGATGGCGCTTTTTGTCTCCATGGGCGGTCTGCTCTTTGGTTACGATACTGGTCAAATCTCAGGCTTCCAGGCTATGAGCAACTATCTGCGACGGTATGGCGAAATGACCGGAAATGGTGATTACAAATTCAGCAATACCCGGTCCGGACTGATTGTCGGCTTGCTTTCCATCGGTACTTTGATCGGTGCACTGTGCGCCGCTCCTGTCGCAGACAAATTGGGCCGGAAATACTCTATTACCGTGTGGTGCATTGTGCTCAATATTGGCTTGATTGTTCAGATTTCCACACCATATGGCCACTGGTGGCAGATGGTCGTCGGTCGTTGGGTCACTGGTCTGGGAGTTGGTGGTTGCTCCTTGCTCGTACCCATGTACCAGGGTGAGAGTTCGCCTCGTCACATCCGTGGAGCCATGATCTGCTGCTATCAGCTCTTCGTCACCTTGGGTATCTTTCTCGCCTACTGCATCAACCTGGGTACACACACACTGCATGGCACAGCTCAGTGGCGGATCACTCTGGGCCTCACTTTCCTCTTTGCCCTCGTCCTGGGAGGTGGTATGCTTTTCTTCCCCGAGAGCCCTCGCTACGACTTCCGCCATGGCAAGGTTGATCGTGCCCAGAGAACACTGGCCAAGTTGTACGGTGTGCCTGAAAACCACGTCCGTATTCTGGAGGAACTCGAGGAGATTCGTGAGCAATTTGAGATGGAGACGGAGCAGCAGGTCTGGCACGAGTTCATCACCGCGCCCCGGATGTTCTATCGCATTGCCTTGGGCATGGCTCTTCAAAGTCTGCAGCAGCTGACCGGTGCCAACTACTTCTTCTATTATGTGAGTATACCGATATTTCATGGTCCCTAAAACCCATTGTTTCCGGAAATTCGTTCTAATCCTTGTGATTTTTGCTTTTAGGGTACAACCATTTTCCAAGGTGCCGGTATCTCCGACAGCTTCGTCACCCAGGTGATCCTTGGCGCCGTCAACTTTGGAACTACCTTCGGTGGTCTATACGTCGTCGAAAACTTCGGTCGTCGCAAGTCTCTCATGTTCGGTGCCGGGTGGATGTTCATCATGTTCATGATCTTCGCCTCTCTGGGTCACTTTGCGCTCGATGTCGCCCACCCCGAGAACACTCCAGGAGTGGGTAAGGGCATGATCGTTGTGACCTGCCTTTTCATCGCCGCGTACGCCATGACCTGGGGTCCCATGGTTTGGGCCATCGTTGCCGAGCTTTTCCCGTCCAAGTATCGTGCCAAGGGTATGGCTCTCGCCACAGCCTCCAACTGGGCATGGAACTTCCTCATCTCGTTCTTCACCCCTTTCATCACCGGTGCGATTGACTTTGCCTATGGCTACGTCTTTGCTGGTTGTCTCCTTGTCGGCATCTTTGTTATTTACTTCTTTGTGATCGAGGGCAAGGGCCGTACCCTTGAAGAGCTCGACTACATGTACGTTCACAAGGTTGCTCCCTGGAAGAGCAGCAAGTACGAGTTCCCTCAGCAGAGCTCGGAGTGGCAACCTGCGGAGACTTCTACTGGTCGCAAGGATCGAGAGATGCAGCACGCCGAGAACGCATAAATCACACCTGTCGAAGTTTCTCGACCCTCTATTTCTTGAATGTCATGCTTTCGCGGCATCTCATGTCTTTGGGGTTTCCGAATTTTTTTTTGACTATCCATCCCTCTGGTTCAAGTTATGTTACTGCATCATTGGCGTCGTTGGAAGATGGTCTGGTTATACAAATACCTGGCAAGGATGGCGAATTTTTCTCTGCATATAGAATAGAACAACACCGGCGTCGGTCTGGCCGTGCCTGTCATGAGCATCAATTTACGCCTTGAATGATCTTTCAATCTTTCGTCTCTTACAAAAATGTAGATTCCATCTTAAGACCTCAGGCTGTGTGAACCTAAAAGCCGGATATTTAGGTTCACGGTGGGGGAAATCTTACCCTCAATAGAACTCAATTTCTTCAACCCTGAAGGTAGGTAGTTCATACCTAGGTACTGGGACGGAAAATCTTCAACACCCACCTGCAGAAATATTTTCTGGAGTGCTTTCGACTTTTCTGAATGTAATATCATCCAAGCTGTGAGCTCTATGACAAGAAAATAGTTGATATTCTTAATACTTTCCTGCAACTCGAATATACACTTTCCCATCCATTTCGAGAGTTTCGGAATTTTTTGTCGAATTTTCCAAACAAAGAAAGCAGTCTATCACATAACTAACAACAAATTGTACAAACGTTTGGAGAGCATCATCGATCTTAAACATCACTGTAACCATCTATACTTTCTTCTCACCATTTCTTCTCACCAGACCGTAACCCCTCAAACAAATCTTTTCCGAGACGAAGGTACACGTGTGAAAGAGGGTATACCAGTCGACGAAGGAGTGGCAGCAGGTGTTTTGGCCGGGGTGTGACTGCTCACAGGTGCCGAGCTGGTGATCGGGCGGCTAGTGTGCGAAGGACGGTGACTCGGTGTGTGAGTCGCAGGCGTCGTGGTGGAATAATAGCCCGAAGTAGCGCTGTGATGACGGCGATCCCGTGTCTTGTCCTTTGTGGATCGGTGCTTGCCACGGCGAGCAATAGAAGCGCTCGAATTTTTACTTGTTGGAGTTGGAGTTGGAGTAGTCTTGAATGAGGCGGAGGCACTCTTCGACCCGTTTCCGGGAGTTGGAGTTGAAGAGTCCTCGAGGGAAGCGGAGAATTTGGCAACAGGACTATCACCGATAGCCTTGAGGCTTTTCTCGAAAGCTTGGCCATCGAGGGCATGCCAGTTTGCGGATTTTCTGGGGACGGCATTCTTGCCGCTGAATCCAATGTACATGACGTCCTTTATATCGTGGCCACGGTCGCGGTTGAGGTGCTCTTCTGGGAAGCAGAGCTTTGCCATGGAAAGGGAGGATTCTCCGACCAAGTCCCCTCCGTTGGTCTCTCCCCAAATCCCATAGTGCTTGAGACTCACTGATGTTAGAGAAGATGGTATTGTAATTAAAGTGTATATCTGAAGAGCCATGGACTCACCAACTCTCCATTGCAAATCACGGCCATTACGCTGAGAGGCTTAATGCCATACCTTTGTGGGGGTCAAAGGTAGAATTTCCACCGACCTTGCCAAAGACAACATAAGGGTGCACGTTTGCGTTCAAGTCTGAAATTCCAAGCTTCTTGACTTCGTCTTGAAATGCAGTCTGTCCTTGCCCACTTGGGTCATTCGAGCATGCACCGGCACTGTTGTCGACACCGTCGCAGTCGATGTCCATGTCGGTGTATGCACCATTGCCCGACTGGGTGTGCAAGAAAATAGCATCGTGAGTGTCACCACAGTCGGCGATATCGGCTTTGCCAGATTCTCCATCGCTGAAACCAGACTGAAGGATATTATTAAATTTTCCACCCTAGAACCTGAGATTAGCTTAGTGTGTTATGGTTACCTAGGTATTGTCGAAGGCGGTCGATTGCCATACCTCGTGCTGTTGATAAAGCTCTTTAAGATGAGACGGCAATTCATATGCCGGAAGCCGGAACAAGCCCAACAAGGGCCAGAAGCAAGACCCCCGTTGCATGCATTGCGATGACAATTTGAATCGAAATCGATGGTGAAATTTCGAACAGAGAATCCTCTTTTATTGGGGATGCTCGCTGAGAAATGACGAGACAAAGTCAGGTCTTTATATTTGTCGGAGGGAGCCATCCTCGCTCTGCTTCCAATTTTGAAACGAAGATGATCGTCTGCATGATCGACAATCTCTGTCAGAGAATGACTTACCCATTACTGGTGAGGCTCGGGTCTGTTCGGGGTTCTTTGCAGATCAGTGTATCAGATTCTGCATCTTTCAAGAAGGCTTTCGCTTCTCTTAGCTGAAGTAGACGGCTATGGCGTAACTGTATGCGCGCTGAGCTCCACATTTCATTGATGAATAGGCCCCAATCTCAATCTTCCGTAAAAGTCTTCTTGTGCATAGGTCAAGCAGAGCCGAAGTCGTAGATCGAGGTGAGTCGTATCTGTCTATCGAATTCCGCCCGCGCCGAGTGGCAGTCCCAGAAGCGACTTGAAGATCTCGAGTGCTGAGGTTATGGGAGGTTGAAGTGGGTCGCGGAGGCCGTGGTTGTCGATATGCAAGAGAGAAAATAAGTAACTGCAGCAACGCGATCGTCATGGGGCCAAGTCTTGGATGTTTCATGTTTCATCTTCAATTCTCAAATTTGCCACTTGATGATGGATCGTCGGACAGAGAGCCGAATGCTGTCGTAGGTAATTGAGACTGCGTTGATTTCATAAGATCCGTACATGTCACTTTGATCCCTTCTTTTGAGAGTCGTCAAGGCAACCGATCAAGCTTTACTGAATCATTGAAAACTTTCGTATTGCTCACGATTGCACGATTGTACAATATTCATGGGCATAACTGAAGACTCTGTTCGAAAAGACACAACACTGAGGAAACATCTGCTCAGAAAAAGACTGGACGCTCATTACGTTGGAGTGTAAAGCCACAGATGTAGTGTACCTCTGTAACATCCTTCAGCTTCAAGGCGTTGAATTATTCGCGGGCACTAGTTTGGGGACGGCCGTAGAGGTACGAGTCCAGCGACAGAAGACCCGATCATGATTGCTATTTGGCGACTGACTTATGCTCATACCAATATCAGATTATTTTTGTCCGAAATAAGATATATGTTTAGTCAAAGGCAAAGTAAAACGGGTAAGATTTTCAGAAGAGTAAGGGAGATGAACGCCAATTGGCGACGCGCTGGCCTCCATTCCATTCATTCGCTCCTGCAGACATTGAAGGTCCAAATCTGTAAACGTGAATGTGGACAAAGCTTCAACGGTGCATCTTGAACAAAGTTCTCGAAGGAGTACAGATGGAGACTGGGGGGAACCGAGCGATCTGTGGCTGAAGATGGAAACGGATCCCGCCATTGCTGTAATCAAGCCGAGGAAATATTGCGGACTCCCGTCGGAGATGCAGGATCTTAAAAGTCCTCTTTCGCGACGATTATTGGAGACTGTCGTCGATGCGAAGTTGGTAACTGATTGATTTGGAGATGAAATTGCATGGATTGGCTGGGCTGCGTCACGTGGATTCAGGTGGAAGGGACCGCCGTCGAAAGTGGTCAGTGGTCCTTCTAACGGTCATCCAGAGTACAACCATCTCTTGTCGAAATTATTCCTCAGGTCACTACTTCTCTCGAGTCTGATGCACTTCATACTCCGTTTGCTGATCCTGACGCCGCATATACGGCCGCACCGGCCCCGCCCCCACAAGTCGAGGGCCCAATCGCTCCATCAGCCGGCTCGTTATCTCCCCGGGCTTCAACCGCTGGGGGCCCATCATTCACGGCCGCCACTGCTGACACAAAAACACCCGACACAGTGCGTCCTCTTTCGTTGCCTAGATCACAGCCAACGGATGTTGCGTTTACGTGGACCATCACACAGAAGTTGTCAGAACGGTCAGCCCCTCCGACCCGGCGACAAGTGGACATGGGATGTGAATCCCCCACCGCTGTTGGGTAATTCCTGTGCCGTCTCCAAGATGACCTGATGCGGACAGCATTCATGCGAGTTGCTATCGGATCTCGGTTGTGGGAACTGAAGCCGCGGATCCACCCACGCTTGCGCAACAGATCCAGCGTCCTAAAGTGCGTGGGGAACAGGAAACACGCGGCTTTCAAAGTGTTGATGAGGCGAGGGTGTACCTCGGTCCCACGTTTTTACGGCTATTACGAACGAAAGCAACGAGAATTTGACCTTGTGCCGGGAGTTTATATCAAATATGTCGTGTGGAAGAAGGTGTCGAGGGAGTCGTTGACACAGCAGTATTTCTGGAGCTTGGCACCCACTACGCGCGAGGAAATGCGTGTAAGGGTTCGTGTCCGTGCTGCTTACGAGTAAGTCTACTCGCCTGTAATCAGGTGTGGCCCTCCTCTTGCAGCCTAACCTAGTTCAAGGGATGTTCTCCGTTGCGGAATGGCGCCAGAGATGTACGAGACTTCCAAGATCATTCTATGACATGGGCACAGAAAATATGTAAGGCATGAACTCTCCGAACAGGAGAACTCTTCTATTATGGACGACAATCTAGCCGAATTTCAGGGGTCCGAATGGGGCGGCCAATTCTTCACAAATTGGAATGGTCACATGCTCGCTATGTCGAGTTCGAGCTGGCCAAGCCACATGATGATAGAGAATGGGCCTTTCGGCTTGAGAAGTGGGAGTGCTGAGAGTTGACAAGTCTTCGATTTGCTTGGCATGACATTGAGTTTGGATTGCTCGAGTTCCACGATTATCAAAGGATTCACAATGACCTACATTCCAACGATTCAAACCAATCAGCAATTCACCTCGGCCCTGAATTTCTCGTTCTTAGACATTTTAGTGTCTGGGATACGTCCATTGGCATTATTCGGAGTTGCTAAATCCCGCCCTGTGAGCTCAGCCACATCACCTTGGCGCATGAGAGCATGCCGCCTGGGGGCAACAATGTTGAGACTTGACGCCGATCCATCAAATACAATAAAATCACTGCTAGGGGGGCGAACATTATTCTGAGCATGTTCCTGCGCGCTCACTAGTCTGGTCTGCGCGTCGACGAGAGGATCAAGATTCAAGGCTCACTTGGTCAAGACTTGCCAGTCTGGCGTCTTTGACAGTTTCGACTCATCATTAGGAAGATAGCTGCAGGGCTACCTTACCGTGTCACTCAATGTAAGGTTGAGTCGCATGGCTGTGTCAAGTCCGTCAGCCCCATCAGGTGACCTTGGCCGAGGAAGGGTTGTCGGGTCATGCAAGACATGGGCCCGTTGTACTCGACTAACCCGGCCTCTCGATCCTTTCTTCCACAACTCCCCCATCGACACATAACGTTTTGTTTTTTCATCGCAGAAAAGACAAAATGTAGAGCCATCCTGTATGAGAGACTTATTCTATCATCATCGTCATCTCCCATCCATCATCAGCTCCCATCCATCATGATCCATCGCCGTCAATTCCCATCAGCCTCATCGTTCCCACGAGTCCCTCCATCCACGTCATTAATGACAGAAGCATTCCTGGAGAGACAAAGGCTAACACCCTTCCATGGAAATGCATCCTGAACTCAGATATTCCAGAGGCAAAGATGAGACCAGTTCTGTATACGACTCTCGTTTGTTATGTCCATCAGAAGACATGGGATCAATATCATTAGCCTATCCAGACGGACTACTAAAGAAAGTAAAGGATGAAAAGCCGGATTATTTTAACAGCGTATGGCAGCTCTATCAGTCGAGGGTTCAGTAGGCCTTAAACAGACCCCTTGAAAAGGACTGTGACCACAGAGCCCAAGAGAGATTCTGATTTTTCTCTCTTAGGACCTGTGACTCATGAAGCGGCGAGGTTAGCCAGACACCGGGCTTTGTTTTCGGCGCTCGAATTATGGGTTCAAGTCTTGACGGCTCTTCAAGATGAGGTTTGCGGCTAGAACACGATCAATTCGCTCGTGCAAGTACCTTCTTTCTCTGCTTCAGCATGTATTTGTACATCATGACAGATCCTATGGGTTGGACATCTCGTAAGTTTCCAAGTTGACAAAGGGCCACATGCAGTGTGAAAAGAAAACTTCGCTCTTACCAGGACCGTAAAGCGCAAGGAAGAAATAATACAATGCAATGAGCGCATTGCAGTCGGTGACTGTGGTGGATTTGTACATCAACCACCACTCAGAACTGATTCCGACTGGATAAAGGACAACAAAGAGGGAATACCTAGAAACCTTGTCAGCGAACATAGGCGCAGACACATTCGGATGCCTAAGCACCCGTTTCGCACTGGAAGTATTGGAGGGGAGGAAGACAATGTGCCCAAACTGCGGAAAGGCTCAAACTATCAACTACTCACCGAAGCCATCTCAATACACCCGAGTTCGTCTTCCCGGCCAGCATCACCGCAAAGTAAGAGTATCGAACCACATCAGCCATGGACCATGCCAGAATCATAGCCGGATAGGCATATGATACTGACGTAGTCCTCGGGAACGCATAGTTCACGGCCCACACTTGAGTGGAGCGAGCAAATGCTTGTGTGAAGGTCGTGAAGACAGGTGAGCGAGTGATACCTTTTCACGCCCGTCAACTATGATGTCCTCGCCATGCTCCACATGAAATTGAAAGCTCCCCGGGACTTACCGAAAATGGCGTGGAGGACTTCAGCTGCAGCCAAGGTCTGAGCGTATCGGGTCCACGGCTCAAGAGACGCATACACATCAGTGCTTCGGCCCGAGGAGATCAACTCTGAGATGACCCCGGTCAAGACACGAAGCCATACTATAGCACACAAGACATTGTAAGCCAGAAGATAGGTCTGTGAGACAGACGACAGCTTCCTAGCCTGAGACTTATCGGAAGCGGACATTTTTCAAGGTCAAATCCTCAGAGCTCGCAAGACTTGTACTTGTCTCACGCTGGAAAGAGAACGTGAAAGAGCTGCGGCCTCGAACGCACAGACGAGGTCGGGTCCAATTTGCAATGGGCGACCCTGAGGATTTATTTCACTTGCGAGAGGTTAGCGCTGGATCAGGATGTCACGGGCCACCCTTCAACCGAGGCTCCAAATCAATAATGGACATTTATTCACGTTGGCACCTGTTAGGGTACAGTCTTATCGACCAAATTGTATGATCCTTTGTTCCGCTTTTTCACCCCAAATCAATTTTCATTGGGAATAAGTGGATCCTCTCATCGGCAATTGCCCGTCTCGGTAAGCGGCAATTCCTCTTTGCGTCATTCTTCCGGGGGTAAGTGTACCTCACGTGATATAGGTGTCCAAGCGCCGTTAGCGACATTCATTCTTCGAGAGTCTCTTGGCTCTTGGCTCTTGGCTCTTGGCTCTTGGCTTTTGGATGTGCCAGGACATCATATAGCAGTGGTTGTGCTGAAAGTGGTTTATTAGCGAGTCATGTCGCCTATTATCATTATCGGAGAGCGCGTGATTCCACGTGTTGATGTCCACCTGCGCCCGCCGCATCCAGGAACGAAAAGTCTGGTAAATGCACTTACACATCCGGTGCAGTCCGTGAACGAGCCGTTGTAGTCGCTCTTTGTCCTCTGAAAATTGTCTCTAGTAGATCACGAACCGATACCGCGGATCTATTGGGGTATTCCATCTGGAGGGTTCCCTCGGATGGCAGCTGATCAGATCTGATGTTTTGATAGTGGTGGATGAACTCAGTCGTGTCAGCTGACCGAAGTAGGCGCCCCAGAATCAGTAGTCGCTTCCTCGATCGACGTCGGGGTTTATGACTTCAAACCCACCTACGAATTGACGCGCATACAGTGTACAACCTGGAATCATTCTCAATATTGCATATCAGTCCAGGCTTAGGGTACGATTGCATGCTCGTCATGGATAATTCATTGCGATTGTGCCCAGTCGAATGCAAAGGGGCCCATGCCTCAAAGAGCGGTGACATCGTGATCTCAGCCAGCGCCAAGCCTGAGCAGGTGCACCGCCACAACCCCAATCGAAGCTTTGGGCGGCCGAAGAAAACAAGAATCAGGGGCACGCCTCGAACTCGGTCGATTGGACCACGGACCGGGTCTAAGCTCGAATCGGCCGGCGTCCAGAGCTGATTCAAAGTCAATGCCGCTCGGGGTAACTGCTCTGGATATTGTGAGCTCGAAATGTTGGGTACATCGGTCGTTGTATGGAAAGTCAGCCGTCGGATCTGAGGCTGAAACTTACAGATGCTGGATGACAAGTTCGTGATGAGCCCAGTTGACTCTTGTTTTCTCCGTCACCACAGACGCGCAGTATGAAGAGTAGTGAACGAGATGCGGATTCTGGCCAGTGGCCACTGGCCACACATTTCAAGTCCATCGATCTACGTACCAGGCAACATCCACATGCACGCAGCGAGGACTCATCGTGGAACCCTTTTTTGGATGGTATGAACCACCGGATGTTGTGGTGCCCCAACATACAACAGCATCAAGCCCAATGAAATGTCTGGAGACTGGCACCTACTATTGTATGTGAAACATCAAGGTTCCGATCACTGAGTCTAGGGTAGAAGTCTAATGGTACATTGCTGGAAAGCGGCCGACTCGAGTCTCGTCATACCAAATTGAACATCAACACACAGGGTCTCATGACGTCGGTGGAGACACTCTGTGCAGAGTCCCTTCACAGGGCTCATCAAGCGTGACCCTGTTTTCAACGCAGCTCTCTCTCTCCCTTTCTCTCTCTCTCTCCGCGATCAAGGCGTGGCTGATGCTTTGCCCTACGCCATAACCCATCCCTACGCCATAACAATCTCCCCAGAGGCCTTAAATTCAAGTGGACTGCCCAGCCTGGCCGGTGTGTGCTCTCCCCGGAGCTTTCTGAGAGTCAGTAGAGAGCATAGAGAAGATATCTCATACTGTCTTCGCTGGATTTGAATATCTCTCATCTCCTATCTCTTCACTCAACTTCCCCCTTCTCTAACCTTGCTTTCTTCTCTTCAACCGCCCAGAGCCGCTCTTCTTCTCTCTCCATGATGAGTAACATCACTTGGCATGCACGGGCCGTCGCGCTGTTGGCAGTTCTGCCAATCGTCGCCGCTATTCCCGCCCCGACCGGCGATGCCGGGACCGTGAATGATGCCAATCCTCCCCAGCCTGCGATTACTCCCTCGCCCGTTCAAAATAACCCCTCTCCGATCATTCAGCGTGGGATCATCAGCGATGTCGAGAATGATGTCAACAGCATCCTGTCAGGTCTGGGCTCGGACATCCCCACGTGGGTCGCCTCGGGAGTACCCAACTTCTTCCAGGGATTCCCGACTGGAGATAGCGTTGCCAGCTCGCTAGGCTTGAAATCCTCTGATTTGGCGGCCCTGCCCACCAATGTCTTGAACATTGACCCGTATGCCAACTGGACCAAGTCGGGCTGGAACGTGCGCTTCCACGGCAATGTCTACAAGCAGCCCAACACGTCGCGATCCGACTTGGACCGCCTCGCCAACGTCTTCCTGGTCGGCACCGACATCAAGAATCTGCCCCCTTCAGAGCAGAACCAGGCGCGCAACTTGACTGCCGAGATTTTCGTCGTTCAGCAGCCACATGTCGCGGTCAACACCATCTACCTTGAGCCCTCGCCTTCGCAGGGAGCCAGCGGCCAGCCGGGGGGTGGTGGTTCTTCCAACACCACTGGCGGCGTGCAATCGGTCACCTTGCCGTACAATACCACTGCGGAGGGTGATTTCGACGTCTTTGTACCGATCAAGAGCAACGGTTTGACTGCGGGTAATGAAACCTCGGCTATCCAGAGACTCAACACCTACGTGGAAGGTGCCTCTATCGGCAATTCTACCGCCTACCTGGTCCCCCCCACCGGACTAACGGTCATCTCGGACATTGATGATATCCTGCGAATCACCAAGATCTATGAGCCCAAGGAAGGCCTGCTGAACAGCTTTGCCAAGGCATTCACTCCCTGGGAAAATATGCCCGAAATCTACGCGAACTGGTCTTCCAAAATACCGCACATGCATTTCCACTACTTGGTACGTTAACCCCGTGTCCGTACGTTGTTCCCCCATGTACTCGACTTTGAGGCTAATTATCGCGACATGTAGACCACGACTCCCGAACAAGTCACGCGCAATTATATGTCATTCATTTATAGGTTAGTCGGATGCCAGATCCTTGGTATATGGACGCTGACCCGTCAATTTGCAGCACCTATCCCGGCGGTTCCTTTGATACTCGTCCTCTGAACTTCAGCGACGTTTCCGCGACCCTCTCGATCCGCAAGTTCTTGTTGAAGAAGATCTTCGAAACTTTCCCACAGCGCAAGTTCATTCTCGTAGCAGACACCAGCAACAGCGATGTCATGCGCGATTACCCGGAGATGGTAACCGACTTCCCTGGCCAGGTACAGTGTATCTTCCTGCGTAATACCTCGGCCACCGATAGCGGCGACAAGTTCCCTTATGATACCTCCGGATTCAAGAATATCTCTCAGGACAAGTTCATGTTCTTCGTGAACGCCGATGACTTGACCAACCTGGATATCGAGAATGGACAATGCTACAACCACTCGATTCCCCAGAACCTCACGTTCAGCTACCAAGGTCTGCCATTTGGACTGAGCAAGCACAATGGAGCAGGCCAGCCAGTTGTTGGAAGATACAACCTGTGGACACTGGCTGCCTCTATTGTCGTTGCTGCTGTGATGTTCTCTTAGAACTGGGAAGGGTTCTTTTCCGCACGACTCGATTGGATAGTTGACCTCTCGATCTACTTGAACCACTTCATGAATTAAGCCTAGCATAACGCCACTGAATGACCTTTCATCCGAGCTGTTCTTCGGTAAATATAAATCTGTGATACAGGCCGCCATGTTGACGGGTAACGGGTACGAGTAAATTGAGTCACGTTACACCTGAAGTCAAGATGTGAGCTCCATCGTAGTGAGTGCAAGAACGATTGTTCATCACCACGCCATATAAATCCACAAAACAGTTGCTCATTCTTCCACGGTAATGAGTCAAACTGCCAGCACGATCGGTACATTGAGTCATCCATGCTCGTGCTTCCTCAAGGGTAACCTACTTCCACCATCGATCACGGTCGGGCGCCCTCACATACCAAGAACGGGAACGGCATTTTGGACGGAGCATCACTCCATTCCTCCGTGCTTACATCCATCGTCCATCCAACCCATACATTGACGTCGATGAATCCCACTTTCCTCATGAGATCAGCAAACCCTTCGCGCGGGATACCATGACGCTCGACTCCGTCAAGTTTTGATGGCGGATGGAAGTATTTTGCCTGAGGCCCGAAGTCTTCAAAGTCTGTCAGTGCCACGCGCCCACGGGGCTTGAGACATCCCAATAGGACTTTGAGGAAGGGCTCGAGATCGGGCACGTGGTGGAGAACGAGATGAGAGGTGATTAGATCGTATTTGCGCCGCTGGCCGAACGGGGAAGCGGGATCAGCAGGAGGGAGTGCAGGATCTTCAGGATCTTCGAGCAATTGAGCTATTGGGAGGATATTCTTCGGGGCCGAGTTTGATGTAAGCTTTGTCTGAAGCATCTTGATCATTTCTGCGGCTGGGTCAATGGCGACGATCGTATTCACGAGCCCTGCCACTTGCGTGGTGAGGAGGCCCGTTCCGCATCCGACTTCGAGCACGTCGAGGCCGTGAGATGAAGATGAGGACATAGTTTGGATGATCGGTTTCAGTGTTTGGAAGGCATGACGAGTGGCTTCCAGCACGACGGGGTTTGTGTCCCAGTTGGCGGCCTCGGAATTGAAGCGTTCGTTACCTTCTGAGACCTGAGCGGACGACATGCTGATGGATTCCAGCAGCACTAACTTTGTGATATAATGCAGTTGTTAGCCGACGCTTTAAGTGATCGAGAGATGATGAAGAGCGTTTTGGTTGTTGACTGTGCCGACCACTCTGCTTCTCCAACGCAACCCCACGGAGCCCCGCCTCCACCCCAAACTACCTCGGTAAGGGAAATGTGAGTGGTATTGTGTGACTTCATAGTATTTCGCCTTTATGGCTCAAATTTGGTATGGATGATGGATATGACAGTTCGAAAGGACACGAGGAATGGTCGATACTGAACAATTTGTTGGCGCGAGTCAATTGATCAATGGTGGCAGTTAAATTGAAGTGGCAACAGTACGAGACACGTTGTTTAGTCCAGCGTACCCGCGCTTACCCGCCTAGGTCTTTATTTGAAGAGGATAAGAAAGTCCGAGTAGTTCCAGGCAGCAACGTGATCGAAGAGTACCTGATAAAGACGAATCTGTTTTCGGGTCATTTTCTAATGCAGCAACTCGTGCCATGTTCTTTCGGGACATCCGATAGCATCATGGGCTCCTCTCCTCCCAAATGCCAGCGATTAATACATGTTGCCGGACCACAGGCTTGCACGGGCATCGAACTTCCGGGGTATTTCATTCCATTCTTGCATAGAAGATATTCAGCATCGTGACATATCGGGCCAAACGTAAATACATGCCAATCAACCGATCTCACGCCCAAAAGATCATCAGAAGCAGAGGTGACAGCACCCAATCAGAGCAGGCCACTGGCGTCAAAGATCTCTCAGGTTGACGAGATGGGCTTCTTTTGCAAGATCTGCTTGAACACCTGCAAAGCCGTTTCCGGTTCTGAAAAAGGGAATATTAGTGATGCTCCTCAATGATCTCGACGGGATGACTGACGATAATAAGGCACCTCATGTCCAGCACCATACACCCGCAGGAACGACAAGTTGTTGACCGTCTTAAATTGGCCCTTTTCAACGCCACTGACCGTGTATGGGCCAAGCGCCTTGTTGCTGAATTCCGTGTGACCAGAATAGGAAATTGCATTGGCAGCCCCGTAGTTGCCCACCCAGTTGCAGATCCAGTCGCTGTCACCGGCCCAAACGATCACGTTGACACCGGACTGAACTACGCTGGAGAGGGTTGAAAGGAAAGAGCGAGGGTCTAATGAAAAGTCAGTACGCTGATAAAATTGCAATGAGATTCAACAAGTGGGCGAGTAAACGTACTATCACCGGTCGAGGAAAATTTGTTGTAGGCACCGTTGGGGCATTCTTGGTAGGTTGACTTGGCTCCAATAGCCTTGACCACGGATGGGTTTGCAAGGTAAGTGGAGTATGTCGATGGTGGGTTGGGGTCGTTGGCTGGCTGGCGAATATCGTAGACATCAAAGTCGCCAGACTGACTGATCGGACCCTCAATGGTATTGTAGCAAACATTGTTCGCATTGACGCAGTCGCGGTTCGATCCGGTCGCGGCACACTTCTGAATAGCAGGCAGGCAGTGGTTGTTGTATGCACTCAAATAGCTGGTTCGATCGGAGGAGCTGATCAACTGACGGTACGAATTGCTGTAAGCGTAATCGATGTAGGCCTTCTCCTGAATGGCTGGATCAATCCAGCCGTTGTTGACACCAAGTGCGATGAGGTTGATATTTTCTCCCGAGATGGAACCAGCCTTGATGGCGGCATTCTGCTGCTCAATGTATGCTGCGAATTCAGGTCCATAGTGACCTCCGTAAGACTATGAAGAATAATGAGTTCCCTGGTGACAAATAATGAAGAACGTACGGACGGTCGAGCAAAAGACATACTTCGGTGAAGATAGCGAGGTCTCGGTTCTCATATTGCGGGAATTGACCATAGAAAGCCTGGAGCAGCTTCCAGACATAAGGAGCAGCCGTCACTGTGCTGGTGACATCGTCCGTGCCATACGAGAAGCCGACACCGATCGGTTGATCAATGTACAACATGTTGGCATAAGTGTTCCAACTGTATGGATTCAATGAGGGCTGACTAGCGCCGTTAGTGAAGTGACACGGGCCATTCTCTTGGAACAGACCGATCATGGAGGAACAGCCAGGACCTCCATTGAACCAGGTGGCCAAGGGGGCTGTTGCAGGGTTGTTGCGCGCTTCGAAGAACCTAAGAAATGTCAGAACCAAGCTAGTCAAGCTTCGGGCAGAAGTGTAGGAGAAGAAAAAAATCAAGATACAGGAACATTCTCACCAGAACCACATGTTCATGTTGTTGCCAACAGAGAGATAACCCGAGTACTGGTTGACACCGGGAGTGGTTTCGCAGATTCCAGAGTTCTTCACAAACTCCATTCTGGCTCCAGTTGCGGCATGCTCAAATACCGTGTAGTTCACTCCATCTTTGACCGCAAAAGAGACGGTATCTCTAAGAGTGCTCGCGGGGGCTGCCCACGCCTGCAGCGAGAGCAGAGGCAGAAGCCACTTTGCATGCCACATCTTTTGAATACCTGCAAAGCAGGAGAGCTTGAAGGGCACTTGAGATGAGGATGGATGGATCGATACTCTTTCACATGGCGGACAACCTCTTTTCGCTCTTATAGTGTCAGAACCAGATGTGAGCTTCCTCATTGGGCGATTTCTTACCATCCCAATTGTCGGCGCCAAGCGTCTTATCGCTGCGACAAGCTTCGTCCGGACGGCAATCTGCGGGCACGGTGGGGCGGCCATGCAGATAGTCTGTACAGCCGTCGGAGAGACGAGGTTACAGCACGGCCCAACGTCTGAGATTTGTGATGGACAACGGCCCTTCTTCGAAATTTGATTCGATAGGGTGAGTCAAGCATTGACCATGAAGGCTGACCGGTTGTCTGCCAAGACCGGACTCCGGCTCAGTATAGGCCAGGACCGGGGGGACTGTTCCATGCGATTCATCGACGAACCCAGTCAGCGCCTCTCTTCGATAGATGGGCTCGGGACTTCGGATGGCAGTTCACTCTTTCTTTGTCTGCATTTGCTCGGGGCAATAATACGGGTCGTGCTTGATCAGCGCGAGGAAATGTTGGTTCCGAGGCGGATCTGCAGTTTGAACAATTTCCTTGAAGGAGGGTACAAATGAAGGTGGGTTGGAGTCGGGCGATCTGTGGCTGAAGATGAAACGGACCCCGCCATTGCTATACTCAAGCCAAGGACAGATTGCGGCGGGCCACCGTCGGGGATACAGAATCTCTAAGGTCTTCTTTGCGACGATCATTGGAGAATTCGTGCGGAGTTGATGGTTGTTTGAAGTTGGAGATCAGATTGCATGGATGATCGTCTCGGGATGATACCCGAATTCAGCCTAGCGGGCCTGACTCACGCCGGAGGAACGTACCAGTCGGGTGCGGCAAGATCCGGTCGAACCGTCCCGGGCTTTCGTGAGAGTCTGGACATTGTCAATGATTACGGAATTATTTTCGCCTGATGAGGCACAGCTCGTTGTAAAGAGTGCGATGCTACTGCATGGTGATTCAAAATGGAATTAGCCACACCTAACAAGGCGACGCTTGTAGGATGAGCCCGCTAGAGGTTGAACGAGCTCATATCGACCGATCTAGCGAGCTTGGGCCCTATCCACAAAAAAAAGACCAAGTGTGAGGCCGAGTGGTACTAATGGGGAGGCCCTGCTGGGCAATGTTGATGAGCCTCATGTGGCAGCTCGAAGTGTGCTACGCGACCTTCGCAATGACATTCGAGCCACAGTTGACTTCGAAGGCATCAAAGATACAATCGCTGTATCAAACGACAAGCATCACCAGCACCACTTTAGGGATAGTTTTCGTCACTGTGTGGATTCCTGTGTGTTGGACCCCCTTGTCAACGCATCGAGCAGATGGTGGCACTCATGAAGGCACGCGTGCTCAAAGTCCTGAATCCTGATTCTAAGGTCACATGGAACGAGAGAAATGGGTCAGGGTGGACTGTGACCGATCAAGATGGCAAAAGCAACCCTGTCAAAGTCACAGCAGTAGTGGAAGCGCGAACGTAGACGCCATCTGTGACACAGACTGAAAATTCCTTGTTGAAAGACCTACTCACTACCAAGCAATGCCGTCCTGATACACGGGCTGGCGGCTCTGACACTGGAGCTCTGGCTATGTCACCCATGCCCGAGCGAGTTGTGGGAGATGATGGCAAACCAAATGTAGGCCTCTTCGCAATCGGTGTCCCTACTGAAGGTGCTCGCTGGGTCACTACAGCGGTTCCTAGACCCCTCGCAGATTCCGTTCTGCTTCGTTCCGCCGACGCTGTTGCCCGAGCAGCACTGAGGCAGGCTCAGAAGGATTTGCTGGACAAGAAACTTGGCTAGCTGCGGAGTACTGAAGAGTAGCCCAAAAGTGCAGCTTTTCTTTCTCTCGCGACCATCTGTGACGTGCTCTGTCTTTCTGAGAGGGGTTTTCTTCCTGTTAGGAGGTTTTCCCTCGATCAATTGTTCAGTTCCCTTGTTGTAAATTGTAGGTTGGAATACTGAAATGCAACATTCATTTGCTTGTTGGAATTGTCATCGTCCAGAACAGAGAATAATGTGCATGAGATGCCCGAAATAGCAATAGTATGCGGTGTTCCATTACAATTATAGCGTTGGAGGATCGTTCATGTTAGACATAAATAGCATACTGAATCCCTTCCGATGAGTCAAGACATGGCCGGTTTGCACTGCTCCCACGGGAATTCGGCTCGAAGATTTGCTCTGCGTCGCCAGCAAGAGATACTGCGGAGATTTGGAAAGATATCCTCACAACAACATGCAGGGCAGTTTGCTTATCTGGACCTAGAATGCGTTACGTCTTGGTCTGACCTGTGATGTTTGATCACTTTACAATTCGAGAGCCATAATTATATTAAACAAAAGACATTGCGTCGCAAGGGAGAGAGCAGATGTCGAGAGGCGCGACATTTACTTCTCAACATCCACACTGTTGGTCACTGAATCAAACACCTCCAGAGCATGACCAAGATACTCTCTAGCTCCCTGGAGACGAGGTGTCATATCACTTCCCAGAGGCAACAACTTCTCTGCCTCGTGTCCTGCCCCGACTCCCTCGCCAACGATAACTTGGTACAAGGCCTGCATCGCCTTGTCTTTGTCGCCATTCGGCACCAGCTTTCCACTGGCGAGGAAGTGTTGCATCTGCTGGGTGATGGTCCCGTTGTAATCGTCAGGGAAAGGAGTCTTGCCGAAGATGGCGGAATTCTGCATGTTGGTGTTGAACGTGCCGAGAATCACGGTCAGAGTGCGAATGTTGAAGGGAGCTACTTCTTTCGCCAGAATCCTGGTGAGAGCTGTCATGACAGAGGGTTAACGCAATGGCTGGGTATGGCCAAGGGGGAAACCAGGGACTGTGTACCATCTAATCCAGCTTTCGCGCCTGCGTAGACGCTCATGGTAGGGATGCCATCGAGCGAGGCGCCACTGCTCATGTTGACAACGACACCTGCCCGGCGTTGTCGCATGTAGGGCAAGACCGCGCGAATCAGGCGCAGCGGACTGAAAAACATAGTCTCCATCTGAGAGCGAATCTCCTCTTCGGTGAAGGTCTCAACGGGCGCGTGGATAGAGTAGCCAGCGTTATTCACCAGCACATCGATATGGTCACCGCCCTTTTCCAGCTCGGCGATCACTTCGCCGCTTTGTGGGCTATCCACATCTAACTGGACCCATTTACCTCCATTGCCCTCAATCTCTGCGACCAAGTCTGGAGTTCGAGAAGGCTCACGGGAAGTTGCGATAACTCGATGGCCGCCGGCTTGGGCAGCGCGGGTCAATGAAAGGCCAAACCCAGAGGAGCAGCCGGTGATGAGCCAAGTGTATTTTGGAGATGCCATTAGGTCTGAATATTTAAAATCGGGTTTGATTTAGAAGACAATTGTTGTAGGTGCTATTCGGCAACCATGGTGGTCGAAGGGTCCGTCGAATTTATACCTCGATGGGTAGGCGGAGATAGCGGATCATCTGTAAGAGTGTCAAATAACTCCGTTCGCCCACGTGTGAATGAAGATGGAGTCCAAAGGCGCCGTGATTGTTTTGCCGGAAATGGTAAACTGTTGATTTCCCACATTTGCTGAGGTGAATTTCAATCAGTCCCAAACTCTTCTGGGTACTGCGGCTATCGATAGGCACGGGTGGCCTAGAGGGTCAATTCGTACTGCAAGGTTGTCTGTGCCAGTTCTCTTCCAATCGCCCTCGGTTGGAAGGTTTACGTCCGTCCACGCAGCGCGCCTGTAATCGGCTTTAGGAGTTAATTCCGAGGAGCGGTGCCGTACACATATTATTAGCCTTGTCGAATGCAGTCAAGACAACGCGGGGTTTTGGCTGGTGTCCGTTAGCATAACAGGTACCTTCCCATCTACGAGGGAAAGAACATATCGACAACTTGAGATCTGATAGAGGTGCTCCTCTTGACTTCTTGCGTGTAATCGGAAGTTGAGAATTGTAGATGGGATTGGAGCTGATAGAGACAAGCTGCATTAAATGCAGCATCAAGGAAAGAGACAAAATGATGAGATGCTTCAGCCCGTGGGTGCGCGAGCTTCTATCTGAGTAAGCTGCACTAGCAGAATCATACCTACGGATGCTATCATTTGCCTGAATATCAGAAAAATCATAGTGAGAAAGTGCCCACATCAATTCTTGTCACTGATATAGTAGGTGTATCCTCATGAGAGGATAAGTCGCTATGTAATCCTGTTAAGGTTAGGGGACACAAAAAACTGTCGATAGACTAGTAGGTAGACTAGGGCGCAGTCTTTCCTGTCATCGCCAAACTTGGGCTCAGTCCGCTCGAATCCCAACAAGCTACTGTGTAGTCAATCCTCGTAGATTATACTCCACGCATCTACAGATCGAAGAAACAAGTGGATGAACAGTAATTCCGGCTACTGCTCAAGTCATCCATTTACGAATAGACCCCCAACAACCACGCAGATGATTGGCCATGGAAGCAGCCCAGTCAAACGGCTGAAGTAAGGAGACGTACAGTTGATTTCGCTCGTCACCTTCGAGATCAGTTCCTTCACTAGCAAGATAAAGATCTCGTAGCTACCTGGTCACCTACGGAAATTCTAAATCACCCCGATGATAATCCATTCGCCTAATTTATTTGAAGTCATCTCCATTGGCTATCTTGTGAGACTTTTTCCTCCAAACATGTACAGGCCGAGCAAATCCTTCCTCATCCCTCTCGTATTTCAGGATTCTGTCAAATCCCTGCGTTTTTAACTCATCATCAAACGGTGGTTGGATCTCAATGGTCTTGTATGTCTCCCTCAACTCTTTGTTTTTCTTCGAAGCCCTCGCATAATTGCTCATAGGCTGCGGCTCAACAACGAGATAACCTCCCTCATTCAGTATGTCTCGTATATGCGCAAATAGCGCTAGTATCCCGGCATCACCGTTGTTCAGATGAATCCACTTGGTTACAGAGAGCAGTAGGACAACGTCGAACTTGCCCAGCGCGGTACCCTTGTACGCAGACGTATCCACGAAATCAAAGTGCTCAAATGTGCATGGCCCATCCGGATACGTCGCCTTCGCCTGCTCGATCAGCCATGGGTCGATATCGACGCCGACCGCGACGGCCGCGCCGCAGTGTGCTATTGCCTCATAGGTCAATTTGCCCGCGTTGCAGCCGAGGTCTATGACTCGCGCGTTGCGAAGGATCTCTGATGGAAGGATTGAAAGACGTTCGTCTGGGACAGTGGGGGCGCGGAACTTGGCGTAGTATTGATGGTAGTTGCCATGGCGTGCGGCGAGATGCGTAGCTTTAAAGCGTTCTGCTCTAGAGAGTTCTGTTGCCTCGGAAAGATCTGGACGTTGTGGTTCCGTCATCTTTGAGTAGGCGTGCGAGCACCTGCAGCGACGGCACGGAGAGTTAATTATATTTTGAGCCGAGATGAATATTGCAATAATGAGGTGTGGCGCGAGGTTTAGCCTCACATTGGATTGGCCACGCGCAAGCCACACTTTAGGAATTTACCGTCCTGAGATATGTACCAATCATTATTTGAAGGGTGTGTCACGTGTGTACGACCTTTGCAAAGGTTGCACATGACTGTTGCCTGAGGCAGAGAACAGTCCAAAGGTCTGTTGAAGTAGGCATAGCCTTTACATTGTCTCAGTACTCTGAGGCTTTCGGTGGTTGAATCGAATATTGAATGATCCGGTGGAATGTTCGGGACTATCTGATGTTCGACCCATATCACAGAATATATCTACCCAGCCCCTGATACATCCATGTGTAACAAGCGACCAAAGGTTCTAAATTTGCAGGTGCCCGTGCGAGCTCAGATGGAAGGTGAAAAGTACATGTTGTAGTGCGGGATCCGGTTACATGTACTTGGATGTGGATTGAGAGGTGCGATGGCCTTGGTGCCTTACGGGTAGGGTAGGGATATCTAGTTATATGCGCAGGATCTCTTGGAGAGATCATCTTGTTGATCAACTTTCGGGATGCAAGTTCGAGGATGGATTTGAGACAATATTTACAGTCAGGTTCTTTACACTTGCAATGACACACTCTAAATTATCTTTAATTGCGGCCCTTGACATCGGACTGAGTGGTGTTGTACGGTCGGACTTGGGAGATCTTTAGACGTGCGTACTGGTGGTTTTGGTTTGGTTCCTCTATGACTCGACCTGTCTGGTGAGAGAACTGCCGTGAGCATTCGCCTCTTCAATATCTCAGTATCGTATCGTTTGGGTGTTGAGTTGGATCCTGCTCAAGGCGCTCAGACTCAGAGGGCCTGCTGCCAAAGCCAGGCCTTGGGGGGCCTTGATTTTGGCGCCGATAGCTCCGTCCTTCGCGGCGTGGAAGCCCGAAGACCGAGGGTCGCCCGCTAAAACGCGCGATCGCATCATAGTTTCATACAGGGCCACGTTCGACAGCTAACTTGAACATATCATAGAAGGGTCTGCAATCTATCGTACCCGGTCTTCTTCCAAAGGTTTTCGCATCCATTCATCTTTACCACACAACATACCGTCTCATATTCTCATTCAGAACGCGACCATTCTCGTTCCCTCAGGTGACGTGAATGACTATGTTGTGCCTGTACGGAATCACTCTTTGCTGATCGAGGATAACAACACTGCCTCAAATATCTACCGACATCACTCCTCCAGCTAATGCTGAAGTCATCGACTACACAGACGAGATTGTGTCTCCTAGGTCTATTGATACGCATCATCATATGTGGCAGACGCAGTTGAAATGCCGCCGTGCGAACCATACGCTGCTGGAATATCTGCCTAATGGTTTGTTTCCTGCTATTTCTCATGACCTACTCCAGGCACCGGATTCTGATTGCGATTGAGCTCAGGCAATAGTCAACCCGCCAATTATACCCCGGAAGATGTCTTCTGGGATACCCTTGAGGCATCTTTCGAAGCTCTGGACGCAGGTACCACGACCGTGGTTGACCATGCCCACATGGATGTTTCTCCAGCTCACTATAGGTACAGCTTGAAACCTCAAAGCCTGTCCTTACTAATATACATGAATAGCCTTGAATGACATTGAAGCGACCGTTTCCTCAAGGATTCGCTCTGTGTTTTGCTATACCCCTACCATCAGAGTCAAGACATGGAAATCGGAACTGCGCCCTGACGGAGGTTTATTGGACAACTAGGTACTCGAAACTTTCAAGAGATTAGATGCTGCCGCCCCATTTGGAAATGGATGGGTCCAGCTTGGAATGGCTTTTGATGGTTTATTCCCATCAAAGGACCAAGTCATCTCATTCTATGACCGGGCCCGTAAACTTGGCGTGAAAGTCATCAGAATGCCTTATGTGCGAAAATACTCCGGTGAGAAAACGGGGATCCCAGATATAATACGTTTGATATCAATTAATCACATACAAGGTGTCCACTCACTTTTCGACACTCTGCAAGAGTACAATCTCCCTGACCCGAGTATCCTTCTTTCTCAAACAAGCAACCTAACTTCAAATGACTTTCAGAAGCTGAACAAGGCCAAGGCATGGATTTCCACCACCTCAGATACGGAGCTTCAAATGGAACATGGTGATATTGTTTGCTTCAAAGATGGCTGCTCTGATATCAGCTCTTTGGGTATTGACTGTCACAGTAACAACCCCGCCCGGCGGTGACTTGGTGTCACAGATGCGTGGTGCCCTACAGCACGAGCGATCAAATCGCAATGAGAACGTCATCACTGAGGGGAAGCTCACCTGGTCACTAAATCTACTTTTGCAAGATGCATTCCCGCTGCTGGGTACAATCCAGGGCGCCGGGCCATTCATATGGAAGATAATCTGGGTTCAATCCAAATTGGCAAGCTTACTGAGCTCGTCATCTTCGACGTCAACAGCCCTGGAATGGTCTGTGCATCGGAGCAAGACCCCGTTGCCGCGATTGTTCTTCATTCCTCAGTACGTGACATTATTAATACAGTGATCATCGATGGCCGCGTTCGTAAATGGGGTGAAAAGGTGCTTTCAGCAGATCTCAATCCATCTTTTCCTGAGGTTCCCATTCCGCGGCAGAGAGTCGAAGGGAAAAAGGTCGCCAAAGAGCTAGTTCCTAGCCGCAAAAGAATCGAGGAGGTCATCAAGAGGTCTAACGCGGATGACTCTAACGACCTCGTTCTGAAAACTGTGAAAATGATATATCTGGATGAAAATAGGTTCGTCAAGCTCTGAGACTCGCAAGGCTCTACGCTTCAAGAACAGAATTGACATTCGTATGCATAACACTCTACCTCGATTTCTGTTCTATTCTCTTCACGCCTGTCATGACTCCAGGCACGCATGAAAGGACCAGGACTAGCAGCAAAGTTCTTTCTGCTGGCTGCACGATTGGGTTTACGAGACCTGTTATTTCACTACCTCCACTCTGGTCGACAAAAAAGCGCGCTATTTCGCTCTTGGGAAGAACATGATTCGGTAGCCGGGCTGCTTGCGATTTGGTCTGTTTCTTTCCGTCCTCAAAGGTTCGTCTTGCAACTTGTCCTTGACTCCTATTCTGTTTCAGCCCCACCATTTCCCTCACTAATTGTCGGATCTTGATTCTAACGGGGACAAGTCTTGGTAGTATTGATCTCACAGCGCCATGATCTTGTTGGTCTGTTGTTGGTGTTGGCCGGTTAGGTTCCCATTTCCTTTAAGTATGCAAGACTAAGTGTGAGATTGACTGACTAGGAGAGATTCTATCTAGGCTATGGACCATGGGTATGGTGAGACGGTAGTATCACATGCCATACGACCACTCTTCCGTAAAATCGTCTCATTTGACCTACCACAATGTGGGCTGGTGTGAGGCACTGAAGCCAACATACGCCCACATAGGCCCGGTGAATCTCATCGGACCTGAATTGAGTGCTAAAGTAAGCAATCAAACTCACACCGTCGAGGTCCCCCTGCAGTTTCAACCTCTGAAAATCAAGCGGAAGATGTAGATATGTTCATCAAGAAAACACGTCCAGTTTCTGCCATCGCCAGGTGTGACCCGCCTCTTACCTGCTGAACGTGCGAGCGAGTATCCGCCAAAGAGACCACTCACAGCACGACCGACTCACTTAATTAAGGGCAAAGCCACAATCGTCGGGTCATAGTCCAGTAAGAACATAGACAGAGCAAAAACTATGGACTCGCGGGGAATCGAACCCCGGACCACTCCCATGCTAAGGGAGTATTATACCACTAAACCACAAGCCCAACAAGTTAAACTGAGTAAAAATTTTAAGGTACATAAAGGTTTTCAATATCAGCAAGCCATGTAGCCTATCGGAATGTTGCTCCGCCAGACGGAGGCTACAACAGGGCGCAAAGGTCTGTGTGCATACCGCTTCCGCCACCATACCCCATCAAATATATATATCTGCATCAACATATCCTACACCACCAATCCTAGTCTAATCAATACAAATTTTTTTGTGTATATAGATATGGTTTTCAAGCAAATTTTTAACCAAAAATCTGCTTCTAATATTTTGTATAGTAGCCGCGATTCGCATATAATTTCGCATATAACTTATCCATACGCGGCACGCCTACCTATACTTAACAAGAAGTGCGGCCGCGACCGCGCGGCCTTCTATGTCACGGCGCGACCTGTCAAGGCGCGGCCACGGATGAATCACGTGCGGAACGCTGACGAACCCTCCGGGTTGTAGCCCTAGGGATGCGGGCCCTGCACGTGAGAGACACATGTACAATAATCGCAGAAGGGAGGAAGGATTCCGACCTTCAGGATTCAATCTTTGAATTTGAGCCCCCCTAGACTTCAATCCTTTGCCTAGTCAATAGTCCTAGTCTCCCTGCGATTCCGACCCTAACATTCTAATGGGAACGGTCGAAGGTTGTAACCCTAACTCAAAGATAAGATTTGTTACGAGTTAGCGGACTTGGATTTCTTCTGCAGAAGAAATCAGTGTCGGAGGGAGGATACCGAAGGAAGATACCGTAACCACGTAACTGCGTGGTAAGAGAAGTTGGGATAAAGGCATGTTCCGGTGATCTCATCACCTTAATACCTTCTGCAGATTAGATTTCTCTTTCCTTTTCTCCCTCAGGCTTTTCGACCTTCGTTGAATGCACAAGTTGACTCCGAACTTTTTGGCACGTAACACTTTAAAAGATCTTTATATCCTTAAATTAAGGAAAGCCCGTAAAAAGCCCGTAGGCTTTAGGGCCTACGGGCCCTTGTAGGCCAGGCTTAGGCTTTACGTTAGGCCCCAGCCCGTTCTTGGTAGCCCGCGGGCCGGGCTTAGGCTTTGCTAAGACGGGCTCGGGCTTTAAGTCGGGCCCATAGGCCGGGCTCAGGCTTTGATCGGCGGCCCGTCACGGGCTTTTATAATGTCTATTACTGTGTATTGTGTAGAAGACCACGAGGTCAAAATATTCTGCCAAGATTGTAAATAAAGGGGAACATTGAATATCCAGTTGATATAGTATTACGTACCTCAACATGCTTACAATTCTTCAGCGTAGGTCGCATACATTAAGTCTCCAAAACACGACATTCATTATCATCTTGGCAGCAAGGAAAAGGAATCGTGCTGGTATGACAATTTCGTGATAATTGTATAGGTGACACGCGGTTCAGAACATCCAACAATCAATCCACTCCTGGGAGCTTATTCTCTATTCATGAGGTCCTTCGACCGGTCCCCGGTGAGACTCTTTGCCCTCCTTTACCTGTTCTTCTCTCCTTTTCATCAACCCCTGACGAAATGCTTCAGTATACTCATCCGGGTCCCACGCCAAGACCCTGTCCTCCATCTCCTCAAGCTTCCTCATCACTAGCCGTTCCATCTCAGCCTTTTGGTCTTCACCCAGCAGGTTTAGCCGCTCCTTCCATGCATCGCTGGGATCGTTGGTCTCTGTAGGCCCAAAAAAACGCCGGTCGATCTTCTGCCAGTAGATCGCATCGAACGCAAAGCTATGCAAAATCGCATACACCACCCAGAAGTCTCCGCTCTCCCAGCTCCGTTGCATCTGATTCTATATAAGCAAAAACGATAAAAATTAAGTTCTGAAATCTCGGCTTTCTATTTATATTTTTAGCTCTTTAGATAGCTTACGATAAGGAGATTCAGGATTTTAAAATCTTATCTTCATAGCTAAAGTATAAGATAAGTTATAAAAGAAAGAAGAATACTATAGTAGAGAGTAAGATAGAGAGGCGGTCCCGGCGCTAGTCTAAATAAGGGTAAAAGTAATATCCGGCTATACTCACCGGCTATACTCACCGGCTATACTTATCGGGCGCTAGTCTAAAGAAGGGTAAAAATAATATCCGGCCATACTATGACGCATAGGCAACAAGTCAATAGTCAACTAGCTAGTCGGTTGACTAGTTCGTGAACAGACTTAGAGTGTGGAGTTGGTTGGATGAGTTAACTGGTCAGTCACCGTGAACTAGTGAGTCACTGACCAGTTGGTTAGCCGACTAGCGAGTTGGTGTTAACTGGTGGGTTGGTTAGCTAGTTGATGGATATAGACTTAGGGAGTTGAGGAGGAGATTATATAATCGATGTTTGCGTTTATAAGATCAGATATTTACCTACGCGTTATTAATAGAAGCCTTACGTATATGTGTACGCTAGAGCCTAAGGATTGTTTACCTTTTAGTTTACTTCTATAGAGGAACCTTCTATCCGGGACTTTCTATAAGGATTCTACCGCCTTACTATAGCCCTATCTACGATAGGTATTTAAGGTAGTACTTTATCTTCCTTATTTCTTCCTTTTCTTTTTCCTCTTCGTCTTAGTTTTCTTTATTATATAAGATATAGTTACTTTACCTTCCTTCTTCTATATATAGGTTATTATAGCTATACTACCTAGGAGTTATATAAAAACTAAGACCTTTAATATTCTTTTTACCTTTATATAATAGACCGGTACTTACTATAAGTTATTAAGTCTTTATATATTATCTTCCCTTATTTTTCTCTTTTCCTTTTAAACGATCGATATAGTAGTACCTATTAATATAGTATATCTAGGTATTAATAAAGAACCGGGTTAGGAAGAGTTACGTAGTATATATCGATAGAGCTCCTTAGCTAGATCTAACGATCTTTCCTATAAAGACTATAATATATATTTTATTTAGGTTACGCCTTAGCTAGATAATCTACTCGAGTATTTATGCGATAGAAAACTTAGCTATAAGAACTTTATCGACTTAGTACGCAATAAACCTAGGTTTATATTCGACTTAATACGGGATATATAGCGAGCGACGGTTAACTACTTATATTATCTCGATAACGAAGTAGAGGAATAATACGGATAGCTCGCTATAGCTACCGCTAAGATAGTTAAACTAATAAACTAGAAGATAACGAACGATAAGCTCCTCTATAAGTCCGAGGAATATACCGATCTTAATACTACTACTATTAAGCTTTTATAGATAATCCTCTAGTAGATCTATATCTTCGCTAATCGAATCGAAATAAGCCGCCCTATATCTCCTACTAACTAATACGAGTAGCGTAAAGCTACTATAGATACTACTATAATAGGCTATTCCGATTCTATATATACTATATATAAATTTAAGATCCCTAATCTACCCCTACTTACCGATAGAAAGGAAATAACTTAGGAAAACTAGAAGATCGCGATAGAGCGTAAGCTACGTAGTATAGGACTAGACCTTACTAATCCCTTAGCTTTAGACTATATTTACTCTCGATACGGAGGTATAGCCTCCGAGCGATACTAGAACTATAATAATCTCTTTAAGTATCTTAGATCTATCTTTAGCGACTATAATAAAGCTATACGCTCTAAATAGGATTTCTAGAACTTAGAGATATAGGATAGCTAGTTATTTAGCGACTTCCTATCTTAGTTCTCTTACCTCTTCGATACCGGCGAACTTATTATAGGTAAGCGCTAGAAGAAGTATATCCTCTAGAACTACTTAACTCTCCGACTTCGGGAGATTATCGATATCGACTTAATCGATAAGCCCCTTATATCCTTTACCGAGTTTAGCTATAAGATTAGAAAGAAGTATAACGCTCTTTACCTAAGTAGCTAGATCTCCGCTTAGTAATACGGCTAGACTACTAATAATAAAAGCACCGATCTATCTAGAGTATCGAAGACGTATTTCTCTAAGAAGTCCGATAATAAGACTACTACTATAACTCCGGTATTATCTAGTACTACGCCTCACGAGATAAAGATAATCCTAGTATCTAATACTAAGAGTCTAGATAGGGAGATCTATATCCGCTATATAAAGGAAGGACGATACTTTAGATATAGATAGACCGGATATATATCTTCTAAGTATCCTAGTAAGGAATATACTACTTTAGTAACTAAGATATTAGTATCTAACCCTAGTTATATAGAAGAGATCTCTAAACCCTCCGAGGCGGGAAAAGCCTAAGCCTAGAATAAGTCTCTCTTCTAGGTATAAGTATTACGGAAGTAGTTATACCTTTAGATTTATATATAGTATTAGGAAATAATAAATAATTTACTTTTCTAATTATATTTATATCTAATAGTTAGTTAACCCGTATAACTACTTTACTCGATACTAGAGTAATACCCTATATAGCTATTAATAAAGGATTAGCCTATACTATCCGAGATATTTAGAATATTCTATAGATACCTTTACCCTAGTTAGTAAAGATAGAGGGATATAATAGGAAAGATAGAAATACTATTACCTATATAATCGTTCTAACTCTCTAGATCGATAGATAATAGTTTTATTAGATACTATTCCTTATTACCGGTTTAGGTTATTACTATATAATTATCGGATAAGCCTAGTTCGCGTATTATTAAGTATTATTAGATTATACGAATTACCGAATCTAGTAGCCTACTAAAGTTACCCTAATAGATAAGATAGCCAGGAAACTAACTCTAGAGATCCCCCTACTAGTATTAACGTATCTGCGGGTTATAAATTAGAAATATTAGGTATATACCGAAGCCTATAACCAGGAAATAGAGTAACTAATCGAGTAGGAGTAGATCGATAGATCTCGGGTTACTTTAACTATATATAATACCGAATATTAACTTCCTAAAGAGTTCTTAAGTAATTATATATAAGCCTACGAGATATTTAGCTATATAATAGCTAGGGATAGAGAACCGGTAGTCCTAGCTCCTTAACTATCTTACGTAGAATTAAATACTATATTTCTAAGTCCTACTCGAGCTTTTATTAGTTAAGTAGGATTTAAATACTATATATAGGCTAAGGATACCGAAGTATTTATTACTACCCTTAACGAGATCGACGCGGTAATTACAGAACTAGCTCCTAGAAATAAAGTAGTTATAGAGAAGGAGTCTATTTAATAGTAAATTCCTAAGATATACTATAATCTATAGGAGTTCTTCTCGTAATATAAGTCCGACGTTCTACTACTATATTAGGATCCGTTCGACTATAAGATCCTTCTTAACGGAGAGTAGAGACTAGGCTATTATCTCCTCTATAAGATAAACTAGAAGAAGCTTAAAGTAGTTCGAAAGTACCTTTTCGAGAACTTATAAAAGGGCTTTATTATTCCGTCGAGGTATCCCTTCGCTTCTCTAATCCTAATAGCGAAGAAGATAGATAGTAGACTATACTTCTATATAGACTACCGATAACTAAATATAGTTACGGAAAAAGATATCTACCTATTACTACTTATTAATAAGATAATAGACCGGTTAGCCTATATAAGACGCTTTACTAAACTCGATATATAGTAGGGATTCTATCAACTTAGAATAGCGGCGGACTTAGAGAATCTAACGACGTTTATAACTTGATATAGGATCTTTAAGTATAAGATTATACCGTTTAGGTTATATAATAGACCTATCTCCTTCTAATAGTATATTAACTAGATACTTAGGGATCTCCTAGATATAGTTACTATTATATTTATAGATAATATCCTAATCTTTAGCGAGGACCCTAAGAAATATATTAAATATATTTAGGCTATAATCTAACGATTATAAGCTATAGGACTTTAGGTAGTAATCTATAAGTACGAGTTCGACCGAACCGAGACTAAGTTCTTAGGTTTTATTATAGAAGTAGATAGAGTAAGGACTAATCCTAAGAAGATTAAGACTATTTACGAGTAGTAAACTCCTATAATAGTTAAAAGAGTTTAGTTCTTCCTTAGGTTCTATAACTTCTATTATTATTTTATTACCGCCTATAGTTATATCGCGAAGCTACTCTACTAACTTATAAAAAAGGACTATATATTTATATAGAGTAAGGACTATATAAATACCTTCTAGTAACTAAAAACTACTCTTTCTTTAGCGTCTATCTTAGCGTACTACTATCCGGAGAGGGAGATAAGACTAGAAATAGATACCTCGAAGGATATTATCGTAGGAGTACTATCCTAGAAGTAGGATAGGTTATAGTACCCTATTAGGTTCTTCTCTAAGACTATATTACCTAGGAAGCGGAAGTAGGATATCTACGACCGGGAGATACTAGCGATTATAGAGAGTATAGATAATTAGCGGGCTAAGCTATCGGGACTATAATATAAAGAAAGATTCGAGGTCCTAATAGATTACTAGGCGTTAGAGTACTTTATATTATTAAAACTTCTAAATACTCGTTAAGCTCGCTAGAATTTAAAACTTTCCTAGTACTATTTCGTTATCCGCTACTGACTAGGATAATAAAATACTCTTACGGATATATTATCCCGCTTCTAGGTTAAATAATAAAGGGAACCGGAGAGCTAGATATTACTACCGGAATCCTACTTAGATCCCTAGATCGTAAACGAGTATAAGACCGTTCGAATTAATCGACTCTATATTAGTAGCGACTTAATTAAATAGTTACTCTTAGTAAACCGGGATAACCTAGAGCTAGAAGTATAGCGTTAGGAAGCTAAATAGGAGAATTCCTTAAGTAGATTCGACTTACGAGAAGGGGTACTAATCCGCGATAAGAAGCTTGTAGTCCTAGTATT